TGGCCAATTAGAGCAAAGCCAAGATCATGAGTGGTCCACATGCTTTAGAAGTGCGATATATTACACGGCGAGTCTGTTGACCGAACATAGCAGGTAGAAGACACAAAGATCAACTTGTTTGAAGTTTCGCAACTTCATGACATGTGGCACCGGCTATATTTCTTTCATTAGTCACTAGATACATGGATGTGCGAGGGCCAAGGGGCCAAGAACGTAAGATAAAGCTAGAACCTAGCTGCCTAGGGGATCTACTGACTTGGACTACAGCAGTCAATGTGACTGCATCAGGAAAAACCTTCCCTATGAATATCCTGCAATATCCCATCGTGTTCGGTAAAAGCAGATTCTATCGTACATTCCCTTAATTGTTGCCCAAAGCGAAATTACCTGGACCCACCCCTACCCAATATGAATGACAGGTAAAACTTAGGTAAAATGGCGAATCCCAGATCATTTGCTAGCCTTCTCGTAGGTTTCCGACAATGGGTATCATCTCGGTTTGCTCGTTCACTCGAATTATAAGCAACATTAGATCAATTGTTCTGTATAGTAATCAATCATAGATAACAAAAGCCATGACTACGGTCAGTGTTCGGTTCACTAGGAATGCGGCGAGAATTACGTCTGAATGCTATGCAGTATAATAGGAATGCTGTGAAAGACCATTAGAGGCGAGAGCCAGTACGCTAAACAGTCCATGTATGTAGAGCCAGCGTGAGTGTCAGACGGAGTTCTTGTACTAGATATGGAAGTCTGTGTTCTACTCCGAGTCGTCATCGGGTATGTTATCCCAGTTCATGCTTGTGCTGCCGCCGTGTGTACCCGAATGCAGAGCATGACCCGTTCTGGATGCGGAGATCAGGCTGATGGTAAACTAGCAAAAAACATGAGGGCATACGTTACGGCTTTGAATATATCGTGCATGACGCGATGATAGCGCTTCGGCTTCTGCTGGCGGAAATCAGCGAGTCGCACCATGTGCTCTCGGTACGCGGGTGCGCTAGCAGCTCCGAACTCAAGTGCCTTGCCAAGACGAAGGCTATGTTCGTGTATGACAGACTCGACCTGACAGAGACGTAGGTGATTAGCACTCGAACAGAAGGCACCAACTGAACTTACAGCTGTCATGGCAAGGGAGACCAATTCTCGGGGTACCTCGTACTCTGATGGTTTGCTTGCCAACGAAGACGGGCAGAGCACGACGCTCTGCAGCCCGATTCCGAGATACACCGCATTAGTAAAGAATCCGGAGCGTATGACCGACTTGATCATCTCGCTTTCATAAGGTGCGCGCCCATCAAAACCCCCCTTCAATCCACGCATAACGCTTGTCATTCCATGCAAATCAACATGCAGTTCATACTCACTGTTGGAGTCCACGGATATATGTAGTTCATCTCCTTGAGGAGCTCCATCTTGTCGGGCACTGCGGGAACGTTGCCGGACTTGATCGTGAGCTTGAACTCGTGTTCAACAACGAAAGCGATTGCTTTTCGAATGCCCGTCCGAGCCATGGACACTCGACGAGCAACCTGCCGATGCAAGCGTTAGCAAGTAGGACGATATGAGTGTGACAATGCTGACATCCGTCATAAGCGGTCTAGTGTAGTCTTCAAACGACCCATCTTCCAGGCGGTGAGCGATGTCCCCCTCACCGCCGTACCCGAGCGTGTCTGCCGATTGGACAAGGGCATCGTATGCGATACGATCAAGGCCAATCTTGTCCATTGGCGTGACCATGGTGTTGAGGGCGTCGATGGTGATGTCGAGCTCGCGGTCCTCTGCTCGGCCAAATACCATCATCTGCTCACCAAGGGTGTAGGCGTGGGACATGACTTGCTGGACCTCTCCGTCTTGAGCTTTCTTCCCCATCTTTGTGCTCTTCGGGAGCTTGATAACCGTGATATTCGACCGTGGCAGCCATTTGATATTGTCGTGCATCTTGCTGCTGACGGAGGCCGAGCCCGAGTGGTGAGTCTGCGCCTGCTTCTTTGTCTTCTTTGTCTTCGCAGTGCCCTGAGTGGCACGGCGAATTTCAGGCATCTGACGACGCGTTGATCAGTATTCGTGTAAGACAGAATTGTTACGAACCTCAGACTTCAACTTGTCTTGCTGCTTCTGTGTTAGCTGAACGTGTAACTTCGGGTCAGATATGTCGTGCAACTTGACCGCGCGGTAACGTTTGCGCACCTGCCGTTGCCCACGCGAGACGACCTCCGGGATCTCATCTTCATCGAGATCGTCCGCGTCACCGCCGATTGCAGGATCCGAGCTGTAGGCGACTGGTTCATCATACACCCGGTCGTAATCAGAGTGAGCGGCTTGCGCCTCATCTTCATCGACGTCTGCTCCGTGCATGAGGAAGTCGTCATCAGTCGCCGGTGGCTCCGAGTTGTAGTAGGACACGACACTCGACGAGCGTGAGCTCTTCGAGCGGAAGCGGGGAGGTCGAGGGCTCGGCACATCGTCCGCCGAGTCGGGCGCTTCGCGCGCGGTCGTCGACCGAGAGTTGCCTGTACAGATGTTGCAGCAGTTAGACATCAATGGATGAGGGAGTGCTACTCACTGGACCCCGTGATAGTTACACGCTGCGGTAAGGTGAGATCAGCGATGCAAGGGACAACTAATGTATCGTACCTCTGCTTCAAAGTCGACGCATTGTTCGCGCGACTCGGCCTCCTCATCACCCTCAAGCTCGCCCTCCTGCTCGTACTCGGCTTCATCATGATCCACAACCTCACCATCGTCATCCAGTCCGTCCTCAATGCCGCGAGTTGCAGCGGCACTGGGTTGCAATTGACTTCGGGTCGCCTGGGATGATCGAGAAGTGCGGGGTCGTGGCGGTGGCGGCGGTGGCGAGGGCGAGTCAGAGTCCGACGCGTCGTTGATCACTGCAGCTCTGGGAGGTCTCTCTGGGCGTGGTTTCATCCCAGTGGTAATGATATGGTTAGAGACAGGTAAGACTTACTGTTCGATGGCGCGTTCTCATTGAAGTTTGCAGGCCGCAAGTTGCCGACCTTCGCCTTCTTCTGCTGTGGTCGTCGCTCTATCTCACTGTTGGTACTCTTCAAGCGCGGCGCCGCCGTTTTTTCACTGGCAAGATCCTTCGCGCTCTTCACGCTTGCTGAGTCTGCTCTCTTGCGCTTCTCTTGAACCTTGACGCGACTTTGGATCTCGTCGGTGTTTCCTGCAGTGAGTAAGTCAGATTCATTATCAAAATGCACAACATTGAATACTTGCCCCGAAACTCCAGGTTACTCCCACCAACCTTCTCCACCTTCTTCCGTGGCTGCGGCTGAGTTGCCTTCCCCCCATTTGTGCTGCCGGCTCTCTTCTTCGGCACCATACTAGCCCACGCTGTAGGATGAAGTGCAAGCCGAACCTACGGGTGAGTCCCAATCATCCTACACAAATATTTGTGGAGACGTTACCCTTTGGAGCGGCCTGAGAGGCTAGACGAGTGGGACGTTGTGAAGTGCCTACTAGTACATAGATGTGAGTATAGTACTACTGCAGCCAACACTCTTACTTACACTGTTCATCGTCAGCCTCGTCGATCTGAGTGTCGTCGGGTTGATTCCGGCCCTCAGTGTCAACTAGGTCGACCCTTGATTGCTGACCTATGCGACTACGAGTGACGTTCCGAACTGATGACATTGCACAGCGTTCTGTTGTGGTGTAGCAGGTGTAAGATTGTGTCGAGAACGACAGCCGGGGCGTTGGTCAAGATAGATGGTCAGTAGAGACGACTATGCAGTCAACACCGCTGCAAGGAACACTCACATATGTGCTAGGAACGAAGGAGAGATACAAAAAGGCAGGGGAAGGAACAGTTATTGTTGCGTGAGTGGTCCCGAAACGATATATGCAGGTTGGAGTACTGAGGTGCAAAGGATTGTTGAAGGATTGTTTCCAGGGAGTTGGGACGGGCAAGTGAGAGTTGCGCTGGCACATGCGCGTGACAAGGCGGGTTCTGCGAATGTGTGTAACTCGGCAAGGGGCGACCTTCGCTTGTGAATCTGACGCCGTACGTCTTGCTTGTCGACCTCAATCTACAGACTCTGACGCTTATCCGCCATAACCCACCACTATCCCATCACTTGCACTCTCTCTGTTAGCCGTCTACCTGACTCGGAGTTGCAACCCTTCGACGTCTACTGTTGTATACAATAGTGAGTTCACTCTTGTGTTCTCCTGCGCAACGAACCGTTAACAAACGTCATCTAGTCCGAGTCTTCTTGTATAATCAATCTTTCTACATCGCTATGGAATTCCATTGCAACGGCTGCACCCGTCGCTTCAACGAACACGGCGCATACATCCAGCATCTCCGAACCAGCCCATATGCCGCCTGTCAGCTCGCACGTACACAACATGAAGAGGCTTCGAGACGGCCGTCTCGTCGAGCCAGCCACAGACGCGCTGCGCGTCGTTCTCGCTCAAGAAGCCAGCCCCCTTCAGAAACTCCCTCAGCTTCGCAGGGTGGCGCTTCGCCGCCCGAAGACGACGCTATGGAGGGTCAGGTCCCCTTTGAAGGTGATTTCTTCGGTGCCGCAGACGAGTATGCCCAGGGAGACCTCCCCTTCGATGGGGACGCTGAAGAACCGGCTGATCTCGCTGATCAGACCGATGACTTGGGCCCGGTGGAAGTGTCGAGCGATGTTGAGTCGTCTGACGATGAAGCAATTGGACGTGATCTTGTCCAGCCTGGTGATGAGGTCGAGCGTGATGGACGTCGGCTTCCTCGCTCAACGTCACCCAGGCCACTTGCTCCGAGTTCAACGCTGGACGCCGAGCGCGACTCGGAGCAGGTTGCACCACAACCTCTTGCTGCCGAAGCACCCACCGTTTCGTCAGAAGGGCCCAACACCGCACCAGGCGGAGTGAACGCTGATGCCCATGAACAAATCCGCCGGGCACCTGCATATATTGTCTCGTTTGGAGGACAAGCAGGTGCCCCTGTCCCGCCTGAGTCTATTTCTGGACAGTCCGAAGCGAAGTCGGCGGGTTACACAAGCTACGCAGAGGTGGTCGACCCAGAGGCGAAGAATCCTTACGCCCCGTTTGCATCCCGGATGGACTGGGAACTAGCACGCTGGGCAAAGCTACGTGGTTCCGGGTCAACGGCATTCTCGGAGCTACTCGCCATACCAGAGGTATGCCTAAACATTTCTCAATACAATTGCATCGTCTTGATCTATCTCCTGTAGGTCCGAGAGCGGCTCGGCATATCTTACAAGAACACGGATGAATTGAACAAGATAATTGATGACAAGCTGCCGACACGACGCCCCATGTTCCACCGCTTTGAAGTGACAATCGGTGGGGAGCGGTTCGACATGTTCAACCGCGATGTTATAGAGTGTGCGCGTGCCCTCTGGGGTGACGCAGAGCATGCACCAGTCTTGTGCATTGTCCCGGAGCGCCACTATGCCGACGCTGATAATACTGTGCGTCTCTATCATGATTTCAATACAGGCGAATGGTGGTGGGCGACGCAGGTACGTTGTAGTCTCATGGTATGAATCATCCAGGGTCTCTGAGTTCCTATAACAGAAAATGCTCGAGAAGAAGAGACCGGGCGCGACGGTCATGCCGATCATTATCTTGTCCGACAAAACTCAACTCACGCAGTTCCGGAACAAAACGGCATACCCAGTCTATATGACGATAGGTAACCTACCAAAGGAAATCCGCCGCAAGCCGTCGCACCGTGGGCAAATCCTACTAGCCTACCTACCAGCGAGCCGGTTGCAACATATCACGAATAAGGCTGCTCGCCGCCGGACACTAGCGAACGTATTTCACGCTTGCCTTTCCGAAATTTTGAAGCCTCTGCAGCAGGCCGGCGTCGATGGTGTCGAGATGATGAGTGGTGATGGCGCAACGCGCCGCTGCCATCCTATTCTGGCGGTGTACGTCGGGGACTACCCGGAGCAGGTCCTCGTGACGGCGACGTACACCGGGGATTGTCCTATCTGTGAATGCCCGCATGATGAGCTAGGGACGTATCCTTGCACGTCGGCCTTCCGTAATGTCGATGAGGTCCTCGACGCCCTTGATCTCTTCGGTACGGCAGACTACAATCGTGCTTGCGAGGCTGCCGGCGTCAAGCCTATCCAACACCCTTTTTGGGAACATCTCCCGTACCTCGACATCTTCCAGTCGATCACCCCTGATGTTTTACACCAATTACATCAGGGCGTAATCAAGCACGTTCTCGCATGGATCACCAACATTGTTGGCAAAGACGAGGTCGATGCGCGTGTCAAGCGACTCCCTCCGAACCACTCCATCCATAACTTCCATAAGGGGATCACTGGCTTGTCGCGCGTCACGGGTGCCGAGCACAAACAAATATCCCGGTTCATCCTTGGGCTCCTAATCGACCTCCCGTTACCTCGAGGGGACTCTTCGGAATTGATCGACGCCACGAAAGCTCTGCTCGACTTCCTCTACATGTCGCAGTATTCAGTTCACTCGGACACGACTCTGCAGGCGCTCGAAGGCTCACTTGCCGAGTTCCATGCCAAGAAGGACGTCTTCATCCGACTCGGTGCAAGGAGTAACTTCCTCATACCGAAGTTACACATGCTTACCCATTATGTCCGAGCGATCAGGTACTACGGGACAACAGACAACTACAATACAGAATCAACAGAGCGCCTGCATATCGACTTCGCGAAGGAGGCTTATCGCGCGACGAACCGCAAGGACGAATTCCCGCAAATGACAAAATGGCTTGAACGTCGCGAGAAAGTGCTCCAGCATGCTGACTACGTTGGATGGCGCCTGCTGCGCGCAGAGAGTGGTCGTGATGATCTGATCGCCTCGCGTCAAGGGGTACGCTGGCGGCCGCCTGACTTGGCATGTACCCTCAATCACCTGATGACGAAACATCCAAGCCGCAAGGCTGTACCCATCACTGAGCTCGTAGCTCCAGATGGTTACGATGCTACACACCTCATGCCCGCACTTGCTCGTTTTCTCATAGAGCACAACAATCCAGGTATTTCGCGAAACGAGGTGGAAGCTCAAGCCGCGTACGTCCGGTTTCCCTTCGCTACGCTACCGGTCTTTCACAAGGCAAAGTTCCGTAACCTGGAGTACCATGGCAAGGAGACCTTAGACTCGATACACGCTCGACCAAGGAAGCTCGGAGGTAACAGTGATATCCTTATACCCTCCCGTTTCGACACTGCCCTTGTGCAAGTGCGACACATCGAACCCGCCGCCGAAGGTCAGACCACCCCTCGTATTGGCCTGTCAGGTATGCACGCACCCTACTTGTATGATCGCTCCAACATTGCGTGACTGATGGTATCACTACAGACATGCGTATAGGCCGTGTCCACGCGATCTTCTCAATTCCACAGAAGTTCCATAACCAACTGATCCCGTCGATGCCGAACATCCGATGCCCACGTCACCTCGTATATGTGGATTGGTTCTCCAAGTTTGCGCGCTCTCCTGACAGCCACTACCAGATGTACAAGGTAACTACGTTGACAGGGGGTGAAAGAATTGGATCTGTGGTACCTCTTGCGCTCCTTGAACGCAGCGTCCACCTTCATCCGAAATGGGGTGGTCCTGTACCAGCACATTGGACGAGCGAGAATGTGCTAGACGAGTGTACGACATTCTACTTAAATCCGTACAAGAACCCGCACGACTTCTACAACCTGTATTAGTACCAGTATAATCTACTTTTTCACGCAATTCTGTGATGGGTGTCCACGACATTGTTAAAAAAGCGGTTTAGTAGGAAATTCTGAGTGATCATCCCGTAATTCTCTACCGGATCTCTCTGACCCGGAGAATGACATGCAAATGCAAGAGATTGCAGAGTTTCTGAACATTTTCACAAATATCAGCCTGTACATGGCAATTCACGGGGGAGGGTTTTCCTGATGCCTGCGCGCAGTGGTACGCGCGCAGCCACAGCCACAAGCGCCGGCGCGGCGGCGCGGTGGCACAGTGGCGCGCGAGTGCGATGTCTTTATTCAACTCGTGGCGGAAGAGCGACTTCCCCAGGATGTTTCCGTGCGCAAAACGCGTGTTTTATGTGTTCTGAATGTACCTAGAAAATCTTGGCCGCTAAAATTCGAAGCTGAGTGCCGGAGGCGGGCTAAGGCCACGCACTCACATGTCACACTCGGTGACAAACGGTCACTTGATCACACTCGCGTCACACTGCGCGCGCATTTCGTGCAGGCCGACTTTCGTGAGCATACATTTCGTGTACCCTTCCGAGTTTCGTGATCATCCAAAGTTTTCGTGAGTGGTTCCAAATATTTCGTGAATACACATTTCGTGCATTTATTATACTTTTCGTAGGTACTATTACATTTCGTGCGATCCGATTATTTCCACAAACGGGCCGCCATAATAACATGCCTGCGTGAGTCCTGTGTGGTTCCTGCTGAACCAATACTGATAAACCTTGCATATCTGAGATCTATAGCTGCCGTACTGGTGCATTCAATGCTTCCCCTTTGCTACAACATACAATTTCGTCGGCGAGTATGTACTATGAAGGTATCATATAATGATACAAATGGTTCATGCATTGCCTAGTCCCATCGCACATCCATTCAGATCCAACCTCTAGCCTTGAAGTCCTCGACCATGTCCTTCGTGCTCTCTTCGATGGAGCGGTACTTGATCCCCAACAACTTGGCTGCCTTCGATGTATCATATTGGACCATGTGTGTTGCCTTCGCGGGATCGTAGGTCTCGTCTCCGGGCGAAACGGTGGGGTAGAACCTCTGTGCGGAACTGACTGTGATTCGACGGCCATCAGTCATGCACTCAGCAAGGTGCATCGGAATGTCTATGACGTACTGAAGTCCTGCCATTTAAAGGCCCCCTGCGAGACGATGATCCGCTCACCGCCTGCTTCCTGCTTCTTAATCGCGAGGACATGCGCCTCAGCCAGATCGCGGACGTCGATCCAGCATGCTCTACACACTGAGACATCATGATCACAGACCAATAGGGTTCATTACGGCATTGTCCTTCAGTTGAACGTTGAACATCGCTTACCCAGTTGACGACAGCTGTTCTTTGGTCTTCGAGCCCTTGAACACGGTGTGGAACCAGTCGTACATGCTCTCGTTCAGCGTCTCGGGGGCGCCGACTTCATGAATGGCAGGACCGAAGACGTATGGCGGGTTCACCACGGCAAGGTCCCAGCCCAGCTTCCCTTTGTTCTTCTCCACGAACTCCCAAGCCGCCCTCTCCGCAAGCGTCTTGCTCGCGCGGTACTTCATAGGGTTCGGTGCCTTCGCGCCCTCCTCGCGGACGAGCTGGATCGCTCCGTCGTTCCAGTCTGCCTCGGTGTAGGTGCGCGGCGTGCTCTGCACAACGATGACGGCGGCGACGGAGGAGGTTATGACGACGCGTTTAACGTTCTTGCCGTGCGCGAGCGCGGACTCGAGAATGCGAGTCGTGCCCTGCACGGCGGGGACGATGAGCTCATCCGGGTCGTTCGCCTTGAAGTGGAATGGCGAGGCGGTATGCTCGATTGCATCGACGTCCTTGACGTATTCGTCGAAGGCTCCTAGCTGTACGGATCATACGCATGAGTGCGTATTGGTCGGACTCAGAGGCAAGCGGCGCGTGCCAGGGGAATCTTGCGCGTAAAGAATATCATACCTTGGTGATATCCTCGACGATGACTACCTCGAACTTGTCGCCGTAGTGGGAGAACACATCGCGGAGGTGCTTTGCCTTGCTCTCTGAGCGCACAGTGCCGCGGACAACGTAGCCCTGGTCGAGCAGCTGCTTCACTACCCACATCGCGATGAATCCATTCGCCCCTGTCACGAGCACCTTTCCTTGCTGAACTGCAACCATGGCTTCAGATTATCTATTGTGATTCCGATTATATGCAGAGAATTCAGGCAGCAGTGTGAGGGGAATGAGGAGTTTAGGACTCTCCTGTCACATTGTCCGTATCTTTGATACCACCTCGCGATCGACCAGCCAGTTACGCCATCCTGCTTGGCATGTCAGCCGCGTGCATTGCGTAACAATGCTCGGGGACGTGGGTGGAGAGGGGTGGAGGCCCTCCTCCTCTTCGTTGGTGATCACGATAAGAGTGGAATGTGGCACAGATACGGTTGTTTCGTTGAAGCGCGATCGTAGACAGAAGCGTGTTTCACTCATGATCTTGGGCCGAATGAAATGTGTTCTCATGAATATCTTGCTTTGACCTGACACGTATATTATGTCACTGAGTGAACATCTCAACCGGGAGATACAGTTTGTCTCGTTCCACACGGCAACCTTGTGAACGAGAAGCGTCCATCGTGGCGAGACCATTCGATTGCTTCCAGTATGAGTTACAATGATGAGCAGCATTTCGCGGTCGAAGATGCCTGCATATAATCACTACTTACCATCGTGGTGAGCCGCGACACCCCGGTCCATCTACAACTTGAACTCCGACTCGTTATGCACACAATCAGACATAGTTCGTCAATATCCAATGGCAGCTTTTCCATGATTTCATCCTCCAGTATGGGGATGATAATGCTACAACGCATTCACGCACACTGCGAATTCGAACTGGCAAACAAGCCTATAATGTACGCACAGTTTAAAGCCATCCCCTCGCCTTGAAGTCCCCGACGATGTCGGAGGTGGTCTCCTGGATGCTACGGTACTTGAGCCCAAGCAACTTGACACTCTTCGAGGCGTCAAACATCAACATGTGCACGGCCTTCGCGGGATCGTAGGACTGATCGCCAGGTGGCGCGGAGGCATCCACCGTGCGCGCGGCATTGACTACCAATTGTCGAATCAGCATACTCATCATACTTGAGCAGGCCATCACATACTCCAGTCTTGCCACTTGTAAGGACCAGATGCGATGATAATTCGGTTGCCACCGGCTTCTTCTTGCTCGATAGCGAGGGCGTGGGCATCCGCGAGGTCGCGAACATCGACCCAAGCCATGCTACATTACCACTTCAATCCAACCGCCAAATGCAGAAGCGCACGTGTACGTACCCCAACGTCCCGAGCTGTTTCGGGTCTTGCGATCCCCGGAACACACTGTGGAACCAATTGTGCATACTCTCGTTCAGCGCCTCCGGCGCGCCCACCTCATGTATCGCCGGGCCAAACACCATCGGTGGGTTGAGCACGACCAGGTCCCAGCCAATGCTCCCCCTGTTCTTCTCGACGAAGTCCCAGGCCGCCCGTTCCGCGAGTGTCTTGCTCGCGCGGTACTTGCCTGCCTGGCTCGCGCCCGCACCCTTCTCGCGCACCTCCACGACGGACGCATCATTCCAGTCCTCCTCCGTGAACACACGCGGCGTAGACTGCACCTGCAGCACGGCCGCGACACTCGAGGTGACCACGACACGCTTGACGGAGCTCCCATGCGCCAGAATGGACTCGAGTACTCGCGTGGTGCCGTGCAGCGCGGGTACAATTAGCTCGTCGGGGTCGCCCGCCTTGAAGTGGTACGGCGAGGCAGTGTGCTCGACGGCATCCATGTCCTTGACGGCCTCGTCGAATGCCCCGACCTAGTGCGCATTAGCGTGCTTGCCGATTGTCTGCAAATACTGAAGATTATACCTTGGTGATATCGGGCACAATCACCATCTCGAACTTCTCGCCGAAAGGTTTGAAAAGCTGGCGGATATGCTTCGCCTTCGCCTCAGAGCGCACAGTCCCGCGAACAGTGTAGCCCCGCTCGAGTAGTACCCGAGCGACCCATAGACCGATGTAGCCATTGACACCGGTGACAAGTACTCTGCCTGCGGCGACTGCTGGCATCGTGGCTTGATGATAGTATGCGAGGAGGAAGATGAGTGTTAGTATGGGACTGCACGGGAGCCTATAAACCACCACAGGTGGTCTGAGTTTTCGAAGGGAATCACCGAATGGGTGCGATGTCGAGCTCTCTCGCGGCACTACATGTCGATCGCCTGACCGATGCGGCCTCCAACGGAGCGGCACGTACCCTCGTGGTTCCCTTCGATATGGGTAGTGAGTTGACTCAGCTCATACATCATATCCCCCCAAGTCGAAAGATTGTATCGCGATCCGACCCATGGCCGTCCGTCGCTCCGTCGCCTTCTCACACTCAGACTTTAGAAGCTCAAACAAAGTGGATTAGTCGATACAGTGGTGCGGGCGCGACCCGCGTCGTATTTTGAGCGTGCGACGATACATAGCATGACAGCAGCGTGCGTACAGATGGCGTCTAGTCGAAGAGACCGAAACCCTGTGATCCAACGGTAAGTCGTTGTACCGCTGCCAGAATCACGGAGCCATACCATGTCATCGTCCGATTCGTCCTCTTCCTCCTTCTTTGCCGGCTCGTCGGCAGCGGCAGCGGCGGGAGCAGCATCGGCAGCAGGGGCAACAGCAGCGGCAGCGGCAGCGAACGCCTCCGGGTTGGCGAGGATCTCCTTGATCTGTGGGAGACGGGTCAGTCGAGCATTTCGAAAAAATCCAATATGATCAAAACGGGTCCATCAGAGAACAGAAATCATTTTGATCAGCATACGTCCTTTAGACGCTCAGCATTTTCAGTGTAAATAGTAATACGCATCCTTAGACCAAAGAGATCAAGCTTTCGACATGACATACCTTCTCGGAGCCCTCGAAAGTGTAGTCGGTGGCAATGGAAACAGCGATCAGATTCTTGTACGAGTTGACCAGCGAATGCGTGACGGACACAAGGGTCGGGTAGTGGAGAGCAAGCGAAATGGCAGCAATGGTCGTGACACCAGACGCGAAGCGCTTGAGGAGCTCATCCTCAGAGACATCGAGAACTTCGGGAGCGAAGATGTTGCCCTGGTCGAAGATCTGAACGACTGTCATACCGTAGGTGAACGGCGAGATGTTCAACATGTTGAGCAGCGTCGCCTCGGACGGGCCGACACGGGTACCAGCAGTGACGACCTGGACGTCGGACACGATTTCAATCGTACCACGAGCGATCTTGGTCGGGATACCGAGAGCCTGGAAGAAGGAGGTCTTGCCCGGCTCCATACCAGTGTTACCACCGGGAATGATGACGTCCTTGGGGGCGAGGGCACCAGCACGGGCGGGCGCCGCAACCTTGTTGGCCGTGATGATGTCACGGATCTCCTTGAGGTCGCCTGAGGTGAAGACGAAACCAATGTTGCCCTTGACGTGGGGGAGCAGACGCTCGAACTGGGGGAACTCCGCGAGGATGGAGCGGAGGGCACGGCGGACCATAGTGTTCTTGCCCATCACGACAATACCCTTGCCACGGAGCGCGACACGGATCTGGTGCATCTGGTTCGAACCGACGTTGTCGACATTGACCACAAAGATTGAGGCTGCATGACAAGGTTCACGGGAGAGCGGTAAGGCCGGAGCAAACGGACGTACGGTACTTGGCGACCAAGTCCTTCAGCTTGGTGAAGTAGAGCTCCTTCTGCGCGCGAGTGGCACCCATGGTTATTGCTTTCGCTATATACTAATGTGAATCAGATGGCCCTCGGACGCCAGGGTACGACTCACGGAAGTGATGGACTTGATGTGTAGTACAGTCGTGGGGATCAGTGCCTCCCAATGACCTCTGCCTGTAACTCTGTGTCAGCTCTGAACGTCTACATCCGACAACGACGAACCTGCGTGCCAAAGGAATTTAAAGGCGACTGGTCGTGGACGTTGAGAACACTGCGCTCGACATCGCGTACGTTGTTGTGGCGGAGGGTGGCTACAGTTCTTCGATTAGAGTTTGATCCGCCTTCGGTAATCGCCGATTACTATTATCGGTCACCGTGCTCCCTGTCTGCTGCTCCCTGTTCTTTACCAAAAGTAATGGTTCTGCTCACTGTAATATCTGGAAACTACATAGTTGAACTCGAACATTGCGAGTGAGAACTGGACCTAAATGGACACAGGAAGATCAATCTGCGTGGTGGTAGCCATATTTGGCAACTCCTGAATTCTTACCGGATGTCCGGCGAGTTTCTACACGTGACCGAGTCCTCGACTCTAGTTCGCGGTGTAAGAACTTGTTTCCTTCAAGCGGCAGCTAGCACACTCTGAGTGCCTCCTTGCTTCCTCAGTGTCGTCCTGTCGCTAGTGTCTTGCAAGCTGCGAGCAAGGCCATCGCGAGGTTTGATCTGCTGACAGCGTCGGCCCCCTTCGCGTTTGACACGTCGCTAGGTGCCCGAGACGCGCATCACAGCAAGACGAGCAGCTCAAGTGCTGCGATGGAATGTGGCGATGGTATTGGCGAACCGTCCGAGACGCGGGCGGCATCGCTAGAGCTGCTATAGGGCTCAGGTGAGCCTTGCAGTATTGTTGCAGGATGGATGTAGACTTATGCTTCGCAGTATTGGTAGAGACTTGCGACTTTTCCTCGGCCATGACACAAGACGTCGTGTCAATGAGTCCGCAAAGGCAGTCTCGGTCATAGGGCGCTCAGCCCATCGAGATGCATCGAGCGCTGCAAGTTCGCCTTGCGAACAGGGGGCGAAGACATCGCCTTCCGCGCAGTCCGACGCGCTCGGTACAAACTCTGTACATATACAAGTACCTGCTCCAGGCACTCATGTCGTGCAGGTAGCACGCCGCCATGTGAACCCTGGGGTAAACAGGCTCTCCTCGATCTTCCATCAACACTCTGAGGCCGTCGTGATCGCTACGGCGGTATCACTAGGTCCTGCTACATCTCGAGCACAAGGGCGCTCCCCGGTCCGCGGTACCTCGACCACTGCTCTCCCTTTGGACACCATTGCTCTCCCTTTGGACAGGTTGCGGCTGCTGCTTTCTGCAAACATCATTGAACCTGATGCTTGTCGTGTCTCCGCTGTTAAACTATGCTCCTTGTATAATTCCTTTCACGCGCAAAGACGCGTGGGCTCTCTGCGCTCAGACGAATACAGCGGTCTCATCAGGCTCTATGGATCGCTCTCCCTTTCAACATTCAAGCAACCCTACCGTTCCGTGTACGGACACCGTCTCACAGGGCACATGACGGCGGATGCCTATCGCTCGCACTGGGTCATGGTCGATCGCGTTGCCAAGGACAAACTCCGACACCAGCACTCGTTGAGTCTGTCTGATCATTATTGGCTCATGCGCATGGATATCGAGGCGTTGAAGACGCGTGTCGCTGGTGTCGACAGTGCTCGTGAGTGCATCAAACTCAGTTCCTCACCGTCCATTCATCATCTTCTTAGTGCCCGATACCGACTTGATGCGGAGGATCGAGGCCAACTACGCACAGTTGCGCCAGCACCCGTCAGCCAACGTCCATGTTCCGTACCTACAAGCCATATTCTCGAGCCCTGTCGCTTTGCACGTCCAACTTGCGGTCAAGAGGCTCTGGGAGCTTCTCGCGTGGTATCAAGACTGCCCGCCCGCGTTGCTTCGCCTTGTCTGGCGAATCGCCCTTCAGCCGCCCGCTCCTGTGCGAGAAGACCTCAAGTTGGCAATCCTGGACGCTACATGGCATAGGTTGCTGGATTCCTCTCACGAGCAAGCTGGCGGGAAACCTACAGCACAGTCCGATCGATCTGAGATGACGCTTGTGTCCGTCTCTGGTCCCCAGACAGCGCATCTTCGCGAACCGACGAATAGCATTGACCTCGTACCTTTCCTGCAGAATGCTCTGTTCGTCCGACCCAACACGCAAGCGTGCTCCACGTCGAAACACGGCATGTCATCTTGGGCACTCTCCGTCGCACGGACGGTCTTCACTCCCGATCACCTAGACGAAAACTCCTTGGAACACCGCTGGAACTGCTTCCTCCTCCTCGCAGTGGCTAGTAGCCCGGGTCGCAACGGCGGTGCGAGCATCACGAACAGCTACGCCAGGTGGGGCGCAGTCGTTGATTGGCAGACGATCTGCGCGTTGGCGTCCCTACACAATGCCATCAAGTCCGATGAGCAACCCCTCGACGTGTCGTTCTCCGACGCCATGGTGCAGAGTCTTGGCAAGGTACTCGGTGGGTTGTGGTATCATTGGTCGTCCCTCCCTGGGCTGGACCACGCTGCGCGACCGCGCGTGGCTACCCGGGCTATATGCGCGTCGTTCATGCACTTAGCGGGTCGCTTCAAGAACCGCCGCGTCGTCGAGGATTGTCGTCAGCTCAGCGCTGCTTCACGCCTCTGGGAAGAAGAATCGGGCGACGCAGCCACGTCTCCGAGCTTGCGTTCCCTGGCTCAGGAGCAGCTCGTGGCGCTCTTGCTAACAGGTTCTCATCCCGAAATGGCGACGTCGGTAACCCTGCAATGCCTCCAGGAGGAGCGCGTGCTTACCGACGTCTACAACGCTGTCATCGGGATGTTCGCGTCGGAGGACGTCATGCTTGCATCGGATCTCCGGGACATAGCGCAGCGTGTCGGTATCCCATCGTCCACCGACACTTCAGTCGAATTGGCCCTTCAACTCGCGAAGCAGAGCGACATCGCACGAGCCAAGGGGTTTCTGTCCGACGCGGCACTCTCATTCGATCAGCGTCTTCGAGTCCTGCATGAAATCTTAGCGCAGCTGATCCAGCGGGGCCATCGGTTCCGCTGTGCTCGCTTTACCCCGGACGTAGTCGATGCAATGCTCAGCCACTTGTCCTCTCCCTGTCCCCCTCCGGCGATGCGCTCTGTCCTGGAGACAGTCTTGCTGTATATGCCACGCTTTCAGAACTCCAAGGCGGCTGTGACGCTTGTGGAAGCGGTGCTCAAGACCGACAAATCGTACTTTTCGCGGACCTTCCCCGATCTGTTCATTCGCAGTTTACTCAGGCACAGGCAGTTCAGGCACGCGAAGCGAACACACGAACTTGCACGGGGGCTACGCGTCCGTGGCACGCCTTCGTCGGAGTGGTTGGCGTCTCAGCTCTCCAATCACGGCTCATCAACTTTGGCTAAGAAGATTGCAAAGTCCTCTCGCACCAAACCAGGCGTACCCGACGTGGCGAGGGTAGTCAAATTCAAGGAGGCTCGTCCTTCTCGATCCCTAGTGTACAAACTCCCCAGTCTTCTTCGAAGGCGACGATTGCGGGATAGCCCTTCTATACATCGTGCTCTGGAGGTCCTCGTTCGCGCTGGACGGATACGTGCCGTCAAGCAGTTATACAGCGAGCTCCACGAGAGTCAGAGCCCGAACGCAAGAATCGCGATCGGTAACAGCATCCTGCACCAGAGTATGCAGCACCCCACTCGTTCACAGGTCGGTCGCGGGGTGAAGACTCTGAGGACGCTCACTGAGCTGGTCGATCAGTATGGTTTCGTGCCGGACCGCGTCACAGTTAACGTCCTCGTCAAGGCGTATATGGAGTGGACAGCAGGGTTTACGAACGAAGACCTCCGCGCGCTGTTCGACCACTTCGTGCGGATCGGTTATCCCACCGGAGGTGGGGCACTGTCTGGGGTGCCCTTTGGGACCGCGGAGGGACCGCCCCCGGTCTACCTCCCGGCACCCAAGTCGCCTCTCTCGTTCCGCAAGCACGCGCGGCCGCTATATAAAATGTTCGTCAAGGCGTTCTACCGGAGAAGCGATGTGAGTGCTGCGAGGACCGTGGTGAAGATCTTGAAGGCGGCCGAGGCTGAGTCGGAGGATTTGCTTGATCGCTGGAGACGGAGCCGAGCGTGGAAGGAACGGAAGGCGACAGGCGATTCGACGTCGTCTAAGGGTGTGTCCAGGTAGTTGGTGTTTAAAGCTGGGGCAATTCATATATGTCTCTGAGGCCTTGGGTATGCTGACATCGCCTGCCGTGCGTTGAGCCTGAAATTGTTTGTGGTGTAGTCAGAGACGTAAGCTTTGAGCTGAAATATGTCGATGGTAGGCTTCACGCTGCAGCATGTATAGTGCATGCGACCACATACAATACACTATTCATGCAGTCATTCATCCTGTATCCAGTAAGTGCTTCAAGTCGACCTATTCGGATTCCTATTCATCTGCTGACTATGCATATCGCAGTGGGACAGTATGCAAGACGTGAGTGCGCAGCGTGCGCATATGCGTGCTTGCGATGAAGGGGTACAGCCTACAGGTGTTTCATCAGTCGTGTACGGATTATTATCATCGTCTTGATGTCATGCAACTTACTCATGAGTTGATGCAATCAGCCCCGATGCTACTTATGCATGTCTTCAACATATGAACAGGCAATGCCATAATACCCTCCTGCGCCGGAAAAAGTAGTCTTCGAAGAGAGACCAACGCTGAGCAGAGAGCCACTGCAGTCTGCGCATTTTCTCGGAAGCAGTTTCTCGGTCTCTTGGCGACGTCAATCGTAAGCAGTATCGTTGGGTTTCGTCAGAACAGTCCCGTCGTTGACGAATGGTACCTCATAGGTGGTTGTTATGCACTGATACGAGGTCGATATTGACAGTGCACGGCAAACAAATGCGGATGCACTGTCCCCGACTAAGTTGGTTGGCCTCCTGATTTGACATATTTATGGAGCCCACGGCTCGCCCTGGGCAGCCCTGGGCTCGCCAGCCGTAATAAGTGATGTGATCTACTCAATATCTCTGCGATGTAGTACCTCGCCTGCACCATTCGCAACGTCTTGGAGGGCCTCTGCCACACATATAAAGGGTATCTCTGCATCGCAGCTCTTCAGCTCTTCTTCCTCTTCGAGCTCTACCCGAGTACAGGCTCTGGCAGGTAAGTAGCACATGCGTTACGACTACTGCATGCAGCTACTGACATTCGTTTTGTGGACTAGCCGGGCTTTTCTTTATTGACGATTCACGTTCTTCGCGCCTGCACTACCTCACGCACCAATCACCATGCGCTCCTCCGCCTTCGCGGCTATAGTCCTCCTCGCCGGCGCTATGGCCCCAACCATTGCTCACCCCATCGACTATTTGTAGGTGTCTAGCTCAATTGGAACATATCATTTCGTCTCACGCATGTTTTCTCAGGTATACTCGCTCGCCCGAAGATTTGTCTTATTATGGACTTGCTGCTCGCGGCGACTCGGAGTTGCTGGCACGCAACCCTAAGCAGGAGGCGCCGAAACAGGCTTGGCAGCCAGCCCGGCCCCCCAGTCCTTATCCCTGGCCCGCGTCCAAGCTCAAGAAGTCCAAGCCAAAGCCAAAGCCAAAGTCAAAGTCCAAGCCCGTGAAACGCCCGCAGCCATCTCGGAGGTCCGCGCTGGGTACGGTTGAAGAATATACTGAGCGCAGGAGCTTTGACTTCGATGATGCGGAGTTGCTGGCGAGAATGGAGTTGGACGAATGGGATGAGCTGGATTGATAGCCTGGATCAGAGGCTGTGACTTGGCATAAGTTATGCACCCCCTTATGTACCCCAAGCTTGAGTAGTACAAGGCGCGTCTAATATGATGGTTTGATTTTTTGACTTAGAATTGTGCACGGCGCAGAGCACTGTTGATGCTTTCCAATGCCTCCTGGCGCGCGAGTCTCGTTGATTCTCAGTTGGCGAGCGGACGAGTGTGTACATTCACTTTACTCGACGACCTCATGACAACTCATGTAATCCAAAAGGCAGAGGACCAGCCAGTGGTCGGAGGATGAACAAACTACACGATTGCCTTATATAGGCGCTCCTCCAGTGGCTGCGTTGGGCGCTAACTGCTGTGCCCACCAATCACCAAGCACCAAGATATACTGACCGGCGCCGCGGCTGGGCTGCGCCGCACGGCGGGATGGTCGACGCCGTCGACGTCGATTTAGCTACTCGACGCTCATGCAGCGTGTCCTTCCCAAGTCCCGGTGCTCCCGCTTTGATATCATAGTGCACTGTATACAACACAACCGGAAATGACTGTCAAAGCGTGGAACCGACTGAGTGCCAGTGTATAAAGCAGCGCCGCCCGTCCACATCCGTCATCTATACCCTCAACTGATTCTCCCTTCTTCACGATGACCATCTCAGCTGCATACCAAGAAGGTACTGAAGAACTAACGGTGACGTTCCAGCCACCACTGTTTCTCCAAAGACGCGGATGGGTATTCGATGTACTTCGCAGAGAAGGGGTTAGGGAGGCAAGTACAACACTACCTACACATGGTGGCCTCCCCATATCTAATTCATCCGGTGGACCAGATTCTAGACGTCGGCTGTGGTGAAGGATCGCTCATATCGTGTGCATGCAACCCTGCGCCGTGGCTTCCACCACCGCTACCATCGATCCTCGAGACCTTCGCCACAACGCGTGCCGAGTCGTCTGCTACCGCTTCAAGCATCAACGACCACGGCACTCTTACTGAAGCGTCATCACATCTGCTTCCCGAGCCCGTCCGGGAGGACTTCTTACACCCCACCAAGGTCATCGGCCTGGACATCTCAGCGGCTGACCTAGAATATGCGGCAGAGGACAGCGCCCCAAGCGACAGCCGCACACGCTGGGAGCCACTGGAGGTTCAGATCTGGGAAGGTGGGCTGGAGGTAGTCAATCCAGCGTTCGTGGGCATCGAGTGCATCGTCGCGACCGAAGTGTATGTCATCCCTTCCTCGCGTATCTTCACGACCCCAACCGTTCCACCTCACCCAGCATCGAGCACCTCCCGGAAGACGTTCTCCCGCAATTCGCACCAGTACTCCTCGGCGCATATCAACCTCGCTTCTTCCTCATCACCACCCCCTCCTACACCTTCAACGCGCGCTTCACCGCGCCCGATGCCCCACGCACTGCCCGCTCCGGCTATCCCGACCCCACCAAGCGGACCAGCCGCATATTCCGGCACCACGACCACAAGTTCGAGTGGACGCCGCAGGAGTTCGCCGAGTGGTGCGCGACGGTGGCAGATGAATGGGACTACGACGTCGAGGTGGGCGGTGTCGGTAGAGCCGTGGAGAAGGATGAGTGGGGCAGAGACGACGCCTTGGGGTATGCGAGCCAGGTTGCCGCGTTCACGCGAAGAGATGGTGAGGGGCGGGCTGAAGAGAGACAGTCGCACTTTCGGCGGATGCGGGAGGTCCAAGCATGCGCAGAGAATCAGCATACACTCTTGGTCACTCACCAGCATCTCGCGCACGAGAAGGCTCGCCAGCCGTTGCCGCCGCACGAAACAGGCGAGATCATCAAGCGCACGATGATTGGCACTCGGCAAAGCCCAATACAGCTCGGTGACTTGTGGTGGGAGGAGAGCGTCGCGGCTGCCTGCGGAGGATGGACAGAGCTCATGGTTGCTGCTATTGCACAGCACGCTGACCTACGGCTGGAGGCATCCGAGCACATACCTGTGACTGAATGGAGCGCAGAGCTGACAGAGGGCCTTCCGGAAGACGAGTCACAGCAAATGGGCGAGGTGTCGCCGTATCTGTCGGCAAGCTCGGACGAGTCGGAGGAACCAATTACTCCGTTGGAAGACGACGACCAACCGCCGGAGGATGTGCCGCATCATGAACACAAACTCATAGATCCATGGCCACATAGCAATAGTGAGAACGTCTGGGATGCGCAGAGCGAAGGACGAGATTGGAGTGGCGGAGGAAGCGGTTGGGGTGGTAGTTGGACGACGACGGACAGTGATGCCGCGACGTAGTAGCCTTCATTGCAGAATAGCATGCAAGCGATGTGGTATTACGACGGCAGATATAAATAATACAATCGGAGCTCCTGTGCAACTGTGAGCGTAAGAAATGCTTTGCAGAAGTGAGGGACGCACCGAACTCAGCCTCAGAAGCCCACCACCTCAGATCTCGTTGCCCACCGTCTTCCGTGGTCCTAGATGATTGCACCGTCACTCGTCTCGTCAGTAGGGTAAGTAGCACACAGACTCACTCTCTAGGGGGTACACCTGCGCGAGATATGTCACTGCCCACATCAAGTAGCAGCACATCAGCGCGAGCATGAGACTCGTCCGGATGAGTCTGCGTTCATTCTAAAGTCAGCATACACCAGCTCATTCAACGAACGGCGAGGAACGCACGTCTGGTTTGGGCCCTTTGGCGTCACAAACCATATAGTCCCCATCACCAAGAGGATGATAGCAAATATGAGGAACACGGGCACCGGAGACGACATGGCGGGATGGTGAACGGAGAGCGCTGCGTGACACCAAGGTCGGGCATTGCGCACGGGAGCTAGCGCCCAGCGCAGCCACAGCGCTTATTCTGGACCTCTCCTCCATACCGCCACCTTGACCAGCGAGTCAGCAACATGTCCACCGCCATTGCGACGTCCTCGTCCATACCGACCTTACCTACAACGAACATGGGCTCTGAGAAGAGTATCAAAGTGTGTGGGCATCTGTACGCGCCGCGGTGCCGTGGTTAACGCCTTCTTTCAGCGCAAACTCGAGGATGCTATTCACACCCTAGACGAGGCGGTCGCACCTGCTACGTCGTCGCTAGACCAGCGCCCACCCACAAAGAAACAAAGAACAACTAAGAATCTGTACGCTACCCTTGCGAAGTACGGGATTCGAAAGGAGCCTAAGGCGTGAGTGCCTCTGCCACCTTGCGTCCACGAGCTGACACGAAGGCTTCGCAGAATTGACCCAGCGAACGAACTCCAGACACTCGCAAAGACTGCCCCTCACCTAGCTGCGATCCTCTCCCGCAGCGCGACACGCACACGACAGGCACTGCCCTGGAAGCTCGGGCACCCGCCACGCTCTGCCACAGCGCCCTCCTCGACCGCCGAATACCGCCCCTCCTCGATGCAGTCCTTCCTCTCACGCCTCTCCACGTTCAAGCTCTCTACCTATTCCAACAAGCCGCCCGCCATCGACGCGGTCGCCGCAGCCAAGTGCGGCTGGGTCAACGACGGCAAGGACCGGCTCGTGTGCGGGATATGCGACATGTCGTGGGTCGTCGCGGGGCGCGAGGGCATGAGCAGAGATGCCGGTATGTAGGACAAATGAAGGTAGGTTCGAGTTCGGCTGACCATACACAGCCAACACTTTGGTGGAGAAGCAACGTGCCCAGCTGGTGGATATGCACAAGGATGGGTGTCCGTGGAAGACTAGACAATGCGATGGTGAGTCTCGTCCACTCCCAGCGTTGTCACATCACTAATCTGGGCCTTAGACTCGATATACAGGATACCTTTGCAAGCACCCTTGGCTATGGCGAGGGAGATCAAGTCGCGCGCAGCGGCGCTAGACACTGTAATGCAAGGCGTTGAAATCAAGCACCCAATGGTGCGTAACCTCTCCCACCACACGAAGTTGATCCTAATCGGAGACATAGGCATCTACCCAAGTCCAATCGCTGCTGTCGACTGTCTCGACCGTTCGCGTCCGGACATTCGCCATCCCTGACTCGGACCCGGATGACCCCATGTCTAGCGACAACGGCGAGCCAGATGAAGAGCCACAGCCCTCGGAAATTGCTGTCGTCGCAGCGTTGTTCGGCTGGTCAGTCCTGCCACCAGCTCCGCCTCCCGAGCGGCCGCGGACACAATCGCTGTCTCGCGCAACCTCCGTGGCGCCGTCGACCCCCACAAGAACACCAGCTCGCGCGGCATCTGTTATGTCCCTGCGAGAGGGTACGCCCACGCCAGGGAGTTCCAGTCGTGCTCGGATCATGCTAGGCCAGCCAAACAGTCGGGCATCGACACCGGCGCCTGCACCCGCACCAGCGAAACCGGATACGACCCTCCTGCATTGCGCCCTCTGCCAGCGCCGCGTCGGGCTCTGGGCGTTCATGTCTCCGCCGCAGACGAACGGCGCCGCCACGACGGACGCACGGCCACAACAACGACGGCAGCTTGACGTGCTCCGCGAACACAGGTCGTACTGCCCGTACGTCGTGCGCTCGACGGTCGTGCCGTCCATGCCTGCCCCGCAATCGGAGGGTGCGCCGGCCCGGTCTGCGACGACGGAGCCAGCCACGGTCGAGGGGTGGCGAGCTGTGCTGACTGCGGTGATGAGGCATGGGATGGCGCGCAAGCAGCGCTTTGGGCATGGCCGGAGCGTGAGCGGGAGGTCGGCAAGTGGGTCGGTCTTCTCGAATGGGCAGCCGCTGGAGAATGAGGCGGAAGTGGACTCTGTGGAGGCGATGGTTGCTGGCGTCAAGAGTCGTGGAGTACGTCGTTTCTCTAAGTGGTCATCATTCGTGGTGCTGACTGTCGTCTGCAGGGCAGGGATCTCTTGAAGTATGTCAAGGGATTACTTGGATGAGGGGGATGTTGGACTGTATTGCTGCTTCATTGTCTTTGTGTTATGGAGGATGCTGAATTTGTAGTTGCTCTGTTGTTTTGAAGATCGTGCTCCCATTGTTCGGCGTATTACATATGCGGCTACCCGATCTGAAGATGATTCAAACGACACAAGCCGTAATATCTGATGAGGTTGTGTGGCACGAAATACCTGTCTCAGATAAGGAGTGCGTGCAAATACTCAGTACTCAGGCCTAGGACTCTGGTGTTTTCCGACCCATCTCGAGGGTGTGTGCTACTCAAGCAAAGGGTCCCAAGGCCCCGAGCGGTCAAACGATATTAGAGTAGTTGAGATGCAGAAGAAACAGTGAGAGTCGGATCTCTTCACCGTGAGCCCTATTATGCTCTGTTCTGTGCGTTTGATGCCCTTGTAACATACTCTATCCAACGACTGGACATTCTCATTCAGAATGGGCCATCATACATGTACATATGTCATCGTGAATATGGCGATCATCCCGCCCGCTGTATGTTTGTTGCAAGTATGACTGATGCGGGATGCAGAGACGCCGGCGGTCTCACACAACTGCGCGGCACGCGTCCCCGCCTGGGACGCCCATCTCACCTACACCGCATCTTCCGACTACAACCTTCAAAGCTTCATGTTCTAACGTCCGTCCGATTGGCCCTACTTTCTTGAATACCACTCGAATCATTCTGGGCCCACGATGCCCGCTGGCTACGCACCGCTGCCAAATCCCCGTTCTGAGCCGGACGCAGACCGGGAGTTGGAGGATGCGTTCGACGACCACGAAGATGACGAGCACTCGGCGACCGAGACGTCCCACCTGACGCACGGGCACTACGTCGACTCGCATCCGCTAGCGGTAGACACAACAGCGCCGTCGGCAGCAACACCCACATCGCGGCCTGGAGCGTACGACTTCGAGCGCGAGTACGAGTACGACTTTCCCCCACCCGGCTCGCCCCCATCGCCCTCCAACTTCGCCCGCCCTAATGACTGGGGCAACTCGAATGGCGAGCTGCCAGTGGCCCCCCAGCGTCCGGAGCCACCGCGACCGTCGTTCTTCCGGCGGGTGGTGGGCGCGCTACTCCCCCAGCATTACTCAAGAGTGCCTACGGAGCCGAATGGTGCGTCCGCACCGCTGGGCGGTGGGCTGGATAACGATGGGGTGTTTGCGAACGTGATGGCGAAGCCTGGGAGGTCCGTTGCGTTGACGAACGAGAACGGGGAAGTTATCATGGTGCCCGAGGATTCGCAGAATGAATTGCCGCCGGTGCGTATGGGATCCGCATACAGGATGACCTCAACCAATCTTTTCTCCTACAGTCGTACCAGGAAGCGCAGGCGGACGCTGTGCCGCCGTACTGGGAGACGACCGTCATGGCGCCGGCGATGATGTCCATCGGCGGGGACATGATTGTGGACGACTTGCCCACGGGCTCCGTAATTTTCTTCATCTCGACCGCCTTCGTCTCGTATTTCTTCCAGTTCGTCGGCTTCGTGCTCACGTACCTCCTCCACACCACGCACGCCGCCAAGCACGGCTCGCGCGCGGGCCTCGGGCTCACGATGATCCAGTACGGGTTCTCGTCGCGCATGCGCGCTGCACAGGAAGAAGGCGACGGTGGCGTCGGCCAGGACCTCATTTTGTGGAATGCAACGACTGGTTTACCGGAGGTCATACATAAGACGGGGCCGGGCCAGGCGATGTTGCCTAATGGCACGGTGATAGACATATCCTCGGCGGAATGGAGCATGGGATCGCGGGACTGGATGTCCTTCTTGCTGATAATCATGGGTGCGTATCCTTCACTCGTTTACATGAACGTGGACGGAGTGTTTATCTGCTTTTGCAGGCTGGTTCCTCCTCGTCGCGTCCATCATTGGCTTCTACCGCGTCAAGCGGTGGGAGAAGTCCATCCGGCAAGCGGCAAATCCCCCCGCTCCGAGCTCGTCTGAGCAGGTGCTGCAGGACATAGAGACGCGCCGCAATATCGAGCGCGTCTTCGGCATCTACGACTACAACGAGCACGCCGAGCCGCCCACGCCGACCACGACGCAGCTGAACGAGGCGGAGTCGCGGCTGCAGAGAGACCTACGGGAGGCAGGCTTACTTTAGGTGTACATTAGGTTTGAGTAGTTTGAGCGGACACGGTTCCATGGTATGCAGACGTTCCGAGGAGATTGTACTATTTATCTCAGTACACGTTGTGCTAATGTGATCACAGTGACTACCCTTTCGCCTCGTACAGCGAGAGCTGCACTTGCTGGCGTGCACTTCAAGCCGCATCCGTGACGCATCACTAACAGATATGCATGTAGGCCTTTTCTGGGTCGGATACTGAGGTGGCGACACCAAGACTCGTCTGGCGGTCTTCCGTTAACGAGCTGATGCTGTCGATCACGAAATATTTTGAAGTTCTCTGAGACGTCTTAGCCTGGAGTGACCGATTCGCCCAGCATCACGCATTATCATGCCGGTGAGTGCTTTCCGCTATTGTCTCACCACATATATACATGCTGAGGGTGGGTAAGGTACGCAGCGCTGCTAGCCTACCGATGTGATACTGTATTTGTAGAACGATCCTTGCTCAGCGATTTGCAGGCTTTGCCAGCAAAACGCCGTCGAGATACAGGTTCGCTTTACTATCGTAGAACGAGAAAAGTCCTTTGATCCCCGTAGCCTCTTCAGATATGGGTTCCTCGTAGCACCACATCATATTGTCGATCTTCTCCCCATTGGACAGCTCCAAAGTATAGTAATTGGCGATTCCCTAGCACGATGAACGACACCCTTAGCACGACGCAGAACATAACAAATGACGTGACGGCACCTTGTATGGGCAACGCGTAGTGTGCTCCGTCTGCTTGAGAAGCTCCATATGAACGTCGCTCTTCCGGATGTAGATGTACACGGGGAGGTCGCCCTCGAAGAGCAGTCGCGGCGCGTTCGTCTTTGCCACTTCCACGCCGCTCACTTCAACGCGCAATTCGCGGGTGGTGCGCACGACGTTGATGTGCTGGGTCGACGATAAAGTGACTTCCAAGTCAGAACCGCGCTGCCGGCTGAATGAAGCTGGCCACGAACCTTTTGCGGATCTTTGGCCGTCGCTGCCTCGTCGAACCAGGCGTCCATGGTAGTAGGGAAACTAGAATCTCTCCAGCTTCCTTGCGCTCGCCCGCTGGCGTCGAAGTTTATATTCCAAGCCAGACAAGGCCCAATGGTTCAGGAAGAACGACCTTGGATACGTCACACCGGTAGTAGGTACATGCACGATCGCTGGGCGGGCTCGTCATGGTCCGCAAGGATCTCCATTCTTTTACTTTTGCGAACGGTTCGTCTCTCCGATGAAGTGCGTCATGTAGAGTACTAGCTGCAGAGCACAGTGGGGACCGATGGATGAAGCAATGCTGGGGATGGCTACCTGTCCACGATACCTAGAGCAGAGTCGTCCGCCAAGTCTAGGTTGTCATATGCATATACTACCTACTCGGTGATGTCAGAAGCAGCACGTCGATCACTTTCTGAGTAACCAAGCAAGCACTCAGCTGAGAGGACCTAAGGATCTCGTTGAAACCGTGTACTTGTATCTTGGGGTGCCCTATGTACTGCGAGCAGTAGAAGAAGATTGGAACATGTCTAGTGCGCACGTCACATAGACAATCTATACGAACTGCATACGCGTCGGACGCCTCACCCAGTACATATACCACGACGCTCATGTGTCACACAAGTGAAAGGTTATCCCAGATGGATCAATTACAAGTGTCTGCACTACTTTCCTTAATATAGTCTCTGGATTAAAACGATGTATAAGTTGACTACTTCCTCCGACGGTACAGGATGTCGCAGGGCTGGAGGGGCGTGACCATCATCGACTGAAAACCATAGTCAGTATCACCGTCGCACATCGAGACAGAAACGACAGTACGTACTGTGTAATCAGGCTTGGGGAACGGCCCCTCGAAGCGCGTCTCGACCTTCCGGACCATCGTCGACACAATGGCGCCAATCTGCAGCATCGCGAACTGCTCGCCGATGCACCGATGCCTGCCCGCGCCGAACGGCAAGTACGGGCTGCCCGTGCCCTTGCTCACAAGCCCGAAGCCGAAGTCCACCTGCGAGCTCTCGTCGTACTCCTTCCGTGCCTGTGCCGCGAAGCCAACCTTGTCGAGCCAGCGGTTCGGGTCCCACACGTTCGCGTCCTTCCAGAGGAGCGGATCGAGCTGGCTGTGCGCGGGCGAAGCGAGCACGGTGTAGCCCTTCGGCACGACATAGACGTTGTCCTCGGACGGGGCAGCGAGCGAGGACGGTATGGGAATGTCGCTCCTCACGTACCGCATGATACTGTGGATGGGCGAGTGCATGCGAAGGGTTTCCCGAATGACGGCATCGAGTATGGGCAGGTCCTTCATGTCCTCGTACGTCATCTCGCGGAAGTCGCCCCCTGAGATACCGAAGTGCTCAACCTGCTCCTGGTACAGTAGCTCGCTGGGAAAACGTCAGCGATGTTGTGAGAATGGAATGTGAGATAGAACGTACGCGATGTCGGGACGATCGGCGAGGTGGAGGAGGACCCACGATGTTGACGACGAACTCGTGTGCTGGCCAGCCATGAGAAGGGCAATCATCATGTGCGCGATTTCGTGGTCTGGAACAGACCGGCCGTCGCGGTACGTTTGCCTCATCAGGGACGACATCACGTCATCGTAGTCCTACAAGGGTACACAAGTGTAAGCCAGGTCACATAAGTCAAACCTAGTGTCACTGCGTACATCTGGGTTGCCTTCCCTGCGCTTGTTCATGATGCCGAGGTAGAAATCCGTCATCTTGCGCTGCGCATCGTCCCGCTTCCAGTAGCTCGGCAGCGGAAGGTTTGTAAACATCCAATGAAGCGGGGTGAAGCCATGGTCGAGGTCATGGTAGAGATCGGCGAAGCCCTTGGACATGCTGTCCCGAATCTCCTTGCCTTGCAGGGTCCGTGAAGCGGTGAGAATCGTCATTTCTGCAAGCGTCTTGTACACGCTGAAGGAACCCCATTCAGTCGTGCTGCCCGTCTGGAAGACTCGGAAGGGTGGCTCGTTGTCCATGTATTGCGTGACCTCGTCATCGACCATCCCGATGTACTCGCGGAACTTGTCCGTCGTCAATGATACCTTGACAAACTTCTTTTGCTCCATCAGAACCTCGTTCGGGCAGTCGTACACGACGTCGCTGCCGAACACGGGGGTCGTTAGCGACTGCAGAGTATATGTTAGCTTGCTCCGACATCCGTGAAACAGACACCACGTACAGAGTAGACCTCCTCTGCTGCGACGACGGTGTGCTTGCCGCCGAAGACAAAGTCATTGCCCTTGGGACCGAGCGTAACAGTGACGCGCTTGCCAAGCAACACAAATGTGAAGACGTTGCCATACTGCCATTTAAGCTTAAGCAACAAACTCTAGCATGGATCTCGCACCCGACCTTACCTTTTCACGGCAAGACGCGAAAAACTCGACGGGGTCTTGACCGTACTGGGCCGCCGATCCAAACCACGGTATCCAGTGGAAAACGACCGGGGGCAACGAAGGGTCACGGGGAAGCTGTTGCAACGTGGTGAGCATGACGGTGGTGGCTGATGCTACGCCCGCGTTGTCGCCGACGTGGTTGTTACGCACCAGTTGGTATAGAACATTAAGCACGACGGCGATGATGGGTATATTGATGACGAAAAGGAGGGCGAGACGTGGGAGAGAGGCAGACACGATTTGCTCCTGCGCCTGGACGAGGTAGCCAGTCCAGGGCTCGGAGTAGTTTGTGGCAAGCGACATGTTTTACAGGCGAGACCAGACGGAGTCGCTCTTGGGGGTTGCGGCCGGTGTCGTGGTCGTCGTGGTCGTTGCGGGCGTCGTGGGCGTGGAAAGGAGAAGCCGTCGACGGGCTGAGAACAGACAGCGGGCTAATAATTTATATCCGTCTCGAATAAGTATCGAACGATGGTCAATTACCATTCTGGGAAAGGGTTACGGACCTGGCGCATGGGCGCCCATGGACCCGATGGAGACCGTGATGCAGGCCTCGTTAGGTGCCCCGAGATGGCCCTGGCCTCGTTTCGCCCATCAAGTATCCAGTTTTCCGCCTGTAATATTACTAACAGCCCGCCGTTGGCCCACCGCCTTTTTACAGCTTTTTACCAGTCTCGCACCACCCTGTTCGCCGCGAAACACATGACATGACAGACAAATATCGGTGTAGCATCACAGAATCCGAGGTGAGAGGACTCCTACGCTACACTGCACGCCACGACGCCTGACTACAGTGTTACGTAGATCCGCGCCGCAGCAACTGCTACGCACTGCGCGATGCGAGGCAAACGTGACTGGAATGGCCGTCTGCGGCGGCTTGATGAATTCAGCTGTTGTACCGCCATAACAGCGGACTACGCTGGGAAGCGTATACGTAACAGGAACTTACCTACGATACAGACGCGATCAGATTAATAGGTACACACAAGTCCCATGGACGCAGCGGGGAAGTCTCTGCAAACAGAACCTTACCCTGCCTCGTTCAATGAATCAATTCTACCCGACGTGACTTTGGTGCCGTACACACCTATCAGAAGTATGCTGTTCGCTCTCCCTGCTGTTTGTCAATTCATGTAGGGCTGACTGACTTCCATTGGCCTACATCAGGTACCAGAAATTCTGGGACGTGTGGAGTGTCATATCGGACGAATGAGTAACTGGCTGGTGTGCAGTGACGACGATCACGTATCTCTGTCTTTCAGCCGAGCTCGCCGCTGTGTATAGTGGTAATTTCAGTGGTACGTCCGACGATCGTCTTGCACACATCAGCCGTCACGTAGTCCATTGACATATTGTCCGTTCATTATCAAGTTTTATGAGTCGGGATGAATGCTCGTGGATGTCGCGTTCCCCGCATGATTTTCAGTTGCTCGCACTGTACACTCACGACCGCCAGACTCGAGGGTCCGTAAAACCGGAGGCGTCGGCTCGTTCACGAAAACACTGCCTGGTCACTGCGGCGCAGGGAGTATGACGATGACAATGACAATGACCTTGAACCACGCCTGATTTGTCCCCCCGATCCACTCGTTCAGGGGAAATTGATATCTTTCTCATCTCCACAGGACTCCTATCCACGCGCAGAATCAAACCACTGCTGGAGGCTGCGCCAGCTCCGGGTCTGCGGCGTCGCGGGACTGTGGCGTAGGTTTGGAGCGTTGCTATGTCCTCGACTTCATGGCGGCTAACCTCCGCAGGAGCAAGCGTCGAAGCAGTGACTGCGGAACCCTGTGGTCCTCTATCCCGGTCTTCGCTGCTGAGCTTGTTGGACAACGGGTAAGAAGTGCTAGCACCGGCTACGGTACAGACAGGCCGGCCTAAGTCCGCGACTCCGATATCCATTGGTTCGATCGTGCCACAGCGTTTCCATAGGCCAGCGGCAGCGGGAGAACCAGAGCCGCATGTCCATCGCCGCCACCACGTCGAGGACGACCCCGAACACACGACGGGAACGAGGCTGTTCTCTGGCTTCCTCATGGACGACCCGTGAACATGACCACAGCTTTGGACGCGCCCAAAGGGGAGTGATACAGCCAATCGTGGCATTAACCAGTCCTCGTACCACCATTCGTCGCATTGACAGGAAGACGCGCTCTTCGCTCGGAGATAACTCCCGCCCTTTGCCGGGGACGGGTCGGGACTTCATGTCGTAACTCCGTGAACTGCGTGGAAACCGACCACAGCAAGTGAACGCGACGTTTGCTGCAGGACGTTTGTCCGCCGCGCCGCTGGGTGAAGCGCCCTCGAGCTATGTTCGATGTCATTCATGTCATGGGCAGCTTGGGGCGGCTGAACATGGTACATGCCATTTCATGCACGCGGCTTTGATCGGTGTCACAGATCTTAGCATACGGCTGGGATGATACTGGCTGGCAGTATTACACCTGAGGCCTGAGGCAGCGGCAAGTTGACTCGGTCACGAGACCGCGTCGCGCTCCTGCCTATTCCAGCTAAGTCGTTCGATTTCTTGTTGTTCCAGATACGTTCAAGACTTGTTCATCTGGCAGCTTGTCGAAACACTACGAATGGGACTAAGTACGAGAATCAACAGATATGTAACAGCTGCGCTTGCTGATGCAAACTGTCCATAGCACAAGCAATGCGATTGACGGACGTTGGACTATATAAACCAGGCTCCCAACTCGGACTCGACAACATATCCCTGACTACGTCGTCTTGCTGCGGACACTACCAGTGCACCGGTCGTTGAAGCACGATGACGTGGGATACGATCGCCTTGAACGATGCTAGGTGGATGGAACCTCCCTGTATTGAAGACACGCTGAGTATGTTGCGTCGATAGGAAGCCATATTCCCTCTGTAGCATTTGGCACTTGGAGACGCGGAAACGGAGAGGAAGCGATTGACATTATCAACAGCGCCTTCTCTGTGGGGTTCACCCACATCGGTGAGCCGCATACCCGATTATCCCTGAATCATGATCAACCCAGACCCATCCAACAGACACAGCGCAAGCCTATCGCAATGAAGCCGAGGCCGGAGCAGCTCTTCGTGCCAGCGGGCTGAAGCGTAAGGACGTGTTTATACGACGAAGTTCGCCAGCATGACGGACATCGATGCGTCCATAAGGAACAGCTGCGAAGCGGTAGGTTATCTACATCGTGACGATCTTCCCCCTCCCTGAAGTTTCCCATTGTGGTAGCTTGGTGTAGACTATGTGGACCTTTATTTGATTCACGGACCGAAGCACGCAAAGCCAGACATCCCGACGATCTGGAAGAAGGGGGAGGCTATCAAAGAATCCGGGCTCGCGAAGTATATGTGTCCCGCTGGCTTCGAGTGCTTCTATCAAATACTCACTTCATCTAGGATCATCTAGGAGCATCGGTGTGAGCAACTTCACAGTGGACCTTCTGAAGATACTGCTGGAATTCGCCACAAATAAACCTTATGTTAATCAGGTGTTCAGTCTTGGTGACGCCGTGTCACAGCCGACTCATCTACGACTTCGGAGTAGATCATGGTTCACCCTCAAGTCATGCATCTGCAAATGCCGGTCATCGAGTTTTGTAGAAAGGAAGGCATAGTCGTCGAAGGGTACTCCCCCTGTCTGTGTGTTGTACGCATTTTCTCACCTCGATGACGACTCATTTGGCGTCGAAGACCTCTGATACACTACGTCGACGGGCCCGTAACCGCTATCGCCCAGCAGATTGCTCGGCGCCTCGGTCTCAAGCCAGAACAAAAGTTCTCCTCGCATGGGCAAAGTCGAAAGGTGTCGTTGTCATCACGTTTGTGCCATCCAAGCTGTCAGGATGTCAGCGGTCATTGACGATCTTGCATGTCTGCGGCAGCTCGAGTACAAAGCTAGAGCGTCTGAAGGACTACATTTCCGCCGGGGACTTTGGTGCGTCTTCATACGCCATGAATATTCGCATCTCGTATTCATCTCACGCGATGCTTCACGCCTACTTATCACCAATACCGATCACCTCAAATGATTGCCACAGAACTGTACACCGACGATGTCAAAGCGATAGACGCAGCAGGAATGTCTGATCCCAAGGAGCTCCCAAGTTGAAAAGGGATTATGCCTTTCTGTGGGCACGAGGTGCAAATGCTATACATATGTCCGATTCGTTCAAGTATTTTGGACTGGCCTGGTATGTGTGAACAAACTGGCACCGCTAGTAGGACTCGTCCAGGCAGCGTCCTTTCGCCGCTGATACCGAACGGTTTGCGCTTGATGCCTCGGTGATACGACACATCACGCAGTGCCTATAAGTGAGCTTGCGGAGCCAAGCCCTCGGGCCTCGGGGGACGCGGGTTATACGACTTCCCGTTCGTAGCAAGTATCTGACCCATCATGCGCATTGGTAAGGCGGCAGTCCTCGTATCGCCCACGGGACCTCGTGCGTGCTGGAATATATAGCCCGCGAGTCTCGGGGCGACAGATGATCCCCATATCTGAACTTCATCATGGACGCCTGGTTCAAAGAGGCGGCCCAAGGCAAAGACCCACACAAAGTTCGTGTCTTCGACGCTACTCAACGCCAGGATGCTGCCCTGACCTCAGCACTAGCGTATCAACGTCGTGGAGTCACCGCGCAAAGTCCGCGTCGAAGTGAACGGCGTCGAGGTTGCGAACACCACGAAGCCGCGGCTCCTCTTCGAAGGCAGTCTACCTCCTCGCATCTACATCCCGAAGGATGATTGCCGCATGGTATTTCTCCAACCTACAGATCTAACGACACATTGCCCATACAAGGTTTGCTAGTCGCTACATTTACCGCCTCGCGTTTGAGCACCAATTGCTGACGCTGATGATGTTTAGGGGATTGCGAACTATTATACCGTAGAGCTCCCGAGCGGGGAGAAGTTCGACAACATCGTGTGGTGGTATGGCGAACCCTCTACTGCTGATGCGGCCGGAATCAAGGGATATGTCTCGTTCTACGACACGAAGGTGGATCTCTACGTCGACAGCGTCCCCTAGACGAGACGGTGGGCCGGCTGGGTAGAAATGGCATGTAACACAGTAACCTCACGTCTAATGTTGTCGCCTCGGCATGGGCACTTAGCGTGGTCTCAAGCAGCCCAGAGTCATGTACTTTCATGACAAGCATACGTCTAGTTGGTTGTGAGCAAACTTTACATGTTGCCAGCTGGAGGTAGTATAGGCGAGCTTCCAGTTTCCCAACAACGAACATGCCAACAGGTTGCTTCATGCCAGTGGCAAGCCAGTCGGACACAAGTTCAAGTTCACCTTGGCTACGGTGTTTACGACTCTTAGTATGACCCTTGTACTCTGATTATGTTACTGTCATTGCACTGCTCCGCACGCTGAGTTCATGAGTGCTGCCGTCTCCAAGTCATCTGGGAACTGCACAAGGGTCGTGTCATTCATAAGTCGAATACATGCGCATCGTCTATCCAGAGTGGGGAAGGGTTATGTAGTACAAGAAAGTTGGCACAAAGCACGTACTACAGTAAATCTATCGTCTGACGAGACTCATGCTCGACGTAATGCCGGGCTCTATAGAATCGATCTTCACATGCACCCGACCGCCCACTTTCAATGCCGCTGTGGGTTCCAAGCGGATGATGTTGCCTTTCAGTCCCAAATTCCAGATCTGACATGGAGACTGCCAATACTGATGGTAGTAGTTGCGCAATCCGACATTGGTCACGACGGCGACGAGCGACCTCTCGAATTGCTCCGCCTCGGGCGAGCCTTCCTTGTGCTCCACGAGCCACCGCTCCAGATACTTGTACGACCAATACATCGTATGAGACCGAAGGGTGGCCTTTTGACGGCTTTCCCACCAATTCGCATGGTCTGCGAGGTTTTGCAGCCACTCAGTTGGGAATAGCCGCGGCGCGTCCGGGGTCAGCATCGCATGCTTGATCTGCCAGTGGGTGACGATGTCGAGGAACCGCCGAAGGGGTGAGGTTGCACGCATATATCCCTCCCCGTCTGCAACGCCGAGCACTGCGTGCGGCCCTGGCGTGAGTTCGTAGGCCACGGTGCCAAGTATCACCTCCTGATGAATCAGGGAGTAGTCTACAAACCCGTGCTCATCGCGCGCCTCCATCAATCGTTGTGAACCACCAGGAATCGTCTCCATATGTGGGTGAGACACCCGCCGGATAGCAGGGATGTCGCGGTCTCTCAACCACAGCGATGCGATGCGATTCGCCATCCGCGCACTCTCTGCAACGATCCCCCGCGCGCCGGATTCTTGCAGTCTCGTCTCTTCAACCCGGAAGGATAACTTCGGAAAACCTGACCAGCGGTACGGCCGATTCGTTATGGGTGGCACCTCCGGCAAGGACTTCGAATGGATTTTGACGGTTGCTGTCGGCCAGTTATACTCCATCGCGCCATTGCGTACGCGGGCTTTGACCATGGTACCGGTGATCTTCTGAACGAAACGTAGATCGTCGACAGCCGACTCCCCAACCGACGATGCGTTGGACCGAGGGAACAGGCTTTCGTCCCCACCGAATGGAAAGTGGATGCCGCCGAGTGGGGAGCCAAGTGCCTCGCTCACGTCATTGTAGCGCAACTTTTGCGCGTTTCGGATGATGCTCGGCGTGACCTTGTAGTCGACGATGTTGCCCTCCTGGTCGATCTTGCCGCTGAAGGTCATGACGCATTGCTCCCCAGTCTTGCCCAAACTCAAACCACGTAATTGCGGTAGGTCGGGCAACATGGGAATTGAGCCATCCAGATAATACAGAGATGACATCTGTCCAAGAGCCTCCCGTGCGATCCTGTGAGTAGGCGGAAGCACAGACGTCGGGTCGGCGACATGCACATGGAGCCACGCATGTTCGGGCTCAGAGGGAATCCTCTCCACGGAGATCCCGTCGTCGAGTTCATTTGCGTCGAAGTCGTCGATGACGTACACAGGCGTGTTCCCAAAGTCGTGCCGTAGGTGATCGGCCAGGTCGCGCGAGTAGAAGTCTTCCGGGCCCAGAGGTACTGACGGCGCAGGACGCGCAGCGGACGTGTTCGCACTGGACGACGAAAGCTCGTCACGTGTGAGCCTGCTACTGAGCAATGCAAGTCCGCCACTCATGTTCTCCTCCGCGGACATGTGCACGCGCTCGACAGGGTCTACCCACGGCGGCATCACACCAAGCTCGACGAGTAGGGGTTGTGCGATGCGAGGACCGTAGTCCGTTTCGTATAGACCGATTCGTTTGGAGAGGTAAGATAGCGATGGCAGGAAAGGATCCCTCTGTGTCATTCGATTGTTGCGAAGCGCTATGCGGAAGAACCGAAGAATGGTCAATTCGGCAGGTGTGAACGTAGTGCTGTCGTCGACTTGGTAGGAGGGCGGTTCTGACCACGTATCCTGCTCCCGCTTCCGAGCCGCTCGGACGAGGACCTTAGCCTTTTCCACGAAACCATCGAGGACGGGGTCTCTGCGCGCGACCATGTCGTCGACAGCCTCGATAGTTTGCACGTCCTGCTTTGACCGTACCGCAAACACCGGTCTCGCTAGGAAATTGAACGTCTCCGCCGTGAAGTACCTGGACTTAGCGAAGAGGTACTGGTGGACAGCGAATCTCGTCAGCAGAGGGATTTGCGGGCCGTCGATGAGAAGGCGCGCCGCTTGTTCCACTGTCACTGTCGCGGCCTTGTCGGGATCCGGATGCCTCAGTTTGTCATACAAATCCCTGAGCTGATAAATCATCTCCTTCGAACTGTGTTCCGCCGCGATTTCGAAGTTCCGCAGCCGTTTGAGGACAGTGACTCGCGCGGCGATCTCGTGCTCGCTAAGGGACGACGCTTGCTTGGTGCCACATCGTGAGACTAGGTCACGATCGACGAAGTCGGGGATGTAGAACATAACGTCGCTGTGCCGGTGCGGCCATAGCTCGCCACCGCTGAGCAATGAGTATGTTGTCCACACGCCATTTTCTGGGATATTTTGGACGACAACTCCGCGTTGAGAACTCTCGGCTCTGCGTCATGGGTCAAAGAGGCTCCTACTGTACGCGATTGCGTATGCCTTACCTGCGAATTTCGACGAACGCACCGGGCTGCAATTGTTGCTGCCTTGCGACGTTCTCAGTCGACAGAGGGTCAAATGAGAGGTCCTGAGACGCGAGGAGCGTTTGTAGTTCGGGAGTAGGGATCCTGTGCGGATTCGCCGCGCTCTTGACTGCCTCCGTCAGCCTGCGAGTCTCGCCCTCGTAATGCTGTGGATGGCCCCAGCCAGCCTTGTTCTGCTTCTTCGCAGCAGCGGATACAAGACCCTTGGCAGTGATCTCTACCCGGTCGTATGTCTCTCGAGACAGCCTCTTTCCTCGCGAGGGCTTGGGGGTTCTGGCAACGTTCGATGCATGGCGTTGAGTGGTTCTGCTCAGAGCTGCCGAACTGGTAGACGCAATGTCTGCGAGACGAGAAGCACCATGGCGATGCATTTAGAAATGGAGGGTGTGCACGACGTTCCACGCGACCGGGTCCTGAGACGCTCCTTGTCCGAAATGGCCACCTAGACACGAGAGCATAACGATGCATCAATGGTGGCTGAGTATTGATGGCAAGACTGACTTACAGAACTTAGGTAGTGTTCGTGAAATCAAGCACCCTAGAGCCGTCTACCCAGAGAGGACATAGGAGAAGGCTGCAGGATAGTGAAGAGACTTCGTAGTCGTGAGTAGGAGGCGGAGTCGCCCGTCATTCACGCATTTTCGCGGACGCGTACGGTCACGTGCACCGTACATTGCGTTTTGCTGCTGCAGGCTCCTGGCTCAGCGACTCAGACACTCCTCGCACTCGAGTTATACCTGCTTATACCCTCATTTTCGAATGAAAGCGTTTCTTCTCGCTTTGAAATAACACTAGCTCATCCCAATGTTCAAACGCGTGGCGAGACGCCAGGAGAGACAGGAGCGCGATGAGGAGATGGGTCTGGACGCGGAGACTAAGGAGGTCCTAGGGCTGCATGACACGGACTCGGAAGAGTCATCTTCGAGCTCGGGGTCGGAAGACGACTCTGACGCCGAAGAGGAAGTGGGCGGAGTTATCCCTGTCGTGGAAAGCGAGACTGAGGACGAGGACGAAGACGAAGGTCTCTCCGAACACGACGAGGGTAGCGAGGAAGACGCACATTCAGATGACGATCAGGAGCCGCAATTATCTGTGGCAGAAGCCCTGAAAGACCCGCTCTACCTCATTTCCCTCGAACCCGAAGTCAGGGCATGCATAGCTTGCCGGGGCAAGCTACTCAAGAATGCCATTATGTGTGAGGTGCACCGCTCCTCTAACGTACGTAGTCACCTCCAATACGCGTTCTTCGTCTCTGACATACACATATTATTAGGCACACGTCCGTCGTTACAAGCGATTTACCGAGCTAGCACAGCAAGCAGGACTAGAGACAGATGTTCGGGACATCGTATCCCAGCTCAGTGCGGGACCAGAGAAAAGCGCCGACGCCGCCGTTTCAAGACGTGCAAAGAAGCGGGTTCGTAGTCGAATTGCACCTAACATATACTTTCGCTCATTGGTGTCCAGCAAGACAAATTGGCGAAGGTCAAAGCCAAACGTGAGAAGCAGAAGCAGATGAAAGCCAAAGGCATCGCGGGGAAGAAGGAACGAGCAGCGAAGGCCACAGCAGGTGCTCCCGAAGCCGAGGGCGAGGCGAAGCCCGCTACTCGCCCGGCAAAGAAGCGCAAGCTTGAGGAGGAGGGTGACGCTCAGCCCACTGGCACCGACTCCAAGCCGAGGACGAGCGAGCAGACTACAAAGTCACCGGCCGCGACGGCAGAATCGCTTGAGCTGGTGAAGAAAAGCAAGGCCGAACGGAAGGTACACGAAGCCAAGTCGCCTATGATCAAATCATCTTCACCCAGCCCGCCTGAGAAGGCACGACAATCCCTGCCGTTGAAGCCACCGAAAAGCGCAATGTCCACCAAGGACTCAAGACCGAAGGCCTCTAAGCCGGCGCGAGTGACCAAAGGCTCGGACAAGTCCAGCGTTCTCTCCAATGGAAAGAAGCGGAAACGGCTCCAAAAGGACACAGCTTGACGATTTCGCGCGCGAGACCTGCATCCATATATCATATAAATAGCACACCGAGGAGCAAGTCTGTACAGCAGCGGAAGGGGGAGGGGACGCTAGCATCGCTATCTCAGACTCTGCAAGACCTTGTCGGTCATCTCGATCGCCTGCACACGCGACGCACTTCAGCGGCGCATTCCTTTGAGGATACGGAGCGTAGCATACCTGGTGGATGTCGGGTCGCTCGCTGGGGTTGACCTTCAACATGCTGTCGATGAGGGTCTTCAGGCCCTGGGAGTAGGCGGACTGCGGATGCTTGTACTGCGCGTTCATGACCGCCATCGCTATCGAGCCGCCCTGCTCGGTCGTCTGTGTGTTCTCGAATGGCGAGTGGGAGTAGGCGAGCGCGAAAAGTGTGCAGCCGAGCGACTGGGTGCGTATACTCGTAAGTGAAGGATAGACTTTCGTGAGCAAGGTAAGGGTGCTCACCCAGATGTCGACTTTCTCGTCGAGTGTGACGCCAGTCTTCACGTCGAAGAGCTCGGGAGCGCGGTACGCCATTGTGCACTGTTCCGCTGCCAGATCCTGTAGAGCGAGGTCAACCGACGGATAGGAACGGACAGCGGATGCTGCAAACCTGCTGCAGCAAAGCTTGCGACCGGTTCTCGATTTTTATCCGCGCTTTCATGGCACTACCGAAGTCCATGAGGATAGGTGACCCGTCGTCTGCGATCATCACGTTGCTGCAAATCGCAGTCGACGTCAGGCTTATTGTCAGCATTCGACGAGACGGGTAATGTGCTCACCCAGGTTTCAAGTCTCGATGCGCATATGGTACGAGTTCCGTATCCCCAGAATGACTGTTCCCCTCCTGTTGGATGCGTGCAAGTTCCTCATCACCGTCAAAGATAGCTTCGTTGTCATCCGGGTGATCCCTCGTCAAGAGTGGGGCAGACGAGCTATGTACACTCCCATTCCCGCGGTATGAGTATCCACCCTCGCCATCCCCCTCCGGATGCGGGAACATCTCTGCGTCCTCGTCATCATCGAGGGAATGCCGGGGCGAGCTGGGATTGCTGGGGCCGGGCATACGTGCAGCGTTCGAAGAGGATTGGGATTGATTTGTGCGCCCGGCTTTGGCGTTGACGGGGACGCGGTAGTCGTGCATGGCGCGAACGGCTTCGCAGGTACCCTTGAAGAGGCGCAGCATTTCTTGCTCAGAGAAGTGTGTGCCGTTGATAGAGTTGGCATTGATGGCGTCTTGGAGGTTCCCTCGCTGAGCGAACGTTGGGTGTGAGTTCGTTGGGGTGTTAACATGCCGCGCACCTTGTACAGGGGAAGGAAGAGATAGACCACCTGGCCATCGCCATTTGGGTCTTCCACGACCGCGGAGTCCTGCGCATGTAATGAGATTTATTTGGCCATACGCACGTTGTATACTACCCACCAGAATTCGAATGATATTCGGATGCCTGGGCACATTGTCACAGTCTATCCCCTGATTCAATATAGCTGACTTGGATACTTACTTGAACCTCCGGTATGCCTCGACCTCACGCATAGCTTGCCTCACATCCTCCCGTCCGCTCGGACACCGAATCTTCTTCAGAGCGAATTGTCTCTGTCAAGAGTACTGTGAGATGCGGCGCAGCAGCGAGCCACTCGCCAGTTGTCCAATAGCTGGGATAAAGTAGAACGTACCCCGCTGTGCTCATCCTCCGCCAAGTACACGAACGAGAAGCCACCTTCTCCCAGCACTCTCACAATTTTGACTGTAGTGATAGAAATTCGTCAGAGGCACTGTGAACTATCGCGCAACACTGACATGTCCGGCCGTTGATCTTGACCTTCGCCGACTGCTGGCAAATGCAGGACGAGAGCGCCCAGAATGCGTCCTTGATCTGGAACTTGAGGCTGTCGAGTGTGCTGTGAAGCTGTGGATGGATGACAGACATTGCAAATAAACCAAAAGATTAAGCGTAGAATAAGCAGAGAGAGCGCGAGTAGGTAGGGAGGGAGGGAGGCTGTAGGGAGGGAGAGCTGTGCGAGCGGCGCGACACGGTCGGTGGCGGGGAAATCACGCACGCGACGCGTCCGGCTCATTGACGGCGACGCGACCTTGCTGAGGGCCACATCCGTGCCCTTCCTCTTGCTTGCTCCTCAACGATCTCACTCCGCGTTGTCCGCCGCAAACATAGCATCTACTTGCCCGAGGATCCCTGGCAAGAGTAGCAGGTGGAGACAGCAGAATGGACGGGTTAGTCCAGTCGCTGTTCGCGGAATGGGCTGCGGCGTTCGATGATGATGGAGAGCCGGGGCCACCAAACGGGACGCCCCCAACTTGTAAGCCATACACTATGTACAGCACAAGTAGGATCGACTCATTGCACTCGTCTGGTAGCGAAGTTCGAGGGGCCATGGTTCACGACACAACTGATACTATCAACATGCATTGGGCTCGCTTCCTTTCTCATATTCTCATATTGCCGGACACGATGGCCACTACAATTCGCCCCTCGGACAAAACTGAAAGGTGAGTTCTGGCACGCTAAATGAGCGATCGTAGAACCTACCGCCTGGTACGTCAGGATTCTCGCCCCATGAAGCGCATGCCCACCAAGCATTCTTCGGGTGGATATTGCCCACGATCCGGACGTCTGAGTTCACTGTACTGCAAATAGTAGGACTTGATGCTGCTGTCGTAGGTTCTCTCAGTGGTGTTAGACTTTCTTGGCCGATGAAACTCTGCTCCAGCTGCTCAACTTCTTCAAGATGTCATTCTACCTCTTTGCCGTCTGCTCCATCTTCGCGGCACTCGTCCTCATGCCTGTCAATTTGAAGGTATGTCATCTCACTCTCTAAAATGGGCCATCGTGACGGAGCCGCTATGCACAGAATAACGTCGACATTGGCGACGGCCGCGGAGACTCGGATGGAGATGGAACATGGCCCCCTACCATGAGCTTCGCCCCTGCTACCAACTCAACCGAACCTCGCGATTGGCTCGACCTCATCAGCGACGCCAACTCCTACCTCTCCGTGCACCTCCTCTTCACCTACATCTTCACCCTCCTCGCCCTGCGCTTCATCCACAACAACTATAAACGCTTCATCCGCGCCCGTCAGCTCTTCTCGCTTGAGCTCGTGCACTCCATTTCGGCGCGCACGGTCATGATTACCCACCTGCCGGAGCATCTGAAGGGCGAGCGCGCGCTGGCGGAGTATTTCGAGCACATAGATCTCAGCGTGGAGAGCGTGAGCATCTGCAGGGAGGTGGGGTCGCTGAAACGGTTGCTTGACAGACGAACAGCGGCATTGCTCAGACTGGAGAAGGCGTGGGTGAAGTACGTTGGAAATCCGAGCGTGATCGATCTGAAGCAATCTACCACGCCAGAGGACCGCCTCGTTGAAGTAGATGCCCCGGACTTGGAAGCATCCTCGGAGCAGATTGTCGTGCCGGGTCGTAAACGGCCTACCACTCGGCCGGGGCTCTTCATGCCAAAGGTCGACAAGCTTGAGTATTTGGAACAGCAATTCAGACAGGCCCACGAGGCCGTAAAGACCCGTCGGAAGAACGGTCGGTTCAAAGCCACCCACGTCGCCTTTGTGACCTTCGAAACGATGTCTAGCGCAGTATGTTGGCTACTTCATTCCTCGTGACCTAACAGCTGAATAAGTGTCCTCAGCAAATTGCTGCACAAACCGCCCACTTTCCCACCCCGCGCTCATGCACCACCCACCTCGCTCCCGAGCCGCGGGACATTCTCTGGTCTAATATCAGCTACCCCCCGCCGAACCTGCGCATTCGCGAATGGATCGTCCTCAGCGCCATCGCGGCACTCCTACTGTTCTGGACGGTACCCACGTCCGCACTGGCTAGTCTGCTGAGTTACGAGGAGATCAAGAAGGTGATGCCGTGGCTCGGCGATCTCATCGACGAGAGCCCGCAGGTACGCGCGATCGTGCAGAACTCGCTGCCGTCGGTTGCGATCGCGAGCATGAATGCACTGCTGCCGTTCTTGTTGGAAGGTAGTACTGACCATTCCTCATATTACTCTCGTTCTTACCCGCGCAATTCAGCCCTCACGTATCTCCAGGGGTATCCTGCCCGTAGCTGGATAGAATACTCACTCATGAAGAAGTAGGTTCACTGAGGACTTTGCATGGAGACTCAGATACGACTGAACTCACACAACAGGTACTTCTTGTTCCTACTGGTCAACGTCGTCTTCATCTTCCTAGTGGCGAGTACCTACTGGCAGCTCGTGCGAGACTTTGCAAATTCTCCTGCAAGGGGCATCGAGAAGCTGGCTTATGCCTTGGCGGCTGGTAAGGCTAGGCATTTCTTCTTGTCCTATGTCATCCTACAAGGTGAGTTTTCTGAGTACAACTGAGGAGGCCGCAGGACGCTGAATAAATGCAGGTCTTGGCATCATTCCTCTGCAGCTGCTCAACCTGGGTGTTTTACTTCCGCGCATGTTCATTCGCTTGTTTATCACGAGAACACCTCGAGGTAAGCTCGTTGCACTCTTAAATTTATACCAAATACTCAAGCCCGTTCAGATTATGCCGAGCTTAACGCACCGCCCATGATCAACTATGGTGTTGTGTACCCTCAGGCCATCCTCGTCTTCGTGATCACGCTTCTATATAGTGTGATACAACCGCTTATTCTCATCTTTGGTGCCATTTATTTCGGCATGGCCTATGTCGTATACAAGTACAAGCTGCTTTTCGGTGAGTCTCCAGAACCGTATTTTTTTTCGGACTGATGTTGACTATTCGCACCCTCAGTGTTCTATAAACCATACGAGTCTCAGGGTCAAGCATGGCCCATCACGTTTGCGCGTCTCATATGGGGTGTGATTATTTTCCTGGTCTTCATGATAGGCATCTTCATCCTTCGCAAGTCGTTCGTCCTCTCGTCGTTGCTGGCACCTCTTCTTGGCGGTACGCTCCTATGGGCATGGTATGAAGACAAGGCATTCCGTCCGCTGAGCAAGTACGTGAACCTGAGTTCGGTGTTCGAGGTACAGAGGGGCGAGGACACCGCCGATGTGGTGAGGCTCCGGCATGGGCATCCTGTAACGTGGTCTCAGAGGTGCGTTGTACCCGGCACGACAACTCTGTGCAAGAAGCTGATCTGGACCTGGACAGTAATCTGAACAGGAGGCGGTACGCTCAGAATGATGAAACGTTGTATGTTGCTCCTGAGGATGAGCGGACGGACTACGTGGGTGATGATAGACAGGCCACCGAGTATGAAGTCTGACATCATTCTGCAGTCGCAACCGCCAATGGCGAATTGGTACAGTGGTGTGTTGAAGTACGTGACCACCGTGCATAACATACTCTAGATTTGTTGACGGTTGCTCCATAGCACTGGGAAGCGGAGATACGGACACCCAGCACTCAACGGCGTCCTACCGATGCCATGGCTTCCTCTGGCGAAGAAAGAACAGTCCAGCACAACGAATGGTGCCCAACCAGCTGCCACCGCGGAAATCGCAGAAGATCACACAAACCACGCCGTTGTAGTGACACTACGAAAGCGCCGCAGCGTCATCCGGCCAGATAGCAGGCAGGTGACTGCTCCCGCGTCGGCGGACGGCACCCCCGCCAGTGCGCCCGCAGACCTCGACCATATCCCCTCACCCGGCGAGCAGCTCGCGTCACCCGAGACGACTGCGAATCCATGGCAGGACGTCCAACCTCGGCGACCGACTGCGCGGCGACAGGCGCCTCCATTGCCGCATCGACTGAGTTACGACCAAGGCTCGGGCGTGATCGTCCTCCCCGAGAACGACGATTGGCTTATCGACGAGGAGTCCAGCTCAGACGAAGACACGGACAGCCTGATCCGCTCTGCGCACAGTAGCCCCGGTGCGGATCCCGAACGGCGGTCGAGTCTGCGCAAGCGATACAGCACGTACTATCACCACCCGGAACGACGCAGGAGTACTGTCCCGCCAACACCGGCAACGTCCCAACCATGATACCTTTTATGTTTCGCACGATGTTGTGTTCGTAGCTCATGTATACCACGCTCATGTCACGCTCCACGACGATTCAAATTATCCGTTGGGTACTAATTTGCACCATTATGCGCGATCTAATCCATTTCCTTTCCATGGCTACAGCTACGTACGGTCTGACTGGTGTTCGTATTGCTTGCTCATATCAATGCTGACACCCAGTGATACGTGTGCATGAAGCATGGGCGGAGTGTCTGCATCCCCGTAGGAACACTGGAGTGAATAACAGCCTATTACTGAATCTGACCTGACTACTTAAGTCCCTCGCCACGAGTCGCCAGTATCGCTCAGCCAGTCTTCTCCACAGCGTTGAAGACATGCCAGACAAGAAAGCTACTGCAAAATATTACTCTCCTTGTGTATCATATGTATAAAACCCATCAAACGAGCGGTACTAGCAGTCGTGCTAAATATGCGGTTCATCGTTTCCTATCACGGTACGTTGACGCCAGCGGCGTCGCCTCGGGCTCCCTGAACGGGAACGGCGGGACCTCCTGGTGTACTCTGCTGTACTCGCGTCCTGAACATTCCTCGACAGTCAGTGCGAAGCAAACGATGCCGAGGACTAGTGCGCCGCTGAGGAGCCCGATGATAACGTAGACGTTGCGGTTCAGCTCGGTCCACTCGGCCAGTGACGCAGACGCGGACGTACCGACGGGCTTTGCGACGGCGGCCGCTACGACGTCGTCGACGCTTGCTGTGCTCGGGCTGACGGTAGACGTGCTGAGGGTGACGGACGCGCTCGTGGTTGTGACGGACGTGGTGATGGAGATGCGGGTGGTCGAGAGGGACGCGCCGGTGGCGTTGACGATGGGCCAGGTGTACGTCGTCGCGGCAGCCAAGGGAGTCGAGCTCGTGATGTTCCAGAATTCGGCGAAGTTCTCGTACTCGTTCTGCGCGATGCGTTGCAGGTTTACCTTATCGTACTCCGCGAACGCCTCGTCGGGGTCGACCAACTGTCAAGGAAGTTGAGTTTAGCGGGAGTGGAGGCCAGGATATGCGGAGGGCTCACGCTAAGGAGCTGGATGTAGGGCGCAGTGGACTCGTCGGTAGCGGCGCTGGGCAACGCGCCGTTCCCGTGGTAGTACAACGTGTAGACGTTGTGCATGAACGTATCACCCAGGGTGAACACTGAGCATGGAATGTCAGGGATGCATAGTAGTAGTATTATGATACAGGACAAGGAACGCACGAGGATCGTCACTAGCACCGAATGCGCCACGGCACGTCACCTCACCGCTCGTGTTCACGTTGACGATGACAGAGTCAAGTGGATGGACTGGGTAGCTGATGTTGCTACAAGCCACATACAACGTCAGCGCAGAACCTCAGTGAGATGGCCGAGAAAAATGTACCTAAAGGTGAAGCTAATGTTGACACCTTGGTATTGCAAGGGACCGTGTAGTACTGCTGCCCGTCATCATCCTCGGTGAAAACAGCGCCCGGCAGATCCTTGTACATGTAGTCCAGATAGGTCCTGGGTACCCGGGCTATGGAAGTTGTCAGCGATTTGCTGACACAGGACGGAAAACCTGTCGTACCGAGGCTCGTGCCACTGTCCAAAAGGGCAAAGCTCTGGTTAACTATCGGTTGTATCGTGAAGTTTGCCGTCTTGCCGTTGAGACTAGACGGGAGGGCAGCCTGAGATCACTGATTAATGCAAGAGAACACTGCATTTCTATCTTACCCAGAACTGTTACCCGGGTGAAAGACGCCATTGACGGTCATTCCGTCCAAGAAGGTGAACCACCCCTTATTGTAAGGCGCAGGCAGCCGAGGGGATTCCACGATGTTGGAGTAGTTGCTCACGAGCTCGCCTGTGCCGTCGAATGAGCGAGCCGTCTGCTTTCATGCAACAGACTAGTTTCATACCGATAGTGAGGGCGCCGCCCTGGACGAATTGATTGGTGCCCATCGCTGACCGAGACAAAAGGAGAGTCATATATTTCGAATCATTCGGTAATGTGTTGAAGACCTTAAATCAAGGATGGTAAGCCATGTGCGGAAGGGGAGACCTACGTTCTGAAGGAAAGGCAGGCCATTGGACGATGTTCCGTTGAGTTGACCGAGGATGCTGGAGCCCATGGGACTACGCGGAAGGTCTGAGTAAGAGAAGCTAGAACAATTGCAATATCAGGGACATACAGACCAACACCGAGGAGACCTTGATCCGCGCCTGTGATTGTGGCATTGCTGCCGGGAGCAGTTACTGTCACGGAGTATCAGGAGTGCGTCAAATTCCCGCCGTTCCAGGCCAACTCACCGAGAGCTTGTCCAGAGACAGTGAAGCCCCCGAGTGAGACGTTGGCCAGGACAATTGGCCCCTCAGCTACGGAGCCGTCGCTACATAGCGGATGGTGAGTATGATTTACAATGCACAGCAGGTTCGTGACCAACCCGTAAAATGTGGTGCTATATATGTTGGTATCGGTCAGACCTTGAAGGTCAGTACCGTCGTTGTTGATCCACAGATCGGAGCTACCCGAATCTATTTGCACCTGGGGTGAAGAACGTTACTTGTAGTCGACAAGGTATGGAGTCATTCTCGGTACTACGTACCTGGACAGGCTGCCCCTGGACGTGGATAGTGGCAGTATAGAGGCCGTTGCCAACATCGGTGAAGCCAGTGTTCCCGGAGTTGGCGAGATTAGAAAGGACTATATTAGTCGTCCGAGGACTCGGGCTTCGCCGCTCAATGGGAAGCCGCAAAGCAGAAACAGATCCAGCGAAGAGAAAAAGAAGGGAACCCAAGAGCATGCTGACTCGGAAGGAAGGGAAAGGGATGTTGAATGCCGCTATCATGGGGTGCTTATATATGACGGTAGCAGGCAACGACCCATTGCCATGCTACTCGGTGTTCGCGGGTACGTTGTCAACTGTGTTTATTCGAGCGGGTCAAAGCCTGTGCTTCATCAGGGGTGAGCGGCGGGGTCGCAGCCTCAGACTTGCGAGCGCATCAATCAAAGATACAAGAGGCAAACGGCGCTGGTCGACAATGGATGTCGCATGAGTTCTGCCCTTTTGGCCGTGACTGATTCTGAACACATACCTGCTGCGTCGACCCCACGAGCTATCGAGATTTTCCGACAGTCTCCATTGAGTGAACCTACATCCAGGCTGGTAAACACCCGATTCGCGCATGCGATACGGTAAGCCTATGTTCGGTGTCATCGGCATGACATGAATGCATGAACAGCCCGAAGCTCCCTGGTCAACCGCGCGAGGCCGGAAAACGCTTTCTGCAGATGCAGAATCTGGCCGCGGACGCGTTTCCATGTGCGCCTGTAGTGTTCATGGCGTCTGCAACTCATCAACGTTCTGATGTACACATTTGTAGTTTCCGAGACATTCAGCGGAGGAAGGGACATGCGCACAGGTACAGCATTGCCAGCATTGTGGATACGTATGCTGTGAGTACCGCGATTCAAGGTATGTGTTCGATGCGCACGGCGTGGCGGTTGCGGTATGAAGTCGGGAAGCTCTAAGTAGGAAGAGTCAGTACGGTACAAAAGGACAAGTTGCAAATGTGATCCTCACGCAAGTGATCCAATAATAGTAAGTACTATGCATGGGTGGTCACGGTACAGTACACCGTACAGTGGCACGGTACTGCATGGCCCAGATGACGTCACGCGTCAGCGCTTCAGCACTTCATGGACCCAGTCGTGCCCTCTAGAGATTATCGCGTAAAGTCCTTGAACGCTACTCCCGTGTGCTCAATATTGTCTACGCGACAGACATGTCTGACCTATCCGCGCAACAAGTTAAACAGCGCTTCGGCGTGTCCATCCCTATCAAGGCCATGCCCGTGCAGCTGTCTGAGCAGGAAGAGAGGAACGTCTCTACGGTCCTGAAGGTGAGCATGACGACAACCCTGACAGTCAACAATGACTTGAGCGTCGGCAGTATATGCGCACTGCGTACTCGTACGAACTCAACTCGGGCAAGGACAGCGTGCTCGAGTTCTGCGCGCCGAACAATACTTTCTCGGCACCGTCGACGTTCCCGACTGCGCATACGGTTGATGAGTACGCAGGGTAAGTCCAGAACCTACTCTCGAAGCACATAAGTAGTAACTGCTGATATTGCCTTGCGCAGATCGCACGCAAGTGAATCCCTTTCTAGTTGTCGCAAACGCACGATCTGACCTTGCACTGTACTCGCAACAGAGGTGCTGCAAAGCCTGAACGACCTACACATCATCCAGTTTGACGTCGTCATCGCCAAAGAGGACTTCATCTCCCTGCGCTACACCGCTGAGGGCACGCACACCGGCGAGCCGCATGGCGGCATCCAGCCCAACGGGCAGCATGCGCAGTGGACTGCGCAAGGGTCGTTCATCATGGTGAGTCGAGCATCTCACCTATCGTCGAACCAGAAGAGTGTAATGCGCGAACGTCGTCTCCGTAGGAAGGAGGGAAGATCAAGCACTGGTGGAAGGGTGAGTGCCTGCGCGTTGTCGGGTCGGCGATGAGCTGACGGGAATGGTTCTCGGAAGACTGGGACAAGATGAGGAGTAAGTTGATAAGGCCTGTGCTTCCGGGATTCGACGGCTTGCTGACAATGATGTTATCGATTCGCAGTGTGGAAAGGCCTCGGATGGGTCAAGCCCACCGACGCTGAGTTTCTCTGAAACAGTTACGCAGCGTCGTTGGAATGTACTTGCGCATCTTCAACTGCGACGTTGTACATAACATAGCGGCCGTTTCAAACACGGAGCCCGGTCGACGAAGCGCGCAAAGCCCGATAGCCATGGCGAAACAGAAGCATCCGCGAGGCACCTCTTGCTGACGTTGTGTGAGAACCAAGTGAGAACACACTTACGGATGCCAAGTTCGAGCGCAGCACCGAGGCCGGCGGCTTCGCTAGCTCTGGACCAGCCACCTCGAGGAGAACGCACTCGTAGCAACGCCCATACAACGAACCAAATTGAGTTCGCCACCGGGCTGTCGGTAGCGAGAATGACAGCTGAAGTTGGTCACTGCACAGCTACAGGCGGGGCAGCCTTGAGAGAGTTGGGGTCCATGTTTAGCTTGCAGACAGTTGCTGACAAAACGCGGCTCCCACCGAGGCTTTGCAAGCTGTCCGAAGCCGCGATGCTGAGCAAACGCACCGCTTCGAGTGCAGCCCAGATGAGACCCGCCTGTCCGCGCGGCCGACGAGGAGCGGGTTCGCTCGAGCTTCGCAGCAACCAGGCGGGCGGGATTCGATTCTCGAAGGGCGGAGGCGGGGTGCTTGTCAAGCGGGGTTATGGGCGCCTCCGAGTCCGAGCGGGCGGGGCTGAGTCACATGACGGGGATCGCAGTGCGCCGGTGAGGTGCTCACCCAAGCCGGTGACCAATCTCAGGAGCGAGCGTTAGTAAACAGTGTATATACCCTCCACGCTTATCCCCCGGCCTCGCTCTGTCTCCTCCTGGTCTCCTGCACGCCGCTCGTTACTACGCTGCCCCAGGCGCACCCCCCGCTTCCATCCCCGAACATAGCGCCCGAATCGCGCTCCGCCACACCCACTTGTCAATTTCTGGACCCGTGCCGCCTTCTGCCCGAGCGCACTAGCCACAGCCCACCCGCACCATGTCGCGGACGGTAAACCTGGTCGTCATCGGGGACATTGTGCGTGCCCGCCAGGATCGCCGGCTCCCGTGCCCGCTGACCGCGTCCCCGCAGATATGCCCCTGGTGCTACATTGGCGAGAAGGAGATGGAGAACGCCCTCGAGGCGGTCCGGGATCTGCCCATAACCATCAAGATCGAGCACCGGCCATACCAGCTCCAGCCCTCCCTGCCCGAGGACCAGGCGCTGGTCAAGCGGGAGTGGTACCTCAACCGCTTCGGCAAGGAGAAGTTCGAGTCGATCCAGCAGATGATCACCCTCCGCGGGCAGCAGCTGGGCCTAACTATGTGAGTGATACTACGAGTCGTGTGTTTACGAGTCGTCTGCAGGAGCTTGCGAAGCAACGTCCGTGTACCTGGGTCGAGGCAGGTCGTTCTCCCCGAGGCCTGTCTCCCCCGCCCCACCCCTTCTCTAGACGCCCGGGACGGGACGTGCTTCTGCAACCCTGCAAAACTACGCGGTATGTGCACTCAGAGAGGGACTCATGAACTCTTCAGCAATTACGGCGGCACGATTACGCAGACGGTCCGCGCACACCGATTAAGTCTCAAGGCACTTAAAGTCGGTGCACAAACGATGCAGCAAACCTTTCTGCGGGCGATCAACAAAGCGTACTTCGAAGAGAACCGGAATATCGGTGACGCTGACGTCCTCAGCGACCTCGCGCAGGCGAGTGGGATCATGTCGAAAGACGAGGTGCGTTTGCCGTGGGACCTTGCCGAGGATGGGCCGAGGTTAGCTCACGGGCGTGCAGGCGGTGAAGTTCCTGGAGTCGGATGAGTGCAGGGAAGAGGTGGTGAACATGATGGCGGAGGCCCGCAAAAAGGGCGTCACGGGCGTGCCCTTTACGATCATCGACGGGCGGTGGGCCGTCATCGGTGGGCAGACCGCGGAGGTCTACATCCAGGTGCGTGTATCAACACCTCGGGCGGGTGCTTTCAGTGGTTCCTGACCGGCGGCCTGCGCGTGCACAGATATTCAAGAAACTCGCACAGACGGAGAAAGTAGTACCTAATTGTGGTGTTCAGTCAGGACCTGTGTGCTCAGATACGTGATTTGCCTGCAGGAACTCCCGTGATCACATCGACGTCGCGCGTTGGGTTGGGGTAGAGGATATACGGCGGATTGATTCCATCCATGCAGTGCCACACTAGATGGGGAGGTCGGGACGAGCGAGCGAGTGAGGGAACAGTTTTTCGCGGCAGGGTCTGGATGTTGTGTTACTAGGTATCTGTTCTACTAGTCTTTATTTACCGTTCTGCGTTCGTATTCTACTCCTTGCTCCGCGATGGCGTGCCTTCCAAGCGTTCTCAGTAATCGGCACAGCACCAATGACGATGATGATCTCTGTATTTGCTACCCGCTGTAAGCAAATATGTGTGTTAAGACGCAGCGGGCGCCGGCCGGTGTACAGTAGTGGGCGTTAAAACGCGCCACCCAGGTCGTCGTCCTGCTCGGGGCTGTACTCGTAATATAGTAACGTCTGGAGGTTTATATAGGAATGCTAAGTTCTCGTTCTGTGGTCTATGGTATCGTCTAAGTGTGAGGCTCTGTTCGTCTATTGGCACGGACCATATTTAAACGAAAAGAGGAGAGAGGAGAAAGGGGGGAAATCGCACAGTCCGCGTTCCACGGTCGGCACGTCGTCTTCTCCTAGGGAGTATTCTTCCTCAAATCGGTATCGGCATAGCACCGCGGGGGCGCAACAGGCAATTGCCTCCTGAAACCATCCTTTACCTCAGACAAGAAAGGCATTGGAATTAGAGGTTTTGCCCTTTTAGGCATGTGGAGAACCCTCCGTTGTCATTTCCACCCCACCTTCGTAACAGGTTCTCTCGCGAGGAAAGGATGCTGCCGTTGTAGTGCAAGAGTGCAGCCACCGAGGGAGATGTGGCGGTGGCTGGTGGCGCGCCAAGAGCCGGCATTGTGGCGCAGCGAAGTGACGTCAGGCCGTTGCAGAACCCGCTGCGGCTCCCTGGCCAGGCTCACTCAAAACCACCTGCTGCTGCGATGGAGCGACCTGCTGTCTCTGCCCCGCTAGTCCCTCCTTTGCACCACCCCCTCCCACCACGAGCTGCGAGCGATGTTCCTTGCCTACGAGCACTACTACTGGGTATATGCGTGGATACCCGTCTTCGGCGCGTTCATCTGGTTTGGTGAGTCGCTGCTCGTGCTGTGATCTAGGCAGAGAGCTGACGCGCGAGACAGGAACGCTATGGGCGATGTTGATTACCTGGCTGGCCACGGGGAAGCCGCAATACGTTACACAGCAAGGAAGCATCGCGTACATTTCTGATGTCGGCGCGAGTTACCTCAAGCCGTTGTTCATCGTGTGCTGCTGCATAACAGGCGTGACGTTCTTCCTCACACTGGTGGTTGAGAGGTGGCTGCGGCATTCTGGAAGGTGCGTCATATCAACTCCGATACCGCGCACATGGGACTGAGAGATTCGCCCCGTAGGCTGCACCCGAACATGCGCCGCCGCGAGCGAGTGTTCTCAACGCTGGCCGTCCTTGGCTCGTTCATCGGTGGCGCGGGGCTCATCCTCCTCTCCATCTTCGACACCGGGCGACACCAGAGCCTGCACCGCGTCTTCCTGCTCGTCTTCATCATCGGAGTCGGGCTCTCCGCGATCTTCACCATCGTCGAGTACCGCTGGATAAACAAGGATTACGACGGCCAGCGCAAGCTCCGCATCGCGTACATCGCCAAGGGCATCATCGCGTCCTTGCTCATCATCCTCGCGGTCGTGTTCGCCATCACGCTCTACACGACCGCGGACGTCGGCGCGGTGATCGAATGGGTCATCGCGTTTGGGTACACGTTCTACCTGCTGACGTTCTATTACGACCTGCGGATGTCCCGCGGCATGCGCAAGGGCGCGTACTTCGACCGCGAGCTGCTTGGCCGGCGCAGCGTCGAGAGCGGAGGGACGGCGGGCACGATGCGCCAGGTCGGTGGACCAGCGTACGGGAATGGCAGCGTGGCTGGAAACGGATATGCCAATGGGTACGGAGACGGAAACGGAAACGGAAATGCCCACTATGGCGGTCAAGGACCGTACGGTGCACAGAACGCGAGAGGCGCGAACGTAGAGCCTGTGCGCAACACTGGATATTGATAGGGGCATAGTAACCTCGCAAAGTACTGTCATGATGTTCACGATGCTGATACATGTACGATGAGTTGCCGTGGCAGTGGACTTCGATACCTTGAAAACGAATACTGTACTGCTCCGGAATAATCAACGCATTGAATAGAACATTTAACTTTGTCTTTAGAGGCGCTGACAATTTGAAGTTTTCGTCGGCAAGGATGCAAGGGAAGGATCAACGCGACCGAACACGCGTTACTACACTCGCGACTGGCAAGCTATAGCGAAACGCGGTGCCATGAATCACGTGTAGCGTGTCGCACTGACGCGCACCACCCAATCGAAGCGTCTTCCGACTCTTCGTTACTCGCCAGCTCAGCCACGGCCCACAACGACTCCCTACGCCGCCTACCAGGCGTCGCCGGCCTCATCCCCGTTGACAATGTCCCTCCCACCGTTCAGCCCACCCTCTCGCTCGCGCACGCCCATTCCCCGGCCTCCCTCCTTGCCTCTGCGTGCCACCACCCCGGGCTCCCCCAACACGCCCACCCCCGCAAACATGCGCCGCATCTCCAGCACGAGCCCGCTTGTGCATGGCGGCGCGCTGCCGATGTCTCCGCCGCCCGATGCGAGTAACCGGCAGAGGGTATCCCCGCCCGCGGGGGGCGAGCGGCCGAAGACGCGTGCGAGGGATCTATTGAGGATGCATTACGGCTTGGGTGTGGGTCCGCCGCCGCCGATGGGCGGAGCAGGGAGGGCGGCGGACCCGATGGACCTCGGTGAGTAGCTCGTTTGCACGGTCGACGCGGTGTCGTATGCAAGCGACTGATCAGCACTCGTTGCAGATTCGTCGGCGTTTGACGCGAAGGCGTACTACGAACAGCTGATCACGACGAGCTCGCTGCCCACGCTGCTCAAGCGCGAGAACGACCTCCTCTCTGAGATCCGCCAGCTCGACAGCGAGCGCCAGAGCCTCGTGTACAACCACCACCACGAGCTCATCGCCGCGAGTGACACTATCGCCGCAGTACGTCCTCAAAATCTCGTCCTTCCGCCGCTTGCTCGGTCGGTGTACTGACGGAAGTGTAGATGAAATCGCGTGCGGACCACTTGGATGCGGACCTCGACCTACTAAGGGCGGCGTTCTCGGAGATATCGCGTTTGTCGACGGAGATCACTGGGCGCGACTCGTAGTAGGCTCTCCCGGCCAGGTCATTAGATAAGGCCACTAGACATGAACAGTGCTGGCAGGGAGTAAACAAGCTTTGGCTCCCTGCTGGTATCGGCGCGTCGGGAGACGTCATGCGCACAGTGCTACAAAGGTGTCCTGCGCGCAGGAAAGGCTATGAAGCGGCTTGAAGCTGGAGGCCAAGTACTCTAGGCTGTTAGAACTTAGAACGCCGATCGCGCTGGGCCCTTGAGCATCTTAGTGAGATGCGTTCACTTTCGTAGTCCAGCAAGGGCGAATGAGGGCCCCCTTCCAAGCTGTACCTCTGTAATTACGTAGGTACATACTAGCCAGTGCTGCATGACTGAACGTCGTATGTTAAACTGGGTCTCTGTACTGAGTCCCGACTTCGTCTATGATCATCGTTCAGGACAATGGGGCGAGGAACCTATCTGCATTAAGGGAATTTAACACTAAGGCACTATGGCCGAGTGGTTAAGGCGACAGATTCGAATTCTTCGAACCATCTGTTTCCCTCTGGGAGCGCAAGTTCAAATCTTGCTGGTGTCGTACCTTTTGCCTCGTGAAACTAGAAGGCATTCAAACTGTTCTTTGGGGAGCACGCAGCGATTTGCGAGCCTTTCCTTTCATGAAACGAACACCGACATGGAGAGTAGCGCATACTGCACCCCGGGCGAGGTGAGTGCCACTATATTCGTAGCACGGACGTCTCTTCCATTGACATTGTGTCAGATTCTTGTCACTCCGAATCGCAGACGACGCAGTTCAGCAGATTCTCTTGCTGCTTACCCCGGCACGAAGTCGGCCTTAGGAGTTGATATCTGCATAGCCTACCCACATACGTCTCACTGGTGTGCGTACTTTTTGGTATCTGTGGCACCCCCAAATGTACACACAGGTGTACATGGCCCACATATGAGACCCATTGGACTTCGGTTTGTAGCCTATACAAGTTGATACCATAATGCACAATAATTGATCCACGCGAGTACTTATACATCAGCTTCTGCGTTCAATCTTGTTCACGTTATTTTCCGGTACAAATACACATATTGTAAGTCTGCGACCTCTGGCACAAGCTTACTTCTGGCCTGGTCGAGCCTGCAGGACGCCGTCGAAGTACGTGTCCACTTTCTCGTCGTAGAACGCGACATAGCCTTTGATGTCGGCGCACTCGGGGAGCGGTACGCGGTACCACCATACGATGTTGTCGAACACCTGCCCCGTGGAGAGTGCTACACTGTAGTAGTTCGCGACACCCTAGGACACGGTAAGTAAATGAAGCTCATAGCACGTTTGGGATGATGTACCTTGTATGGGCACTGGGTTGTGAGATCCGTCGGCTTGAGTAGGTCCATGTGACAGTCAGTCTTCGGAATGTAAGTGCGAACCGGAAGGCTCGTCTCGAACAGCAAACGGGGCTTCGTGGTGTTCGCCACCTCGACCCCGTTCACTACGATGCGTACGTGACGAGATGATTGCAGCACGTCAACACGCTTGTGGCCTAGCTATCAGCGATGGCTAAACCTCGAAATACGCAGATCGCGCAGACCTTGTACGGGTCCTTGGGGTGCACAAAGACCTGCTCGTCCTCCTCGAACCACGCGTCCACCGCGCCCATGGTGATCTGCACCAATCCCGCCAGATCACCCTGCAGATACTTCGTGACCGCATTCTCAGCCTTGCGGGCCCCTACGACCAAGTCGTAGTTCTCGGACTCTGCCGACTTGGATGCCTGTTGCAGGAACTCCGTCGGGACATCCGCGGCGTCGAAGAAGTAGTAGGGGTAGTTGGGCTTCAGCCACCTAGGAGGAAAGCATGACGAGTGGGCTCAGAAGCGGGCCTGCGGTACTCACACCAGCTTTGCTTGCTTGGTATCTACGACGTACTTTCCCCCGAAAAGTACGCGCACGCGTTTGGGGGAGGGCTCGATGTGCGGCTGGGAGAACGGCGGAGCCATGGCGCGCAGAAAAGAGAGATTCAGCTGACCATAGATCAACTAGTGTCCCCCTATAAGCTGTAGAACGGCCCATTGGATATGCAGAAGCGCTGCGCTGACTGAGCTGCCTTCCTGCAGCTCCTCGAATTCCTGGCCTGTCGCGCCGAGCTTCGCTATTACATACCTGATGAACCCGTGCTCGATTGAACAAGGTCACCCGCAGTGAGTATGACGCTACGACAGAATCTTATAGTGAGAACGCTGTCGTGGACGGAGCTGGCTTGGAGCTGGCACAACTAAGTTTGTACGAGTGAACTGAGTGAAGAGACTCAGAGGTGTAAGCTGTGGCTAGCCGCGGCCCGTGGCCCGGCATGCAGCCACGCCCACGTGACCGTTGTATACACGCATTATTCGCACGGCCCGAGCGGCCACAGTCGTGCGGCTCAGGGCTCGTGCCTGGGCTTGCTCTTATACTGCCAGTGCCATTGTCCCCCTTCATCCCCGCCATACGAACTCTGGCATTAAACGCAATGGGATTAGGCGAAGTTATTCAAGACAGCGAGGACGAGGAGATTTTTGCACCCTTGAGAGTGCCAGGACCATCGACAATGGAAGCAGAGGCTCGGGAAGCGGCGAGAGGTGAGTGCATGCTACAAGACGTAGGCGGAGCCGCTGATACGATATTGGTGGAAACTAGCTGCGAGTGCTAGCACTCGACCACGGCCACGACCCGCATACAAAGGTGCGCTTTCGAAGGCTGCTCCAGCCAGCGAAGTAGCAGGCCAGGCGACTTCGTCTTCATCCACCACGAGACCACCGAATCCGCCAGTTGCCAGCCCATCGAGCTCATCCACGCTGATAAACCACTCCGCTGCGTACACACACCCTCCGCCCACTAAGGACGTCGACATGCTCTCCCTCGACATCGCCGAACGAGCAAAGTTACGTTCACGGGGCTCGAAGGCCAACACCAAGCAGCCAACACCCCCAATAGATGAGGATGTCATTGAAATCACCTCCTCTGACGACGACCTCAACATTCGCCCTCCGACTCGAGGTCCGAAGGCCAAGGTTGCTGACAGAGACGCGCCCTCGCCCAAGAAACGCGCCAAGAGGGCGCATATACCCGTCGATCTGAGCATGGATGATGCCAGTCCCGCGGTCATACCCATCGCTACCTCAGCTCCCAGCTCCCAATTACCCCCATCCGACCCGCCTCCGCCATCCACACCTCCTGAGCCGACTCCAGCCAATGCACGACCTACGAGTCGTATTGTTACCTCACCATTATCCTCGCCTCTCCCTCCACCCCCGCCCCCACCGAAGCGCAAACGGAAGACGTCGCCGAAGGATTCGGACGACGAAGGGAGCGTGAGACACCGAGGCACGCTGAGGAAAGAGGATTCCGGCCTTGCGATGCCCCCGCCTCCCCCACCGTTCTTTGCGGATCCCTCATCATCATCCGTACCTGCCTCCGATACGCTCGTCGAGACGTCCTCCTCGACGCGTGCTTCAGATGGGCCTACCGCCTCCAAACCCACCAAGAACAAAGGCAAGCGGAAGGTCATAGACGATGACGATTTCGAGGACGACTGGCCTCTCGACCCACCTCCTCGGCCGAAGCCACGGCAACGCAAGAAGCAGCCCGCCGACGAGGACGACTGGCAGGGCGACGACGCGCCTAAGCCCGCACGCAAATCGCGCAAGAAGGTGACGGCCGATGATGACGAGGAGGAGTGGGGAGGTGACGCGCCGCCAAAGCGCAAGCCGCGGGCGCCGCCGAAGAAGAAGGGCAAGAAGGACGAGTTACCGAGGCGGATTGTGGAGGTTGTGATCGAGCAGCCTAGAGGCGGGAGGAAGGGGAGGAAGGGCAAGGGTGACCCTCAGCTGACCGGAGATGTGTCGGGGCATGGGCAGGATGCGTCGGCGGCCCCTGACACCACAGCTGTTGCAGACAAGACTACCGCGGAGGGCGACTCGTCACCTCTGAGTGAAACAGAGGTTGAGAAACCAGCTGACAAACCGAGTACCCCTCCTCCCGCTTCGCCGAAGCGCTCGCTCCCAGTGTTGCGAGACGGCGAGTCCATCTTGAACTCGCCGCGCTCCAAGAGCAAGTCCAAGGGCAAGAAGAGAGCCGTGATAGACTCTGATGAGGAGGAGAACGATGGCGGTGAAGGGGAGCAGGCTGGCTCTCCTCCCAAGAAGCAGCGGCGCGAGCTCACAAAGGGCAGGAAGTCTGCTCCCGCGGCTTTGGAGCAGGAGAAGGAAGAGGAAGAGGGGGAACCAGGTAGCTCGAATAGGGTAAGCAGGCCATCACATTCTGCTCAGGGTAGATACTAAACAAAGATGCTCTGACAGGATCCAAGACCTCGGGTGTCCAGCTATTCAGCCGTAACGGCGCCCTTCAAGTCTCCATTGCCTGCCCCAGGCACCACGCCCAAGCTGACTCTGACGAACCGGTCCTACACCGTCAGCGGGCGGTCATCCCAGCTACCCATGTCCGAGCTGCTTAAGAAGGTCAACTCCCAGCCTGGCTCGCCATTTGCTTCACCGCGCCCGACGCACTCACCTTATGGGAAGACTACTAAGAGCTTCCTGCGGAAGATCGCCCCACTGCACCCCAACCGCCGGACGCCGCCTCCCCCGCCTCCGAGGCCGCCGCCGCCGAAGAAGAGCAAGAAGCAGCTGGAGCTCGAGGAGAAGTGGGAGATGGAACTAGAAGACTCTGTTGAGGGCTGGTACTGTATGTCTCAAGAGGAGAGAGCGGCCTTGCTGAGGGCTAAACGGAATGCTGAGATGGGTTTCGAGGATTGACCTCGACTGTTGTTGTTCACTTGACAGTAAGCTTCTCAACCTGAAGGCAGAAAGCTGAAAGGCCGTTGTACAACGGTGTCATAAGACACGTAGCTGTAGCCGTGGACTTGAAGGATTTGCGTTAGACCGCGCATAATGGTGCAGGTCAATACCTCTAATTTATACCCAATTGTATTACATCATGTTAACAATGAAGTCCATTCGGTCTCGGTATATGATGTAGTAGCTGGCCGTGTACATTCGTATGTACGTACATCTGGCGCTGCCTCAAATACCAACCAATACGAACAGCAGAGGCCGACCTCGTGCCGGGGTACATGCATATGTACATAAGAACTTCTTGACCTGGCCTTGTCAGCGTCGCCGCCCTTTGCCCATCCTCATTGCTCTGTATATGGCGTCCTCGCAGCTCCAGCAACAGGCTAAGCCAGATGTCCTGCCGTCTCGCAGATCAGAGTCCCCAGGCAGAGCTGGCCCAAGCACGGAGTATCATGCCAACGCTGGGGGCCATGCCACAGGGCCTCAGGTACGTACTATGTTGTGCTACTTCATCACGATATAGTGGTTGATCTGAATACTGAGGTCAAGGAGGAGGCCATTCAAACTGAACCGGGCATACTGCTCGCCGATCTCGACGACGACACGCTTGTCCGCATGCTCTTGTCAGAACGGGAGGAGTGCAAGGCCCGCGTCAACTTGACCTCGAGATCATGAAAGCGCAAGTAGTCGTGAAGAAACGACAGATTGAGCAGCTCTGGGCGCTCATCGAGTCCCAGAAGAAATGCATCCACTTCGCGGATGTGCAGGTCGTCCAGCTCGAGAGCTACGCGCAGCGCCGTGGCTTCGATGTCGAGGCACCCAGGCGCGAGTTGGAGGATGAGTTGGAGAATGAGGGATTCGGCTCCGAGGGTGTCGCTCACGACTCGTCGGACGGTGACTCGGACCACGACAGTGAAGATACGGTGATGACGAATCACGATGCCTAGGGCATCGGCAATATGAAAGGCGAGAGTCTTGGCCCAGCGAGCTCCGACATTGTCGTCTCAATGACCGACAGAAATGATGGGCGTGGGGGCTGGCAACTTGAAGGTGCTCTGAGATTATGTCTCAGGTAGTTGTGTAAGGTAAGTCAACTACTGCAATGTTCCCTGGCTTGAGCTGAATGTCAAATATAGCTTGTACCAAATCGACACATTTCCGAGGTGGGCAGCAGCACTAGCATGTCTCTCGGTATCTCTACTGTCCCTCATTCCTGACTCGTCAACGGTTCATTCCGTCATTGCGCTCGTTTCGTGCCCCTTCATTTCGTTGTGGATTGTTGTACGGATTTCGAGGGTGTACTATGTATGGGATGGGATCCACCTTCCCAGTGGGCGGTGTTCTAGTATGACAGCAGTGACATAGCGGCTGAGTACAAGCGAGTTATCGCCTCGCATGTTGTCCGAAAAGCTGCGTACGCAGATAATCCCACGAGGCCGTAACAAATGTACAGGACCAGGTTCATTTTGCGTGCCGGTACATACTCGGGGCCGCCGACTGCCAACGCCACAAGCGCGTTCCATTAATCGCGTCCCCGATCAATTGATGCACGTGAGAGACGCGTCGCGGGGCTGGTGCGGCTTGTGACACGATCGTGACGCATCATGCGCCGACGGCAGGCCTCTCGCGAGGAATGAATCAATTCAGTTCGCTGGGGTCAGTCTGCCACCGCGCCTAAGGCCTAGGCACCTTCGCGGACAGCCGCGGCAACAGCTGGACAGCGTGAGCCTGGCGAGACCACGGGCGGAGGAGGACGGCGACGCAGGGGACGACGAGCACGGCACACAGGGATGGTGGAGGCGATATGTACAGTCTATGCATTACTTTGAACGTAGGCAGGGCTTCTTCCATGAACTATACTCGTACATACGACGCAGCGACACGAACACTAATATTGACCAGCGAAACCGACAAACGTGCGAGTCCATCATCCCCAACGGCTGCCATAGCGAACGGCACCGCTCTCCTCACTTCCGATCCTTCCAGGCGTTGTCGTTCCCCATCTTCGACCACCTCTCCGCAACGGCCGGCGTGTCCGGCGCAGGATTCCGCTCCGCCAAGCTGCCCTCCCCACCCGTCGTCTTGCTCGCGTCCATCAACCCGAGGCCGCCCTCGCTCCCAGCGCGCATCTGCCCGGGCGCCTCGCCATGGCGGACCGCAGCGCTCTCCATCACGCCCGCATCACTCTGGGGCACGGCACGGGTCAGAGTCGGGTGAGCCGTGCTCGCACTGGTTGAGGAACGCTGCGCACCGTGGGCCGTCTCCGGCGCGCCCGTCTGCGCGAAGTTGTGGTACGGCGCGGACGTGGGGTATGCGCCCGAGGGCACTTCGTACGGCGTGTCCGCGGGGTCCGGCTCCGAGACGACGTACGTCTGCGTGCCCGCGTGCGACATCCGCGGGTCGGGCGAGCTGTCCTGCTGCTTCTCGTAGATGGGGGACACGGTCGAGCCCGGCGCGGGGGGGCTCGTGAGCGGCGAGTTGGCGAGCACCTTGAAGGGCGAGTGGAACGCGCGGGCGGGGGCGGGGCGCGCGGGGATGGTGCGCGAGAGCGAGCGGGTGTGTTTCGAGAGGGCGCGGAAGGCAGACATGGTGGGCGGTGTGGATAGGGGGTGGGCGTGCGGGCTGGGCTTTATGGGATGCGGCTTTTGAGGGCTAGCCTGAGCTCTGTTTGAATATAAGTAACCGTTGTGGGGTGAATGGGGTATACGCGCATCATTCTCCCACGCCTGCTTATTTCAGTCCGTGTCAGGCCAGTTTCCATGTCGGCTTCTCGTACCACCCCAAGCCAGCAACCGCCACCGGGCCATCCCCTTCTGCACAAGAACCACCGCGACTGTCTCGACTGGAACAAGTACTTATTCCTTGGCACCATTCGCGGCGCAGATGAACAGGACGGGTGGCAGGGCAGGGCCCGATATGATAGCGATGACATAACACCTCCCAGCATATCCCGCCGATGTCACAGCGGACAAGTCGGCTTTTAACAAATTGGAACATTGGTCTTACATAGCAAGGGTCAGTAGTTTTCTAAGCGGCCATGTACGGTTACGTAACATGTCACTTAAATATGAAATGTTCACCGTATGTAAGAAATTTCGTACATAGGTACTGAAAGATGTTATGTTCGGCTACAGTACATTGACCACACGTATCCTGCATGTTAGCAACACATACATTGAGACTAAATACTGTATGGTCAGATAATGGTAGTCACTCTAGCATTGTCAGCACAGTTATAATGTTAGAATGTCGTGCATTGCGGGAACAAAGGGCGCACATTCGGAATGTAATCACAATGTAAGAAGGCCCCTCTAACATTGTGCTTACATTGTCATTACATTTGAAATGTATGTCTTACATTGTCATTACATTTTTAATGTGCGCAGCCCCTCTTACATTGTGATTACATTCCGAATGTGCGCCCTTTGTTCCCGCAATGCACGACATTCTAACATTATAACTGTGCTGACAATGCTAGAGTGACTACCATTATCTGACCATACAGTATTTAGTCTCAATGTATGTGTTGCTAACATGCAGGATACGTGTGGTCAATGTACTGTAGCCGAACATAACATCTTTCAGTACCTATGTACGAAATTTCTTACATACGGTGAACATTTCATATTTAAGTGACATGTTACGTAACCGTACATGGCCGCTTAGAAAACTACTGACCCTTGCTATGTAAGACCAATGTTCCAATTTGTTGAAAGCCGACTTGTCCGCTGTGTGTGGATCTTCCCGTTCGTTGGGAGAACTCCGGCAGACTCCGGGCAGAGGGTGACGGAGTGCGGGCGCTTGTTGGCGTGACATCCTCACCACCATCCGTTTAATAGCCATGTACATGCACTCGCTCGAGATCTGTAAACCGTACCCTGTGACAAGATGAGAAGATTAATCATCAATTTCATGAGAACGTAAACACCAGGGTCTCACTGTCGGTAGACGAAGAATTCAAACAGGCCAGACCGTACAGGTTAGGTGTGACAGTGACCAGCGTTTAAGTAGTTATACTTACAGTCACCCACTGTAACACCCAAACAATGTTTGGCCATTTCCTTGTCTACCGAGTGGACGATCCTCACGTTTAGATTCTCTACATTCTCAAAAAACTACTAGCTACTCTTACAACATTTTTTACCAGGTGTCATTCTCAGAGCGTGAGTGAAGGGATGTACATAGTCGAAAAATAGATGTTACATTGACAGTGATGAGGATGTCACGGTAGAATGTCACGGTAGCAAGCGCCCGCAAAGCGCCACCTCTGCCATCTCGAGCGAACATTGCAATTTGCTTGTTCTGAAGCTGAGCTTGATGGACCTATGTATCATGAGCAAGATACATAGTAAATATCTTGTAATGCCATCAAAATAAGGAAACATCAGAAGTAGCTTGGGAACGAGCTACTTTGAGTTATGATGACCGGTGGTGTTACAGTGGTCGGTGTAGCACTGATACAGCTTATGAGGCTCAACATGTATCCTTCGATAGCTCAGTTGGAAGAGCGCGAGACTGTAATGGTTACGTAATCTTGAGGTCGCTGGTTCGATCCCGGCTCGAAGGAGTTCTTTTGCTTTTTTTTCAAGTGTGCTGCGCTCCCGGAGTTCTCCCAACCAACGGGAAGATTCACAATAAGCGCCCGCACTCCCGGCCCACCTTAAGTACCTCGGAAAGTTGCTTGTTCTAAGCTAAAGGGCGGCAGGCCATCTGTCAGGAGCGGGATACATGGTAAATATCATGTGCAGTCATTAACCCACCGGTGGGTCAGTATCGTCTGATGGGCCACCTTCCCAATCCAGCAACTTTTGGAGCTATATTGGGCAACTGCAAACATTTGCTCCACTTCTAAGCGCGCTCTCGCCCGGATTCCTACCCAATAGGGAAGGTGGCCCATCAGACGATACTGACCCACTTGTCTTATTCGCCGCTGCTACGCCCGGCAGGATCCGATATGCATATTGTTGTATGCACCAATGTGAAGGCAACGACACAAAAATATTTCAAGTGACCTGTGAGCACCTATGTACAGTACAGTGCTCCTCTCGCCCGCGGCGGCTTCGCCGCCCCGGGCGATTCGGAGCTATGCCTCAATCAGAGGCATATTACCACTTTCCTTGTTCACCCAGAACCCTACTAGTACAGATAGAATCTACTACGACACCAGACTAGTCAATGCTACCGGATGCAGGCTCTTGCAACTCTGGAATTCGAATCTTACAACAGGCGGTTTGAATGTTTGACTCGGAAGCGCGCGGATGATGTAAGCTGTCCGACGTTTCTGTCCAATGAGACTTTTTTTTTTTTTTTTTTTTTGGAGGGCTATATGTAGGATCCGGCAACTGACAATTGGTCAGACCCAGGTCCCAGCCAGCCAGCGGGTTCCCCCGCGGTTGCTTTCCAGGGATAAAATGCTTTTACGCACGACCACATTTGGTCAGTGTGGGGCTCAGTTATCCTACATCCCACGTTTCGTAGGTTTGAGGATTAATACCCACTAAAACCCTTCTAATTTTTGTCCAATCGTCGGGTAGTGCTAGCTCGTCTTGTAAGGTGCCACACCACGTGCTTAGGACTAATGGGGGCCACAGGGCGGCTCTCCCAAAACGTCGGTGCGTCATGGCGATATCTAAGTGGAGTCTACTGTTCATTATATAGCCCCATCGCGCACGGATTTCTTGTCGTGAGTGAGTCCAGTTATCGTCCATTGCATGTCCGATCGTTCTTTCACAACGTAGGCACCAGATAAGATATGCGGCTTCAGAGATGAGGATGCGCCACATGCGTTCGACGAAGGGTCGTCGTTTCTTCTTGTCTGAGAACCAGGGGCGCATTCCAGCACTGAGGATGTCTTCAAGGTCAGGCTTGGTCCACTCAGCCTGTTTACGTCGCCATAGGTTTCCGGCCATGGCCCAGATTTCAATCTGGCCTGGTGCCGTACATTCAAGCAGTATGTGAGACATTGAGTCTATTACGCCACAGTATTGACACTGGGCACGTTCTTCGTAGCCAGATATCTTCGCCCAGAATCGACCAACACGGAAGGCGCTGTGTAGGCACTTCCATAAGAAGTCGGATATTGGTCGGCGGAAGTCACTGTTGCGTAGGCTTTGCCAGAGTTCATCAGCTGTTATGGTATGGTCCGACGTCAGATTAAGCTTTGCTAACACTGCTTGTACCGTCAGTGCAGTGGATCGTCGTACTTCCAAGGGTCGTCGTTGTATGATGAGGCGGTAAGCAATCCTTTGAGATAGGTGTGACAGTTTGGCACCTGACAGGTTGAGTGTAGGGTCTATAGTCAGTGAGACTGTTTTGGCCCCGCTATTGTCCATCAGGTATTTCACCAGGTGCCTGCCTTTGTCGATTGTTGACCAGTCATTCTTAGAGTTGGCTTTCCGGAATGACGTAGGGGTGCATCGCTGACGTAGAACATTTATCAGGTCTTTCAGCGCAGGCTTGTTGCTCATTCCCAACCAGTCCGTGTCCTCCCAACGTTGTATATCTTTACATAGTACATCGCGGAGGAATTGTGTCTCGCAGATAAATTCAATAGGTACGTCTTTGGGTATAAGCTGTACTGCGTATGCCGCAGCGGTGATCTCACCACTTGTTGTCAGATCGTCAATGTTGGCTAGTGGTTGTAGCAGCTGGGCTGCGGCCTCCTGGTTTCGCTCAAACATGAAGATGCCGCTTCCTTCGGGGGCTATTCGAGCTTCACCGTGTTTGAGGGCGCCGCTCGCTTCGAGGATATGTACTACGATTTTCCGGAATGCAGTACCTCGTCGCGGTCGCAGGTTCGGAGGGTTGACGAGGTTATTGTCATCCATGAAGGTGCGGAAGACTTCAGATATGCCTCCGCGTTCCGTGACTGACGGGTTAAATATTGCTTCTCCTCCTTTTACCTTGAAGGCGGCGCAGTTGGATTCTTCTCTCCTTTGGGTGAGAGTCAGGCCGTCGGGGATAAGATCGACTTGTGGGTTCCACTTGTCGCTTAAGGTAGTGAGTAAGCGTCGTGCTGCTTCTACACAAGAGAGGGGGTGCTGACAACCGTTGTTGGCAGCGGCAGCGCAAGAGTCACAGGGACATTCGAGAGGATCGGCTGGGCGTGGGGTTGGGATGAAGTCATGTCTGGCCAGCAGTAGGATATCGGCCACATGTCGGATGCCATGGTTCTTTCGTAGGCATTTGCTAAGGTGAGTGTTATCCAGACGGCGGAGGCGTTTGGACGCACTTATGTGGTACCACACAGGGAGCTTGCTTTTTAGTTCGTTACTCAGCTGGATTGCTCCGAATGATGTTTGATGTTTCTTTGCGACCTTTAGCATGCGTTTGATGTAGTGTGGTAGTGAGGAGGCCGCGTGTAAGGCCGGGTTCCAGCTTTGTAGGAACGAGTTTATCTGGGCTGAGGATTGTATCGCCCCGGCGGAACGGCTAACCTGTAGCGCAATTAGGATGTCGATTACATATGCCCAGCTCGGTCGGGAGTCAGATAGGGATAGGTACTTGTGGAGCCATGTGAGTTCAATCGCTTCATTTCGTGCATAGATGTCAAGGATATTTAATCCTCCTTCAGAGATCGGCGAGTGCAGAGTGTTGAGATTGACTAGGGGCGTCCCATTATTGCCCCATACAAAGGATCTAATCTTTCTGGTGAGCTCTTTCTCAACCGAGGCGGGCATGCCCTGTACCGTGGTGAGGTATTGGGTCATGCCTCCAGGTCCCATTTGGATAATGTGTTTCTTTCCCTTCATTGTTGGGTTACAGTGTCCCCATCTCGTCAGGAATTTGTCTACTTTTTCTAATGTCGGGATCCAGATGGCTGCCTCACGTGTTCGGTTTCCTATCCATGCACCAAGGATACGTACCGCTTCGCCATCTTTAGCAATGTGGACGAAGTCTGGGATACAAGGTGTGTTGCTTGTCGGGTCAATACGGCGAGAGTGTATAACTTGGGCCCGGTATTCAGGCGATCCAATTGGTATTATCTCAGTTTTGCCTGAGTTGAAGCGTGCTCCAGAGGCGGAGCACCAGTCGTCAAGTATTTCCCACAGGTCGGACCAGCGATCGCACTGTGCGAGGAATGTGGAGGTATCATCCGCGAATAGTGAGGTAATGATACGCTCTGTGAGTCCCGGTATCTGGAATCCTCGTAAGGTTGATCGACGGAGAGCACAGGCAAGTGGTTCAATCGCAAGATCGAATAGGAGACAGGACAATGGGTCTCCTTGTCTTACTCCTCGGCGTACTCGGTAAGGTTTGCTTATCTCTCCATTTATGATAATTACTGTCGTCGCATTCTCATACAGGTTCTTGGCTCGGGTGATGAATGATGCGGGTAGCCCCATTGCCTGTAGTATCTCCCAAAGGTAGTCATGTTGTATGCGATCATACGCCTTCTCCTGGTCAAGCGCGACAATGACGCCATTGTCGTCAGTGGCCTCGGCGTAGTCTACCATCGTCCGGCAAAGTTGTGTTTGATCCGATATCTGGCGTCCCGGTATGAAGCCGGCCTGGTCAGGGTGAATGATGGACTTAACGACAGATCCGAGTTTGGTCGCCATAATGCGTGTGTAGAGCTTATAGTCCGTGTTAAGTATCGTTATTGGGCGGTAGTTACTGATGTCTCTCTTGTCCTTCTTCTTATAGATGGGGCACATCCACCCGTCAGCGAATCCAGATGCTGTGTTTATACCATGGGAGTCGATGTCGTCAAGGACGTTTAGTAAGTAGGCCGTGCTGTTGAAGGATGTGTCGTCATCTGATGCTGTGTCGTCTTGTAGTACTTTCCAGAATTCGTATGGAATTCCGTCCAGGCCGCTCGCTTTGCCTGCCTGAGCTTTCTTTAGTGCGTCTTTGATGTCCGCGGTACTGATTCGAGATTGAAGTACTGCATTGTCTCTGTCATTCAGGGATTGTTGAATGTTATTTATGGCCGATGATATGGCCGTCTTGCGTATGGTGGGGTTCGTCTGTCCGTCATCGTTGTTTTGTAGTGAGTCATGGTATTGTCGGGCGAGTTCGGCCATGTCTGAGGAGCGTCGTACATAATCGTGCGTGCCAGGTTTCCTTAGGGCATAGATTATGTCTCTTGGAGTTTTGTCTTTGTTGATGTTCGACCAGTATTTGCTTAACGTTTCAGCGTTTAGGGCGTACCGAGCGACAGTGGCTTCGCGGACATGTTGATAACGTTTGCGTTCAAGCTCAATGACGCGGTCCAAGAGCACTTCAGCTTCGGTTTGTAGTTGAGCAGTCGAGCTATACGCAGGATCGGCCTGTATACCATCAATCGCCGCTGTTATTTTTGTAATCGCCGCAGTGAGCTTTGGGGCCTTTTTCTTCATGATTGTCCTTGCTAATTTAATTGTGTTGTCTTTGAAAGCTTTGTGTATCGTTTGGGCATTATTAGCTGGTGAGCGTGTCCCGCAGTTCTTAATTGTTTTCATGTCATTGAGAGCTCTATTCCCAATGGTCTTGATTTCGGCCAGGAAGGACTTGTCTTGTAGTAACGCAAGGGGAAGAGTCCAACGGCCTTTCCCAATGTATGGGGCTGTCGTAGTGCTCAGCAAGGCCGAGGCTAGTCGGTGATCCGTAGGTATACCCGTTGATTGTATCTTCCATACCTGAGAAGATTGAAGTAATCGTCCAGTAACATATATCCTGTCAATTCGAGAACGGACGTCGGACGCTCGTTGTGGGAAGGTGTAGTCGCAGTGCGATGGGTTGGTAATACGCCAGCCGTCTTTCATGCGGAGTCGGACGAGTAGCTTTTGTAAGGGTTCGGTTATGGACATAGGGTCTTCGCGTGGAGGGAGCCTATCAATTGGTTCTTCAACAGCGTTGAAGTCTCCAAGTAGTACATCAGGGAGCTTGTGATGCGGATTGGCATAATGGTTTTCAATCGTCAGCCAGAACGCGGAGTTAGCAGCTGGGTCATTCGGGGCATAGACGTTAAGTAGGGTCAGTTTCTCCTCTTTGTGCCAATGTATGGTCGTAGCCATTGCTCTCCCGGGTACAATAGTTGTATTGTCGCAGCGGGCCGTGTCGACTATTTCTCTATTTAGGATTAGAGCGACACCTCCAGCATTGTCATCGTGTGATAGTCCGGGTATAACCGCCATACGTCTTCCGTATAGTCGATGTATTTGGTCTATAGTTGTACTGTTGAGATGCGATTCTTGTATCGCCAAGACTCCAATCTTCTCCGTGCGTAACAGCTGATTAAGAGCATTCCACTTATTGTTAGTGGTGCCTGTTAAGGATCCTCTGCCGTTGATGTTTAGTGTGGCTACATTAAGCGTGGCCCGAGTGTTACGGCCTTTCTTAGGCTTAGTCGATGCCCCAGGGTTGTGATTACTCAAACTCGTACCATCCTCCGTTGGCGACTCTGCTAACAAGTCTTGGAGGACTGCCCTGCCGTCCGATCCTTCCGACGATTCATTGGGAGTCACACGGGCAGGAGGCGAGATCATCCCTTGTCGTCGGGAGGGAGGTTGTCCAGTTGCCGTTCTAACGTCCGTGGTGTGATGTGTTATGTTGTTGTTGTAATGCGCCGCTGCAATCATTCCCGCCGCTACAGCGATCCACGGCGGGCGGGGACTGCTCCTGAGCCCCACAGGTGACATGCGTGTTCCTTGTAAAGGGAAGTTGCTTAAGCCTCTCGGCGGGGCAAGTCTCCGAGTGCCCCAGTGTGAGAAAATGGAGAAGTTTGTGTATTCTTTAAGAGCGTGCTGTCAGGCTTTCCTGTCCCGCTGTGGATGGCCAGTATATGTGGGCCTTTCAGCGCATTCTTCTGTGTTCGTTATCGTGACATTTATTAATATTCTTTTTAAGTACTCTTGTGTTTGAGCTGGTCAGCTGTATCGCAAGATGTTTGTGTGAGGTGCGGGCGTCACGAGTTTTTGGTACGCAGATGTGATTTCGGAAGAGCGCAGGGTATACTTAATACAGCATGATGATACATCGTAGTGCGATACGCGAAATGGTGAATGAGATAGTACAGAATAGCGGTAGAGAGTAGAGATCGTGCTACGCGAGGCGGGCTAACAGTTCAGAGACCAGCATACAAGGGATGAGCGAAATTTGTCAGAAGTTACCGCGGCCACGGCCATTCCCTCCACGTCCACGACCATTGCCGCGACCATTACCGCGTCCACGGCCCCTGCCAATTGCACCGTTCGCACCGTTGTTCTGCGGCGGTTGGGCTTGCTGCTGGGTCTGCAGGGGTGGCTCGTGCCAGCCGATCGTCCGACGTACGCTGCATGCCCCTGCGATGTGGCCGAGCGAGTGGCAGTAGCCACACCAGACTCGGCTCGTGAAGGGTTCGGGGTGTCCTGCAATGTTTGACCCGAAGTGGTGGCGCTTCAGCTGGCTGCTGAATCGCAACCAGTCGCGGCGGTCAGACGTGGGAGGCATGACGTAGATGACGGCAACAGGCTCCGTCGTGTTCGCGGAGACGCGGCAGTGGATGATGTCGACGTCGATTGAATCGAGGATGGCGTTGAGAGCGTCGATCCTTGTTGATCCGCGCCACATCCCGCCGCGAGAGATGTCGCGCGTGAGGACATCATAGGTGGTGTCGAAGAGGTCCGATTCGAGAAGGGCGCGGCGTACAAGATTCTCGTACTCGGCCTTGGTCTGTGCTCCAAATCTATAAATAAATCTGAACATACCGCACAGGTGGGGATTCGAGTCGCGCCAGAAGTCAAAGTTGAGAGTGATGGGGGTAGAGTTGAGCCAACCTAGACCTACAAGAGCTACAATAGTGGGCAGAGGAATCCCCCGCGCTAGGTACCAGAACGGCTCAGTGTTCATACCATGGAAGCCGGCGACGGAGTAGCCTGGAAGGATGAAGGCACCGGGGATCAGTAAGACGCGGCGGAATACTTCAAGCATGAGTTCAATACGCATACTGACCCCGGGTTCTTCTGTGCCGTGGAAGGGAATCTGAACTGCAAGTACAGACTCAGTGTCGTCAAGCTCGTTCCAAGACTCGCGCTGGGCGGCCGCCATGCCACGTCCCCTCCAGCTCGCGCTATCGCCTTGGACGCGACGCCAGGAGCGTGATAGAGGGGCGACGTAGTCGGGGTCCAGGGCATCGACGTCGAAGGTGATTGGAGGCTCGTCCGGGCCGTCGTCAGCTGAGGTCTGGGAGGTGCTCGCGACAGAGGCGGCCCGGTGTTCGCGACGTTCGCGGCGGAGCAGACGGCGGCGGATGCGACGGCGAGAGTGCGAGGAAGACGTTGGGATGGGAGTGTCAGGCCGAGTAGCGTCAGCCATTTCGACCTCCTGAATCGAGGGCGTTCGCTGCGAGGAGCGCCAAGAGCCATCGTCGTCGATGCTGCTCGTGCTAACCACCGACCATCGATGGCCGCGGGCCGGTGCGATCGGAGTTGCCTGTCGTTGGTGCCTGTGGGGAGCGGGCGTGCGCGGGGAGCTAGTTGGGATGGACGACGGAGGGAGCGGGAAGAGCGGCAGTAGATCACCGATATCCGATTGGTCGTCGTCGTCAGAGGTGTCGATGGACGCCCTCGCCGCGCGCCCGCTATGCCTACGCCCAGATGCAGGGACGTGAAGTGGGGTATGGGGCGAAGAGTGGTCCGGGATAGCCAGGAGCGACTCGACAACATCAGAGTCAGGGACGATCGCGAAGCCGATGTCGAGCGAGCTGTCGACGACCGAGTTGTGAGGACGGGAGGACGACGGCTCGTTGGATTGGACAGGGTGTGGGACTCTCGATGACGACGCCGCCGGCTCAGACGAGGCCGTGGGGGGCTGGGAGGTTTCAGACGTGGGCAGACGGACAGGAGCGTTCTGTGTACGCGTCTCGACAGACGGGGAGTCCTCATTGCCAAGGTCTTCCTCGGTGCGGCGGCGTTTCCTCGACGCGCTGCCAGGGTCCTCGGCCTCCACAACTTGGTCCTCGAGTACGACGCGGCGAACTTCGTCAGGGCGCGGCGTATTGGACCCACGGCGGCCAATGGCGCCGGCCACTGCCTTGCCTTTTTTCTTGTGAGAGACAACGGTCCAGCCGGCCTCCTGGCTGGACATAGTGGCAAGACGAAGGTCTTATGTGTCTAATCAGCGTGCGGTTCGCAGCGTGTGATAGTTAGGGTACGTACTGTTGTTCGTTACATTTGCCAGAGAGACTGGGGTAGACGGTGGCGGCGCAGGGCCTGCAGTGTTTTGATCATTTTCATTGGAGTTTCGCGGAGAGAGAGACCTAGCGACCGCGGACGCATAAGAGCGTCCCGGCGAGAGCCTGGCCGACGGCGACGACGAGGTCATCGCTCTATATGTCGTCGGGCTCTGGGGTCGAGAGTTGGGGACATCTTCGTACGCGCCCTGGGCGGCGACGTTGTTCGTAGTGAGCATAGAGCCACCGTGGTTCGAGGAGGGTGTCTGGTTCATGTTGGTTAGGCGGGCGTAGGAGGACAGAGCAGAGGAGACGATGAGCAGGGTAGAAAGAAGAGGCGAGTAGACGAGTAGAAGCGAGCAGAGAATGATACAGGGTCACAAAAGTGATGTCGTACCGTTGAGACTTTCGCGTTTATTTAAGGAACACGGACGACGCGTTCCATTTGTCACTAGTCGCGTTCGGATTGGGTGAGCAAGTTAATTTGCTGTACAGGAGTGTGAGCCTAGTCAGCTGTGTGGAGTGTGGTGTTGCGATGTCGTGCAGAGCAAGGTCACAGTCGGGGGAGATCGAATTTCAAAGTGTTTTTTGACATGGGTGCCGACGCAGCAGGTAGAAGAAGACGGGAGGAAGACAATGGGCGTACCATTTTCGGTTTCAAGGCGCGAGGCTGTCCTCCACTGCGACGCGTTATCTCTCCCTCCGTTCCAAAGTCGGTATGTCTATGACCTGAGACAAGTTCTCGGGACACTAAGGGTCCAGCCTGAAGGGACGCGCTGTGTCGTTGTGCATTGAGTTTCATCAAAGTTGGGAGCTGCCGCTGTCTGCACCAAAGTGTATGCCGTATATGCGTGTGACTTGTACCTCGATGACATCGAAGCTGGCGAGGGCGGGCGTTGATATTAGTGTTGCATTTTCAGCTTGTTATTTTCGGTGTTTTTGCAGGAAAGTCGGCATGTTCAGGAGCATGAGACGCGAGATTGAGTTGGCATACACAGGAAGGGCAGAGGCACAGAGGCGGGGCTGGTTGGCGGTGCGGTAGCGGAGGTACATCATAGGCGCGAAAGCTCTTCGCTGCAAAGGGCCATGGGCGCTTGCTTTGGGCACCTTACTGCCTAGGCGGGTATTTGGCGTTAGTTTCAGTTTGATCGACCCGGTGGCGCATATTGGACGTGGAGGCCTGGGCATATGATTGGGTCGGTGAGGTGCGGTGTCTCGATTGTCATGATAAGGTTTGCTGGTCTCAATATATTCGGTCTAGAACAGGTGCCTCTAGTACGATGCTAGTCTATCTATCCTTAGCCATCGTGCGGCATGCCCTCATCGTATACCGCCACCACTCCATCGCCACCATGGTGAGTTTCCACCAGATCCCGGGTTTTGGGGTCTTTCGCCATTCGTGCGCGCAGCCGCGCTACGGCGCCCGGGGTAATGTCAAATTCATAGGGATTAGAGTCGGGATTTTGAAAGTCAGGTTTGGTGAGGAAGGCGCGGTGCGGTTCGGGAAGTAGCGGGAGTGAGTGATAGACAAGTGTGTGTGTGTAGCCATCTAGGTCGCAGAGGCGGGCCCATGGGATTGGGACTTTGATTTGTAAGCCGTGTTTGCTGCCGGTGAGTCGGAACGTGACCCAGTGGCGCATTAAGGTCACGGCTTTCGAGACGCGTCCAGTCTCGATCACATGGCTGCCCGTGCGGAGGGTTAACACGTGCCCTCGGGCCAACGGCCTGTTAGGCTGTCTCTCAACAATCCACGTCTCCCTCCTTCCGTCTTCATCAAGCTCGGGGGTAGGTTCGACAAGGACGTCGACTGCAATTGAGTAGGCGGGTTGGTAGGAGGTACGTGTTCTGGATGTCTGCGATCCAGCCGCGAATACAGTTGATGAGGATACGCCAGGACGGGTTACGTGCTGTCCATCGTGGTATGCCTGAATTATGGGCGATTGGGCAGGAGGGCTACGCGTTTTTCCAGATGAGAATGCAAAGAACATCAGGTAAGGTGTGCGCGTCTATTTTACAGGGAGCTTACGAGGATTATATAGGCAATAACGTCAGTGCAACGTGACGTGTCATACGGGCGTTTCGTGTGCTTTATAAGGCTTTCAAGAGCTTCAGAAGACAGTGGTATGCACTAGGGTGTAGGATCATGCAGCATAGAGTGGAGTATGTAGGCGGGCAGGGCCGTTATGGACGGGGGAAGCATCCGGGTGGGAGGTTTCCACGGGAAGCTTCAGCGATTAACTCGCTGGAGGTGTGAAAGACAGTGGTATGCACTAGGGCTTAGGATTATGCAGCATGGAGGGGAACATGTAGGAGTGCATGGCTGTTACGGACGGGGCGGCCGTCTGTAGGAGCGGATTCCTCGAGATGCATCAGCTTATACTGCTAGGACGCGTTGTGAAGGGGCGTGATCGTTCCGTTCACGTGAATAATCTAGGCCGCGGGTCGTTTGGTCCGGTCTCGGGCGTTTCGGGCCGGGCGAATCGGAAGCGCTTTTGCACAGCTTCTGATTCGCGCGAGTACGTCGAGATCAGCTATCTGCTCGTCGTGAGGGGGCTGGGCCAGTACCTGGGGATGTCGTATTCGCAGTACAGCAGTGTGGGTTAGGAGTCATGGTTGCAATGCGTGAGTTCAGGTCAGTCTATATGGTGTCTGGCACAAGAATCACTTAGTCGGTTGTCGGGCTACGAGGTCGTCGCCATTGTGATCATGATCGAGTACGACGTTCAGCCGGCTCGTCGGGAGGGTCCCAAGACCCGCCAAGACCGCCAGAAGGGTCTTTCCGTTACCCTTAAGCGGTTCAGGGTGTTCGGAGAGCAGGTCATCTGCAGCTAGCCGTACAACAGTGATTTTGGTTGAGCCAGGCGTATCATATCAGGTTGGTCTCCAACCCGTTTAGGCCTGGTATCATGTAAGGTACCAAGGGCCGGTCATACAGAGCGTAGAGTACATCGTACTATGTCGTAGTCGATGTTCAGGCCAGTACAAGCGACTGTTGTGGAAAAACTTTCCAGCCTGCGACCTCGAATCTGGTATCCACCAGAGGTCGTTATAGTGCAGTTGGTTTCACCTCCTACGAGGTTACTTATCCCCTGGACCACGTAAAGGTCTGCACTGGACTCGTCGACGACGAGCCCACCCAGGGGGTCCAATGAGACTTGAATGAGACTGTCCAATGTCGCGATTCTCCTAACGCGGTGCTGACTAAGCGAGGGCTCGGACGTTGCGGAAAAGACCCGATATTAGCATATCGGAACCAGTGGGTTAATGACTGTGGTACCAGGAAAACCAATGCATCGACAGGAGTGCTTGGGAACGAGCCGTTACAAAGTGTTACAGTGACTAGTGGATGACTGCCGCACCGCGCTGCGGCTTTGCGTCCCTCTTCACTACTTATTGAATTCAACTCTCATGATCTCTTACCAGCGAGCCCCTCAAGAATAGTACAGTTGAATCCACTACAAATTGACAGAGAATACAGGGTTCGCTGTCCAATAATTCCTCATTTGTCATACCAGTAATGATTCATGAATCAGAACCTACCCCAATCTCTATGCACAAGAATACACAAGACACCCCAAGACACCAAGCCGCATCCTCATCGTTACGAGCGTGTGGCGGACTCGCGAATCCCAAGGATTGCCGACTTGGCCCGACTTGGCCTGGTCACCCAGCCGTTGGTGGTCTTCTCTTCTCCGTTGGTAATAAATGCCGCAAAGGGCCTTCGCCGTTCGTCCAATCGTCACACCTTCTCTCATGAGTCAGGGTTTATGTACATATGACGCTCAATCGCGGAGGTATATATCAGTTCTCTATGTACTCCGAAAACAAGTGCTGTGTGCCGCAACACTGCGACTCAATAACTGTCTATAACAGACGATATAAAAAGCTCAGGCTACTTAGGATACGGGCGAACAGTGTCAACGATGCTCGAGAGAGTTGTGAGAGAGAGAGAGAGGAGAACAAACAGCCAATAGCGAGGGTGGGTGAGGATGAGCGAGACAATGTCAGTTATCAATAGATCGTGGGCGATCGACGCCACGGCGGTCCACCGAGGGGACCGCACTGATGTCAGGACAGACAGACAGGACAGGGCACGACGCGGGGGACGAGCGCACTGCCAGCTACTATACAAAGAGCCAGGTGACGCAGAAACGGCGGTAGAAACAGAATAAGAAAGGTGAAAGCCAAGGATCAGTTTACTGACAGAGGAGAATGGAGGGAGAAGATGTATGTGCACTATCGACGAGCGTCCCTTCTAGCAAAAGCCAAAGCGGTACGGTGGGCTGAGAGCGATGCAATGTGTTGTGAACAGCAATGTCCCGAAGTGCGAGTGGTCGGTTTTGGTGCTTGTGCTGGCGCCGAGCGCGAGGATCGTCGTAAAGGGGCGTGAAGGAAGTTAAGCCGGGGCGGGCTATACGATAGTTTAGGCAGTCGGTCGTGGACGTGGTCATGAGGGTTGCCGCATGCAAAGCCTGGCACACACGCACACAGCAGATCAGCACCCGCTGCCGTCACATTCCCACAAACGAAGGACGCACAATTTCACCGACGAGTCTCGCGAACTCATCCGCGACAGCAGAACGCACCCCAGAAGCCTCTGTGACGTCCGCCATGCTCATCCTGCTCTCCCACCCTCGCCATCTGCTCCCGGTCATACATACCTATCGCACGCGTGCCCGCGCCGCCCATTGCGTCGCGGTTCGCGGCCGTCCCTGCCGTCGTCGTCCCCTCCCGCGAGTTCGTCCCGTTCTTGGCCTGCTGCTGGCCATACACGAACGAGTCTGATGCCCCCGGTTGCCCGTTCGCCGGAGGCGCAGGCGATGAGCGGTCGTACGCCGTCGCGCGATACCCACCCGGGCTCGGCGTCGCCGCGTAAGGGTGGGATGCTAATGCCTGGCTTTCCCGCTCCGCGCGCGATACGTGCTGCTGGCTCTGCCGCCGGCTCGCAGGCGGCAGTGGCTGCACGCTCGCGTGCTCGCGCGAGGTTCCTCGAGAGGCCTCAGCGGCCACGCGACGGCTGCTGCTCTTGACATGTGCTGGGGTGGGCGCGAGTACCATTTGCGAAGACGGCGACGGCGCGGCGTCTTGCACGGGTTGGCGCGAGCTGCGCCGATGGCCGTCATGGCCGCGCGAGCGGTGCTCGCGGTGCGGGGTATGCGGTGCAGCAGCATTTGCATGAGCCTGTGCGAGCAGGGTCGAGGGCGTCTGTGAAATTTATATCAGTCACCCCTTTGCGCAGTGGCGTGGAAGACGTACGTGACCAGCCTCCCAGCCCTTGCCATTGTTCAGGAGCATCCAGTCGAAGACGCCATCCTCAGGCTCGCCGAGCGTCTTCAGCACCTTCGTGAACAGTTCGCGGAGGAAGTCGTAGTCTGGCGTCTCCTCGAAGCCGAGCTTACGAACATAGTTCATGTAGATCGCGAACTCCTCTGCACCGCACATGAGCCACGCTGCTTCCACCAGTACATACGAGCACACCTACCTGGGAAACCCTCGCACAGCTCCTGTATGGACGTGCTCTGCTTCTTCTCACCGATCTTCTCGTACTTCTGCTTGTTCGTGGCAGCGCGCAGACCCTGCCACGGCAGGCCGCCGCGAAGGAAGTACATGAAGACATGACCAAGCGACTCCAGGTCGTCTCGGCGCGACTGCTCGCGACCGAGATGTGTGTTGATTGACATGTACCGGGCCGTCCCGGAGAGCGACTTGCGCTCGCGGTAAGGAATGTGCTGTTTCGTCTTCGGATCACGGTAGTGTTTCGCCATTCCAAAATCTGTGCAGGAATCAGCATGGGAGTCATAGCAACCCTCGCGTCGTTGTAATGCGACGGAGCAAGGATACAAACAGCAAGAACAAGCATGGATCGAATGGGTGGCGGAAGAAGCAAGCTCCGAACCACCTCATGTCGCCCTGCGGCTCCGAGCACCCCTTCACAGAATCGCGGAGTATCAAATGTAAGTACTTACCGATGATGTGGATGGTGTTCGCGTTCTTCGATCCGGGGACACCAATAAGGAAGTTGTCGGGTTTGATATCACGGTATATGAGGGATTTCTCGTGGATTGCTTGTACACGAGTGACCTGAGAGACTGGTCAGCAAGCACAGACAATACAGCGGCCGCTTGCCACCTCAATGTCCGGTGGACGATATCGCGTGAAGGGGAGACAATAAACGGCAAGGACCACATGTGACAGGAGAAATGGAAGTAGCCACGCCGCCGCCCGGGTCCCGTAAAGATTACGGTTGTTTTGGGGAGAAATGGGGACACCGCGATTTCAACCGCGTAGGTACTGCTGCATATATTTCATCGCTTTGCTTGCGAGGGGAGATGGCCAGACACAGAGGGGCCATGAGCTCAGGCAGAGCGCCTGTGTGCATGCCGTGGACACCACGTCCCTGAGCGCCGAACGTCGTTACCGGCGGCGAATCTCCGCATGGCTTGCGAATTGAATGAGGAACAGCCACTGATACGCCCCCTCCCATACTGCGCCACAGTGCGCGACTCCGAAGGCATGTCGAGGACCACTGTGCGCGCAGCGACATTGGCCGTGGGACACGTAGTAACGAACTCACCATCTGCCTGGCCGCCATGCATACAGTCTTGATGGTGAATTTGCGCCCACACATGTCGAAGAGGTCCTCCAGGTTGGGGCCGAGCAGGTCGATGACGAGAACATTGTGTAGGCCCTCCTGGCCGAAGTAGTGTACTTGAGGAACTCCGGCTGAAAGACGGGTCAACGCTTGCTCTGCTGAGGAACAGAGGACATACGGGTTCCGTTCAGTGTCCGGTATGACCTGTACTCATCCCTGAGCTGTGGTGCCTCCGACTTCCGAGGTTCCTAGGGCGACTGTGAGGACGACGGAGCGAGGAGAATGGACTGCACTCACAAACTTGATGGCAACGGGCTGGTTGTTCAGCAAGTTCGTTCCTACACAGACACCGCTGAGCTCTCCTCCAGCCCTAGGGGCCCATAGAAGTAACCATACCCTCGAAGACGACACCGAAGGAGCCCTCGCCTATCTTCTTGCCGACCCGAAAATGCGCACCCACGATGCCGTTCGACGTCGCAGACTGGGAGCCATGATGGGCGGACGAAGAGGCTATAACGTGGGGGGTGGCCATGGTGGGGAGGAAGAGACGGGAGGGAGGAAATAAAGGAGGAAATGTTGAGAGGGACGCTGAGCCGCTCGGGCGGGGGCGAGGGAGAATGATGGCGGAGTCTAAAGGCACGCCCGTCCATATATGGTGCCCCAGATACGCCACGCGCCCGCGCCGTCCCCGCCTCACCCTCCTCCGCCACTGCCATCCGCTGCGACCGCAGTCTATCAGGCCGTCAGGTTCTGTACAGATCCGGCATCATCTCCCGCTCGTTCTACATACTCTCGATGGCGAGCTGCTGCATCCGTATCTTTTCAGGCCTGTGAACGGACTTGCACCCTTATTACACTACATACGCAGTCAGGTACATCCGGAAATGAGTCAGACTACAGTGTGGTATCTGTATGACTACCAGCGTGACTTCGGCAGGTGCCTTGCTCACAGCCCTCGACGTCTCGGACACACTCCATGCTAAGTAAGAGCATTCATTTTATATCGCCTTTGATCATAGTGGTGCACACATGTCCTACCACCCGGGGAGGTTGGCCATTTGTGAACCGTGTAGGTGGTCTGCCAAATACTGTAGCCACTGGACAACCAGACGCACCGCGGACGTATGAACTCCGTCAGCCATGACATCTGCGCGTACACGCCCGAAAGGACTCACTCACGTCCTCGGCGTACGTTGCCAGCCAAACGTAAGTGTTCTATTCGCGATCGACACAACAGATACGAGACAAGGATGGACATTTTCATTTCATCAACGATAGTACATGTACTATGTACATGTAACAACGTAGGTACTCAGTTGACATTTTGCGTCGAGTCATCGAGGCATCACAGGAAGGGTGTCAGGGCGAAGCACACGTACCAGTTATTCGCGGAACATACGTCGCACCTCGTGTTGGCAAGAAAAATCTGCTAGATGAAGCAGTCAGTGTCATTTCATGATGCAATGAAGGTGGACGAAGTGTCAGAAGGGGTTGCCCGAAGTAATTGAGCTGTGGCGGGCACTTTCGGCAGTAATAATACGAAGACCGTCGTGATAAAGCATCATTCGAATGACAATGAGACGCGATTCTCACCTTTTTCACTCGCTGCACTGGGCGCTGCATCATGATCTGACTGTTGAGTTACTTACGCCTCGAGTGGTCCTGAGTAACATGAGTCAGCATCGGTAAGACGAGAAGTATGAAGGAGCTCAGAGAATATAAAAAACAGCCTTGGATTTGTCGTCATAATCGAGGTCCGTAGACCAAGATCAGGCGGTAATTCCATGTGTTACATCACAGCAACATGCAGGCACGGACGTGATGCTTACCTGATCGTTGTCGGATATGACCGATTGCTGCTTCCATCGGAGATGTTTACGCATGGTCGACCTGAGGCAGAAGGAACCAATTAGAAAAGGTTCATTCCACGAGGACACGATAGAAAGAGAGTATCAGTGGATTGACAGATATATGTAAAGCATCGAGCCTTGTAGACTCTCAGATACTCTAGTTTGAATGATAATGTTTCATCGCGTAGAGTATGCGCAGGAGGGCAAGTCCACAAAGAATTCCCAACTCACCATATAGTTTACAGCGTCGACCTGCCCTCGTTCATCCCAAGGGCCAACGCTTTCCAGCACGCTCCTGACAATAGAGCAGTCAGATGAAGGTTCATAAAGACGAATCTCCAAGGACGCGAAAACCGATCAGTGTAACTATGACATAAAAGCTCAATATCATCGCGTCAACGACCTGGTAAAGGTCGAGGACACTGGAGGTAAACGAAGAGTATCATCAAATCGAACAGGCAGCTTGTGCACGAACAAAGGCGAAGACCACGGGTACTCACCATGCACGCGAAGGGGCTCGTCATCCGTGACAGTTCGGTGGGCCATCGAGACAGGAAAACAAACGCGTGCAGGAGAATTTTAGCGTGTCGGGTCAGTTCAGGGCAGGTCCAAGGCGGGATCACCGGCGCGTCTTTCACGTGATGCGACGCGTTCCGAGCCTCCGAAGACCGACCGACTGAAGCACAATTCTTGGCTGTCTTCCCCACCACAATGCTCCTACTATCTTGCAGACTTGCATCACAACATGGTCATGCACGAATATACAGCGCGAAGTCTTGCGCGCGACGCCTCTCAAGCTCGGGGGCTCAGCCAATAGCACCTGTAGACCTGCATTATGACAGACTGGTGCCGAAAGACAAGAACGCGACGGACAGGCCCTTGGTCATCCTGCACGGCTTGTTGTATGTGTATTACTTCAATGAGGTGGTGCGCAACTGACACGCACCAGCGGAATGAAGCGGAACTGGCTCTCGCTTTCCAAAGCGTTCCTCCGGGACTTGGACACGCCAGTTTATTCGCTAGTGAGTGACACGCCCCTGCATGCCCATCTCACCATTGAACTCAGGAAGTGGTAGGACCTGCGTAATCACGGGACGTCCCCTCACGCAAGGCCTATGAACTACGCCGCCATGGCCACGGACGTCCTGCATTTCTTCCGCACGCACTCCCTCACGAACGTCTCGCTCCTCGGCCATTCGATGTGAGTCCTCGGCCGAACGCGTGCGCGCATCGCTCATGACTTTAGAAGGGGAGGCAAGGTTGCGATGTCGGTCGCGCTCAGCCCTGAGTGCCCACCAGACCTCAAGCATCTCATTGTCGCGGACATCTCGCCTGCGAAGGGACCCTTGTCGGCGGAGTTCAGCGGGTACGTCGAGGCGCTGACGAAGATACAGAATTGCAAGATCACGAGCCGTAAGGAAGCGCAGGAGATTCTGAAATTGTACGAGCAGGTGAGCAGAAACCATACATCATTCGTACGACGTTAGCTAATCGAGGCGGCCCCTCGACTGACAGGATACAATGACCCGCTCGTTCCTCCTGACGAACCTTAAGCGTCAGGGATATGATACCCAGGCGCTCGAGTTCCAAATTCCTCTAGACATCATCGGCGACAGCATCCCGGAGATTGGCTCTTTCCCGTATGAGCCCGGTGAGCGAACATGGGAGGGCAACACACTCTTCATCAAGGGTACGAAGAGCAAGTGAGTTCTTCGCTCCTCTTACACGGTCCTGCGTGAACGTGATGCTTTGGGTCAGGTACATAAACGACCGTAATATCCCCGTTGCGAAGCAATTCTTCCCGAACATGGCGTTGGAACGCTTAGAAGCCGGCCACTGGGGTAAGTGTCAATGGACTTCTTTATGATGCCCTGTTGTGCTCATTCGCAGTATCTCTCTTCAGTGCATGCCGAGAAGTGAGTGAACCGTAACTGCTTTACCGTGCTATGAAATTGACGTGCGTATCGCTAGGCCAAATGAATTCAAGCACCTGGTCACGGATTTCATCAAGACTCACTGACCATAGATCACAATATTGTACCACAATCACAGACTAATCGAATAGAGCGTTGTTGTGTCGCGGAGATCTACTGCCACGGTAAGATCGCTGTGGATATTCGGGCCAAGAAGATAGGATCAGAGGAAGTTGAGTCTAGGACGAGGGGTATACCGTCGATGTTATGGTGATACTTCATCCACTCATCAATAGCATCCCCACCCAGGAGTAGTCGCTGACTTTCATGACCATCTCCCGGATTACTGTAATCCCGCTTCAGTGGGCACCGAGTTAATGCAAGGCCAACACAATGACATTGCCTCCGGTCTGACGCTGTCGGCCACGAGAATTCTGCTTGGGAATGTGACGGGTTTCAGACATGGTGCTGCTGTTTATAATCCTGTTACGGAGTGCACGTCTTCTCAGCGAATACGTTGCGATACACTTGCATCTCTCTCACTCAGGCTACATTCGGTCTGTTCCTCATGGACATACTGTATCAAGGCGCGGTCCTTGTCGCGAACATTTATATGGCCAACCCGTTGATAGATCCCAAAGTCAGCACCATTGACAAGATAGCACCCACATGCCGCATGGGTGTCCGACGTGGCTGAATGTTCGCGTAGCGCCGCTGTCTCCGTCACAAATGGCATCATGCATGATGTCCTCCTAATCCTCCCCTCTGATCTGGACGGCTATGTCACTATGTGTGCTCTACTCAGACTCTGTCCGTAAACTCGATCTGTAGACTCAGAGCTCCAAAATGAATCAAATCCCTTCACCTACATATTAGCAGGAGTCAGACTGGTGCGGTACACGGGCAGTCAATCTTATCAGATAAACTAAATTAGAACATAATGACGGCGCCGCGGAGCGCGAGCTCTCAGAGGCGTTTCCTCCCAGACTCCCGTTTGGGGTGGTCTGCTACGCAACTAGTCCATCTTGCTCTCGACTCCCACCTCCTCTGGCCCTCAGACTTTGCTCACCTCGTCACGACCCGCATGTCCTCGACGAAACGGCGCCGCGACGGCGCGAGCTGTTGGCAACAACGAGCGTACCCAGTGGCTGCCCTGACCCTCTCCTCAATATTTCTGGTCGGGCTCGCAACAAAGTTCGACTTCTTCTCGTCGGGACATTTACCTGACCTTCTCCACAAGAACAAGCCTGTCTACGGTGAGCCTTTCCTGGGGGGGCGTGTATGCGCAGTCATCTGAGCGAGGGGGACAGACTTTCCGGACTTCAACAAGGTCACTCAGGTGTACACCCTTTCAGAGGGGGAGCTGGGCCTCAGTGAGTCGCGCGCAGCTTCGTGCAGCCTGCTCGCTGACGAGCGCGTAGATGACCCGAACAGACGGGTCTTGCTTATCGGGGATCTCCACGGAATGAACAAGTCCCTCCAGTACGTTCCATTCCTTCCCAATCATCCTCGCTTCTCTTCGCATTATGGCATACTTCCTGGGTGCCTGCGACTCCTCATGCTGGTCATGTGCCTCTGTGTGTGCAATGCGCTGCCTATGATTGGTGTACGCGATGCTGGACTGCGACCTCTGTCCCATCGATGTGCCCCGGAGCATATAGTACGCCAGGTTGTCCAGCTATGGTCATTTTGCGCCCTTTGATGGATGACTGAACGGGCGACGACCATCTTGCGACACCGCGGGTACACCAGCTTTTTCGAACCCCGAACCGCTACAAACATTGCCTGGGTTTTCTGAGAATGTTCGGGTTCCGAACATTCTCAGAATATCATGCGCTATAGCTTGGTCGGAAGCATGTTCGCAGCGTGTTCGCAGCATGTTCCACGCAAACACGCCTTTGCCTAGTGTTCTCGGAGCATTTTCTGAGTCTGTCAAATCTCAGAAAAGGTTCCCATGAGGGACTGATGTTCGTAACATCTTCGGAGTCCGAACAACCTGGTTTGCCCGTAGTGGGAGTTATAGACGCGCTCAACGCACCAGTTCGCTTGTGTACACGCCTCAATTTATCCTGGCAACCGCGCACACGACGACTCGCCGTCGTTGGCTGGTCTTCAGAATACGTGGGACATGCCACATTCTGTCGTTACCATAATATACGCAAGGAGCTGCGTGCCGGCTGACTATATGCGGGAAAAGCGAGTCAATTCACCGCGGCGACAGCCACGAATGTTACACCATGTAGTACGCCACGCGTACCTTACATGCACGTTAGTTCACAAGTTACAGTCATTCTGCTCTGGGGTTCCATTCGCTGATATCACTTCTGCCTGGCATGGAGATTCACGCTGGAGTTCGGTGTAGTCCTGCCCGCTACGAGAATTATAGGACGGGATGGCATGCTTTCAATTGTGCCGACGCCCGACTTCGTCCCCCGAAAACCATTGTTCGATATGTGACACTAACGTTCCTCCAGCCATTTGCTCTCCGCCACACACTACGACCCCGCGATCGACACAATTGTCCTCACAGGCGACACAATGGCGAAGTCGACGCTCTCCGGCTCACTCGCTATCCTCGACTTCATCACCTCGCACAAGTGCGGGACAGAGCCCGGACCCCTCTACGCCGTGCGCGGGAACCACGACCAGACGATCGTCCAGTGGCGCGCCTGGCGAGACTGGTTTGAGCCCCTTCAGCTCTCCATCCCTTCCACCCCCGCATTCGCCGACTCCGAGTCCGAGTCGGACGCGGAGGTGAATCCAGACGCGCACCCGGGGCGCCCGGTCAAGACAGGCAGGCAGTTCCTCAAACTCATAGAGCGAGAATGGCGGCGCGACGTGCATCGGGACCCGAAGGGCTCCGCGGACCCGGAGGAGTGGGCGGACGTCGCGAGGAAGCGCGCGATGGGGACGTGGCGGGAGGAGTGGTGGCGCAGGGTGCCTCGGCCGGGCAAGGGACACCAGAATAAGGACTGGCCGATATTCGATGACCATTATTGGCTGGCAAGGTGCGTCGCCTTGGGTGGACCTTGGAACGAGAGGGGCTGACCGATGCGCGTCCGCAGGGAAATGACGCCCGAGCAGAAGGCGTGCCTCTATTCGCTGCCGCTCGTGCTGCACGTACCCACAGAGCACTTCTTCGTCGTGCACGCCGGTATCCTTCCCTACGACCCGAAGCACCCCTTGACAGACAAACGTCAGCCACTCGCGCACCCGCCGAAGCTCAGACAGTCTTTGACTGACTCAGAGGAAGGGCAATACGCTGCTGCGGCGTCGTCCTCTCAGTCTCAAAGTGTATTGGTGTCTGCTCCAGCGGCGGATGCTACCCAGAGGAATGATACACGGGAGCTACTCCGCACCATGCAGGGGAGGGCATTGTTGGCGGACATCCCGGGGAATCGCGACCCTTGGGTGCTGCTGAACATGCGGGGAATTCGGAAGAAGAAGGCAAAGGTGACTCGGTACGCCGAATTTGACAAAGCTTGTCGATCGGCCATGCTCACTGCGCGTGCTTAAAGGGACAACAACAAAGGCACGCCCTGGAGCAAAGTCTGGAACGAACAGATGGGCCTCTGCAAAGGCTTCGACAGCGCGTCACCCTCCGGTGTTTCTACCCTACACACCAGGGACATGCGCGCCCATCCTTCGTTATCCGGCCTCCGAGAAGATGAGGACGACACGGACGTCCTGCCATGCGAGCCTGTCACCGTTGTGTACGGCCACGCCGCGACTCGCTCGCTCGACGTTAAGCGATGGAGCATGGGTATCGACACAGGATGTATTTACGGCCGGCGGTTGACCTCGCTCGTCTTGCAGCGGCCGAATGGTAGCATGGCTATGCACCTCGTCGACCGCAAGGACGATGAGGACGAGGACGAGGACTTCGAACCGTCCGCTCCACGCGAGCGGAACACACCCTCACTCCGCGAGGAACCAGACCTCCCGCACAAGAGATGGAAGCCGAAGGCACAAAAGGTCCAGTTTGGCGATGTCGACTCGGGCGTCGATGCGCAGCTCGTGAGCGTGCGGTGTCCCGACATGGGCGACCTCCTCTGAGCCTCTGCCCGGGCCGCCGGCGGGAAGCGGCGGTGATTGCTTTCTTGGTTTTTATCGTGTTCAGCAAGTGCATGAACATCGACAGTACATTAGCAACTCATAGTATGGTTTCAGAGTATAGGCACAGCTTAATCTTGATAGCTTAATTATCAGAGAGTCACACATCGACTCCTTCACACATCGACTCCTTCACACATCGACTCCTTGAGCCCGCGCGGCATGACGGACACTGGACGGGGACAAGCGTGCTCACGAGTCCGGTTTTGACGCGGGGCCGTACAACAGTGCGCTTTTTTGTCTGTCACTGAACTGATATAAAAACCCATGTCAATCACTACTGATACATATGCCCCAGTTCGACCCATCCATCGCGGGAGCTTCATGGCTCCGGATCTCGTTCTACTTCAACGGGTGAGCATGAATGAAACTCTGTCGCTCCTGAAATCACTGTCTGGAGGACAATGCTACTGATCAACGTGCTGGATTCAGGGTTGTGCCTAGACTTACTCGAGGAGATCGAGGAGAAACGGGTACACAGCGCGAATTCGGGTACGTCAAGATAAGCCGGCTGCCGTCTTGAGACGCAGTGACATCTTCAAACTGAGTCGACCGTCAGCCACCAATCTCGTCAGACCGAGCAAAATGCGAGTGCGGCTTACTTTGGTCCCTTCTGGTATAGGGATAAACTGCGTATGTTTAATCTCTTGTCTGTCTCGCACGAGGACGCCGTCTTCCATCTTCTCTCTCACATTCCTCATTCTCCAGGTGACGATGATGTGCTTAGACCGGAAGCTAACGTGCATGTCCTGCTTCTGCACGTCTGGGATGTCGAACGTCACGGTCATCTGAGGGCAGACGTTCACTTCCTGCTACTATGTGCGCAGACGTCTGAAAGATTACCGTCAGACCGTCCGGCGACTCCTTGAATGTGGGACTACACGAGTCACCATCAAAGCCATATCACTACAGTGAACTCGAACTCGTGCGCACCTAGACGTACGTTTTGTCAGTTTCTTTTCACGGCTTCGAGCCTTTGCAGAGCCTGAAGAGAGCGCTTCCCCAATCGATCTGACCTTGGGCGGAGTTTTCGCGAGGCTTTTCTCCTTCAGTCGCCTCACTTCTTCCCACAACGAGTCGGGTGTTTCTTCATCAGGTATCATCGGGGTGGTGTGGAGGGAGGACACTACAGTTGGAGAAGGTGGACTTGGGCTCCGAGGCTCTTGTTTGGCCTCCTTTGCCCCTTCCATCTTCGTCTTCGTCGATTTGGGCAAGGGAATCCGTGTCGCAGTCGCAAAAGCTGTCTCGAACAGTCTGTCAACAGTGTCCAAAGAGTAACGTGCCTTCTTCGTCCTGATCGGCGATGGCATGCCTAGCTGGTGTCGTGGCGGTAAGATTTGTTCGGGTGCGTTCAGATTGCGGAGTGAGCAGAAGGACTTCGTGCACAGTGAAGATTATATATCCATCAGCCGCGTGTTATCCGTGCAGCTTGACATCCCGATGATGACGTTTCTACTGACCTATTGACGGTCTCAGCCTTGTAGCACAATATCGATGCCATGCCTGGCCGTTGCAGTTACAACAAACTTCAGAGTGGCCCTGTTGAGGCATGCCGGCTACTACTCACAACGCACAGACGGACGTTAGTTGATGTGAGGCCGTCAAGACCATGATTGTGTCCAGCGGCGCTGAATCACGGGTGAAGAACATGCCCATTGCAGGACGCCTTGAGCCTCGAGGTCGGCGTGCGTTGACAAGCGCCGGTTTACAACACGATTTGGCAATCCATGCTTCTGAGTAATCTACAACGTACAATACGACAATGTACTTACAGATAAATTAGATGACCATCGACAAGATCCTAACGCACATCCGCGAAGCACGGCGTGCTTTCGTTTCAAGTGCCCGAAGTGTTCCCTGGGGTCTTGAACTTCTTGTTGGAATATCCACCTCCTGTCCTACCCATGCCTAGACGCCTCTTGACGCCAGTGGACTTGACAGTTGAAGATTGAGGGCCATCCGAGGCGCTGGGAGCGGGTGAGGACTGAGAAGGTGCAGCCGACTGCGACATCGCAGCAGACGCTGGCCCTGCCGTAAGGGAAGGATTCACGGGAGGCGGCCTCACTGCAGGTGGATGACGGTTTAAGAGTTGATTTGTCAGAATCCCAGCTTTTTTCACGTCGTGTGCCACCGGTGTCCTGGAAGCCGAAGGTAGGTTATGCGACGGAGTATTCACGACTATGTTGCGTATTGGCGAGAGCGGTGGCGGCGGGAATGCTTCACTATTGATGGAGGACACAGAAGAGGGAGGCTTGTTGGACAGAGCGGTCCTCGCAGAAGAGAATTGCACAGATCCTACCAACGGGGTCTGTTATAATCGAAGGTTATTTGGGCGATGTAACTGACCTGATGGAGGCGCCGAATCGCTCGATCCTGCTAGCCGTGGCTGGGCTACAGAATAGTTAGGGAACCCATACGAGGCGTTCCAGGCTTGCGTACTCGAGTTGCTGTAACTGGATCGAGTCAGCAATGCTGAGTCCATGCGTAACGAAAATCACATACTACTGAGCCATTCTGCGGACAACCTCGGCTTCATCTGGTGCGTTTCTCCCAAGAAGCTGAGCAATCAGGGTCCGGTCGCCTGCAGACAAATTCGGAGCCTCCCTGGAAAAATAGCTCTGCGGATAGTCTTCAGTCGGCATGCGAGCTTCTCATGAGTGCCTGATTCAGAAATGCACCAACCTTGTCATTCTGGAGAACGGCAGAAACGAACTCCGACATATCTTTCTTCTTCGCCTCTCCCGCGAACATACGTGAATTCGCATGCGTTAGATAGAGAAGAGCCTGTGCCCGCGTGCAGGCGACGTACAGGAGCCGTCTGAGTCGTGAGATAATCAGTGGCGTTCCCAAGCAAGGTTCGAAGAATAGGTGTCCTCACCTCTCTTCGTCAACGTCTTCGGCCCGATGGGATGGGAATGTCCCTTTCTCCACTGTGCAACGGAACACCGCTTATCAGCATCATGCTTATCAAGTTTGAGTGGGACGAACCTGCAGGAACGAACACGACAGGCCATTCGAGACCTTTCGCAGCATGGCAAGTGGTGAGTGTCACCTTCTAGTCCAGGCCGAGGGCTCTTAGAACGAAGCAAAGAGGATTGGTGATGAGAATACATACTCCTTTTCCGTCATCCTTGTTCTCCGAAGCCACATCCGTGGAAAGCATGGATGCCTGCAGGAACATTCGCAAAGGCGTATCCCTGCCGATATGCGAGAGTCAGATCTGGCTGGTGACGTGGGTGTGGCGAACTGACTGTTCTGGCTGCTGCTCTCTGGCTTTCCTCGTTCCCTTGTCCTTGTGAACTGCGTCAGAGCTGGTTTCAACGAATCCCTCATCGTTCAACTGATCCCGGTCGAACTCCTCGAGCACGTCCCAGTCGCCATCCCAGGGTTGTTGGTCAGGCTCGGCTGCCTTGGTGTTCTCCATGTTCTTCTCAACCTCGCTCGCAAAGTTGATCAGTTCTTGAACGTTTTCCCATCGGCTGTCCCAATCTTTCTGTGTCTTACGCAGATGTTCGTCATACTTGATGCTTTCTAGTAGGTGTCGAATGAGATCGGATGGAAGTGTATCCTGCAGGGCCCAGCGTGATGTGAAGTTGGTCAGCATTGGAAGAGCACGGATAGCTGGGTATGCAACGGACCTTTCGAGCGAATGTCTGTAGCTCGCGAACAGGTGGCACAAATGACGCCAGCTTGCGCTTGACACTTGGCTTGATATCAGGAAGCGCTCCATCGTGTATGCGCATTACCACCTCCAAAGGGGACAGCTTGAGGCGCTGTGCAGCGCCCAGAATCTCGTTGACTGTCTATGTGTACGAAGGTAGGTTCGTAAGTCAGTCCAAGGAGAACCCCTCCTCAGCATGCTGGGAGTCGCGGGACCGACCTTCTCACCGATACCTCGCGCAGGGACATTGATCACCCGAGTGAAAGCTGCTGCAAAATGCGGGTTGTCGATGAGCTGGAGATATGCCAGAAGGTCTTTGACCTGTGTGTAGATGCACGTTCAGCTAAGCGTATGTTATAGCTCGGCATTGATGCGAACCTCGAGTCGTTCAAAGAACTTGTGTCCGCCCAAAATCCTGTTCGGAATGCCTTCCTTCTGCAGCGCACTCTCTATCAGCCGTGATAAAGCATTAAACCGCACTGCCAAGGTCCGAATGACGTTGGAGAAGAGCAATGAACACGGAGAAGAATCATTGCACATTGCTGTCACTCACGGAGAACCACGAAGTCACCCCATTCGAGCATTCCCCCGGTTGCTGCAACGATCTTCTTTATTTCCGAGGCAATGAATTCCGCCTCTTGATGTTCGTTCAAGAACAGTTGCAACATGGGAGACGGCCCTGCAGGATGTTCGGCACGTAGTGTCTTTGCAACGCGCTTCTTGTCTGTAACCTATGTTGAGCCCATCGTTGAAACTTTGTGAACGTCAAATGCACATACCCTGACTGACAATCGCCATGCTAGCGCCAAGGATGGACGCCGTTGATCGGTAATTCTGTTCAAGAAGAATCTGTTGGGTGTTTGGAAAGTCTGCATATGCGGAGCACATAGTAATGAGCAACCCTGGGATTGATCGGGCCGAAGGTATACGTGTACCTCGCTGCATGTTGATAAAATTCTTGATCTCTGCAGAACGCCAGCCGTAAACTGCAATGAAGTTACGATGCAGTCAACAAAGGTGACCAACACGCAAGACGGCAAATGAATGGTGATCGGTCAGGAACGTACTTGACTGGTCAGGGTCACCGACAATCGTCACACATCGACTCGCCGCGGCAATTTGCCGCATGAGCTCGTACTGTATGGTGTTCGTGTCTTGACTATATCGGGCCATTGGAACGAGATTAGCATACATACCGAAGCAAGCAATGCAATGACACCTACAACTCATCCACTAGCACATGTTGACACCACTCGCCCACGGCAGGATTTCGCTTGAAGAGACGCACGCCAAAGAGAAGCAGATCGTCGAAGTCGAGGCTATTGCTTGACCTAAGGGTTCGCTCGTACACCCTGTAAACGTCTATCAAGACCGCCATGATATTGGGGTCTTGCATTGTCTGACTTTGCTCGTCGTCGCTGTTGTCCTCATTGTTGACATCTGAAGGCAGTCGCGAACGCTTTCGACTGCCACTAGCGCGGCTTCGACGATATTTGGCCTCCAGTTCGTCTGCTGTTTGACCACGTGCTTTAGCTTTGGAAATCATCGACATCAATGTCCCTTCCGTCAAAGAAATCCTCTTGGCAGCTAGGTCCTTGGAGTGTTCGCCCAACAATGCCTTCACGATTTTCTTGCTGAAGAGAGTCGAGTAAGTGCGAGCTCTAAATGGTGCATCGCAGCCACACGTACCTTTCATCAGCATCGCATATCGTAAAGTTGGTCTCCAGGCCGACCATTCGTCCGTGTCTCCTCAGAAACGATGCACAAAGTGCGTGGAATGTGCCCATCCGGATGCACGCTGTGTCATGCACACCAACAAGTATGTCTAAACGTGCCCGCATCTCGTTGGCTGCCTTGTTGGTGAAGGTTACCGCGCATATAGCCTGTGGTGCGACGTGGTGGTGGAATATGAGATGTGCGATTCGGGCAGTGAGAACCCGGGTCTTCCCGCTCCCGGGGCCGGCAAGAATTTGGAGTGGGATGTCCGGGGGATGTTGCACAGCTAGTAGAATAGGCATCAGAGCATTGCGAGAGGAAGCGTATGCCGAAGCGCGGACCTTGCAGTTGCGCGGGATTGAGGTTCCGCAGGTATGCCTGCGACATCGCGCTCGCGCGGGAGATCTGGCGAATGCCAGCGAGGATAGATCTTATACTATTCATAAGTTTTCAGCTCATCTACTGCATGAACTCCATCGATATGTGTCCAAAGTAAAACCAGTCTCCGATACGGGGACCTACTCTCCTCAGCGTCTCTGCCCGACTGTGGCGCTGTGAAGGAGCGATGCTATAAACAGTCTCCAGAAAAGCTGGTCATATTCGCCACACATCATATTCAACGATGTCTCACTGACATAGAACCCGCGTGTTCGCTATCCATGGCACGGGGAGCAATGACGAAAGGATGCTCTTTCGCCGTCCTCAGCGACCCGAGTGAGTCAGGAGGATACAGCGTAGGGGTCTTAAAGTGTAACAGTTGGTGAGATCAGAATGACGACTTACATGATTTTGCAAGAGAAGACAAGGTGTGGTGAGAAGGATGGATGTTCGGGACAAGCGCTACACCGTGGCAGCGGCAGAACACGACTCGCGTCGCACACGTGATCGTGTCACTCGACCGTGACGCCTGTGTGGCCGCCTCTCTTCCCTGCCCAGGGCAGCGCCAGAGCTTTCGAATCCTTTTTGTCCGTTGCTGTTAACGTTATGGAAACTTCATGAACTGAGAATGGTGAATCACTGCTTTCTCCTGCACTTCTCATCACAGAGCCGTTTTGTCGCACCCGGAGGTGGCTCGGATATGTCAATGCATAACCTCTGGATAGCGCGAAAGGCGGCAGCAAAAAAGAATACAATCAACAGCCTTGGTATGATACAGTAGTGAGTACATCGCAGCCGAAACGAATAGTCGCTGATAGAAGAACAGTGTCGTTACACAGCGCCGATATCCGGTGCTGGATCGTAGCAGATCATGACAAACCCCTAAACCTTCTGATTCATGTGGATCTCCTGCTTCTCCGAGCTGTCCGCGTCCGACCCGACGTAGGCGTATTGGTCGAGTCCGAGACGCTTCTCGATCGCGAGCTGCCGCTCCGTATCCGCAGCAGCGAGGCCCTCCGAACCGAAGACGTCGTCCATCTCTTCGAGCGTGAGGCCCTTCGTCTCCGGCACCTGCAAGGCACAAAGCGGCCGGCGTCAGTAAAGGGAATATAATCGGTGACGGGGCCTGTACGCACAAAGAATGCGATGAATAGAGCCCCAAGGAACGTGAACGACTAATGTTGTACAGCGTCGTCAGTGGTGCCCGATGTCAGATTGCCAAAGGAAGATAACCTACCCCGAAAAACACGAAGGTGCCGAAGGTGATGTTCTTCATCATCGTAGGCGTGACTTGCCCCACGATGAAGTTGTTCATCTAGTAAGGTGAAAGAGCATTCTTATCAGCACCCATGACGATCCCAACAAGAAAGCATAGGAACGCACCCAGTTCGAGGACGACGCTATCGACATGCCCTTGCCACGCACCGAGAGTGGCCAGATCTCTGCAACGACAACCCATGAGCAAGGGCCTGAGGATTCGTAAGTGTCTGCTAGTCAACGCACATTCTGAAGCTAATGACTCACCCCAGCTGTAGCCAAATCCTGCGGAGAACACCCAGACCATAGCGCAAGCAGCCCAGCCTGCCGCCTTGTGTCTGGGAGAAATATTTCATCAGTCTCATTGCCTGAAGCACACGGGAGTGATCGTCTTACTCAGGCCATGAGTGCTGGTAGAGACCTGTGAGAACCGCAATAATGAGGTGGCACCTGTAGTACGCAAAAATCTGGTGAGTGATCCTGGAGATGCGCAGTGGGGTTAACGACTCACGCAGCCATGAGGAGTGCACCGGAGACCAGGACGGGCTTTCGGCCGACCTTATCGACCCAGAGAACAGCAGGGATAGTCGCAACCCACATCCTACCCACGGCCTAGTCAGGAACACCGGCGTACGGCTGACTTGGCTAGAAAATGCTTACACAATACCCACAACTCCTGTCGCAAGGAGGTTCACCGTGTTACCGGTCTGGCCGAGGGACTGGAAGATGGTTGGTGCGTAGTAGAGAATGGCGTTGACACCCGTCCATTGTTGGAAGAACATGGTCAGACTGCCGATCATCACACGGCGCAGGAGGGAGGGCGTCCGGATCAGACTCCAGTAACCGAGCAGGCCGAGCTTAAAGTTCGACTTCCACGACCCATCCTGGTACTGAGGGAATTGCATCTCAGACGTCTCCTTCTCGAACAGGTACTGAGCCCTGATTTCGCTAGAAAATGGGTTCGTCAATACGTGCGGCAACAACTTGGGGCACGGGGCATACAGGAACTCAATCTGGACGACCTCTGAGTTGGGCGGAAGACCTCTTGCGCGGCTGAGGACCATGAGGGCCTCCTCGTCGCGACCCTGGTTCACGAGCCAACGCGGCGAGAATGGCATGAAGAGGATACCAGCACCGAGGATGAGCGCGGGCACTAGCTGAAGTGCGATCGGGAGACGCCATGCAGCCTCGGACTGCGTGTCGGTCGTTCCACCGATGTAGTTCGTGCCGTAGTCGATCCAGAAGGATATCATAATTCCGAACGTGATCGCCAATTGCTGGAGCGCGACAAGACTACCACGGACTTCTGGCGGTGCGAGCTCGGCGCTGTACAGGGGTGAGTAAATGAGAACAGAGAGTGAAACAATTGAGGCTTACTTGTAGAGAGGCACAGACATACTCAGCGAACCGACACCCAAACCGGTGATAAACCGGCCTGCAAATATCGACGAGGGCTTGTATGCCGTGTCCTGAACAATGACACCAACGCAGAAGATGATGACAGCTATAGGCGAGTGTCAACAGAGTCACGACATGCACGCAAGGGCCGACTAACCGAGAACGATAGAGTGCTTCCGCCCGAGCTTGTCAGCAAGGTAACCTGTACAGAGCACACCGAACCAAGCGCCGAGCTCGAGTATAGACACGAGCCAGCCTTTCGTATTTGTGTTCGTGACGGCATCTCCCATCCGCTGGTCGAATGTATACATTCTGCCAAGAAATTGTCAATCGACAGGTGGGCCGAGGCAGACAAGCCACATACGTCAGTACACTTGAGAAGACACCCTGGTTGTATCCTGTTCGGTGCATCACATAGTCGTAAGCGCGGGAATACTCTGACTGCGAATTCAGCGTTACCATAAAGCCTAGCTCGGACCGTCAGTACGTGTTTTATGGCAAACATGCATCTAGCTAATATACTCACATGCCACCCAGAGACGCGAAGACGGCAATTGCGAAGATCTTGCGATTGTGCACCAACCCCGCCTATACGAGATAGTTCAGACACAAGCAAGCATGACGAGGAATATCGCACTCACGAAGCCAGACTGCCCGGCCAACGTCCTACGACGACTACTCGATGCTACGACGGCGCCACCACCCATGATGAATTCGCTTGGTCAATCGAGGACTTCCGTTGCGGGGCCCAGGGATATCGGAACGACTCGACGAAACACGCGGTGGATCCGCCTTCTTATGCATTTCACCGGGCGCGTGTGGTTACGCGCAAACCAGTCTGTAGGTCAGGACGGTGCCAAGGTCACACGGAGAACCCAGCGCAGGCCATCATCCTAGAACTGATCAAGCGATCAATAATGATCAACCCCCACCTCCAGGTCGACCGGGGAAGCGGAGCGTCTCAGGGTTTCTCCGGGCGTCAACGCTATCTGGCCAATGAACCGCGTTCAGCCCTCCCACGTCCCCGCATTCCGTGCGCTGGCGGAGGCTGGCGGCCCGGGGTCGAACGTCGACGTCGAACCCTTCCCCCCAGTCAGGGCTTCGCAGGCTGTTCCGGCCCTTCCGGGTCGTCCGCGTCAATGCGCAGACGGCCCCGTCCCGCTCGATCACTCAGAGCGGCGCTCAAGCCAACCATGCTGCAACCTACACCCTCACTTAGCGTCCTTCACTCTGCCCTCACTTGTTGTCGACTTTCCTACGCGTCTTTCACTCATCCCGGTGACACGAAGGAGAAGCGGCGGGGCATTGCAAGATAGGTACGTCAGCGCGTAGGCTAAAGCACGCGTTGAGGCGGCCGTATGTCGGATCAAGCTGAGAGTTCGGAACCCGGCACACGCTGGTAGGCAGAAAGAACTCTCAATAAGGAACACCCGCCGAAGGTGGTAGTCCAGGACCTGTTGTGGACCCTCCCAGAAGGCACTACCATTCGCCACTGATTTTGTCCTACTCGGAGGCCGCAAGAAGACGGTTTTTGCTTCATTCACAGATAAAGCACGATAGGTCACCTTTCTCGGTGACAGAACACGGTGGCAAAGCGTACTGGTGCAAGCGCACGAACGGCTATCTGCCGTACACCACCCAGTCATGCTGCCGATGCGGCAAACTTACCAGGAACAGGGTACAGCAGCTTCAAGGCTGGCACATTCTGGCTGTTGGCATCCCCGCTAGGATGTCGCAAAGCATGGAGCACCACCGACATATATCCGCGGCCGTTAGGATGCTGGGGGCGCCTTGGACTGAACTTGACACTTCACATCGGAAATGGGCGCGGACCGCCCCCTCCGTTGCCGGGAGGCCGTTAGACCTGGTTTGCCATCGTCTGGAGTCTGGGCGTCACAGTGTTGAGACGGCTTGATAAAAATCGTCGAACTTTCCGTGCTTTACACCCAACCAGTCGACACTTGTCGTACGGACCTGCTACGAGCGCGGCCGTAGATGCTCATCCAGCTCTCCATTGACAGGCCTGCACCCTTCGCTGTAGCGCGCTGGGGCCAAATGTATGGACGAATATGAACATCGCTTCTTGAGGCTCACGGGGTGCGCGGAACTCAACCGTTGTGGTGCGTCCAAGCGCCATACTTCCCATACACGAGTCTCCTGGTTTGTGATAAATGGCTGCTGCAAAAGCCTCCTGCGTTCCTTCTGCCGATTGACTGTCTCGCTGCTCGTACTCAACCTCTGTCCCGAGGTACTTCCCTCCTGCCGAACACCGCCTACGAGAATCCGACGTCAAGTTCCATGTAACGCGCACGACTGCAAACATCATCCGACGATGGACCCGGTGGCCAACGGGCCGCGCACGGAACCTGGATATCGCACCGGACGAAGTGTCGTATGCTGAGCATAACCTCTGTGTCGTCGGGTGCGTCACTCCGCATCCCTTCTTTCGATGCCAACGGCCCTCCGTGCCCCAATGCCCTCAACATCACTACCGGACGTCTCCGCTCCTTGCCACCAGCAGCAGCGCGACAGAAAAGGCCAGACCGTCACTGTCGTCAACACCATCCGACTCACTAGATGCCGCTCAGCCACCGAGTCCGTCCGCCGGCAATACGGAGGCTCTACCCCACACACTGTTAGGCTTTCGTCGGCTCCTCGACACCCTTCCTCTCCCACCCCGCATCCCCCACACTTTCCCACTTCGCGGCGACGAGGGTGCGGAGCCGTCCAGGATCTGCGCTGCCCAAATCTGCACATCTGCAGCGGCTCGCGCCCCTTACGGGATATACTTGGTCGATGGTATCGATGGTGGTATAACTACTTCACTCTCTCGATTGTTGGGCGATCGGCGGGCGCGGCAGGTGGCAGAGCGGTGACCGTGGCAGAGAAGCGTGCGGGGGCAGTGTATTCGGTCGTCTCGCCGTGCTCTTGCATGCAGGCGGCACAAGAATTGTGTAGGAAGACTAGCATCAGGAATACATTACATTCGCAGCGTAGGAGTGCAAGAAGGAGTCGCAGAAAAAGTTGCAAGAACAGGTTACAGTGTCAATAGGCATATCAATGCAAGGATCGCTCTGGCTGAGCTATACACGTCTGTCCGACGCCTCAACAGATGAACAACAAATTCGTTTCCTGCAACAGTGCAGATCATTAAGGCATGCTCCACGTGAGAGCCAACGAAGCTCGGAGGAGTACGCACGATCGGATGAGAACTCGAGAGCTGCGGCTTCTGGCTGTACTTGCTATAGAGGATCCCCCTACACGAAAATGCACGTCTCAGTACGAGTGCCCAATCGCGTGGCGCGGCGAGAAGCAATAGCGAATACGTACCGAACATTCACGAGCAGCTGCTGGTAGCTTAGCTGCTTGTTTTGCCCTGTGGGAGATCGTCAGCGGGCGACGGACAGGCGGAGCGGATCGAGTACGTACGGAGGACGGTCATGAAAGCCTGGATCACGACGCAAATTGAAATGTCGGTGTTAAGAGCGGTGGAGACGCAGAACAGCGAGAGAAGTCCACTCACGTAACTCATGGCTCCCGTCGCCTGCCCGCCTTCGAACGTATCCGCGCTGGTCTGCTGGTCCTTGCAGCCGCCCCAGCAGATCTGTTGGAGAAGGATTGTCAGTGTCGATTGGTGGGGCCGTTCTCATGGTTGTAGAAAGCGGTGCGCAGATCATGGCACGCGGATACTCACCACATCGGCGGGGCTTGTCTTCGTCTGACGTGTTCTCTCGCGCGCGCCTTGGTTTGAGCCTGTCACACCCTTGAAGATGCCCGATACAGAGCCGAGCATGCCACCCTGCCCAGAATATAGACAGTAAGTCATGGATGAGACCGCCAGCCGTCGGGGAGGCCCAATTACGGCGAAAGCAGAAACGAAGACGTACAATATCACCCCGAGCATAAGAGCTGACGGCCCCAAGGAGGCCTTGCGCGGCTTCTGCTGCCAAATTGGGTTCCTTGATCTTTCCTTCGTGAGAGTACATGTATGGAAGGTCTATGCACACGATATTGAGAGACACCGTCTCTGGTTTTAGGACATATGACTTACCCATAACAGAGCCGGAGTGACAGGACTGTTTGCAAACGCGGTCAATCATGACTTCCATGCAGTGGTTGGTGTAGAACATACGTCGAAAATAGCCGTGAGACGACATCCCTGCGGAAGAGGCTTCACGAGGAGGTCGTGCAACTCCTGCATCGTGGTGAGTCAAGCACAATATAAGAGACGCTCGACGCAGACGTACATCGTCTACGATCTGGCCATTCGCTTGGAAGTCCACAGGGTAGATCACCTCGTCGTAGCCACTCTCTTCGTCACCATCCAGGTCTTTCGTGAGACCGCCATGTCCGGAGTCTAGAGCAATCCCAGGCCGGCGGTCAGTGTCAGGAAACACCATCACGAGACCGCGATCTACGCACAATGCAGGAAGAGCGAATCGTTCGGTCGGGCATCTCTCACGAGCCATTGGAAGGCATGGATCTATAAGCAGGGGCGCCGCGGGAGCGGATATCACCATCAAGGTTTTTCGGACGTATGGGAAGACGATTGCTGACCATGTTTATCCGCGTAGGAATGGACCTCGGTTCCATTTGGTCGTCAGTCAGCATGACAATATCATCATCTTGGTATCCATATTCTTCTGTGAACCGCGGTGAGAAAGGACAGTCACACCAGCAACTGATCTAGATGAAATGCGTACGGATGAGGAAACGACGCATGTTGTTTGCATCGTTGATGCATCCCTTCAGTTCCTGGGAGGTCCCGATGTAGTTAATCCCAATCTGTGTAAATACATCCAGTGCTGCACAGCTGCGTCAAGCGATCGTGAGGACGTACGCAGAGCGCCTTCTTCTTTCCAGTACATTGAGAATATTGGAAGTATGGTTGCATCTGCTGCTGCCCGCCGGGTGTGTCCATCGTCGGTCCATAGTGCTGCTGACCTGCGGGAGGGCGCGGCGGAGGCCCGACTGCGGACATCGCCGAGGGTAAGTGACTCTTCGTCGATACTGCGGATACAACGACATATCAAGGTTTCTCAGTGCGAGACAGCATAAGTTATCTCCACTAGGTTGCAAGCAATGTCCCGTGTCAGGGTACTGTATCTTGGGATACGGTGCGTTCGCTTCGGTCGCAACGCTCCAGATAAGCATGCAATGACCTCGCGATCAGATTTCTATCCCAACGGTGATAGTTATCCATGCGTGCACAATTCACGTTCCATAACAGTGCCCTAGTGCGCATGATACGTGGTTATGCACCTCGGGGAAACTCAAGATGTCCCACCGTGGAGTACCGGAATAGAGATTTGTAGTATCTCATTCAGCATCTCACACGAGGCCTCGAGCTCAGATACCTTGATATGCTGATTGTGTTTTGGGTCAACTTACGCGGAGGAGCATACTGGCCTGAGTACGGGTCTGAAGAGCCATACTGACCGGGCGGCGCGCCTGAGGGAGGCGCATACTGTCGTCCAAGACCAGGCGACGGCGAGCCATACCCAGAGATTGGCGGGCCTGGCGGCGGCGCGTAGCCGCCTGGTGATGGTCTCGGAGGAATAGACGGTGGTGGGCCAGGAGGGGGAGCGTACCCGCTACCTTGGTGGTGATGGTGATGGTGGTGGTGGCTGGGTGGAGGGCCAGGAGGCGGTCCCCACGGATCCCTTCTAGTTTCAATATGTGAGGGTGGATCAGCTGCAGATATGGGTCCACTGACTGGACGGGTGGCGGCCCTGGCGGGGGCGCGTAGCCCGGCGATCCGTACGACGGTGCATAACCCGGTTCGTAACCTCGCGACGCTTGAGGCATACCTCTGATCAAGATTCAATACTTCAAGTCACTCAGAAGAGACCAGGACATACGGGGAAGGGAACCTCATGCTACATAACACATCTCTTGGTCAGTAGATCGCACATGTTCGAATCAGGAAATGACGGACGAATCGCCTTCGCTCGGTGGCGGAGGGTATCCGCGCTGGTTTCCGGGGTAGTCATTCCACATAAGACTTCGATTTATTCGATACGAGGGGTGAAGAGGTGCTGGTCAAGCAGGAGATGGCGTGACAGTATGTAGCAGCGCACTCAGGCTGCGTCGACCTGGTGGCTGCAGCCACCCAGCATCAATGCGCAGCCACGGTCACGTTATCCGGAACACCGCGTTAGCAGAAAGTCCAGGAAACGAGGAAATGCGACCCACGCCGCACGGGGAGATCCGAGAGCCAGTGATGAGAGAGATACTTATATATTATGCTTCGATTAGAACGAATGTCACCTCAGTGTGCATAGTTGGAAGTGATTGCAGTCCGGTACGGTAAGTACTTAGTTTACGTAATCTCTCGGTAAGTTGGTCCCTGAAATTCCAATTGACCTGCAAGTTCAACAAGCTAAAACTCAAACGTCCGATTGTCTAGGAGCTACGTATAGTAAGTTATCACACATGCAAACACTGTTCAGATATCGCTGTATCTTGGAAGCCGACTGCATCACAATGCGCCGCCACATGCCCCGATTAGGCAAATGGTCGGTCGACTAGTAAGTCACTAAGTATACTATACACAACCTTGTACAACACACGTCGGCGTCAACCCACTGTACAGTCGTCAGAAGCACCATGCTATTACTCCTTATCTTTTTCAGATCTCTGCTCAAGCTCCGTCGCTATGGCTGCGCCGAAGTTATACGAGCACATGAGCAACACTGGCAGTCGATCGGACGTTCTCGGAAGGGCTGCGCCGCTGCAGCCTGCCGAGCGGTAAGGGCAGCCACAAACACGTGACCGCGTCACACGCGTCTGTGGCTTGCCTCGCCGAAGCCACAGCGCTTCCTCCCAATCTATCCCAACCTTCACCTGCGTCCACGCGACGAACCTGGATCACCGCACAGCCACGTCGAGCTTACGAAGACACGCCTTGCCTACCATATTAGTCGGACAAAGGACAAAGCAGACACCGCCTCTGGGTCTCGATTCACCGACACGCATCCATTTCGGGCTTATAGCAACGGGTTCGATCACAGCCTAGCAGAAGTTCCCAAAGAAGGATACTCCCTTGTGCATTGTCCCAACGGTGACTACACTTCTCTTCACCGAAACCTTTCACACTGACTGATACCAACTCAGTATATAAACCGCAGCGATGTCGCCTCGAACGCCCGTGTCCTCGTCTTCTCAGTCCTCCGGGTCCTGCACTGGAGGATCTAGCGGTTCTTCTGGTCGTCTCGGCTCACCTTCCTCATCCGACATGTACGGCACCATGCGCTCTCGGAAATCTGGCAATGGAGTCGCCACAAAGGAGCAAGCCGTCGGGTCAAGCGAAGTGAACAAGGACTCTTGGGCCGCCGAAATCAATGGCAAAATCAACGTATTCGACAAGAGTCTGGTCGAGTTCTTCGACACCTATGTTCCATGCGAGGCCCCATCTCGTGCCGCGCGCCCATGGAACGACCCAGCGACCCCCTTCAAGACTGTCCCTACCACAGGACGGGAGACTGAGATGTACCCGCATATCGTACGTCTGGGCTCTTAACTACACTGTCCACATGACTGACTCCGGCCACATCACCAGATCAAGGGCCTTGAAAGCATAGTTCGCAAATTCAAGCCTGCGCGCAGACCTCGGTTTGCCAACGGCAGCAAACGCGCTTTGCGGTTTCCCTACTCGGCATGGGAAGACGAACACAATTATACATTGCCAGACATTCTCATGTCGTTTCCCGCCGAGGCCGATTCAGACTGGCACTTGAACTGGCGTCGGATTGCGATGGCCATCGAAGTGAAGCCGACAAAACGCGAGGATCCGATCGGGCTGCGCGGTGTGAAGTACGGCAAGGAGGCAACAGGCGTACTCACGCAGATCGCGAAGAGTGCGCGGAACCTCATGCTGACGCATGGGATGCTCTACGTCTACATCGTTGGTATCTACTGTGACACGGCTAGGATCTATCGCTTTGACCATGCGGCATGCGTCGTCTCAAAGGCGTTCAACTATAAGAAGGATCCATGGCCTCTCCACGAACTGCTCTGGCGTTTCTGCCACAACCGGGAACACGACAGGGGCCGAGCCAACGCACCCCTCGTTCATATGGTTCTCGGCGCGGATCCGTCACTTCAGCCGGCCACGGACGAGGAAGTCCAGCTGGCCAACGAGAAGTGCGTGGAGGCAGGGAAGGGCTGCCTTACGGAGAGTGAGAAGCATGCGTGTCGGTGGACGACGGCGTCAAGGTACAACAAAGACGGCTCGGAGGCAGGGGCGACGAGGTACCTGCTCTACCGACTCCGTTTCATGAATCCTCGGCTGTTCTCGCGTTCGACGGCGGTCTGGGACGCATTCGAGGAAGGGACGTGGGAGCCCCTCGTGATCAAGGAGGCCTGGAGGCAACTCGCTCGTGACCGTGAAGACGCGCTATACGATCGCCTGCGGCATGCATTCGACCCTCAAAATCGACCGTGGTGGGCGAACGTCGCCGACTACGTTTTCCTGCACCGCAACGACGAGGACAAACCGATGTTGCCGGATGGCGGTTTCAAACTGGATGACCAAGGCTGCCCCATACGCTCGGAAGACTTTGATGAACTCGAAGCAGAGGCTGAACTCGATGCTGCCGCCTCAGAGCTGTATGGGCTTCCGAGCGTGACGTTTTCGGATGACCTCGGTGCGCGCGAGGCGGCCAAGCTCCTTTCAAAGCAGAGCGACTCACCACCGGAGGCAAGCGACGACGCCATGGACGCACTTGCTAGCGGCGTGGACCACCCGCCTGCGTACGATGTGTATCACCGTACGATCTGTGGCTGGTTAAGACATGCGAACAAGGCCAAGTACAACGAACGAAGCCACACGCGGGTCGTGATGAAGACGACCGGTCGGCCTTTATCCGAGTTCGCGTCGACAAGAGAGCTTGTGGAGGCGCTACGAGACGTTGTTATTGGTAAGTGACTCCTCGTTACATCCAATTCGTTGTCAGTGTCGCTCACTCGTGTGTGCCAGGGCATCGACAGTTATTTCAGCAAGGTATCACACACCGGGATATAAGTGAAGGCAATGTCATGATCTACGACGGATCGATCCATGTTTTCGTTGGGTTCCTGCTCGATCTTGATTACGCCTTTGACTGGAAGACTGCACTCAAGCACGCGGGCTATCAACAGATCGATGAGGACACTTGGAAGCAGTTTGTCGAGGAGTACAACAAGAATCTACCTCATTCTGAGCGTCCAGCGCCTCCGGAGAAGGAGATACCTATCCTCTTTTGCAAGAAAGAGGACGGAAAAGACTTGGGGGACGAAGCCGAGCGGGAGGCATGGAAGACGAGGATGAGGATGAAGGAGCGAACTGTGCGCCCATCTATGACTATGACCATTTACTGGTACTAACCGTCTTCCTATTAGGGAACTCTGATTTACATGGCTATCGAGATTCTGTGCAGCTACGTTGCGCACGAAGTTCGCCACGACCTAGAATCCGTGTTTTGGCTCTTGCTGTGCATGGTGTTGCGACACACCCGGCATACTTCCTTCCCGGCTTACCAGCTTTACATCAATATTTTTGGTCCTAGCACCGAAACCGGAAGCGCGAACGCAAAACAAGCGTTCCTCACTAAACCCATGCTCTGGGAAGTCGAAGGCAACAAGCCGCTGACTACTCTCATCCGCAAGTACAAGGTCCTCTGTCTTCGGAACATACCACTTGAGGGGGTTCCGAACATTACTCCTCTGACCTACGAGAGCGTCTTGGACTTGTTCGATGAAGCCCTCGCGGACAGTGCGTCCTGGCCAGAGAACGACCGCGCTCTGCCGTTCAAGATTCCGGGCGACAGCAATGACTCTTCTACAGGCAGCCAGAAAAGTCGCGGCAAGAAACGTGCCAGGGACGAGGAGGCGACGACTGATGATATGGTCACGGAGGACTCGGTGGGTGACCCACGGAGGCTGCCTCAACATGCGTCGAAGAGGGCAATGGTAAGGAGTCCCTTGGGCATCGACACTGGCAGTCCCGAGTCGGAAGGCAATGCTTCAAGCTAGGTGGTATGTGCGCAGCGAGTATCGTGGAGTCGTTTGTTCAAGGTTTCAATCTCGGACATTTTCACCTATTTAATCATGTATCGACCGAGACACGCTTTGAGCCGTCTTTGTGTAGCCTTGTGTTGTATCTATATTCTGAGGGCCATCGTGTTGCACTGTGTATTCCCAGTTCATTCGTATGTGAATGCATTTGTTCACGTCACGTCATGGGCACTGAATTACGACGTCCGAATGACGAGACTTGGGCAATGACTTGACCCCGTTTACCGTCCTCGGTCGCTGAAGCGATTGCGCTTCTGTCACTCCACCTCCATCGATCTTTACGCCGACGTTGCGGAACTCGACTACTGCACAACGAGCCCGGAGACATCACCTAGTCTACTGCAGTCTTGTCTCAATGTCCAGTGCAAAAATTGCCTCAGATAAGCAAAGAAAGGCCACCAACACAGAAGTGGGCCCGAGGGTGTCGCACCGCCTGCGCGGGCGCGTCTTGGAAGTGACGTTGTGCGTTGAGCGCACCCTCCGAGTCCCAGTCGATCAAACGTTCTCCGCATGAGTCAGACAGAGCGCCTCCGCCATCTGAGAATGTTCATAGCATCGTACACTTAGGCTGTCAAATCTCAAAGCCACATTGAATTAGGTGCATCCAGACGTCCATAGCATACACTTCACAATGTACAGCAACGCAACATCGACAGACAGCATACGGATCTACATGGCATGTCGCTCATCCGCCACGGTAACCAGAGAACAGATCCAAGTTGGACGTCAACATTGAATCATACTCTTCATCGCCAACCAGCTCATTCATGTCACCCTCGGCGGCAAGAAGCATCGGGGAACCAAACCGTTCCGTATGATTATACGCGAGGAACCTAGGGCTTGACTTGCCGCCTTGGACTCGGACAGGCCGTGGACGAATGGCACGTCGGGAGTGATGTTCACGCGTTGCTTCGGTTCGGGCATACGGCGCTGGGCTACCGCGAGCCTAGATACAGGGTATGAGTCCGTGCGCACGCTCGCCCAGTGAAAGACACGCACATTACGGTCCATCGTCGTCTGAGAGCGCAGATCTCTATACCGAGCGGACCGGTCCGCAACGGACGGGCCGCCGTTCTGGAGCAATTGACCCACGCTCTTGGTACTGCGACTCTTTGCTGAGAGCCCACACTCTTCTTGATTGGCCGCTGATTGTAGCTGGGTAGCTGCGCGTGCAGTCTCTCGCAGAGAATCTAGGTATGACGCCAGAGGCCGCAAACGAACGCTCTTCTCCACAGGAATATCGTCAGTAGTTAGAGCCAACGTTCCGATAGCACCAGTGTCGCCGAGACTACGAGTTGACGAGAAAGTAACAGCACACGCGTCAGAAGTGACAGCCAGAGTAGCAGTGTTGGTCGGATTCGAGGACCCTACAACAGCAGCAGCACGATCAGGACGATCAGCCAGAGAGTTGCAAGTTCCAGCCCGATTCGGGCAATCCGGGTACGTTGACGTAGCAGTGCTAGTCGAGGTATCTTGGACAGCATCAGATGATTCACCCGACATTGCGATCGCTGCCGCGTCGAAGCCGTCTTGCGCATACAAGAGTTGACGAGGGTCTTCCGACGACGCAGACTGTCCGAAGCGTGAACGCGGCGATCGAGCGATGATGTCGGGTGGAGCGAGGGGTACTTGTCCATGGACGGGCTTTCCAGGGTACCGCCCGTTCGGTCGCACTTGGTTGTGCACCTGTCGCGGAGGTACAGGAGTCACCGTTACTGCAGGTCGCGGCGCATCCCAGGGCGGTTCTTCCTCTTCCCGTACCGTTTTACGACATGCTGCTCCCGAGAGTTCAGCCGGAACGTCCAGCTGGCGTTTTCTGAAAGGGGTAGGCTGCAAGTCAGAGTTCGCTCGTATCTGCGCATCGCGCACGCGCAGGCAGTGAGAAAACACATACTTTGATTGCAAGGACGCTTCATGTTCCTCCAGCGGGACAAGCGCAAATGGGAACACAGTGCACCGGGCCTGATCGCGATCGGTGACAGTTGGAGAATATGGGGGCGCGCGGCCATGCGAGACTTTATGACCCCGAGAGGCGTTTCTGACGTCCGCAGTGCGTAACATCCACTTCGTTATTGGCCTCCTCGAGGGACGGAGAGTAGGTCGCGTCTCAGAACGCGTGCTGACGGGTGGAGGCGACGGCATGTCGAGGAAGGCAATGGACTTCCGCGGGTCCACGAGCCTCCCTTTCTTGCTTGCAGGCTGCGGAGGGATGTCTTCATCTACGTCAACGAAGGTGAGCGGGACGCGGCCGCCTGTATGCGGCCCGATCTGGGTCGTGGGGCCGTGCGAGAGGGCTGCAGTGGTGAACGTGCAACTGGCGAGCGACTTGGGCTTCCGGGCACGCTGCTTTCGCGCCATCTTCGACGAGGGTGCCTTCGCGCTATCTTCCACTCCATTACCTGCGACATATTGATGAGCCCGTATGTACAACGAGTCTACTAGACGCGGAGTTACCGGAGAAACGAGGAGCGTCGTCTCCGGGATGGTGCTCCGAGGTACCGGGGAGTCGTGATTGCTGCTTCGCTCGACGTTGCTTACGCCCTCCGTATCGTTTCGCTGGTGGCGTACGGACAGACCATCGCAGAAAGTCTTCGACTGTGAGAGCCCGAAGATCCTGGTCAGTCATTGGTTCTGTTGGTCGCTGAACACAAGTCCCGTCGTTCGGTGCAGTTACTTCGTCACGGTCCGAGGTATCGTCTTGAAGGACTGTCCAGCCAGGGACATCTTGTCCACATTCTCCTTGTACTGCTGTCGTAAATGACTGGTGCAGCGGATGGGTTTCAGGTAGTCCTCTCCGCTTTCTCTTGATCTAGTAGATGCCAGGAGATTCGAGAATATGCCCTGAGCGCGTACATTCTGCCACTGACTCACCACAAAGTCGGGTGCATACGTGAACGCCATCCGTCTACGGTTCCGCTCCAGAGACTTCTGTTGCCAATGGGACACGTTGATGTGGTGAGTTCTGAGTAAGTTAGAAGAGGCCACCGCCGGCGCCAACGTGTGTTCGGGACTTGGGCGGGGTGTCCATTTATGGCAACATCGTCGGTCTGTGGCAGGCTGAGTCAGCCAGAGGCGATTGAACGCTCGCCGCTCCGCAGCTCAACAACAGAAGTCGACCGCGAGGTACGCAGCTCTTACAGATCATGAGGAGTTGGATTTTGAGGTCCTGACGATGTGGAAAAATACAGTTAAATCTGGGAATACTTGAGCCGTTGAGAGCTCGATAACTTAGGACAGTGCCAGCCCCACCGTGACTACTAAAGGCATCGGGGATGTTCAAGTTGAACTCAGGCTCTCCAGATTCGAGGCTACCATCTTACTGCAGCGCAAATGCTCTCCCGAATAACGCCGCGCTATATGCGCCGCTCGAGGCAGAGAGTGACAGATGCTCCTATCAAGCCCGGGGCGGCGAACCTGGGCCTCTTGGAATGGTCTGCCGCTCAGTCACCGTGACAATATTGCTAGTCAGTGGGCTGACTTAGGGCTGACGGAGCGAGACCGAATAAAAAGTGGGGAGGGAGACGGCATAGCTTCGACTGCACTCATTCTCTTAGCAGCGTCTCTCGTCTATCACGGAAGCTCGGATTCTACGGAAACTCACAAGGATGCCCATTTCGTTGAACAGAATCTTCGTCACTACCGCGTGCTTGCTCGCGCTCTCCTCCTCCGTGGCTTCGGTACCTCTTGGCTCTCCGTCCTCGACTTCTTCGACAGCTTCACCAAGTCCGACTGTCCCATATGCCAGCGACGACCCGAACACCGAGCTGTGGAGCCCGAACTCGAACATCGACCCTCAGCCAATCCGAGGCTCACTTGGTTCGACGATTCTTGGACCTCAGAACATCCCGCTACAGCTCCAGAACCCTAGTCTCCTCGCCCCTCCTACGACTGACCATGGAGACGTGTAAGTGGCAATTGCACGCGACTCGCTGGAGGCGTACTAATACTGGCTGCGAAAGCCCTAACGCCAAGTGGCCCTTAGACCTGAGCCATACCCGTTTGCAAACGGGAGGATGGGCACGCCAGCAAAATGGTAAGAAATTTAAGGATTGTAACCCATATACGACGCTCACTTGTGTATACATAGTGAACAATTTGCCCATCAGCACTGGTAAGCAACACAAACACGGATTATTGGTAGAGAAACCTGCCTAACTCTACTTAAGAAATGGCCGGAGTGGACATGCGTCTCGAGGCTGGGGCAATTCGGTATGTGAGTAACAGCAGCCATGGGCTTGACCTCACACCTCTTCTAGCGAGTTACACTGGCATACATCGGCCGAGGTATGTATTTTCACCTGCTGACTTGAACGAGAGTTGATCACACGTCTCTGATGGGTAGTGGGCCTACGTGCTGAAGGTATGTGTACAAGGTGCCAAGATTCGTCGTTGGCAGCACTGACGGTCAGCACAGGGAAGCACGCAAATCTCAACGGTCACGTCGGATGGTCAGAACTATCTAGCCACGGTGGCGAGTATCACCGATTACACAGAGGCATACCGGCAGCTCGGACTGATTCGGCGCCTTGCAGAACCAAGGAGACCTCTGGTACTTTCCGCCTGGGCAACCGCACTCCCTCCAAGCGACCGCCGATGATCCTGCTGGCACCGAGTTCCTTTTAGTGAGTGCTCTGTAGTCTAGCCTGAACACTACCATAGCCAGACCCCCTTAGGTGTTCGACAACGGAAGCTTCAGCGACGATTCTACATTCCTTGTGAGTATTCTTAGCGCATACCTCAGGGGTCCGGGCTGACCGAGGAAATAATCCAGCTCACCGATATGATGGCGCATATCCCAAAGGAAGTGATCGCGAAGAACTTCCAGCTGCCGCAGTCTGCATTTGACCACATCCCCGGACGGGAGCTGTACATCTTCCCCAGCGGTGAGCTCCCTAACAGCAGCACAACGCCTATCCGTCTGTAGCTGTATTTTGCTGTTAGACCCGCCCGCGTCGAACGCCCAAGCGCCCACCGATCCTCAAGGTCAGACCACCGAGCCATACTCGTTCCCTCTGTCGCAGATGAACGCGACGCAGCGTCCTGGAGGCACGGTCAAGATTGTGGATTCGACGAACTTCAAGGTGGCGAAGACGATCGCAGTCGCGGAAGTCACACTGGAGCCTGGGGCAATGCGCGAGATCCATGTAAGCTCATGTATCAGACCCTCAGTTGGTAGTGACCGAACCCTGTGTGTCGTAAGTGGCACCCTACACAAGCCGAATGGGACTACATCATGTGAGTGATGACTTGCTCAGGCAGCGAGGCCTCGCTAATGATACGATAGCGAGGGATACGCGCGTATCACGCTCTTTGCAGCTAACTCCAATGCGAGGACGTTCGATTACCAGGTAAGCGGGACGTCCTTTCAGACGATCCATGTCTCATTGTAGGACTTTTTGTAGGGCGGCGACGTCGGCTATATCCCGCCTTCCTACGGTGAGTCAAATCACACGGGACTCTTCCTGCTCATCTCATGAGAGTCATCGAAGGGCATTACGTGGAGAATACGGGCAACACGACTCTGCATTACCTCGAGATCCTGAAGACGGACAAGTTCCAGGACGTCAGCCTAAACCAGGTGAGTATAATGTCTCTGTGTTCTCGTGTGATGGACCTCTGACCACATCTATCAGTGGCTTGCCTTGACTCCACCGGCCCTAGTTCAAGCGCACCTGGATGTGTCGGATGAGACGATAAGTCATTTCAGCAAGACGAAGCCAATCATCGTCGGGCAGTAGCCTCGTGGTCCCGGGCTTGCAGCACCCAGTGATCGTTTGTATCTCTTGTTCGAAAAGAATGTCATGACTCAGTTTCTCGATCTATGCCCGGTTAATGATGCCGTGCAAATCCAAGAGGTTAATCGGTCAAAGGCGCTCTGTTCGGGCAGCTCTCTTTACGCTGCAGTCAAGCGCTAGTATATGGGCGCCAAAACAGCAGTGGCAGTCGCGGCGCCTCGGCGACAAGTTGGACGTGGACGCGGATGCACAAGTCAAGGCAGTTGGCTCTTCAATATCTCGATGCTTACCTTTCTAATATGAGAATGCGCCGGCGACCACTGATACGCCAGAATCCGAGCGCCAAGCCCGTCGCTCGGGGAATGATTGTGTCCAACACTAATACTAACTCGGGGCCGCCAGAAGGTCTGGATTTTTTTTACGGAGAAACAAACGATGACGCTGGCCTTGTCGCCTAATGATCTTGCCAGAGCGATGGGGCGATGTGTCGAGGACCCTAGCGGCGCACTGCTCCTGCTGTTCGATGTCGTCGAGACACGAACCGCACAAGGATGTCATCACCAGCCGGTGGTACAGTAGCGCGTGGTTCTGGCCACACCCTGACTTCTGCCCTGTCGCTTTCCCACTGTATGTCACCCGCAGTGCTGGACGGTATTGTTCAGGGATTGCAATCTACGTCTGGAGAAGCTCTGATGTGTGTGCTGCACCACACACTCCTGTTGCACTGCTCGATGGTGCCGTGATACGAACGTATCTCCGCAGCTGTGACCACAATCGTGCGCGCTGACAGTATCCTTCCATGCAGCGCTGGCTCTCTACGTGCCACAGCATCGTTGTTACAGCGACGAAGACTTCTCTCAAATCACGCGCTATCTCCCAGTATCGGTTCGTCGTACGTGTGATCAACTTATGTCATTCGCATGACATTGCTGACTGCATTCTTTAGTCTGTCCTTGTACTAAATGACGTGCCAAGGAAGCGGTACCATTCTATAAGTGGTCCGGCCGCTGCGTCTTACAATCCTGTATCGAACAAACCGCCCATCTCGAGCACGATGTCGATGTTGTATGAACCGGTACAGGCACTCAGTTGGGACACCTAGTGAGCTCGCATTTCTTGACAGACGTGCTGATGTGTCAATGATGGTGTAGCTTTGTTCAAAATTGCTGTACAGCTGCCACCTTCAGTATGTCCCAGATCTCTGCTCCTCGAGTGTGCATCCCAATCTGATTCCGTCTGACATGTACAGGCATCTATCTGTATGAACGTGCAATAACCTTCTCCCGCGAAGTCGACGTCGTATGGCGTGGCCCACAGCGGCGCTTTGGCTACTTGTATGCGGGCATGCATGTTTCAGCCATTCTGTATTTCTCGACAAACATCTCGTCCTGGGCTGGCATGGACTGTACAGTGAGTCCCCCCAGTTCTGTGTCTCGTCCATGTCATCTGAGACTAGTATGGTAGAGGTAAAGCTGTTTGACGTCCCGAATACATGCCACGCGAATGCGAACCGACGTACTCGAATTCTATAGGGACCGGTTTATTTACCCACTCTACGCGGCTTGCTGGTGCGCCCTCTCTGCGCTAACCGGAGGTATAGTGATACCGTTTGAAGGCCCATTGAGCGCGTGAGCTAATCCCGTCGCAAGTGATTACAGCAATGCGCGTTTACGGGGTCAACTTGAGCCAGAGGCGACGCTGGCTGCTTCCGGCCATCATATTGACCTTGTTCCTCCTTGGCCCCATTTACGCGGTTGTAAGTTCGCACCTCAGCAGTTCATGTAGCATATCTGATTTCCTACAGGTCTTCGTCATATACACGAGTTATCAATCGTCTCCGTATCCGATAGTTTGCTCCATTGGTGAGAAGCGGTTCGCTTTCACAATGCAGTGAGTTCGTCCCGCTCCAATTAACATATGGTTTTGTAACGGGTTATCTTCAGGTGTACATATGCATGTCTTTCTGTCAGGAGTCTCGCGCCGCTGACGTTGTCATTCTTACAGTCGAGGCTATTGTGCGCGTATGCAACATTGTAGCGGATGTTCTCGTTCTGTTCGTGACATGGCGGGCAACGTATGCCAACTTCAATGAAGCCCGACGTCTTAAAACGCCCCTCCTGCTCACGCAGCAGTTGCTCAAGGACGGTAAGCAACGGTCACAGAGTCGATCCGCGTCTGATTTTCAACTAATATTCCCGCTGGTCTAGGAACCGTGCATTTCTTGTGAGTACTGCAACCCGCATACGCGTGACACGTATACAAGGTGTCTGCCTGCAGGGTGCTTCTGGCGTTGAACACTGTCGTGTTGGCATCTTGGGTGGCCAATGTACGTACCTCTGCAACTCGCAGAGATGGTGCTCATGATATACTCCTTAGAACCTGGAGTGCTCCATGTTCGTCGACATGTGAGTGCAGGGACTGAGAACCCAGCGGGCTTGCTTGACCGTCATAAAGACGCTGTTGACATCTGCTCTCGTCAGGTTTACGGTGGTCTTACTATCTAGATTCGTCATCGGTCTCCGCGAGGCGACATACCCCAATACCTGTGCATCCACTCCTTCGCAGATGTCGGACGTCCGCTTCTTCGATCGAGGTCAAGACGGGGCTCCTGAAATGGAAGATGGAGCATCCGATTCATCGAGATATGACGACGAAGGCTGAAACAAACATCACTGTCGAACATATTGTCCGAGGTATGTTTGACATGCACAACGAACACTGCCGTTGATATCTGCATCTCATCACAGAATACAGTAGTACAACGGATGCAGCTCATATAGTGAATATATGTAATCCAGTCCAGAGGACATCGGAGCCACACTGCCAAACCGTCGAAGCACCTAGTTGTCCATTCATCCGATCTCAAAGTACCGGCAGAAGCCCCAGTGGTAGCTAGCGGTATGGTCCCACGGCGACAACGTTATGGTCCGACATCGCTCGGAGCCTCGCATTCGCTCCATCTATGGTACTGATGTTGGACGTGACTGATGAGATGGACTTCATGCAAGACGGAAGTCGATCATTGCCCAGTCAAACCTCAGCCTGAGGCTCCGACACTGCACAACCACCACAGCGACCATTCCTTGCTCAATCTGGGCACTCTTTTGTGTCTGCATTTCGTCGAGATTCACGCCAAATTCACGCTGCTCGGATGTATGCATCAAATTCAGTGATGAGATCTGAGAGCCGGTTCGACCGTCCGATTGTTCTCGAATGGCGCTGTGCCGATGCATATACTCCTACAGTCTACTGTTACACTTCAACGAATATGCCACACTACAAGACGTCGTACTCTTCAGAACTTATTTACGATACAGTCATTTTCTAAAACGTGTAAGCAGATGCATGCGATACCCCACTCTTGAGATGTAGGCGAGCGTTCAACCTATATAAGGGTATCGTAGGTCAGCTCACGCTTGCAGGTATGGGCCTCGATGTGTTTACTGAGTACTCACACAGCCATCATTGAGTTGACGTAGACTGCAAAGTAATCTCGGTCAATTGTGGAGATACAGTGTGACACTGGCGGACGTACTCTTGCCTCCCGCGCAATGAAAGATAGCCCAGATCAACTTGGTCTGGTAGATGGAGCCTAAGTACTACATCGTTGAATAATGTTAGTTCGGAAGACGTATAGGGATCACTCGGCCCATTGACGAACCGTCCCCAAGAGCGCGATCTGCAACACACTGGCATGTGGCGGAACGCCATTCAGTGGAAGTAGCAGGTCATGCTCGGAATGGGACGTGCGCACTCACGTCGTGAGGATACCACGATGGATGATGTATATAGTGAGTTTCTGGAGGACACTATCTGTACTGAGACCAGGCGAGGTAAGGTCTGTGAAAGCGCTGAATGCGAATAAGCGACTCACCGCTTGAAGCCCGTCATCTTGTTGCGCAATGCCCAGGAAATGGAAACACAAATCCACACGTCCGCTACGGCTGCCGCGCAGACCCTGATTGCTGTGGGGACCTGTGCCAACAATCATCAGAGATATACAATATCCTTCCGCTTCAAGGAAGCTCGCCGTGTCTGGAGGTAGGGTCTTTGAGATTATCCATCCATGCGCACTGTGGGTGGATGATCTCGATCAGCCTCTGTGCTCTACATCTGCCCATACCTACGTAGAGATATGAACGCCGACTTTTGGGATTACGCAGACAATCAGCCCAAGGAATCTTATTGAGCGTACAATAGAACTGACCAATGCCAAATACTGTCACGTAATAATCAGAAGGTGACCGTGTATTACAGCTGTGCAAACGGGAAAGACGTACCTACAGACAACAGGGACAAGATCATCTGACGACCCAAGTCACATCGATCCACGTTATTTACTGGGCCGAAAGGTAAGCTGCAGCATACATACCGGCACCAAAGTGACTGTCCACTTGATAGAGCTTGGGTACGATTGATCGAGCACTGTGGAAAGTGGCTTCAGAATAGTGATAATGCTAGTCACTTGTCAATGCTCACATTGCCAGATGCCGTGGATATAGAAGCTGACAACGTGGAACAACAGGTATCGATGCCAGTGAATGGTATAGAAAAAGTACAACAATATGGCTTACACTTGCACAATGCAGGTGGTCACGGTCTGGACAACGTCAGTGACGACAATATTAGTGAGGAGAGCGACGCACAGTGGTTGCATACTCCAGCTATTCAAAACAACAGTCGGTCGAACTCGTTAACTTGAAGTCTGTCAATACGGGGTGCTCACGACATATAACCTGAATCGAACCACAAATCAGCTGAGGGCTTTGCTTGTCAACATTCACAGTGAATACTTACTTCGGAATGACGTTGAGTGCGAGTAAGTTGGCGTGTCCTTGGACAAGAAAGGACCAAGTCACCTACCGCACCAGTCAGCGGGTCGGTCAGGTATGGAGCCGGTACGAAAGCACATACACAAACGTCTGAGATAGTGATGACAGTATCAAGTGCCCTTGGTGAGTGAGTTAGCCCTGCTGCTTCGAGATACAGTGCGCCGATAGAGACCATACGAAGGCGACCTTATGAGTATATTAATGGCAATCCGCGTCTCGTTGAGGGTAAACCGAACTCACAAGTGCTTTGATAGACTTTTTGTCGGGGCTGAAGTAGTGCCGACAATAGTACACCCCTTGAGCACACGTCACGCCATAGAACCTATGATAATTCCACATTAGAATGCCAAATATGGAGTAGTCGCGTAGTGCCGACTCACATGACCGAGAACAGTGCTCCAACAAACCAACCTCCCATGGTAGGGTTCAGGTCAAGACGTAAGCTAGACATCGTACGCGGTATATGCAAGGATTGCAAGAGACGCTGCAATGCGTGGGGCTGATGTCTGGACAATCTCTCCCGAGCGTCGCAAGGTTCATGCTTTATACAGCGGCAAAGGAGCCCTCAGCACATACTTGCTACCGCTGCCGTTGTTTCGAAGATATTTCTGGCAGCTGTCCACTGTATGAATACGATGGATAGCCATCGAACTGTTCGAAGCATCTTCGACTACCTATGCAGCCTCATCAGCCAAGGTTCAGTCAGTAATTCTATTCAATGAGATGCCCGCGCCAGCAAGCAAGTTGATAATCAGTCACATCTCTCAATCAGTTGATATCCCAGACGGCGGTGCTTGACATACCATTCCAGCGTCGACATAGAGAGTTGGCAAGGAAAGATGAAGGACGCTGTGCTTGGTTGAGGACCGTGGACTGCCAAAGATGTTCAGAACATGTATTTCAGCCACATCTGGTGATGTTCAAGGTCGTGTTTTACGTACGGATGTGACTACGAGAACCGCCGACCGCAAACCGACGCGCCGATTTTGCGCCGATTGCTGACGACACGTTTGCATGTTGTGCTACGTCGAATGGTAACAAGCGGCGTTTGATTGCTCGGGACCACCTAGTGGTAACGCCGCCGAATACACTGGCACTCGCCAGATATTCTCAACTACATGAGGTTCTAGCTTGTTCACGTCGCCGGAACACATCTTCGTCAGATGATAGATAATACCTTCGCGCTGTGGTCTGAGCACCCTACGTGAAACCAGATACATGCAACAGCCCGCTCTTCAGATGCTGTCGGGCGTACAGCCTGAGACCGATTTGTGTACCGTGAGTCAGCGCACGGCAACAGGCGTGGATTCGACTGATTGTTACTCACATAGCCATCATCGACTTGACACTGCTAAATGAGGACCGTCAATCAGGGAGTGCATCCTGAACAACGGAGCGTATATATTCCTTCCTCCCGCGCAGTGTCACTGAATGAACCAAAACATCTTGTCTTGGTCGATGGAGTCCAAGTACTGATGGAGGCGGAATCCGTGCGGCGTCCGTTCTGAGTGTGCGATGATGAAGCTTGCAGACGAACCGTTCCGAACAGCGCGAGCTGCATCACGCTGCTGCGCGGCGTGCCGTTCTGGTCAGCAAAGCACCCTGGAACTCAAAATGGATGTCCTTCCGCGGTGGATGATGTATACAGTTAGATTCTGGATGACGCTATCCGTGCTGGATACATGCAACGTGAGCTTTGGATACGAAGCCATCAGAAGCAGGAAGCGAGTACCGCTTGAACCCGGTTATCCTCCTGTCCACGAAAGGGCAACATAGATGCATACGTCCGTCATTGCAGCAGTAGACCTTGATCGCCGTAGAGACCTGGATCGGTATGCCCCCGGTGAGACAACGTATATGGTTCTTTTGGTATGAGGACCGTACTAGATCCGGAGGAAGGGTCTTGGAGATGATCCAACCATGTGTGCTGCATTCGAATCAGTGATAATTCGACTCAGCGCGTATGTGCCTCCTCACGCAGCGACGTGCACGCCGACTTCAGCCAAATCGTGAATGGTCAGCACGTAACATACGACAGAACTTGAGACTCACCCATTCCAACCGCTAGCGCGCAACGTTTGTGTTCATCAATAGCCAAACAAGAGTACTACCCGAAACACCGAAACACCGAAAGACAATAGGGACAACACCGTCTATCCTTAGGGGGCTCAACTTTCGCATAACACAAAGAGATACAATGCGTGCTCACCGGAAGTATTGTGACCGCCCATTTGAACCACTCTGCGTACGATGGCACACATGACAGCACCTAGACCTGTAAAGATACGCCTGCGGCTTCACGCAGGGGCAAAGTTCAGTCAACGCCTCTATGAAGGCTGTACAGACTCGAAGATCAGCTTCACGCATCACGGGGTGACATAGTATACGGAAGTCATGAACTCGCCTTGGGATGCCATAGCACCTTTGGCAGGGCTCGGAGCCTACATAAGCCGCGGGAAGGCTGCATGAGGACTCGATACACCAGAACCGGCTGCTTCCTAAGCACTCGGATATCTCTGACAAAGTGCGATCCAGCCGAGACCGCGTCACTATCGTCCCTACTTCATGTCGACGTCCCGAGAAGTCGACAGGGCTCCCTGAAGTGAAGAGAGGGAAGGCCGCGGTCTGATGATGGTGCTCGGTGCCCTATCGTTTGATCCAACATGTGACAAAACCATCGCCCGGATTGCGTACAGCAAACGCTCGATTGCTGAGAACCGCCAGTCGCTAGCCTAGATAGTAGTGATACTCTTCAGGGACGGTAAGTGAGCGCAGACGTCAGACAACAGAGGGAGGAAACCTACCGATACCGGCGATGATGAAAAAAGTAAGCGTCAGGCGCATTCCGCCCACTTGAATACACGTAGGTTCGGATCTGGACTAGAAGTAAGACTCTGGGCTCAGTTCACGGCAGGTAGCCCGGTCATCCGCAATTTCCTGGACACTGGCAGGAACGACCAAGGCAACAATATTACGTTAGCTGTCCTTGAATGCCATACGCTCATAGGAGATGAACACTCGTACCTATTCAACGTTGCCGCCGCCATACAGGGAGCCTTGAAATGACATCCCGGAGGACGTCGCACCCTCTTCGTCATCACTCGGCAATGATCATTTGGGCCTTCAGAATGTCGTCTGTCTCTAGCTGCAATAATGTGAGATGACAATCGATGTCCCAGATGAATCACGTCGTGGCACGGTACGGTGTAGACGTGCCTATTCTTGCATTGAGTCTGCTCGCTTAACGGCGGAACTAGAGTGCATGCAACGGTGAGGCCCAGACTGTCGTCTGCAGTCTTCTGTTTACCTCAGGCAACTTCAGGAACGGTACGGTCAGCGACTCGGATGAGGCTACGCTTTCTCTTGGTAAGGTCCTTAGACCCAGGCATGTAGTTTGGAAGCTGGACAGACGAGATGATTTGTACAGTAGTACTTAACTGTATGAATACGATGGATAGCCATCGAACTGTTCGAAGCATCCTCAACTACCTACGCAGCTTCACTAGACCAAGATTCAGTCAGTGATTCTATTGAGATGCCCGGGCCAACAAGCTTCATAATCAGTCATATCTCTCAATCGATAGATATCGCAGACGGCGGTGTTTGACATACCATTTTGGCGCCGACTCTGAGTGTTGGCAAGGAAAGATGAAGGACGCTGTGCTTGGTTAAGGACCGTGGACAGTGACGGTGGACTGCCCAAGATGTTCAGAACATGTTTTTCAGCCACATCTGGTGATGGTCAAGGACGTGTTACGTACGGATGTGACTCCGAGAACCGCAGACCGCAAACCGACGCGCCGATTGCTGGTACTTCAGACTTTTGAAGTTGAGATATGTGTGAAGGCGACACAATAGAATCTACGATACGTGACATGTTCAAGATCAGTAGTACGACGGCATGTACAATACAGCATTGCTTCAGTCTAAGTTGTTGATACCTTCTCTACGACGCTTTCTGCAGCGCAGCCAGTTCCTCTTTCAAGCGCTTCAGCTCCTCCACCGCTCCCGCAATGTCCTGTTCGGCTTCCGGTGTCTTCGGCTTGCCCTTCAGCGTCCTGACGACCTGGCCCTGCTCCGCAATCTTCTGCTCCCACGCGAGAACCTCCGCCGACTTCGGCTGCGCGTCCGACACCGCTCCAGCAGCCTTGTCCGCAGCCTTCTTCGCCGCCGCCGCCTTGCGCTTCGACATGCCCGGCGCGACGTGCGTCGCGTCTGCGCTGGGTTCGACCGCCGCCTCCGCGGGCTTGCTCCCCCCGAACTTCGCGCGCCACGCATCTGCCATCTTCTCGTCGATCTTCTTGAAGAGGTGCTCGGGTGTGCCGATCGTGTGCCCTGCGAGGATGTCCGTCGAGAAGACCTGCGGCACGGAGCGCGCGGGCGCGTTCAGTTGTGTGAGTATAGACGCCTCCGTCGCGGGCAAGAAGGGGTGGATGAGTGCGGAGAGGACGTAAATGAGGTTGATCGCGCGCGAGACGACCTGCGCGCAGCGCTTCGGGTTCTCGTTCATGAGTGCTTTGTTGAGGCCCGAAGACTGGAGGTAGAGGTTGCCTCGGCCGGAGAGGAGCATAACAGTTTGGAGGCCGAGTCGCAGCTTGACGGCGTCCATGGCGTCGAGGTAGTCCTTCAGGTATGCGTTCACTTCCGTGATGAAGTCGGCGTCTACTTCGTCGTTGGGGGAGAGTGGCCCTGGTGCATCACCGCTATCGGGGATCACGCTCTCATATTGCGATGAGACGAACTTCAGTGCACGGTTAACGAAGTTTCCAAAGCTGGCAAACAGATGAGCCCCACGACATCGAGCATATATGCAGAACGTACTTATTGAGCAGGACGCTGTTGTTCGCTGCGATCTACGTTGAACGGTCAGGCATTGCGGTCAGAGCACTGAAGGCATCGCACTTACAATGTCATCCCACGAGAACATGGCATCCGCAGTTTCCGGTCTTATCGAAAGCAGGTAGTATCTCCAGACGGACGGCGGGATGCCGGTCTCTTTTGCTGCGGGTCCGAATACGCCGCGGTTATGACTCTTTGAGAACTTGCCGCCCTCATAGTTCAGGTACTCTGCTCATCCGATCAGTAGACGGCATCGTCGGAATGAGACTGCCCTACCTGTGGTCGACAAGTGGTAGAGCGTCGTCCAAGGGCGGCCATCACCGATTTCGATGGAAGGAAAGTAAACTGTGTGGAAGTAGACATTATCCTTGCCCATGAACTGGTATAGTCGGACGTTGTCCTGGTTGAACCACCACCGCTTCCACTCTGACGTGTAGTTCGCGGTGATACTCGGGTACCCGATCGGTGCATCGAACTGTGCAGGATGTTGGTGTATTGCTGATCTGACATGGAACCACACTCACCCAGACATCTGGTGTACGTCAGCATCAGGTATCTACACACGCTAATCGAGAGTACTCACACAACACCTTGCCCTTCATCCCCTGGTCATCCTCTCCCTCCTCAAGCGGTACAGGTACTCCCCACGTCAAATCGCGTGTAACAGGGCTCGGTCGCAATCCCCCGCGCATCCTCGCATCCACGATCTCGCCGTCGGCATTGATGACTGCGTTCGGCGACCACTTGCCCAGCGTCCAGCGCTGTTTGATCCACGCCTCGGTCTTGGGCTGGAGCGCGTCGAGCTTGACATACATGTGGGCGGACGAGCGCGTGGTCACCTTGTGCGCCCTGCTGATGAGGCAGCGCGGGTTGATGAGGTCGATGGCGTCGAGCGTGCGGGCGCAGACGTCGCATTGGTCACCGCGTGCGTCCTAGCAGCGGGATGAGCATAGTGTATCGAAAGCCGTGAACTCATGGCGGACGTACGTCGGCACCACAGTGAGGGCAAGTCCCTTCGACGAAGCGATCTGCAAGGAATCTGGAGGTATGTAAGTCAAGTTGACGATCATCAGGCTCACGTCTCGCACTTTTGGCAGCCTTCGCAGTAGGTCTGGTCCTTGATTTGCTTCTCAAGGTAGCCGTTGTGGAGGAGGTTTAGGTAGACCGATTGGCAGATTCTGGACAGCGTATGAGCAAAAGGCGGATGTACGAGTAGGTTTGATCACTGACTCTGTATGCAGGGGGGTCGACGTTCGCCCAAAGTGGTCGAAGCTGTACGACTCGTCAACTCCAGAAACGTCGGGTCAGATGACGAACGTATACACCTGAGCTCGAACCAGTTGTACGTCTCGACATGGAGCGTGTTGTACTTGTCGCAGAGTTCGCGGGGAGTCAAGCCTTCCTTCAACGCTTGCGTCTCTGTTGCAGTCCCATACTCGTCGGTGCCACAGATGTACAGGGTTTTCCGGTTCCTCGTTCCTGTGGAGTGGAGGTTGAGGGGGCGTATGCCATGCGGGGAGCGGGGGACCTACGGTTGTATCTAAATACCAGCTTTTCAGAAGGCAGTTTAAGGACGCGAAAGGCACAACTCACCTAGCAAATACATCGGCACTCAGGGTACTTCCAATGATGTTGCCTACAACCCGTCAAGCGCGTCTCAGAGCAATTCGCCGTCACGCGAACAGAGGTCATACCGAGATGCGGCACATTGTTACAGTATGGCAGGGCGGATGTGATCAAGACGTTCTGTTCGCCGTCCTTGGGCAAGCTGGTTGATGTTGAATGGCAACTCGCTCTCGCTGACATCGCTCCACTTACATCGCCTCGCCTGGCTTTGGTATAGCTCGCAGAAGCCCGTCGGCCTCGCGGATCTTTTGAGACATTGCGTGCTATTGAGGTCACAGAGTCTGGATACAGGGTGTAGTACAAAGTGAGCTACAAAACGGACGAGGAGGCGAAGGACAGAATGGTGGCTATCGATGGATGACTCGAGGTCGCGCCAAAACGCGTCTTTTTGGCGCTCGTCCCACTGGCAGACGCGGTCATGATCACTGGCTGCGGCTAGCAAGTACTTTGACGAGTACTGAGTACTCAAAGTACTCAAACCACTACTGCTACTACCCAGGCCAGCCGTCCATGTTTGCGTGCATGCGGCTTTCAGTTAGGCGTGCACCACAGGGGTTCCGAGTCCCGGGTCCGACTCTCGAAACGACGAGTGTCGTGTCACGTACGTCCAATCTTGTTCCACTCAATGAACTACAATGCTCACAAAGTCTAGCTTGACCACGATGCGGTGTAGGCGATGAACGCTTTGTTTGTGACCTAGGATTAGCCGACTGCCACCAGCATCGGAATCGTGACATTCGATTGCTGGGATGGTTCCACCAGCAGCAAATCGAACTGCCCATCATCGACAGGTAGAGAGGCTGTGACTCGCCCCGCCGTCATCGAGGTGTGATCATTGCATTTTTCGTGCTGGATGGCCAATGTACTTGTTGGTGATCGGCCATCTACATTTGTAGTCTTCGCGACTGACTCCATCTGCTCGAAATTGCGCGAACGTAGTCGACTCGCGATTCCGAGATGGTATGCCCTCAGGCATCGGGCCTAGTTGTCATTGGCCACTAAACCTACAGGTGCCCTGATTGAGAGGTGAGATCGATAATCAAGGACATCGGACATTTGAACAGATTCGCTGACTGAACCTTCAAGTCGCCGAAGTGGTCGTAAAAGATTTCTATGTGGTTTGTTGGCTATCAATTGTGATTACTATGCTGTTCACCGCCGCGAGGGGCCCCTCAATGCATCAGCGGTCAAACCAAAACAAGCTAAGGCTGAGGCTGTATAAGATTTGGCTCTTACGGGAGATCTCGTAAGTTATCCGACCTCATAGCACGCACCCACTGTTCACAGACCCTCTGCACTCCTCAAACCATGTCTACCATCCTTCTTCAACTAGACTCGGATCTGGGCTGCATATTCATTGGTGTAATGTTCTCCGCGATGTGAGCTTGAGCTACGAGTTCCTTGGTCGGCACTGATGCGTGCATACATCGCAGGTTCTACGGGGCCACATGCGCTCAAACCATGTACTACAGTTGGCATTACCTGCAACACGATAAAGTCTATGTGAAAGCTCTCGTGAGTCCGATACACCCTCATTGATGTGTGAATGATCACTCACCTAGTCGTCAACTTGAAGGTTCTATTCATATGGTCTGTACGGAAGCACTGAGTCTGTTCTATAGCAAATATCTCACACACCGGACCTTGAAGGATGCTTGACACTGTCATCACTTTTTCAGATATTCATGTACGTGACTTCGTACCAGCTCTATACATATCTCACATGTCGAGTTTGTCGGTAGAACCTATGGTATTATGCTATTCAAGGACGCGCCGATTTGTCTGACCTCATCTTCGCTCCAAGGTGATTTGCCAGTTTACATCGGGTCGCATCGCGTAGCCTTATACTGACTCGTGGTTCAATTCAGAGTCTGGGCCGTAAGTAGCATGTATCACCAGCCTTAGCCCGAGATCCACTCATCTGGTCGTTGCTCATCGCAGCTCGAATATACAACTACAGTGCGGACGTTTCCTTAGCGTTAAATGCTGTGACTGACGTCGATCAGGCCGTCACCATCTGCATTGTACAAATGTGAGTATGCTTAATCAGTAAGACCTCCATGTAGTTGTTACTTATGCGAGTCGCTAGCTTTTATATTCACGGCATTTGGCAACGTGAGTCATCTGGATATAGATACCGCTCCCATCAACTGAGGCTACTCGCCAAAGTAATCGCGTCACGGGAACCGAGCTGGTTCAAAAGCTGGTTCAGGTGGACAGCGAGTTTACTTCCTGTCAGTACTCTCCAGTGCACCTCTTTCCTCGTGTGGCGATGAACACAACTGGCTTAGATGTTATTATCCCTCATGGCTCTCGGTAGGTCCGATCCAGTGTATGCATGTCGGTTGCATGATGACGATACTCCTGGTTGGGTAGTATCTAGCATCAGTAAGTTTCAGGTCTCGTTGCATGGCCTACCATTTAGATGTTGACCATTCCGGAAGTCGGTGTACATGTCTCTGTGTAGGTTGTGAACGGTCATATGCAATGCTCAGCAATTCATTGGTGCATGCTTAGTACTCAAGACTGGATCACGTCGAAGATTCTTCTTAACAGCACGGTCAGCTCCATGTCAATGACAAATTTCGAGGACATCTCATCCCTGCTTTCATTCAGGTCCCCAATACGTTCAAGATATCCGCCGCTGCACTTGCGGATATATACATCAGTTTCGCTCTTTGCTGGACGCTGCGCAGCCGGATGACGGGCTTCAAACGGTGTCGTATACAGTCCCTCGTATTCATCAAACCGTCATATAACTCACGTCGTTCCCTGAAAGCACGGACAATATCCTCCAGAAGCTTGCTGTATGCATGATCCATCGCGGTGTTCTAACAACGTAAGCCAAGGTCCAATTCAGCTGTTACGTGACTTAACCATCGGGTCCCACACGCCAGTGTGATACAGATTGCGTTGATGGCAGCGGTTGGTCTATGGGCTCTCTCATTGCCCGTCCGCTGCGTACTAACACTACACATGACACAATAGTACCTGAACTCCATAAATCAAACCAAGATGACCTGGGTCATCTTTCACTGCGCAGGAGGCAAGAGTACGCATCCGCCGCTGTTGCAGCCTTGTTTACCTGGCTGACCGTACTGATTTCGCAGTCTACGTGAACTCGATGATGGCAGTGTAAGCGATGGTTCAGTGGCCATTCAGGTCCATGCCCTTACACGCGTGCTAACCGACGGTGTCCCGATCCAGTTTGAATGCGCGCCAGCACCTCAAGAGCGGTGTGTCGCACATATCCGCCACTTTTACTTAGAAGACGACCGGTGTGCCCCCAGAAGTTGTGCGAACAGAGCACAAGCCTGTACTGTAGCGTAGCAGTATACGTATAACGAATGTTTCTGTTGGTGCACAACTGCTCCAAGGCCGACCAAACGTCATAGTACATCGCACTCTGAGTTCCAAGCATTCACGCTTAAAGAGGTGAGGTATATAAAAACACATCTGATACACCGGCGATGTCCGGACTGTACTACTACACGTACCATATTCCCGGACGAACATTAGCTTCCGAGGCGTATCAGAAATTAATTAGAGTGGAAACCGAAAACAACCCACCAATGGCATATCCACGTCGAAGGAGTCTGATTGCCAGTGGTGCCCAAAAACTCGGGGGCTAGGGCTGGCATACGCATCTATGGTACGCCGGAAGGCCACAGTTCGATTTCCGTTTGAGGTGGCTGTTGCCGAGGCCCGATCTGCTTATGTAAGCTAATCTGGCGAAAGTCTTGTTCCGATTCGTGCCTCCCCTCACTAGATTCAAGCTCTACTGAGTGCTACAGACTATTGTTGATCTGTATCGGGTTGAATTGTAGCTTTTGAATACATTGTGGGGAGTCCATATCTCAAATTTGAGCCGGAAGAGCCGGAACCTCGGTAAGCGCCGTCGGGTAAGTAACGGTCACACTTGGCGGTGGACGACGTCTTCGCACGGGGGCGATTGGGCGCAATGCTTTGAAACTTATCTGGCTTGACTCACAAAAAATGGTTGGATAACTCACATCGCTGCGGATGACAAGAACTTAAGTGCAACCGATGTCCGCCGCCTGTCCAATTTAGGCAGGTGTGACCGTGAGTCTGGGGCGCTTACGGAGTTCCGGCACGCCGAGACAGACAATCCATACCACAGAACACCCAAAATCCATTGGAAAGCCGATAATGCACTCAATAATGTCTCTTGTGTGTCTCAGAGTACATGGTGGATGAGCTAATCTAAGGGAGAGCACAGACGAGGCCATGCAACACTCGGCCAGAGTGGCTTACGTAAGCAGATCGGGCCTCGGTAGCGGCCGTACCATGGCCGTATCACTGATTTGAACTGTGGCCTTCCGGCCGACCTTACGCATCGGGACTTGTGGGCCTGAGGCCTGAGGACCGATCCTTGAAGAGTACATATCACGATTTTGATTGTTTGGCGTGAGTACACAAACTGAGACAATCGCACCTCGAGGACGGCCTTGCGGTCCAGATTCTGATTCCAGAATGGCGAACAATTTGTGGCGGACGAGCGCTGGGCGCTGCGCACGCCGCCCGATCTGGCGATCTGGCTGCTGCTGCGACATTGATCCCGACGCCCGCCGCCACGCCATCTGCGATCTTCAATCGTCGACCCTCTAATGGTACGCGTTGGTACGCTCTAGGTTTTGACGAGCGGCCGTCGAGAAGGGAAAGATCAATAGAAGCCTTCTTGACACAGCAATCGTCCACAAAGGCCTACAGTGCCATGGGCGCGCGTTGCATGTACAACTTGCCTCTTATCCTCATCACCACCGCGCGAGTATGAGGCAGGCTAGCTGGGTGTTTCTCCCGGGCCACCTTCTCTGGTGAGTAATTGTTCCGATGAGACGAAGCAACTGACAAGGACCTGTGTCATAGGGTCAAAGCGCGTTCCGTTTTAGGAAGACGATACGGAAAGGGACACGGTACGGAAAGGACTAGACTTCAATGTCAGGGTCTCCTCCTTCATGTCCAATAGGCTAAGGGTACTGGTGAGAGAAGGAAGACATGGTGTGCATACCGGCACAGCATTTCCGAAAGGCGGTTCTCTCATTGCGGTCCGCCATACAACGATAAAAGTACCATCCTCGCCGATGAAGGCTGCGATGGCTTAGGCGCACTCTTGTTCCCAGGAAAGAGAACACGGATGTGTGAGTTATCCCTTTGTTGCATATCATGTAAGTCATCTCAACTCACGTTATCTCAGTCTTGAGGAAAGCTGATGAATGGATCGCTAGTCGTTGTTAGAGCTGCAATAGCTCTTTCTAGATTATGTCAGCATTCGCGACTGTATGCGTCGTAGCGAGGCAAGCCTTGGTCAAGTCAATGGCGAACGTGCGACATCCGATGAGCAACCCGACCCCGCCATGCCTCCGCTTCCTGTTCAGGTACGCTTCTCGTCATTAGATAATCTTCTCGCAATGACAGCCCCTGAACAAGGCCTCCGCTTCCGGCTTCCTCCTGGGCGGTAAAATGCTGATAACGATCTTTCCCGGAGCCTATTCCCCGATTCTGACTGTGGGTCCACATGCCGAGTATGGATATCCCGAATGCATCCATGCGCATCCATTCGCTCCCTACAGTCCATCTGCCACCACCCCAGGCCTCCACCGCCAATTTTACTCTTGAAAATCCCCAAGGTCACTCTTCCTTTGAATTTGGCCATATCAGTGCGCTAGGCGCAGCGTGGCGGTCGTTATGCGACCAGCAAACTCAACTTAGCCTGTGTGTGTCGGGCGCTAACAAATTTGCTGAAAACTCGGGCTTCAACGGATTCGGAGGCGTTGACAACAGTTACATTACATCGCTGGCCGTAGACGGACGACTTGGAGCTACGGGGACAGTATTTTTCGCTCAGCGTCGTCAATTTGCGCATGTGGACGACTTCAGCGTATATTCGCACCCTATGGAGCGCCTGCGTCGTCTGTGCCACCTTCAACGGCCTCGCCTCAGGCAAGTACCACCTCGCCCTTATCAGCTCGCACCTCCTTCAACTTTTTGCATTCCAGCTGCCCGACACGAGGAGTAGTGACTCGAGTAGCCCCGCTGGCTCGGTCGGCAGCCAGCCGGACCGCCGCGGCGGCGGCGACGGGCACGGGGGCCCCCAAGACGTGTCGCATGTTCCGGCTGTTACAGGGCAGCCGAGTAGGGCTCAGGGCTCACAGATGGGCGCGGTGATACACACACAGGGCGCGGCAACCGTGTCACCACAATCGATTGGTCCCGATACATCCTACAGTGCATATATTCGTCGTGGCGGGTTGGAACAAGCTGGCGTTGGGAATACGGTGGCACATGGGATGACGGGTAATGTACTCCAACGTCAACCGGTGCATCGGTTCGCCTCTACAGGTATCGTAGCGGGCCCACCGCCGCACCACTTCTTCGACGAGCGGCGCCACATCCACGGCGGCGACCCTCCTTCCCACTCCCACACTCCATCTTTTCCGCAGACCCCACAACTCGACTTTCGCACTCGCCAGCTCTCTCTTGAAGACAACCCGGTGCACTACGAAAGGCATCCACAGGCGCAGCATGGTGTGGCGCCACCATTCCCGCCCTCCCCGTCAACAGCACCCGCGGGCATAGGTCCTGGCAACGTTCCGCAGCCTCAGCCCCATCTGAACTATATCGCCGCAGCCAATTTGGGTGAAAATCTGACACTCGACATGCTGTCGGATTCCGCCATCCCCGGAGAAAAGCCCAACTACCCGTACCCAACTCTGATTAGGGCGGCGATCCTCGGTAGTCCACGCAGGGCTCTCACTCTGCAAGGAATCTACAGAGCACTTCAAGATAGGTTCCAATGGTTCAGAGACCACGGAAACGACAGGGCTTGGCAGGTGAGAATCGAGTCATCGTACTGACGCCACAAACACTGATGGGCTCCTTCCAGAACTCGATCCGCCACAATCTCTCGCTGAACAATGTGTTCCGTAGACTGGCTAAACCCATTACGGAACCCGGGAAAGGCAGCTACTGGACCGTCGACCTCGCTGCAGGCGAAGGCAACAAGCGGGAGCGCAAGCGCACCAAGCGCTCCGGCAGGACCCAATACAATCAGCGCACAACTCAAGCCGACGCGCCTTCTACATCACGCTACGCCGCGAAGGAAAATAGCAGCAGTGAGGAGGAAGGCGACGGCCAGTTTAGGCGACCATCTCACAGCCAGAGCCTCCCCACAACTCCGTACCTCAGCCGGCCAATGTACAACCCACCGCACGTCGACCCGGCGCTTCTGCAGGGACACTTCGTCGGACAGGGCCGTATGCTGCCGCCCAGGAGCCCCAGACTTGGGCCGGCTCCATACGCTCGCTCTGCCTTCCCGATGCCTGCTCCTATGTCGTCTCTACAGGACTCGCATTTCCCTGCGCTTGGCCATTTCTCAGTTCGCCCAGGTCAAACCACGACATTCGGGAACCCGACGTTCGGTCATGGCCCGTCTGGCTTCGACGCGTGGGAAGCCTCCTTCATGGCCGGCCCTCCTGCGGGACCGCCGACCTGGGGTACGCAGGCTTCTCCTTCGCCGATATTTGACATGCCCTTCCCGCATGCAGGTCCATCTCATACTCCCGACATCGGATACTCGCCTCAGATCCCTGCTCAAAATACTCGAGGCCGTTCTAATCGTCCCATGACCAGCCCTGCTACGATGGTTGCGGGTGCTTCTAGCGCCGCGATGGGTGTCCAGTCGAATACACCTATCTATCACCGCGGCTCTATTGCTGTCTCTGCCGATACCGTAGGTTCAGCTACCGGCACGAGCTCTCAGAGCTCTGTCTCCGAGACCAGCAGCGTTCACAACGTCGCGGGACCCAGTGTTCTCCGTGTCTACAAGCGCGAGAGCAGTTCGTCTGGGTCGTCTCAGGAGTTATAGGTCCCCTCGAAGGTCTACTGCGGCCGGTCGATGTCTTCCGCGGAAGGTTCAAACCTCGTGTCATGGAGGATATTCCAATAGGATATGCGCCTAGCCTCACTCCTCATGAAGCCACCTGTCGCCTCGCTTTGACATGTTCAAGCTATGTCAAGACACTGTCGTCCGCCCTGCCATCCTTCCCCTCATGCTATTCTGCTTTCGTGTTTTGTAAATTCAGCTCTGCCGATCCTGTTATCGAAGTCCGCTCTCGAGTGTTCCGTCACGCTTCTCTGTTGGCTACCCTGCGACCCGTGGGAGGACCGTTCGTATCGCGTTGCGATGCACCTACGATCCTGCCAGGGGGTGCAGCTCATTGCCCAAAACTATCCCCCTCTATATCTTATTGTCGATGCGGCGCAGTGTACGAATGAAATGTCGGCGATCTCTTGTCTAACCACGCTTTTCGAACGCTTTCCCGTATCAAACGTATAGGCTCCATCGCTTCACAAACTACGAATACCTTCGGTGTATGACCTGTGCTCCACGGATGTCTTGATTATCGTTGACAAGAATGCCTGCTGTGTAGCATTGTCATTTTGGATACCCAGCCTTGTGTACATATGTAGCCCATGTATATCTATAGTTTCAGCCGCTTGTCTTCCTGGATCTTGAACAGATTAGAGTTTCGCCGAGGTGAACAACACCGTTAGTAGGACTATCACACTGCCTACAGGCTACCGCATCCATATGTTGTATCCATCGCGGTAAGTGGGAATTTCATTGTTGCCCATTCGAACTGATCATGCATCATACATCCCGCGCATTAATGTCCATCCTGAACCATCTGAGAGATGACTCGCTGGGCGAAGTAACGGTAGGCCAGAGTCTGTCAGTGTCACAGTCTGTGGCGGACGAGCGCCTAGAGGCTAGCGCGCCGCCCGATCTTGCGATCTGACCGCCGCCGGCGACATTGATCAAGATCCCGCCGCCCGCTGCCACGTCATTTGTGGCCTACAATTGTCGATGCTCGTTATTTCGTTCGGCAATTGTGCGGCACGATAAGTGACCACCGGAATGGGTAAGATCAATGGAAGCCTTCACGACACAACGCACGCCCACAAAGAGCAACACAGTCGGGCGCGCGCTGCTCGCACAGCTTGACCCCTGTCCTCATCCCCCGTTCGTTGAGCGAGGTTGCTTGGGTCATGTAGTCGAGTATTCTGCGCACTGAGCCAGGTGAGTAGGCTTCGCCTGTGAGGTGAATTAGCTGATAAGAAATTGAAACGCAGCATCAAGGCCCGTGCACTCTCTATCTCTGGAACAGGTAGTACGGAACTCGCGACCAGACGTCAGACGCGCCGGGCTTCCTCGCGTCAGTACGAGAGATGAAGATATAGCGAGCTGATCTACAATGTGAGTTATCCAAAGATTGGTTGGGACGATTGCGGCGAACCATTATAGAGCCGTATAGGTGAACCTTTATAACCCTTCCCACGAAGGCAGCGGCGACCTCAATGAAGAGTCTTGCTCAAGGAACCGTCAGATCGATTTGCAGCTGGGAAGACATGTCATGACTATTGAATGAAGTCCTCGGTGAGTCTCCTGTGAAGAAGCGTAGCGTTCTCTCATTACGAAGTCAAGCTAGACCAATATGAACGTCGATCGTCCTCGCGAGGCCTACATCCGCCTACCACAGATAATCTCTTCGTTGTTCGACCGGGATCTGCATGTGTCATGGCTTGAAGCAGGTGCTGGTTCAAAGCAGGGTACACGCGATGGCCGACCCGCGCTCGCCTCGCCTCGCCCGCTTTCCCCTTCCGGGGGGCTTCCTGCCCATTAGATAATCTTCCTGCAGGGACAGCCCCTGATATCCTCACCCAAAAGGTCTGCTCTTCCGGGTTCCTGGGCGGCAGAATGGCGATAACGATCTCTCACGGAACTAATTCCCCGATTTTGACTGTGGGTCCACATGCCGAGTATGGATAGCCAGAACCCGTCCAGGCGCTTGCGCTCCCTTCCTACATCCCATCCATCACCACTTCAGGCATCCTCCGGCCATTCTCTACCTCATAATCGTCGAGATAGCTCTGGGACCCATTCTGGCACATTTGGTGGACTGGGTGCTGCTCGGCAGCCTCCGCGCGGCCAGCAGCCGAAGCCCAGCCAGTATGTCCTAGGCGCCAACGAATTCGCTCAAAACCCGGGCTTCAACGATGTCGGACGGGCCGTCAACGCGTACGCCACAATCTGGGCTGGAGAAACGCAATATGTAGCTACAGGGGACGTTAACTCCGTTCATGGTCCTCAGTCTGGGCAGGAGGATGGTCATAGTTTGCCGCAGCATGCATTCACGGGCTATGGTGTGCCTGTGTCGTCTCTTTCGTTCTCTGCAGCTTCGCCCCAGGCAAGTGCTACCTCAATCTTAGCTGATTGTATTCTTCTTGAACTCCTCCCATTCCAGCTCCTCGATACTAGCAGCAACGACTCCTACAGCCCCGCTAGGTCGGTCGCTAGCCAGCTGAGCCGCCGCAGTGTCGGTAGCGGGTACGGGAGCCCCGAGGACGTGCCTCATGTCCATGGCGTGTCGGGACACGCGCATACAGCTCAGATTGGGCAGCTGGGCGGGCCACTACACATGCCGAGCGTGCAAAACGCGTCGCCGCAATCGTTCGGTCCACAGCCTCCGTATGGCGCATATACTCCTTCTGTAAGCGGGGACCAATTCAGTGTTGGAAATGTGGCGCATGGCATCGCAGGTCGTTCTGAGCGTCCTTCGGCACATCGCTTCGCATCTACTGGCGTCGTCGCGGCCCCGACATCGCAGGACGCGTTCGACGCAGCGCCCCACACCCAGGGCGGGGATCATTTCGGGCCCGAACATACCTCCTGGTTCCCGCAGACTCCACAGCTCTCCCTACATGCTCTTCAGCTCTCCCCGCAAGACAGCCCAGTGCATCATGGAGGGCCTCTGCAGCCTACCCAGCAGCCGTATGGCGCGATGATGCCGGTTCGGCCTCCGCAGCCTATGGGCTACCAGGGCTTTGGGGACTCCCCATATCCTCAGCTGCCTCTGACTCATATTGATGCGGCGAACCTTGGTGAGAACCTGACGCTCGACATGCTCTCCGACTCGGTGATCCCGGGAGAGAAGCCCAACTACCCATATCCCACTCTCATCCGAGCGGCCATCCTTGGGAGTCCGCGCAAGGCTCTGACTCTTCAAGGAATCTACAAGGCGCTCGAGGACAGGTTTGAATGGTTCAGGACCCATAGGAACGACAAGGGCTGGCAGGTAGGTCTTGATGAGTTATTGAGCTCACGCCACAGTTGCTGACGAGCGCGGACCAGAACTCGATCCGGCACAACCTTTCCCTGAACAAGCTCTTCCGCAAGCTTGACAAGCCCATCACCGAGCCTGGCAAGGGCAGCTACTGGACCGTCGACCTCACTGCCGGAGAGGGCAACAAACGGGAGCGCAAGCGGATCAAGCGCTCCGGCAAAGCCCAGCAGACCCGCTTTGCAATGGGAGGCGACACTGCGCTCGTTTCGAGACAGGGGGAGCAGAGCAGCAGCGAGGAGGATGACGTCCGCTCTGTGAGCACGTCGCAGAGCCTCTCCCCGACACCGCACTTCGGCAGGCCGATCTATGAGGACCAGTATATCAATCCCGCTCTAATCAACTCGGGCCACGTCGTCGGCGGACAGAACCACATGCTCCCGCCGAGAAGCCCCAGACTCGGTTCAGCGCCGTATGCCCACACAGCGTATCCGGTGCCGACTCCTGTGTCGATGATGCAGGATCTGCAATCCTCTGCGTTCGACCAGTTCTCCGTGCGTCCCGGTCAGGCCACCGCGGCGTTCGGGAACCCCCCTTCTGCTCAGCAGCAGTTCGGCCAGGGCCCTCAAGGCTTCGACGCGTGGGAGGTCTCGCTCATGGGACCGCCTACCTGGGACATGCAGCCATCTGCTCCTCCGACATTCGAGCTACTGCAGCCCAACGAGCCTGCCTACCATCATGGCTCCCTGGCTTCTTCAGTGCAGACCAGGTCATTCACCGCCGGCTCAAGCTCGAGTTCCGGCTCTGATGTCGGGAGCACGCGCAGCGTGGTCGGGCGTGCTGTTCCCCAAGTGTACAGGCGCGATAGCGGCTCCTCGGGCTCTTCGTCGTCCCGGGGATAGGTCGTCGATGACTATGCGGCATGTACGAAGTACATGCTGTGCAAGTCATTCTTGCGAACGCTTTCGCGCCAGTCTCGTTTTTCCTTTTGCTCAAGTCACTATGCATCCCAGTTCTGCCCTGATTCGTCAAGTCTCGTCAAGACCAATACACAAACCAACATCTTACCCGCTTTCGTTGCGCTTGCGTCCTTCGACCACTCTGCTATATTCAAACCCGCTATCGTTTCTGCTCTCCAATTGTATCCCCGGTTTGCCGCGCTTCGCGTCCACGACAAGTAGGTGGACCATAGACAAAATGTCCGTTACGCCACGAGGGGCTTATCTTCCTCCTCAACGTCTTCATTCCCATATTTTGTAGTCAACGTCGGTGTACGATTGTGATGCTGCTGTTTCGCTATGCTTGCCCTGCTTTCGTATCAACATCCCGTATACCTAGTACTTACATAACACATGACTCGCCAATCCGAATGCTCTGTGAACTGTGTCAATCTGCTTGTATATACTCGCTGTGTAGCATTGTTGTGTCGTGGGGTTGCTCTCTGTACTATGGCTCGCTTATTTATAATGTTCGAGTGAGTTCACTGTCCGACGTTTTAGTACACACGAGTTGGCCGCTGAAGATAGTACCAAGTCTTGAACACAGTAGATGTTAGTCGGGCTGCTTATCTTTGCATTGCAAGCTCAGAGCTCTCGGAGAGTCGGGACTGGCAGCGATGGCGGTGACGTCGGAGACAGACGAAGACCCCGGTCACACTCACGACTCGAATTTGTCTGTTCTGTCGTCAGTGACTCATGACAATATGGGCAATGCATGTGCGAACGCAGAACTGTCAACTGAACAGCAGAACATGGTGAGTTGTTCGTCGTCGAACGATGCACGCGCCTTCAGCCTGCCAGAGCCGATCTATGGCCGACCAGTGCGGCCGTTGGGGACGCCCACCCGCGCGTTGTGCGCGCCCCATGCCAGTGACTCGCTCGAGTACAAAATGCAGGGGTAAACTCCTCACCAGCACCCGCCTTCCCCCCGCCCGGCATGCCCTCCCTCGGCGACCAGCTGACTGCAGCCCTCAAGTCTCGCGACGAGCGACTCATCCGGCGGCGCCTCCCCGACCCGCAGGCGGACGACGGCCTCGCGGACTTCTCCACGAACGACTACCTCTCTTTCGCGACCTCATCCGTACTCCGAAAACGGTTCCTCGAGAAGCTCACCGCTGCCCCGAATGTCCTCGGCTCAGGTGGCTCGCGCCTGCTCGTGAACGGTCCTGCGCACGCGGCCCTCGAGGCGCGCCTTGCACGGTTCTTCGCCGCCCCCACTGCATTGCTCTTCAACTCCGGCTTCGACGCGAACGTTGGGTTCTTCTCGGCTGTACCACAACCGGGGGACGCGATCGTGTTTGACGAGCATATCCATGCATCCGTGCACGATGGGATGCGCGGGTCGCGCATCGAGCCATCGATGCGGCGGGCGTTCGCGCACAACTCGGTCGACGCGCTGCGGAACGTGCTGGAGCGGCTGATCGAGGAATACCCCGACTTGCAGACCGGCGGACGGAGCGCCTTCCTTGCGGTCGAGACGCTGTATAGCATGGACGGGACGATCTGTCCACTCGCAGAGATGGTGGAGGTGATGGAAGATTCCCTGCCGTGCGGGAATGGGTATGTCGTGGTCGACGAGGCGCATGCGACGGGGTTATATGGGCCGCAAGGGCGAGGGCTGGTCGCGCTGCTGGGCCTGGAGAACAGGGTGCTCGCACGGCTGCATACGTTCGGGAAAGCGTTGGCAGGGACGGGAGGTGCGTGTCCTCCTCGTCCTGTCTCGATCGCGCTGACGTCAAACAGCTGTCTTGCTCACGACCCCGCTGATCCGAGACTACCTCCTCAATTATGCCCGATCACTGATCTATACGACCTCGCTGAGCTATGCGAACATCATCTCCGTTGACTGTTCCTTCGACCTCCTCGAGGACGGCACAGCAGCCCAGGTGTGTGTATTCTCAGCATGCCCTTCTTCCGGTCCTGACACCCACCAGCTCGCAAACGAACTGTACGACAGAATCGACCACTTCCTCGCTCTCATCCGTCCCCACCTCTGCACCATCCCACTCTCCATTCTTGCGCTCCCCCCACACCTCGCCCTTCCACTTCGCCCCTCTTCCCCTCCCCACCGCACGTTGCTATCACCGATCATCCCTATCCTGACACCATACGCGCGCCCACTCTCCGCCCACCTGCGGGGCCTAGGCCTGAACGCACGGCCTATCGTGTGGCCGACCGTGCCGAAGGGTCGCGACCGCGTGCGCGTGTGTTTGCATGCAGGAAACTCGAGGAAGGAGGTGGAGAGACTTGTGAGTGGGTTGGTTGGGTGGGCGGAGAGGTGGCAGAGGGAGAATGCGAGACTGGGCGAGGATAAGGGCGAAGTGGTAGCAGCGAAGCTGTAGAGTGGGCGGAAGTCGGAGGCGATGAGAACTTCAAAAGCCTCGAGACCGGGGCCAACGCTGTATGCGGCAGGTTTGCCGTCGAGGCCCATTGCAGCTCCGGGAGACTTTAATCCTGTAGGGCTTCGATCTCTTGCGCGCTTGTCTGCAGGAACTCTTCATAGGAGTCTTGGTAGCCAGCTAGAGTCATACAGTCAGCTGGCTGTCGAGACTATCTCTTTGGGATCCTCGGAAAGAAAACGGAGCGTACCAGGAGTTTTCGCGAGGGCGCGGTAGCGGGCGATAACCTCCCTGTTGTGCTGGATGGCGGCGAGCTGGGCTTGCTTGATGGTACCTACGTGCATAACAATAGCTGTCATTCATTTATCGAATAGAATGACAAGGAATGTCGTCGTACCTGAGACGTGCACGACATTTGGGATGTACCGCTGCCCGTCAATGGTCGACAGCATCGTCACACCCGCCCAGGCGATCCGGTAGGGGTCGCGCGCGACGCGGATGATGCACACATTCGTCCGAGGAGAGTAGTACTTCACTTCACGCACCCACGAGTCCCGTCAACCACCGCACGACAAACGAACGGCAAAACCACGCGTACCGGTCAAGGACGCACCGACCGCGCCCCAGCCGGTGTCCCCGAAGTGCGTGATCACGCTCTGCTTGAGCGCAGCCCAGATCTGCTTGCTGCTCGTCTCGACGTCGCTCCCTCCGATGCCCCCGGAGGCGGCTTGTGCGGCGGGGGTCCTTCCGGGACTCGGAGCGGTGCAGGGGATGAACTCGACGAGGATCCAGCGATTCTGACCGGGACGCCCGGGGTCAGCGTGCCATACGTCGACGACAGCGGTATGGTGCTGACCTTGAAGCGGACCATGTTTACTGGCGGACTCGGGTTTGCATGTCCGTGGAAGAGTCGGATGGAGGTTGTGCGCAGGGTTCGGCGGTGCGAAACGGAAACGCGACTGTGGCGCCTAGAGTCGACGTCTGTTTTGGGCAAGCGCTGTGGTTGTGGCGATTTGTTACTTTATCTCTCTTGCCATCAACTTGCAATCCTGGGCCGCTCCCAACAACGAAACGAATCATACTTATGCATATATTGTTGCCCAAAAATGATGCCTTAGTGACATTGTCGACGCGCTGACAGCGGGTGACAGGCGACCGACTTTGTCGCCGACGATACACGTACCACCGGCCCTCACATCAGCGTAGAGGCGAGGAACAACGATGGTGCAAACGCAGACGTTCGGCCTACTGCTGATATCCTGTGACAGGCTCTCTTCTCCGGATATTCGACGCGTTCCTGCGACTCTTGACTTGACCTTAGTCTGGACTCAACCGGCGGAGTGTTCGCGCTGGCAGCATGGCGCCCATGTTTCGACCTCTGGGCGTTCCGTTCTGACACGGTTGTTGCGTCGATATGTGGGCTACGAAGCCCATCGGCAGCTAGCTCTTGCTTCCGTGGACTCGGGCTGACCAAACATAGAACACTGCGGCTTACGAATGTACAGCTGCCCGACGTTGCACCCCGAGCCTCAAGCTTCAAGCTTCAGGCCTCACTATTGGCTGATGTAGATTTGCCAATGACTTCCTCATAGTAGCTTGTGTGCAGCGTTCGAGTGTCCTGGGTGGATGCCATGCAGAAGGATCCTGTAGTGGTGCTGTACTAATTACATCGACTTGCTGACTTTGGTAAATATAATATTGACTCGTAACAGTGACTATAGTAGCCCTATATTATTATACAACATTGCTATAATATACTAGTCTTTGCACGTGAAACCACGTCGCGAGGCGCGTGAATACCGGACAGCTTGAACGACACTCTCACCACTGACTTCCGAACTTTGATCAACGACGTTGTAAGACTACTCATAAGGGCAAGTGGCATAGCCTCCTACATTTTACAGGCGCGCAGAAGAACAGCCGGGAAACGTATATATTGGCACCTTGATCCCGACACTGGCATCGCAATACCATCACCCACGAATCCTCTGACGCGCAGCGCAAGCCAACTATCGAATCATGTCAAAACTCGAATACACCCCTGTCGAGGAGATTCCAAAGGTCTGTTGAACGAGATTGGTTGAAGTTTGAACCAAACGTCATGATCGTGCCTCTTGACAGATCCACGCTGACCTCTACCGGGGCTTCCGTACCGGCAAAACCAAGTCTATCGAGTACCGCAAGGACCAACTGCTCCGATTAGCGTACCTGTTGCAAGACAACAAGAAACGGTTCGAGGACGCCCTCTTCGCTGACCTCGGGCGACCCCATCCAGAGTCCGTCCTGTGCGTTCGTCCTCCCCTGTTCAACTAGTACATCGTCTCATGCCCACAACCGAACCTTCATAGGCTTGAGCTTGACCCCCTCATCGGCGACATTAAAGAGGCGTATGGCTCCGTCAAGAAATGGTCCGCGACGGAGAAGGTACGGTTCAGCCCGAAGTGGTTCCCCATGGGCCCCGCCATCCGGAAAGAACCCAAGGGCGTTGCGCTGATTATCGCGCCGTTCAATTACCCGGTGCTACTGCTTCTTGGTCCTTTCGCGAGCGCTATTGCCGCAGGATGTGCAGCAGTCATCAAGCCGTCTGAGCTCACCCCAGCGACGAGTGCTCTGATGGGAGAACTTGTCAGCAAGCATCTCGACCAAGATGTATACCGACTTGTCAACGGTGCTATCCCTGAGACTACCAAGGTGCGCTCCTCAGTGCGGGATGTGCGTTGTTGACTCACGTACTCTCAGCTTTTGGAGCTTCCGTGGAATCATAGTAAGTGCACAAGGAGGCTACCAATGGTGACGTGAGCGACTGATCACATTCCTGTTTCGCAGTCTTGTACACTGGTAGGCTCTTTGTGCTACAGTGACGGACACCAGTGTCATTATCTCGATTTTACAGGTAATGGTAGGGTAGCGAAGCTCGTCAGCCATGCAGCGGCTGAGCACTTGACCCCACTGACACTTGAGGTATGTTTAGGTCATTGCTTATCACTCAGAGGGGGGTACTGATCTACATGTGCAGCTTGGTGGTGAGTTCTCAACGGAGAGCCGTCTTTACCAAAACTGAAACAATGTTCACCAAGGCAAAAGCGCTGTCATCATCGATCCGAAGTGTGACCTCCCCACAGCAGCTAAGAGAATACTCTGGGGCAAAGTCGCCAACGCTGGGCAGGTATGACATTGTTTGGCACAGGACACGGGCCTTTTCCACAATGACGTCTCCCAGATCTGTCTGGCTCCCGACTACGTTCTTGTTCCGCGCCAATTCCAAGACACCTTCGTTGCCGCTTTGCAGCGCGCGTGAGTAGAACACGTTCCCATGAGGTGCGCAGATCCTTACGGCACCATCCCCAGCTTCAATGAATTCTTCCCGGTGGACCCGCTCAAGGCACCAGAAGGCACTATGGCGCATGTCATCTCGGACGCCCACGTCCAGCGGCTTAAGCGACTGCTCGACGCGACTCGCGGTACCATCGCTATCGGTGGTCAAGTGGACGCCGCGCGGCGGTTCATCGTCCCCACTGTTGTGAAGGACGTGAAGACTGACGATGCGTTGATGTCCGAGTACGTGTTCCTCGGCGGTTGCGCTCAGCTTCCATTTCGTGGCCTCGATGCTGACAGGGTTTGAACTTTGCTTGTAACAATGTATGCAGGGAGATCTTCGGGCCTATTCTGCCGGTGCTTCCGGTCGATAGCGTCGACGAGGCCATTGAGATCGTCAATGCTCGGTGCGTATGCCTGTAGTATAGGTCCCATTGCATCGACTGACTTCTAACAGGGACCACCCCCTTGCGCTTTACGTATTCACAACAGACGCGAAGTTCAAGGCCAAAGGTTAGTCTCGGCGTCTGGGATCTGCGGGAGAAGCTCACACAGCTGACTCGGTGTTAGTGTTCGACAACACACAGAGCGGGGCCGCGATAGCGAACGAAGTCGTCATTCATCTCGGTGGTGCGTAGCCACATTATCTCCCACTGCAGCCCGTACACCGCCGTTGACTGACCGATCATGACAGTCGACCACCTTCCATTCGGCGGAATTGGTCCGAGCGGCTGTAAGATTGTCAGCGATGTTTACCTACAGTGTGGGTGCTGACCTTGATTGCAGCCGGATACACGACCGGCAAGTTTGGGTTCGACACGTTCACGCATCTCAGGGCCACGATAGATAATCCGAGCTGGTGAGTGTCTTCCCTGTGCGCTCGGCGTATATCTGAAGCTCATCAACACGACCTATGCAGGGTCGATAAACTGGTCATGTCGGCGCGCTACCCACCTTACGACGTGAGTTTTATTTACCCTTCGTCCGATTGGCCAGAGCTTAAGTGAGCACGCCCTATGTGTTCTAGCGCGGCGCAATTCAGAAATTGAACAAGATGTCCAAGCCAACGCTTCCGCCGCGTCCGGGCAGTCGTCCGAGTCTATTGAAGAGGTGGCCGCTGTGGCTTATTCTCGCCCTTGTAGGCCTGGTGACCAAAGTGAAGTGGCGCTCGATCGTAGGGTCTGCTGCTTGATGAACCAGGAAGCGAATCATCTCATCCTGTCTGTTGTCCTCTCCTAGTCTCTGGTGCTGTATCACCCTGTACTTATGGCGAAGGATCTGTACATATGTATGCTATACTGTTATAATGGAACCTTGTTAAGATACAAGAATGCTATGTCACGGAGTGCATGAAAGGACCGGGGCAAGAGATCAAGATGTATGTCATAGTCCGTTCAGAATGAAGTGGAATCCGAGTACCGTGGAGCCTGTCACCGCATAATCATCATCAACAGTTACAAGTAACTCTACGACGTGATGAGGAAGGACTGGTCCTCCTGCGAGGGGCTGTCCACCCGCTGGCGCCAATCTCTCAGCACCTCGTCCGCCCAGCCGCCGACGCTCGACCGTTTACTGCGCACGTTGACGTGGGCGGGCAAACCGTTGGCGGTGCCCTCTTGACCACGCGTGGCGTGGTTGGGGCTGGGTGAACGGATGTCAATAACGCTCATGATGGACCGTCGTTTCTCGGCACGCGACGTGCGCTTTGGCGGAAGGGGCACTGTCTTGGTGGACTCGAGCGACCGGCGTCGCTCGCGTCGTGGTGAGACGAGGCTCGCGGTGCTGTCGGTGGGCGAAGGGTGGAAACACAGGAACGAGTTAAGAGGGGAGGTAATGTAGTCTATGTCGGTGTGGGAGCTTGCGATGGACTCGCGGTCGCTATCGCTGCGACTAGGTCAGTATGGTCGGTTGGCATATATGGAACGCTAAACTCACCGGGAGATTGGTCGTCCCGAAGAAGACGGTTTCGAGTACGAGGGAATAGCATCTCGCCTCGACTTCGCACGACCGTGCAAACCGTCGGCGTGCCTGGAGGAAGTGGAAGACTCATTCCTCGGCCTTTGGACACGCATGTCCAGCGTCTCCGTGTCCGTATTGATTCTGGGGTGAGCAGTCCGGGGTGCGGGATACTCTTGCTGAGGGTAGGACCCATTTCGGAAGTGGGCAGGCCGTTTGCCTGCTACTTTTGAAGACTCCGGCTCGATGGGCGATGGAGCAGATGGGTTAACAATCACGGATGCTGGGCGCGTCGCAATCATACGCAGCCCGGAGAAGAAGAGATTGGAATAGGGGCAGACATCCTGTTCTTGCCACATGAGGACCGGTTGGAAGGACATGGGCTAGCAGTGAGGATGAGGGGATACGGTCGCCGGTCGCAGAGCATCTTAAAAGAGTTGGTGGAGCGCCGCGGCAGTGTGTGGACCGTCAGGAGGATAGTACCGCTTGAAAGATGCACGCAGCACCGAGACGCCTAGATGCGAAGTGCGAGCGATGCTTCTACGGCGTGGATCAACGCGATTAAGATTCTTATCCCATGAACGCTGAAAGGAGAAGAGCCACCCTCATATCCGAGCAGTTCTCAGGAACAGCAGTGGCCCAGGCTGACACCTCCTGACGAGGAGGCGCGTCCGGACCAGGTGTGTACCAACGCCCGTTCCGGGTGGCATGGTATCGAGACGAACGCCGCCACACGAGAGGCACATTCTCATGCATCGCACTGCAACCGCTGAAAACTGGCACTTGTAAGCTGAATTGCGACGCACGTGAAAGATAGCGAACCAAGTCATTACCGGGACGCTGTTCGGCTTCCCAGCTAATTCAGGGTACAGAACAGTGTAATACAAACAGCGTCTTCTGAGTCCTTCAATCATGATAATCTTTCGCGAAGACATAAGATGCACAGTCAACAACAGTGGGCATTGCCATTCGATGAAAGTGGGCTGAAACCCGGGATCCCCATAGATCATTAACACGCGCAAGCGTGTAATGCATTGCGATCAAGCGCATGCCAGTAATTTGCCTTCCACAGCGAGCAGCACGGAACTGAGAGCAGCACAGAACCTTGCTGAGGTATAGGCATTCCGTGCAACGCACTACTGATCTCCGAGAATGCGTTTCACGCCACGTAATGGAACATCGCTCCATATTGGCGTATTTGACAGTAACCTGCGAATGGACAGGCGCATGTCGCAGTACCTCGACAGAGGCTAGGTCGGACCAAATCGCCTCGATGACACGGTAAGGACAAATGTACATCGATAGAAGACTTACGTGATGAGACTCAATACATATACGCCTTGACATATCGATTGGATTGTTACCTGACTAGAGTCAAGAGAATAGCTCAGCAAATGCGGTCAATGGTATTTCTTTCATCACCATTTCACAGCTCACAGCTAAGCCCCGGGACAGATGGCAGCTGTATGTGATTACATCACGCCCCTTCGCGCACAGATGAATAGCCTCCGTATCCAAGTTATCCGGCGCATCAGCGACTGCATCGCAGGAATTTGTGTCGGCTGTCGAATGTTTTGCTGCACCGAACTTGGGTGAGTGGACTGGGGTTATTCCAGAGTAGATAAAACATGGCCAACTGGCTGCTTCGTGCTACCTGCGCGCTGTAGCACTCGATTGGGTGTTGGCTTGGGCCAGGACACCCTGCTGTTGCTCCGCCAGCACTCGACGTTTGTTGAAGTAGTCGATCTGTTCGTGCCATACATTGATATGAGTGGCATGGTAGCAATAGACAAGCTTTATCACGTACCCAACTTTTTGCACAGTTCCGCTCGTACGCCGCCTTCGGAACATCGCATGCACTGCCCTCGTCACCGGGCTTGACAACTTTGGCACCGTCCAGGCATGCGAAGTAAGCGTCCCGGCTGTCCCAACACTTCTGCCTATCGGTTCTCGACGCTGGGTCAGGCTTCTCCGGCGTCTTAGAGCTGCTGAACCACCCCATCTGGGTATTTTCGCGAAGAGCGACAGCAACGATGTCGAGCGTAAGGAGACTGGAGAGGCAAGCCCCCGGTCTGTTGTGTAAGCGCTCGACTGCTCGACTGCCATCACGTGGTCTCTCCCGCGCTCGCGACCTCCGAGGGCACGGACGCGTCTCGTCGCCAAACACCACGACGACGACGTTCCTTTCGACCACCTGTTCATCACTTCGAGAATCCATCTGCGGAGCTATTTCATGAACAATCACTCTCCTTTGTTGCACTAGGCGTGTCAATGGCTTCGGCATCGTCGACCCCGTTCTCTACCCCGATCCACTCGCACCCACTGTCGGTCGAGGAGGCTCCGTCCAGGAGCCGTCGATCTCGCGGTAAGCAGCCCTCGGACGACGTCAGGCCTCCTACAGACTATTTCACGCTCAAGGCCCAGCTGGAGAGCAGTGCTGAGCAGCACACCAAGCTGAGCAATGTCAACTGGGATGGCAGTGTGCGTGGTTACGGGAAGGACGCGAAGCGCAAGTCAGTGGGAGGCAGTGTTCTCCGTATGTCGCCCTTTGACTGAACGTGCTCCGGCATAGGAACAGCAAGCCGGCGCCTCTCATCGTAGTTGAATCTACGAGCGGCCAACTAGCCCCACCGGCCTCTGCGACCCTTGACAGTTTCGACTCCGTGTTTGTCGAGGACACGGCGAATGGGTTCGCATCGGCCTCTGACGTCCTCCGAACCCAATGGCACGAGATGCCAGATGATGCGGTGGAAGCGGCTTTGTTGAGCCTCCAGGAGACAACACCTCAGTCGAGTATCCCGAGCCACCCATACCATTCCGTCATCAGGGTACTATCATCTGCTGTACATAACCTCTCTCGGATCCGCCGAGAGCTCGAGGACGATCGCCGCCTTCTGCGGGAAAAGGAGGCGAGACGGCGAGAACGCGCAGAGCACCTCATCAGGGAACTACCTCTATCTGACAAGCTCGTCGCGCAGCGCATACTACAATCATTGTATCCTGATGACGACGAAGCGACGCATCTTGTGCAGAAGCGACATAGTCAATTAGTGAGTGTGAGCTGCTCAGGATGCCTTCAGACTGACCAATACACATCAGTCTCTGTCAGAGTCGCTGACTGAGGCGATTGAAGATGATGTATCACTCTCGCGAAGCGTGCCGGAGGATTCGTCCACCCCAATGGCGAACTCCAATATGGGGTCTTCGACAGTGACCGTCGAATCCGCGGAGGCGCCCACAACCAACGGAGACTCGCGAGATGCCTCAGAGGCTGATCTGGACTCACAAACGACGAGCGAAGCATTCATGCCTAATGGAGACGAACGTGCATTATCTATCAAAGGGGACAAGGCGAGCCTCGGAGATTGGATGGGAACTTGGTGGGTCAAAGGCAAGAAGAATGGGCAAGCAATCACGCCGCCTCGAGTCGAACCGTCCCCGGAAGCCATCGTCGAGAGCCCGGTCGACACCCCTCAGACGGGAACCGAGGATGACCCATCTACTCCATCTGCGTCATCTGCGTCGCAACCCCCGAACAAACCTAGTCGTCGCAAGGCAGTCCGGAGCGTCTTCGGTAATCTGGGCTTCTCGATGTTAAATCCTTCAGTGACTTCATTGGGCCCACGGAAGCGTCGCAACATGTCGGTGACGGACACCCAGGGCTTCGAGCCGCCGACGGACGCGAAGTCAACGAGGAGCGTGCGCTCTGCAGCATCTTCCCCGTCGAGAGCGTCGTCTTCACTGCTGCCACCTGCTTCCTCTGGACCTTCCAAGTCAGCCTCGCTGTCCAAGCCACCTTCGATCGTCTCAGGAACTTCCCGAGCGGCGGCGGAGGAACGGCCGCCACAGGGATCGTCCCTGCGGGCCATCATACAAGCCACACGAGTGATGACCACGGACCCTGCAAGCATCTTGGACGACCAAGGCCGCGAGACCAGCCCATTGATCGCTCAGAAGGCCTTCGATCTTGTGCGGGTTGCTCGCGAGGAAGGCCTTGACTTCCGTGAGCAACCCAAGCCGAAGAGAGAGCGCAAGCAGGACAAGGCTGATGGCGCTGACGACCAGACTGCACGGTCAACGCTCAGCCCTGGGGGCGAGACCGCGCCGCCGCTCGTGCGCGCATCGACATCCGGAGATGTGCGCAGGCCAACCAGTCGAAGGAAGCCTAGTGTCAATATACCGTCGTTCGCGTCCCCGATCTTTGGCTCGTTTATGGCGCAACAGGACAAGGCAATATCCACGGTCGTCAATGCGGTGCAGAGAGGATACCCTTCGGGCACCCCTGCGCAGACGGACTCTCAGGCGAACACAACAACATCGCCTCGTGTGACAAAGCCTGGCTCTGTGCCGCTGGAGTCGATCATTCCGGTGGACGCGAAACCACCGACCCAGTTTCTCTCCCGCACATACACGCCGCTGACCTCGCGCGACTTTCACTTCTCGATCCCACTTCCTGACGTTGCCTCGGCCCTGTCGGTGCCATACGATGAGCATAGCCATGAAGGCATGACCGACAGATATGGTTTCATCTACGACGTCTCGAAGTATGATGTCCTGCTGCTCATCCGCGCGAAGGAGTGTGGGAACACCGCCCCCGCCTGCTTGACGGGTATCAAGATCGCCGACCGCAAGGAGGACAACACCTGGCCCAGCGACGACGGAGTGGTAGACGACGCGATCGAGGTGGCCAAGGAACCCTGTGGTTGCGATGGTAATGGGGACGTATCGGATGTGATCAGCGTCAAATCCACCAGTACTCGACCCACCGCGCGGAGTATACTGTTCACAGAAGAAGGAGCACAATCGTCGGCGTCAAGGCGAAGTTCACCATCGTCCACTAGGGGCCGGAAGCGCGCTGGCACGACCACTACTGGCCCTGCACCGCGTCCGAAGTCCTCCATCCTGGTGGTCGACGCGGACACTCCCCGACACGTCTGTGCGAACACCATCCGCATGCTGATTGCACAGCTCGTGGACATACACGATCAGCGACAGACCGCTCAGCGCCGGGAGTGGGACGCCTTCGTGAAGCGCAGAGAGAAGTCACGTAAGTCGACGGGTGGATCGATGTCGCGGATCACCACCGCTACAGGAGGCGCTGCTGCTCTCCTCGGCCTTGGTACTGCCGTGGAAGAGGAAGAACTCGCACACAGCGGTGGCCTGGTGGGCTTCGCCGAGCTCGGCCTGCCAGCATTCAAGGACGAGAAGCGGGAGTTCGTGCGGCTTGTTCGTAATGGCATCCCTCTCGTGTATCGATCGCAGGCTTGGCTCGAGTGCAGTGGAGGGCTGGAGATGCGGGAGCCTGGTGTATTCGCGGACCTGCTTGCCCAGGCAGACGACGGAAGTGGTGCGATCCGCGAGATCGAGAAGGATGTGTGCCGTACTATGCCGCTGAACATCTTCTTTGGACGTACTGGCGCGGGTGTGGACAAGCTGCGAAGAGTGCTCATTGCATACAGCAGGTAAGGCTAGTCGCTTGTAAGACGACAACGCCATTTGACTCGATACATCGCTTCCCAGACGTAATCCGGCGGTAGGCTACTGCCAAGGCATGAACCTCGTGACATCTACCCTTCTGCTGATCCACGCCGATGAGGAAGAGGCCTTCTGGGTACTTTCCGCGATCCTCGAGCGGTTATTGCCCGAGGACTTCTTCTCGCCGACCCTCCTCAGTTCGCGGGCTTGTCCCCTGGTGCTGCTGGAGTATGTCCAGGACTCGATGCCAAAGCTCTATCACCACCTCACAGAACTTGGTGTTGACCTTCCCGCTATCTGTTTCTCGTGGTTCCTCTCACTCTTTACGGATTGTCTCCCCGTAGAGGTGTGTTCATGTCACCACTATCAGCTTGGTTAGTTGCTGATGCTTCTGCCCAGACTCTGTTCCGCGTATGGGACATCTTCCTCGTCGACGGCATGGATGTGCTATTCAGGATCGCATTCACTATTCTTCGGATGAGCGAGCAAGAGCTATTGCATTGTTCATCGATTCCTGCCGTCTATGTTGCACTAGAGAGTCTGCCCAACAGGATGTGGGAGACCGACAAACTACTTCAGGCAAGTCCTGACACATCTAGTCTGCATACGTGCGTTCTGACTTTTGCACAGTATGAAGCGGATCTCCGCTCGACTATGGTTCATTCAGACCTCGTCCGTAAACGACAGGCACACACGGAGGAACTCAGACAGTGCATGGCATGAGCATATTTCGTCACCATCAGGCACCACCGTAGACCTATATTATTGCGCGTTGTATTGGGTACAGTACTCAGGCTTGTATGCTTAGATGGGATAGGACCTTGGCTCAGTTGGGTTAACAGATCAGCTAGTCAGGCTATGCGCCTGAGCACGACACTCCATCTGTGTCCATTACTTATTTAGCTACGTTGAATCGCTCGAGCACACGGATCCGTATCGCCCTGATTTGGTCGTTCATTAAGTTTGGACCCGATAGCGGCCCGATGACAACAGCCAAACAACAGCAGTGAGAGTATATCTACCAACCCGTCAGGGTTTCACCGAATGCTAAGTTCGTCCGCGAACTCCAGGACAGTGTGAGGTACAGGCTCTGCGGACAGTAGTACTCACGCCGTAGACGTCGACATGGCCCCCTCCAAGCAGACGATAGTCATCGGCGGGATCGCAGTGAACGTGTATTCACTCCCCGGGGCTACAGACCCGTCCGCTCCCGTAGCGGTCTTGTTCTTCCTCCACGGCAGGACTGGCAAAGCGGGCGACTGCGAATGGGTCGCGCACTCTACGCTCGAGTGGACTGACGAGCTGAGGAAGAGTGCCGGTGTGCAAGGGCAAGACCTTCTCGTCGTAACCCTTGTAAGTGCTCAATGCTTCGTAGTTCGGCGATTGGATTGCTCATGATTGGGAGGATCGCAGGACCAGCGCAACCACGGCGATAGGGTTGTTGATATACGCGCCAACAGTGGGTGGAGGGAGCAGCCTCCCCAGAGGAACGACTCTCATGCGTAAGTGGAAGTTCCTGCTCGGTCTGCGTCGAAGTCTCGCACTCACACCGATTTCCTCATGTTAGGGTTGACATGTACGCGATCTTTAGTACGTCTGCGTCGAAGATTGTAAGATGTAGTTGCATTGCACTGACGACAAGTCTAGCGGGATCGTCCAAGGACGTGTCGTTCTTGATTGATTACCTGCCCTCATACCTGTACCCGTCTGGGGAGCGTACCGTCTCACAATGGCTGCTAGGAGGCATCAGTCTCGGTGGACACGCAGCTTGGTATGCTCTGCGGCATGGTAGGAAGCCTTCGAGAACGCTGCCAAGCCTTTGTTGCTAACCACCTTACAGAACCTAGGATTAGATTGGGTATTCCAATCATAGGTGAGAACTAGAGCTCGCAGGATCGCGCGCGACTGAAAGACAATTGTCTAGGTTGCCCCGACTACCTCGCGCTCATGACCGAGCGCGCCGCACTGAACGGGATCCCCTTCGAGCCTCCATACATCCCGAAGACGTTCCTCAGCCTCATCGCCCAACAGGACCCTGCAACGGCGCCGTACGAAGCGTCGGACTCATCTAACCCGTTCTATGGAAAGAAGATCCTTGTGCTGTCGGGGGAAGCCGATAAGCTGGTGCCGTGGACCGCATCGAAGGAGTTCGTTGACAACCTCAACGTCGGGCCGGAGGGCACGAAGGAAGTCATCGTAGCACCAGGAGTGGGACACGAATGCACGAAGGATATGATCCGTGCGATGTCAAAGTTCATTTGGGAGCAGGCGTTGGCGGTATGATCCAGGTACAGTATAGGCGAAGAAACGAGGGAGAAGTTCAAGTAACTGAACGAACCCTCCATGTATGTACGATGTACGCACGCGTGTAAACGGAAGGAGCATGTCGTCTCACCACAAGACCCTCCGCGCAGGTGTGGTTTGTGTCGAACCTGAGCCGAACGTACCAGTCACGATGGACGCAAGCACCAGACAACGCGAACTCCAGAAGTTCACTCGCGAGAAATACCATGCCATCATGCCGTTAGGCTGCGAAACATTCGTTCTGGAGGTGGGGGCCACACCCGAATGCACTGCCCCAGTTCAATTGCGAGGCGAACAGATGAGCTATTTGCTGGAAACACTCGGCAACATACCTCGCCACAAGCCAGCGAATTCACTCAGCCGAGGATTGCACTGTCGTCTGCAGTACGTGAACACTCACCATGACCCCCTAATCCGACGTAGTGCAAAAGCAAAACCGAGGCCTCTGGAGTACGGAGGATACTTGACCGACGATGGTCCCGCCTATTAGCGGACTTGGAGGTAGCCCGAGCAACGTAACGAAGAATGAGCATGATATTTGGAGCACGGCAGCGGTATACATGTTCGCAACAGAATGGATGTGTAAAACACTGAGCAGCGTGTGGACCTGCACGAATAATCAGCTTCCAGTCCGATACGACGCCGAATGAATCGTGCAAGTGGAATGCGACTGCGGAAAACGTGTGACCTCAGCCTCGCCTTTAACTCTCCACGCGCACCCATCGCTTCGAAAATGCCTACAGAAGGCATGCAAGGACGAGCAGATACAGTGGGAGTGAGTCGCGAAGGACAGCTCGCCACCGAACGGTCCTCACATCGGGGTGCTTTATGTTACCAGGGTTTTCTTCTTCGGTCTCGCATAACATAGTCGCAGAAAACAAGACATCATTGACGACACTCACTATATACATGCAACGGTTCCACAGGAAATGTAAGTGATCCCCAGGTGATCCTGCGTCCTGGCCTCTCAACCAGAGGGAGAAGCAATCAGCATAGATTGTTTTTGAGACACTCTTCCGAAGGAGATTGTTCTACGACGCTTGTCTGGGCCATCCAATCCAAGGAGTAGCAGAGCCTCGAAAGGCGAGCAGGGGATCAGACAGCAATTTGAACGTCGAGGTTTTGGTGAAGAGACGTGCGCGATGCGACGCGCCTTGAAAAGTGCTCGGCGAGGACCGAAGCGCCGCTTCAATTGTAGGCGCCTACAGCAGCCCCCAAATAAGGCAATTCCCGACGCTCTTTGCCGGGCTTTCGTATCTCTGTCGGTGCTCGTCTCAGGCTACTCCGCGTCCATCTCACCGACGAGCGTGCCATCTTCGACCACCTATTGATCTGGTATACTGTGGACCTCGGACGTTGGAACTTATCTGCATAGGCCGGTTAGAACGACCTCGGAGGCCAGCTTGTAGCTCGAATACGACCGCCCCTCCCCATATCGAAAAGGTCGCGTCCAGAGCGCCTGCGGGAAACTAGCTCGCAGTGCTGAAGCAGTAGCCTACCAAGGATCATGGGCTCCGGGCTGAACGGCATCTTGCCACCATCGCCGGATGGAAAGGTTGTAGATGCTGCTCTAGCACAGTCTACTGTGCCCGTCGCGCAAGCAACAAACGGAGGCGGTTCGACGCTATTGAGTGTTTTCGGTGACAAGTGCGTGCCGACATACATTCCCCGCTGGCCGCGTTGCTCACGAACGGTTGCTCTAGCATAGTCCATACTTCCAAGCCGGGTTCGGCCTTGTGGTACGTGTACTATTCACTGCACGTCCTCGCCGGACACACGGCTGATGAACTATACAGGGTCTCGGCGCTGGCCTGAGTGTGTTCCGCCATGGTCTCGTCTACGCTTCCACGGCACTGCGACGCCGAATGCTCGTCTCCCTCGAGATCAATAACAAGGATCCATCCTACGAGTGGTTCCTGACATGGATGGCGGCCCGCTCAGTAGCAGTCGCAGAAGCCGGTGCGAAAGCGAAGCCCTGGTCTCCCAGATTCTGGACGCGCAGCCACAACGTGAGCGTGCAGACGGTACACGAACAGCGCAAGAATGGCAGCTCGAACGTATCCTTCAAGCTCGTCGCCGGCCCTGGAACACATTTCCTTCGCTACCGGGACGCGTGGATGCAGGTGAAGCGCGAGCGCGAGACCCGCTCGCAGCAACTCATGTCCGGAATCCCTTGGGAGACGGTCACGCTCACGACACTGTCGCGGGACCGGGAAAAGTTCCGTGAGTTGTTGGCCGAGGCGCGGGACATGGCCCTGCACGCACAGGAGGGAAAACTTGTTATACACACGGCTTGGGGCACTGAGTGGAAGCCATTTGGGCAGCCGCGGAGGAAGCGGCCGCTCAAGAGTGTCGTCCTAGCAGGAGGTGTTGCAGAACAAATCGAAGAGGATGTCAACGCTTTCTTGCAACGGAGAAAGTGGTACGAGGATCGAGGTACGAAGTTCATCTAGTCTCGCATAACACCGCTCATCTGTCACTACAGGCATTCCGTATCGGCGCGGCTACCTTCTCCACGGCCCCCCTGGCTCAGGCAAGTCATCCTTCATCCAGGCGCTAGCGGGAGAACTCTCGTACGACCTCTGCCTGCTCAACCTCTCCGAACGCGGGCTCGCCGACGACAAGCTGATTCACCTGCTCTCCAACGCTCCCGAGCGCAGCTTCGTCCTCATCGAGGATGTCGACGCTGCGTTCAACAAGCGCGTGCAGACGACTGCAGACGGGTACGTTTTTCGCCCTGAGCATCGAGTTTCTCCGCTGATAGCGGGGTAGGTACCAGTCCTCCGTGACATTCTCTGGCTTCCTCAACGCCCTCGACGGCGTCGCATCGGGCGAGGAACGCATCATCTTCATGACGACAAACCACCCTGAACGCCTCGACCCTGCGCTCATCCGCCCCGGCCGCGTCGACCTCTCCGTGCTCCTCGACGACGCGACCCCTGAGCAGGCACGCAGGCTGTTCATTCAGTTCTACGGGGGCTCGGACGAGGTAAGTCAGGACGAGCTGGCGCGCATGGGTACGCGGGTGGAGGAGATCGTGCGGGATGCAAAAACGCGGGAACGGAGAGCGAGCATGGCTGCACTGCAGGGCTTGTTCATACGGAGCCCTGTTCAGGATGCTGTGGCAGGCATCCAGTCACTGCTGTCCTATAGTGCACCTTAGGACATCGGAACATCGCCAAAAGTATATAGGGTCCTGGCCGTAGATGTTGCATATATTGCTACTAACATGCCTCGAAAATAATGATACCGTGACCCGAACCCTACGTATCGCATCGTGCATACGACAGGCTGGACATATCTCCATTGTGAGTTGCAAGTTGTTTCGCTCTGTCATGGTTATCAGAAAGTCTGGAGACAAGTCTGCAAATGGAGATATCGGATCTAGACGGTACAACTGAAAACATCGGCTACCTGGCCTTGATATCACAATTCACGTAACACATTGCATACAGCAACCAACGAAGACAGCAGAAACAGGTAACAGGAGCCAAACCGTACAACATCACACCCGAGTCCGAGTCATCCCTCACATCAAGCCATGCTCCTCCAATAGCTCCAGCCGCGCGACTTGTCTGTAGACGCAGCGTCAGCCCAACAGACGTCGTTGATTGCCTTGACACACACCTATCCCTCACCGCCTCCTGCCATCTCATGAGCTTCGCGAGCTCGTTGACCTGGAAGCCAAAGATCCGGGGGCGGTACCGATCCGCCTTCAGCGCGACGCTCGCGGTGCTCACACCCTCATTGCCCAGGTCCGCCGGGGGCTCCTCCTCGCGGACCTTCCTGCTCCGTCTGCTGCTCTCCGCGTCCGCGCCGCGCGTGAGGGGCGCGAACTCGACGGGACCGCTCTTCGGCGGGATCAAACCAGGGTAGACGAGGAAGAGGAGGTGCGGGAAGGATGTGCCGAAGTACGCGCCGTCGATGGAGCCGTGCCGCGAGGACTTGGGCGAGTAGATGTCCTCGCAGCGGCCGCAGTAGAGCTTGACGGACTTCTCGTAGGGCACGTCGGTGAGCCCGACGGGGAGGAGGGGCTGTTGTTGGCAGAGCACGCGTGGGCAGCGGCCGAAGTCGCCTCGCTTGTACTTCTCGAGCTGGAGTGGCGGATGCGATGAGTGGCATAGGTAGCAGAAAAGAAGGCAGGCATACCATCTTGGCAAGACCGCGGGCTGTGACAATCCACCTGGCGTGGATTAACCCGTAAAGTAGTCGCGCCTGGACGTCGAGAGTACCCCGGAACTCGTCTTGGATGTCGTCATCTAGACAGAGGTCCACGCGTGAATGTCTGCACAAAACTGGCATTAAGGTAGACTGACCGAGGTTGTCGGTAATGAGGTCTAGGGCTTGCGTATAATGCTGGACATCGGCGTTCAGACCGGTGAGGTTGAAACGGTCGAGAATGTAGTCCTCTTCGACTTCGCAGAAGTACTCGTTGCCCTTTGACGACAGGAACCACGAGATCCACTGTTACCATCCGTCAAGACAGCAACATGCAGCGAGTATAGTAGGATATGATACCGAGCTTCGCGTCGAACCGGTCAGGCATCGTAGACAAAGACATTCCAACGGTGGCTTACTTGGAGTAGTCCGAGTCGGAGCCGGTCGAGATGTCGTCCACTGTGCGTCGAATCATGTCCTTGTCAGTCTAGCAATGTCGCAGAGTCGCCTTCGAGTCGGAGACTGACTTTGGCCCTGAAACCCGAGAAGAATAAAAGGGAGGGATGAGCGAAAGGACGAGGGTGGATGGCGTCAAGAAGAGAGATGGCGCGGGCAGGCTCAGCGTGGTCGCGCGCGGACGTGCCTGCTCTCTTCAAATTCACTTTGATTTTGGACTTCTACGTGCTCTTGAGTCGGTTCTGCACAGCCTGCTACTCATACCCCGGAATCGAGCTCTGCAACATAGGGAGCGGCGCAGAAGGCTCTGTCGGATCTATGCTTGAGCAAAGTCAAGAGCGAAGACCTTGCCATACCGACTAATGCTGGGAAACGTCGCTGGGATGCCTTCTGACCTTCGTCCGCACACATCGACATTCGAACTAGAGTCCGACGATGAAGCCTCAGGCAAGCGGTCGGGGATCATCAAGTTGACCATTGACATACCCTCGTCACATCGACCGCAAGTCGCAGCAGAGCCACATCCAACCCCGAGATGGCGAACACCAGAGTTCATCTTCTATGGACTTGTGTTCTGCATAGTGGTCCCTATGCTGGTCTGGGTACCCATAAGCCTAAGCTCACGTATGTTTCCCTTGCCGTGAACTGCAGTTGTCGATGTTGATGTGGACGTGTAGCATCGCACCCAAACTACAGTATGTATCGTCGACGCCTACATCCAGGCTGGCTCTTTGGTAGGCAAATTGTGAGTCTCATTGTTTCGCTGCCCTGCAGCCTGGTTCCGTGGATTGAGCCTTTCCTTGACTGCGTTCATCACAGGACAACAGTGATGCCCAATATCGCTCGTTCCGCAATAACATTCCATCACTCGTCCTCCTAGCGTCAGCATTCCTCGGACTTAAGCATCTCTACACCGTCGTGCTTCGTCGTTCTCGGGATACCCAGCGAACTAATCGGTCCTACCTTATACCCTATTTATTCACGTTCTCACTGCTCATGCTCGCCGGTCTTCATGGCGCGAGTGTCCTCAAGGTCCTCCTGATCCTGACCGGCAACTACGCCATCGCAAAAGTCACGAAAGGATCTAAATTGAACCCCTTGCTAACTTGGATCTTCAACGGGGTTGTTCTGTTCGCAAATGAGCGAAACGAGGGTTACCGTTTTGCGGCTCTTCACCCATCCCTCGAAGCCTGGGTATGCTATTGTTCATTTGTATGCAATGGCAGGTTAACCGAGCGTTTTGCAGGACACTGTGACGGGGATCTACCCGCGCTGGCACGTCAGCTTCAATATAACCATGTTGCGGCTCGTCTCGTTCAACATGGACTACTATTGGGCCTCGAACAGGGCCGGCCCATCTGATGTGAGTAGTCATTCGTGTGTCTGCTTGTCTGCTGGCTCAGCGATATTAAGCCAGGTAGCCCCTTGACCGAGAAACAACGGCCCGTGATAGCTCATCCCCTCGACGCGTATTCCTACATGAACTATGTCGCCTACGTGCTCTACCCGCCGCTGTACATCGCAGGCCCCATCATGTCGTTTAATGACTTCATGTGGCAGGTGCGCATAGACCATTCGAACGTCTACCTCACCAAGCGCTCAAAGCATACTCGCAGATCCATCGACCTCTCACTATCTCTATGCGAGAAAGACTGGGCTATCTCGCGCGTTTCGTCATTTGCTTCCTGACCATGGAGTTCATCCTGCACTTCATGTACGTCGTAGCCATCAAGGATACCAAAGCCTGGGGCGGGGACACCGCGGCGGAGCTGAGCATGATTGGGTTCTGGAACCTGATCATCGTGTGGATGAAGGTGCGCTTTGGATGCCTCACGCACTCTGTTCACCATTTGACCGGGTTTTGGATACAGCTACTGTTACCCTGGCGGTTCTTCCGCTTATGGGCCCTGGCCGACGGTACCGACGCACCGGAGAACATGGTTCGGTGTATGGTGAATAACTACTCTACGCTGGGATTCTGGAGAGCATGGCATCGCAGCTACAACCTGTGGATCATTCGGCGAGTGTTCGCCTCTCACTACAGAGAACCCAATGTAGCTGACCACTCACGTCATGCAGGTACATCTACATACCGCTCGGAGGGACGAAGAACGTGGCCTTTACCTCGCTCCTCGTCTTCACCTTCGTCGCCTTGTGGCATGACCTTTCCTTCCGCCTGCTAGCGTGGGGCTGGCTCGTCACCCTCTTTATTCTACCTGAGTTGATCGCTCGTTACGTCTTGCATCCGTCCAAGGTTTGTCTCGTTCCTTATAAGTCGCGGACAGCTTCCTGATTAGTCTATGATTACAGTACGGAAGCAGGTCATGGTACAGACATGTCTGCGCCATCGGCGCTGTCTTCAATATGTTCATGATGGTGGCGGCGAATCTGGTCGGTTTCGTCATTGGGACTGACGGGGTCTCGTACATGCTACAGCAATTGCTTGGCACCGCGGAAGGTACGTATTCTCACTCGTGTATGTTGCGTCATATTGACGGCGCTCTGCTCCGATAGGCTTCCGGTTCCTACTGTTTGCATGTTTCTGTATGTTCGTCGCTGCACAAGTGATGTTCGAGTATAGGTGGGTCGCTGAATCTGTTGCTCGCCGAGGCGAAGTGTTGACACGCATACAGGGAAGAGGAGTTGCGTCAGGGCATTGTGCGTCGATGTTGACAGAGACGATAGACATCTTCCAAGGAGCGCGAATCCCTTCGCAGGGTGTCGGCAGCTCGTGCTATCGGCAGGATCACCTCTTGCCTGATCTCCGATTAACCTCCATTACGAATCACGTAGGTCGTGCAACTCTATCGTAAGTTGGACAGGCAGCCCAATGAGGGGCAGTACATAGTGTGCGCATGAATATGACAAGACCCAAACATGTCCGGCTACTCTCGCTTCGCGTCTGTGCTCTGGTCAACCGCAACGCCCATATTGCTCCATGTGAACACGAGGTCTCTCGCCTGGCTCGCTTCGGGACTCTTCGCTCGCTCGCGCAGAAGCCCCCATTGCACCCACCAGTCATCGGCATGATCCTCACAGTCATAGTCAAATGTGGCCCTCACGTCCCTCCACTGCGGTGTCTCTTCCTCCCCGTCCTCTGCGGACATGACGTTCTTGCCCGCGCGGTACCTCTCCTTCAGTCCCTCGTCGCGCGCCTGCTGATGGGGACCGTCCTGCAGCGTCATGAACCAGATATAGCCGAGCTCGACCTGGTGAAGTGTAGCGCAGCGTTTCTGTCTGATGTCCTGGAATGCCCAGAGGAAGCTCGAGATCTGATCCCGGCTGCTGAGATGACAGAACAGTTTGCCCAGGACTGCCGCGTCCTCGACAGCCATTGCGACTGCCTGGACCGCGATGGCCTTTGGGAAACACCGTTGAGCACGTCGCTCACGATGATCCGGACGTTGAATGCTCACCGGGAATGCATGTGCCGCTTGGCCGATGACGACGAAACGTGCGCTGTCGTGCACCCAGCTTTCCAAAGGACTATAGTCTTTGATCACTGTACGGACGGCGTTGGTGGCGCTGTCTGCCACGAGCCGTACACTTCGCTATATGTGAGACACGACTGCGTGGCGAAAACCCGCAGAACATACCGGGGGTCGCAAGGGCTGGGCACCAGTGCACTGAGGTCCGTGCACGGGGCGTCTCCCCATGTTCCCTCGGTTGCAGGATCGCGGAGGATGAACTCAAGGGCGACTTCCTTTCGTTGATGCTACACAGTACACTGTCAGCCATAGTTGGACGATTGCAAGAGTCTTCGAGACTTACTATTGGCCAAGCCGCCGCACCGCATCCGTTACCGAAGCCCGCGAATATCACGTTCTGGGATGAAGAGTGGTCGGCAAAGTGTTCTAGACGCGATACGCAACCTCACTCACGTCTTCCAGATCCACGGCTTGTCTGATGGCATCGGGCATCTCTTTCGTGGCAATGGTGGTACTGAACGTTGCACTAGAACAAACACTGGTGAGTGTCAGACATCGTTTAGGGACAGCTGACTTCACTGGATGACGCTCATGCCCACTGGTGTACCTCGGTCGTGCTGTCCGACGAGTACATCTCGGCTGATGCCAGTTTCCCCATCCGCACCAATGATCACGTCTGCTGAAAGGGTATCGCCTGAAGCCAATCTCACTTGGCCAAGATCAGGATCGATGCTAACGACTTGTGCATCATAGCGGATGTTGACACCATGGGCGACAGCTGCATCCGATAGAATGCGATGAAGCTCTGCGTGCTATGGCAGTTTATGACGTAGAAGAGGTACGCAACCCATACATCGCTCACCGTTGTCAACAAGAACTCCCCTCGCATCTCCTTTAGGACCTCATAGTCCCAGACTTGTGTGCCGAGCAGTTCCTCATTCTCGACTACGTGGGATCAGTGGGCTTCGAGATGTGTTTCAAGAAGGGACACATACGTCTTGAGAACAGAAGTATACGGGAAACTAAGCCCACGTCCTGTAACTGTGGCTTCAAACCCCAATTGGAGAGAATCTTGGTCATATTGGGCGGTATGCGTATGCCATGGTGTCCGCTCTAAATGGTCATGATCAGATAAGTGCCACAGAATTATCCTAGCATTCTATACTCACATTTGATTGTCCGTCGTCCTTCTCCAAGACGGCGACCTCGTGGCCAACGCGAGCGAGGGCTATAGCGCTGGCTAGTCCAGCGATCCCTTTTGGCTCTCTGCTTGACTGACAATCACTTGTACAGGTAATAGAGGCGTGCTTACCTCCTCCGACTACCAAGAAGCGGATCCGCAACGGCGCTTCAAGCGGCATGGTCAGTAGTGTCTGTACTCAAAGGCATTGTCAACTGTGCGCAATATCAATGAACCGCAACAACTGGCCTCTCCGCTCATCGTTATCTGGGGTTGTGAAAAGATAGAAGCACAGTATCGAACAGGACCACAAGATACGACCACAGCAATAGCCACCCGATGAAACGGAGGCGTCGGGAGCAAGGCGACTCGGACCAGTGGACCACGGTGTCCGACCACCACTCCGTCATAGCCGGGGATGTGACATTGCGCTGGCGCGGTAAAACCACGCTTCCTCAAGGTCTTGACTACAGGGTCTTTGGTAGAGCCAGACACACGATCATACTAGATCTGTACTCGTGGAGACTAATCACTACTAATCCTCAGAGGGTGCTTCGGCCTGCTTCGGCAAGCACGAAGGGCAGAGATAGATAGATCAGGTCGATCAGGAGCCATGGGGATCACACAAACGCGATAAAGTATAAACTACGGACGGCAGTTCATCAGTTTTGCCCACCCTCGATCTAGCCAAATGCGCTAGGAGGGACCCACCGAATTGACACTGCAACGCTCCGACTTGGCTCCGACTACAACCAATTCACCGTGGTGGCCCTGGTGGCAGACTCCTTCCCGCCCTCACCGCACGTGCTCGGCCCTGGTGGGTGATATCCTGCGGCCTCGTGCGTCCGGCACCCTTGTATCAAGCTTAGGTGGCAAGGGGACCATTTTGAAATGTACGCCAGTTGCTGGGATCGCGAAATCGGCCCTGCCGTGCCCAGACAACTCTGTAGCTTGCCCACAGCTTACCCAACAAGTCGACTATTATGATGGCCACGAGCAGGCCAGCCGCCATGAGGCAAAGAAATGACAGCGCTTGGATTTCTCAGGCACGGGTCTCCGGAGCTAGGGGCCCACGTACGCGTATGCTGGCCATGACCTGTGCAGCTGCAGTATCCTTTAGTACAATCATGACATATGAAGTTGCCTATTGGCGAAAAGCATGCATGCATGTCTGCAGTATTCCTAGCAATTTCTAAGGCGATACCGTCGATGTCATCGTGATTCGTGATACTTAGCTGCATTCATAGCCTGGCCACGGTTCTCCACCGCCAGACACGTAACAATCATTGAATCAACGCAAAAGGCACATCTGAACAAGCCTGGACCGTGAGCGCGTGAGCAAATAACCCGTGGAGAAAGGTGGAGAAACGGAAGGGAACAGACTGATCGATGCCACTACGATGCCACGTTGTGCGGGTTGACCCACGTCCACGGAATCTTTCAGCGGTTGTAATTACAAACTGTACGCTCGCATCGAGGTATGTATGAGCACTCATCTACATATATTAGCCTTTGATTGTATAGAGAGCTACAGAAGCCATGTATCATAAGCTGAAACGACCCCAATCAGTTCTCATCAGATATGGCCTCAGACCATTGGCAGACTCACCCGCGAGAGGATGCATCCAGAGGGAGGGAAGCGAGGCTCTGGCGAGGCTTTTCGACGGTACGTTGCAGAACGGGATACAGTCTATCTTTCCTCGAGTCCATCATCAGTCATCATTGGTCGTTAAGATATAGCGGTACAATGTATGAATCGACAGGAGAGCAAGGAACAGTGGTCGTGGATTATATGGTGCACAAAGCCCGGCAAGAAACATGACAATCAGTAGAGCGGTAGAAATACGGGACACAGAAGACGCGAGATACAATTCGTATAAAGATATAATTATCATGGCTTCTGTCCCTGATATCGTTTAATGAGTTCCCGGAGTCGTGCTTGTCCAAATGCGAGATCGCCTTTCGCGACAGGAGGCTTGGTCGGGTCCTCCTTCAAGGTCGGCAGTGATGTCTCCACCTGCGCAAGGCGAGCAGTGTTCAGCTTGTTAGCTTTGTTTCTATCCATGAGAGCTGGTGCGGGTCGAGAAAGTGACGCAGTGGATGAAAGCATGGGTGTCGCGAGGGAGGAGGATACGACCGCAGGGACAGAGGTTGACTTGATCATCCTAGCACGTCTAGCGGTCAGGTCCGCTACGGAGACCGGCTTTGGGTCGGACGTGATGCCAGCGAAGGATACACCAGCCTTAGTAGTCTTCGCGGGCTGGCTACGCAACGGCCTCGTCACCCCTTGAGGCATCGGTCTGCTAGCTGCGTTCTTGACCAGCGGAATGTCCTTCAGACGTGCTATGTCCCTGGGAGGACTGGTTGGCTTCGGCGGATCGACCTTGCCTTGTTGCTGGGTTGCAGACGCCCAGATGGCGGCTACCGCAGTGACCTTGCCTCCCTTGCCTCCACGAGCTGAACGAATGTCGTAGCGCACCTCAGAATCTTGCGGCCGGGGGGGATAGATAGCTAGACGGGGAGAGACAGGTGATTTCAAAGCTCGTGCATGCTCGGCATGGGCGGCCTCAGCAGCCTCGCGTCTCTGTTGTTTCTGTGCACGGTAGGTTCCCATTGGCATGAATCCTGATGAACGAGGGTTCGGGGCTGCAGAGATGTCACGAGGTGTCTCAGTCTGTGGCGTGCCCTGTGACGCATCGGCACTGGGCTTAGGCACGTCATCTTTGCGCTCGTCCAGTTCGGCAGCCTGGTCATCGCGCGCGGGGAGTTTGGGGCTAGCAGGAGGCTTGCTCGACTGCGATGGATCATCCTTCCGCATGCTCCCCAGCCACGCAGCTACTCTCCCTTGGGCGTCCTCGCGGACGACGTCCGATAAGTCAGCTACAGGCGCTGGGCTGAGAGGGGGCGGCGTGCCCGACTGCGGGGGGACTTCCGGCTCGATGCTTCCTAGCCACGCAGTGACTCTGCCTTGCGCAGTCTTCCGCATGCGATGAACGTCCTCGTCCTTGCCTGCGGCCCCATTGCCTCCGCTGCGCTTCCCACTCCGCCTCTCCTTATCCTTGTTCTTGTCCTTCGACTTGCGCGTCCCGGTCGAAGAGCTGGACTTCACGTTCTCTTTGCTCTTACGGCTCACCCTGCGCTCTGTCAAGGCTCGGTCGTCGTCGTCGTCGAGGTCGGGGTCATGAGGGGGCTCGAGGCTCTGTCCTACATGTAGAGTCTTCACCTCGGCGTCTAGACCCGGCAGCGTAAGACTTGAGATCGCGGAGTCGTTGGCGGGGTCAACCTCTGCGGGGCGCGGGATAGTAATGGGCATGACCGAGCGTACATCCGGAGGCCGCTCCGATCTCTCCAACTTGCGCGTACCGACCTCCGCCAGGAGCTTGGCCTCCAGTGCATCCAAACCACTCAATCCGCCGCTGACGCCGAGATTATTCCTGGGCGTTCTGAGAGACATGACAGCGGCCAACGTCGGTGTAGGGGGAGTGTCGTCGGCAGCTGCTACATCAGGTGGGAAGAGCGTGTCCACCTTCTGGCGCACAGGGCTTGGATATGCCCTCAGTGTATCCTGAGGTACGCGAGGGAGCGTCTTGTCCCGCTTGTCCATGGTCGGACTGCCGCCAGGCCCAGACATGTCCGCGTTTTCGCTGTCGACTTGCGCGGCGATGCGCTCGAGCTGCTCGACCGGCGTCGCCGTGGTGAACGGATCAATCGAGAAGGAGTGCTTCGGCGAGAGCATCGGTCGGGGAGACACTACGCCTTGGGAGTGCGCGGGTGACACTGTCAGATTTATCGTTTGCGGACGGCGTTGCGGGGTACGGGGCGATGAGGTTGGGCTATGTGCTGGAGACGCGTGGGAGACACTTGATGGGATGGGTACGGGGTCGGTCGGCGAGAGCAGGGCAGCAGAGGCGTGCGCTTCGGACGTGGTGGGCATGGCGTACCTGTGCGCTGGTGGCGAGGCGGAGCGGTTCCGCGAGGACATGCGGAGATGCAAGGCGATGCGCGAAGCACGCTCGCCTTTGCCCTCTTCGCGCTCTGCCACAGGTTGTGGGTGGTTGCCAGTGGGAAGTGGTAGCAGTGGCTGCTGCACGGGAACCAGGGGCAAACCAGACGGCAGGCCATGGAAGGACTCCGAGGGTATCGGTTCGGCACTTGAAGGTCGTGGCGGAGGCTCATATGGTGCACCAAGGGACTGCGGCACCTGCGGTGGATGCTGATAATAATACTGCTGGGGTATCGGAGGTGATAGTGGTGGAGACATGGGTGCGACAGGTGATGCGTAGTAATAGGGACTGTGAACCGGAGGAGGCAGCCAGACTTGGCCTTGGTCTATGTAGGGCATCGACGGAGGAGACATCGGAGGGGCGTAAAGGGAGTATGGGCTGAGAGGGCGGTCCATGAAAGGCGGAGGGGACATCGCGGAGGTGTAGTGAGGGTCGAGCACGGGCGCGGCATATGCTTGTGGAGGCGGTGAGTGGGCCAAGTACGGCTCTGGTGCTGGAAGAACAGGTACTGCGATTGGGTCCAGGACGGTTACAGGGATACTCAGCGTGATGTCTTTGCTGTAACGTGTGTTGCAAACGTCAGAACGACGCACGCACACTCTGGATCAACTACGCACCTGCCTATCCCCATGGTCAGCTTGATGCTGACCGAACAGCGAACCTCAAAAAGTGCATCTGCCATTCGATTGACTTCTTCGTCGCCTTGTCGCCGTCCTCCCTTGATACCCCTGGCATTCCTAGGAAGATCGAATACTAGGGTAGCTACGCCCTCAGCACCTGGTGGGATGATGTATTCCGGCCCGCGGAAGGACACTGATGTCAGCGTATCCGAGATCTGCAGAGGTTGTTTCTGGTTCGGAGGTTGGCTAGGCAAGACAAGATCCCTCATCAATGATACGGAGAGTCCGGTATTCTGCGGAGTTCGTCTTGAGTATAAGTAGGTCTGCCAGCGTAATTCCTGACCTTCTTGGAAGAATGATTCTTGACCTGCAGCTCAACGCAACCGGCTTGCCCCGCCACCATGAAGCCGCCGACCACTTTGCCTTGAGCCCAAATCTTACCATTCTCTCCGACAACCACCGCCTCCGGCTCGCCGCGGAGAAGCTCTTCATCAAAGCTCTCTACTACATCCACGGGCTTCTTGTCAAAGACGAGGCGGTTCTCGCCCTTCCAAAACACCCCGACGGTGGCCCGAACTTCGTACCTGACGTGCGCAAGTCCGGAACCAAAGCTGATCGCTGACGGCGATGACGAGGGCAGCGGCAAACGGAATAAGAAGGTAGTGATACCACGACGCGCATGGTAGTAATGAGAAGGGAGGGGAGGATCGCCTGGGTTGGGATAAGGATGGACGGAATTGGACGGCGGAAGTCCTTGACCCTGGAAGAGGCGTCTGGTATGCAAGAATGTTGAGGTCGCAGAATGATCCCGCGATGTCAATTCTGTGAATCATTGACGTTGAGAACTACAAAGCACCTTGCACTCTGCGCACGAAGACGTACCCTCTACTGCGAATAACTCTACCATGATCACCCCGATACCCAGACCACGGTCGGATTTGCACTCCATCTCCATCTTGCCGGTGACCACACCACCAGCGACGAAGGTACTGTCCGGAAGTTTCAGGGAGACCTTCACTTTAGAGTGGTTAGGCGAGGCGTTCATTGCCTCCAGTCGACCCTGTTTCTCCATGGTGGGATAGTGTGTGGGTCTTGTTGTATGGCTGAGTTGGACAACGAGCGGGCATCAAGCAGATAGTCACTACTGAGCAAAGAGCATGGACACTCAGAGGCGAATGGTCTGCGCCATCTCCTGACCCGATGAGCAGACTTAGCAGAGTAGCGACTTCAAACTGGGCAGGGACAACGCCTCTATGACGGTATACTCCGTAACGGGTATCTCTTAAAATAACCGTTGAATTCAACTCAGATAAGACTGTAAGCTACGCAATCGAAGATCCCACATTCGAATGCTATCACTGCCTTATCATTTGTTATAAGTTAGTGATTTCCACGGAAGCGTTCCTTTGCCTCACGTCTTCAGCGTGTACTCCGAACGCGTACGGTGCAGATCGACCCCACTATATAATGACAGGTAGATTTCACCTCCATGGAGCTGCTGATACCAAAAGATCCATACTGTCTATATTTCAGAAATGGCCGGTCGGTGGGCCCCAGCACAGTAGATACTCAAGTACAGTCACGGTACGTCCATTCACTTATGCATCAAGATGTCACAATTCTGAAGCTGTGGAATTGTTCCCGTACTCGACAGGTCGGTATCTGCTTCGACGAAACATGCATCTGACATAAATCAAAATGACTAGTGTGACCTTACGACCATTGGCCCAGATGTGACGTGGTTGTGCGTCCAGCTGCGATTGAATCAACATGGCATTGTACACGTCGTACTGTCTTACTCTCCAATATATGCAACCTGCCGTTATGGTAAGCGGGGCTTCGGGTTATTGACGGCTGAAAATACCTTCCTGTGATGCTGATTGCACTGCACCAACAGAGACAATATGGAAGCTGAAGCTCTGAGTGCGTGCTTGAACACATCGTTCCTCGAGCAAACAAGACTGGAGTACATGCCCGCAGCTCAGAACATCCAAACAGTGACGTTATGGACGTCAAGAGATCGTTCAGAACGTTTGAACTCGATTATGAAACGAGAGACAGCGGAGGACGATAAGATACAAGCGTGCGAAGGGGCACCTATACGAGACTGTTGTGTCGTGGATCACGCTGACAGCATCGTGAAGAGTGGTTCAAGGGGCATTCTCTACAAGCCCAGGCATCTAGACCTGAGAAGGTGAGCACCTTCCCGGTGCCGAGTGACGAGTGACGAGAAGAGCTTACCTATACCGCGAGACCCCACATATATAATTGCTCCCTGGGCCTAACCCCATCCGCGTGCTCGAGGCCGTAAGCCCTCGGAACCTCATTCAAGCTCGTCGGCCGGTCGAGAAGGGTCACAATGTCACTCAGTCTACCCGAATATCCGGGCTGGCCGCCTGGTCCGTCGAACGCCGCACTAACTCCACCCGCACGGATACCCTCTTGTTTGTCCTGGGAGTCGTCGAGCTCCTCGCGGACAGGCACCTCCACCGCGTCCCTGGACGCTTCTGCCGAGGAGAGGCAATAGAGTGTGCCGGCGGCGACGGTTGCGCGAAGACGAGGATCTTCGCCTTGCGGGCTGCCGGCAACGCCGATTTCGTCGAGCAGCGAGATGATGTCCGAGAGGTTCCTCGAACATCTCTTCTCCTTCTCCACTATCGAGATAGCATCTCCAGGGGCGTCGGAGCCGTGTTCGAGATCTCGGAGGTTGCTGCCAGATGAAGGCCGGACCCGAGGAGGCGGGTAGGATACCGGAGCCTTCGCGGAAGGAAGCGAGAGCCTCGAAGCCCCCGCCGCATGGCTCAAACGGGGATCTGGTAGAGCGGGAGGGGAACATGTGATCGTGTCGCGCTGCGCGATGTGAAGAGGGAGCATAAGAGGACGGATGCCTCGAGGGGGCGCAGTAGCTGCCGAAATTTCGCGTGAAGCGCGGCGGTCGACTTCTTGGGGCAAGAGGAGGATCCGTAGTCTGGGGGGACACTCTGATATTCTCTCTACAGGAGCCTTGCAGACGGTCTCCTGAGGTCCCTTGCTGGGCGCGGAACGAGCGCTGTCACGGTTCTGCTCTTTTGCTGGATTCGAGAGTGTTGCTTTCTCGGATGTTGACCGCGCTGCATCGGTCAATCCCCGAATGTCTCTTCGGTACAATCAACACTCACCGGCAATGCTCACCGTGCGATTTTCTCTGAACTCTCGGGTCCGCTGACGCCTAGGTGGCGTCGAGCTCGGCGCATAGATATCGAAGTTGTACAGATCCGGGGCTGCATGGGCGCTGTCGACAGATCCCTTTGGTTCGTCCGCGAAGTGGGACTCCGAGAACGCGCCGAAGGGATCAGGCGTGTGCGTCAGAGGGGCACAGGGGTTGCCTGAGTAGTCGCATGCAGAAGATAGGAGGATCGGGACAAGGTTCGACGACCTGCGAGCGAGAGGAGATGGGCAGGGAGACAGCTGGGGCGGAAACTCGATCGGCTTCGGAGCGACGTGTAGGATGCCAACGTTGTGTGCGTCTTCGACCGACGATACGTTCTCGGAACCTCCGATGTTGACCTCGAGTTCTCCCAGGTATGGAGAATCAACTGGTGTGGGCGGAACAGATGTCGCCGCTGTTGACGCCACCGACGTTCCAACCGAGTCGGACAGAGATGGGCACGATGACGACGGAATTGGGGATGAAGGCAGACTCGGAGCTATGCCTTCGCTGATGTTGCAAAGCTTCTCAGATTGCAGACGAGCACCCTCTGAAATCGTCCCGGCACCGGCTTGGGGAACACTGCCCTCGACGACGTCGGCCATGGTATCGCCTGTACTAACTATCATGAACACCATGATGCGCCAGTGAACAAGTCAACAGGTATGCTCACCGGGGATTTCCACCCCTTCGATACACCGGCGTTGATTGTTGTGATTGTCAGCCTGTACAACACGTTCTTCGTGGATAGCGGTGAGCAGACGGATAGGATCTGAGGGATCCGTACTCACCACGACCGTTTACTGTAGGCTGCGCACTACTTGCTGTTCTGAGATCGTATCTGTTCGCAGGGAAAGATGGTGCAAGGATGGGATAAGGCACGATGATTGATTCAATGTCTTCTTCGTTCAACTTCGTACGCCGTAGAGTGATCCAGACCCAAAGAGCAAAGAGGGACTCGATGATCGAGTAGAGGAGCTGAGTAAGTCGGAGCATGGCATTACCTTACGACGTTTTCTTCTGGTCTTGAGTACTCGAGGGTGAGGATCAAAGTAACACGTCTCGTTCTAAATGCTGACTTCCTGATTATTATATTGCTGAGGCTGACTACTGGACTGAACTGCAATGCCTAGTGCCCGCCGTCTGCAGCTGCTTCGGCTCTTAGTGGCTGACATCCCCGTTCGTCATGCGGGCAACCTCACAAATTCATTCGTCGAATACAAAGGATATTGTTGCTGCGACGCATTTGCTGTGACGATGAGAAACAGCATTTAAGCTTACTGAGTACTAGACGAGTCCCAGCCTGATCCAACTCACTCTAACGACAAACGTCCTGATCTGATCTGCAAGTGCCAACGATCGTGGCCTTGGAGCCGATCATCACTTTTCCCCGATCTCATTGCCATGAATGACAGTTGACTGATCCTGTCACCTAATTCAGTACTCAACTTCATGCACTCCCGCTCCGTCGGCATTATTTGGTACTCAGATCATTATGGGCCAAATTATTATGTTCAACGCCGTCGACAATCACCAAGGCGGCTTTGTCGAGATACTTACACATGCCCCCTCTGGCTAGGCTGATTTGTGACCTTCGGTCCGGACTGGCACAAGATTGGTAAGACTCTATCTGCGCTTTCCGTACGAGATACATTGAACGCTCATCGCCCCTTAAGCTGAAGGTCATTTTGCATTAACCACGGAGAATCGAGCGCCAATAGCTACTTATGAAGGCGGTGGCAGTCGGAGCTGGCCAACGTGGCATTTTGCCTGGCGACCTACCATCACCTCTGGTCGCTGTCGTCGCCATGTCTTGACTATCCTCCGCCGTCAGACGTCATACAGGTGAGCTCTGCTTTATGCTTTCGACCCACTCTGATGCGTGTTGTTCTCACAAGCACTGGTTGGTTTGGCCACTGGCGCCGCTGGGATCACTGGAGGGTTGGCTCTGCGAGAGAACCCGGGTTTACGAGCGCGGCTGGGTTGAACTAGATCTGTCTCATTACTGCATGATCGCCAGTAAAGGCGGGCGCGTGTTCGCTCGCCTCTCCTGGCTCTTGCAGTACTTAGACATAGCTATGTAGACGTGCCTTTTGAGATAATCCATATTCGCCGAATCGCAGGCGTTGTCAGGTCAATGCTCGCGAGTCGTAAGTGTCTATTCCGTGTTGTGTTTGCTTCTCAATGTCTGCATCATGCGGGGTCGCGGGTGAGTGCTTCGCTGCGCCTGCATCCCAGTCGCAGAGAGTACGTGCTGCTTGTTAGCCAGAGAGGATCCCATTAGGGTAGTGCAATCAACGCGGAGACGCTGGCGTATTTGGCAACGTGGGCGCAGCCTTCGTGCACCTGATACCCATCTGGAAGAGTAACTGCGCGTCGTACTCCTGTCCATCCTCCAAGGTGCAAGAGGATTGTTCCTATTCCTATCACACGAGCCCTTCCGCGACCTGAACAACCACGCAAGTCTTCCGGAAAGCATTCAGCAGCTATACGCGGTTACATGTCCTACCAATCCTGTGAGTACGGGGTGCTTTCATGGCATGTGGCGTCACAGGCAGTCTCTTATGTTGCTTCCCAGACGTTCCTACCATGTTTCTGCGTGGACAGCGCTCCACCACAGGCGGTATCAGCCGCGTTAGACCCACGATCAACACGCGAGACAACTACACATCGGTGAGTCTGACCGGATGGACGTGAGAGATGCGAACCGACATTCGGCATGGGCAGAGAGACCCCGAGAAATGGACCAAGGAGGACGTCGCCGACTATGTTGATCGACACTCTGATGATTTCGCAAGCAAGAACAGAATGCTGGCTATCATTAGAGACAAGTCCCTTACCGGCCTTTATTTTGTCCAAATAGACCACGAAGGCTTGCGGAAGGAGAGGTACGAAGTCTATATATCTGCACATCAGCTATAATTCACATAGTAGTCGTTGAATGGCCGAGCAGTTTCATATCCGGAGACAGCGATCTGCTGAAAGACCTGATAACACTTTCGGATCTGCTCAAGAAGAAAGCCAAACGGACGAGTCCTGTGCAGCAACGTTCGCCGCCGACGGTGTGGGCGATCTGGCCCAACTTGAGAGGCGAGCCCTCGTCTCAGGATTGACTGTGAGTCTGGAGTAGTCATGTCATAGCCATCATGTAGTCCGAGTCTTAGGCTCGGACCATGTCGTGGCTCGCATTGAATACGTTCCGTTCCCCATTCGTACCACTCTTCCTTATGTTTCCGTGCATGACAGAGAAGGGTGTGTCCGTTGATCACAGTGTTCTATGTAATGGCGGAGGACAATCCTGCCGGCGGCATGTAACCTGACCCATGCGTTGTATAGGAATAGTCCCCGTCTGAACATGTAGCGGGACTATCTCTTTCACGCTCTACTCCAGTGTACCTGGATTCTCAATTGGCTGTCCTGTCTCGCATATTGCTGTGGTCCCGTGAGCTGCATGCCAATGCTGACAGAATACCTCAGGGCGAACACGGGCGGATGCGAATGACCTTCTTGCACTCGAGAACATGGCGGCCGGCAGTGCAAGGGCCGCGCGTCACCTTCTGCATTCCACGATTGTCGGGTCTTTGGATGGCGGCAGATAGCAGCCGGTATGAGAATTGGGCCAATAAGTTGCACAGAGCATTGGTCCAGTTACCACACCAATAGTAGACTGCTGGTCGGACTCCTCCACGGGAACGGGGTCCTCTTCTTGTACTTATTGCGCTTACATCTCGATGGTTCGACTGTTGTATAAATGAACTATGTTACGTTCAGTGACCATGACACCGAGGCATGTCATGATAGCAACCGATATCGCTGTGTCTTGACCCGCGAAAGCGTGGTCGGCCCCTCGATGGGTGTCCGGAATTCTCGGTTATCACCTTCAGACCCGCCGCATCGAATCCGAATCTGCGAACCAAGTGCGACTTATTCAGAAGATACGAAGGTATGTATGTATCTCGTGCCGGCGGGAATCATCTACGCATCATGGGCAGGAGTATCCCGGGGAGCAACCTCGGACATACACTCAGTGTGGCACAATGCCTGCATAAATGTCTTCCCACTGGCATTCAATCCTCTCAAGCTACTCACAGGCTCCGGCGGCAGCCAACTGGATATTTATGGATTTGCCACCACGCAGGGACATCTCATCGCAGCTCGAGTTCTGGAGCACTCGGACGCCTGCGGTGGGCCGGTTGGTCACAAAGCCACGAGGAGCATAATCCGTGCGATTCTGGGCTACACCCTCACTACCGTGACGGTGCTTCTCATCAGGATGTCAAATGTTCTGAACAACAGAAGAAGAGACCCCGCAGGCATCCGCAGTGCGTTGCACGAAAATTCCGAAACCCGGAAATTAGACACTGACTCAAGCGCAGTACGTGGATCCCATGGGAACGTTTCCTCGTGCCCGCAGAAGCTCTGCAAGCCATGATCCACATTACTCCGCTACTCGGCAATTAAATTCCAGGCCCATAATATTACAGGGGACCCCGCGATCCCGTCGGCATCGTGGGGTTGCAGTGTTCTGGTTCACTCTTCTCCGGGGCCGGAGTCGCTGCACAGTATACATGAATTATATTGAGTCGGGCATGTGAAGCTCGCGTCTACAGTGTCCCATCACCATGCATGCCAAAAGAATAGAAGCCCGTACACAGGATCGCGAGTTCTAGCGTAAGCATCGGCGATTCCCCATGGACTCAGACTGCAGTGCTCCCCACGATGATGGGCTTCGTCTTGCTCAGTGACGCCAAAGTGTCGTTAGGCAGATCCAAGTGCTCTTGGACAAGCTCAGGAGGTGTCACGGCAAGCCACTAATTACGGGCATTAGTAACTGCATGTGATGAACAAACGAAGGCACAACTGACCTGGTTCAAGCTGACATCCTGGTAAACATCTGTAGATAGCGTAAGTATGAGTCTACGCCTCCTTCAGACACGTACCAGTGTTGAAAATCTCCAGGAAGTGCAGGTCAGTGTCGCCGATGTTCTCGATGTAATGGCCTACGCCAAACTCGACGTCAGTCTCTAGTATGGGCGCCCCTCTCATGATACCCACCATACGAAGCGGGGAAGAACCCTATGTCGCCGCCCTGCAAACAAATATGAACGCCTGAACGAGATAATGTTACGTTCAATGGCACGGACCTGGTAATCGTACGTGCGGGCGGTGCTCGTAGACGCGAACGCCGTGACACGAGCATTGCCGGAACTGCGCAAAAGGTCGGTTATCACCCAACGGGAGGGCTGGATGGATCACAAGAATGCTTACATATAGTAGGTCCACTCGTCTTGTGTCGGGTGCCACTGACAAACTCACTGAGATGGAGCCAAGTATTCGACGGAGATGAAAAAACGCACGTGCATCTCCCTAGAAACGCACGAGTTGAATGAGTGACCTTACATCCCGTACTCGCACACGCACCTCATGCCGCCAGGAGCAACAGTGACATCAGCAACGGAGATGCCGGTGGAGGCGTTGAATGTCGTCGAGTCGGCAATCTTCACAGAACCACCGGCGTATTGGGTTGCCGAGACTTGCGAGAGCGGGAACGTGTATGGCAATGGCACCTGGCCCTGCGGGTCTTCAGGCGCGACTGCGTCCGGAGAAGGGGGTGCTGCCAGAGCACATGTTAGAGCTCACGAACAATACTCGACACGGATCGATCACCTCCGGGGAAGATATACAGTTGTTGGGCAGGGATATTATCGAGCGCTTCGATTGTTGTGCCGAAGTTCTTCGCAAGGACGTCCTTGGGTGTGTGCGCCAACCAGTCGGTCAACTGGACCGCGTACCGATCAGCAACGATACGCGTGGGTCGCATGCAATCACACTCACCAAGAAGGTAGAGTCTTCGCTGAAGTCTCCGCTATTGAAGATCTATCGGTGCGGTAATTATAGCTGTGTGCTATAAGCAGTAATATGACGTACCAGAAGGAACTCCGCTCCGTTAGGGTCCGTTGCTGTTGCCTGCAGGCTGTGAGGGATACCAGCCGGGAAATACCACAAGTCACCAGCATTCTACGTTTCTTTGCCTTAGCACTCGTTTAAGGGGCAAGTCGGCACGAGCCATACCACTGTGCCCAAGAAGTTCCTGCCATTCGCGTCGACTGCAGTAACTTGCATTTGGCCCTGTGTACGCGGATCAGACAATGGTCATAGGAAGATGGTACAGTACTTACGCTCAGAACATAGGCCCACTTCAGTACACGTAAGTGAATATCGTTCTGAATTTAGCGTAGAACATACCTCCGCCGTTTTATGCCAGTGCAGCTCCCTGACGCACGTATCTGTCAGGATTACGACGTACAAGAACGAGTACAGAGACACGCACCGGATCGCACCGGCCTCCAGGCGCATGTCGACACCGGCCATGGCTTGAATATACTTCAGTATCGTTCGTACTCAGGTAGGTCCGGCTTACATGTAGCGATAGAGAGCTGGTTGACTGGCGCGAAGGTTCAACAGCGAGTAGGCTAGTGAAGGGAAGAGGACAGACCGTTCTGTTGCCTAGCATAACCGCCAGTCTGAAGACGATTCGTACTCATCGTGAACGACCACTTAAGGTTGGGTCTGATGACCACTGTTAGCGAGTAATATTAGATTACATAGTGCGACTTACATGTCTCCATTGTCCGTAGTCGGCGGGGCGAGGAGGTCAGGGTTCATTTGCTGCAGAGGGATGTTCTGCTGCGCCATGATGGGAGCCCCAAGAGTGCCCCGGATAGGTTGAGGGTCGCCAGTGGTAGTGAGGTTCCACAGGACGCTGTTGGGGTTATCGCTCGCGTGCGGGGTTGTCTCTTGCTCCGGCTCTGCACTCAATACCGGGGAGGGTATAGGGCTAACCAATGCAGCCGCGCTCCCAGCAGGGGCAGCGAGAGCCACAGAGGTCAAGGCGATGGCACAGAAGACTGCAGTGAGGAGCTTGCTCATGGCTGAACCGATGGGGGCCTGAGGCACTACAAGCCCTGACAGTGGCTTATATACATTTTGTGCGGTGAGAAGTGCGCGCCAGTGAATTTCGATTGGGCGTACCGCGTGAAGAAGAAACGGAAGGGGGAAACTGTCACGAGATCGACTTAGCTATAGTCGCATGAGCGGAGTAGCGGTCAACCTGCATCTAGACGTAAGTATTGCCATACAGCTTCAGCGTTATTATTGGGTCAGGCAGGTACATGCCTCTGGAAGTCAGTCTTCTCGTTGAGCAAACTTGGTCCGTGTAACTCCTGAAAGCGATCATGCTTCGGAGGCATTCCTCTGTACCCACGGCACGGGTAGTCCGGGACAATGACTGATATGGTTTGGATTCCAGGTTTCCGCGACGATCTGAACTCCTCTGCAGATTCATTCCGAGATCTAGATAGCGGAGAAACACCCTTTCAGTGATGAAAATGGACAGTGCAAGTTATGAGCGAGGCCTACGCACTGCAACGTACCAAGGAAGCGCCCCGGAGATTGTTGACTACTCGTGAACGTTGGTCCGTCGTGGATCAGAATGAAGAACGTATGGTTGTGGTCGCCAAACCATGGAAGTGCGGCGAAGATGGTCATCATGCTGGTATGCATCTTACATGGTCGTGGACAGCTACGAGATCTAACAATAGCTGTGGGAGATAGATCTTCAGCGTGTCTGTAGCATCATGTCACCCATTGTGTACATTCACACAAGGAGTGTTTACGGCAATCTTCTCAAGAATTCCCAGAAAATCGCTCCGCAGTTGCCGTTTGAGAGTGAGACACTGTGGATTACCAATGGGGAGCGCAACGACCGATGACACGTTATCACCAACGCGTAGCTTCGGTCATATGAGTTAACCTTGCTAAGTTGCTTCAAATACATAGGACGAAAGCTTTTACCGGGCAGCCCCTGGGATGCGATAATCATTCTCCGGTGTGCCGAGTTGCCTACGAAAAACACTCCTGTCGTACTTAGGTTGAGGTCGACGACGACGAAGGTGTCTGATATCCGGAAGCATCTGATTGTGAACGCTGCAACCTAGTCGCAGGAGCCTTGTTGTAAGAGGGTGCGAGAGATGCGGGGCAGAGCGGGCCCGACGCTGCAACTTCGATATATTTTTGTGGCGAAAAAGCTTGGTGCTTCGAGATTGTATGAACACGATCGTGTCTCTCATCCGATCTTGGTAGTCAAACGAGCTGCCGTTAAAGACCTTCTTAAACAGTTGGCTGATCGTGCAGCTTCGATATGCCGGAAGTCACAGCACCTTTCGACCATTGGTACCTTCAAGGCTTTCTTCGTTGCTACGACTGGTTCAGAAATGCCCTTAGGCGACGTTCCATGCGAAAGGAAGAGCATGGGGACGGCCTCAGATACCGGAGCATTGTCGCTGCATACGCTTAAGCGTGCATCGCCGTCGCGGTTGCACTTTGATTTGCACCTTCTGCGTAATGCTGTTGCTGGATCTAGTACGTAGGCCGGCTGCAGCATAACGTGAACGATCAAGCAAGAGAACCGCGTGTGACGACCCATTGACGACCTCTAGTCCGATCACGGAGGCGTGCGCAGCCGAGTGGGATAAGCGAGAAGCGTGTCGCTACCAGCCCCCACAGCGATAGGAGTGGTTCCCGGCGACGCCGACGCCCGTTGTCAGCGTAAGTCGGAAGTAGCGGTCATAGCATCAACGAGAATCAAGTGATAAACGTCTGAGTCAAGCTTGATTGATAGATCGCGCTGTAAACAGCACATGAGGAACGTCGGTGCGACCAGTACCTACGTCGATTGCGAATGAAGTTAGCTGTTGCAATAACCCCGGAGACAAACACAGCTAAGTATGTAGGCACGAACCTTCGACATCCTTCAGGGTCGTCATGAGGCTCACGTCATACCATAGGCTATATGACGACCCAGTAGAGGCATATGCGTGCCTGTTCTGAGTCGGTAGCGATAGCATGCGCAGTCCCTGCAGGCCGGAATGGGCGAGAAGGTTGCGGTTGCAAATGAAGGATGCGGTAGGCAGTGCTTTCACCAGAAGCAGCTAGGCCTAAGTCATTCCACCGATGAGAGAATGGCACGGGTTTTGGAAGTGGCCTTGCAGATATGGGAGGATAGGCTGAACACATGAGGGGACAATTCAGTAAGACGTACGACACGAACAGGCACAGCGATATGGCTGCAATGCAGCAGACACGTACATTTTTGTATGTCCATCGAGTACAATGCATCTCAGCTCGGAAACACTCCGACTTTACCGCCGTTCTCCAAGATGTGAACAGCCTGTCCGACCTCGCAGAACCAGCTAAATCCCTTATCGTGTCCTCGACTACCAGCGGACACGTAGTACTTCAAGGCTCGGACAGCAGAACGGTAGGGAAGACCCTGAGCATGCATGTGCAGGTGATTGACTGAAAAGAAAGGGGGTATATGGAAACCTAGACTAGAACACTGTGAGTATCGGGTCAAAATCAGAGACGCGGATGAGAGAGCTCACCGGCGCGACGCGGGGGGCGCCTTCAGCTCATCTAGTATGCGATGGCCAATCGCTGCCATTTCGCTAACTGTGTATCGTGAATGACCAGTACCAACAGACATTGCGCATAAGAGTATACCCATGTCAGCATCTTGCGCAGTCAAAGACTTGATGTTATCTATACAATCGTCGTAGAAGTTCAGGGACGCAGTACCGGCAAGGTTCAATGCAATCATTACCAACCAACATGACGTTTAGGAATTACCAGCAAGTGATGCGCGGCTGCAGGGTCTCTGTCCGTAAACACTGTATAAGATTCATCCTATGTCCATCCCGTCGATCAGGCGTAGTCATGTCAGGAGCTCAGCACGGCTTACCTCCCATACAACATTGAAGCCATTGGCTTTCGATGCACCACAGAATATGCAGTTTGATTGTTTTCCCTGCGTTTCAAAGGGGGATGCCAAGCTCAGCGGTGTATGTCCGCTTTCTATGTCCGCGTTTAAATTGCCACGTCCAAAATAGCTGGCGTAGAGGCTCTTGATGAATTTCATAACCCTAGAAATTTGTATGTCAAGAAAAATTGCCTCCCAGATACTGTGTGGCTGCACAAGCTAGCACAGTCTATGGCGATAGTTGGAGGAGCAGATCGACGTGGCCGACGTCGTAGATACCAAAAATGGCCATGCAACCATGTAAGACATCACGTGCGACGGACGCGCGCCGCGCGCGACTCTCCGAGTCGACGCGCCTGGCGCCACTGACTCTGAGTCTCAGTCTGGCTTGCTACAGTACTATCATACCCAGGTCCCACAGTGAGCTGCTATTTGGATGCCAGTACATAGAGTGTACTGAAGGCGACATCATTTCATTCGATATCACAAGCAACGATCCACGGGGATCTTTGCAAACAAAGAATGAACCAGGTAAGTTCGGTCTTTGATGTCTACTATTGATGCTTCAAGTGTGCCACGGCGAGCTAATGATCATATCTGGGCCTGCCGCTGCGATAGGACACTCTAGCCGTTTCGGCTGGGGCTCGCCTTGCGATGTGTTCACACGTCGATGTCTATCCTCACGACACGGACGACGTATTCAGGAAGCTAAGAGCGCTTGGTACTTGGAACATCCAACGCCTTCATAATGCCGCACGTCCATCCAAGCGTCGCAAGGTGTCTTGTTATCTCTTACTTTGCATTGTCCATGAACTAAGATCATTTCAATAGCTGTCTCTACCCATGTGTGACACATGTCAATCTACTCTGCGACCATTTGCGTGTTTGCACTGTCCTTCCACTGGGTGTTGGCATGAACGGCATATGAGAGATCATCTTGAAGACACTGACCATAACTTCTGTCCGTAGTCTATTTCTCCGTCCTTTCGCCATCAGTCGTCGGATGCAGTCTATGAACCGTCTGCTGACTTGGACACAGGTGTTGACGTCAGGACAGGGACTATATACTGCAATGCATGCGCTGACTTCGTCTATGAGAGAGCCGCAGCACGTACGTTCGCAATCGCGACGATCGGTGCAGAAGAGATTGTCGGAGGTATTGTCCCTGAGTATTCTCTGTACGTATCTGACGTTGTTCATCTCAGTGGCCAGGAATAATCGACAACCCTTCGAACCCTGGAGACCAAACCAAAAGGAAAGTACGATTCTCCAGACCGCCATCTCTATGCCATGCCAAGGTTAGCTGTCGCCTGGAGACTGAAAATGCTAAGTTCTTCGCTGACAACCATATCCTGCATCCCAATGCACAGCTCGACGTGGGCTCCTGAACCTCGGAAATACGTGTTTCATGAACGCAATCTTGCAGGCGTTTCTCGTCAATCCTCTTCTCCGTGACTTCTTCCTCAGCGACAAACACAATCACCTGTTGTGCAAGAACAGAGATTGCACATGCTGCGAAATGGATAAACTCTTCTCGGAGGTCAGGACTTCCTTCCGCATCCGTCATACGTACTGTCCCTAATCCTTGAGAACTTCGGATAGATGTATTCAGAGAACGCGACACCATATGGTCCGGCGAGCTTCCTCGCGACGACGTGGCGTGCTTCAGCAGAGCTGTCTGGCTACGCGCAGCAAGATGCACACGAGTTCTTCATGGCCGCGCTGAACCACATCCACTCTACCAGCAGAGGGTCGACCAAATTCCAATGCATTTGCATCGTTCATTCCACATTCACGGGGCTTTTACAAAGCGACGTCAAATGCGGTCGGTGTGGTAACGTCACCACCGCCTCAGACCTTATGCTGGACATCAGCCTAGAATTACAAGACAAGGGCAGCGCTGGTCACGCCGGGAGCGAATTGACTCTTGCATCTTGTCTGCGGAGGTGACTATTTCCTGATATGATCGTCCATGTTCCTGTTTCATGGCCCACCAGGTATACTCAGCCGGAGAAATTGGGCCCGAACGCATACGATTGTGCCAATTGTGGGAAAGTTTCCCATGTACGTGCTATTTCCGAGGCTGTTCACGTCTTCGAAGCTAATCTGGTACCACGGCTGAGCAGGCGGACAAGCGGCTGAGCCTCCGAAAGCTCCCGCCCGTCCTGAGCTTCCAGTTCAAGGTGAGAACGCGCACGAACCCGGCTCTCGTGCCTCCTATTGAGTCGCGAATTCAGCGCTTCGAACACAAGGCCGGAGACAAGGCGGCAGCGCAGAAGATCGAGGCCCCCGTCCGGTTCCCGTCGAGCATCAATATGGCACCCTACACGTCTCTCGCAATGGCCGTGAGAGAGCAGGAGGGGAAAGACGGGGGACCAGACTCCGCTTCGTCTTCGTGAGTTTGCTCCCTCGACCCTCGGCTTCGGGCGTCTTACGAGAGCACGAAGCAGCCTCCCGGGGCCCGCCAGTATGTATGAGTATGATCTATTCGCAGTGGTCTGCCACGAAGGACAGATCAACAATGGACACTACACGTGTTTCGCTCGTTCTCAAGACGAGGTACGTAAGCTTCTAGCGTATTAGTTTCTATTCTCAAACCGGTGCTCTCCAGTGGTACAGGTTCGATGACGACAAGTAGGTTTCATGATGCTTCGACCCTCATAACGACTCATGGCCTATTTCACAGAGTGTCACATTCGAGCCTGCGAGCATGCCTTAGTTCGCAGCCTCAGGTTTACATGTGCTTCTACGTCAAGAAGCACCTGGATTATAAGCCGTACGTGACGCCTTCGTACAAAGTCGCAAGAGAAGCGGAAGCGGTTAGGGAGAAGCAACGAGAACGAGAGAAGGAGGCAGCCCGCATGAGGGAAGTCGAGGATGCGTTGCTGGCTACAGTCTGACAACACGTTGCACATCAGGTCGCACACATAAATGGCTATGAGCAGGTTACGAACGACGAGGTCCTTATTTATAGCATTAGTCGAGCAGGCTATCGAATGTACTTAGGTGTAATACAAAGTGGGGAGGTATATGTGTGCAGTCGATATACAATGAGAATGGTCTATGGACGGGGTGTGTTAGGAAGCAATGCAGGGACATGATGGAACGAAAGCGAAGATGAGCAATATGCAAGTGAGGGATCAATGAGGCAGGATATCATTGAGCTCGCCCTCCTTCACCCGAATCTCCACAACCTCCACTTCATAATCCATCATGGACGAGTTGGTAGACGATACCGAGGAGGAGATGAAGCCAGACCCGTTCGGCGGAGATGTGGAAGCGACATCTGTAGGAACGCGAAGCAAACGGTAGCGAGGCAAGGTCAGCAACGGAGAATGCATGAATAATGAAGACACGGGAAGGAAAGACAAACGAACATCTGTCTTTGATATAGGGTGGGACAAATAGATCCTGCATAGCGACCACATACGTCAGTCATTCATATAACACACCGGCGAAGGGAGGGCAGCTTACCTGATTCCATACGAACCCTTGGCTCCTCTGGATGGTCAGGATCGGTCGCAGCGTGAAGACAGGCTGGCGGGGCTTTCGCCGGTGCTGTCTCTTGGGGCTCTCAGGCTCAGGATCAACGGCACGCTGCTTGCCTTTGACATCCTTCTTGAGTTCGGCAATCTTGTGCTCAGACAAGGCCTCGTCGCTCTCGTCGATCTCCATGTCCCCGTCTGGGCGACCCGCGCGATCCTCTCTCTCATGCACGGCGGGGCGATCTCCGTCCGAGACATCGCTGCTGCGGTGGACAATGCGTCCGTAGTTCTCGTCGTCCTCCGAGCACGAGTTGTCCTCTGATCCGCTGTCACTGTAGTCATCGTCGTACGGGATCTGCTCGTAACACGCCCATGTGGGAGGCGAGGGCGCCCGGCCGATCCTTCGGCGCACGAATGGGTGTGCGGACGCGGTGGTAGTGTTGCTCATCGTTGCTCGTCGTCGGTACGCACGGCCAGTGGGTTGCGTGCAGCGGCGATGGTGGTGGTCAGGGTGCAAGACGAGTCGGACGCTGTCGGGCAGGTGAGCGCGTGTGTGATGTGTGAAGAGTCACTTGCGACTGGAGACAGCCTGGCGTCGAGTCACACCTTCCCTTTCCGGGCAGACCATCATTTCGGTCGACGCTCCGTCGAGTCCAAGTCGAGTCCTAATCCAGAGTGTCACCCGTGCTACACACTGTACTTACAGCAGCATCTGCGTATAATGAATATCGCCTGATACACGTTGGTAAAGTCGGCAAGCGTAGCAACAATGGGCCAACTCCATATGCTGTCGAACTCCCACAAGTCGTCCAGTGTGCCGACACCTGCCTAGGACCAATTCTGGCGGGCCCAAATATGTCAGTGACGATCGGGGCCTACTAGCTTGTCGTACTCATACGAAGCGTTGTTTCTAGATCCAATGTTAACGACAGCCCATCGGTGCAACAATTCAGTTCAGTGCATCCCTCTCACGACCCACGCTAAGGCTGTGCGCGCGGATGCAATGACAGAGCCTCAGCAGAAGTCCACGGGTAAAATAGGGAAGTTTCGTGTACCATGTGTTCGAGATTGGGTGGTGGGACGGCACGGTGTATCCAATATAATCTGTTTCAATTGCACCGCCTCTCGATCGAGGTACACTGCTAGAAATGTCGCGGAGAATTTGAACGTACAAAAACAATCCTACCGCGGGACAAGATTGCCCCCGAGCTCGTTCGTCGACGCCGAAGCTGCACGCCTCGCAGACGCAGCTCGACCGCGGCGTTGTTACGACAGTTTGACATTTGCCGGACGCAACGGGACGTCTGTTCACGAGAAGGGCGTGGCATATTTACTGCGGAAGTCTTCTCCGTGAGCTGTAGCTTAAACCTTAGAATGCAAGCGGATTGGAGCATTGGACGGCGCATCCGCGCCTACGTAGAACTTCTTCCTCTCAGCGTATCGACGACCCTGGCCTCAAGGCGATACAACGCTGCATAGGCGGCTTCCGGCTGCTGTATCATCGGCACGATGTAAGGTTGCCTTCGGTACGCATCCATTAGCACATGGTCAATAATAGTAGGCCCGCTAGAAGGCAGCGGCGCAAATGAAGACAGAACATGCCGTACAAATATGACAGGATCCCGCGCTCAAAACGCATGGGGCATCGACCATGCCGTTGCTGAGGCTACTCCGCGAGCAAATAGGGTCGCTGGTCCCAGAACTCGTCGCCAATGATGTCACAATGTAGCAGTTCCACCGTATACTGCGCCTTCGGCTTCTTTGGCGGTTTGCGCGTGCTAGGTTGAGGGATGCCCTGACCCTCAACATCGGGAGTGCTTGCTGCCCCTTCCGCAGCTGGTGCTAGTAGGACGGCCTTCTCGGGCATGACCTACGGGTAGTCACTTTAGGGTCCATTGTTCTGATGGACTTGCAGATCGAATACGCACCTGCTCGCGCACAAGAACACTGCCTTTTCGAAAGCGCGCAGGCAGACTGTTGTAATTGATGCTGAAACGGGAATGCAGCATCTCGTGTTTTGTGCTGGATACCGTTCCCTACAATCGGTATCAGCTTTGGGTCCGTAGTTCCTCGAGCTCGAGTACCCACCCGGAGCGTAGCATGTGCCTGGGTCGTGCTTTCGTCGCCTTGAAGCACCAACGCCCAAAAGACCGTATTGTACAGGTTGTTTATGTGCGCTTCAAGCTGATTATTAGTCCCTTCAGCGGGCGCATTCATGAAATCATCAGGCCGCTCACTGTCTGCTTGTCGCCACGCGAAGTAGTCTCGGATCTCCTTCGGAGAGGGGTACATCACGATTCGCCCGTCAAATGAAGGTGGATACATCAATTCTTTGTCTGGCAGATATTTTGACCAGTTATAGACATAGGATGACGTGAAAAGCGAAGTGACGGTGGTGATGATTTTGGACTGCCGGCGGTTGTAAAGTGTCGTGGATTTGCGGAAGAGAAAGCTGTGTGTATGTACGGATGAGCTAAGGTTAGTGAACATCATCGCTCATCCGAGGTCATCAACTACCTGTATTCGTCTGACTCGCCGAATGCAAGGCAGATGTCGTTGAACTCGTTCATGACATTTCTTGCGGCGTGGTCCATCAATTGCAGAGCACGTTCATCATTTGGTTTAGTGAAGTCGTGCGCCTCTGACAACCTACAGGTGCAGCTAAGCATGAGTACGCAAGGACGCGAAAATGACTCGAGTAGTGATCCTACTTGTGAAAGGCATGCCCATCAATACGCAAAACGAGGAATGTCCCCAGCAGCAACGGATCTGGGAGCTCGAACTTCTTCACATATTCGTATCGACTGCCCGCCATTTGGCTCGCGTAAAACAAGCAGATGCAGGGGTTTGGGTATGCCAGTAGCAAAACTCAGAAGTGCTCTGCGGTTGTTGCAGACAAGCTGCACTTTCCAATTCAAGACGCAGGCTCCTCCGCCGGGTCCTCCGGCCCGCGCTATCCGCACGAACATACACCTTACCGCAGCTTGCCCGGTTGCCGCCCGCTCTGCCCAGCTGCACCAGCTTCAAGTTCAAGCTTCGTCCGAGGCATGAAGCGTCGGACAGGATTGGCTTGCAGTACGCAAGCATATTTCGATTCGGTCATGAGATACAAGAGGTCTATGCACAAGACTGCAGTCTGCTAGAGCGATGTAAACCTGTCGGTCGATGATAAGAGACTGTCCGTACGTGCCGGAGCCAGCTGCATTTCCTAACAGATTCAGACTGCACTGGTACCACGAGACTGTCACTGTTGTGGGGTAAATCATACCGTTGTGTGGCTGTACCTACATGAGAGGCGGCGGTTGATTCTCGCACGGCAAGGTGGCGTCGACACGTTCAGCGCCTGAATGAGGGCGTACTTGCTAGTTCGGAACGGCATAGACCTGTCAGGGCGTATGTGCACCCGTGCAAGACGGTGGTAAGTACGGCAATCCTCGGAAGATGACGGAGTACGTCAAACAGAAGCACCGTGACTGTGGTACCAACATTGAAAATGTGTACCTGCAGAGGAAATGCGCTCGGTGACGTGGCGAGGACGAGTTGGGTAAGTGCGTAGGCATCCTATACAAGTCAGTATGAATCTACCGCTGGACATGAAAATGAGAGGAGCGACGGAACCTGCTGGAGGAGGAGCGAGTGGTCGGTGGCGCCTACAAGTCACCACAAATGCGCGGGGCCGCTGGCAGCCACCTAGATTTAGATCGCTTCGATGTGGCCGTAGCCCAAAAGCGCGACACAATGCAAAGCGAGTTCAGCAGTGAGTCCCGTTCGGAGAGAAGCAAAGCGCACCTGATGCATCACGACTTCTAGACGATGCGTATTCCAAGCATTGTGACCGAGGAGGGCACTCGGTCCTTCGGTGTCACCCAGGAGGTGCCACTCAACATCCTCGACACCTGCCTGTGGCCCCTGGTGCTCGGTGCACCAGCAAGGAACGTAACCTAGTCAAACAATGCGAGGTTAGAAACGAGCGGCGCAGTTGAAACACTTGCTTTGACAGGGCTTAGGATGCTGGGAAAGGCAAGGGCCACGCCGCACGCTCCTTCAAGCGTGCATTGTCCACCGGCAGCGACGGCTCAGGGACGTTGTCAAAGCTGTTCCCCGCCCTCTTCCGCGTACCTTGCGTGATCTGGCATGTCAAGAAGAGTAGAAATTGCCGTGAGAAGAGGCGCGTCCCTACTCACCTTCCTCGTCGTCGCGCTGCGCGCGGGCCACCAGGCCCATCTTGCCTAATCGCCTCGCGGAACCACCCTGACGTTTGGTCCTAAACGGCTGCTACTCCGCGCGTCTAGGGCGCCTGCACTCTCTCACGACAACCACTTCCTGTTTTCCTCTGTGGGTCCGCATTCCTAGTATGGACGACCACAGCCCCTCCAGGCGCCTTCACGGATTCTCGACGAATCGACCGCCACCGCTGCCAGCGTATCCCGAGTCCCCCAAGGGACATCATCGGAGGGATAGCTCAGGCTCAGAGTCTGAATCCTCGAGCGATGCGAGCGAGGGTAGGTCTCCACCTCGTGTACACCAGGCCCAACCCGGATACGCCACCCGGCGCCCACAATTCTCGAGCCAGAGCCAGGGCTATCATGACCGCAGGCGACCGACTCATCTTCACGCAACGATCTATGTCGACGACCCGCCATACGTGCCTCGGGACACCCCGACGCGTCCGTCGGGTTACCACTACGCGCCCAGAGGTGGCCACAACCAAGTTCAACATGCCCCGGTCGACTACCGCCGCGTGCCGCCGCTGCCCCCACACACGCCCTCGACGCAGGTAAGTTAGAGTTCTGCTTATCCGATGGGCTGAACTCATGTAACTGGTTTCCAGTACTCTGGCAGACGAGGTAGCAGCCCCAGCGGCTCTGAGCGCAGCCATGGAGGTCAGGAGAGCGACGACAGCGGCGATGGGAGCGAGACGAGCGTGTCGAGCGAGGAGAGCAATCGAGGGCGACCACACCGGGTACAGCAAGTGTCGATGGCAGGCGTTTTCCACGTCCACGAGCCGGTACTCACGAATCCTTACCTGCCGTACAATCCGGCGCGGTACCCAGCGTACGACGCACATGCGCGGAGGGTCGGTCTGGAACATGTGAGGTACGAGAGCACACCCCACGAGCCCTCTCCAGGGCATACGTACTATCGTCCAAGGACGCACCACTACCCGCCGCCTCGCGAGACCCCGAGCCCGGTCAATGAACCTATGGTACTTGATTCGCCGCCACGCTCGCCTGAGCCTTACACCCCGCCAGTCGAACGTAGCCCATCTCCGCCCACCCCTCGTATCGGCTATGACACGCGTGCTCCATCCCCGGTCAACACGAGAGCTCCTGTACGCCAGCCCAGTCCGGCGCGACCTCCTCCCCCTCCTCCTCCTCCTCATGCGCCTCCCGAGCCCATGAGGCAGTCTCCGCCGCCTATGGCTCCGTTCAGTCCGACGAATACGGCGAATACGGCACAATCTAGCAAGGATTCGGATCCCTCTGGTTCGCCCGCCCCCGAAGATGATGTCACGCTGGACATGCTCGCCGATCCCACCTATCCGGGGCAGAAACCCAACTATCCGTACCCTATTCTCGTGAAGGCTGCGATCCTCTCAAGCGCGAAGAGACGCTTGACGCTGCAAGAGATCTATCTTGCACTTCAATGTCGATTCCAGTGGTTCAGGGACAACGCGAAAGACAAGGCTTGGCAGGTTCGTATCTACGTATTACAAGTACATCAGAGACTCAACGTTGTTTTGCAGAATTCCATTCGCCACAATCTGTCTCTGAACAAGCTGTTCCGCAAGATACCTCGGGACATCACTGAGCCTGGCAAGGGTAGCTACTGGACTGTCGACGTTGGGGCGGGCGCAGGCAACAAACGCGAGCGCAAGCGCAACAAGCGTCCCACCAAGGCAGAGCGTCTCGCCATGCAAGGTCTCGCCTCTACGTCGAACCAGATGGACGACCAAAGCTCTGATGAAGAAGGTGACGACGTCAGCTTGAAAGCCACGACCACCCAGAGCCTCAGCCAAAGCCTCGGACAAACCGCAGCCTTCTCTGTGAACATCGCACCCCTGCAGCCGGATACGAACATCGACCCGGAGCTCCGCGAGGGTGGCCACGTCATTGGGGAAGGCCGCTCGCGCAGCCAGACCGGTGCGTCCGCGCGCAACAACGCGCGGCGCGGCGAGTCGCCCTACACCCGCTCGCAGGGCGCTGCGTCCGGTGGCCACTCGCAGCCCAAGTTCGGACAGCCATCTTTCGGGCAGCCAGCCTTCGGCCAACCTTCCTTCGGCACGTTCCAGGGGACCTTGGGTGCTCCCCCGCAGCCGGCGCCCGCTCGTCCGAAACAGTCAAACAACCCAGTGTCTACGGCTCCTACGTTCCGCGTCACTATGCCCGCTAAGGGAAGGCCCAGCGGCCGGCCCTCAAATGCCGCGAGGGGCCGCGCTACGCCCTCGATGTCTACTTCCACTGCGCAGGCCGCATCGATTCCGATCGCGCCCATCCTTCAATCAGCCATCCTTCAGCCGACTCTGCATCCTAGCCTCAATTTCGCGCGCGAGGCGGTCGATGCGGGGACTGCTGGCCGACTTGCTGGCGAGCCCGCTGGATTGGGCCCCGGCGCTGGTGCTCCTCCTGTACCTCCAGCTCAGGCGTACAGACAGGGAAGCACCTCTTCTGATTCGTCTCAAGGTTAATCTCAAGATCAATGTTCAAAACGCTCCTTAACGTCTCCAGCGTCCGTTTCTCTCAAAAGAGAGCCTGCTTGATATCGAATCCATTGCTTGTCGACACACGCTACTGCTGCTATCCCTGTTACGTGCTCTTTGACTGTCACACCTGCTATCATCGTCGTCTACACCCCTTCCGCTGCCCCATCCTGCTCTGACCCGAAGACCCGTTTGTCCATCGTTCTTGATCTGTTATCCGTTGTCCCTTGCTTTTCCTCGTCATATCGTGTCGTGCACATATTGTTCTGCTCTATCTCTTCCGAATTTGCTCTCCTGTTTTGCACCGAACGCGCCTGCATCTCGCCTAGATCTTGACTATGCAAGGAACTGGATGCGTTTCCGTAAGGATTTAGACACGACTCAGCCGCTCTAAAGAGATTATAGCGGAGATTAAACTGTAATTAAGAGGTGGTTTGTATTCCGTAAGCCACAATAGAGACGTCTCAAACACGGGCGACCTATCGTCTCGCATGCGGCACGAGTCGCGCGGTCGAGTCCTCCACTATGCCTCCTCTCTCGATCCAGCTACAGGGTGACGATGAGCTTGAGGAAGATGATGACATGCGGCGCTCCGCCCTCGCTGCTCTCCTCCTCCTTGGCGCAGTTGAATCCCGCGAAGTACGACGAGCTCACCGCCGCAACCGCTACCTGACCCGCGCGGAACTCTTGCCCGACCCTCGCATCGACACCCCCTGGCAGCGTCTTTGGGAAAGCCAGAACGACCGCGCTTTTATCACAACCATGGGGGTTGACGTCGCAACGTTCCACTACATTCTTGATAACGGCTTTGCGCTCAGATGGAACTCTACTGCCATCCCAAGAACCGACACGAATCCCCGAGGACAACCTCGCCTCGGTCGGCGCTCACTGGATGCAGCTGGTGCACTCGGGCTGTACCTGCATTACCTCAGCTCGGCCATGACGGAAGTTCCGCTTCAAGAGATCTTTGCTCTCGTCCCGGGTACGACCAGTCGCTACATACGATTCGCGCGGCGCCTCGCACTCGCTGCTTTGCGCGAGATTCCTGAGGGCAGAGTTGAGCTCCCGAAGGATAATCAGTATGATGAGCTATCACGCTTGGTACAGGTGAGTTTCCGAGTATATGTTGTCCAATCTGAGTCTCATAGTAATAACCTGAATTGCAGCGCCGTCATCCTCTACTCAACGGTGCTTTCGGAGGCATTGATGGGCTGAACGTTGTGACGCAGGTGTCCGATGATCCCGCAATTGAAAACGCGACCTTCAATGGCTGGTTACACGGTCATTTCCGGAGTTGTGTGTTGGTCTTCTCCGCCCGTGGTAAGTTCTGCCGACTGCTCCGTCAGGCTTCAGATTCTCATCTCATAACTAGGTGTCATCATTGCATGCAATCTGAACGCCCCCGGTAGCTGGCACGATGCAAAGATCGCACGGCCGATTTACCAGCAGTTGCGCGATGACGTCCCGGAGGGCTATTACCTCGTCGCTGACGCTGCGTTTCCACGTGGTACGGCTGACGTTGCGGGTCGAATCCGATCAGCACGATCAGATGGTGCTGAGCTGCCCAGTGACGCACAAGAGCGTCGCGATGTCCTTGCGTACGACAACCAGCTGTTGTCGTACCGCCAAACCGTGGAATGGGGGATGCGTCAGCTACGCGGTTCATTTGGTCGTCTCCGAGTGCCGCTGGACACTGATGATAATGAACAATGTGGTGATGTTCTCGAGTCGTGCGTGCGCATGAACAATGTACGTGTACTGCGTGTTGGCATTAGCGAGATACGCTCTGTTTATGAGCCTATTTGGAGACGGTCTGAGGCCGCAGAGCTTTGGGATTCCTTTGAGCGCGTGGCAGTCCGGGACATTCGTAGAGGCGACCGCGTTGCACGTTTCCATCTCGGTGAAGCTACACTTTAAATGTCATATATTGCACGTAATGAATGATATACTACGATGACTAAACAGTATATAGAGTATGCAATGAAGAGTTAATCAGTGATGACGGCATATGAACAGGGTATGGAATCTACAATGCACTTAGGGCAATTACGTGTGAGTAGTGAGAGTGGTGGATGAGTATGGATGAGACGTATGAAATATACAGCAGTCGGCGATGGTATACTAAGTTCAGAGTTCTCGTTGTACTCACAGTTCATGGCTAGTCACTACCTTCGTGCTCAGTGCGACGTTTGCGGGGAGTGACGGTGACTTCATATGAAGTCTCTTCGTCAAGTTCATGACTTGGCGCCGGAGGCTCGGGGGCCGTCACATTTCCACGGTCGACCTGCGTCGACGCCCCTGTGTCCGAAGGACAAGCATCGTGCCGTGGCGAATGTGGGGTGATCGGCATACCCTGCAGGCGCTCGCGGGATCGCAGAGGCACATGCGCCTCACCGGCCTCTTCACGAGCAAGCGCGGCCATGGCCGCAATAGAAGCCCGATCAAGGATTGGGCTACCGTGACGAGGGGGTCGGCTTGACTGGTTGGAGGGACCAGGAGTTGGAGCGGGTTCAATGGCACGAGGTGGCGCGGGCCCGGGTTCTGTAGCTTTCGGCAATGAGATACATGGCCATTGCAATGAAACAAAGCCTTGGACATACCTGGGATGCGTCGAGAAGCCGGCGTTCCGAAGAGACGTGCGTGGACAGAGTAATAAGGTTCACCTGAAGATGGATGAGCATGCAATCACACAATATGAACCTTCAACGTACCTGTTGTCTTTGCGATCTGTTCAAGAAATGCTTGGTGTTCATCACGTCGACGGAGTTCATCTTCAAGGCGGTCACCGCGGCGCTTCTCTTCCAAGTACCGCTCTTGGAGCGTCTCGTTCCGAAGGCGGTAATGGTGCAAATCGCTTATGAGGGACTGCAGGTGAAAGTTATCCACATGGCGAGCGGCACGAGCTTCGTCACGGGCCGTCTGGACAGCGGGGTCGAAGGCAGATGCGATGGAAGAGATGAGGTTGTTCGACATGCCAGTACGCGTTTGGCCGCGTGGCGCAGTGCCAGCAGCCACAGAGGGCGAGGCGCCGGCGCTTGCGTTTGCTGTCCTTGCCTTCTTGCGAACGACGTAGCGCTTGCTCTCCTCCTCCTCATCGGTATCCATGATCTCTATTACCTCCTGTCCACCGGCTCCCCGAGGCTGCTCAACACTGTCGATCCTCGCGTCATTGAGTGGACGAACATGGGCGCGCTGTTCGATGAGATCGTTGATGTCCCAGGACTCCTCAACAAACCAGGGGACTTCTGCTTTGCCCGTCGGCTTGGGAGTCCGGACGATCTGTATGCGAAGGTCCAATTGATATCGGAGGTGAGTTCATTAATCCATTCTTAGCATATCCAAGCCACTTACAGCATCCCATTTAGACCGAAATGCTTTCACCTGACGTTCTCCACGCCCATTTGCACGAGCCCACTTATTGAAGTGCGCGACGACCGTTGCCCACTCGTCGGGCCCTATCGGAAGAAACATGCGGACGAGGCGCAACATCTCTGTGAGATCAGCGTCGGTGTATCCCGTTGCGCCTGGCTGCCGGCCTCCCCGCCTTGCAGGCCCGGGATTGCTAGCGGCTGGCTGGCGGCGGCCGCCAGCAGCAGCTGCTGGGGAAGGCTGCGGCAACGCCGGTGAGTTTGCAGCTACACCTTTGCCCTTCGCACCCGCAGCCGATTTGCGCTGGCGCTTCTTCCCAGCAACGGGCTCTGCGAGGATGGTGCGAATCTCGGGGAAGACGGTGTCGTCATCGGAAGGCTCCTCTTTGATAACGATATCAGGTGAGTCTTGTCGCCCATCGGAGCGATGCTCGCTGTGCGGTGCGGTAGGTGCGACAGGATAGTGACGGGGAGGGCCCGGAAGAGGGTGACTCGGATACGGAGATGGGTAAGGAGCGGGGTGCGTGTAGGCAGAAGGATGAAAATGATGTAACGAGTGTGGGTGTGAAGGATAGTACGAAGGCATAGGGCCGGAACCCTGGGGCAAAGGTGCGGGCGTTGAACCGGGGTATTGAGCGTCTGTGGCAGGGAATCCTGCCGGTGGTGCTATGCAACATGCAGGTCAGTTCAACCAGTCCGAGTCGGTGCGGCTATGTAACATGTATCTCACCGTGGTCAGCTAGGTACACTGCTGGCTCCTCAGGCTGTTGCGGGGCGTCCTCATCCGGAACTTCCTGACGGGCCCTTCGCTTCCCAGCGGCCTTCTCCGACATTGACGGTGGTTTGCGGCCCATGCGTAGGTGTGTAAGTAAAGCAAAAGACAGTAAAGAGCGGACGGGTTATGTGGATGCTTGACAATGCTGCCACTGACGGCTTTTATACTCTAGTTCCCCGCAGTCCACGGTATGCTTACCTGAGGTCTAAACATCGGCTTGCTGGTCTGGCCGCCTCCCAAGATGAAATTCAACAACTTGTGACCCTGTCGGTGGCTGCTGACCGAACCGCGTAGTGCGCGCTCGGTTGATTTGTGCCACAATCCACGGAGCTGGTGAGTCAGGAGGCCCTCACATATGTTTCAGTGCATTACAGCTGATTCCCAGTGGGTTTGTGTGGGCTGAGCGTGTCCGGACAATTTCGGAAACAGGCTGTAGTACACGGTTCAATCGACGTCATAGGTGTAGCAGTTCCCGAAATGGAAATACATTAAGAACATTCTACTACCCCACGTCCTGTAATGCCAGCATCTAGCAAGGGGGTCATACCCCCCTCGCTAGATCCCGTGTTTACGGCCTGCAAATGCCGCTGATGGACATTGAAACGGCTCTCCGTGGTCACGATCTCAACCTTGGGAATCGCGATCCGAACGGACATCATCGGCATGTCCTCGCCTTGCCTTTCTGAGCAGCGGACAATGAATGTTTTCGTGCTCAACGCCTTTACAGCGGTCACCTTGGGCGCTCAATAGCGGTGATCTGGAGTCTAGAGCTGTTTGAGCCCATCTAAACCCTTACGGAAACGCATCCACTGATCTCGTAGTATGCTGAATTGCTCGATGTTGGCTGTTGTTATCGTTGCTAGCACTTGCTTGTCTCTGAATTGAAATGCTATATCTATTCTCCCTCCAATACCGATACAGCCACAGTGTGGCTTGGGTGTGACTGGTCAAACAGGGCCCAGGCCATAGACTCGTAACGGTAGAGCGCCCGCAGTGAGTCTCGTTTCCCACGCCACGAAGGCCGTCTCACCGCGGGCAAACCAGGTTTTTCGGGCTCCGAAAATGCTAATAACATCGGTCCTCCATGGGAACCTTTTCGGAGAGCTTGATTGACTCCGGAAATGCTCCTACATTTCTCATGTTCGTAGCATGTTCGCCGAAAACACGCATGTTCGGCCTCCGAACATGCTGAAATCGGCTGAAACGCATCATGTTCGCAGCATGTTCTGACAATATTCGGAGTCCGTAAAGGTTCCCAGGCGGGACCGATGTTCGTAGGGGTTTTCGGAGTTCGAACAACCTGGTTTGCCCGCGGTGTCTGCAATTCGGACAGGTGACGAACATCACTCTGCCATACTGGATGCGTTTCCGTAAGGGTTTAGATGGGCTCAAACAGCTCTAGACTCCAGATCACCGCTATTGAGCGCCCAAGGTGACCGCTGTAAAGGCGTTGAGCACGAAAACATTCATTGTCCGCTGCTCAGAAAGGCAAGGCGAGGACATGCCGATGATGTCCGTTCGGATCGCGATTCCCAAGGTTGAGATCGTGACCACGGAGAGCCGTTTCAATGTCCATCAGCGGCATTTGCAGGCCGTAAACACGGGATCTAGCGAGGGGGGTATGACCCCCTTGCTAGATGCTGGCATTACAGGACGTGGGGTAGTAGAATGTTCTTAATGTATTTCCATTTCGGGAACTGCTACACCTATGACGTCGATTGAACCGTGTACTACAGCCTGTTTCCGAAATTGTCCGGACACGCTCAGCCCACACAAACCCACTGGGAATCAGCTGTAATGCACTGAAACATATGTGAGGGCCTCCTGACTCACCAGCTCCGTGGATTGTGGCACAAATCAACCGAGCGCGCACTACGCGGTTCGGTCAGCAGCCACCGACAGGGTCACAAGTTGTTGAATTTCATCTTGGGAGGCGGCCAGACCAGCAAGCCGATGTTTAGACCTCAGGTAAGCATACCGTGGACTGCGGGGAACTAGAGTATAAAAGCCGTCAGTGGCAGCATTGTCAAGCATCCACATAACCCGTCCGCTCTTTACTGTCTTTTGCTTTACTTACACACCTACGCATGGGCCGCAAACCACCGTCAATGTCGGAGAAGGCCGCTGGGAAGCGAAGGGCCCGTCAGGAAGTTCCGGATGAGGACGCCCCGCAACAGCCTGAGGAGCCAGCAGTGTACCTAGCTGACCACGGTGAGATACATGTTACATAGCCGCACCGACTCGGACTGGTTGAACTGACCTGCATGTTGCATAGCACCACCGGCAGGATTCCCTGCCACAGACGCTCAATACCCCGGTTCAACGCCCGCACCTTTGCCCCAGGGTTCCGGCCCTATGCCTTCGTACTATCCTTCACACCCACACTCGTTACATCATTTTCATCCTTCTGCCTACACGCACCCCGCTCCTTACCCATCTCCGTATCCGAGTCACCCTCTTCCGGGCCCTCCCCGTCACTATCCTGTCGCACCTACCGCACCGCACAGCGAGCATCGCTCCGATGGGCGACAAGACTCACCTGATATCGTTATCAAAGAGGAGCCTTCCGATGACGACACCGTCTTCCCCGAGATTCGCACCATCCTCGCAGAGCCCGTTGCTGGGAAGAAGCGCCAGCGCAAATCGGCTGCGGGTGCGAAGGGCAAAGGTGTAGCTGCAAACTCACCGGCGTTGCCGCAGCCTTCCCCAGCAGCTGCTGCTGGCGGCCGCCGCCAGCCAGCCGCTAGCAATCCCGGGCCTGCAAGGCGGGGAGGCCGGCAGCCAGGCGCAACGGGATACACCGACGCTGATCTCACAGAGATGTTGCGCCTCGTCCGCATGTTTCTTCCGATAGGGCCCGACGAGTGGGCAACGGTCGTCGCGCACTTCAATAAGTGGGCTCGTGCAAATGGGCGTGGAGAACGTCAGGTGAAAGCATTTCGGTCTAAATGGGATGCTGTAAGTGGCTTGGATATGCTAAGAATGGATTAATGAACTCACCTCCGATATCAATTGGACCTTCGCATACAGATCGTCCGGACTCCCAAGCCGACGGGCAAAGCAGAAGTCCCCTGGTTTGTTGAGGAGTCCTGGGACATCAACGATCTCATCGAACAGCGCGCCCATGTTCGTCCACTCAATGACGCGAGGATCGACAGTGTTGAGCAGCCTCGGGGAGCCGGTGGACAGGAGGTAATAGAGATCATGGATACCGATGAGGAGGAGGAGAGCAAGCGCTACGTCGTTCGCAAGAAGGCAAGGACAGCAAACGCAAGCGCCGGCGCCTCGCCCTCTGTGGCTGCTGGCACTGCGCCACGCGGCCAAACGCGTACTGGCATGTCGAACAACCTCATCTCTTCCATCGCATCTGCCTTCGACCCCGCTGTCCAGACGGCCCGTGACGAAGCTCGTGCCGCTCGCCATGTGGATAACTTTCACCTGCAGTCCCTCATAAGCGATTTGCACCATTACCGCCTTCGGAACGAGACGCTCCAAGAGCGGTACTTGGAAGAGAAGCGCCGCGGTGACCGCCTTGAAGATGAACTCCGTCGACGTGATGAACACCAAGCATTTCTTGAACAGATCGCAAAGACAACAGGTACGTTGAAGGTTCATATTGTGTGATTGCATGCTCATCCATCTTCAGGTGAACCTTATTACTCTGTCCACGCACGTCTCTTCGGAACGCCGGCTTCTCGACGCATCCCAGGTATGTCCAAGGCTTTGTTTCATTGCAATGGCCATGTATCTCATTGCCGAAAGCTACAGAACCCGGGCCCGCGCCACCTCGTGCCATTGAACCCGCTCCAACTCCTGGTCCCTCCAACCAGTCAAGCCGACCCCCTCGTCACGGTAGCCCAATCCTTGATCGGGCTTCTATTGCGGCCATGGCCGCGCTTGCTCGTGAAGAGGCCGGTGAGGCGCATGTGCCTCTGCGATCCCGCGAGCGCCTGCAGGGTATGCCGATCACCCCACATTCGCCACGGCACGATGCTTGTCCTTCGGACACAGGGGCGTCGACGCAGGTCGACCGTGGAAATGTGACGGCCCCCGAGCCTCCGGCGCCAAGTCATGAACTTGACGAAGAGACTTCATATGAAGTCACCGTCACTCCCCGCAAACGTCGCACTGAGCACGAAGGTAGTGACTAGCCATGAACTGTGAGTACAACGAGAACTCTGAACTTAGTATACCATCGCCGACTGCTGTATATTTCATACGTCTCATCCATACTCATCCACCACTCTCACTACTCACACGTAATTGCCCTAAGTGCATTGTAGATTCCATACCCTGTTCATATGCCGTCATCACTGATTAACTCTTCATTGCATACTCTATATACTGTTTAGTCATCGTAGTATATCATTCATTACGTGCAATATATGACATTTAAAGTGTAGCTTCACCGAGATGGAAACGTGCAACGCGGTCGCCTCTACGAATGTCCCGGACTGCCACGCGCTCAAAGGAATCCCAAAGCTCTGCGGCCTCAGACCGTCTCCAAATAGGCTCATAAACAGAGCGTATCTCGCTAATGCCAACACGCAGTACACGTACATTGTTCATGCGCACGCACGACTCGAGAACATCACCACATTGTTCATTATCATCAGTGTCCAGCGGCACTCGGAGACGACCAAATGAACCGCGTAGCTGACGCATCCCCCATTCCACGGTTTGGCGGTACGACAACAGCTGGTTGTCGTACGCAAGGACATCGCGACGCTCTTGTGCGTCACTGGGCAGCTCAGCACCATCTGATCGTGCTGATCGGATTCGACCCGCAACGTCAGCCGTACCACGTGGAAACGCAGCGTCAGCGACGAGGTAATAGCCCTCCGGGACGTCATCGCGCAACTGCTGGTAAATCGGCCGTGCGATCTTTGCATCGTGCCAGCTACCGGGGGCGTTCAGATTGCATGCAATGATGACACCTAGTTATGAGATGAGAATCTGAAGCCTGACGGAGCAGTCGGCAGAACTTACCACGGGCGGAGAAGACCAACACACAACTCCGGAAATGACCGTGTAACCAGCCATTGAAGGTCGCGTTTTCAATTGCGGGATCATCGGACACCTGCGTCACAACGTTCAGCCCATCAATGCCTCCGAAAGCACCGTTGAGTAGAGGATGACGGCGCTGCAATTCAGGTTATTACTATGAGACTCAGATTGGACAACATATACTCGGAAACTCACCTGTACCAAGCGTGATAGCTCATCATACTGATTATCCTTCGGGAGCTCAACTCTGCCCTCAGGAATCTCGCGCAAAGCAGCGAGTGCGAGGCGCCGCGCGAATCGTATGTAGCGACTGGTCGTACCCGGGACGAGAGCAAAGATCTCTTGAAGCGGAACTTCCGTCATGGCCGAGCTGAGGTAATGCAGGTACAGCCCGAGTGCACCAGCTGCATCCAGTGAGCGCCGACCGAGGCGAGGTTGTCCTCGGGGATTCGTGTCGGTTCTTGGGATGGCAGTAGAGTTCCATCTGAGCGCAAAGCCGTTATCAAGAATGTAGTGGAACGTTGCGACGTCAACCCCCATGGTTGTGATAAAAGCGCGGTCGTTCTGGCTTTCCCAAAGACGCTGCCAGGGGGTGTCGATGCGAGGGTCGGGCAAGAGTTCCGCGCGGGTCAGGTAGCGGTTGCGGCGGTGAGCTCGTCGTACTTCGCGGGATTCAACTGCGCCAAGGAGGAGGAGAGCAGCGAGGGCGGAGCGCCGCATGTCATCATCTTCCTCAAGCTCATCGTCACCCTGTAGCTGGATCGAGAGAGGAGGCATAGTGGAGGACTCGACCGCGCGACTCGTGCCGCATGCGAGACGATAGGTCGCCCGTGTTTGAGACGTCTCTATTGTGGCTTACGGAATACAAACCACCTCTTAATTACAGTTTAATCTCCGCTATAATCTCTTTAGAGCGGCTGAGTCGTGTCTAAATCCTTACGGAAACGCATCCACTCTGCGGGCTGCTCGTATGCTCCCTTCGATGCTCTCCCATGAAGTCCTTGCTCTGAAACAGTGCTTCCAACGTGGGCTTGTTGCTGTAAACGGACCACACCCTGCATTTTTGCATTGCTCTACGAGTCCGAGGCAGCGCGCTCTCAGCACAACCCCTACCACTAGGGCAGGCTCTGTAGCCCAAGAATCTTCGCTCACAAGTGCGGAAGCTACGTCGAAGGCTGACGAATCTCCTGTGGAACAGGCAGAAACCTCGAGTCGTCAGCCCCAAGCGTCTTCGGGAAAAAGATTTGCTGACCTCGTTCAGGATCTCCTTGGAAAACCCGCAGTCCCGGTGAGTCCCAACTGTGAGTCTGCAACCTCCGCGTCTTCAACCATAGAATCAGCCCAAGCGAGCCCAACTGAGAAGCGCAGAAGAGAAGGAAAGAGCATGCCAGAACCGAGAGGCGAAACAGCGGGCGATGGGATTCCTGCCAATTCCGACCATGCCTAGTGCACCCAAGTACCCGTGTCCCTACCTCACCAGGGATGAGATCTCGTTGTATCTCGTTCCTCTATACCGGGACGGGTGGGTCGTTGGCAGCTCGGAGTTCTTGAAAGACAAGCGCCTGCCGCGGGATGAAGATAGTGCTTCGCCGGAACTCACCAAGGCCTTCTTGTTCGCGCCGGAGCACCGTGATGCAAGGCTCGAATTTGCGCAGAGCGTAGGTCAGTTGCAGACTACTGAGAAGGTGAGTACGTCTACTCGGTATCGCACCAACCCATTCAGCTGAGCGCTCACTTGGCAGCACCACTGTACCGTGTTGGTCGACGACCATTCCGTCCGGATCCGGACGCACACCCACTCGGCGCGGCCTCTGAGCTCTAGCCAGCGTGGTACAGAGCCGCTGGCACGCCTGCGCCCTGGCATCACGCTTCGCGATGTGCGCCTCGCCTACCTCGTCGAGAAAATCTTCCGAGGCTACCTCGAGCGCGGCACGGCTCTATGGCGGTCGCAGTTCATGACTAAGCCCCTCATTCGCCCGCTGGTGCCTTACGACATCGAGCGTATGCGGCTGATGCCAACTCGTACCTTCAAATGTCCGGTGTGCCGAGGGGCGCACGCAGTGAGGGATTGTCCAAAAAAGGACAGTGTCAAGCCTCGGACACCGTGCAAATGTGGGCAGATGCACTGGAAGGCTCAGTGTGATGCATCTTAGCTCGTAGTTGATGACCGGGCAATGCTTATAACATTTATAAATGCACGGTTATCGGTCGGGGGCACCTATTGGACTCGTGGTCCGACATGATAGTACTCAATAGATCTGTTGTCGGGCTAGGAGCACTACCGTGACATCCTACAATCCCCAACTGATCATATCAACATCCAGTCCCACAGTTCACTTTACAGTATACATTTGTCTCCATCGACTCAAGCAACCAGACGTTTGAAGAGTTGATACATACCTTGAGGCGGTAACCCGCCGGCGCGACGGCAGGTCGCGACGCGTCTGTGGCGTGAGATACGGGATTGAAGATCGGCTGCCCGAACTGTCGGACGACATCCAGGTCGGTGACCACGACCATGTTCACGCGCAAGCTAGCCTGCAGCCCCCGCCTTATTGCCTCACGCTGTTCCGTCTGCGCACGATATGTCTCAACAGCCACTGCGAGCCTTCAACAGGCTAGACAGTCAGGGCTGCCGACAGACTTTCAGTGGTTCCCAAACTTCTTCTCGACACGTGAACAGTACGCTCTGCTAGACGCTGCTCTTCGGAAACTGGATGTCACGGAGAATAGGCAGTTTAGGCGACGGAGGAAGGAGCTTATGAAGGCTCATTCATCGACTCCTGTCGCGGATAGCGGAGAGTCTGTGCAATCTCTCTTTCTGCCCGACGAGTACTACGACTTCCAGGAGGTGCGCTGGTCACGTTACGGAAAAGCCAAATTCCTTGAACAATGAGGCTGACGATAGACTTTAAGGGCCATTACGATGGTGTTATAAGACGATATCGTGAGATGCATGTGTCGTCTTGGCCCCAGGACGTAGAGGGGCTGCTGCCTGCCCTGGACCGTCTACGCGACATCTACCCAAGTCCCGACATTCAGACGCATCTACTACACCTTGCTTCTGATGGAGAGATTCTCGTGAGCTTCTGCCAATATACCTCGAGGAGCCACTGTGATTGATCTCAACACGATGGAAGCCTCATGTAGACAACGTCGGGGCCAGCGGATCGTGGATACTGGGCATAAGCCTCGGGGCAGCGCGTGTTCTCAAGCTTGAACACCCTGTCAATTCCGACGAGGTCTACACATTAGCCCTTCCATCTGGAAGCGTATACATCCAGAGGTGCGCCTCGCCTGACCATCAGGGATAGAAGAACTCACCGCTTCACAGAGACACGACCCGATACGACTTCAAGCATTCAATACTCTTGAATGGGCAGTTCGAGGGAAAACACTACAATGGTGGCCAACGTATGAGTATCATGATTAGGGTACGTTGCTGACTCTGGTCCATTGATGGCATTGTATACTGAGTTGTGGGGCAGGACCGTTTCAAGGATAACGGAGCGCAATGAGTGATGATGTACCCCTTGATGACAACCGCTTCCCATGTCCTCAAGGTCGAGCGGAATGAAGGAAGAAGGGACTTCTCTCTAAGCTTGCACTTGCTGGAACGAACAGTGGACAAGTTTATGTGCGCCGACCCAGAGCCTGAGCACAATTTCACGTTGAGATATATTTATCGTGAGTCTATGCCCTTGTTGCGCTCTTGCGCAAAGGGACGAGTTCTCAAGGTGAACGTCTGAGTGTGAAAGTTGTTACAAAACGCATGCTATGTGACACGTGAGGTTATTCTCGATCGCAAGTGACGGGATACTACCGAATGAACGCTGGATACAATGATGCAAGAAAGTCAAGAAAGAAACCCAGAAAACGACCGCGGTTGGGCGAAAGCCCGCGCCCGGAGGGCGCGGCGATCCGACGCAGGTCCCGCGTTGTCCGATGGCAGCCTATGGTGGCCCGAGTCAGCCGCGAGGGTGGGATGGGCCATGAAAGGGTGTGGTGAGGTGGGAAGAACGCAAAGTTCGTAAGTGCTATGGACAAAGCGCGGTACCCGCATCCGAGATGAGAAAACTAACATTGCGCCGTAGGTGTGTCAAGGCATGTATCATTGATGAAATGCGGATTGACGAGGGAAAGACGTGATTCTTGCGACGACTACTGCTATGCTGCCGTTCGTACTATTTGATCAGCCTATCGTGATGATAGGTGACGCTTAAAGACATTATCAGCGTACCTCAAAGACATAGAGCGCCCTCGGCAGCCCAGGCGACTCTGGCGAGGGTGTCTTGGTTCTCTATGGCTGCCCGCTGCACCTGCGCTATGTGTTCATGAACTGGTTGTCTTTCTCCCGGCCTCAGGAAGTTCGTCCACGGCCACGGGGTGTCTCGAACTATGCTGTGGTGTGACTGTGTGCTAGGTAAATGCGAGTCCTGCCGTTGGTGTTGTTAACTCACTGGCTCTGGCAGCATCAGAGGCTCATCCGCTGCTCCGAATGATATCGGCTGGGGATGGTACGCCGCGATCAATGGTGGGAAGACGTTTAACCAGGTTCCTGAGGTATTGAAAGTTTGCCATCTCTCCTTCCAGCCAAGGTAGGCCTTCTGACGGTCAACCAACAGGATACAGTCTTGCCCCACGTCTCCTCTCAACTCAAATGCCACCCAAATGCCTGAAGCCGCGATTACTCCAGTCAGTTTACCGCAAAACGGTCTAACTTCCTCTGCTGCTGCCGGGATCAATGCGACCTCCATGCCGCTTTGGATACAACATGGAGGGGGTCCGATGATAGCGACAATGGATCCTCCTTCGACATCCTCCTTCGATTTCGTTAGGAAGCGTATGTCCAGTCGGGTGTAGCCTTCCGCAGCTAACGGAAGAGACAGAATTGAGGAGTGGATGTTTAAAGAATGGACTGGGTTCAGCATGATTGCAACAGAGGATTGAGAGGGGAGTAGTGATATGGCCTAATGGTTGGTGGTCTGATGTTCTTTTTAATGAGTCTTAACCGAGCAGTGGCGTCGGTGGAGGAACGTGCTTGATTTTCTTTCAAAGGGAGTGGAGGGTGGGTTCTCGAAAACAGGCAGTGCCGAACAGACTGTCGGCCAACGGTGGCGGCGAGACGCAAGAGGTTCGAGCGCTCGCTGCCACGCGTGCATAGACTCAGTTTGAAGGAAGCGCTCGTACCTCGCGCTTCCTTCAAACACTCAATCTATGCCCTTGTTGCGCTCTTGCGCAAAGGGACGAGTTCTCAAGGTGAACGTCTGAGTGTGAAAGTTGTTACAAAACGCATGCTATGTGACACGTGAGGTTATTCTCGATCGCAAGTGACGGGATACTACCGAATGAACGCTGGATACAATGATGCAAGAAAGTCAAGAAAGAAACCCAGAAAACGACCGCGGTTGGGCGAAAGCCCGCGCCCGGAGGGCGCGGCGATCTGACGCAGGTCCCGCGTTGTCCGATGGCAGCCTATGGTGGCCCGAGTCAGCCGCGATACCCGGGATGTAGGAGTTCGAAATGACGCGTCGCCTGACTTGGGACACCCCAACTCTAGGAGGAAGAACGAGACTTACTGAGTTAACGCACTGGGGGCATCGCATATCTTGTATACGCCGAGTGCGCCTCAGGATTCTCCTTCAAGTACGGCGCCAGGATTTGCGCGTGCTTGCGGAGGTAGATTCGGAACGCATCGCTTTGCCATCGTCCCATCACCTTGACCACATCGAAGGGGACCCCCCGTAACATATACTCCAGTGTCCCTCCGATGCGGAGGCTGTGCCCATGTAGCACCGCGAGCTTCGCGACCTTGGCTGCTTGCGCCACCCTCGCCAGGACGACCTTCTTCGTCAACGCCTCCCAGCCTCCCCCGTTGTCCCCGACCCTGCCCACACGATGCGAGAACAAGGGTACGTTGTTGGGTGGGTCGTTGATGGCTATGTGGTCTAGCAATGCTGTGACCGGGTCCAGAGCTCCGTCCTGCCGCGCGAAACAGAGATCTTCTCCCGCCGCACTCACTTTCGTCTTGGGGATGGTAATGACCCATACCTCCCTACCGTCTCTGTCCCAGTCCGTACGAATCCGTGCGCGCGTTGTATGCAATGTCTCGTCGAAGGTACCTTTTTTCTTGAGCACTAGCTCTCCCAGTCTCGCGATTGAGAAGAACGCGACCGTGAGGACTGCCCATACTGCGCAGTCTGTAGGGTCCTTCGGGTCTAGATATGCGCGCAGAGCCGACAGGTACTCACGCGTATATGGTTGTCTCGGACTACGCTTCGAGCTTGATGGTGCCAGCTTCGTCGCTCCGCGCAACAGCGTGTCTAGCTGCTCTTTGTCTCGGGTCCAAGGGATGCCGTGCAGGATGTGCCACGCGCGGATACCCATTACGTAGTTGCGTATTGTGTCTGCGCTGTACGCGCCGGCCAGGTCCGCCACGAAAGTTTGTAACAGGACGTCGCTAGTCGGCGCGCGCTGCTCCTCTGGGACCTGTCTCTCGTCGCATACTACGTGGAACGTCAACAAGCCCGAGCCGTAGACTTCTAGCGTCGACTGGGTCCACGCCTTCTCGAAGACCGACTTGACACGCGCGAGATCCTCCGCCGAGACCGCCACCGGAAAACCGCTGCGGTCTACTGGCTGCCGGCCGGTCACTGGGAGCCAGAGACGGAGCCGGTCGCGCGCGAGGCAGTGCGGGCGTAGCGGGGATGGTGCCAAAGCTAGGTGCGAGGGGTATGAACGAGGACGAGCCTGGGACTGCGGCTGCACGGGCAGAGGGACACCTCTCTGCCGCTTACTAGGCGGCCCAGTCGATGTGCTGCCAGAGGAAATCCTCGGCGGCGTGCTCGTCTGTGTCGTATCCGGGTCGGACAGGAATCTCCGTGTAGTCTGGGATGGCTGACTCTCTGCTAGGCTTTGTGCGGTGGGCGAGGGATGCGTGGCGGAGTCTATCAGGTCCGTCCACGACCGCGTCGTCGAGGAAGGGCCGGATGTCGTCGGGGATGGGGACTGGGGGGAGAAGAAGGTGTGCGGGGGGGTATCTGCCGCGAGAGGGAGCATCGGCTGGGTTGTGACCGCTCGGGACGTAGCTGAGGAAGAAACCCACTCGCCGTCCCACAAGGGCGTGATGGATCCGCTTGAATGCGCTGTTGACGTGTCGGTTCTTACTGCAGCCTTTTCTCCATCCCCCCACGACGCCCATGTTATCTCCGAAGAGGCGGATCCGTGGTGGGAGCTCTTCGTTGGCCAGCAAACATCGGACGAGTAATTCGAAACCCACCGCCTCTGCCCATCCGATGTCTCTTCCGTCTCTGTCCCATCCTGCGCGCAGCGTCCAAGCCCTCCAGTGATCGCCAATAACGATTGCGATGCCTGTTCCTGAGCTTGCATCTGAGAATGCGTCAAGCCGGACAACTGGGAGAGGACCGGGGATGGGGCGCGAGATCGATTGTTGTGAGAGAGTGTCGAGCCACCAGTCCAGATCAGCTGGAGTCCCTCGAGGAGGGGTACGCGGCATGAAAGGGTTGTTGTGGAAGATACCCAGCATGGCTTCGAGGTTGGTGAGGTAACACCGTCCCGCCGGGACGACCAACGAGGCATGTAGAAGCTTTCCGTAGAGCTTCTGGACTTCTTCCAACGTGTGCGTGCGGTGTCCGGGGGCTCGCCACTCAGATATAGCCAGGCAGTACTTTGCCGCTTTCGCTGGAGGGAGGGATACTTCGCGGGTTTCCAGGTTCCATAAGAAGCCCGTGAATGGGAATTCGTGAGCGAAGGGGACATCCTTCTCGGCTTGCCATGGGATTCCCAGTTCCGATGAGATGTCATCGATATCCGCCATGCAGCAGGAGTATCGCGCATCCTCCAACGAACGCTCTGAAGACGCGGACAAGTCTTTGATTGGGAAGCGCATGTCCTCGACGAATTCGTCCACCCGCCCGTCCTGTAGCCGGTCACCTCCGTACCATAACCTGCCTCGGTCTTTATGCTCTCCGCCGTGGAATTCGATCTGTTGACGCCACTGCTCTCGTGCCAGGTTATATTCGCGTATGTATTGCCGCAAGATCCGGAAGAACGTGTGATCGTCGACCCACTTCGTGATGGGGCCCAGTCCTCTGGAGCGCATGATGTCTGCTCCGGCATCTGCGACGCCTCCGTAAAGCCCCGCATTTGGAGCGGCTCCGAAGGCTGCGTTTGAATCGACCAGGAACTGGTCGTTTGCGGACAGCCGCACGACTGTACCTGGCCATTGCGACGAATCAAGTGGTACCGTGCGATATGCTTCCGCCACGTCTCGAACCGCGGCCTGAGATCCTGGAGGGAGTCAGCTACATAAGAGACACATTGCGGTGAACGTACCCCAGGTACAAGGGAAATCATCTGATCGGAGTGAATCATTGATTGCGGAGTATCCAGCTCGTGGTGAATGAGGGTACGAGAAGTTCTGAACCAAACGGAAAACTCCTGGTTTGTGTGGCTTCGGAACCAGAGAAAGTGGAGAGGACTGAAAGGGGCCAATGAGGTCTTCCAATTCGCGTTGTGAGAAAGGGCCCATGTATCTCCGTTTTTGGATCTCGTCTTGGACGATACGCAAGAAAGTGTCTGTGTTCTGCTCAATTGTGAGGCTATTATTAGGGGCTTTAGTGACGTGAATGCGCGGGATTCCGATGATAAAGCCGGATCGTAGAGAAGACACCAAAGAAGGGTATTTATCAAGAAGGTCTGCGTCTCGTAACGTTCTATGCCAAGCGTCTGGGTGGTATGGGGTGAGGGGGTTACTTCTTCTGTGCAAGATTGCACGACGAAGCTCCGTGGTTCCGCCCCCCACATCCCGAACACTGATGGATGTGTTTGGGGCTGGTGGAGCGACAACCTCCCACTCGTTGCCAGTCGAGACAGATCGTCTCTCCATCCTTGTTGATAATCTGTCCCGAGGAGTTTCTTCCACACAAGGCTGGCTGTCCGTTCCACAAAGAACTCGATCGACACTTTCCGATCTCCTCTGAGGGGTGGCAGCCCAAGCATATGGCGCAAATCGCGAGGGCCGTGCGAGATGCGCCCCTCTGAAAAGACCCTCTTGCATTACGCGAAGCGGACTCTCGGTCTCGCGAATGATGGCCGTACGGCTCTGCATCGTCTCTTCGACTACTACGACCCTGCTGCCCCGAACCACGAGCACCACCTCGCTGCTGACTTCTCGGAGACGGTGAGCGTCGTCGCCCCGACGCTTGACCTGATGAGCTTCCCCCTCGCTGGGATTCAAAGCTATCATTCAATTTTTGCATCTGAAAGTTTGTCCGGTCATGTACAGAGCGCGGGAATGGTGACCACGCCGGTTCACGAAGGATGACCACGCCGGTCCGCATAAGATGACCACGCCGGTCCGCAGAAGATGACCACGCCGGTCCGCAGAAGATGACCACGCCGGTCCAAGGAGATGACCACGCCGGTCCGCAGAGTGACCACGCCGGTCAAGAGATAGAGACCACGCCGGTCAAGATGTAGAGACCACGCCGGTCCAGAACAGCACGACCACGCCGGTACGTGAAAGTATGACCACGCCGGTCGATTGAGTGAAGCCACGCCGGCCACCGAAGGTAACGACCACGCCGGTCAAAGAACAAGGGACCACGCCGGTCAAGAGAATAACAACCACGCCGGTTGAATGAACGCCGATGATAAATCCGCCAGCCGAAAATTTTAGGGGGGGGTAGGGACGTGATAGAAAACGACCGCGCCGGCCGGTCCCGACAAGGAGAGACATGACCACGCCGGTCAAGAAGAAAACGCGCGACCAAAGCCCCACGGAGCGTAGAAGATGAAGTTGTAAATACCCGCGAAAATGAGGACGCGATCCCCATGGGAGACGAATATGTACGCATTTGAGACGACGATGGTTTCGCGTGGGGGCGTACCGGTGCCGATACGTCGAGGGTGTTCCGTGGTGTCGGGGGAGAAAACGGAAGATGGGAAGTTCAAGATCACGCCTGGTCAGCGGAGATTCGACGAATTAAACAAACAGAGGGGAAGACGCACCCGTTGAATCTGCAACCTTGCCGACGTAGACTGGATTTCGGCTTTGCACTGCTCGTACAGTTTTGGTTCGAAGACGCCGATATTGTACGTCTGATCCGAGACGTTCCTGGCGATGATCTTCTCGTGCCAGTCTGTGCGCACCTCCTCCATGTAGCGCATGAGGGCCGGCTGACCGATCGGGTCTTGGCTATCCTGGTGCCCCACGATCTGTAGGAAGAACCGAAGGTACTGCTGTACTATAGGTTGCGGCCAGATCTCCGGGAGGTCCGTGATCTCCTGTATGAAGACGGGCCAGGCGGTCGTCATCTCCTCGAAGGGAAGATCCGCATCGCGGCGGACTCCTTTGATAGCTTTGAGGGACGACGCTGGGGTCAGGCTTAGACCCGTGTCTCCGGAGACTAGGGTATAAGTCTTGTTGACGACGCTCTTCGCTTGACTCTCTGCCAGCTGACGTGTTTTAGCCGTGAAATAGTCGAGTTCGACGTACGCTAGCTTCATGAGCTTCTCGCGCGCGTACTCCGCTACCCTCTGCCGAAGTTGGGTAGGGGGCCTTCGAGACGGATCTACCGTCGCGAGCTTGGGCTTTTTCTTGTCTAGTGTCTTCTGTTCTTCTGCCGCTGCACGCTGCTCTTCCGCCCGAAGCGCCTCTTCCTCTTCGCGCGCCCGCTGCTCTTCCTCTTCCGCTAGACGACGGTCCTCTAGGGACTGAACCTGCCAAGCTTGGATTTGCGCGTTGTGATGAGTTTGCCAACTCTCTCGAAGAGCCTGGACTGCTTGCTCGTCGTTCATGTTGCCGTTGGCCGTCATAGCCTGCCTGATCGCTGCAAACGCGACTAACTCGTAATCCGGGCACCGCTCACCGGATGGGTCGAGGACGCGGGGTCGGTTACCATTTTGACCGAGAGGATCCATCGACTGAGTTATGTAGGGAGTGTCTACCACAAGTCGAGAGCGAACGAGTCTCGAAAACAGGCAGTGCCGAACAGACTGTCGGCCAACGGTGGCGGCGAGACGCAAGAGGTTCGAGCGCTCGCTGCCACGCGTGCATAGACTCAGTTTGAAGGAAGCGCTCGTACCTCGCGCTTCCTTCAAACACTCAAAAAGTCACCGCTTGCTGTCTATTCATTGGTTATCTATAATACAAGAGGCGTGGAATTCGCACGGGAGACAAAGAGAGCATCTGATTGGCTGAGAGACGGGCACCGAGCGCTGCCCGAGCCCCGAGCGCTCTTTGACCGCGCGCTGCGGGAAAGGTCATCGTCGTGTCTCTTCATTGTTAACCTCGATGATCATTTCTGGCTGAATGGCTGGTGACAGGGCATAGCGGACTCTCTTCCTCAATATATCCAAGTATCCTGCACGATCGGGGAGGGGAGGAGACGCTCAGGAAGAGCCCGGCGAGCATTCAAGTTGTGGGCGCGACAAGGAAGGTTTGCAATTCAGCGTTCATCTGCCTCGAATTTTACGCGAACGATCCTTGACCCGTGGTACCATCGACATCAGGACTTAGTGAGACCAGTTGGAGACACGGGCTCATTGCATGCTGTGGTCGCGTGTAGTAATGGAGACAGTGCTTGATGACCTGTTCACGCCAGAACGTGCTGTATGTATGCATTCTGTTCTGCTTTGACTTGGAAGTACTGATCTGTAACAAGGTTTGGACGAGCAAGAAATGAACACGAGAAGGCTGCCGGAACCAGAGGGAACTGGCATCTGCACAGACGACCCAGGAACCAACGAGAAGGAGAGGCAAGGAAGATGAGTGCAGATACATGCGAGCAAGCGAGCTAAATGCGGGCCCAGCAGGCGCACACCGCTGAGGACAGGGCGAGCCGGACAGTGGGTGGGCACACGCGGGCGACGAGACGCTTGGCGATTGAGAGCGCAAACATGACCAACAAATGGACTGCGAGCACGTACTATAGGGACTCGGAAAGAACGGGCGAGTGCGAGTGGAGGACGGTGGGCGAAGACGAGGTGGCAGCGGCGGGCAGGGCCAGCGCGCGGCAATGCGACACACATGGCGACGGCGAGCATGCAGGGCGAATGACCTGTGTGCAAGCGCAGCCTGCCAGCGGATCACAGCCGAGTGTGCAGATGAGAGCATGTGCGAGCAGACGGTGGGAATGGGAGGGGAGGGTCAGAGGATAGTAGGGACGGGCGAACGCGAGGGTGGGCAAATCGCGGAAACGGGCAACTGTGAAGGCGAGCAAGCGGGAGGAGGAGGAGATGGTGATAGTGGAGGAGAGAATGGCGGGTGCGGGCGCAAGTGGGCCAACCCGCGCATTCAACAGGTAGGGTACGGGTAGCCCTGTACGCGGGTTGCGGGCGCGGTATGCACCCTGCGCACCCGCAGGTGGCCTGCTGCCTGTGTCCAACCCTCAGAGCCATTGTCTAACAGTCTACCACTACTTATGAACAAACCTCGCAGGTCGTATCATTCCGTGAATCTTAGGGTTGAAGCAGCAGATCATCCGGTGCCAGTGATTTGTGCAATCAGAATCACAAGTACTGTTCTGAGCTGCATACTGTACGCATACTATTCACCTCATATATATATAGCTTGGTGAAATAGCTTGGTGAAATGGAGGCAGCACGGTCTATAGCCGTAGCGGAGCACGGGCTTCTGCTAGTCACAAAGTAATAGGTGAGAGCTCACTTAATCCAACGTCGTTGACGAACACTCAGCATGCAAACGTCGTATCGTATCACAGGACAATGTCTACCGAAGTGCTCTATATGACGTCATGTAGCTAAACCCGATTCTTGAGGACCTCTTCACCCGTCAAGCCTTAGTGCCAACAATGCAAGACCTATATCGATAATAGAGGAACGTTCGGCGTGCATCCTCGCTAGTCAATGCTTGTCTTCGAAGTACGTCAACAAAAGCCGATCCATCAACGATGCAAACGCCAAACTCCGAACACTGCCGAAAAGCAGGCCAGTGGCAAAGCTCTTGTCTTCTCACTCAGCTAGAAACCTCCCCTCGTCCGCCACAAAAGTCCTCGTGTTGACTTGCCCTCCCGTTTACACTGGCGGCGTGAAGATGACGAGAGAGCTTGAGCACAAGACAGAGAAGGTGAGTCTATTTGAAGTGCAGCCACATTCATTCGGCTCACCTTGAGCAGACGCAGGCTAGCTCTGATGGGGCTTCACCTGCACCGGCGCAGCCTAGACAATTCCCCCCGGAACTCTGGTCACTCATCTTCGTGAGCGTGGTCGACCGCGCTACGCTCCTCTCTGCCAGTCTGGCGTGTCGAGTGGCTCACAGGGAAGTCGACCCCTACCTCTACAGAGAGATTGTTTTCAAATGCTGGCGAAACCGGTACATCTGTGCTGTACACGATACCCTTGAAGCCGCACCGCGCCGTGCCAATATGGTGCAGGTGCTGGCGATCCAAAGTGCCACTGGTCACATCGAAAGTACGGCTGTCTCCGCGTTAGTGGACATCTTTCGCATGGTTCCGAACCTGGAGGGGCTTTCATTGACCTTGTTTGACGAAACGAACGTCAACACACTGTACCCCGTATTGGAGCAGCTGAAGACCCCGTGCCCGTTTCGTCTCAACTCCCTCTCTACAAACATACCACTCCCACAGGCAGCCCTCAGCATCTACGCCCAGCAGCCAGAGATCATCTCTCTCCGTTGGAACGGCTCAGGCCCCCTCGATCCCGCGTCTCGCATCCCGTCTACCGCGCTCCCCCGCCTGAAGTGCCTGAGTTGCCTGGCGGGGTACAGGCCTTTCAATAAGTCCGCGCGCGGCATCACACATCTCGAGGTCGGCATACCTAGCCTACTGCCTAGCATACTGTCCTCGCCGGAGATCAACCTGATCCTGTCCCTGCTCGCGGACACACTCGTCAGCCTTAAGGTTCTCGAGCGCAGGCGGGGGTACGCGCGTATCATGCCTGCGATCTCGCATAGGATACCGAAGTGCTTGAGGCACCTTGAAGTGCATGAACGCGCGAGGCCTCAAAGTGTGAGTACCCTCATCTCGCGCACCCGTGCCGATAAGCATCGATTGCTCATGCACCTGTAACTCAGACGGCACCTTTGGACCCGTTGTTAATGTCATCGCAAACCTACTTCACGCATCTGTTCCTGGAGCCCGGTTTGACGCTGGAGACTTTCGTCTGGGGAGCGCTGTGGATGCGCTCTTCTGAGAGCAATCTGGAGGCAAGCTATCAAGAGGGGATTCAGACGTTGGCAGAGGACCTCGCGATACCGTGTCGAACTCTGCGCCGGTTCATCCTTTGTGAGAAGAACAAGTCTGTGACGTATACGCTGCGAAATGGGAAAGTAGCGGATCGCGTCGAACTGCCGGGCTTTTCGAATGACACTTGGGCTAGGGTGTGAATGGTCTAGGAACCAGCGAAGTAGCATAGATTGATCGTGAGTGTTATACGCACGATATCGCTGCTCACATCTCTATGCGCGGTCATATCGCATGTATGTGATGTTATATGGGTCAACTAACGCTATAGATATATGCAAGCTAGTTACACAAAACGATCATGCTACACAGCAAATCTTCACGAGCAAGAGCAAGAAGTCCGTACAATGGCATAGGAGTGTGAGTATTCCGTTAGAGATGTATATGTTTCTTCGTTTTCTCGAGAGCAATGACAACATAGCAAGACAGCAGGAACCACCGACGTTGTATTCGTACACCGAACATTGATCATAAAATATGGGAGTTGGGATTTGATCTGCTCCCAACGGCAGGACCGGTCGTCTATACCCAAAGGTGCGAACGGTCCTTCCGCTGCTCACAGACGGAAAGCATGGCACAGTGATTTTATAGCGGTTTTGAGAGCAGAATCGATAGCGGATTTCGAAGAGCTGGGTCAGGAAGGCGAGAGCGAGATAGCGTTTGTACGATGAAAGCATATCGATTTGGAGTGGTTTGATCTTGACGAGACTGACTGGTCAAAACGAAAAGGGACGCATAGTGACTGGACGAGACGGAGGATCGAAATTTGTGCATGGAATTGTCTAGTCGATGAGTCCTCCACTGCATGTGATGCTCACATGTAGCACAGGACTCAGTTGACGAAGTCGGGTGATGATCACTCCTGAGACGACGACGAAGAGGAGCCGCTGCCACGCTTATAGGTTTGAGGGACGCTAGGCCCGGCGACATTACGCACGCTTCCAGCCTCAGAGGCAGAGCTCGAGCTCGTACCAGCCGCAGATGACACAGTCTCAGCGGAGGCAGCCAGCGAGCCATGATGGTAGACGGGCGTGTTGGTACCGGAAGGACCCGCCGTAGCCACAGAGGGACTCGTCATAGCACGAACAGGGTGCGCCCGACCAGGCATCTGGTGTCCAACGTTGGGAGCGGGGCCAGCAGGCGCAAACGGGATGTCAAACGGCGACGGGGCGGGCGGCGTGCCCCAGGTAGGCGGTCCCATGAAGGACGCCTCCCAGACATCCAAGCCCAGCGGGCCCTGGCCAAACTGGGGCTGGTCGAACGACGGGGTCCCGAACGTCGTAGTCTGGCCGGGGCGCACGGAGAACTGGCCGGAGAAGCGTGGGTCCTGGATCGCGGACGCAGGGACGGACATCGGGAACGCGGGGCGGGCGTACGGTGCGGGGCCAGGCCTGGGGCTCCTGGGAGGGGCTATGGGGCCCTGTTCGACGATGTGGCCTTGGCTGAGGAGGGCGGGGTCGATGTGCGGTTCGTCGTAGATCGGCCCGCCGAGGAACGGCGAAGGGGGCTGGTTCTGGCTTTGGGATGTACCGACGAACAGGGGGTCGCCCTCGTCATCGCTGCTGCTGATGTTCTCCAGAGTCTGCTGCGAGGTGGAGGGGGCGTCGCCTTCGGGTTTGTGTTGTTCCCTACCGGAGTGCTTGGTCCTCTTGCGCTCGCGTTTGTTACCCTCGCCAGCAGCGAAGTCGACAGTCCAGTAGCTACCCTTGCCTGGTTCAGTAATAGGTTTAGCCACCCTGCGGAAGAGTTTGTTGAGAGAGAGGTTGTGGCGGATTGAGTTCTGGATTGCGCTCGTCAGTATGCATGACGTAAACACGATGTGCAATCAATACTCACCTGCCAGGCCTTATCGTTCCTATGGGTCCTAAACCATTCGAACCTATCCTCGAGTGCGCTGTAGATGCCCTGCAGCGTCAGAGCCCTGCGCGGACTGCCAAGGATAGCCGCCCTGATCAGAGTCGGGTACGGGTAGTTTGGCTTTTCTCCGGGAATGACAGAGTCCGACAGCATGTCAAGCGTCAGGTGCTCGCCCAGATTAGCCGCAGCAATGTGGGTCAACGGTAGCTGGCGCTGCTGGACATTCTCCGCGCCCGGCGGTCCCATCGGGGCAGGCGGCGGGGCGGGCATCGGCACGCCATACGGCTGCTGCTGAGGCTGCAGATGCCCTGCATACTGCACCGGGCTGTCTTCGAGGGAGAGCTGGCCTGTGCGGAAATCGAGCTGTGGCGTCTGAGGGTGCGAGGGTGCCTGTGGGTGCGCATGAGGGTCCCCGCCCTGGATGTGGCGCGGCACTTCGAACACGTTCTGCGGCGGCGAGCCCGCTACGATGCCCGTGGACGCAAGCCGGCGCACCTGCGGACTCGATGGACCACCGCGGTGCATGCCATACGCCACATTCCCGAGACCGGCCTGCTCGAACCCGACAGGGAGGGAATACGCGCCGTGGGGGATGCCGGGACTGAACGATTGCGGCGACGCGTTGTGCGCGCCCTGGACGTGTATCGCTGAGCCCGTCTGCAAGCCATAGGCCCTGTGCGTATACCCTGCAGAGTAGGAGACATGAGACGCGTCTCCGGGGCTCTGGTGCCCGCCGCCGCCGCTGTGGTGGCTGAGTTGGCTACCGACCGAGCCGGCGGGGCTCCTAGAGTCACTGCTCCTCGTTCCCGGAAGCTGAGATCCAACGAGTTAAGAGAAGCTACGATATTATAATTATGGGTGGTACTTGCCTGGGGCGAAGCCGTAGAAAGTGAAAGAGACAACGCCGGCGCACCGTGGTCCGTGAAGGCGTGCTGAAGCTGACCATGACCACTCTCCTGGGCAAATTGAGGGGCCTGAGCGGCAACGACGGCCCCTGCGGCTCCATGTTGAGCTCTGCGAGCTCTGATTGTGGCGTAAGCGTTGTCGCCTCGTTCAAAGTCGTTGAAGCCCGGGTTTTGAGGGAATTCGTTAGCGCCCGGGATGCTCTGGCTGGGCTGAGGCTCCTGGCCGCGCTGTGGCTGCCGGACAACGCCCAGCCCACCAAATGTGCCGGAATCAGACCCAGGGCTATCTCGACGATTTTCGGGTGAAGAACGGTCGGAGGACGCCTGAGGGGGTGGTGGATGGGATGCAGGAACGGAGCGGAAGCGCCTGGACGGGTTCTGGCTATCCATACTTGGCATGTGGACCCACAGTCAAAATCGGGAAATTGGTTCCGTGAGAGATCGTTATCGCCATGTTGCCGCCCAGGAAGCCGGAAGAGCAGACCTTTTGGGTGAGGATGTCAGGGGCTGTCCCTGCACGAAGATTATCTAATGGGCAGGAAGCCCCCCAGAAGGGGAAAGCGGGCGTGGCGAGGTCACTGCCGGCTGGACCGCGCGCTCGTCCTCCCTCAACCTCTACCTGCTACGACTCTGGTGCCCACAGCTGCGCGTTTGCACGACGAGAGCGTAGAGCGCACAGGCATAGCTGCAGATGGGGCTTCTCTGTCGTCCTGGCGTTGCATCTTCACGACAGAATGCACAGTGGTCGTCCACTGGTCGTCGCGGGTAAGGACGTCCCGTTGGTCCACCCTTGTTCGAGGACCGAGGTCGGCTTTAGCATTCCGGTGAGCACGATGCTGTCTGCATGAGGCGTATATTGCAATGCTCCATGTCAATCGCAGGTGATGCCCCCGTCGAACTCTCTGCCACTCTCTGCCACATGCAACGGAAGTGGGTCGAGCATGTCTCTGGACCTCGTCTTGCCGCCTCTTGCGCAGCCTCGGGACTACTGGTCCCTGAGGCGCGTCGTTTCGATTACGGAACGGCTTCAACCCTATGGCATGCCACATTCTCGTCAACAAGACCCCCTCGTTACCTATATGAACTCACCTAGGTACGAACGCAGCACGTAGGCTCCCTCAACCGCCCTCAGTCTTTGGTCACGAAGAGGTTAGAAAGACAAGAGCCAAGCTGTGCACTGCGAGCGTCGTGCGCGCCAGTGTTGTCCGTTGTGGGCGTGCGTTTTGGCATGCAGGCCCCCATTGTTCTTACGCTTCTCGTCGGTCGCTCGCCGTTGCGTCGCACAAGCTCAACGAACAGAATAAGAGTCGGCGATCGTAGATCACGGCCAGCGTGGCGGTGTGCGTCGCGATCAATGTTGCGAGGACGGCCAGATCACCAGATCGCGCGGCGCGCTCAACGCCCGCCAGCCACAGCAACTTGAGTGTGCACTGCGCTCGTCGCTCGGACTCACTAAGTCTTCAAATTCCGTTTGGTACAAGTGACCCTATGTACTGGATCGACCCGACGAGTGCGAGCGGAACAGCCTCGGTGGGTCATAGACGTCTATCTTAAGCTGTATTTGTGTACAACTTCCATGTCCGCTTACTACAACAGCATTGCAAATGCATACAATCGGTCTTATAATTATACGAGACACTGTCGTCCTACGTTGAGCTGAGGCACTGGTGGAGAATGACATGCTATGATATGCACGGCTGGAAGGGGAACCTGCTATATGTGGACCAATGTGCGACGTCGCACATCCTTGTACAGGATCAGAAGACAATATATATCTACCAGGTCCTCTAGTAGGGCGACTAGGGTACATCGCTCCGAGTCAATGAACGCATAGGACATGCCGCCTAGCTTTCGAGTTGACTTGCGACAGGGAGAACCTTGACCGGTATCCGATCCGTACGCCCACCGCTTTCCTTCGTGACGAAGAGAACGCCAGAGCATCCAGGTTGCGTACATTCCGAGGTTTCGAGCCGGTAGAGCTGAGAGGGATGGTAGCGGGACCAACATATGTCGCAGACGAAGTAGTAGACCACGTGTTGACCGGAGTCAAAGCCCAGTCGACGCTGGACGTCGGGGAGAGTGCGCGCCATCTCGCCGAGTCCTCGCAGCTCGTTACCGAAGCGCTTCGACATCGCCACGAGAGTCCGGTTCGCGCTCGACAGCATGCGCTGAGCTTCTGCACGCGAGACGTGGTCGAACGACGCCGCGAGAAACACGTCGATGTACACGTCGCGGATGATAGGGTCCTCATCGAAGGCGGGTGGGACGTCGGGGAAGCGATTGGGACCGTTGAAGATGCTGTTTAGGAGGTCCTGCCGTGGCGCGTCCAGAGATATGTTCCCGACTTCAAGTTGAGGAGACTCGCCGTCGCGAATAATAGTATCAAGGCTTTCCATTGACTGGTCTTCGGTCCGCAGCCCAGCCTCTGTGTCAAAGGGGTCCAGGGACATCTCATCGTGATGCTCTGACGGTTGTTCGTTCCGGCGATAGGGAGTCCAACGAGGTTCGCTGAATGGGGCAGAGTTAGGGGTGGACCTATTCAGGGTGATGCTTTCTGTGGATGTCTCTGGGCTCCACCAGGTTTCTGGCCGGCGGGAAAATTTGACCTCAGTCAATGGACAGAACGTCGGCGATAATGGTAAGCGAGCACACTGACGATCCGCAGCTATAGAACCAGACGTGGTACCATCGCTGGACTCGTTCCTCGTTGATGGCATATTAAACGTCCCCGCCAATCGCACCTTCTTCCTTATTCTCTCAGTGGCGGTGCCATCCTGTGTTCAGTGAGCAATCTGAAGGACCATTGGATACAACACATGAGTAGCGACGTACTGCCAGTGCGTTCGCGGGCTTCCGTCCAGCCGCAGGCCTCGTAGTATGAGAGGTCGCGCCTTGGTCGAGCTGTCTCGAGGAAGCTTGCTGAATTTTGGTGTCATTGGGTGCACGCGGCTTGTTGCCTGTCGCACTGTATGGTTTCGCTCGCGCGTCCGAGCCTGCCAGACGAGGTTGTGTGGAAACCAGAGAGCTTGCTGCTTTCGGCATGATGCGAAAGTAAGAGGGTATCTGAGAACTGAAGTAAGAGGGTGGATGAACCTCCCTAGGCGGTTATATGCGCGCGAGAAGCTCAGATCGAGGACGAGGACCTGCAGTGTGAATTGAAAGAATAATCGAGGTCATCATTTGGTCACGTGGTCACCGCAGTACGGACTCGTTTCGCCTCCCGAACCATCACTGACACCAACGCTTGATCTCAACGCGTGAAGCGCGTGAAGTCTTCACTAGTTCCTATAAACCATCCTCTGCTCACTATTCCCACTCGGCTCCCGACGGACCTGTTCGTTCGTCGCTGATAATGTCTGAGGAAGAGAAGCGCACGCTCGCAGCCCAGAAGGACGAAGAGGCTGAGACCAACTCATCGGATGCCGAGCAATCGGACGACGAGGCGTCTGCAGGAGACGTCGGAGAGGACACCGAGCAAGCACAGAGCGACTCCCGCCTAAGCGCGAGCCCCTCGCCTTGGCAACGGCTCGCGCTCGTCACGTTCGTGCTCCTCATGTTCTGGTTTGCATGGGCGTTCCGCAAGCACAACAGCCGGCCAAATATCGTCTATGCCGACCGGTGAGGATGCGAAGGTTCGTGCGACTGGTGCAAGTGCTGACTCGTTATATAGATACTCGGCCGAGTACAAGTACAGGCCAGCGGCGAGTCCGATCATCACTGAGATCCTGAAGGATGGGCGGACCCGTTTGAGAGGCGCAGTGCCGACGAATAAGTGAAGGGGGGGCTCGGGTCTGGTGTTGAGGTGTTTGAGGTACGCTCCTTGTCAAACTTGCGTGTGTAGGCCATACCTGACATGACCTCCAGGTGCTTTCGTGGAGGTGTCGGACTCCTTGCTCTTATTATGCTCTTTCTTCGTAATTTTATTGTATACTCCAGTTGCTCTTCTCGTTGCTTGTGAGTACGTATCTTCACGGCCCTCTCAGATACCTCACATCTGTGCTATAGACTGGTCATATTACTGACATTACATTCGTTTCCGCCGAGATTCGCTCGGCGAAGGTTCGGTTGTACCGTGGTCCTCTATTTCTGCTTGCTATGTCTTGCGGCGGCGAGCTCTAGTGTGGGCTCGCAGCGGTAGATGCGTCTGCTAGCATGCGGTTACCTCAAACAAGGCTGCACTTATCCCTTGGCTTGCCTGTTCCAGTCAATGTGTTGGCGCCCGGGCCGACTCTCTCGCTGAGTTCCCAGTATGGAAGGTGTGGTTGATTAGCTTCCTCGCCATCGTCGTTGACATGACAAGGTCTCCCTTTTCATCACCCACCCACGTCGGAGACCCGACCCCCGCTGTTTTCTTTCTCCCACCAACTCTGCGCCAGGCTTTCTCGCTTTCCTCGTTATCCCGCTTTCTCGCTATCAGTCTCTATAATGCCCTACGAGCAGCCGTTAATCGACGAAAGAAACCCGTTCTACTGTCCCGCTCTCGACGCTCTCGCTTTCCTACAAAGTCTTAGACATGAACTTCACGCGGCCCCGCCTCCCTACTCTCACTCTCCGGGCGACCACCAGCTGCCCTCCTTCGCCGAATGCCTCGACAAGTCCCTCGACGAAGCCGAATTGCACGAACTCCTCTACAGAGCTGTCCCTCGCGTCCTCGACAGCCCCGGTGTCTCTCAGACTAGCCTCAGCTTTTCTGGATTTGTGTGCGACCATAGCACTCCCGTGCCGCGGCGCGGCTTCCACCTACAAGACGCGCCTCCTGGAGTCAAAGCCAAGCGCAAGAGGCCTGCTTCTCCTCCGGGGACCTTCAGCGATTTGCTCGCGCCGCCGAAGAGGGAGAAGTCGTACCAGAGTGTCAACGAGGGCTCCTTCGAACTCAGCGCTAGAGGGGAGAAGCTGAGGTACTTCAGCGGATCTGTGGACGCTCTGTACTCGCCGTATGCACCGCGGAACTATGGGTACTCCGATGCGGATACGTTCGAGCTGGAGAGGAGGATACGCGTGCTGGAAGGTGGGTATATGCTGTTGCTCGTCGACGCTGACGAGATGTACAGTCGGAATATCGCGTGTTCGACGCGCATATAACGTGTTATAGACGAACTGTATGGTCCCCCCGTCGGTGCGGAGACCCCGCGCAGCATGAACGCGCTCACGACACGTCTCGACACGCTCCTTCCCGGCATTCGCCTCAAGGAGCGACTACAGGCGCTCAAAGCAGATTCTCACCAGCATATAGCGAACATTCTAGCTGTCGACGGTTCGTAATGACATCGTTGATAACTCATCCCACCAGCCCTATTAACTGGTGATACCAGGGCACTTGAATGCGCACGTACTGGAGATACTACGCGTGTCCGAAATCGACTGCCTTGACCTCACTGCGTCACTGATGGATGCGGAAGGTCTGAACCTCGGCGCGAAGGAGTTGCTACCAGGTGCGTCGCTGGAATGCATCCGCCCTGTCACTATGTCCCACCCTGTATATGATAGTGTTCAGCAAGCCGAACAGCTTCCTCTTCCTGAGCGAGCTTAGTCTCAGCGATGCGTCTCTTCAAGACTTCGACATGACCTACATACACCATCTCCCGCGGTTGTCCCGACTGTGGCTGAGCAACACAGGTATCAGCAACGAGGCGTAAGCACCGCTAGATTCCCTACCAGGCTCCGAATCGTCACTCATAATCCGCCCGATGCACTAGCGTATACCACCTCGTCGCGCTCCGCCGGACGCTCTCCGAGCTCGACATTGCGCTGAACGCCGCGATCGACGACGACGTCATATCAGCGTTGCTCGCCCTTCCGAAGCTGTCCTACCTCTCGGTCTTCGACACGGGCGTGCGCATGCCCGGGCTGCGCCGTCTTGCAAAGTGTGTCGCGGACCGCTCTGACAGCGACGCGCATTACACTTTCGAGATCGAAGTTCCGCGCGAGTGCGAAGAATACCTGGACAGTACGTCCTCCCATCCCCATCCCTGAAAATGGGGTGCTGACAGCCGTCACGTAGGTCTGCACCGCAGGTACATGCTGCACCCTGCCCCTCCACTGATCGCCCACCCTGCCGCGTGCACCGACCTCTCCGTCCCGGCGCTCCGGCGGAACCTCGCTGCACACGCGGCGTTTGACGCGCAGATCGTCGTGGGCGGGAGTAGGCAGGAGATGGTGGAGCGCCTGGAGCGGATTCTGACGATGCGAGAGGAGGATCTACGGGTGAGGGAGATGGTGTGGTGTGCGGTGGGAGATGCGAGGAAGGAAGTGGGCTTGGAGGAGGACAAAGGCAGTGTGGAGGTGGGCGAGCTGTGAGTGATGGTACATAAGGCTGTGAGTGAATGTGAATGTACACTGCCGAGACAAAACATTTGGACGAGTGCGGCACATGTTCCTACAAGTCTGCACGTTGTATAGCTTGGCTGTGCTCGTGAGTCAGCCCTGTATGTCACACAGGGCAGCCTGGGCAGGGCATCACATTAACGACGCTTAGACAGGCTTGGACAAAGGAGGCCCGAGGGCAGCCACAAACACGTGACCGCGTCGCACGCGTCTGTGGCTTGCCTCGCTGAAGCCACAGCGCTTCCTCCCAACCTTCACCTGCGTCCACGCGACGAACTGGATCACTGCACAGCCACGTCGAGCTTACGAAGACCCGTCTTGCCTACCATATTCGTCGGACAAAGGACAAAGCAGACACCGCCTCTGGGTCTCGACTCACCGACACGCATCCATTTCGGGCTTATAGCAACGGGTTCGATCACAGCCTAGCAGAAGTTCCCAAAGAAGGATACTCCCTTGTGCATTGTCCAACGGTGACTACACTTCTCTTCACCGAAACCTTTCACACTGACTGATACCATCTCAGTATATAAACCGCAGCGATGTCGCCTCGAACGTCCGTGTCCTCGTCTTCTCAGTCCTCCGGGTCCTGCACTGGAGGATCTAGCGGTTCTTCTGGTCGTCTCGGCTCACCTTCCTCATCCGACATGTACGGCACCATGCGCTCTCGGAAATCTGGCAATGGAGTTGCCACGAAGGAGCAAGCCGTCGGGTCAAGCGAAGTGAACAAGGACTCTTGGGCCGCCGAAATCAATGGCAAAATCAACGTATTCGACAAGAGTCTGGTCGAGTTCTTCGACACCTATGTTCCATGCGAGGCCGCATCTCGTGCCGCGCGCCCATGGAACGACCCAGCGACTCCCTTCAAGACTGTCCCTACCACAGGACGGGAGACTGAGATGTACCCGCATATCGTACGTCTGGGCTCTCAACTACACTGTCCACATGACTGACTCCGGCCACATCACCAGATCAAGGGCCTTGAAAGCATAGTGCGCAAATTCAAGCCCGCGCGCAGACCTCGGTTTGCCAACGGCAGCAAACGCGCTTTGCGGTTTCCCTACTCGGCATGGGAAGACGAACACAATTATACATTGCCAGACATTCTCATGTCGTTTCCCGCCGAGGCCGATGCAGACTGGCACTTGAACTGGCGTCGGATTGCGATGGCCATCGAAGTGAAGCCGACAAAACGCGAGGATCCGATCGGGCTGCGCGGTGTGAAGTACGGCAAGGAGGCAACAGGCGTACTCACGCAGATCGCGAAGAGTGCGCGGAACCTCATGCTGACGCATGGGATGCTCTACGTCTACATCGTTGGTATCTACTGTGACACGGCTAGGATCTACCGGTTCGACCATGCGGCATGCGTCGTCTCAAGGGCGTTCAACTACAAGACGGATCCATCGCCTCTCCACGAATTGCTCTGGCGTTTCTGCCACCATCGGGAACACAACAGGGGCCGAGCCAACGCACCCCTCGTTCATATGGTTCTCGGCGCGGATCCGTCACTTCAGCCGGCCACGGAGGAGGAAGTCCAGCTGGCCAACGAGAGGTGCGTGGAGGCAGGGAAGAATCGCCTTACGGAGGAAGAGAAGTCGGCGTGTCGGTGGATGACGGTGATAAGGTACAACAAAGACGGCTCGGAGGCAGGGACGACGAGGTACCTGCTCTACCGACTCCGTTTCATGAATCCTCGGCTGTTCTCGCGTTCGACGGCGGTCTGGGACGCATTCGAGGAAGGGACGTGGGAGCCCCTCGTGATCAAGGAGGCCTGGAGGCAACTCGCTCGTGACCGGGAAGACGCGCTATACGATCGCCTGCGGCATGCATTCGACCCTCAAAATCGACCGTGGTGGGCGAACGTCGCCGACTACGTTTTCCTGCACCGCAACGACGAGGACAAACCGACGTTGCCGGACGGCGGTTTCAAACTGGATGACCAAGGCTGCCCCATACACTCGGAAGACTTTGATGAACTCGAAGCGGAGGCTGAACTCGATGCTGCCGCCTCAGAGCTGTATGGGCTTCCGAGCGTGACGTTTTCGGATGACCTCGGTGCGCGCGCGGCGGCCAAGCTCCTTTCAAAGCAGAGCGACTCACCACCGGAGGCAAGCGACGAGGCCATAGACGCCCTTGCTAGCGGCGTGGACCACCCGCCTGCGTACGATGTGTATCACCGTACAATCTGTGGCTGGTTAAGAAATGCGAACAAGGCCAAGTACAACGAACGAAGCCACACGCGGGTCGTGATGAAGACGACCGGTCGGCCTCTATCTGAATTCAGGTCAACAAGAGAGCTTGTGATGGCACTACGAGACGTTGTTATTGGTAAGTGACTCATCGTTACATCCAGTTCGTGGCCAGTGTCGCTCACTCGTGTATGCCAGGGCATCGACAGTTGTTTCAGCAAGGTATCATACACCGGGACATAAGTGAAGGCAATGTCATGATCCTCGACGGATGGATCCCTGTTTTCGTTGGCTTCCTGCTCGACCTCGATTACGCATTCGACTGGAAGACAGCACTCATGTATGCGGGCTACGATCGGATCGATGAGGTCACTTGGAAACGATTTGTCGAGGAATACGACAAGAACCTACCTCATATCAAACGCCCCGCACCACCAGAGAAGGAAATACCTGTCCTCATTGACAAGAAAAGGGACGGAAAGTTGAAAAACAAGGCCGAGCGGGAGAAATGGACGATAAAGATGAAAATGAAGGAACGAACTGTGCGCTCATCCGTCTCCATGACCATTCCCTTGTACTCACTGCCTTCGTAGGGAACTCTGCTCTACATGGCCATCGAAATCCTGTGCAGCTACGTTGCCCACGACGTTCGCCACGACCTGGAGTCTGTATTTTGGCTCTTGCTGTGCATGGTGGTGCGGCACACAATTCATACGAGCTACCCTGCGTACGAGCTGTACTTGGACATCTTTGACGCGCACACCGAACGGGCAAGTGCGAAGAGCAAGCGATCCTTTCTGGCCGGGCCCATGGACTGGGAGGTCGAAGGCAACAAGCCGCTAACTACCCTCATTCGCAAGTACAAGGTCCTCTGTCTTCGGAACACACCACGGGAGGAGTCTTCGAACATTACTCCTCTGACCTACGAGAGCGTCTTGGACTTGTTCGATGAAGCCCTGGCGGATACGTCCTGGCCGAAGAATGACCGTGCTCTTCCGTTTAAGATTCCGTGCGATAGCAATGACTCTTCCGCAGGCAGCCAGACAAGTCGCGGCAAGAAACGTACCAGGGACGAGGAGGCGAGGACTGATGATGTGGAGGGTGACCCATGGAGGCTGCCTCAACATGCGTCGAAGAAAGCAATGGTGAGGAGTCCCTTGGGCATTGACACTGGCAGTTCCGAGTCGGAAGGCAGTGTTTCAAGCTAGGTGGTATGTGCGCAGCGTCGTGTTGTACGAGTATCGTCGGGTCGTCTGTTCACCGTTTCAATCTCGGACATTTTCCCTCATATTTAATCATGTACCGACTGAGACACGCTTTGAGCCGTCTTTTTTGTAGCCTCGGATTGTATTTATCATATGCTGACTTTCGTCGCGTTGCAATGTAATTCCCGTTCGTTCATGTGTGAATGCATTTGTTTACGTCACGTCATTGGCAGGACCTTAAGTACGTCCGAACGACGAGACTCGGGCAATGATTTGACCTCGTTTACACACGTCCACACCGACCCACGAATGAAAGGACAGAACGGCTCCGGTGTGCTATCCATTCACTCCTTCTCTACTACGATGCTCGTCACCTCATCTGCCGCAATTCTCCCGTTCATCGCCCGCCGTCGATCGACCTCGACGTAGTCCGCGTTCGCGTCCGCGCCCACGCCGACCCATTTGTGGGCGCTGTCCCGCACGAAGTCGGCGTACTCCCAGATCGTCGGAGAGAGTTGTGATACGGGCTGCGCCCACACATATGTCTGCGCGGGCACGGGCGGACCGAGGGTGTCGAGCGGAGGGAGCGGCGGGGGTGTGCCGAGCGGGGCGGCCGCGGCGCTCTCGGGCGAGGAGAGCGGGACGAAAGGGCCGAGCGGGTAAGCGGGGACGTCCTCGCGCGTGTACTCCTAGCAAAAACTTAGGAAGAGAGGAGAGGAACGCAGGTGGACGTACGTCGCCCTCGAAGGTGTCTAGCAGCTCGATGTCGGGTTGTTCGAGGCCCTTGACGAGCGTGCCCCGGACTACCCGTTCTTCCGAAGCCAAGTCGTGCTCGTAGAGGGCGCGAGATCGGCTGTATGGCAGTACAGCTGGGTAGTCTGCGTGCTATGTGCGTCCAGGGGACTTCAGTTGCGAACTCGATGACAGTTGGGCGTCCCAGCAGCACACCTTGATTTGGTGACGCGTGTAGTCCTGCATTCGCAGCAGTATGATGAGACTGTCCCCATAACATCATCGTAAACCGAAGCTCACTATCAGCAGAGCAGGACATATCTCCAACTTTTGGCCTTTATGGCCGATAACGCGGCAAAGGATCGCTGGGTGGAGGAGTGTGCCGTAGAAGAACGCTGTGTATGTGCGTGACATTCTCAAATTTCAGACGATGCAGACGGTGAGGAAAGCTGTCGATGCTGTATCAAAGTTGCTGCAGCAGCCATGGTGAGTCTGTTTACACGCAACCTGGGATAATTCGGATGATGAGTGATGGTCGCGTTCAGTGAGTCACGTGGGACGCGTTCAACGCCGGGACGCGTGGGCCCAACGTATTCTTATTCCCGACTCCCGCCGTCCCTTGGTCGACAAGCTGAGCTAGGACTGCTGCGAATCTGCGATATTGTGACAACTGGCTTGGAATTTTCATTGCCTTACGGCTTGTTGCTGCTCTGTCCTGACTACACACAATAAATTCCCTGATATGACCGGGAGCCTGCGCTTTCTTCGAACACATCGTTCCGCTTTTACCAAACTCAGGGTAGAATGTTGAGAATTGGAAGAAGGGTTGGTATGAGGTGCGTATTCCATCATTTATTTCATAAGTTTGCTCTTACCTTGGCTCACAGGACTAAGTGGAGGAGGGGTTCTGTATCCCAAGCGCTCCTGGACCCCGGCCTGGAAGCCAGGCGATTGCAGCCGGCACCGGGATTGTGTCTCAGAAGTAATGTTCAGGCTATCCTCCGTCAGAGCTGCGCTCTGAAACGGTGTGGCGGTTTTGAGGATAGGAGGTATCTCCCGGCCTATGCTGCTCTCAGCTCGTCGTCAGTAGTGGTGGTCAGATGACGATGCAATTGTATGAGAGGACACACCGTCATAACTTCTTTCACACGGGTGCCGTAACTCATCAGGGTAAACTGACGCTAGGTCATCGACCATTGCAGGTCTAGATACCAGGCATTCAGCCGGTTTAACCTCCCCCTGCACGTATCTGCACAGGGGGACCGGGCTCCTGTCGAGGTACACACACGGAGCCGGCTTCCAACAGTGTTCTTACCGGTTGTTATCGCACTCAGCCCCTCCTCCAACGTCCGTCCGGACGAGCGATACAGTGGGAGAAGGTTCGGACCGCCGCCTTTCCGCTGCATGACGATAAGCTACCCCGCAGATAAAACGCCCGGCGGAGGCGTGAAGCTGAGTGCCCACAACCGTGTTCCCACTTTTCTTTCGATCGAATCATACACGTTCATCGGCGAGCGCGAGTCCGACGGTATTAGCTTCCAGTATGGCCACAGCAGCGAACTCCGTGCCGCACCCCACGATCATCCCGGTAGGCGCTCTTACCGTTCGAGTTCGTGTGTACCCGTCTCGCTCACTGATCGATCGACTTATAGATCGACCCCTTCATGTGAGTGCTCTGGTGTATGCTTATGTTCAAAGTAGCCGCGCTCAACCTGTGTCATCACGCGCAGTCCGGCAACAGAGCAAAAGGTGCGCATTGAGTTCGACCGGACTCAAGCTCAGTGAAATGCTCACCCCAATCTGGCCGTTTTATAGGGTCTGCACAATCGTTGGCAGTGCGTGTCCAGCCACACCCGTTTCGCACACCGCATATATACTGACATGCCTTGTTGTAGTCCTGACATCCCGGCCTTTGCCACTGTGAAGCCCGGCCAGGTCTTCAAACTCGAATGTATCGGTGTGTCGCCACCTACACTCCTCTGGCTCGAATAAGGAAACTCACTCTCTGGAACAGACTGGACTGGTGCGCAGATCGGCAACAATGATTGTCAGTACCACAACACGCCCTGTCTACAGTACACCTGACAAAATCCCCCTATCAGCCTCGGACGACATCAAGGACGTTGACTTGACGAAGATCCACAACCTTTCTGGCCCTATCGCCGTTGAAGGCGCAGAGCCCGGCGACTGCCTTGTGGTCGACATCCTAGATGGTACAGCGGTATCACCTCACTGACTACGTTCCCCAAACTAACATCCCCTCAGTCACACCATTCGAAAAGATGCCCTGGGGCTACACCGGCATCTTCGAGCTCGAGAACGGTGGCGGGCTGTTTGGTACGTCGCGCCCGCGCCCTGCTCTGCCCTCGCCTCCCACTCACACTCATTCGTTCCCAGCTCGCGAGTTCCAAAGCAAAGCCGCCAAAGCGATCTGGGACTTTCACGGCGTGTACGCTTCCTCGCGGCACATCCCCGGCGTGCGCTTCGCGGGCGTGTCGCACCCCGGCCTGATCGGGACAGCGCCCTCGGCGGAATTGCTCGCGACTTGGACGGAGCGCGAGACAGGGTTGGTCGAGGCGAACCCCGGGGCGGTCCCCCCGGTTGCGCTGCTCCCGGTCGAGAAGGGCGCGTATGTCGGGCAGGACTTGGCGGAGGATGTGAGGAAGAAAATCTATGCGGAGGGCGCGAGGACGATCCCCGGGAGAGAGCATGGCGGGAACTGTGACGTGAGTCGCTCTCTTGGCTAGGCCGAGTATGGGGCGCGTGTGTCGGGGCTTGATGCTGAGAACGGGTGTGTAGATCAAGAACTTATCCAAGGGTTCGCGCTGCTACTTCCCTGTGTTCATCAAGGGCGCGAACCTCTCAGTTGGCGATTTGCACTTCTCGCAGGGTGATGTGAGTCCATCTCTTTGTATCACTCTTGAGAGATTGAAGCTGATCCCGTTTCGCGACAACAGGGTGAAGTGAGCAGAGGCCTTCTCTAGCATGTTCTATTGGGTCATGTGCTGACATCTCTCCAAGATGTCGTTCTGCGGTGCCATCGAGATGGTACGTCGTCGCAATTGTAGCTGAGCACACAGACTCATCAGTCGTGGCGCACAACAGGCGGGCATCATCACGCTACAAACCAGCATTATCAAGGGCGGCGTCGAGAAGTTCGCTCTCAAGCAGCCCATCTTCCTGGTATATACATCACTCATACCTACCGCGCATCATCATTGACTCATCTGTTCATGCGCAGCCATCGCCGGTCGACCCGTTGTACTCGGCGAAGCTGGTCTTCGAGGGTATCAGTGTTGATCTCCGTATGTCTACTCCTTCTGGACCGAGTTGAACATGTGGTTGACAGTCTGGATAGATGGTGACGGAAAGCAGTACGACATGGACGCGTACGTACATCGTCTCGTTGAACAGAACGGTGGCAGCTCACGCGCGAACGCTTCACAAGGACTGTGGCTTACAAGCAAGCGGCGCTCAACTGCATTGCGTATCTGATGAAGGTCGGTCTCACAGGTCAATGGCTATGCGGTTTGTTCTCTGAGACCGAACGTCACTTTGCAGCTTGGCTACACTCGTGAGCAAGCTTGTGAGTATATCCTCAGATTATCTATCTACGCCTCTACGATTCTTACTTCCCCATGCCACTTACTTAACCTCCCTTTCAGACCTCCTGCTATCGGCCGCCCCTGTCGAATCACACATCGGCGCGATCGTCGACTCCCCGAATGCTTGCGTTACTCTTGCGCTGCCGCTTGGCATCTTTCAAAATGTACGTCCTCCTCGTTTGTTACGCCGAGTCAGTCATGTATAATGCGATGCACAGGACATCCTCCCTAGAGATGAGGGTCTGACGAAGAGAGACTTCGGGCAATGCGCCATCCGAAGTGATGGTGTCGTCTGAGGTCAGACTTTGTATACATGATGGTTTGTTATATGTTTATTGTCATGTATGCTGTATGAATGATCATCGTCTGAGCTAAACGGGGTTGGCTTTGGTCTTGCTTTCCTACTGTCCGACCATGGCTTGCATGGTGATGACGATGATGATGAAGTTCGCCGTTGGGCGTTGAGTACGTTGAGTCTTGAGTCCTCTTGACGCGTCGTGTCACAGCGTGTCTCGGATCCGGCAATGCGATCGCGTCGTGCTTAAGCCTTATTGTCGCTCGAAACCTCAACGAGATCCAAATAACTATGGTCTGATTACCCTCGAGGGATAGTACTGCGAAGCGAAGCGACAATACAACAGCGCGCTCGTCCAGGAAACGCGAATGAATGCGAAGTACGTGAAACGCTCTATGGTATCTGGTATCATGAAGGTCGTCGTCGTTCAAGTCGTAGCAGCGTGATGTCCTATGCGTAGCAGATCCAATGCAAGTATTGTATACAAGAATCACTATCGTTCCTACCGAGTCCCGCCCGCCTGGCGTCTTCACCAGGTGTCCACTTGAGAGAGGCACGACCCCTTGCGCAGCCTGAGATGCCGTAGATACGCGTCGCGCCTGCTAAAGCCGGCGCCGCAGCCCCCCACGAGCACCTCACCTGTTGTCGGGTGCAGATACTGCTCGCGCTGCACTCCGTCCAAGGGCTGCAATTCGGGAGGTCTTCCGATGCAATGGAAGACGTCCTCTCTGACATCCGAGATGTGAGTTTCGAGGTGCCGCTCGAGACCCCCATGAACGATGCGCTTCTCGCAACACGGGCACGTCGTTGTGGGAGGTCTTGCCTCTCCCAGGATCCGGTCAATGTCGTCCCGGGAGAGACTGAACTGGGCGTTTCGTGCCCTAGAAGACATTAATCGGAGCGTTGGTAGGCGGCCGGGTGCAGCGGGAGATAGAGCGGGAGAAGATGCGTAAAGCGATGTCGACGCCGATGTTGACGAGCCGGGGGAAGACAAGACGGCAGAGGGCGATGAATGCTGTCCTGCGCGAGCGTAGGGATCCTGGCGCGGTTTGCGCTGTCGACGCGTGAAGCCCTCAAGCGCTGAACCCTCAGAGAGGATGGGTATTGGCGGATGAGACCGGGATCCAGACGGTGGGGCGCCAGCCCAGGCAACTGAGTCGACGTGGCTCGTCGAACGGCATGATGGCTGTCTCAGCCAATCTGTGTTGTTAGTGGTCCCCCAGGTGCTGTCTGTGAGCCACGGAGAGGTGCCATCGAAATCACTTAATGAAACTTGCGTTAGCCGTGTGAAGCTATTCTCGAGTGAATGAATAACATACGATAGCACAGACTGAGTCGCGCTCTCCATCGGGTCGTGCCAAGGAAACGGATCGTGCGCTGGTCCAAGCAGGGCGGATGGTCCTACCATGGGCGGACCCGCGCTCTCGAGAGAGCCAAGCCGTAGCTCGAGCTCCGAGGTGTTGCCAGTAAGGAGCACGGAATCGAGCATCGGTTCCTCTGGAGCCCACTGTGGGTTTGATGCAGAGTAGTAGTAAGGCGGGAACATGACGGATTTGAGTCAGAAATCGGAAGGGGAGAGCGCGGGCGGGGAAGGGGCTCAGGGATGAATTCCAGACCGGCAGCCGCGCTCCCTTTTGTACCATTGCACGAAGACCACATTGCGAAGGGCACGCGTTCGAATAGTCGCAGAGACTGGGCGTGCGCCGCTGCAAGTGCTGCACAACTACGACTCTAAGGGATCCCTTCCTGCCATATTTGGAAGGAACAGTGGCGGCCCCTCGCCTCGAGGCTCGCAACCCCGCACTGATCGCCACACGCGCCGCCTGGGCCCAGTGGCACTCGAGCCTAACAATAGGCAGTTAGCCACCAGACTACTGTTGAGACTTACATTGTGCGCAGGCGCTGTACGTTCCTTTGTCGTTGGCGGTCAACGACTTGAAAGTCTGATAGTTCATACATTTCTAGATTGAAGGTAGGCCACGGGCGAGGGCACTGCGATATGACTGTCATTTTGAGGACTTTCGTATCCGATACGGTTTGCTAGTAGTGTCGAATGTCGATGTTTGAACCTGGAAGGGATATCCGCGAATGGTGTTGTAGCGAAGCGTCTTGTTTTGGATATTCGAGCGGCGTGCAATGTGCGGTGCTGCCGCATCTCAATTGCGCTGCATATGAGTTCTGGACGTCGTAGAATGTCGGACGCGTGTTCGTACCAAGGATTCGTCTGATCCGGCGAAGGCGGGCGCCCCGGGAGGGGGAAGGGTGTTGACTCCTTGTCACCCGCGGCTTGTATCGAATCGACTGGGCAATCGACAGCTCGTGTTACACAAGCCTCCGACAGCTATCGGGCTCACAGTACAAGTGTGCCTCCATTGTGCTGGTGCCTACGCCATTCCGGATTGATCGCCACTCGCCTGTCTACGCCGCTCGTTCGTATGGCTGGATCTGCAGTTAGATCCGGACTTTCAATGTCAGTATGATGCGATAGCAGCGATAGGCACTTTACCATAGACGTACTTCATTATGACCTTGCAGATACAGACGTCAATCCCCCGATCGACGCTCGGGAGTCTGACGGATGCGTGGGCCCGTGCTTGCGCTGCTATAAGATCCATCTAGTCGCGCCGGGGTACGAGATGCAAGCGGGTCGCTACTGTCGGATCTTGCGCCTCGAGGTCGATATCATCGAGTGAGGAGGCGACACATGTGTTCCATCGACTTCGTCCGACGCTCGTACCTCATGGCAGAGCAGTGGCAACGTTCGAGCTTCACAGAACGCAGTCATTGATGCTACAGTGGCCACCAGTAAATTTCCTGAGTCATGAGGGATTGGTGTAGTATCGAACTGTCAAAGGATTGAGGACCTTGAGGTCACGGAGGCCGCGTACGGCAGTGGGCCGCGGGCGCCGGGCGCTTGAGCGATCTTCGAGATTTTCATATATCACGTGGACGTGTCTTGCTTGAGCGCCTCTGCCCGGTCTGCGGCACAGCGGCGAGCGACATTGAGAGCAGCTGAGAGCGACCCTATTCATATTTTTCTCCTTTACTCCTTGAAGTAGAGGATCCTCTATCTTGAAAGTCATTTCATCCAGGATATCGTGCGGCGAGTCATGTCGTGTGGAAACCCTGCAGTGGAAGGCGACGCCCTTATGCCTCGTACGTTGATAGTCACATTAGCCAGCACGCTGGATCGATTGACCACTCAGACGATGCTTCGTAGGGCGTAAGAAATATGACAAGACGAAGTTCTGCGTGAAATGCAAAGAAGCTCAAGGTAGTATTGTCATTCGACATGCCGTATACTGCAAGTGCGTTTTCCTGCTTCTTTTTCTATGCATTGCAACTGGTCGTCTGACTCCCTCGTCTCGCAGAGACTGCTTCTCCCCTCTGATCACCCACAAGTTCCGGAGAGGGTTGGAGCCTTCTGTGAACCAGAAAGCAGACGGGCCTCGTCGTACCGCTCTGAAGCCGGACGGCAACCTTTTGGTCGGGTTCTCTGGCGGACTCGGCTCAACTGTCCTTCTCGATCTCGTACACCGTTGCTATGTCAGCATGGACCAATCTACGATGCCCTCCGATGGGGGCAAGAACCACCCTCGGCACGAGAAAGTCTGGAATAGGGTGACGGTCTGCTACGTCGAGATCAGTGGTGCGTTTCCTGCGGTGAGTGGTTTCTTGGTCATCGCGCCCAACGCGGGGCTCTGGCTGATGTTCTCGAAGTAGATGCGTGACAGGACACCTGACGTAGAGCAGTACGTGGCAACATACGAAGGGCTGGACTTTGTGTCGCTGCGCTTGCAGGATGCTTTCGATCCAAACTGGTGGAACGCTGTACACGCCTCAAGCGACGACCAAAGGTTTGCCGCAGATATGACCAGTGAAGGTGAGTCGCATATGCAGCCAGTACGACCCCTTGATGCTGACACATAGCAGAGCTCCGGCTATCAAAGCTCGCCTCCACTTCAACCTCTACGCCGCTACAGTCCCTCCATTCCTACCTCGCATCCTTACCGACTGCCACCGCTGTACCCACCGCCATCGAGACGCTGGTCCGGGTACTGCTACTACATACTGCGCTGCAGACCGACTCGTCTCATCTCGTTCTTGGGACGTCCCTTACGAGTCTGGCCGTCTCCCTCATATCTGGAGTATCGCAAGGTAGAGGATACAACCTGAAGGAAGAGATGCAAGAAGAGTGGATGCCTGACGCGGAGGTCGCCAATCTTCGCAGCGAGCAAGAACAAACATCGCACGACACAAAGGAAAGGAGGAGTGCGAGGGACGGACGCCGAAAGGGATATGTCAGGGTGGTCAGGCCACTTCGAGACGTTGGGCGCAAGGAATGCGCGTTATGGGCCCGATGGAGGGACGTGACTATCATTGGCAAGGAGCCTTGGCCATGGTCAGGAGCCAAGCAAGGTATTGGTGCATTGACAAGAGGTAACGTCTTCTGTGAATGGAAGCGTACACGTCATATTCATCATCTCATGCAGAGTTCATCACTGGTCTGGAGAAAGACTATCCGTCGACTGTGTCGACGATCGTCAGGACGTGTACGAAGGTCGAACCGAAGGGCGAGTCTGCGGGGCTGTGCGCCTTGTGTGCACGGTGGGTAACCCTCTACGGCGGCGATTGTCTCTCCTGACACCTCCCTCTCCAGACCGATGCAGGAAGGCCTCCAAGAGTGGAAGTCGCGCATATCAATACGCTCTCGCGACGCCTCACATGATACCCCGCCTTCAGCCTCCGCATCGCTGACACCGCACCTATGCTACGCATGCCATATAACACTGACAAGTCGTAGTAGTCGACCCGCGCCTTCGCTGGGATTGACGCCACCAGCACTGTCTGATGTCCCGCTGCCTGTATGGGTTGGGTCGGGGATGCCTCGGTCGGCGAAGTTGAGCGAGCAGCAGATGAAGGAAGTCGTACAGGACTTCCTGCTGGAGGATACGTAGTACATAGCGTCGACGACGTCCCCACATCTCTTGTTCCTGGCTCTTTCGTTTCGTATACTCTACTAGTGTGTGGCTGCCGTGGTCTTGGTGTGACCTTTCTCTATAAGGCAAGTGAGTACTATCTCCCCTGAGAATCGGCCCGACCGGATGGATGTTGACCACCACTTGCCCAAGCTTGGCCCAAGCCGTCCCGAGTCATTCTCGTTCCTGTGTCGAGTCAGTTCAGAGTCACTCGAGCTCGTTCTTGTGCGCGAGCTTGGCGGAGTGCCAGCACCTGCTATAACTGGTCCCTCCTGCTCAGCCGGCGTAGACACGACCCACCCATTCCCGCTGTCTGGCGTTTCTTGAGCAGATATGACTGCCGTCGATCAGTCCGACAATGCGAACGCTGACAACGCGAAACAATACACCTATGATACGGGCAGGAAGCCGCCCCCCTTTGGGCATGCTCTGCGTCCGTATTGGGCTTTCGATCCCGGTTTCGTGAACATGAATAACGGTCAGTACATACGGATATGTCAATCATTGGCACAGCGATTCTCGATCTACCGTGGTTCACGGCTATGCACGCATGACACAGACGTCCCGGATCTGGCTGGCTAACAATGATAACACGTTTGCTCACACTTGATGACAGGTTCATATGGGTCGCTTCCGTTACCTGTGCTATTCAAATGCCAGGAGCTGACGCTTCTCGCTGAGCGGAATCCCGACAAATTCCATCGTATCACCTATATGGGCATGCAGCAAGAAGTCAGGTTCGTCCGCGATCTACATTCTTGCAGTTTTGCGCGAGACTTACAGACCTACTCCCCTGTACGTGCAGGAAACGCGTGGCAGATGTAGTTGGTGCCGAAACAGATGAGATTGTACTCGTTCCCAACGCGACTCATGGCATCAACACCGTCCTCCGAAACTTCGAATGGAAAGAGGGCGACATCATCATTGAAGGTATGCGCAATGCCCTATGTGCCCGGAAAACGCTGACCTAGCTCGTACACAGCCACGACGACATACAACGCCGTTTCACGCACCATTCGCTATCTCAGCGACCGCGACGAGGCTCCCAGGCCTACGCCCGTGAAGATCATCCTCTCGTTCCCCATGACGCGTGCGCAGATCATTGAGGACTTCCGTACGAAGATCCACGAGATCAAGGCTGCCAACCCGAACGTGGACTTCAGCGACACTCCACCGGATGCGGCGGGCGCGCAAAACCCGAAGGGCAACAAGATCGTCGCGGTGATCGACTCGATCATCTCCAACCCGGGTATGGCGCTTCCGTGGAAGGAACTCGTGCAGATCTGCAAGGAAGAGGGCGTCTGGAGCCTCGTTGACGGCGCTCACAGTATTGGCCAGGAGGTTGATCGTACTTTTGTCGATGAACGTTCCGCGCTGACACTGTTCATCCTGACAGTTGGACATCAAACTGAGCGTAGCAAAGCCCGACTTCTTCATCTCAAATTGCCACAAGTGGTTCTACGCCAAGCGAGGATGTGCGCTGTTGTATGTTCCGAAAAGGTTAGTCTCTCGGGCTCACAAACACCGCCTTTCCAACCTCAAATCGATTTCTCTCTAGGAACCAGCATATCATCAAGTCGTCTGTTCCTACTTCGCATGCATATGTGTCTCCTAACGATTCGAAGCTACCTCCCCCCGGCGAGACAAACTTTGTTCTCCAGCATGAGTGTAAGTGTATGTATCGTCTGACTTCGATGAACCTCATCGGATGCCACTCTAGGGACCGGAACGACGGATCAGACACCAAACCTGAGTATTGGCGCAGGTATGAGTCACCTCATATCTATCAATGCATACACTCCCTTGATGCAAATCCAACGATATAGCAATTGACTTCCGACAATGGCTGGGCGGAGAAGCCGCCATCAATGCTTACTGTCACCAACTAGCCCTGGATGGCAGCAAGAGGCTGGCAGAACTCTTTGGGACAAAGGTTCTAGACGAAACAGGAGAGTTCACTCTGAACTTGGTAAGCCCCCTTTCGGAGTCGAAGGACGCGGAACAAGCTCATTGACAACCGTTCAGACGAACATACAACTCCCACTACCCACGGAGTCTGCGAGCAGCGCGTTCTACACGCCACAGGCCCGCGAGAACATCGTCAGGACATTCACAAAGAAGCTGCTGCTTGATTGGAACGTCTCTGCGGCATTCTTCGTGCACGCAGGCGCTTGGTGGACACGTTGCAGTGCCCAAGTCTGGAACGATGTCAGTCTCGTGTCGTCCGTTTCGCCGCTCCCACTGACTGACCTCACGTAGATATCCGATTTCGAGTATGTTGGGAAGGCTTTCAAGGCTATATGCGCTGAGGTCTCAGAGATCGTAGAAACCGGACGTGACTGGCCAGAGGCCATAGACACGCGCTAGAGTTGTATGGCTGCACGACCGAAGAGCCCTTCCATGGGTTAGAGCCATCGTAAGCGTTAATGTATGGTGCATACTGATCACTGAAATGAACGCTCCGCGAAGCCCGAGTTGGTAGGCGGCTCATCAGGCATCCTCAGTGAGCGTTTGGTTGGCAGATGCAGCACAGCGGAATATGCAGAATAACGGCCCTTCAGGCACGCACAAATTGCGGCCGGTGGCTAGTAAATGGACACGTCCTCCTCCTCCTGCCAGAAACGCCGCCGAGTCGGGCAGTATTTGTGATGACCGATGAGATGACTGGCTGTCGAGTCATGCATCCAGCTGGTAGTATAAGTATCGACGCCAACGCCATGCCAGCTTTGATTACACCGTAGACGCACTGTAATCATGATTGAAGTAGCTAACGCCATCAATGCGGAAGACCCAGGTGAAAGATGGTGGACGTATGACGCGAACGAGAAGCCCCCTCCCTTCGGTCATGCTGTCAAGTCGTTTTGGGGGTTCGATCCGGAGTATGTGAACTTGAATCATGGTGAGTCACTCTGCTTTCACCTTATGCGATCGCTGCCTATCGTCGTCTAGTATGCCATCTGAACTTGATTCATGAATATCAGGGTCACTCGGGGCGCCGCCTCTACCCGTCCTGAAACGCTGCCAAGAGCTGACCATGTTGGCGGAGAATAATCCTGATAAATCTCACCGCCTCACATATCTTCTGTTGCTCAACGAGGTTAGGTGATTCCATCTGCCTTGGGATACTACCCCCATGGCGACACTGACCATTTTCTCCTAGGAAACATGCTGCAAATGTTATCGGAGCAGACCACGAAGAAGTTGTTCTCGCACCGAATGCTCTGCATGCGATTACTACGGTTTTCGCAAACTTCGAGTGGAAACAGGGAGATGTCATCATCGGCGGTGAGTCACCTCGCCGTGACCCTCATCACGCTTCCTCATACAGTGCAGAGTAACTGATTGAATGCTTGCGCGTAGCTAACACGGCGTATATCGCGGTCTCTCGCTACATACATTACCTCAGCGATCGCTCAGAGCAACCCCGACCCGACGTTCATACCATTGACTACGCTTTCCCGCTGACGGCAGAGCAGATCCTCGATAAGTTTAGGTCGAAGATTCAAAAGCCAAGGAGCTCTACCATGAGGCTTCGTTCAACGACACACCTCCGAGCTTATATGCTCAATCAGACTTGCGCGTCGAGGATAAGAAGAACAAACTTGTTATAGTCCTTGATTCCATTACGCCTATGCCGAGCGTCGCCTTGCCGTGGAAGGAGATGGTTAAGATTCGCAGGGAAGAAGGCGCGTGGAGCATCGTCGATGGTGCTCAGAGCATCGGACAGGAGGCGCGCCCGCTTCTTCTTGGTCAATCATATGCATATGTTCTGACTTCTGAGGTGGTGAATAGTTGAACGTTGACGTGAAAACCGCGATGCCAGACTTCTTCATATCGAACTGCCACAAATGGTTCTATGCGAAGCGCGGTTGCGCGTTACTCTACGTCCCCAAGAGGTCCGTAGACCGTCATCCTCATGTACGCGCCGGAAACGGGAGCGCAAGCCATACATATTGCATAATCGTGTCTCTTGTGCTGATGAGCCTTTCTTAGGAACCAATACATCATCCGATCGTCCATCCCAACTTCTGCACAGTATATCGCGAGAAATGACCTGGACTGCGTCGATGTCAAGCTTCGCTCGTCGAACTTTGTGGATCAACACGCATGTATGTCCACTGACGTTCCGAGTTGTCCTTCACATCTACTAACAACTCGTCGCACAGGGACCGCGACCATCGACTTGGTGCCTCAATTGAGCGTCACACCAGGTGCGCCTGAGTAGTGTCTATAATCATTATGCCTTCCCTCTGACGCTGAAATGCACCTTCCCCCAGCTGTTCAATTCCGAGAATGGTTAGGGGGAGAGGAGGTGATCAACGCGTACTGTCACCAGCTGGCAATCGCTGGTGGGAAAGGGCTTGCTGAGATCCTGGGGACAGAGGTACTGGATGTTACTGGCGAGTTGACACGAAACATGGTGAGGCCTTCCGACTACTCTGCTTCACTTCGTGCAAGCTGACGGATGTTACGTTTGTGAGACGACTGTCCGACTTCCGCTGAAAGCGGAAGGCATATCCGGCACGGTATACACGCCGTCGTCACGGGGGAAAATCAGCAAAACGTTCACGGACAGGTTGCTCACCGAGTTCAATGTTTCCGCTACATGTTTCTTCTACCAGGGACGATGGTGGTGTCGCTGCTCGGCGCAGGTATACAACGAGGTGCGTGATGGTGCTTCTGAATGCCGAAGAGAAGGCCGAATGATTGTACTTGTGCAGCTTGCGGACTTCGAATATATCGGAAGAGCACTTAAGAAGTTTTGCGAGGATATCGAAGAGCCCATGCTGTAGCCTACTAGCGTATGCAGTTGCGTTACGGTGTTACTTCAGTGCATGCCGATACATCCGCGCGTGCATGAACTATGTATACGGAGGTATGATGTATCCGTATCCGAATCGAAAATATGACTTCCTGGTCAATTCCTGGTCGTTGTGGAAGCCAGCGAGCTGGATGTTCGGGCGGAGACTCGCCCGCGAGTCGCGTCATCAAGACCATGTGACCGTGTCTCTATCACGCGCTTTGTGACGCGACGCGTAGACGTCACTCCGGGGCGCGTGAGGCGGGTCGCGCGGGATTGGTTGTCCCGCCGCGTTCTCAGACTCGCACAAGCTGCCTCTTCTCGCCTTCAATGGGAAGGGCATAGGCTTACGCACTGAGCGCTGCTCTCACATTATATCATACCTTCCGAATTCGTCGAGGGCGTATAAAAGGGGCATTCGCGAGAATGGGCCGTCCCTGCTCTCACCCTCATCATCGACTGTGACGTACGCATTGCAGACAGTGGTTACTAGTACGATATGGCCCAGCAGACAAAAGCCCGTATCCTCATCTACTCTGCGACGCGCGGTTATCGACACGATTCGATTCCTGCGTCGATCGAGGCTCTGAAAGCCAAGGCTTCGGTCATCAATGTCGAGTACGATGCTACGGAGGATCAGTCGTGGTTCACAGACAATCACCTCAAGCAATACGATGCAATCCTCTTCCTCAACAACTCGGGAGACGGTGAGTGCAATGTCTCTGATGTAGCAATTATATCTGACGTTTCTCATGTTCCAAGTGCTCGATGAGACGGGTAAAGCAGCGTTTCAGAAGTACCTCAACTCCGGTGGTAACTTCATTGGAATCCACTGCGCTTCTGCATGCTTCTACAACGAGTCGGATGACTGGTTCCGCAAGGAGATAGGTCGGTGAAATCCTATAGAACTACGCAATGGCGCGCTGAATTTGGTGCCCGTCCACAGGAGCGCTCTTCGACTACCATCCAGATATCTGCACAGCGGTGCGCACGATCGTCCTGAGAACAACCATTGGCCAGTATCGAGCATACTCAACTAGGTTTATGATGTTGTGGGGCCTTCGCATCCTGCCACAAGCATGCTCCCAGCGAGATGGGAGCTCTACGACGAGGCGTAAGAATCTGTCATCTCGTCGTGTTCCCCGCACTGATGCCCCTTGAATAGGTACAACTTCACGTCGGACCCGCGCAAAGTGGGAGCGACAGTAATCCTCGCAGCGGACGAGTCTACCTACCTAGGTGCGTAACTCAGTTACTGGTGCTCTTGTTATCCATTTTCTGATTCATACTGGTCTCCTAGATCCTGGTGAACGGAAGTTTGACCATGGCAGCCCTCACCCGATTGGTATGTATGACGTGGTAAGCGTCCAGCTAGCATGCTGATCACCACATCCGTAGCATGGTTCCAAGAGCGAGGCGCCGGCGTAGCGCCTGGCGGAATAGCCGGTCGTAGCTTCTACACGGGCCTGGGGCACTGCATCGAGACTTGGCAGGTTCGCCTCATCTCTCGAAAGGACTGAACAACAACGCAATACTGACTGCGTATCACCAGGACGAACTATTCCTGGCACACGTTCTGGCGGGTATACAGTGGGCTTTACAGTCTGGAACGACGAAGGCGTACAACCCTAACGCACTGGTTGGGAATGCTACTGTATGATGTTGCTGATCCCGAGAACGAACGCGGTCGCGGCGTTGATCCGTCGGATACGACAATTGAGTATGTTTGTATATCGTCGCAATGGTCAAGAACCGATAGCTTTGTGAGAACAAGCGATAAACGGTACGGCGAGCGCGAGTGTCCCGGGCGTGGGCGATGCCCGAAGGGCAATCGCGTGAGGTAGATACACGAAAATCAACGGTTTATATACCCCTCCCCCTATCCATTTCGGTCAGGTACTATCGCGGCCGAGCTTGCGAGCTCGCCACGATCGCGTGCTCCAACAAGCTTCTAGTGGTGCGGATACATATATAGTTTGGTAACAGAACACGAGGCTGCTTCGAAGGCTCGAGCCACAGGAGAACCAACTCCAATGCCGGGGGGACGAACAATCGTGTAAAGACTGTCAGTATTGAGTACGAGAATTCTAAGGGTCACTGACCGGGTCACTGTCAGTATTTGTTGCTCTTTCGGAGTTTCAAGTTGAGTATGACTTACGTGGACCGCTGGAGCTACGCTTTAGCGCCCGCCGCCTTGTTGTCCCGCTCTCAATCATACAATAATGTCTCATTCAAACCTCTCGATTTGGCCGGAAAGCAAACTCGCAAGCGATGTTTGTTCACTGAGTATTCGAGGTGACTCTTCTGTCTGGCTCATGCCGCCCCACGGTCCCTGCTGTCTCCATCCGTTTGATGATGCCTGGGGCTACGGTGTAGCGACTCTATCATGACCAACAGCCACTGTTAACGTGCAAAAGCCTCGGCTGGTACTACCACTTCGAGGAGTCAGCGAAAGCGCGTACAACAGCAAATATCACTCGGATCACCTCGAGGTACGTTTCCCGGTGCGCATTATCAATTCCAAATACGCAAGATCGTCATTAATCGTCATCCATTCAATAGGTGTTGTCAGCCAATCTACTAACGCCATGTGCATAGACAGCGGTGTTCAGCGCATAAAGGAATGACTTGCGCATCCACTCTCGGCTCCGCAACTCTGTTGGCGCGTCGCTTGATCCTATAGACCATAAATGGCTTCGAGAACCGCGCGCGCTGAAGGTTAATGGTCTCGAACAGCGGTGGGCTCGTATCGTCAATAACCCGGTTTGGTGTTCGAAGCGGTTTGAAACAGCTAGTGCGGATCTGATTCTTGCTGCTCAACGGGAGAACTTCGTAGTAGAAGATTCTCGTCTCGAGTCATGGGCGGCTCGGGTTCTGTGGGAGTCCCATTTGGCGCAATACAGTGCAGAATATTTTGAAGCAGCTGCAACGCACTTAAAATGATGATCGCCCTATCGATCAACCAACCCTCCCTGTTGCACTAGAGTATGTCCAACAACCAGGTTGCGCTCCCGACAGAGCCGGGATTTGAGGACGGTGCTGTACAAGAGGTACCGTCGGGGCCGTCCGACACGCAAGTCGACCACGAGCCTGCAGGAGACCATCCGGTCGGGGACACCCCTCTTCCTAAACTCCAGCTCTTCATCCTACTGTATATACAACTTGCGGAGCCGATCACGTCGACAGTCATCAATCCGTTCGTCAACCAGCTCGTCCGGAAGACAGGTATCACGGGTGGCGATGATGATAAAACTGGTTACTTCGCCGGACTCATAGTGAGTCATGTTCAATCTTGCGTGAACGATGTATGTGGACTAACATCTATTCGAGGAATCGGCTTTCTATGCCACTGAAGCGATCTGTGTGCTGCAGTGGGGGCGCGCTTCCGATCGTCTTGGCCGGAGGCCTATCATGATGTCCGGGCTTCTAGGCCTTACGCTCTCGATGCTAGGCTTCGGCTTGTCAAAGACGTATTGGGCCCTTGTCTTGGCTCGTTGTGCCGAGGGCGCTCTCAACGGGAACGTAGGCGTTACGAAGAGTATGATGGCCGAGATTACGGACGAAACCAACAGAGACAGAGGTTTTGCGTTCATGCCCATGATATGGAGCCTAGGCAGTACGCTCGGGTATGTTATCCGGGTTTAGGGATGTTCGCTTTCTTGACCGAACGTTCTGTCAGACCTACTATCGGAGGCATCTTCTCAACGCCTGCCTCGCGTTGGCCATCCGTATTTCACGCCGAGTTTTGGGAAATGTACCCGTACTTTCTACCGTGCATGATAGCCGCTTGCATCTCGATGAGCGCGTTCCTCTTGGCATTGTGTGGATTGAAGGAGGTACGCCATCCCGGGGCACTCAGTCCGACGACTTGACCCAACTTCATACTACCAGACTCTGCCAAAGACGAAGCGGCGACGTGTTACCAAAAACCCTACCAGAGGTATGTTCCATCATACATTCGCGACCTGCATACCATCGCACCTCTTATAACAAGTAGCTCGGGAGCAGACTGCGCCACTAGAGTCCAGCGGGATCCAGCTTGAAGAACAAGACGCCATTCAACTTGTTGAGCGATCGGGGCCCACGGCTACGAGGGCCACTCCATCTGCTTCCCCGGCCGCCGAAAAGGACGAATCAAAAAGCGAAGCGATCGTTACCTGGTCACCAATCGAGCCAGGGACGGCAGTGTACGAGCCTGTCGCCGAGACAGTGGCTGTTACTATCCGATCTATCCTCACCGCTCAAGTCCTCTACCCTATCATGAACTACGGCTTCTTGGCTTTCACAGATCAGAGTATGGTTGTCCTACTTCCTCTCATGTATTCCACCGCCATAGGAGGCGGCGGTCTTGGTTTCAGCTCCTTCAACATCGGAATCATACAAGGCGTCACTGGGATCCTTGCCGGCCTCGTACAGATTTTCACCTTTCCGTGGTTTCGTCGTAGGTTCGGCAACAGGAGCTTATACGTGGCCTCTTATGCTTGGTACCTTGTTTGTGTGTGCGCGTTCCCCCTCCTTGCATTCCTCGCAAAACGTGCTGGGAAAGCAGGTACTGCTGTCTGGGCGGTCATCGTTATCCAGAACATAGCATATGCCGCGACCAATATGACCTGGGGTTAGTGTCACGCCAGTTACATCCTGCCTCAAAGTGCTTACTCATCCTTCCGTGACGTGTCAACAGGTTGCATTTTCATGTATATCAGCGAATCCGCGCCTACGCGATCAGCACTGGGGCTCACAAACGGACTGGCGCAAACCACAGCATCTGTAGTACGCGCTCTGGCGCCCTCCGTCGCATCGTCGCTGTTTGCCGCCACTATACAAGACAACATAGCCAACGGGACTTTCGTGTACTGGTTGTTATGTGCCGTCATCGTTGGCGGTCTTTGTGCATCTGTTTTACTACCGAAGCGAACATGATGAATCTTGCAGGCTTCCAGGTAAGCACATATAGAGTTTCAATCAACCATAAAGCTAAGGAAGTCTCCCCCGGCCACAAGGGGTTCATGCAGTGGGTGATATAAGCAGCATCGTTTTTAGTCCTGTGAGTCGACTTCTATCCTGCACTCCATTGACAACACGGCTAACGTGTGTTCCATCATCGATTGAAGCCGTCACTACAATTTACACGATATTACATGATGTCGAGCACCTTCAATACTACTATGCCGCATAAAATTGAACCTTGATAAAACGCAAGCGTCACATACACCGAGACACCGAATGACATCAACCTATTTCCAAACGTTCTCTGCTATAAGGGAGAATGTCTCCTTCAGTTATACACTGTCCACGTCCGTGACTCATAAGCCCAGATGTTGACGCGCAGATCAGCTTCACTTACTCGACGTCCCAGTCCGGGCTGGCAATTTCACTGACTACACCGCCGTACGTCCAACAGTCTTCAGCAACGGCGAGACCGAGCTTCCTCTGAAGAACGTCCGCTATAATCGCACACAACAGGATCTAGTCACTGGTACTACCTTGGGGCAAGCATCACAATTCTTTTGAACGTGACAGCGCTCCCGGTCTCGCTGGTGGAAGCGCACAGACGTGTAGGTTTAAGTTGCATTACATGAGAGGTTCAGTGCCGTCCTTTCTGGGAGGGACATGGTCCTTCGACTTCTTGCACACTGAGGAGCAGGAGCCACTTGGTAGCGTGCACACTGAAGGTCAAACCTTCTTCACGGTCGGTGTTCGATAGTTCGACATGATTGTACGGTGAGCAGCGGTTGTGGTTGTTCGACGCGTCGACGCCACAGGGGCCGTGAGCGCGCCACAAAGCTTCGTTGTGCGTAGCCTTCGAGACAGGACTCGGCGAAGCTAACGCTCAAGGCAGTTAGAACGGACAATCTACAGGAACGGAGAGATGGCGCTCACTTTGGCGTTCAAACATCTAGCTGTTCAACTTTCAAAACGTTCAACGTACGTTCAACTTTCACGCTGATCCGCGTGACTCTCGAATCATCGGGACTTCGAAAGGACTTGCCACTGTTGGTGGCAGATCCACTAGTATGCCTATCGCATCTCGACCTACCAGGACTGTATACCGGCAACATATTCAGGGATCGAGTTCTGTCCACGCTGTACAAGCCGCTGCCAGACGGCATCCAATCCTGTGTAAAATTTATCCCGGGATCCGAAACGCGCAACCGTAGGTTACAATCCATGAAACTTCCGAGTTCCTAGTAATGTAATGAGCTGGAGCACAGTGGAAACGATGGACTGTTGAGCCAGGGTACCCGCCCGGAGTTGCTGCAAATCACATAATGACACAGTCTCCCTTCTTCTTCCCCTTCTTCTCATCATCAGTGAGGGCCGACCGAGGAACGTGCTCCCTCGACGCTGCGAGCTCCTCCCGCGCTCTCTCCCGCGCCCGCCGTGCCTCTCTGATCTGCTGCGCACGTTCATCTTCTTCAGCCTGCAGCTGCCTTGCTAGCTCCGCGCTACAGTCAAATCCTATTCAGCACACGGCCCCGCGATACAGCGAACCAAGCACACGTACTCTCCGCGCTCCTCGAGCGTCAGGGCCGCAGTCTCCGTTTCGAGCGCCGCGAGCGCGCTCTCGGCTGTGTGGCCCGCATAGTCCCCGCCCGCCGGGCTCGAGCGGATGAAGTCCGAATCCGCGAAGGACGACATGCTGCCCTCGACATCCTCGAGCCGCTCCCACACCACCGAGGCCTCGTACAGGAACACCTGGTCCGTCACGAGCGTATACAGCCCGCCGTCGGACCCGTGCGGCTTGTAGAGCACAGACAGGTGCGAGTTGCGGAAGAGTGCGACCAACTGGCCGGGCTCGACCGTCGACGCAAGCGTGAAAAGGCCGTGATACGTGAGCTGCGATTGGGTCTTATCGATGAAGTCGCGGATGATGATCGCTGTCAATGAATCGAGTTAGTACCGAGGCCGGAATGCTGGCACGACGGTGACGTACCATCCTGCACCTTCTGTCGCTCATCGTGTGTGAGTGCGTCGTAGCTACCGCTGCTGTCGCTACTTGAACTTCCGCCCGCCTCGGGCTCGGGGGGCGCCCCCTCCGATGCGAGCAGGCGGCCCTTCGTGAGGTGGTCCGCCTCAACAATCAGATTCACGGACGTATCGTAGTCCTGTGTTCTGGAGAGGATCTTGTGTTCAGGGCTCTCCGGATCCGCTAGCCAACCGTGCACGAGCTCGATCCCGGCGTGCTCAAACAGTTTCAACTCCCCGCCTTCGCCTGCTGGTCGGAAGGCAGTAGCACCAGTGAACAGCGGGTTTAGGTCCATTCCCTCTGCGTGGCCAGTCAGTCATAATTCTTCACGCAGGGCATTCGATCTACTGAAATAACACGAGGTTGCTCATTGGCGATAGCAGCGTTCGAAGCATCACAATCGAGCAAAAGGGATGTCACGCACTTCTTGTAGCAGGCATGACGGACAGAGCCGCAGACGTATCCTCTCCTGAGGTTGCCGTCAACAAGTGTTCCCCAAGTAGCCGGGCGAGGTAGTCATATGAGACGGTCGCTCGTTCTGGCGGTTGAATCTCGATTTGGCAGCGGAGGAGGAGAATATTGCCTAAGGTTCATACGCGCTGAGTCCTGGATACAGAACACAGCCACCACGAGGCCTACATATAGCGATGAATGAACACGGTCTAGAAGCGTGTAAATAGGCGTGAGACACCAACCCAGCCAATTACACTGACCCATTGTAGTTCTGGGTAATGATCTTCAGTGTTCTTGGTTCCGTGTCGGGAGACGGCCGGAACGAGATTTCCTTGAGGTACCACAGTTCTTCCATTGACTCCCTCAGGTTGTCCTGAGACTGGTGCGAGACGAAGTCGCCTCCGTGGTTCCCAGAAGCCAGGGTGTTGTCTGCGTCGTCGAGCGCCATATTGATACGAGCAGCGAGGTGAATAGGGCAGCAGGTTCACAGTCACAGAATAAAATGAGACACGCGTCGCAGTTCATGGAGGGCTGCGGCGCCGTGCGCGTCCTCGCAAGACGCGGGACACGTGACCGTGGGCACAGCGCGTACACAGGTGCATACAAATCCGCATTCCGCTCCAAGTGGGGCGTGAGAAGAGGTTGCCCATATCTTCTGACTCCCTGAAGAGCTCGTCCAAAATTGTGTAGCTGGTCAATGTATCTCGGGATACCTGCGCTCAACCTGCGCTGCCGATCTTCCTTTACTTGACGGTCGTTATCGCGGAAAAATACTTACACTGAAAACTTAGTTGTCGCGTAAGACTTACTACTTAGTTGACACGTGAGCCGTACACTTTGGACATAGATTCATGCCGTTTCGTGCACTTGGTCTCTACAATCATGCATATTCCTTAGTCACTACTGTATATAGTTTGCAGTGAGACACGAATCTGTTGTCTGTGCACCCTAGAATAGGCCCGCTCAGACTGAACGGGTAAGGGTACGGGTACGGGCAAGGGCAACGTCACGGGACGTACCCGGGCGGCTCAGCCACGGCTGCCACGCAGCCACCGCGCTAGGGTTAGCGGCGGGTGGCTGCTAACCCTAGCCTTTTTCTCGCGGGCTTCTAACCATGGCAATAATTGTGGTCTCGAGTCTCAGAATAATTTACTTACATCACGGCCTTTCGGTGGCACTAATACGAGTCCGGTCGCACACTTGTACATGATTTTGACTTCTATCTTACTGTAGTGATTACCCTACAGACCAATGTCAGCCTGCCGAAACACTGCCAAAATAACACTTGCCTAAATCGGGTAAATGTAACCGTAAAAAGGAACCACTCCCCTCGCAGAGACTGAGATAATTACTGGGTATGTTATTGTGATTGCAGACGCTCTGACTCGCTATCCACACCGTCTGTATTCTCTGGTTTGTACGTATGCCTCAAATGAAAGGGATAACTGAGAGGTAGGTTACAGGCGCTGGAGAGAAAGGCTAGGGTTAGCAGCCACCCGCCGCTAACCCTAGCGCGGTGGCTGCGTGGCAGCCGTGGCTGAGCCGCCCGGGTACGTCCCGTGACGTTGCCCTTGCCCGTACCCGTACCCTTACCCGTTCAGTCTGAGCGGGCCTAATGCCCAAGTCCGCAGCGGCGCTTCGGCAGCTGGTCAATTGCCTAATGCGGAATGGCCAATTGAGGCGACTGTCTACGCACGACTGCTGTTCATTGCATGACATTGCACGGTACAGATAGCACGAACCCTGGAAGCCCACTCTTGGTTATATAGAAGCGGATTTGTGGGATGCTTGTTGACACTCCATAGCCCCCATTATAGACGAGGCGTATGGCCCGGGTAGGACTCGGGATGGCTGCCGATGGCATGGCCATGAGCCCGCGGTTCTCATGGTATGAGAGGACTAATATTGTGACATGGAGTAAAATAATATCAAATCAATGAAGAAATGGTATGCATCACAGAGAATACAGGGGGAAATGTCTGGCGCAGCGATCCTGGCAAGTGCGATGTTCATCCCGATTTGGCAAGCCTCGGCCTCGGGTAACGTACGCGGATTGGTCGCTATGGAAACCGAAAGTGAGCAGCCTCGTTGTCTGTCACAGACGTGACAGATCGTGATCCTAGATCTGTGATCGAAGCCTTCTATATCGGGTAACCGATTTTGCGCGTACGAGATGCGACGCAGGCCAGCCCTCTTTCCGCCCGTCTACCTTGCAGATCTTGACACTGAAGCTTATTTGTGTGCTCGGTCGTACTGTGAATTTTCAGGAGTGTTGCTGGCTGCCAAAAAAATGCGATTACGGCACATTTGAGAATAGGCGCCCGCGCAGCCCGCCGCGCAGGCGCTTAAATACTACTACCCTCCAACTGCTCTCCAACGCTCGCGTACTACGCAGGTGCATGTCCGCCCGAAGTCAAGTCCCTGTAACTTAAGTAGCGACTAGTGACTCGCAAGACAATACTACTCCTGGATGCGCCAGGTAAGGATTATATAGTGTATTCGTTGACGGCTCGTCGTCACTCACCTGCGTGTCACGCAGAGCCTGAGCATGCGGCAAAGCCGGCGGGTCAGTAGTACTACTGCACCCACGAGGCGCAAGTACAGCAGACCATCTCGAGCTCGAACAGCATGCAGCTTCTGCCGGACCCTTATGCGCATCTCGCGTCTCGCCCAGTAGATATCTTCGTCTCGCACCTTCTCCGACTTGCTCGCTGTGATTTCTCGCGCGCCGCTACGTCTGACCTCACCACTGGCAGGTCCGAACTGGACACTTGTGCTGCACGTGGTCTTCTGTTTGGCAGGCACCAGTATCACTGGCATGGGCTTGTAAATGGCTAGCATATCTATACAAAGGTGAGTTGATTTGTACTAGACTCTGGGTGAGTGCGCGACGTGACTGCAGGTTTGACCGGGAGTCTGCCCCTTCAACTCAGCCTCAAATTCATATTGTTGTGAGCGTGCTTTATCGCCCCCACTGCCGCCACGGCGCCATCCCCATCTCCTAGTCTCACACTGTATACATTGCCAGTAGGCTCAATTCAGATTAGTTACCTTGCACGGACATCATATGGTACTATACTGAACTGCAATCCATGATTAAATTCATGCCTGAAAGTAAGTACTGCTGACCATGACGGACCCTAGTACGGCATTTGTATCGACTCGGAGAAGATTGGAGTTGCTACTATTCTTGGGACTGTAGTAATTCATACTAGCAGTACCCGATCGGGAGGTACTACTAGATGTTATGTTATCCGTTGGCCTTCGGACCCGTGTCCATCAAAAGACGGTCAGACAACAAGTCCGTCCAACACTATGAGTTGCCGCCACGGTGCAACACGAGCAGTGGACTCGGCTCGCTCGAACAAGCGCCTGCGCGGCGAGCTGCGCGGGCGCCTATTCTGAAATATGCCGTAATCGCATTTTTTGACAGCCAGCAACACTTCTGAAGATTTATAGTACGACCGAACACACAAACAAGCTTCAATATCAAGATCTGCAAGGTAGACGGGCGGAAAGAGGGCTGGCCTGCATCGCATCTCGTACGCGCAAAATCGGTTACCCGATATGGAAGGCTTCGATCACAGATCTGGGATCACGATCTGTCACGTCTGTGACAGACAACGAGGCTGCTCACTTTCGGTTTCCATAGTCGCGGTTCAATTGTGCGTTGCACGCGCGCTATCATCTCAGCGCTACGCTCTTCCCACGACTTAGGAGGGCCAAAGCGATTCGAATTGAACGCCACGACCGTCTCGCAAGTTAGGTGGAGATAGTTAAGCACCTAGAAACGCAATGGAAGGTGTATGACTCTATGTTTGCTCATGTCCGGCTGCACACTCGCAGTGTGCGGAGTGATTCGATGAATCCCTTTTGGAGGTCACGGGCGCTAAGAGTCTGCCACTGCGATGCGGTCTTCAAAGTGGTTGTCGATTGCTGCAAGTATTTGACATACTTTTTCGGTGAAAAGGGGCTCGCTACAATCCGAGGGCGTATGTGAATGAGAATATATATTACCCAAGTCAAAGCTTGTGCCCAGCCACCGGAGCGAGCTGTGGCCGTGACAAGCGTGACCGTGCACTGGTCATGTTTGGTTTTGTTTGTTCTCCTCAGAAACAGTCCCCCTCGGCCATCGTAGGCCTTTCTTTTTGTCCTACCACGCATCTTCATAAAACTCTGAGTATATTATGAGATGTTTCAGCCATGCTCTTGGCCTATATCTGTAGAGGGCTAGGCAAAGGAGGTTTAAAACATGAACGCGCCGGTGGCAGGGAGCGAGGTTGAGCGCCCTGATAGACGCGGGAAACGGTGCGTGTGGCGCAAATCAACCGCGACCAATCCGCGTAGTATACTCGGGCACATCCCCCGGGCGCCAATTGCACCTCGCCTTCGGCATCAACTCGGCCGTAGGCCTCGCTGCACCCTCTCCGCAAGAGACCGTCCCTCCGGCTCCGTGCATGGGCTAAGGCAAACCGTGCACGATCCCCGGCTTTGCTCAGTGCTACAGCGGTATGGTCTGCCAGACTCCCGAAGGCGCCGCTCTTGGCGTGAGTGAACTTCGTCTGTATCGTCTGCTGCATATTGAGCTGAACGCGATCCTTTGCATGTGCACAGGCCTGTGTCTACCCGTGAGCACCGCTTGCGACGGAAGTTTGGGGGTACCGCTGGATGAGGATGGGCAGCCATCCACTCGTTTTGACGTGCCTTGCGAATGCCTATGTTTTGTGACCGTAGTAAAGAGATCGTCGCTCGTTGCTTTCTTGCTAGGTTTGCAGGTGCTGTTCCGTCCGATACATCATGTCGTACTTCCTCGCTCTGCTCGCCGGGAGGTATCAAATAAGCCTATGCATTCAAGTAACTTACTAGTCGACACAGTTGTGCACGAAACGGGTCAGATGATTGGGAGTGTCAGGCTAGGGGGTCTATTTGACTTATGTAAGATCTACCCCTGACTGCTTGAGACTGAACTTACTTCGACCCCGACTGAAATGCAACGTGCTAAGGTCTCAGCGATTATTCAACGTAGGTCACAAGACCGTAACGAAAACTTCAATCTCATTCGTGAATGGGGATCGACGGTCATGTACATATTGCAACCTCTACTCCATATCCTCCATCATCTCGACATCGTTGAGGGACCGCGGCGGCGTCGGCCAGAACTTCGAGCCCTTCGGCGGCTGGGGGGGCTTATGCGGGTCTTTCTGACGGTACCTGGGGACGGGGGCGGGGTCCTTCTGCGAATAGCCCGTCTTGGGGCCGTTGATAGGGTCGTGTTTGCTGTACTTCGGTGGGTCGGAGGGCATGGGCGCACGCGCCTCCCACCAGCGCACGCTCGACGGCTCGCGGGCTTCCAGTTCCTCCAGCTCGTCGAGTGAGCGAGGCGGTGTCTGCCAGAACTTGGACCCTTTCGGCTTCTGCTTGGGCTTGTGCGGGTCCTTCTGCGAGTAGCCGGGCTTAGCACCGTTGATCGGGTCGAGTTTGCTGTACGACGGTGGCTCCGACGGCATAGGTGCGCGCGCCTCGTGCCACACCCGGGTGACCTTCCGACCCTCGAGCGCATCGACCACGGCACGCGCCATGACCTCCGCATCGTACTCGAACCCACGCTCCTGAAGGTCCGCACTGGAACACTACGTCAGCCCTGGTGAATCCGAACGGCGGGACGGGACACTCACCCTTGGGAGCCAATGGGCAGGGCGAGCACCGACGCGGGTATAGCCACGAGCGATGCCAGAAGGAGCGATAGCGTTGTGTCAACACGCATCGTGAATTTTTTGCAGTTGCTGAACGGTGTCGTCAAAAGGATGAGATGGAAGGTCGTTAAGAATCAAGCAGGGCTATATCGCAATCGGTCAGCAGGGTGTTACGTCGGATGTACACGGCGCTGTACTCACCAACCAGTACCACAACTCTCGGTGAGCTCAGAAGTGAACGAGCTGAGCTGAAGAATGCAGGCCGCGCTGTCCTCCTTATATATAGCGACAGGCTGGGCGTCCATCCTGATGAGGTCTTGATGCAATAAACAATGGCTCCCGTCGACTTCGGGTTCGGGTTCATGCCGCGCATCTTACGCTGTGGTTCCTTGGAATTGCCACTACTTACACGCTATCACCGCCATGTTGTTTGAGACTAGCTGTTCGATGTTGTAAGCGACGAAAAAAATGTTGACAAATGCAACTATCCGGCAGGTGGTCTGACGATAGAGCTACTTCACCTACGAAGTTGTAACGGGGCAGACCCGACGCTACTTATTGTGGAACTTGAAGCTTGAAGGCTGCGAGGCGCTGAGTTCGGTGGCTGTGTTGGTCCCACAATGATCGTCCGCCGCAAGCTGTGCATATACAAACTAAGCTTGTACTTAGTAAGAACGCCGCATGGAGGTCCGGAAGAGACGCCTCGGGCGTGTCAAGAAGTCGAGGCGCCCAAATGCTATCGGCCGGTGTTTAAATGGACCTCCTCCTCCTCCTCCTCCTCCTCCTCCTCGGGCGGGATTGTCTCGGGCGGCCTCAGCGCTACCCAGCGTACCTGAGTAACGAGCCACGGAGCTACAACGTGTCATTGATGAAGCTGAAGCTTGACAGAAGCGGTGCGAGAGATCATATATCGATCTTAGTCCAGGCGATCCGTATCGGCGACTTCAGCCGCGGTTCGAACTAAGCAGTGAGGAACCAGAACATGATTTATCGGACGGAACAGGGTACAGCGGATCTTCTGGTATCGGACGACCATGTAACCAATGATGTGCGTTGCAATGTACCGGGTTTTTGGGTAATAATGCCAGTGACTACTGTAGAATTTCGACATCATGTTCAGTGGGTGTGACCTGTGACGCTGAACTAGGTAGGCGCCCCAGTTCAGGACCGGCTGGGACCTGTGACCATAGGGCTAGTTCAGTCCAGAGGTCTGTCCGCGCTGGGGCCTACGTATGTTCACAAACCGTCACTGTGACCATCGGCAAAACCTCAGTTCAGGACCCCCTGCGACCTGTGACTTCTGAACTGAAAGCTCAGTTCAGAGAGGCCCGTGACCTGTGACTGAACTTGATGTCGAAATTCTACAGTAGTGTTGACCAGCCCGCGAGCCCGGCCCATGGACATCATCTTACCCGCAGGAGAAGCGTTAGCCGTCAATATCGAGGGTATGATTGACTCACTTCGACCACAACGTGGGTTGTCAGCGAACGCGAGAACACCATCACTGACGCTCAGGTGAAAGTCCTGTTCGCGTTCATCGGGATTGAAGGCACATACGTGTCTTCATGCCATTGAAGTTAGAGGCACAGACTCAGAGGTACGGTGCACCTATTCTCAGCCACAGCTCTTGGGCGGTTTTGTGCGGCCTTACGAACGTACAGCTTGTATACAACACACCGCAATCTCGAGTTCTCAGTGCTTCCGCCACAGCCACAAGGCCCACAGAAGAGCATCCCAGATCAGCATCCCAATTTGATACTGATATTGGATCACAGGCGAAAGTGCTGTGCCATCCGATGCATGCATAATTCCTAGGGGAAGTCATCGAGGTAGGTCGTCCGGTTGCAGAGCATGCGTTATGATGATCATGATGAGTGTTATTCGTTCGTTGGTCAAGATAACCCAGCGAGGGCCCCTGGCGAAAGGCCTTCTAACGGGTATGTGTTGACCATCTCGAGCAGCGCAGAAGGGACCTACCCATGGACCTTCGACGTATGTTGCCGATTGAATCCGTCTTTGACGGCGATCTGAAGTGAATTTGACATACCACGTCTGCCCTTCCCACATGGTCGTCCATTCACAGAACACCGCCGCTTGTGACCGCATTGGGAACAGAGAAGTCTAATATGAACAATGATTGCCGGTTTGCACCAGCATCTCAGACATCAGCTCACTCATGAAGATGGAACATGCTGATCCCAACGCGGTGAGGCCACCGCATGAAGTACTAGCATCCGGCCTCTTGGAATTTCATATAAAAGGAGGGTCAGAACGACCATGACTCCTCAGCTCAGCTCCTTCATTCCTGAGTTTACTGATAGCAGCGGCACTGGTTGGTGAGTAGTGTGCATTCTGTATTTCGTACGTCGACTAACACTTGTGCGGCAGCCTTGCTTGATTTTACGAATCTTCACTCTCATTCATCCACGACCACCGTACATTTTGAAAGCAAGACACGATGCGCTTCAGCACTGCATTCTCTGTCCTTCTTGCATCCATCGCGACCGTTCCGTCGGTGATGGCCCTCCCCACCGGCTACGAAGGGTGAGTTACTTTTCTGCGCAGACTAGATACAAGACTGAGGGAACATCGCAGGGCTACGCTCCAGGAGCGTGACTTCGAGTACGACGCGCAGATCCTGGCTCGTGCGGTCGTCGACATGCTCGACGCCCGCGATGCATCACGTGTCCTGATGGCCCGGGAGCCCAAGAAGACTGACCGGCCTCCAAAGTACAAAAAAGCTGACCCGAACCCGGCCCATGCTGCTGCTGCTGCTGCTGGTAGGCCCCCGCTGTACACGAAGGGAGACCCGATGGCGTTACCCAGGTACCGCATAGGTGCCCATGGCCACGGGATAAAGCCGACCTCCGGCTCCGGCTCTGGCTCCGGCTCTGGCTCCGGCTCCGGCTCCGGCTCCGGCTCCCACCATCGGCGCTTGGACTTCGACATGTGGGATGATTTGGAGTAGATGTCGCGCATTGTTGACGATCGTTCATTGTTCACGGTGTAATGAGAATGGATTTTCGTGTTTCCCGCTACGTGCGCATGGCGAGAGCTTCATATTCGCCGACGCCTGCTCCTGGTGGCTCTGCCACACTACCGTGCTTGACAATGACTGCATATTTCGGGTGATGTGGCTCTGTGTGCTGCCAGCCTAAGTGTAGCGATTCTTGAAGCTTGATGTCGGGCCTGCACCAGTGCTGCAGTGCACGACTCAGTGAGAGTCAGTCTGGCCCGCCGTTCCAGATTGCGTTCCCGATCTCAGGTGCATCGGGATCACGCAGCCACCTGGGCCTCTCATAAGCGCTGGGACTGCTCTGTTCGTTACCCCAACGTTGACTTCGACCAGTCTTTACATAGCGATTCGACTGGCGAACACCGAAGAACCCACTAGGCCTGCACATCTACATGCGTGCTGGTGCGTTAGCATTGTCTGGATAGATTGTGGCTACCGGTCGCACACGGTACACGGACCTGTCTTCAAACCGGCACGTAGCATCTATCGGTAAGCAGGATGTAATCCATACTGTGTGTGACCTTTGAAGGTTGCTGGCGTAAACTGTGATTCCTTATAAGACTTCACAGGCACAGGCTGACGTATCCCAAGCCCCAGACCCGCGCGGCCGGCGCGGCAGTGCGACTGTCATGACCAGGGCACACTACCTCCGCACCTTCGATCATATCCTTAACGCCACCAAAACGAACGTCGCTGCCCACGAGAAACACTCGGAGAGGCACACTTCTCTTACGACAACGACTAGTGATGTGAACGATAGAGTCGCCGTGGGTGCCCCTTCGTATTGAGCGGAGCAAAGCACAGCGGTTTCGATTGGATGACTGACATGGCGATCGGACATGCAGACACAATGCAGACATGCCAGCCTGGACATGTTTGCAGTGCCTAACATGTCACAGGCCAGCGACCCTGATCACCGCATTACCCCGCTATCGCCTGCAGCGCCGAGCATGACGCTACAAGTGACGAAGCGATGATGTGTGAACACGAATGCCCCTCGGGGCGAAGGCGGACTTGCACTAAGCGCTAAGTGCCCAGTGGGCCTTCATTCTACTCGCTTGGGTATGATGATTGCAGCCCACACTGGCGGTTGTGGCAGGTGGACCTATTCTAGGGACATGGCTTCGAGTATATAGCCTTGTCGCTGTATTCACACTACGAGAAGATGTTCTCTGCGACAAGTTTCTCCGACGCGGTTGACAAGATGTCTGTACAGATTGGGATATACGCACTCGCTGCCTTCAGTGTGCTGTTCATCGTTTGCGCACTGATATTCGATAGGAGTCGCAGATACGTAAGTCCCGCTTCTTTACTGAATGTGCTCCTAAATAATTGCTGTTGCATGCAGTTGTCCGACATACCTACCGTCGGCAGGCCCTCACTCCCGGTCTTCTCCTACATAGGCGTCATACGATATCTTGCGAACGCTCCTAGTATCATACACGAAGGTTATACGAAGGTATTTTGCCTCGCACGGTACTGCTCTCCACCAGCTGACCGCGTTGCTTCATATTCATATGTCACCCCCACACCAATGTGTGTATGAAAAGCACAAAGGCAGCAGCTTCAAATTCGCTGAATCTGGTCGTTGGCGCGTGCTCCTCACTTCCCCGGAAGCAGTTGAGGAGCTCGCGCGCGCGCCGGAAGACGTACTATCCTTCCATGCAGCAGCGAACGACGTGAGTCCCGCCTCCACCCTGTGGGCCCGCGGGCCAAATTGAGCACACGGACACTGACGGGTGGATATACAGTCGATACAGCTTGCATACACCCTGGGCCCTAACATCGAGCGCGACCCGTACCATATCCCACTCATCCGCAATCAGCTTGTGCGCAACGTCCCACGGATGATAGACGATATTCGGGATGAGGTCGTGTGCGCGTTTCGTGACGAGATACAACCCCACGACGCTCGCAATGGTAAGTCTGCTTCGATCTCTAGGTCACCTATTCGTACTTCTACTCAAAAATGGTCGTCGTTGAAAGGTTGGATTAGCGTGCAACTGAAGGATGTGGTAGCGCACATCGTGTGTCGGGTCGCTAACCGCGCCTTCGTCGGCCTTCCATTATGTATGTTTTCAATCCCTGGCGTTGTGCGTTGCCACGTTCAGGGTGCTATTGCTGATTTCATAAACGCGTCTGTAGGCAGAAACACCGACTATCTCGCAGTCAACACAGGATTCACGATGGACGTGGTGCTTGGGAGCGCTCTCATCAAGCACTTTCCTTCATTCTTGAAGCCGTATGTATCTGTGCTCTCTTAGCCGCAGTATTTTCCTCAGCTTGACGTCGGCATTGTATACACCCTCGCAGATTCGTTGCAAAGTTCTGCACGAACATCCCCGCAAGCATTGATCGTATCGTCCGGCACTTAGAACCGATTATCCCGGAACGTCTGCGTGTAGCGGCGGAGAGCAAGCTGAGCGGTCGGAAGGAAGGTAACAGTCCAGTGAGTGCTTCTGTCATGCAGCTGAGGCTGCCGCGCTACTGTCGCTGATGTCCGCTAGAACGACCTGCTACAATGGCTGATCGAGAGTGCGCCGGAGGGCCCTGAACGGACTGTCCCTGCGCTCGCCTTGCGCATCCTAGTGCTCAACTTCGCCGCAATGCACACAACATCTACAGTACGTCTCAACCACTAAGGACGATTGTACTGCTCACTTCTCGACGATGCGCTCCACACAGGTTCTTACACATACCCTGTACTACCTCGCCGCCCATCCGGAACACGCAGCAATTCTCCGGGACGAGGTCGAGGGAGTTGTGCAGGACGAGGGCTGGAGTAAGGCCGCACTGGGGAACATGCGCCTCGTCGACAGTTTCCTGAAGGAAGTTGGGCGCGTCACTGGCATGGGTGCAAGTACGTCATGGGCTGCTCAAATCAGCCCAGTGTTCTTCAGCTGACAGTCACTGCGCTAGTTGCCATGAATAGGAAAGCGCTGCGGGACTTCACCTTCTTGGACGGCACGTTTATTCCCAAAGGAACTTTTGTAGCTGCTGCCGCTCGGCCTATCCACTGGGACGGGGAACACTATGCCAATCCCGAAGCTTTTGATCCATGGCGTTTCGCCACCATGAGTAATCGGAACTCCAAGACGGGTGAACAACTGGTCAACACAAACGACCACTATCTGTTGTTTGGGCATGGTCGGCATGCATGGTGCGTCACTCAGAAGGCTCATTGTCTAGTCACTGATCGCCGTGGGCTATGCAGTCCTGGTCGCTTCTTTGCAGCGACACTGCTGAAGTTGATGCTCGCCCACGTCGTCGCTACGTACGACGTGAAGTTCGCCGATAACATGGAGGCTCATGCCGTACCGCCGCCAACGTGGGTCTCGCTGTCGATGGTTCCGAACCGCAGCGCAGAAGTCTTGTTCCGCGAGAGGCGATCGAAGCATTGACGGGCAAGCTGTGGGTCATTTCTGAGAACACCCAAGCGACGTAACTCATTACTCGGGCGTGTATGTATGATTGTCAGGGGGTGTGTACTATCGTGTCTCAGGCGTGTGAAAGTGTTCTGAGGATTCGGAGGAATGCGCGCAAGCAAAGTGGGGTATACTTGCAACTGACCATCGTTTCTGTGATATCTTAACAAGCACTGATGACTGGCCAAATGTTGTCAATGTTGTCATCGAGTGGTGTCTACCTTCATGAGACGCCCAACAAGCGACCAATATACTGTACATCTGCGGAATTGGAGTCTTATTTGTATAGTGAACGTCGTCCCCAGAGCGGTTGCACCGCCGCGGTCTCCTCTCAGAACACACCAGTGGGCGTGTTGAAATCTCCCACTCAGCCTGTAGCACAACCGTCTGACCGGCGTCCATACTACGCACCCACTCAAAAACACCCTCACCCTCCCTACCATCCGCCTCTCCGATATTCTCGCCCAGTACCCCGCGTTCCCGAGTAGCGCGGCGGCTCACTCGGGGTCGACACCCGCGGCATTGGGATCCTTCTCGTGCACGGCCTTCACTGTGATCGCAATCTGCGGATCAACTGCGGATTCACGGACACAGGGACACAGGCAGCGCAACCCGCAGCACGAACTTTGGGATCGCGAACGTATGCCCATTCGTCACGGCGTAGCGCTCCGTACATGTCGTCGTCCAGAGGCGTTCCACAAACGGACGCTCGGCCCCTGTCCTTCCGTGCGCGCCGCGCCTCGGTGCATGACGTGCACAGCGTCGTCCACACCGAGTGGAGCGACGATCGTGTCTTGCGTTTTGATGTCCTGCACGTAGTCAGTATCGTTTCTTCGCGCTACCTACGCTCACCTCGCCAGCGTCAGGTATGTAACAAAACAAAAGACGCGCCTTCAGCGAATTCTTCGCCACCTGCTTTCCGTCGACGTAAACGGCCAGCGGTCCCGCGACGAGAGTGTGCGCACTCGTGTTCCTCGAGCGGCACTCGACGAACACGGCCACCCGCGAGCGCGGCACGCACACCCACGCAAAGGCAGCATTCAGCACGAGCGAGGCGATCGGGACCGCATTCCCAACAACATCGCTCGAGATGCTCGCCCTCTCCTCTGCTGAGAGGTGCACGTCGTCACTGAGCCCGCTCGAGTCGCGGTGGACGATCTTCTCGCCGAGCGCAGTCACTCGCATATTGGGCGCAATCCCGCTGCTAATACCACGGCTGTCCGTGCCTATTGTTGATCTGTGAATGCGCCGCTTGGCCTGCTTCGCTAGAGCCGTCGCTGGTGGTGTTCGCCGGAGGATGCGGAATACGGCTCCCAAATAGTCCACCTCCCGCCAACGAAGCGCCAGAGCCTGGCACATCGGATAACGAACGGTCGAATACACCACCTGACTGTGATCCAGAGTTCGTCGAAGCCGCGACGGAGTCAAACAGGCTCGGCCGGGGGTGCTGCTGAGCTGCCAAGGCGCTAGGCGAAGGACCAAAAAGGCCGCTGCCCGTCTGAGCTGGCGGCGATTCAGAGGACCACAGCCCCAGCAGCAGCACCTAAAGCCAGTGGCTGACCACGGAAAGTCTGCTGGCTAAGTAGAGGATACGAGCCACTGCCAAACGCAGCTCCACCTGGTGTAGCTCCGAATGGCAGGGTCAGTGCAGGGCCCGGGACTGCGAAGGTAGCTGAAGCACCTCCATTCCTACCAAAGCACGTAGGGATGCGCCGATTCAAGCTGAGAGCAGCCAGCGAGGGGACATCGGCGTCGTCCCCTTGTGGAGGCTCGTCGGCAGACACGAAGGCCACGCTCGCGTCCGTCCAGTCTCCGCCCGATGGTTGCTTTGTAGTGAAGAGATACCGTCGACGCCGGCTGGCTGTCGACGGTAGTTGCGTGTAGTTCGTCTGAGTACGCCACCCGGCTAGCATCGTCGACCTCTGTTCGCTCTAAATGAGCGAAGAAAGGTATGAGCTAACTTAGCGATAGACTCACCGTATGTAATGTCAAGCTCAACCGAGCAAGTCTAAGTTTCAGAGGCAAGAAGTAACACTGAGGACGCCAGCAGTATGTGCACCGTTGAGCGTGCGCGCATGATCTACGAAGAGGCTTGAGCCGTGATCCTGGACCTTCCGCTCGTCTTCGAACTCGCGCTTTCGCTGCAACAAGGCGCGGCGCGCGGCGCTGTCGTCCGCGGGCATTGTTGCGTTGAGCGCGGCAACAGTGTAGTGAATATCCGACACACGGGCAGAGCCGCCGAGATGGGATACTCTCAGAGACTTGTCATCTAGCGAGCCAGATAGCTGAGTGATGTGAACTGTATTCCTGCCCGTCTACAGGTGCGAGATGTACGGCGCGTCGAACTCCATATTAAGACGCGAGGACACAACGTCATAACTTGAAATGCGCACCTACATAGATCTAGGTCGAGGGTGAAATTTTGAAAGATCGGACGACCTCCGCTGCCTTCCGGTAGACAGTCACCGCTTTGATGGGCTGAACAGACGCGTTGAAATGTAAGACGGTCACGGTTGCAGGCTCAGAATACTGTGAGACAGCCCGCTTATACTTATGGTTGAGGTTTCCTGAAGTCAGCGTGGCTATGATGGTACATGGCAGATAGGCGCTCATCGGTCGCACGTTGTGGTATCTTCGTTCGAATGTTGACGTTCACAGTAGAAGACACAGATACTTCGCAGTGCACGGCGAGTGGGATGTGCGCAACCACGAGTTCAAGACACAACAGCAGGATTGATTTGAACAATCTATGCTACGATATGTATGGTGGCGCCACAAATACACAAGAACCACAGAAACCGGCGAGGATGGATGAAGCTGATGGGATGGATGGATGGAATTCTTGCCGTCCACTCGTACTATGTTACTAGGTGCTGATACGGATGATGTAGTGACTATGGGAATAACCTTGAAAGATGAGGACCGATAAGGATGTGTGCATGTGAAGTGGCGATGAGCAGATGGGCGTGAGGAGACGTGGTGAAAGTCATGATGCGTGCTGCAGGACCGAGGGACAACTCAGAACAGATGCAGCAGCGGGGCAGTCCTGCGTAGCAAACGTCGGTGTAGATGGGGTGATTCGCCAGCAGAGCGAGACAAGCCGACGCAGCGCTGCGATTCCAATGCATGCTGTAGGCGCGGCGAGGTGGCGCTGAGGGACCAGACCAGGACCGGGGTTCCATCGGACATCGGAGATCAGCGATACGACATTTCGACGGACGGCCGGTCATGCATGCGGCGTCGGCTGCTGTACGGGTACGGGCCTTGCAGCGCCCTCGGGATCCTGTATAGCGAACGGAGGCGTTGAGCATGGGGACAGACAACCAAAGAGAAGTACGAACACACCATGCGCTGCTTTTTCAGCGGCCTGGGCCGGACTCCCGCGTTGCCCGCCTTCGCGCTCACGACTATAGCCGGCCTCGCTGCGGCAGCCCCATTCCCGTTCGTTGCATTCGTGCCGTTCGTGCGCGCGACAGGTTGCGCGCCGTCCCCGGTGGGCTCCCTCTCGCGCTTGGTCCCGCGCCTGAGCTCGGTCCCGGTGGACACATTCGTCGACGCTGGCGTGGAACCGGGTGGGCTGAACGCGACCGCCGTCGGTGCAGGCGTCGGGATAGCCGCGGTGCCAGGTGTAGGCATCGACTGCGGCGTTCCGATGCCGACGGGCGTTCGACCGCGCGGATGACTGGGGTTCACATTCGCGTGCGGTATTGATACGGCTGGCCGTGGCACACCTGCAGGTTTTGGCGTCGCTCCGCGCGCCGGAACAGTCACCGATGATGACACCGCCGCAGGGGTTGCAGGCAGTCCGGACGCTGAGGGTGTGCCCACCACGAGTGGGGTTTGGCCCTGCGATTTTGCGAGTTTCTTGAGCTCTTTACGTTTCTTCCTGTCCTCCCGCGCTTGTGGTGACTCCGCGACGAGCACGTTGATATTCCACTGCAAGAAGCGTCAGTCCTGCACCGCAGAGGGACAGGAGGCAGTCGTACGCCTTTGAGGCCATCCAGGTTAACTGAGAATGCATCCCGCTGAGTTCGTTGGTCGAACGGCACAATGGCAATCTTCTGCTTCGGAGGCACCTGCATTATCGTCGTCAGGTATTCGTCCTTCTTCATAGAATGTTTTCCTGTCCCAAATGGTGAGAAATTCCGACGCGTCATAACGGTCAAGGCACGCACCAGGAATGCCCTTGATGAGCTGCTTATATGTATTCTTTGCTTTCTTCTTTCCCTCTCCATCGTCCTCGTCTCCATCCAGCACAGCTCCTGGTGTTGCGCCCAGCGGGACTGACATCTCCCTCTCCCTGCCTTTGCCCTTGTCCGCGGCGGAAAGCTGCTGACCGACGGGCGGCGCGTACGGCCGAACATATTTGTCGTAGGCAGGAAGCAGTTGAAAACGGGTGATGAGGTCCTGGGTACTGCTAAGAAGAGGGCGCGGTCGAGGAGGGCCTGGTGGACGTAATGGCGAGGTGAGTTTGCACACGCGAGAGAAGAGCATGGCGACAAACCTGGTGGCGGAAGGTAGATGGGTGGTACTTCGAGCATCGTCGAGGGCCCAGCGAGTGCATTTGGTGGATGTGGTGGATGTGGTGGATGCTGTTCGTCGTCGACGGGCATGACGACGAGCAGAGCGTGGTGGTCGATGAACAAGTGGCGACGCCTGTGGCAGGTGGATGGCCATAGTATTAGGAGCGCCGACGCGGCAGTGCTTGTCCGGGTGTGTCGGAGCTTGGGATTTGTGATCCGATGTCTTTGTTACTTTGAGCGGAGAACGAAGAAAACAAAGCGTCTGGACACCGATGTTCAAGTCCGCGACGGTGCTTGTTCCGGACCTCATTTCATATATTGTATCTTATCTTCGTCACGGCGCCGAGGACGGCGACCGCGAGCTCGTGTCGTGCACGCTCTAGCTGGGACTTATACTCGCCGCATGTCCACTGCTCCCGCAGGTCGTCCCACTGCGCATCCCCTCATCCCAAACCACCTCTCCTCTGGCGACCCACTCGATAGAGACCTTGCGGGCTTCTGCGACCACGGAACTGTAGAACTAGAACAGCGTAGACGCCGCCTGCCGACGCGACCGGGATGACGTCGCGTGCACTCCTGACCACCTCCTCCGACCGGTCGCAAGGAGAACAGTCTCACTCTGGTGGCGATGAGAGGGCACCGCTTCTGAGTGGTAGCAGGGCGAGGCCGGCGAAGAAGTGGTACCGTGCGCGACCACTATGGTGAGTGTCCAATCGCGAGTTCGCTATCTAGCGTTTGTCCTATGCATTCTCTCGTAACACGTCCCCGAAGCGAGTTCAGCCTCTGGGGCACTTCTCACCAGCTCGTTCTACGGTCCATCGCTTCACCTTGGGCAGCGTAGGCCATGCTCATGCAGCCTGGCACGAGCACCAGCCGCCTGAGGTCCAGCGCTCGGACCTCGGCTGCCCAGGGGCGCCCTGACTCAGGCAGCTAGCTCATCATTGCAGTCATTGACCGCGCAATCCACGTGAGACTTGCGGGAGTCGCAGTATTCAGCCTTTGCAGTGCGATCTCAGCGGGTCTAGTGGAGACCAGTTCGTTGCCTATGTCTGGCTGTTGGCGACGCAGACTTGATGGTAGCACGAAGTCCACCTTCGCCTCGGCAGTCGTAGACGCGAAGGGCTATCGTCCTGGGAATAGCTGTGTTGCTGTTCTGCAACCAGCCCGTCTGTGCATGTGCCATGTTCCGCTAACCTGTCAGATCCGATGCTTATCCATCAGGATGAAAGGAGTTTACTCGCGATGTCAGTGCACAAACTGTGCAGCAGCAATGCTCGCTGCGCTCGGGTGGCTGCGGGGGAGCGACTGCAGACCTACAGCCAATACGTCGCTGGGTCACCACACACAGGCGGAGATCTGCGCCAACGTGTCGGAAGGCCTTCACGTATTTGACTACTGCTGGGAGCTCCTGGCTGATCCAGAGCAGTGACGGAGAATTGACAATTGACGTCCTGCCTATGCGGAGAGTTCGTGTGGGCCCCAGCGACATGATCTAAGCTGACATGTGCTCACTCTCAATACAAGGTACCAGCGTCGAGAGCACGAACTAATTGTGCATCCACAGGCTGGTCCCATTCTCAATTACCGCTTCGATCGTCGTGAGTAGCACACCAGACTCGAACTGTCGTCGCTCGCCATTGACATACTATTCAGCGAGGCATGACTATTGGCCCCAGAGTCGAAGTCTTCACTCAACTCTCCTGCAACGCTATTTATGGCCATCACTCCTACAACCACACTTCCGAGAACACGAACACAATCCTTCCAACTATCTATTCACGTGATCCCACTCACATCGAGTCCTTTATTTTCGCTTTGGATGGAATGTCTCTTGCATCGTCTATTCTTACCCATCATCGACCCATCACATTTGTGACTCAACCCGACGACGACGAAGACGACGATGAACGTGACCCTCGTACCCTACCCTCCAAGAGATGTTCCCAGGATGCAGCTGTTCAGAAAGGAGCAGCTCGTTTACAGACTATCATGACATTTACGGCCGGTGTCCTTTCCGCTCTGACGACAGGCTGGTGGGGTCACTTCGGCGAAATGCGTGGACGCACGAAGGTTCTGTCGGCAGCGACGCTCGGTCTCTTCCTGACGTGCGTATATGCACTGCCTACATTGTGCGACTCAATCACTAACGCAGTCACCAACAGCGATCTGACATTCATCCTAGTCTCCACGCCGCATAGCATATTCGCTGCACATGGCCACAAGTTGCTCGTGATCTCACCGATGGTCGAAGGTTTGCTCGGTGGCTGGCAGACGCTCATGGCTGCAGTCAATGCCTACGTCTCGGACTGCACCTCGGACGGGTCGCGCGCGCACATATTCTCCCGCTTCCTCGGTATCTCCTTCTTCGGGTTTGCCCTCGGGCCTGCTGTAGGCGCGTACTTCATCCGCCACCCGTTCGTCGTGGGTCCCTTGCCAAGTCCGAGCGCGCACGGCACGACGCAGAACGTCACGACTGTGTTCTATATCGCGGCGTTGTGTTCGTTGATCAACCTGATGCTTGCGCTCTTCGTCTTTCCTGAGCCTACGAAGAAGGCGAAGATTTCGGCGGAGACGCAGGCGCTGCCGGAGGGTGAAGGCTCAACGCCATTGTCTCCTGGCAAACAAGGACATATGGCTGGCTTCTTGGGTCCCTTCAAGCTGGTGGCGCCCAGAGTTGTCCAGAATCCGGACGGCACATCCAGGAAGGATTGGCGGATCACCCTTATCGCGACGTCCTTACTTGTGTATGCTCTATCGACAGTACGTCGTTCTCTTGCTACCATTCTTCGATTGTATTTACAAGGCTTGCGTCACAGGGCATCTTCCAGATTAAATACCTGTACGCAGTGCACGTCTACGGGTGGGATGCCGAACAAGTGAGCCCATGACATGCTCCGAGGTACACTGACTGACAATCGACGTCGGCTACAGCTTAGCTACTACATATCTGCTATGGGTGGCTGTCGGACACTGTACCTGTTGGTGCTGATGCCAGGTACGTCACAGTGCGAGTAATCTGCACGCTGTCTGAGCGCGTGCCACAGTCGCGATCTACTTCTTCAAGCCCAAGCCCAAGGTATCCCCTCAGGCTTCCGCGGCTCCTACCGTGAAAGGGAAGAAACCGCCGCAGACGCCTGCGCAGATCGCGGCCGAGATGCGGTTTGACTTTGGACTTCTGCGAACGTCGCTCGTTATCGACTTGATGTCGCACGTCCTGGTGTCGCTATCGTCGCCCGACTCCAGCTCGACCGCGTTCACGATGTTCACCTCTCTAAGCAGCTTCGGCGCGGGCGTTGATCCGGCGCTTCAGAGCCTTGCGCTGTGCATCATGCAGGCGAACGGCGAGGACAACCGCGGCCAGTTGTTCGGCCTGTTCGCGATGCTGCGTACCATCGGACAGATGATAATTGGCGTACGTGATAGAACGATCTCGTGGCAGGGCATTGCTGACCTCCTCGTCTAGCCGCTCATATTCGGCCTTATTTACGCCGAGACGGTCGCGACGTTCCCCAAGGCCATCTTCGTGGCCGCAGGCAGCTTCGCCTTCGCCGCTTTCATCTTCCTCTCGCTCATCCGCCCCGATGCCGGGATCAAGGTGCGCCGTAGAGTAGCGCGGCGCGTTGACGAAGGCGAGATGGAGAGAGGGCGGTCGCGCGTGAGCAAGGACATCAGCAAGTCTGGCACACGCGTTGCGGTGGTCTCTATCGGGGGCACGCCGTCCAGTCAGGGCACGGCTTCTGGGTCGATGACACACTAGATGGAATGGTAGGATGGATTGGATGACTGACAGGGTGATAGAGTGTTGTATTTTGAGATCTACTTTCTGTACCTGCCTAATCTTGAGTATTGTATGTATATATGAATAGAACCGTTGTGCGTATTGACAACCTTGAGTTGTGTCCGTCGATGAGACTTCGTTTTGTATGAACGTTTCCCGTTGGTGGGTTCAAGTTATTTCTCCCTTCCTCCTCTTCTGCACGAGAGCGTCTCCGAGTTTGTAAGCTACATACTTACTAATATGAGTTCGTGGCGATGCTGAGCAGTCAGCGCCTATCTGCCAAGCTGACAAAGCGAATAAAATCCCGTATATAAGCAGGCTGTATCCCACTTCCTGTCGTTGCATCCTTTCCCTACTACCATGACCATCATCCAATTCAACGCGTCTCTGCAGTCTATCAAAGCGGTCACTGTCTACCGAAAGGCAGCCGAGGTCGTGAGGACCTTTACTCTCGACCTCCAGGTGCGTTATACATGTCCTCATGGTCAGCCATCGCGTTTTGACGAGTACGCTGCTCCCACACGTACGCCTATTAGCCTGGTAGAATTACAGCACATGTCACCCAGTTGTCTAGCTCTATAGATGATAAGTCACTGAGAGTGTCCCATCTGAGCGGATCTACTCGTGTGCTGGATGTTCAGTACACTGTCGCCGCATCCAACGCAGTAATGCCTGTGGACGACAGTGACGCGCGCCACGCCTTATTGCTGCGGAAGCGCGAGTTAGAAGATGAGCGGAAAGTCCAGGATCAGGGACTGAGCCTCTTCGTAGACTATGCGCGCACGCTCAACAGCGCGCACACCGCACCTGGTGATGCCGTGAACTTCCTGGATGCTTTCATGGCTGGTCGCCGGTCTACTGTCGCTAGTATACGCAAGCTCGACGATGAGATCGCTGAGATTGATAGAGCGCTGAACGCAGAGAACAACAAGTCCACTGGCAAGGGGGGAACGGATGGACGGGTGACCATCGACATCCTTGCCTCCGAAGCGTGTTCGGTCGAGCTTAGCATTACATACAGTGAGTTCCATGATCACCTCGTACCTTTCTTCGCTCATGGCATGGCGAACAGAGGTCGACGCTGCTGGCTGGAAGCCTTACTACGAATTGCACGCGACGACCGTCAAGGGCCAACCGGCGTCGACGGTGTCTCTCCATTACAACGTCCGCGTGAAGCAGACGTCGGGCGAAGACTGGACGGACGCGAACTTCGTCTTTGTGTCCGCCGACGAGCCTTCACAAGGGGTCGACGCCGATGTCCCCTCGCTGGCTGCGCGCAAGGCGAAGTGCATCCCGCTTTTCGGTGGCTACGGGGATGTTTCTGCGACCTCCGGAGCTGCACCAGCGGGTGGGAGTTCGTTTGATTCGTCGCCTAACAGGGGCTTGATTGGAGCTCCATTTGCGGCTCCATCCGGAGGCGGAGGTCTATTTGGTTCTACTGGTTCTACTTCCGGCTTTGGTGCCTTTGGAACTGTCGCCAATGCAATTGCCCAGCAGCACGAGGGGGGCAACGACCCGCCGCCAGCCCGGGCCGCAGGTGACGGTCCTACGCCCCACCCATTCACGACTTGGGGCGTGTTCAGTCCTCAAGCGCCTGCGACGAACCTGGGACCACAGGCAAGCGGGGGTCTATTCGGACGTTCATCACCCGCTGCGGCAGTCTCTGGAGGTGGAATATTTGGGAGCCGCATCCCGGACCCTGCGACGAATGCCGCCAGCGCGAGCGCTTCAGCATTCGTCGCGCGACCCGCCCACACTACAACGGATGTGGCTACCACCCCAGGCCTGTCCAGCAAAGCAGTCCCTGCCGTCAAACCCCAGATCGACGATGGCACGGCCGGCCGTGGTATTAGCACCGGAATTGTGCCCAACATGCGCGTGACTGCGCTCGGCGAGAAGATCGTCCTCCGCGAGAGCGGGCTCCGTGACGATGTACGCCTGTCCGCAGAGGAGAGGGCGAGCATCCCGAGCGATGGTGTTGGGCACGCGGTCCCGATCGCCTCGCTCGTGCTGAATGCTGCCTTCGCGTGGGTGTGCGTGCCGCGCTCGCGGGTGGCCGTGTTCGTCGAGTGCCGCTCGAGGAACACGAGTGCGCATACTCTCGTCGCGGGTCCGTTGGCCGTTTACGTTGATGGAAAGCAGGTGGCGAAGACTACGCTGAAGGTGCGTCTTCTGTTTTGTTACATACCTGATGCGGGCGAGGTGAGCGTAGGTAGCGTGAAGAAACATACTGACTATGCGCAGGACATCAAACCGCAAGACAAGATCGTCGCTCCACTCGGTGTGGACGACGCCGTGCGCGTCATGCATCGACGCACGGCGAGCACGGAGGAACAGCCCGAGCGTCCGTTCGTGGAACGCCTCTGGACGACGGCATGTACGGCACGTTACGCCGTGACGAATGGGCATACGTTCGCGATCCCGAAGTTCGTGCTGCGGGATGCGCTGCCTGTGTCCGCGAATCCGCAGATTGCGATCACAGTCAAGGCCGTGCGCGAGAAGGACCCCAATGCCGCGGGTGTCAACTCCGGATTCGACTTGGGCTCTGGTCAGGAAGGCGGGGTTCTCGGGGAGAACGTCCGAGAGGCGGATGGTAGGGAGGGTGAGGGTATCTTCGAATGGGAGCGTAGAGTGGAAGCCGGACATACGGATGTGCTGCAAGCTGAGTGGGAGGTCAGCACTCCTGCAGGTATCTCCTGGGAGGAGACCGCGGTGATGAAGCCGTTCTGGGGCAACAATCACTAAATAGTAAACGTAGACTGGGATGTAGCAGATGTATAGTATTGTGTTGTCACGAGCCAGTATTGCGACATGCCAGTGCTCGAAATTGTACAAGGTCATTGCTAGATAAACGTTGAGCCATGAATGAGCGTCATTATATCACTGCATCAACGTTGAGTCACGCACTTTCAGTGCTGACGGGAATGGCCAGTACTCTCGTAGGCATAGCCACGATCGATGTGAGCAAGAGTGCGAAGATAGTACTGGAACGCATTCTGTCTGTTCAATGTCTGCTGTGGAAGCTTTGGCAGTCGTCGAAGCAAGAAGGTAGAAGCGTAAGTAGTCAAGCAAGGTTGCCGCAGTGACTAAAAGAGCATCATGAAAGCGGCAATCCAGAAACGTTGATTGCGGGCTATTCACCAACCAGACTCAGAAGATAAGGGGCTGAGCTGAGGTCCACCACACCAGCTCAGTGCGTCTGTACTGCAGAACCCGCTGAGTGCCTCGCGATTGGGACATGAGTGGCACGATGTCTGAGGTGGGAGGCGGGACGGCGATCAAGATTACAATCCCTGTTTGTGTAATAGGGTGGCTGTGGAAACAGTTCGTGGCCGAAAGTAATCAGTACTTATGCTCGCAGAAATAGGAAACGTCACGTAGAGATACAAGTAACAATGCGTGTCGGTATACCGCAGCCAAAGGACTTGTGTAGCAAATAGTGAGAAAGACAAGAAATGAAGAAGACTCACGCGACAAGGGACAGGCCAGCGGGTGTCCGGTAGGATGGCTGTTCCACCTCTGCAGTAGTAATGATCGCGAAGGGTCACGTTGTTGGGTCTGAAACAAGCTGTGCGATACAGACTACAACCATTCAATACGGTGCTGCCTATCGAGAATGCCTTGGTGTCATTGTCCGGATCCAATCTCAGCCACCACGGACTCAGGCGTCCATGGTACATACACATCTAAAGAATGAGTTACGTCGCTTCGGTGTTGTCAGCAATTACTCACAGCTCATTCATTAGTGCTTGGAACGCCTCTCGCAGAACAGCACTTTCGCCTTGCGGTTCGGAATCATCGACACCGAGACCCACGTTGGTGGCGGTACGGCATGAGCGTCCATGCTATCCGCGAATTTGACGTCGTACGTGGTGACGACGTGTGCGAGTATCAACTTCAGCAGTGTCGCTGCAAAGAAGCGACCAGGACTGCATAGCCCACGGCGATCAGTGACTAGACAATGAACCTTCTGAGCGACGCACCATGCATGCCGACCATGTCCAAACAACAGATAGTGATCGTTTGTCTTGACCAGTTGTTCACTCGCTGCCGTCTTGAAGTTCCGATTACTCATGTTGGCGAAACGCCACGGATCAAAAGCCTCGGGGTTGGCATAGTGTTCCTCGTCCCAGTGAATAGGCCGAGCGGCGGCAGCTACGAAGGTTCCTTTGGGGACAAACGTGCCGTCCAAGAAGGTGAAGTCCTGAAGCGCTTTCCGATTCACGGATACTAACGCCTGAGCGTCAGCCGGAGTGCGTTGAAGAGACTTGAGGCGGTCATGACGTACTCGCACCCAGGCCAGTGACGCGCCCAACTTCCTTCAGGAAACTGTCGACGAGGCGCATGTTCCCCAGTGCGGCCTTACTCCAGCCCTCGTCCTGCACAACCCGCTCGACTTCGTCCCTGAGGAACGCGGCGTGTTCCGGATGGGCGGCGAGGTAATATAGTGTATGTGTGAGCATCTGTGAGGAAAACACAATTAAGCAGGGCACAGTAAGAGTTATTTCTAGCGGATGAGACGAACGGTAGACGTAGTATGGAGCGCGGCAAAGTTGACCACCAGGACGCGCAAGGCGAGTGCAGGGACCGTCCGCTCAGGCCCATCTGGCGCGCTCTCAATGAGCCATTGCAACATGTCGTTCTAGCAGACATGGGTGATAATAGCGTGTCAATTGTGTTCTGTGGGTGCATGACCGGGCACTCACAGGACCATTCCCCTCCTTTTGACCGCCCAATCTCCCCTCAGCAGATACACGCAGACGTTCTGTGATGATCGGCTCCAAGTGTCGGACGACACGATCAATGCTTGCAGGAATGTTCGTGCAGAATTTCGCGACAAATCTGAGGGGGCAAGTCAAACTCGGGGACCATATCGCGCACGGAAGGTCAGGGACATACGGCTTCAGGAATGAAGGGAAGAGCTTGATGAGAGCGCCACCTAGGACGACATTCATCATGAATCCCGTGTTAACCGCTAGGTAGTCGGGGTCCCTGCCTACAGACGCGGTCGGGATATCAGTCATAGCACCATAAGCGCGGAAACATAACGTTGACAACGTACACAATGGGAGGCCGACGAAGACGCGGTTAATGACCCGGCACACGATGTGCGCACTTACATCCTTCAGCTGCACGCTAATCCAACCTGACAAAGACGAGTCACGCGGCGGTCCGAGCAGAAATAGCGAGTCCATAGTGAAACAGACTTACCATTGCCACCATCGCGGGGTTGCATCTCGTCACGAAATGCGCACACGACTTCATCCCGGATATCGTCCATCATCCGTGGGGCGTTGCGCACAAGCTGATTGCGGATGAGTGGGATGTGGTACGCGTCGCGCGCGATGTTCGGGCCCAGGGTGTATTCAACCTGTATCGACTATATGACCCGTCAGTATTCGTGTATGAAATTCTGCCCGCGGGCCCATAGGATGAAGGCGGGCTCACGTCGTTCGCTGCTGCGGGAAATGATAGCACGTCTTCCGGCGCGCGCGCAAGCTCCTCGACTGCTTCCGGGGAAGTGAGGAGCACGCGCCAATGACCGGCTTCTGCGAATTTGAAGGATCTGCCTTTATGCTTATCATCCGCACATTGGCGTAGTGGGGTGGTGAGTTTGAAGCAACGCGGTCAGCCGGTGGAGAGCAGCAATGCAGGACGAAATATACCTTCGTGTAACCTTCGTGAATAATGCTAGGGGCGTTGGCAAGAGATCGTATGACTCCTATGTAGGAGAAGACCGGGAGTGAGGGCCCGCCGACAGAAGGGATGCCGGACAACTGCAGCACACGAAGACAATTTGTGTAGGAGCGCAGCAAGTAAGGAAGTGCAACTTACGCGTCTATCACTACCGAATAGCAGTGCGCACACGATGTACAGCACAGTGAAGGCAGCGAGTGAGTATATCATGAGCTGGAAAGACATATTGCCAGCCCGTTGGAGGAGCTTGCCGTAGGGGAGATTCTGCCAGAGTGCACGCACCGTGATAAGGATATATACTCGAAGCGGCGTCCCTAGGATAGGTAAACCTGCCACAACGGCCAATGTGGGTTGCGATCGGCGTACCCAAGCAGGCAAGGCCGCGGCTCGTGGGCACCTGGAGCTTGGTGTAAGTCCGCCTTCGCCCCGAGGGGCACGGTGCGCATATCTAGTCGGTGGACGATGGGATTCGCAGCTTCATGCTTGAGGCTACAGGTGATAGTGGGGTACTGCGGTGATTAGGGTCACAGCCCTGGCAGTAGCCTGTCTTTGGCGGCAGTCTTGGTCCAGGATCTCCTGCATTGGCAGCGGTCAGCGAAACATGCTGAACGTATGGAAGACAAAGGACCCTAACAGAAGGCTGTTCAATCTGCAACGACATACCCATGAGGACGGAGCTGGCAGCACGCTTGCAGTGCAAGCCTCAGCTGACAGAACTGGTCCCATGTAGATCTGAGCTTAGCAGCACTTCCATGTAACGTTCAAATTACAGGACAGACGGCGTGGAGGGAAGGAGCCCACGGACCACGTACAGAGACGACTCCGTGATTGCTGGGGCGGAGTAGCAAGAAGTCGCTCACAGGACGCGGACTACCTGTAGTCGTAGTCATGGAGTTGTCAGCTCAGTCATCGACCGCCGTGTGGCAAGCCATCGAGTTACTGAGAAAAAAAGGGTCTCAACCAGTGGTACAAGCAATTGGAGCCATGCTACGCTTCGCTCGATAGGAAGGTGCGCCCACGCCGGCGACTACCGACCACATCACTAGGGCTCCTTCGGTCCTTACTAGTAATCGTTGTCGTACGAGAGAGATATGCCTTTCTGGAGTCTTTCTCATGGGCAGCGGCGTTCATTTGTTGTGGCCGTCACGGATGTGATTGAAGATGCGGACGTTGAGTGCCCGTCACCGCACTGACGCGGAGACCGAGCAGGTCTGGGACCTGAAATGACTCGACCTAGACCAGGACGTCTTATCAGAACCTCTGGCGTGCGCCAGCAGACTTGCAAGCCTCCAGGGTGAATTACATACTGCTTACCGATAAGTAGCACTAGACGCTGCGCGTCGGTCTCAAGACACTGGCAAGTCGATGCACCGTGCCCGGGCCCTAGCATGATGACAGCGTTCGGTGCCAAGATGTCAATATTAAGGTGCCAGGGCGCATATATCTTGATAGAGTAGGCGGTCTCTTGAGCGTACGTCCGTCGTGACACGATGTGTTGGAACCAAGTGCTAGCCCTCCGAGCCCTCGACCGATGAAGGCAACGTTGAACAAATTGACTCCGGTCCCAGTGGCTGCGTGATCCCGATTCCCCGATGCACCTGAGATCGAGAACCCAATCGGGTGCGGCGGGTCTACTTTTTCCTTATCAAGCAGCCAGTGTACATTGTTCGCGCCACGACCGGCACTGTCACAAGTCTGTGGTTAATCACACAGCCCTGCGGCGTTGGTCTTAATGCCAGCCTTTGGATCCTCACGTCCATATAAAGATATACTGACTTACCTCAGGCTCCTGGCAGTTGACGGCCCATCTCTGCGAACCACATCTCTGACTCGGAGTCATAGTGCGTGTTCAAGCTCCAAGCCTCACGCTGGAATGGGTGTGGTTTTGGAAACTCACAAAGCTCCAATCTCATTACACCGCCACCGACGACGTGCTACAGATGGCTATATTCTATTCCCAATCCCAATCGAACGCGTCCTCGAGCGCACGGCCCTTCTTGCGCTGAGCCGGGTGCCCGTCGATCGGGTGCGGGCTCGGGCCTCGTGCCAGATGCGATGCCTCTCGATGGCCATAGGATCCTGCTTGTTGCACGAAGGCGGATCGTTGGCCGCACACGCCGGACGTGGGTTGGAGTCGTTCTTCTTGTACCCGGAACACACCGGAGGGTTGGGCTCGTGGGCTGTGAGCATACGCCACGCATCGCGAGCTTCAAGGACACTCGCCATCGCACTCGCGAGGGTCTCCGCGTAGTACTCAAAGCTAAGCTCCTGGAGCTCAGCCTTGCGGTCATACCTTAGCGCCATCTCCAGTAGTCATCAATCAGGACTGACTCGCCTTCATAGCCAGCGGGAAGGGCCAACACGGACGGGACGGTCGCGATAGACGCACTGGTAGAAGGAGAACGCGGTGTTGAAACACATCGTGCCGTGTAGTAGTTGAGGGTCGGACAAGGATGTCCTGAGGCACAAAGGTTCGAAAAATTGACTACGTCTGCCTGGGGACACTACTACATATCTGTATAATCACAAAGATAGCGCTAATAATTGCTAATCAACGCGCCTTTTCCCTATGTGACCTATGCGGTACAGGGATACCCGCGGGTTACCGACATCCTAAGAGATGGTCGTCAGCGAGATTCATGAGGGATTTAGCCATCGGAGACGAACGTAGGGTGCACGGTGACGCGCCTCCCACCAGCGCAAGCTCGACGGCTCGCGGGCTTCCAGCTCCTCTAGCTCATCGAGCGAGCGGGGCGGTGTCTCCCAGAACTTGGACCCCTTCGGCTTCTGCTTGGGCTTGTGCGGGTCCTTCTGGCGGTACTTGGGGATGGGCGCAGGGTCCTTCTGCGAATAGCCGGGCTTAGCACCGTTGATCGGGTCGTGTTTGCTGTAAGACGGTGGGTTCGATGGCATAGGTGCGCGCGCCTCGTGCCACACCCGGGTGACCTCCCGACCCTCGAGCGCATCGACCACGGCACGCGCCATGACCTCCGCATCGTACTCGAACCCACGCTCCTGAAGGTCCGCACTGGAACACTACGTCAGCCCCTCATGAATCCGAACGGCGGGACGGGACACTCACCCTTGGGAGCCAATGGGCAGGGCGAGCACCGACGCGGGTATAGCCACGAGCGATGCCAGAAGGAGCGATAGCGTTGTGTCAACACGCATCGTGAATGATCTGCAGTTGCTGAACGGTGTCGTCAAAAGGATGAGATGGAAGGTCGTCAATAATCAAGCAGGGCTACACCGCAACTGGTCAGCAGGGTGTTACGTCGGGTGTACATGGCGTTGTACTCACCAACCAGTACCACTACTTTCGGTGAGCTCAGAAGCGAACAAGCTAAGCTGAGGAATACATGCTGCGCTGTCTTCCTTATATACAGCGACAGGCGGGGCGCCCATCCTGATGAGGTCTTGATCGAATGACTTCCTCCGGGTTCGGATTTGGTTACACGGGGCCGCACGGCGGCGGGAGGAGCTTGCAGCGTCGAGGCAGCGCCTTCCTCGGTCGGCCTTCACCGCTGACGAGAAGAAAGGAAGAAGGGGGACTGTATCATTATGTAATAGACAGCATCTATGGGCGGTACTTACCCTGGCTGAACAGTCCATCCTCGGAGTCGTAGTTAATGTGCCACCCCGGCTCATTGTGACATTACTCTAGTACTCCTGTGTGGATAAAATCAGATCAGAACCGGACGACGGCGTAAGAATGCTCACTTACTGAAGAGATACCATGTCAAGTTTCTGCGAATTTGTGTCGAGATGGCAATTGTTGAACGTTGAACGTTGAGCGTGAAGGCTCCACTGCCGACCGCCGAGCCACATACGTACGCATGGCGTATTCTGACCAAATGTGTTCACGCATGAATCAACGGTGGATACGTTGCAATGCGACCATTCCTAGTATATAGACACATTGTAATGATGAACATCTGGCCTGAGGCTACAAACAGACGACTCAAAGCGCGTCTCAGTCGGTACATTTTTTCATATGTAATCAGCAGTGGAAATGTTCAAGATTGAGATTTGAACAGACGACTCAACGATACTCGTACAACACCGTGACAACGCTGCATGAATACCACCTAGCTTGAAGAATCGCCTTCCGACTTGTCGAGGTCCAGCCTCCATGGGTCACCACCCTCCACACCATCAGTACTCGTCTCCGACTCCCTGGTACGTGTCTTGCTCCAACCTTCCTGGCTGCCTGCAGAAGAGTCATTGCTGTCGCCCGGAATCTTGAACGGCAAAGCGCGGTCATTTTCCGGCCAGGACACATCCGCAAGGGCTTCATCAAACAAGTCCAAGACACTTTCGTACGTCAAAGGAATCGCCTCGTCATCCGATGGAATATTGCAACAACAGAGGTGCTTGTACTTGCGAATGAGAGTAGTCAGCGGCTTGTTGCCTTCAACCTCCCACTCCATGGATTCGGTGAGAAACCCTCGTTTGTGCATAGCGCTTTCGTATTCGGTGCTGGCACCAAAAATGAAGATGTAAAGCTGGTAGGCCGGATAGCAAGTATGTCGCGTGTGCCGCAACACCATGCACAGCAAGAGCCAAAACACGGATTCTAGGTCATGGCGAATGTCGTGGGCAACGTAGCTGCAGAGGATTTCGATAGCCATGTAAAGCAGAGTCCCCTGATAGGAAGACGGTTAGCCCAAGCAATGGTCATGAACATAGGTGAGCGTACAGTTTGCTCCTTCATCCTCATCCTCATCTTCCATGCCTCCCGCTCGGCTTCGTTGCCCAAGTCTTTTCCGTCCTCTTTCTTGCATAAGAGGAGAGGTATCTCCTTCTCCGGCGGTGCCGGACGCGTACGATGAGGCAAATTCTTGTTGTATTCCTTGACAGCCTGCTTCCAAGCGTTCTCATCGATCTGTTCATAGCCCGCGTGCTTGAGCGCAGTCTTCCAGTCAAAGGCGTAATCAAGATCGAGCAGGAAGCCAACGAAAACATGGATCCATCCGTCGTAGATCATGACATTGCCTTCACTTATATCCCGGTGTATGATACCTTGCTGAAACAACTGTCGATGCCCTGGCATACACGAGTGAGCGACACTGGCCACGAACTGGATGCGATGAGTCACTTACCAATAACAACGTCTCGTAGTGCCTCCACAAGCTCTCTTGTTGACCTGAACTCGCATAGAGGCCGACCGGTCGTCTTCATCACGACCCGCATGTGGCTTCGTTCGTTGTAGTTGGCCTTGTTCGCATCTCTTAACCAGCCACAGATCGTACGGTGATACACATCGTACGCAGGCGGGTGGTCCACGCCGCTAGCAAGGGCGTCTATGGCGTCGTCGCTTACCTCCAGTGGTGAATCACTCTGCTTTGAAAGGAGCTTGGCAGCCTCGCGCGCACCGAGGTCATCCGAAAACGTCACGCTCGGAAGCCCATACAGCTCTGAGGCAGCAGCATCGAGTTTAGCCTCTGCTTCGAGTTCATCGAAGTCTTCCGAGCGTATGGGGCAGCCTTGGTCATCCAGTTTGAAACCGCCATCCGGCAACGTCGGTTTGTCCTCGTCGTTGCGGTGCAGGAAAACGTAATCGGCGATGTTCGCCCACCACGGTCGATTTTGAGGGTCGAACGCATGCCGCAGGCGATCGTACAGCGCGTCTTCACGGTCACGAGCGAGTTGCCTCCAGGCCTCCTTGATCACGCGGGGCTCCCACGTCCCTTCCTCGAATGCGTCCCAGACCGCCGTCGAACGCGAGAATAGCCGAGGATTCATGAAACGGAGTCGGTAGAGCAGGTATCTCGTCGCCCCTGCCTCCGAGCCGTCTTTGTTGTACCTTATCACCGTCGTCCATCGACAAGCCTGCTTCTCATCCTCCGTAAGGCGATCCTTCCCTGCTTCTGCACACTTCTCATCGGCCAGCTCGACTTCCTCCTCCGTGACGGGCTGAAGTGACGGATCCGCGCCAAGAACCATACGAACAAGGGGTGCGTTGGCTCGACCCCTATCGTGTTCTCGGTGGTGGCAGAAACGCCAGAGCAGTTCATGGAGAGGCGATGGATCATTCTTGTAGTTGAACGCCCTTGAGACGACACATGCCGCATGGTCAAACCGATAGATCCTAGCTGTGTCACAGTAAATGCCGATGATGTACACGTAGAGCATCCCATGCGTCAGCATGAGGTTCCGCGCACTCTTTGCGATCTGCGTGAGTACGCCTGTTGCCTCATTGCTGTACTTCACCCCGTACACCCCGATTGGATCCTCGCCTCTTGTCGGCTTCACTTCGATGGCCATTGCGATCCGACGCCACTTCAACTGCCATCCTTCATCCGCCTCGGCCGGAAACGACATGAGAATGTCTGGCAATGTATAGTTGTGTTCGTATTCCCATGCCGAGTATGGAAACCGTACAGAGCGTTTGCTGCCGACGGCGAATCGAGGTCTGCGCGCGGGCTTAAATTTGCGAACGATGCTGTCAAGGCCCTTGATCTGGTGATGTGGCCGAAGTCAGTCATGCGGACAGTGTAGTTGAGGGACCAGACATACGATTTCCGGGTACATCTTAGTCTCCTCTCCTGTCGTAGGGACAGTTTCAAAAGGGGTCGCTGGGTCATCCCATGGGCGCGCAGCACGAGATGCGGCCTCGCATGGAACATAGGCGTCGAAAAACTCGACCAGATTCTTGTTGAATAAGTTTACTTTGTCATCAATTTCGGCCGCCCAAGGGTCCTCATCGACTTCGCTTGTCCCGGTGCCAGATTTACGAGAGTGCATTGTGTCGTACATGTCGGATGAGGAAGGCATGCCGAGAAAATTAGAGGAGCCGCTGGATCCCCCAGTGCAGGACCCAGAGGACTGAGAAGACGAGGACATGGACGTTCGAGGCGACATCGCTGCGTTTTATATACTGAGATGGTATCAGTCAGTGTGAAAGGTTTGGGTGAAGAGAGGTGTAGTCACCGTTGGGACAATGCACAAGGGAGTATCCTTCTTTGGGAACCTCTGATAGGCTGTGGTCGAGCCCGTTGCTATAAGCCCCGAAATGGATGCGTATCGGTGAGTCGAGACCCAGAGGCGGTGTCTGCTTTGTCCTTTGTCCGACGAGTATGGTAGGTAAGGCGGGTCTTCATAAGCTCGACGTGGTTGTGCGGTGATCCAGGTTCGTCGCGTGGACGCAGGTGAAGGCTGGGAGGAGGAGGAGGAGGGGGGGGGGGGTCCGGGAGGAAGCGCTGTGGCTTCAGCGAGGCAAGCCACAGACGCGTGTAACGCGATCACGTGTTTGTGGCTAAAACATCTCGATCTCATTCAAGCAGGGTCGACGTCCACTGACCACCGTATCGTTTCCTACCTTAGACATCTTACAGAAGCGTAGCTATAGATGCCCAAATGCACTCAACCAGACTGACACAGACCTGAGGGGCTGCCAAAGCATCGCACGATGAGGCGGCAGAGCCGGCTTGGATGATTTGTGGACTGTCCAGTAACACCGACACGTCGAATTACAGTCAAACGAGCCATACAAGCGGTCTTGTCCGGGTCGATGATTGTCGCACGGACATCCTCGACAACACACCGGGGGTGACTTGGCCTCCAGCCTTCGATATTGAAGGGACATTCTCCTTTGCCACCCCAGAGGCCGGTCCATCGCAGTTGCGGGGGTTCGTAAGTATGACTGTTACAGATATCATACAGTAGAATCAGAACTTCACAGAGCGGGGTTCCAGAGGCTCCTCCCATTCACACTGGCATAAGCGGATGTGTCGCGCACGACATCATCAGGGGCGAACTTCTCACTCAGGACTGCAAGCTTCGAACGATACTCATCGACGCCGATGTACGCCCCGCACATGCGGCGCTTGCCTGTGAACGCTGAGCGGCCGTGAAGTACGCGATGGTTGTCGACAACTGGTGCATTGAGAGTAAGACAACATACCGCAAGGACATCTCAGAGAGCTGCACTTACCGACTGCTGTTCCTGGGGATAGCTGGATCCAGTACTCAGAATCCGCGCTCGTCAAGAGTTTGTGCCATTTCCTGATCGCGTCGTACCTGTGCAAGAAATCACATCAGACGATTCGACAGCAAGATCGCGACCGACCAACCATTCCTCGACCATACTGGGCTCTAGATTGCTCATGACGCTACGGTCGTCGTTGTTCCACCGCACCTGGGTCAGTTCGCCGTCTGAGTGTGAGTGTCTGAGAATGGGATAGCCTGAGCGGGGCGTCGGCGTGTACAGTGCGCTCGGCTCGCCTGCTGCATGGGACGGCACCCGGACGCCCGCGAGCAGGTCATACGCTGTGGGATGGAGCTCCTTCAGGATCGAGGCGACGTAGAAGCCATCCACGAGCAGTGTCGCGCCGCCAGAGCCGCCCGTATGCTCGAGGAGGTGGAATAGCTGGAGACCGCAAGGGTCTGTCTGAATGAACACTCGTCAACGTGATGCGATGCACAAGGACAGAAACATGCGCATACATAGTATGTCGTGTCCGTATGCGCTCCCAAAGCGAGCGTAGTGTACGCAGTGTCGCCCTTCGCGAGGTCCGACGTGAAGTCCCAGAATGTCCCGTCTGCCGTTGATGAGTGGTTAGCACAGGGCCCCATCCGAACCGTCACTTGCGTACAGACATTGCGTCTCCCGAATGAAACCGATACGCCGCGAGAGTTCCTCGGTTGCCTCAGGTGTAGGCGGGACGCCGGAGACGAAGCAAAAGCCGAATTTGTCCTTCGTGAGTATGAATGAATTTAAATAGAGCGAACAACGAGAGGGGCACGCACAACGTTGGACAGCCACTTGAAGAGACCCCGCTCGTCCTCAGCCATCACTTGCTCGTAAGTCACAGTTGGCGGATCCTGGAGTATCTTCGTGCCCCATAAGATCTTCCTACCTTTGACCGTTAGCTAGGCCGACTTGAGGATATGGTAAGGCTCACTCTACAGGGGGAGGGCGGGCCAGTGGTGGGTCGTAGGAGTTCCGTCGCAACCAAGACCAAGGGTAGAAAGAGGTGTGGGGTTGTGAGGATGGCCCTACCCCAATTTTGATAACAGACGCAGAAGACTCATAGGTAACTACTTACAAGTCACTTCTAGGCCCTCAGGCTTCGACTCGACAGCGACTGGCTTGACATCAAATGGGATCTGGAGAAGGGCGGTCGGCATTCGTTCCCTGAGACGGCACCTGGACGCACCTCGAATGTGTTCACAAGACGTTGTTTCGTGACCGGGTGGAAACACTGTGGACATCTACAGTGGTCTCTGAGCCAGATATGATGGCTTGAACGCCGTCAGTCACCTACACCGATGTGAAAGAGGACCATTGATTGACGCACTATCGCGACCATGTCTGCGTGTCCCATCCCACTACCACTTTCCGGTCGTCGATCCTACTGGTCGGTACGTCGGTACGTGCGACGGCGCCGTGTTGGTCTGAGGTCCCTGATGGAAGGGGCTTGAGTTTCACAGCTGCCGCGCCTGAGGCTTGTCTCGAGGAGGCATGTCCGCGCACAACCTCCGGTGCTGAAGTAGTCGACTGCAAGAGACAACCTGAGCATTCAGGGATCAGAGGTAATTTTGTGGTGACTTACGATTGCCCTACTATGCGACCAATGTTCAATTTTGCTCCTCCGCGCGAGCGAGCCTTCAGAGATGGTCGTCGTAGTTCGCTTGCCCGCGGCGCTCAGCCGCAAGCACGAAGTTGATCGCCACATGGACACAATAACTAGTAGCAAAGGACACGATAGTCAACAAGTCGTCGCTTGAGAGAAGGAGGCAGGCGTCGAGGACGAGGGAGATGTGCTGTATGGCCTGAGGCACGGTGGAACTGGTGAACTGGTGGTGATCGCCTGGTCAGCCGGCCTTAGCCAACGTAAAGCTCGCGGCACGGACTCGCCCAGGCTGGATCTGCCCTCAGGCTCCCCGCGGCGGACCCGCTCGTTCCCCCTTACAACACTCACAATTGCTGAGGTAGCATATCGGGGACAGGTTATTGGAATGCTGAGAGAATAGTATGAATGTGTCTAGATAATACTCTGTACATCGTAATATTACTTTTTGCTCCCGTCTTCACGCCTCTGCCTGGATAGACTTGAGCACATAGCCTTCCAACCCACCGCAGACCCACAACTCCTGCACACTCGCACCGACAACCCCAACGCTATACGTCTTCTTCTCCGTGCCCGGCCTGCTCACCTCCACGCGGCCCTCCGCAACATGCACCTCCACGCTCAATCCCTCATTCACCGTCAGTTCGCCATTCTTCCCGCCCGCACCGCGCTTCCCATCTCCCGCGTACTCTCGCGTAAGGTCCGCGACAAGCTCGGGGCATTCCACGCACACGAGCCCGTTGTTAATCGCGTTCCGCTTGAAGATGTCGCCGAATGAGCCCGCGAGCACGAGCGGCACGCCCGCCGCCTTGAGCGCCGTCGCGGCCTGTTCGCGCGACGAGCCCGTGCCGAAGTTGTATCCCGACACGAGTATCACACCCGGCTTGACTGACGGCTCGGGCGCGGGCGCGGACGACTGGTCCTTGCGAATCGAGGCGACGAGCCCCGCGAAAGACGGGTCGTAGTTCTCCATGACCACCTCTGCCTGGCGCTCGAGCGTGATGTCATCCTGGTACGTGTACTTGCCAGGGTAGAGCGCGTCCGTGTTCAGATTGTCCTGGGGCGCGAAGAGCAGCGGCCCGGCGAATGTCGCGGGGAAGCCGGGGAGGACGGACTCCTTCGTTAAGGCAGCGCTCGCAGGCGTAGACTGAGTCGTCGGCGTCGCGATCGAGAAGGTAGGGGCGCCTGCGGAAGGTAGCCTAGCGGGGTCCAAGGTGTCCGGGCTGCAGATGTAGCCCTTCACTGCGCTCGCCGCCACCACAGCCGGGCTCGCCAAGTACGCTTGCGCCTTTGGGCTACCCATCCGTCCCTTGTAGTTCCGGTTCGTCGCGCTGATCCCAACCTGGCCGTCCTCTAAAAGACCCGTTCCTAGCCCAATGCACGGCCCACAGCCCGAGGGCAACGGCTTCGCGCCAGCCTGAATAAGAGTCTGCCAGTCACCTTGACGTTCCGCGTCCAACTGAACCTCCGAGCTCGCCGCAGCGACGTAGAACTCCACGCCAGGAGCGACCTTGTGACCCTTCATCACTGCCGCTGCGGCAGAGATGTCGGACAACCGCGCGTTCGTGCAGCTGAGGAGGTACGCTTTGTTGATCGCGATGTGCTTCTCCTCGAGGGCTGGGAGTGGGTTCGACACCTTGACACTATTTGGGCCGGATACGTACGGGACGAGCGTGGACAGGTCGAAGACAAGGTGCGACGCGTACGTCGCGTCGGGGTCCGAGGCGAGCTGCAGCGCGCGCACTTCGTCGAGGTGACGGCGGTTGATGCGAGGGTGTTCCGGGGGGGCAGGGATGGCAGCGGCGAGCGCAGGCGAGGCAAACGTCCGCAGCTCGAGCTTCTTCAGCGCGCGCTCGTACCACTCGAGCAAGGTATCGTCCACGGGGAAGACACCTGCCAGTGCACCCCATTCCGTCGTCATGTTCGAGATTGTGAGCCGGTCGTCGACCGAGAGTGCGGAAACGCCCTCGCCCGTGAACTCAATAGCCGCGTTGAGCACCTCGTCGTTGTTGAAGCATCCACAGAGCGCGACAATGACGTCCTTGCCAGTAACCCCAGGGGCAAGCTGGCCCTTGAACTCGACCTTAACCATGCGCGGGACCTGCCACCACGTCTTGCCCGTCGCCCAAAGCGCAGCAGCATCCGTGCGCACGATCGGTGTACCGACGCAGCCTACACCGCCGTACATGTTGCTGTGACTGTCGCTTGCCACGGTCATCGTGTACGGGAAAGCATAACCCTCTTCCACCAGGATTTGGTGACCGATGCCACGGCCGGCAGGGTAGAAGTCGATGTCATGTGTCCGCGCGAAGGCCTCTATCGACGCATACTTGTGCAGGTTCTTGTCGGACTTGTTCTGAACGTCGTGATCAAGCGTAAAGACCAATTGAGAGGGGTTCTTGATGCGAGTAGCCCCGATGGACTTGAATCTGCAGCAGCGTGTCAGAAGGCCTATGAATCGATGCGACAGACTCTGGTGCCAGCCGCGTTACAGCTCTCATCTGAGCAAAAATGGAAGGGTCAACAACGGCAGGCCACATGTCTCGAAAGGAACCCTATCAATTGGGGGAAAGGCCTGATCCAGATTCCGGCCTTTTGAGGGGGTACGCCTGATGCCGTACAAACAAGATCGACACTCGTGCGGACGTAGGCCTGATCTTGTCCAGACGCTGCAGGCCTCAATCGTCTGGCATGTAGCGTCATCGCAACATGGCCTACAGCCGACCTAGACATCCGCTGCACGCGCGAGATCGGCGTCATCGTTCTCCTACAGGCTCCTGGCGTCGAATGCAGAGCAGCCATAGCGCGTGCGCGAAGAGGACGAGCGCTGGCATGATCATTGACCGGTGACCAATATCCACCCCGTCCGTGTACCATTGGTGCTCACTCGCCCAACATCTACCATGGGTTGCATAGCTGACGAGGCCTGGCCCTACAATCTGGACATCAATCCGCTCGTACCAAGGGCTGATGCACAGTCCGAACAGCACCGGCTCTGTCTCGAACAATCCCTGTGCATCGCAAAGACATTCGCAGATGTCGCTGGTTCAAGCTACACTTATACTCACTTGGATATGACCGGGCCCGTGTTGTCGTGCGTCATGACATGCTCCGGACGTATCATGACATAGTCGCCCGCCTTGACAACCTTTTGTGGAGGGAGGTCGACGGCATACTTCTGTACGACCTTCTCGATGATAGTTTGCGGGATGCGGGGAGACTCCGTGGCCGTGGCGAATGACCGCCTCGGAACCCAGCCTGCTCGCCTCAGAGCTGAGGAGAGAAACCACATGGCTGCGCAAAACAGCGAGCGTGCCGCCGCTGTGTTCGCGTCGGGTCGAGGAGGAGGAGGATGTCGAGGAGGATGTCGAGGAGATGTCAATGGGCGCTGAGTCAAATGTGGCGGCGAGGATTCGTCCGTGGATCTGAACCGGTTCAGATCAGGCCCGGGCCGGACGACCACTGATCCTCCTCCAAGCTTCGAAGGCTTGTGTTAGTACATCTCACCATGCTCACTCATCCTACTAGGCCTCGGCTGGAGATGCAATCCTTGTACTTCTCGCTGTCATTGATAATCAGCTAAGCTGACATTCATGCAACGTTCAAACTTCGATAGCCGCCTTTCTAGAGCTGACTTGCAAGTACGAGTAGCATCGGAAGGCACGAATGCGTTTTGGGCGTGCTAGACCAAGCAATCTGGGTATGTTGAATAGTATCCCATTTGGAGCGTTGATAACACGATGTAGATCTTGCCCAATGATTCGTACAGGGCGATATTCACTTGCCAGTTGAGATCGGAAGGAGAGGCTGACACCAGTCTGCTTGGATGCCTCTCTCGACTGTCAGCCTACGGCAACCGTATAAAGTAGCTTTCGCACTGGTGAGTATCTGGGACCTTCTCTTGGTCTTGGCCCTCACTCAGTACCCCACGCCCGCACGGCATCCACGGTCTTTCCACCACCACACCATGTCGAGACACCACCGGTCACTCCTTTTCCTTTTCCTTTCTGCTTCACATCTATATGTTCTCTCTGCGCCTGCCGGCCCCGGAATGTCTGCCGAAGTGATCACCGAGACAGTGGTCGAGATTCCTAGCACTCTTGTACTCTCGCCTGCTAGCACCTCTTCGGACTCGGACGCCCAAGCATCACCGACGCCGGCTCCCAGCAGCGTCGCATCTCAAATCGCTGACGGCTCTCTGACCCTGGTTGCAACTACGCAGACGGTATTGTTCGTACCTTTTGTGGCTGGGGACTCCTCAACCTCTGGCTTGTCTTCGTCAGCCGTGTTCGCTCAAGATGTGCTGTCAACCTCCACCCCTCAGCCTACGTCCAATCCGAACGCCAACGCTGATAACCTCCAAGTTGCTTCAGAAGCATACAGCTCGCGGACGACACTCTACGTTCCTTCTTCGTCTTCATCAACGGTGTCTCGTATTCAAGCTGAAGCGGCCCCGACCACTCTCATCATCAGCTCTTCTCCGCTTGCTACGTCTACTAGCAGCTCCTCTGTCTCGTCGGCAACCACTACCTCTGTTCGTCATTCAGCCACCGTCTCAATGTGGGATCCGAATCCGACCTCGGAGACGCAGGCAGCGTCCAACGCGAAGAGCCAACAATCCCGGCGGTCTGCGATCCTCGCCGCCTTCCTGATCATTGGCGTCCTCACGATGTTCGGCATCACCTACAGCTGCATGCGCTTTGACCTTCCCTTGCGTCTTGGCTACGTCCGCCGCAGGTGCGACAGCAAGAAGGTGCGCTTCGCGGATGCGGAGGACGCCATTGATGCCATTGACCCTGCCTACCCTCCATCCGTTTCCGAGAAGGAGAAGGACAACATCGCTCCAGACTCAGCCATCCTCGCGTACCAGGAAGTCTCCGTCCCCACACTCGCCCGCCAGCGCAACGGCCCCGCCCCTCCCTCGACAGGAAACGGTACACAACCAGACTGGCGCGTCTTCGCGAACTACGATGGCCAATTCGAGGACGTCACACACATCCTCTCGACGGACGTCTTCGCACCGCTCGGCCGGCACGCACGGGAAGGTTCGCGCGGGTCCATGTCCGTGCTCTCCGGCTCGCGCGACAGCTCGCCCCGCACGAGCGGCGGTGGCGCGAGCTACACGGGCGCGTCGTACAAGTCGTGCGAGTCGCACTACTCCGTGCCGAGCATGGCCCGCCGTTCTGGGGAGTGCCCCGTCACGCCTGCGCGCGTGCCTGAGCTCGAGGGGGAGTGCACGGCGCCGAACTCCCCGCCCTCGCCGGCGCTCCCGCAGACCCCGCACTCGGTCCACACGGAGCCTGGGGTCCCCGTCGGGTGTGTGGGTAGCAAGGAGCCGCACGAGCTCGTGAGGGGCCTCCGTGAGTCGGCCAGTACGAGCGCGGGCTCAGAGTGGGATGTCGCGAAGGCGTATGGGGCGCATAGCAGCGTGGGTGGGGATTCTCTGTTGAGCCGCGTTGAGAGCGTTGTGTTTGACGGGCCCATGGAGAGTGTAGATGTTGGCGGGAAGAAGTGCGTGCTTGTGCAGGGTTGAATTGTGTTGTTCGCTTGGGCATTATGAATGGAACGCAATGCATTGTGGACGTTGAGAACGCCTGATGGGACCGCCCTCTGCCCGTTTGTTGAAATATTCGTGTTTGAACTTGGTTTGCACGGTCGCGGCGCTAGTCTTCAGTGAAGAACGTAAGGCGTACATGCATGTGATTGCATTACAACAGTATTACAACGTGCTATGTATCCTGTGCCAATCCTGTGCCATCCCAACCAAGTCCCAACGTGTTCTGTCATCTTGATTCTTGTGAGCATACGTTCACCATTTGCACGACCGTCACCAATTGCGTCCACGCCGAACCTTTGAGGAGACCATCTGAATGGGCGACTCGACACTCTGGCTACGAGGCTTCACCGACGAAGGCAGGACTTCCGCTGTCCTCGCCATTACGATTGCTGGTACGCCCGTCAACCCTGCCGACCCCGACTCAGTCCTCCATTGGATCATCTACTACGATATCGGGCCCGGGCGCGCTATCAAGTTCGACATGCTCCCCGGTGGCGGCCCCGACGGCATGACGGGCTGTCTGCAGGTGGTAGTGTGCGACGCCACAGCGGCTCGAGCTCAGGAGCTCGCAGCCAGCTTTACTGCAGAAACAGCAGCGCCCGAGCCTGTCACCGGACAGCGAATCCTGGACTTGCTCCTCGATGCACCCCGGAGGCGAAACCGGTACAAGTACGACGAGACCGGCTCTGGATGCAGGTTTTGGTGCCGCACCGTGTTAGAGGACCTCGAAGAGGCTGGGATCGTCCCAGCTGGTTCGCTCGGTAGCTTCGACGAATATGTTCTGCGGAAGAGTGAAGAGAACCCAGCGCGATTCCCGATGCCTACCCGTCGTGGCCGCTTCTATTGAGAATTGGTACGTTACTCGTCCGTGGTGGCCCTTGTCTATATCACTCGATATTCACATCGATATGCTTGCTCGTTACCCTTTAGAACATGGTCTGAATGAATGGTATTGGGTGTTCGCCGTCAAGATGTCGGGTTCTCCTTGGAATCATAGGAACGTTCGTCGGAGTCATATCTGTACGCTACAGTCCCATCACTTCTCTTCAGATCAATGTGCCCGCTCAACAGATCCCATCTGACCTCTGGCCCACGACTGCCTCCTCGATACAATGCGAATGACAAACTCTACAACTGAATTCGGTTCAAATTCTGGAGGTCTTTCCGAGACGTTGCGTCTACTTCAGTTCGAGTCGGCACCGATCGCGTTCTATCCTCGCTATGCTCTCAAACGTCAACCAAGACCCTCCACACGCCGCTAGTGTGGAGGTGAGGGGTTTGTGTCGAACCTAATCCTGGGTGCGCGAGCCTAGGGCACCAGTTGTCCCACATCCCGAATAGGAGACGCACAGAACACAGCCATTCTGTGGTAACCCTAACATGGTGCGGAACGTCTGGTAGGTGTATCCTGTCGCCACTGAAATGCCGCTCTACCCGGAAGCCTTGATCCTGCCGCCTAAGGACCGCTGCACGTCTGGTAGGTGTAGCCCTTTGAATCCGGCGAAGCACTGAGCGGCGTATTGAGATGCACACAACGTCTACTCACCTGTTTTCGAACCTCTCTTGCTCGGTGCCGACGTTCTTCCCTTCGTTATGGATGGTCGGGACATGTCTGATTATGGGGTGTAACAGTTGGCCATCCCGACGAGTTGCCGAGTAGACGTATAATCTAATGACATGCAAGTCTTGACTTCCATTGTTTCTCAGCAGGGTGGTCGCTCTCCGATCTCTTGCAATGTCTAATCGGTTGCTAGAGGTGTTCTGCCATATGGTACGCCTCTGTATGTCGCCCCCGTTCATCCAAGTAGACCCCGATCGTGCGCTCTGGGCCCCTACTTGCACTGGTTGTGAGGAGATAGACCAACTTAAAGTACACGGCAGGCTTCTGGACTCAGGGCCACGCTGATTCAAGCGCCATGAGCGATGAGGATAAATGCCTCCAGAAGTTCACAGAAACACCAGCGTCCCGTGTCGCTAGCCCGAGAGGTCTCTACAGGTGCGCCTGTCTTCATACCTAATTGTATATCAGTACTCAACACGTATCTGTAGACATCATGCGCCTCAACATCCTCGAGTTCGCCGCTGCCTTTACCATCCTCGCGTTCGGCATCAACACTACAGTTGGCCTCGTCTTTCCGGCTCCGCTCGTGACCGCTCTTCCGTGCGTGCGAGAGAGTGGTTCGTGCACAAACATCAGCGCTGGCGGATGTTGCAGCGGTCTGGTCTGCCAGCTGCCGGAAGGCAGTCCGTTTGGTGTAAGTTATCTCTCATCTGCGGCGTGTGTACAGTAATTGACCGCGTTGCGATGTGTTCACGCAGTACTGCACCAAATCTTGAGAAATGACTGGGAGATATAACGGACTAGTGGTGAAGGCTCATCCGAGTCGCTAATTATGGGGTTTCATTTGGGTTTTATGGGTGGTCAAAATGGATCGGGATGGTCTACTTAGTAGGAGGGTGTATTGAGGGTCATGTCATGTCCGCCGTTCGAACTTAGCGCAGCAGTACTCACACAGGGTGCGATGGCAGAACGCTGTTATCTTATCTATAGTATCTTGATATGGCAAGTGACGCAATGTCTGACATCTCGCGCACGCCGCACGAAGACCTCCCGCCCTCCCGAGTTCAGACTCCCATCTTGCGCTGCGTACAACATCAAGCACTCACCGAAAACCTATACGTTACGGGGTTTTAACATGGCTATGTCTCGTTTCTCGGCGTACTTGAACAGAAGCAGTAAACTCCTTCGGGACAACACGTCAAGTAGTATGTAATAATCCTCGAGCCTCTCATACTACGCTGAGGCGCGACCCATGGCTCTCAGTCCTACGGATGTCGGGAGCGGATGAGCCCATCCGCACACCCGTCACGCTCTTCAACTTTAACTCCCACGAAGATATACAGCAGTTCGCGACTGGGTGCGACGCAGACGTCGGCGGAACGTCTACCGTCAACCTCGCGCTGGACGAGTCCACCGGGTCGCCTTCCGCGTCGAACGAGAAGCTCGCGGAGTTGCGCAGGCCGACGGCGAAGTTCTGGGGCGAGATGCGGCTCAATGTACGACATGGGCTTGAGGGGCGGATCCGCGGCGGGTACGCGGGCTTCAGGAGTAAGGCACGCACCTACCTGCATGTTGGGTGTTTGTCCTCATTGACGTTTGGTGTTTTCTGCTGTGTGCGGCGGTGCGGTGGTGCGGACGACAGCCTAGGACATCGTTGTTTGGGGAGATTACGAACGACGTGTCATTACACAAGTACCTCGGACTGCGCGTGCGCGGCGCCGGGCACCCGCGCACGCGGAACTCGTACTATGTGAACATCCAGACGGACGGACCCATCACAACCGACCTCTGGCAACATAGGCTGTACTTCCGACGAGACGACGGCGGGTGGGAGGATATCTTCGTGCGTGTACCTCCGACATATACCTCTGCCGAACCCGAGAGCTCACCGACTGCGTCACAGATCCCCTTCGACGCCTTCGTCCTGACGAACGTCGGCGAGGTGTCTTACGAGCAGATGGAGATGTTCCGTGAGCGCGTGCGCACCGTCGGTATCTCGCTCCTCGGTGGGAACAGCGGTGTCGAGGGACCGTACGAACTCGGCATCGATTCCATCTTCGCGGTGAACGAGGAGGACGTTCCGCCATACGCGGCACCTAGTGAGCACTGAGAACTTGTCTGACGCTTGCTGGCGCTTACGCCGTGTTGCTACGCTACAGAACACGAGTCCTCGGATGGGACGCGATGGGAGAGGCCTGCTATCTGAGAATGGCATTCCAAAGTGTAATGGTTTTTACTGCATGCTTCCGGGTTTGCAGCATAGGCCTAGCGGAAATCACGATTGCATTCGTCCAGTAGTGAATATTGCGAGTGCATTTGTGTATCCTTACCTTTGCTCAGTCAGTGCCAATGCGCTGAGCTAATATACTAGTAAGTCACACCTATCACTTCAATGCAGACGCGACCACTTCACAAAGGCCAGGGTAGGTTCCTTTCTAGAGCGGCTAGCCTGCTTTGTCCATGACCACGGTGTGTCAGCCTGGTACGGCTTCGTGATACGGTTTATGCGCACTGGCTGCCATCAACACACAAGCATCAAGTCAGGCTGTTCTGTGAGGTGAGTGGACCTTCGTGTACTTCGAGACAGGTGGATGTTTGTCCCGTATCTTGACAGCAGCATTACTTTGTCGTGATGATCTACGCGATGGGTGTGGTATACGGGTAGTGGAGCTCTCGAGGCTTAGAGGGCGGGCTGGATGCAATATCTCCGCTTATGCCCTATGGCAGGCGTTCAGCGACTCTGATTTCCAGTCTGGCTTTGCGAAGCACAGAGACCGTGCTTATTTTTGGGCATCGACGTGCCCTGCGCTGATGCCTCTTGCTCCTCTTACTTGCGGGTGACGGACAAAGATAGCTAACAACCGTAACGGGGTGGCCACAGCGTACCCCAGAAAATATGTTCGAACTCCCAAGGTTCCAGCTCCAGCGTACAGCATGGCGGGAGCGCGTGGTAATGCTACGGATGCATACACAAGCTCGCCTTCGTGCATCATGCTGGGGGTTAATCACTCACGGTGCTGTCGTAGGAGAGGCCGCCTGCGCCCGGCTCAGGGCCTCTTCCGGGCCGCGAGGACAGACGTCTTGCGGTACGAATGAACAGCAGTCCCCCCTCAAATATGTATTAATTGACAACGACCTGCAGACGCGTCCATCGTAGGCCATCTATCTGACCCCGGTGTCGCTTCGTCGTCATGCAGCGAGAGCCAGTGGAAGGTGGTACACTTACCACACCAACGGCACCGATCATTGCGCTGATCTTGAGCTTGAGTAGCAGGGCTTGTAGAAGTTGGAAAAAATGACGCCCTCGGCGGGTCATCGTCTTCGTTGATGGGCCCAATGCGCTCCATGGCAACAGGCTCTACGCAAACCCCTCTTGGTCTTGCCTATGGGGTCGACTTCTGGGCGCCCACATCTATTGGTGGTCACACTCCGCCATGATATACTCATGGAACGACAACTTCCTTAGACTCGTAAGTCGTTCTCCAAATTGTCTAGCGATCGGATCCGAGACTCGGAGCTCACGACTTGGTGTTGTACTCAGGTTCGGCACAAACTCCTCACGTGGTGAGGTTTGGTACGAGACTACTACTGTAGTGTTTGAACTTAGTTCGAACCGCGGCTACTTGAAGTCGCCGATACGGATCGCTTGGACTAAGATCGATATATGATCTCTCGCACCGCTTCTGTCAAGCTTCAGCTTCATCAATGACACGTTGTAGCTCCGTGGCTCGTTACTCAGGTACGCTGGGTAGCGCTGAGGCCGCCCGAGACAATCCCGCCCGAGGAGGAGGAGGAGGTCCATTTAAACACCGGCCGATAGCATTTGGGCGCCTCGACTTCTTGACAATCCCGCCCGAGGCGTCTCTTCCGGACCTCCATGCGGCGTTCTTGCTAAGTACAAGCTTAGTTTGTATATGCACAGCTTGCGTCGGACGATCATTGTGGGACCAACACAGCCACCGAACTCAGCGCCTCGCAGCCTTCAAGCTTCAAGTTCCACAATAAGTAGCGTCGGGTCTGCCCCGTTACAACTTCGTAGGTGAAGTAGCTCTATCGTCAGACCACCTGCCGGATAGTTGCATTTGTCAACATTTTTTTCGTCGCTTACAACATCGAACAGCTAGTCTCAAACAACATGGCGGTGATAGCGTGTAAGTAGTGGCAATTCCAAGGAACCACAGCGCAAGATGCGCGGCATGAACCCGAACCCGAAGTCAACGGGAGCCATTGTTTATTGCATCAAGACCTCATCAGGATGGACGCCCAGCCTGTCGCTATATATAAGGAGGACAGCGCGGCCTGCATTCTTCAGCTCAGCTCGTTCACTTCTGAGCTCACCGAGAGTTGTGGTACTGGTTGGTGAGTACAGCGCCGTGTACACCCGACGTAACACCCTGCTGACCGGTTGCGATATAGCCCTGCTGGATTTTGAATTAAACGACCTTTCATCTCATCCTTTTGACGACACCGTTCAGCAGATCATATATTTCACGATGCGTGTTGACACAACACTATCGCTCCTTCTGGCATCGCTCGTGGCTATACCCGCGTCGGTGCTCGCCCTACCCATTGGCTCCCAAGGGTGAGCGTCCCGTCCCGCCGTTCGGATTCACCAGGGCTTACGTAGTGTTCCAGTGCGGACCTTCAGGAGCGTGGGTTCGAGTACGATGCGGAGGTCATGGCGCGTGCCGTGGTCAATGCGTTCGAGGGTCGGGAGGTCACCCGGGTGTGGCACGAGGCGCGCGCACCTATGCCGTCGGAGCCACCGTCGTACAGCAAACACGACCCGATCAACGGTGCTAAGCCCGGCTACTCGCAGAAGGACCCTGCTCCCATCCCGAAGTACCGCCAGAAGGACCCGCACAAGCCCAAGCAGAAGCCGAAAGGGTCCAAGTTCTGGCAGACACCGCCTCGCTCACTCGACGAGCTGGAGGAGCTGGAAGCCCGCGAGCCGTCGAGCGTGCGCTGGTGGGAGGCGCGTGCGCCCATGCCCTCCGACCCACCGAGGTACAGCAAACACGACCCTATCAACGGCCCCAAGCCGGGCTATTCGCAGAAGGACCCCGCCCCCATCCCCAAGTACCGTCAGAAAGACCCGCATAAGCCCCCCCAGCCGCCGAAGGGCTCGAAGTTCTGGCAGACGCCGCCGCGGTCCCTCAACGATGTCGAGATGATGGAGGATATGGAGTAGAGGTTGCAATATGTACATGATCGTCGATCCCCATTCACGAATGAGATTGAAGTTTTCGTTACGGTCTTGTGAACTACGTTGAATAATCGCTGAGACCTTAGCATGTTGCATTTCAGTCGGGGTCGAAGTAAATTCAGTCTCAAGCAGTCAAGTCAAATAGACCCCCTAGCCTGACACTCCCAATCATCTGACCCGTTTCGTGCACAACTGTGTCGACTAGTAAGTTACTTGAATGGATAGGCTTATTTGATACCTCCCGGCGAGCAGAGCGAGGAAGTACGACATGATGTATCGGACGGAACAGCACCTGCAAACCTAGCAAGAAAGCAACGAGCGACGATCCCTTTACTACGGTCACAAAACATAGGCATTCGCAAGGCACGTCAAAACGAGTGGATGGCTGCCCATCCTCATCCAGCGGTACCCCCAAACTTCCGTCGCAAGCGGTGCTCACGGGTAGACACAGGCCTGTGCACATGCAAAGGATCGCGTTCAGCTCAATATACAGCAGACGATACAGACGAAGTTCACTCACGCCAAGAACGGCGCCTTCGGGAGTCTGGCAGACCATACCGCTGCAGCACTGAGCAAAGCCGGGGCTCGTGCACGGGGCGCCTTCAAGGCCCATGCACGGAGCCGGAGGGACGGTCTCTTGCGGAGAGGGTGCAGCGAGGCCTACGGCCGAGTTGATGCCGAAGGCGAGGACGGCGAGGACGGCAGCGACGAGAGCAGAACGCATGATATCTGGTCGAAGATGATTGAAGACTGGAAAGCTGAGGGTAGGTCAGACGGTTGCTCCGCAGCTAAATTGGTTCACTGAGCGTAAGCGCACCTCTGATAGACTCTTGGGTGTGTGAGCTGAAGAGACGGCGGGTGCTGCTATCTGTGCAGAGCCCTCGTAGCATTTATACCTCGATACCTCACCACAAATGGCGATTGGGTTCGAGCGACCATTGCATGCAAGCCGCATATAGCCTGTACATGCTCCCGACGGTTGGTTCCCGGTACGGCCGCAATGAGAGGTTGGAAATGTATAATCCTGATGTCCCTGTAGCGACAGCCTTGGACGCAGTTCTCTCGGTACGGCAATCTGCTCTAGAGCATCTGAGGGCGATCCACTGGCCGCAAATGAGTGAAATACGCTCCAGCCTGCTCTCAGGGAACACATCTGCCCGCCACTTTGAGCCATCTGCCTGTTTGGATCCTCGGGCTGGGGCCGCATTTGTCTCGAGGTCTAGAAATTGTCAACAGCATCCCGGAACAGGACAGTAGTGCGGGCTGACGGCGGTCTAGAGTGTCGTCTACGAACCGTGTTTACGTCTTCAATCTCCTGCGTGTTCAGACGGTCAGCGACAGCCCACTGTACAGGGTTGCACGGAGGCGAACAGCGTCAGGACCCAGGCCCAGGGAAGGAGATCCGAGATCGAGGGCAAGAGACTTCGCGCGTGCAAGCTGATTGGTTGTCTAGCGAGTATTGATTCTGGCAGGCATCGCTTTCCCCCATGCGTCCGACCACAGCATGGAAGTTTCCGGCCAAGGCGTTCTTTGGGTGGTGGCTTGCTTTTTTGACACGAGGTTGGCCCGAGGGATATACAATCTCATGGTCAGTGCGGTGATAGAAGCTGCGAGATGTGTCGAGCCCCACAGACATCAGTGCTGACCTCTTGACCAGGGCAGATGTATGCCATCTGCGTTCAGAAGATTCGGCATTGACCAGAACTTTATGTTTGCAGAGGCTATGATGAGTCCATACGATCGTCCGAGTGTTACCGTTTGGCGTTACAAACAAGACGGGAGGGCTACACCGCTTGACCACCTCCGTCGGCTACACGCAGGCATCGAGATCCAAGGCGTTCATAGACTAGGCGCAATGAAGAGAGGACAGAAGGACAGGCAGCAGTGTCAGACCTCACGAACTAAGTCAATCATTGCGGAGGAAGACTGGGAGACGTACCTATACTTAGTGATACCGGACAGAGACTCAAATTGTTGTGGAATGCGAGCGACAAGTAGGATTTGGATAAAGCTATCAAAGAGCGCACAAGCGGCTGTGGGCGGATGCCGGTCAGGACGGGACATACAACTGCTGCAATGTCACATAGCATACGACGCGTTTCGAGCTAGAAGATAGCGATCTATATGATCTGAGAGTAGGGCAGACAGGACCGCCGACGAGCAGTACAACAAGTATCTCTCCATTCCTGGCAACGCCGAGTGGCTGTCAGCAATTATGGCACTACCGGAGAGTTATGATACGCACCTCTCACTACAAATCCACTGCACTCAGTCGAGAGGCAACCTTTTGATACCCTCTAATTGACTTCCTCGCCTGCCGCTGCTCCGTCTTCGTCCGTATCGCCGAAGCGGGAACATTCTCCACCTGCACCAGCTCCTTGACCCGCAATATCTTTCCAGCAATATCTGGCGAGTGTTTGTGGTAGACGGTTTGCATCCTCCGATGTATTCCAAGGGCGACGAGGGTGCCCTTAAAGTTCGAAGGCAGGGAAATGGCGGATCGGCGAAGGGTGATGCGGAAGTGGGTGTTCGGTTCGACTTGCTCGCTGGCGTCGGTACCAATAGAGCGCGCCCATTGTCGGACTGACTGGCGGCTGGCAGACGATGTCCGCAGAGAGAGTTTAGAGGGCAGCAACGCCCACATCGTTGTCTTCGTCGGTGTCGTGGTGGCAGACGACGAAGGACTCGCAGAGGAACGTGACCCCAGACGCGTAACGTCACGATTCCGTCACGTCACAGTCGCGTCCACACGGCGCGCGACGCGGTCCGGGGTTGGACGCGATTCACATCGTTCAACACCCACTCTGGTCTCCCTTTTATCCCTTTTCCGCGTTGCTATACACTCTGACAGATAGCTGGCTGTTTGTATCTTCACTAAGCTCATACCGGAGCAAGCGAGCTTCAACTACTGGCCTGGCTACCAGTGGCGACTTCAAGTTGCTCGAGCATTCCACGCAAGGCTGGATACGAGGCATCAACTAGGGAATGAATCGCCGGAGGACAAATAAATCTGCAAAGGTATGTACAAGCCAACAACCAGTTAGCCCTGCTTCACAACAACCCTACGCAGGTTCCGAACGTAAAGTTACGGCCAGCAGCTCCGGCAGATCGGACGAGCAAGACTCACGAAGATGCACCACCCTTATGGACCCGTGATATGGGGTTTGACCCGGACGAGGAGGCCAGCACTGTGGACTTGTGCCCGAGGCCTTTCAAAGGAGTGGTCGTGTGCGCTACGGGTATAGAGGATAAGGTAAGCTTCATCGACTTGCTATGTACTACCGGCAATCCCTCTCTTCGCTTCGCATTGGCGTCGAAGGCGCTCTGCATCCTGCACCATGTGGTGGTTTCTTTCGTCGTGTTGCTCATCAAGACTCGCCATGGACAACTCAATATGGCAATTGCTGTTTTTCTGGAGAGCAATACATTACACAAGGAGTGTTTATGATTTCATTGCGAGCGAGGCTTACTCACTTGATCTACCAGACAACTCTGTTCAAGCAAGCTTTGGAGCTTGGAGCCCTCGCAACTGGCGACCTCACAGACAGAGTCACACATTTAGTTGCCGTCGACCCAGGGAGCGCAAAGTACAGAGTGGGTGGCTCTATATTCCTCGCAGATCTTACCTGAACCAAGTGTAAACGCTCTAGTGCGCACTGGAGAACAGAATCCCGATCATGCGCTCATCTTGGATTACTGAGAGTTTTGATGTCTGGCTCAAGGGTGACGATGTAAATTTGCATGCGGTATGTTCATTTATGCCTGTGTTTGGCCGAGCATAGCTGACAGTAACTCAGAGCATCGAGAGGCACCGCCTTCCTGTTTTCACTGGTGTCGTGCTCTGCCTTTCCGGTATCGACGACGTGGAACGCCGCACGGAGATCAACCGGCTTGTCACAAAGAACGGAGGCAAATACGTCAAGAACATTGAGCGTCCCGTGAAGGTGACGCACCTCGTCTGTGGGAGTGCGAACGAGGACCAGACGGAGAAGATGAAGTATGCAGAGAAGTTCAATCAGAGGGGCGAGTCGAATATCCAGATCGTCTGGGAAGAGTGGTTCTGGGATTCGTTGGACTTCGGAGGTGTGTATACGAATAACTACACTCAAAACAGAGACCCTGAGCTGTTTGCAGGGAGGTTCGATGAATCGGCATATAAAGTGTCTAATCCTCGCCCCCAGCGGAAGTCGCTACCAGAACGTGCGTAGATCCCGATCCTATGTCGCAACGCGACACTGACCACATCATTCGCAGGTGCGACCCCTCCTCCGCCGTCGTCCTCCCCGCCCTCCCCCCAGCCGCACAGTTCACAGTCTTACCCGCAACATGAGAAGAACAATAGTGCCGACTTGCTCGCAGCCGCGACGAACGACGAAGAGGAGGTCGCCTCGGCACGGCGCGTGCCCGCAGAGATGCTCGCCATCTGGGGCAACCTACTCAAGCCGCGGGGCTTCGAGGTGCAGTCGGGGCGGCTCGTCCGTAGCCCGGGAAAGTCGCAGGTGCAACAGCCTTCGAGCGGCGCGGAGTCGCCTATCAGGGCGAGGTCGCAGCGCTTGGGCATCGAGGACGAGCAGCTGAGGAAGGGGCGGTCGACGAGCGCGCTCGCGTTGTCGTCCTTCAAGCGAGCGAACTCATTTGCACCTGTGGGTAAAGACAAGGATGCCGCTGCTGTCAGGCAGCCGTTCAAGCGGACAGCTCTGGGACCCCAGACATCTTTCCTTGCCCATCCGTCAGGGTCTTCCTCTAGGGCAGGTCCGTCTCGACCAGCAACGAATGTCACAGATGACAAAGGCAAGGCGAGAGCAGTAGACGGTTCGGAAGAGGAATCGAACAATTCGACCCTGTTCAAGGGCCTGAGATTCCGTGCTCTGGGCGAGGCTCAAGGACCGAGTGTCAAGGGCGCTATCAAGGAATGCGGGGGAACACTGGTCAGTGAGCTAGACGAAGACGTCGACTTCATTATCGTACGGTTGGTCAGGTCAGTCGTCTTGCTTCTTGTCCTCTGGTTGACTTAGCTAATCGCTGTACGTGCAGTGGGAGCAACTTCTTCCGACAGGAGGGTGACGAGGACGAGCGCAGGAAGTATAGAACAGAGTGTTGGCTCGAGCGATGTATATTTGACGAGCGAATATGTCTGCCCGAAGAACACGTTGCGTTCCTCCCCTTAAGCATACCAATCCCTGTAGACGGCGAGTCGCTTTTTCATCTGTCGAGGTACAGCTCGCTGATCGTTGTCGTAGGCGCCGAGCGGATTGTGCTCAGCTACTCAGGTCTGGACCAATCCGAAGCATGCTGGGTACGAAGGCTATCCAGGGCACTCGGCATCACCGTCGCGCCCAACTTCTCTCGTCATTCAACGCACCTGCTCTGTCCAAGCCGAACGGGCGCCAAGGCAGAGAAAGCTGTCGAATGGGACGTGCCGGTCGTGGATATGACGTGGCTCGCAGCGATCGCGAATACAGGCAGTCTATCTCCCGCACAACATGGAACAGACTCTGCACAAGGACCTTTGCTAGAACCCGAGACCGAGCCGGCGGAGATGGACTGGGATGTTGTGCCGCCCGAGGTAGATCGTAAAGGCAAAGGAAAGGCGAAAGCCGACTTGGAGGACACCATGTCTGACATCACAAACGGTATGTTCGGTTCAAACGAACGGTTCCGTTCCGTGCTGACTCATTGACAGGTGTCTCCTGTGGTCAGTTGGAAAACATAACTGCTGCCAATCATCGGCGTGTTGCTGAGTTCGCCACCACAGATGCAGACGCAGCTTCGTCAGGCGTCGAATCATTTGGGAAGCCCAACGGACTTCTCGACGAGAGCTGGAAACCACCATCCACACCACCCCCTCCAAGCCGAACGTCCAGCGGCCTCGCCCACTCCGCCGCCGCCGACTCCGCGCATTCTACCCAAGTCCTCGTCAAAGATAGTCGCGCACCTTCAATAGCGAACATCCAGCCACTACCACCGACACAACGAGTGCCTTCCTCCGAGTCGCCCTCGCCGCTGAAGCACCCCGGAAGCACCCCTGGCAGCGTGCCGGCGTCGCCTACCAAGCCCGCAAAAAGCCCCGCGCTGGCGTTGCCGGAAAGTATCGCGTCGTTGTTGGGCAAACGGCCCTCTACGGAGGATGAGGGCTCGGACAAAGCTGCGCCTTCTCGAGCCGGCAAGCGGGCCAGACCCCCGTCTAAGACAAAGGTATGTCCCGCGGCCTCACATCACGTTGATGCCGTTCACTTACAGATGGGCAGTCGTTGTCCTTCACGAACCCTGCTGCTGGTGCTGGCGCAGGGCCGGACCAGCTCGACGGCTTCGGCCCGGAGGTCCTTGCCACACCCGAAACGATGAGTCTCGCAGACGCACAGGCCGCAGGCCGGAGCATGCATGTTGGCTATGACGATCCGGGGCAGCACGCGGAGAAGAAGAAGCTGCTGAAGCTGCTGACCAGCCAGAAGAAGAAAGAGATCTGGGACGTCGACGATGATGAGGTGGAGGTTGTGCAGGCTGAGTTGACGACGAAGCCTAGGAAAGGACCAGCGCCGAGGAGGAGAGGTGCTAGAGCCCCTGGATATTGATCTCATCGAAGTCGGACGGTCGCATTTACTGGATCATCTATTGGAGCAATATGTATTGTAGTCATACTGAGCAGCCTTATGCGCCTCCCTGGCAGGAGGATAACGACATGTATAATGAATTGGACGAGTGGTTTTCCATTCTTCCTGAGCAAACCTTGCACGACCTCGTGAACAAGCCGGCATGGATATGCTTTCTATCAGCAGACAGCTTGAGGGTACGTGAATGGCGATACTAGGTATTGCCACGCTAGTCAAGTCTTAGCAGACGACGCAGAAACATGATTAGCCCATACAAAAACGACAAGCCTTCGCCCGCAACCAATTGCCACATCAACCAGCACAAAACGCCTCTCGGTAACCATTGGATCATCGCACTCGGCCACGCACCCACGCCCAACGTCATATATCTCGGCGGGTTTGGCTTCAACACCTCACTCACGACCTTCTGTGCGAAACGCTCTGCAGTGAGAGATAGGGGCCCGTCCGCATGCGCGATCGCCCTGGTCATCGAGGCAAGCCAGGGTTTGTAGAAGCTGTTCTCGGGAAGGTCGAGCTGATCGAGCGCGTGCATGGCGATGTTGGTCTTAACGCCGCCCGGGGAAATGTGCATGACGTGGATGTTGAAAGGTGCAGCCTCCATGTAGAGTATCTCGGATATGCGGGCCAGTGCTGCTTTTGTGGCACCGTACACTCCTCCCCAGGGCGCCGGCCTGTGCATCCACTTCATATTGAGTGCTGAGTGCGATCACTGAGGCATCAATTCACTTACGTATCGCCCATGATGGAGCCTATGTTCACGATCCTCCCGCTCTTCTTCGTAGCCATGTGAGGAAATGCAGCTTGTGACAAGCGCAAGGGACCAAATATATTGGTATCGAACGTTATTTTGGCCTCGAGCAACGATACCTCCGCCAGAGGGCCTGTTAGGAGTCAGATAGGCATTCGTACGTTTAGTGTATCATATTCCACATGCCTGAGTGAGGACGGGCAGCATTGTTCACAACGATGTCTATGCGGCCTTCGCGATCCAAGACCGTCTTGACCACATCTGCTACGTCTGCATCCGAGGTGACATCCAACCTCAACCGGACGATCTGCGTGTCTTTGAAATCGCCTATTGCTTCCACTCTTCTGGCCGTGGCATAGACTTTGCAGCCTTTCCCTGCAAATTCTTCACACCTAGCAGTGTTCGCATACAAATTCAACAAAAAGCGACGTCCCGCATCGGTGCGCATGAATTGAGTGCTTGCAAAGATGAAACTCACAGTGCGTGTCCAATGCCCCCTTTTGTGCAACCAGTAACAACGACAACTTCGCCTGTCATTCCGAGTACAACGTGCGTTCCGGTCAGAGTAAGTGAACGTCACCGTGACGACCTGGGATAGGGCTGCTGCGTGTGCATGTACTAAGTATAAACTGCGGCCGCAGGCCCGAGTCGCACGGCATGCTATGATTGAACTTGCGCGCACTAGCCAGAATCACTGATCTGTATTGTGCCCCATCGCAATTAGATACCAAGTATTAGGCTAGCCGAAACAAGCTTACTGTGAACCTTTGTGCCCGTCAATACGTTCAAGTTGCAAGATGCTAGTGCCACTGGCAGGAGTTGCCTGTTTTGACGACGGCCCGATCCCGCGGCCGTTGCCGGACCCCAAATCGCAGATTTCTCGCCTCGAAGACTGGCATTCTTGTCTGCGGTCGCATCCACTACCTCTCGTTGCTTCCTTGAACATAGCACATAGCTCACCGCAGAAACGTAGGAGATGGCCACGGAGATATCGGTAAGTGTAAGGGTCGTCAAACCCGTGGAGGTTGTTCACAAGCATTCAGGTAGGGCTCGAACGCATTGAATCGGTCAATGCAGGGCCTATGGTCCACCCACAGACGGCCGAAAATCAACCTGAACTCTGCGTCGACACCCCCAGTCGCTGTCGCTGAAGAGCCGACTCTGACACCCACCGCTGATGCCCCGAATGCGGAAGCATCGACCTCGACGGCGGCGCCGCCCCCAGAAGGAGAAACATCCTCTACTTCAGATGTTCGTCCTCCCGCATCAAACGGCAAGAGGCGGTCAAGAGTTGGGCGAGGTGGTGAGGAAAGCAACAAGAGGATCAAGCTTACGTCGCAGGCCGGAGGTAGCGTAGCGAAGGACCACTCTCCGCCCGCGACACGGTTGTCGGACCTCGGCGGAGTGGACGCATGCATCGAGAAGATGCTTGAGCTCGTCGCGATGCCTCTATGTCACCCTGAGATTTACCTTCACACCGGAGTACAGCCTCCGAGGGGTGTGCTCCTGCATGGTCCACCAGGGTGCGGCAAGACACTGTTAGCACATGCCATCGCTGGGGTGAGTTCTACGTAACACATGCGCGGGATTGTGCCTCATGAGGCGTATAGGAACTCGGCGTTCCCTTCATCAGCGTTTCCGCCCCCTCAGTCGTCTCTGGGATGTCCGGCGAGTCTGAAAAGACACTGCGAGACACATTCGAAGAGGCGAAGCGAGTAGCACCATGCCTTCTCTTCATTGACGAGATCGACGCTATCACTCCGAAACGCGAGAGCGCGCAGCGGGAGATGGAGAGACGAATAGTCGCCCAGTTCCTGACGTGCATGGATGGTATGTCTTTCCTCATGTACGCTACGTGCCGCTCTGAACACGCTTGCCAGATATGTCTTGGGACAAGACGGACGGCAAGCCCGTAATTGTCATCGGCGCGACCAACCGGCCAGACTCGCTGGATGCTGCCCTGCGCAGAGCGGGTCGCTTCGACCACGAAATCAGCATGGGTGTGCCAGACGACGAAGCGCGAGCACAGTGAGTGTCTTGAGACGCGAGACGACAATTGCGTAGCTGATCATGATATGTGCAGAATCCTACGTGTCCTATGCTCCAAGTTAAGACTCGAAGGTGACTTCGACTACCTGGCACTCGCAAAAGTAACCCCGGGCTATGTCGGCGCGGACCTCACCGCGCTCACAGGCGCGGCCGGCATCATTGCTGTGAAGCGCATCTTCCAGCAGATATCCGACGGCACGCTAGTGCTTTCGGAGGATGTACAACAGCAGCTTGCGTCCGCAGACGGCGATGTCTCGATGCAGGTGGACACGCCAGCCATCGAGGTCGAGACACAGGCTCCCACAGTCTCAGACAAGCCTGTGCCCTTCGCGAACATCGACCTCGCGACACCCACCGCCTCGTCCATCCTGCACTTCCTCCGCGCGCACCCGTCTCCGCTCACGCCCGCCGAGCTGTCTCCACTCTACATCACTTCCGCGGACTTCCACGCCGCGTTGAAGCAGGTGCAGCCCTCCGCGAAGCGCGAGGGCTTTACTACTGTGCCCGACGTGACTTGGGCGGACGTTGGTGCGCTGCATGCGACGCGCGAGGAGCTGCACATGGCGATTGTGCAGCCGATCAGGAGGCCGGAGCTGTTCAAGAGCGTCGGCGTGGAGCGGGCGTGCGGCGTGCTGATGTGGGGCCCGCCGGGTTGCGGCAAGACGCTCCTGGCGAAGGCGGTCGCAAACGAGAGCAGGGCGAACTTCATCAGCGTGAAGGGGCCGGAGCTGTTGAACAAGGTGGGTACCTCTGGTCTTCATCCAGTCTTCGCACAATTTGACCAATACGCCGCGACAGTACGTCGGCGAGAGCGAGCGCGCCGTACGCCAGGTCTTCTCGCGCGCACGCGCCTCTGCGCCATGCGTGATCTTCTTCGACGAGCTCGACGCGCTGGTGCCGCGGCGGGACGAGGCGCTGTCCGAGTCGTCCGCGCGCGTCGTGAACACGCTCCTCACCGAGCTCGACGGGCTCGACGCGCGCCGCGCGGTGTACGTCATCGCCGCGACGAACCGCCCCGACATGATCGACCCCGCGATGTGCCGCCCCGGCCGCCTCGACAAGCTCCTGTACGTCGACCTGCCGAGCGCAGAGGAGCGCACGGAGATCGTGCGCACGCTCATGAGGGCGGTCCCGCTTGGTGGGGAGTCGGAGAGGGCGGAGGTGGAGAGGATGGTGAAGGAGAGGGGAGAGGGGTATAGCGGGGCGGACCTTGCGGCCGTCGTGCGGGAGGCGGGGGTCGCTGCGCTGCGAAGGACGTTGGGCGCGCTAGATCAGATGGAGGCGGATGGGTCGGCGACTGCTGGCGAGGAGCCGAAGATCGTCGTTGGCGTCCCAGACTTTGAGAGAGCGCTGGAGAAGGTGCAGCCTAGCGTGAGCACGGCACAGCGGCGGAAGTATGCGAGCTTGCGGGTGAAGCTGAGCGGGAGCGGGCTGCCTGTCGGTGTCAAGACTGACGAAGGGAAAGAAGGCAAGGGCGGAGGCATGCAGGAGAGCTAGATTGCAAGATGTCGATAAAATGTAGAGTACATTTGTGCTGTGCATATGGTAAGATACATGTGTTGTGCGATACTAGGTACAGTGTTGATTCATCTTCGTCTGGTCTAACGCTCTCCCACCTTCTTGACACCCGCTGGTACAACCCTCTCGTTCCGCCTCCAGAACTCCACAAGCACTTCAGCCAACTTCCTTGGATCATCCTACGCCATAAGAATTGTCAGGCTCTGCTCAAATCTGCTGCGGAAGGCGGGCGGTCGTACCTCCTGGAGCATATGCCCCACCCCGGTAACGACCGTAAGCTGGAACTTGCCCTGCATCTGGCCGATCATAAGCTCGCGATCAAGCCGCTCCGCGCCCGCGAGCACGAGCAGGCGCGCCGTCCGCGCAGTGAGGAAGAGCTTCGAGAGCGAGGTGAACCAGCCTATAGCGCACGCATCAGTATCAACATCGACCCACACCTTCAGCAAGGCTAGGACGTACTCGTCCAGTAGGGCGCGGTGTTCCGCAGAGGGGTCCGCCAGATCCACGCCGGGGACGTGCCCTCGGGTGCGGGCTGGATGATCGCGGGGACGGAGACACGCGCGGAGAGGGGGTTGCGCACAGCGTTGGTCTTCAGGCTGGGTGGGGGATTCGATTAGGGTCTGGGGCGGTCGGGCGATGATGGGGGCGAGGGTAGGAATGCTTACTGCCACTCGATGGCTTCCTCCTGGCTCCCGAAGCCGGCGGGGCGCGCGTCGAGGAGGGAGTGCATCATTGGGAGCGCCTCGAGGGTGAACTCTGCGTTGTATGAGGAGCAGTCATGCGAATGGGTGTATGGGTCGCGGGTTGTGGTCATGGATTGTATCCAGGCGAACTCAGTGAGTGTGGAGTTCTCAATCGTGCATGGTAACGCGTACCTTCCACAATATCGAGCACGGCAACACCTGCGAGACGGTATTTGAGGTCTTGGAGCAAGGGACATGCGCGCACGATCACAGAGCCACCGAGAGAGTGGCCGGAGAGCTATGGCACGAAGGTCAGTAGACCCTCCGGGGGATGTATGCAGGTGTAGACCATAATCAGATGGTGGGGTTGTGAAGGGCGGGTAGGATAGTGACGTGCAGCGACCAGGGCAGGGCATAACTGCCATCGTGCAATATGTGCCTAACGTAAAGAAGAAGCGAGGACGTACCAGCAGTGACGGTGCAGCGCCAGGATCAGGATACAGCACTTTCAAAGTGTTCACGAAGTCGCTCGTCAGCGTCTCGATCGAGAAGTCCTCGCCGCCCTCAGGACCTGGCCTCGGAATCGTCGTGGCCGTCTTCCCTACACACCGAAACACTCTCCTTCAGCGCGAAGACAAAAATAACATCAGGCACTACAGCTCACCATGTCCCCTACAATCCAATGCCAATACACCGCACTCCCCGCGGCTCAGCTCCGTCACCTCCCCCGCCGCAAGCGCGAACGTAAGTGCGGACTGGCCCGCGCCGTGGTGGCACACTATCACCGTCCCGGGTTCCCCGCCCTCTCTGACCCGCGGCGGCGTGTAGTACGCGCGGACGTCGAGCCCCGAGTCGGGCACGGCGATCTGGGTCGCCTGCGCGAAGTAGGCGGACGCGGAGAGCGGCGTGAGCTCGGGGTTGGGGGCGCGTTTGCGCTGTGCGGAGGCGTACGCGCGGGTGCCGGGCCTGTCAGAACGGAAATCAGTTTCGCGGGGAGATGTTAAGATGGGTAGGAGAGCCTGCAGAGGCACTAGCGATGCGTGGTCGTGCGACCTATCGGCCTATCTCGCGCGCTGGGACCAGGGTATCTGCACACTCATCTTGACCAGTCTAGTTCGATTGGAGGACTTACATTGTAGTCGGGCCGATACCTGCTACAGGTGGGGGCAACGACCCGAGCGAATCTGCCGCCTCGGACTCCTCGTCGTCCTCGTCTGGCTCCGGAGGTAGCATGGGCAGCTTCGAGATCCGCGCTGAGAGGGCAGAGCGGTAGAGGTCAGACATGAGAGTCTTACGCGGCGATGGAATGTAGAGGTAGAGTGTCGACGGGTGACTGACGGTGAGCGCTTGAGCGCCGAGAGCGATGTACCGCCAAATACGAAAGGCGTCGAGCCGCCGACTCTCTGCCACGAGCGTCCAAGCCGCCTCTTCGTCGTGCACGCATCCAGATGGCTACGGAACCCTGGGACGTCAAAAACCTCCCGTTGGACGGCTCGGAGCAGCCTCGAGCCCCTTCACAAGCCTCAGTGAGTCTCAATATTCGTATTCCTTTCGCCTTGGCTGAGCGCTCGATCCGTCAACGCCCACGTCGGAAATAGAGCTCGCACTACTTCTCCGAGGTGGAAGATCTTGACCCGATTATTGGCCAAATCCCAGGCGAGTACGCCGTTCACCAGCAATACTGCCAGCCGCTGAATTATGTCTCTTAGATGCTGATGTCACTGTCACGCTGGGCAAGCGTCAGAGGTCGGAAAGCCGTCCGTCGACGGGCACCACGCCCTCCCGAAGCTCCAAGCAAAAGGTGCACACAGGGTCCCATACGACCCCTGTCATAATAGTTGAGTTCTTGACATTGCCGCTGGGTTTTGCTGACTGCATGTAGGCTGAGATACTGGGCGCGTCAGTCGATCATCTCCCTTTCGGCGTGCAATGGGAATTGGCCCGGCTGTGCTCTGCCGGTCTGCTTAAGGGCAGCAGCAAGTTGCTTGCTGACAAGGTCAATCACTTGACCGCCTCGTCGAACGTGCAGGGCGTCCCTGCGCTCCACGCATGCCTCAACCTTCAGTCCCCGACAAACTCAACCATCTCAATGAGGGAGCAGGAAGTCAGGGTATGCATAGCACCTCATGTTCTGTCAGTCATTATGCTGATTGAGTGTTCTCAGTTGCCATGGAAGGAACTTGACAAAGAGGAATATGCTCTCTGGAAAGATCCATACAGCTGTGTGGGTCACTCTGCTGATAACCCTGGATGGATTGGTGGGCGTGTGCACTTCACGGCAACACTTCAGTGCTCTTCACTTGGTAATTCTCCATTTGACATCAAACTTGAGTCACCAGCTATGGGCTCCTCGAATCGGTTTGCACGCCGGTTTGGTTCACATACATTCCTTCGTGTCCGGATACCTGATGATGTTAGATGGGAGGTTGACAGTAGTATCAGTGGCCCAGACAACCTCATTGCTTACTTTACACAGCCATTCATCATTCACCATTCAGTCTTTCGTTCATTTTATGCAAAAGATGGTCATGTTTTCCTCTTTCGTACTGTAGAGCGCTGGGATGGCAGCTCCATTACTGTACCTACTGTAGCACCAGGCTCTACTGCTGAGTTCACTGCAGAGGAGTTCCTATCCTGGCACAACAACCTCAATCACAACTTGGGACAGGTGAGCAAGATATTCATTCATGTTTATTTCCTCATTTGAAGTGCATTTGTAGAGTATGACAAAATGGGCTGCCCGGTTTGCTCTGGGGCTGTCCAATTCAGTTCCTGGTGTCCAGGTGAAGGAAGAATGCATCCAGGAAGTCAATGACATTGGTATGTAATATTTCATCCTCTTGTTGTGAAGTCAGGATTCATCATGTATCTTCAGTCTGTCCTGGCTTCAAGAGACAAGGCAAAGTGCCCAGTCAGATGGTCATGACAGATGGGTGTGGACTGACCTCCCACAATGTGTTGAGAGCACTCACACAGCAGCTGGGATGGCTTGATATACCCACTGCTGTTCAGATGCGCTTGGCTGGTGCAAAGGTATGTGTATGCTTATCTGGCTTGTTATGAGCTACTCAGCATGCCAAATATGGACCTAGGGCCTCCTGTTGACAGACCCTGCACACACAATGCCTAACACACCCTTCCATATCTCCCTCCGTCCATCTCAGATCAAGATTGACCTCTCAGGCTTGGGCAATCCCATTGACCCAGCAATGTTGACCATTGACATCATCAAGCCTTCCAGGCTGAGTACCCCCTCTCGTCTCTCAGAGGAAACCATCATCAACTTGGCAGAGAATGGGGTTCCACTCCAAGCCTTTGTCAAGCTGATGAAGGACGACTTGCAGGCAAGGGTGGATGGTCTCACACAATGGACCTCCCCTGCCTCTGTGTTTTCCCTGTACAGAAATGTTGGGATTGCTGAGTCTGTGACGACACAGAGGCTTGTCAGGGAGGCTGCTGGTACTGCTCGTGCAAAGGGCTATACCAGCCGTGATGTAGATGAGGGGAAGGATGAGGCCCTAGATGAGGATGGGCTGGACAACTTGGATGATGTGCTCAAGGAGCAGTCTGTTGCATGGTGGGCTGATCCAACTAGTGGATGCCCTTCTACCATTGCAGAGACTGCTCTTGTCCTGCTTGATTCTGGTTTCCTTCCTGACACATGCCCAGTGCTGGCCTCCAAGCTCAAGCATTGTGTCAAGATGGTAATCAAGTCTTGCAAGAATAAGTGCCATATTGCAGTTCCCATGTCATGTACAGCCTTTGTTGTACCAGGTGAGTTGTCAATTGACATATATGTATTATCTAACATGACCATTGTAGATCCCTGCAATGTACTGGAGCCCAATGAGGTCCATGTCAAGAGTTCATCCAGGAACTTACTGGACCAAGATGGCATGCAAACAGATCTAGTGCTAGGAGAGGTCTTGGTGAGTGTGTATGCTTTATCATGGACTTTATTCTCAATGCTTTCCTGCTAGGTTACTAGACATCCATGCAAATTGCCTACAGATGTCCAAAAGGTGAGTTCAAGTACCATGGTAGCATCTGAGGCTGAAGAATGCTGTAGGTCACTGCTGTGTATAGAGCAGAGCTCAGCAACTATGTAGATGTTGTTGTGGTATCAACAAAGAACCATCTCTATGATGGCCAGCCACTGAATCAACATCTAGCCAGTATGACTGGTGGAGGTGAGTCTGTTCACTTGTATCCCTACTGCTGGCTTCATGGAATGAATAGGTGACTATGATGGAGACACATTGGAGGTCTTCTGGGACCCATCTGTGGTCTCCTCATTCACCAATGCAAACCCAAAATATGCTCAAGAACCCAAGCAAGTCAAGGCTGTGCTCAGCAGAAATCCTGAGACAGTCCCACAATTTCTAGAGAGGACCTCAGGTTGCAGCAAGGCTGACAAACTTGCTGAGATGCAGAAGTACCTCCTTGGATCATTGCAAAATGTCTCCAGGGTTGGTACCTACTCCAACTGGTGGTTAGCCTCAGTGTACAAGAATGGGTACTCACATCCAGATACCATCTTCCTTGCATACATGTAAGTCTATCAATCTCAATGACCACTCTCACACCTTACTCAATGAGGTTTACAGGTTCACCAATGTCCTGGATGGAGCCAAGACAGGCATCACTGTCTCAAGAAAAGTCTTTGAGGAGCACAGGAAGGCATACAGTTCTCTCCCAATGCCCTGGACCCTCAGCCAGGGACCATCAAGGGGTAGGAATGAGCACATTGGCTCTGATGAAATCCCTGCCAAACGAAATCCAGAACTCCCACCTTTCACCCTAGAGCTCCTCCACCGCGAGCTCCAGAAGCAGTGCAACACTCTGGACAAGAGCCTCGACACCATCTTCCCCGAGAAGGAGCCAGGCACCACAGTACCCCTCGACGAGCACCTCGCCGCGCCATGGCAAGACACCGTCACACGCGCGCAGAAGATCGCGACGACGCGCGGGGACACCTGGATGCAGACGGAGCTTGACGCCATCGCCACGCACGTCGCCGTGGTGTACACGCAGCACATGGCGAAGGTGAAGAGCATGCACGGGCAGCGCCAGAGCCGCAGCCGGGCGAACAGCAAGAAGAGCAAGGGCGGCGCGTCGTTCACGGACCTCCCGATCGAACAGCGCCAGGACATCTTCCGCGAGCTCTCGCGGATGTTTGAGGACGGGCCGGCCACGCTCCCCGACGGCAGCGCGCTCCTGTGCTTCGACAAGCCCGCGATACGCAGGCTGCGCGCATCGTACGCGTACATACTCGACCGCGACCGCTCGCGGGGCGGGTGGTCGCGCTTCCCGTGGGACGTCGCGATGCGCACACTGTGCGAGATTAAGGTGGAGGCGCTAGGTGGTGGGAAGACGCTGATGGAGGAGTTTTACTACAAGATGACGATCCCTAGGTCATTCGTGAAAGGGACATGACGGCAAGGGAGGCAGACGGACTAACCCTCAACTCGAGTTGGGGTCACGCAAGCGTTCATAACGAGATATCAAACCGCTCTATATTCCAGCTTAATCAATGCAGGGAAAAACTTCTTCAACAAAACGTATAGCAACAACGACGGTTAAGGTTCAAATGTTTAAAGGGGTAACATGTCTTCGGCGAGCGGCAGGCAGCGGTATAGAGTACGGAACGGCGTGGAAGGGTAGTGTGTCTGTGGGGTAGGCGGCGAGGGGTACACAGAAGCAAAAGCAAGGAACCTAGAGGATGACGCAGCCGGAGCAGCACCCACCGACGCCGTCGTCGTCCTTGCCAGAGTACACGCCGGGTGCTGAAGGTGCGTTGGGCTGCACACCCGGGCGACCCGTTTGTTGTTCCTACGAAGGACTCGTCATGAAGAGTGCTACGTATAGCGCGACGGCGTACGTACCTTGTTGTACCGCCTGATCTCACGCACAAGGCTGCAGAACGCCTCGTCGACGTTGATCCTCTGCTTCGCGGACGTCTCGATGAACTTGCAGCCGAAGTGCTTCGCGAGGTCGCGGCCCTCTACGTGGGCCAGTAAGCAGACAGCCAGACGAAAGAACAGCAGTCAGGCGCACCGTTCATGCCCACCTGGCGCTCATACTCCAGATCGCTCTTGTTCGCGACGACGACGACGGGGAACGAGTCCTGGTCCTTGACACGCAAGATTTGTTGGTGGAATGTGCTGATTTCCTCGAACGACGGGCGTGACGTGATCGAGTAGACGAGCAGGAAGCCCTCGCCTGTGCGCATGTATTGCTCGCGCATCGCTCTGACGAACGAGTGTGGGTGGATGGTAGGTGACGGTCGAAAGATGGACGTACCCGTATTCTTCCTGACCCGCAGTATCGAGCACGTCCAGCAGAGCAACCTCATCGTCGATCACACATTGCTTCCGGTACGAGTCTGTGAGGGAGAAGACGTCAGCCAACCAGTCAAGAGCATCGTGTCGAAGGGCTCTGGAAGGACACGTCGGTATAGAAGGCATACAGCACGAGTACACGGAACGGGTGCATGACGATGGCAGAGGAAACGCAATAGCCCCCCGTATGGTGATACTACGGATAATCCGGCCTACGTACGGCAGGACCCCTATCAACTGGGAGAGGGTTGACCCCAATCCGGACAGGTTCCGACGATTTGAGGGAGGTATGCCTGATGCCATCCGGACAGAATTGACGTTCGTGCGGACGGAGGCCTGTGCCAGTATCCGGACATGGTTCCTCCAGCCCCGCAAGGCCTGTCCGGACGCCTCAACCGTCTATGTAGTGTCGCAACACAGCCTGTAGCTGACCACACGTCCGCTGCATGTGCGAGGTCGGCGTCATGGCTTCCCTCCAGGGATCTGACAGTGAATGCCGAGCAGCCATAGCGCGCTGTGCGCGACGGGGACGAGTGCTGGCATGATCATTGACCAATGGCCACCCCGTCCGCGCATCGTTGGTGTTCAGTTGCCCAACATCTACCATGAATTGCATGGCTGACGAGGCCTGATCCTGTATATACCACCAAGGCCTGATGAGCGGACAAGACTCGCCGAGGCCTGATTTTATCCGGACAGATTTGAGAGTCTGGCCTAGCAGACGCTCGCGAGCAGCATCAAGCGCGGTTCCGTTGACAATCCACCACCATCTTGGCAGGGAACCGTAGCGGCCCCGAGGAGCGAACAGCGCCGTCAAGTGCGCCGTCAGGAACCAACGCTGTCCTGTCCGCCCAGTCCACCTCATCTCCGTGTAGGTTGGCGCAGAAAGCCTCACGGACCGTCTCTTGGTCTGTGTGCTACAACTCGACATAACAGACGAAGCAAGTGGGGTACTGTCATGTGCGATCTCACCGCACATGCACACTGTGCAGTTGCGTCCGAGTCGCCTTCAACGCGCTGCCAACCCCTGTCACAGCACCAGGTCTCTCGACTACCCCAAGGCGTGTTATGAACAACAGACGCGCTTGTGAAGTCACCTTCACACCCATCGCGAACCAGTGACATAATGATGACGGCCAAGGGAAGAACTCACCCTCAATGGTCGGGTCGTACTCGTCCACGAAGTGACTCTGAATGAACTGGATCGTCAATGCAGACTTTCCGACACCTAGTGCACGATAAGACGAAGACTAGGAGCGAACATAGTGTCGACGTACCACCACCGCCGACGACGACGAGCTTGTACTCCCGCAAGAACTGTGCCTGTTCAGGTGCTCTGTTCAGAATGCCCTCTTCGCATCGTATAACGTTCTTACCCGAGACATAACTGCAAGATAGAAAGGAGAAGGGTGGAAGGAGCAGCGAGGGCGACGAGGAGGGGCGATCCGCTGTACTGGTCGCGGACGCACTTGTCCCTAAGTAGCCGGCACGTGCCAAACAAGGCCAAATGTCTCTCCCGGACACGCGCCTCCTCCTCCATCATCCCTCCCATCTCGCCCACATCTGTCCAACACAAACACGACACCTCTCCCACACGTCTGCCAGCTGCCCAGGATGGCTCTGTCCAGCACAGCGAGGTTGCGGGTACAGCTCAGGGCAACGGCGGAGGTGTGGACCCCGGAGGTCGAATTGTGGTCGCGAGAGGTTTCCTCGGTATGTCTGTACTCATTTGCGGTGCGCAATGTACCCTTGTTCGTAATACCATACACGTCTCGCGCTCCTGAGAACCGACAGAGGCTATGAGGGTCTCTTGACGCTCGACATGCGACACCACCGGTCCCAATCAATCTCTCCATGCTACTATTCGAGCTGCGATCTATAACACGATTCCTTTACGGTTTTGCAGGGGTCTCCGTCAGCAGAGAGGTCTTGATACCGTCTCTCGACACCGCGATCTCGCTGACTATCATATGCTCGCCCTAGTTGGTCACACTGTTCGTGCTGGAACTGCAGTGTGCAGGTCCCCACCCTCGATGGTCACCAGCGATGGTCATCTGAGGATGGTACTCCTAGAATCACAATCATGCTCAGGCCTGACTGCTCTGCTGGTCGATATGAGCCGGTACGGAATTTACACCGAGATGGATGTCTGCTCTGATTGTGCGGACAAGGACTGAACGCTGAAGACATCTCTTACGCCTCGTTTCGTGATGCGGGCAAAGCGCCATGATGAAGACATGAGAACCACTGTGCCTCCTTCCCTTCCGCGCCCTGTGCATGGCCGCGAACTCAAGTGAGCTGCAGTCGTAGCATACCAACAGCCCATCCAACATCGGCCCGGCCAGTCACTTCCTAGCGGCGGAAAGAACGCTAGCAGTCAAGTTGTGCAGCATGTCCCAGTTATTGACTCGGGACACGCGTACTGCGCTATCACAATACACGTCAGTGTTCTCACTGTTGACGCAACCTTGAGCTTTGACCGAGTTGCTGATTGGTCTCAGGCGGCACGGGCTACATACCACAGTGAATGCCTTCTCTGATCATTTGGGGCGAGGACTCAACACTGCTCATCGAAGATGTCTCTCTTGTTCTGGCAAGGCAGACGCCTTCATCATATTCTCTTGATGCAGAGCTTGTCAGCCCCGTTGGGAACCTCTAGCTGTGGAAGGATCGTGAGCAATTGTGCATTGTGCTATGTAACCCATTTTTCATTCTACCCACACGCTTGAACTTCATCATCTCACCGCGCGCCAGCTCATGATGGACACTTGTATTCGCACTTAGGAGTCAGCTATCCCAAACCGACAGGCCTCCGCATCTAGTCTGCACAGAGGCGGAGTGTATCGATCTCAATGTTCCCTTCAAGGCCAACCCTGTGGTCTCTCTGTCTCCACTTGATACTCCCGGAGCTGCGATCTTTGGTGCGAATCATCATTATCTCTCGCTCAGCGAAGCCCATGTCGGCGGACGGGCCTTGATACCGTCTTCGCGATGCGGTCTCGTCGACTGTCGTACCGTATGTTCCCTCTGTTCGACGCCTCGTCAGATGTACTGAAATTCGTGCTCAGAATTACGGCATTGAGGACCTCACCCTCGATAATCACCAGTGATCGTCATCTCAAGATGCTACTCCAGAATCATGTCCAGGTCTGAGTGCTCAGCGCTCAGCAGCTCAGGATTGATCTCAGCCGGCACGGCCTATACCCCGAGGTGACCGTCTTCCCTGATCGTGCGGACGCATACTGGGTAATGCCTACTCAAGACACAGACACGCACCTCGTATTCTCGTGATACGGGTCGATGGAGATGGGATACCCGCCATACCTCGAGCTCAAGCGAACCGCGGTCTCAGCATACTATCGACCCGATTAGCTCACTTGGCCATGGAAGGATCGCTGGCAGTCAAGTTGTGCGCCTGCTGCTCCATCTCCACTCCACCCGCACCCCGGCACATTCTCTGTCATCGCGTCCCAGCGACCGACGGGACATGCGTACTGTGTCTTCGGTTCCGGTTGGGACTCAATGATAGCAAAATAGCAAATACATACATATGATACGCGGGTGCATATGACCAAGTACGTATTGACAGCCTACATCTATATTCTACACCGATACAAGTCCTCCAGTCTACACAGATCAGCGATATAATACAGTAGTGAGTGTGAGTGGTGTGTCCGACGTGACGAAGCGTGCAACGGCAAAAGTAACAAGAAAGACAGGCGGGGGAATGGAATAGAACGAACGCGCGACGACCTTACAAAGGAATGCACCATACATGTACCCAAGATCAAATGTACTCACTCTGCGAGACAAAGTCGGCGTTCCTTGACGAATATCTCGCAGGCGGCTTGCGCCCCCCCAAGAGCGGGACGCCCCCGTCGCCCACCAAGCTGACTGTCGACGGTGACTTGAGCGACCCCATGCTCGGCGTGCGCGCAGACAGCACCTCTGCGGGCGGCCGCGTCGAGTTGGCATTCGCCGACGAGGCACTGGGACGCACGACACTGACGTTCGGCGCGCGTGGCCCGCGGATGCCGTTGCTAGACCGCGAGCGCGGGAGTGCACTAAGCGTGCCGGTGGGCTTGTCGGGCATGATGCCTCCACGAAGGGGTGGGGCCGACTGGGCGCCGCTCGTCGCTGTGCTCGAACGTGCACTCGAAGGCATTCCCATTCTGAACACTGGGATGGCGGAACCGGACTGTGAGCTGCTCGACACGACAGGCGGGGCGCTGCTGGTAGTGCTACCGCCGGAGAGCGGCGAGGGCGTGTGCCTCTTCATCTGTGCGCCTGCTGCGACGTCCTCACAAGCCGCCCGCAGTGCCCTCGGGTTGTGTGGGAGCCCGCGGAAACTTGTCGACGCGATGGAGGGCACCCTACTGCTCTGGCTATGCATGGCCCCGTTCGACGGGACGGACGCGCGCAGGGCTGCAGTGGCCGACTCACGCGCGGGAATTGTCTGGAGCGATATTAGGCTGTTCGTCGCGCTGGGGTTCGTCCGCGTCGTCGCGCTAGCGCTCTTGGGTTGCGCGGAGCTCATAGCGGCGAACTGGGGTTGTGGGTCGGCTTCCGGGTCAACGAGTGAGGCGGGCCGGGAGATGCAGATGAGAGCAGCGCTGTGCGGGGGCGAGGTGATCACGGGGTGCGCGGCCTCTTGATGGACGATACGAGCTTCTGGAGACCGCTCCGATGCATCAGTGGCCTTGGGACCGACAATGGTGACGGTCGGCAGTATGCGAGGGGTCCTGAGTGGCTCCTCCAAAGGTGGCGGTTTGTGGCGGGTAGTAGGGGGTTTGCCATTGCCATCGGAGTGAGGCAGGCCGAGGGGCGTAGGTCGAGGAGATCCAGGGAGAAATATCTTGGAATGTTGCCAATGCACCGGCCTAGGCGCAGTGATGGCTCGCGGGAAGAAATACGGTGAAGACGTGTTGTCCGGAGTCTGCGGTCTGGAGCTGCGCTTGGACGGGGACGACGGCCTCAGTGCAGCCATCGCGCTACTCAAGTCAATGCGCGACCTCCGCCGGGACGAGACGTGCGCGACGGGTGGGGCGGTGAGGTACCCGTCCGCGAACGTGTCGGCCTTACATGTCGAGTCGAAGCTGAGTGAGGCATTGTGGCTGCTGAACAACGACTTGGCGGGCGGATCGACGGGCGAGGAGCTCGGCGCGAAGAAGCTCTCAGAGTCGGCGTTCTGTGGGTTGCTGAGCACGCAGCCCTTGATGAAGGGCGCGATGATACGGAGAGTGTTCAGCAGGATAGCCGCGTTCGCAAAACCTGTGAAAGGTAATGAGCTGAGCTGCATCGATACAGAGACGAGACGGTTACCTAGCATGCCGACAGTGGAATCACCGAAGACGTGTAGCCAGAAGGGAAGAGTTTGGTTCCCCGCAACTTCCAACAAGACGGACACCATGTCTGCGAAGTTCAACACGATGAAAGCTATAGTGCAATGGGGCTAGGTATGAGAGCAATTGTGAGTCAATCGTTCCACGAACCGACTGGGTACCTGAGAGGCAACTATCACTTGGCATCCAACAGCAGAGTAAGGTCAGGCTAACACTCACAACAACAGGCTTCTTGCGACGGTCAAGATGAAATGCTGATACTTTGGGTCCGTGCCGTCCATATCCAACGAACGCTTGCGATCCTCGGTGCGGAAGTTCAGTCTTAACCCGCTACTCGTGGAAATGGTCCCGCGCAAGACAAGGTACACTAGAGTGTAGAACAGCAATGACGCGGAGATCGCAAGGAGAACCTAGCGTGTATGTCCAGTGGAGTCAATACTGAGTCTCTGACAGGCAAAAGGATACGCACGGGAATGACTTGAAAGAACAGTTGAAGGGCAGGGTACGCCAGCGAGATCCCGCAGGCCATACCATCGAAACCATATAACAACCCAAGATCGCCGTCATTGATCATGGCTGGAATGATACCTGAGACGTTCCTCAGTCAGGCGCCTTCGTGAAGTCTATAGAGCCAAAGGTTACTGACTCATGACGGCTGCTATCGACCAACCCGACACAACGGCCACCCCGCAAAGCCAATCAGGCAAACGACGACGGCACGCAAGCGTGGTGAAGGTATGGATGGCGATGGCGGACGTGAAGTAAGAACTGCCTGTCATGCTGAACTGCTTGATGAACCCTGCGAACGTTATGCAATGTCGATCGTGTGGGGCGCTGGATGCAAATACTCTTACTCACCTTGTGCCGTACAAAGCGCATCTATCAAGAAGTATCGTCAGTGAGAGATTTCAAATGCAGCGGTCAGTGGCATACCGGATCGGACGCCGCCCAGCTGAATCCAATGGGCGTTGAACATCAGCGCAATACTCGTCAAGAAGTTGCTGAGCAACAGCGACACAGTGTAGGCGCCCAATTGCGTCTGGAAAAAGGTGCGCTGTTCTTGAGCTTGTTGGCGTCCCCCTGGTCGCTTCGCCAGGAATGCATGTAGAGAAAGACGGGCAACATATGCGAGGAATCCGCCAACGGCCAAGATAGACACACTAGCGAAGACGATCACGGCCTGTTGGGCATTCGCTTGAGCTGGTCAAAGGATCATCGCTGAAGATTGACTCACCACCAGTGAAGCAGCCTCCGATGAGGAGTATCTCCCCGGCAGCCTTCCAGATACTCCACCAAACACCCGCATGGTCGAAGAAGTGTCAGTGTAAAATGAACATACAATACGAGTACCAAGGAGTTTGAGGAGGTCTGTCCCCGACAAGGCCGTCCTGTGCACAAACAGCGAAGAACTGCCGACGATGCCCTGCGTCTGGCGAGAAGGTGCCTAGAACTAGACGACAGGAACCTGCCTGGAAGAACGAATATAAAACAAAAGCGGTCAGCCACCAGCGCAAACGTAGTTGCGTCGAGACCGAGCGGGAAGAGCTCAACCGCGCGGGGCTTCATAGCGAGTTCAGTGGCCTGGATGGCAGTACCATGGCGGTGCATCATGAGATGTGTCCGGCGTGACTGACGTGTATGGGAACCTACGATGGAGTGGCTGGCAGTGCGTCGCAGACTTATCGAAGCGCCCATCGCGGGCGTGCAGCGTCGGTATAGACACGCGTTGCGCGCCCCGACGCATGCGTCTTACTATCCATTCATTCGGTTGTAGTACAACAAACCTACATGTAGTCGTCAAAGTGAATAAAGATAGGATGATCAAACAAAGGGATGACATCACGTCAACCGCGCTACTTTGCAGCGAAGAACTTGGCTATGCCACCGGATTGTTTTGGTTTCCTCTTCTTCGTCCCTGGTTGTGTTTGTTCGCCAGAAGACGGTCGAAACTTGCGAGGGGAGCCCACGGAGTCGCCGAGCTCCTTGGAAAGCTCCTGAGCATAATGAAAGTCGGTATGTTCCACGCGCAACGCCTCGAGCGCCTCTTTCACGATCACCTGTTCCAGTCCATCACCCACCAAGTCTCCGGGAAGGGATATGCGCTTGCCACATTCGTTGCACACGAAGTATGTGGCACGGTCAGGGACAGCTTCGCCGTCGCTGCCACTCTTGCGCCGTACAAGGTCCCGCCTGGCGTCCTGTGCATCATCGTGCGAGTCCCTCTTGCGTTTGACAGGGGTGTCCGTACCCTGGGCCTCCTTCGACGTCGAAGGTGGCTTGAGGAAGGCATCGATGCTGCGCTGTCCAACCTCCATAACCCCGACCCCCGTAAACCCGAGGGCGACATTCGTGATCTTCAAAGGCGTCGTCCGGGAGTTATCAGTGCCGACCAGCTCCTTCCAGAGCTTATCTCCTGCAGATGCGATCACGTCGACGGATGCATCGCGTGTGAATGGGAACGCAGCCTGCTTTGACCGCGACGCGTCATAGCCTTAGCAATGACGACAAAGTATCAGGATGAACAGGAAGGCGCAGAGACAAACTGAGGCAACGCACTCTGTCGGGCATGTAGCACCAGCGTCTTTGGCCATAGCGCAGGCATCTCTTCCCTGGCCTCGCGCAGGCGTAGCGCCAACTCCGCTGCAAGCACTCTGATCCAGTGGGGACCCTGCGACGCCTTCATGATTGGGTTGGGAAGGTTCTTCGATGCCATCATACTCTTGTTGACGGCCGACTTTTCCTTGACTTGTCGTGAAACAGTCAGCGGAGGCGCGCGATTTGCGGAGTGAGAATGAAGAGTATCCATACCTTCGGACCGATCTATACCCCTGGTGATGAGGACCGCGGTCAACGCCTCCGTACCATTGTCTATACCAGACTACACATACCGGAGGATTTCATAAACCCAGATAGACTCTTCTCCGAATTTGCGTTGCATCTCCTCTGTGATCAAGCAATATGAGGTTCGGTAGTATCATAGCCGTGATAATCGACCAACTGGCCTAGAGAAATGCTCCTAACGGAGCGTGAGTGCCGATAGCGCGCGTCTTGCGAAGACACTTACAACAAGTCACCGACAGTAGACGCTTCGTACTCTTCGGCAATAGCTTTCCCCAGCTTTCCTCCGAGAAATCGAATCTAGTGATCGAGATGTCAGACGTTTCGGAGCTGTCGACCATCTGGCGTGGCGCTACCTTCTGGAATGGCAAGGGCCTGAGGTAATTCGGAATTGCTGCGTTGCGCAGGATGCTCTGTCATGTACAACATATATATTGCATTGCATTGCACCATGAAACATTCGTACCTGGCTGTTAGGCTTCTTGTATGATGCGGTAAGCTGTTCGGCACGTCAATGTAGTGTTCCTTACGCGTAGATTTCAGAGCGCACTACCTTGGCTAGAAACTTATTCCTCGCGATGCCCTGGCGCGAGTGTGACTAGATGCACGAGCGTCTGAAGAGCGACTACTCACCGCGGACGTCGTGTACCCCACTTTCATGTGGATGTCGTGGCGAATCTTGCCCATCAGCTCAGCAGCGATGGCGAGTGCAACATCATGCCAGGTTGTTGAGTCATCGCCGTTGTCGATGCCTTCACTATCGTCATAAGAGATGCCTTGGTCGCCTGGAGCGTCCACAGCTATCACAGAATTCACTGGCGATGGCGCGTTCACAGGTAATACCGTCCCTAGACCGTCCCACATGATAGGCGGTGGCGGCGGAAGAGGACTATCCGCGCCGTTCGGTGCGTCTGCAGGTACTTGTGAAAGATAGGGGTATCGTCGAAGAATTTCTTCCCGAACCGGTCGAGTAAAGTCGATGAACGCCTCGTCTATGGAAGCCTTCTCTACAACGTGTATGATTGACTCGGTTCGGACATAGCCCATACGTGAGTACATACCGATCTCACCAGAAGGCAGGCCTTCTTGAAACATGCGGATGACCTTCATGCTTTCTCGTCTGTAGTGATCCAATGATACCTGCGCGAGCCGATGAGAACAAAGAATGGTCGCTGTCAACAAGACAAGCGGGATAGGATGTGGCGGAGAAATTTCTCGTCCCTGCACTCCTTCGCTTCCCCATGTTCGATGACCATGCACAAAACTCACTTTATGCGTCGACGTATCGGGATTCTCCCAGTATCCGGGCTCCTTCTCCCCTTCCTTGTAGGTCGCAACATGCACCACGACTAGCTCCGGGCACTTCTTCTTCGCCTCTTTGATCTTCTCCATTCTCGTGATTCCAAACTTCCGTGCAGGATAGTTCACGGCGATGAGGGAATCCCACTGCTGGACTACCAGAGGCCGCGAAGGATCGATCCCAAGGCGGATCTGCTCGCACGCTGCGTAGAATGCATCGCTATCGCATAATGCTATAACGCGCAATGGGTCTTTTACGCCGAGGTTCCGTGAGTGTAGCAGCCGATAAGTGATCATGGGGTTGAGGTCGTAGAAGTCGGCTTCTGAGTTGGTGGCCTTCCCCTTGCCTTTCCATGAGACAGGTTTTGCGCTGACAGTAGAGGTCATCGGGCGTTATATGGTCGCACGTTTTGAGTGGGCTTCTTGTCGGCCGGAATGGAGTCGAGCAACAAGCTACAGAAGAACAGCTTCGACGGAGACCTGGCGCGCTCTGATCTGTCGCGGCACGCCTAGTAACACCCGCGCAGGTGAGTCGAGACAAGAGTCCAGGAGGCAATGCAGCACCTGCAGGCTGACGATGAGCTATGCAGTATTCGTGGTCCGCCGCCTGGACGCAGATGGATGGTAGAATGATGGTGGGTGGGATGAAGGCTTCACCGACCGGCGAGCCACAGACGTGTGTAAACGCGACCACGTGATTGCCTCAGCGTCATCCTACTCGGGTGTCCATGGCGTATGTACTGTGTGACGCCGCGTATTCTGAGCAAAAGCGTTGTTCACGCATGAATGAACGGTGAAGAAATTGCAACGCGAGAAAAGTCAGCATATGATAGATACAATCCGAGGCTACAAAAAGACAGCTCAAAGCGTGTATCAGTCGGTACATGATTAAATATCAGTGAAAATGTCTGAGATTGAAATGTTGAACAGACGACTCCACGATACTCGTACAACACGACGCTGCGAACATACCACCGAGTTTCAAGCACTGCCTTCCGACTCGGGACTGCCTGTGTCAATGCCCAAGGGACTCCTGACTGTTGCTCTCTTCGACACATGTTGAGGCAGCCTCGATGGGTCACCCTCAGGCTCTGTGACCACATCATCAGTCCTCGCCTCCTCCTCCCTGGCACGTTTCTTGCCACGACTTGTCTGGCTGCCTGCAGAAGAGTCATTGCCGTCGCGCGGAATCTTGAACGGAAGAGCCTGAGCGTGGTCATTCTCTGGCCAGGACGCATCCGCGAGGGCTTCATCGAACAAGTCCAAGACGCTCTCGTAGGTGAGAGGGGTAATGCTCGAAACCCCATCCCATGGTATGTTCCGAAGACAGAGGACCTTGTACTTGTGAACGAGAGTAGTCAGTGGCTTGTTGCCTTCGACCTCCCAGTCCATGGGACCAGTGAGGAACCCTCGTTTATTCTCTGCGCTGTCGTAATCGGTGCTAGCACCAAAAATGCGGATGTAAAGCTGGTAGGCCGGATAGCAAGTATGTCGCGTGTGCCGCAACACCATGCACAGCAAGAGCCAAAACACGGATTCTAGGTCATGGCGAATGTCGTGGGCAACGTAGCTGCAGAGGATTTCGATAGCCATGTAAAGCAGAGTCCCCTGATAGGAAGACGGTTAGCCCAAGCAATGGTCATGAACATAGATGAGCGTACAGTTTGCTCCTTCATCCTCATCCTCATCTTCCATGCCTCCCGCTCGGCTTCGTTGCCCAAGTCTTTTCCGTCCTCTTTCTTGCATAAGAGGAGAGGTATCTCCTTCTCCGGCGGTGCCGGACGCGTACGATGAGGCAAATTCTTGTTGTATTCCTCGACAGCCTGCTTCCAAGCGTTCTCATCGATCTGTTCATAGCCCGCGTGCTTGAGCGCAGTCTTCCAGTCAAAGGCGTAATCAAGATCGAGCAGGAAGCCAACGAAAACATGGATCCATCCGTCGTAGATCATGACATTGCCTTCACTTATATCCCGGTGTATGATACCTTGCTGAAACAACTGTCGATGCCCTGGCATACACGAGTGAGCGACACTGGCCACGAACTGGATGTAACGATGAGTCACTTACCAATAACAACGTCTCGTAGTGCCTCCACAAGCTCTCTTGTTGACCTGAACTCGCATAGAGGCCGACCGGTCGTCTTCATCACGACCCGCATGTGGCTTCGTTCGTTGTAGTTGGCCTTGTTCGCATCTCTTAACCAGCCACAGATCGTACGGTGATACACATCGTACGCAGGCGGGTGGTCCACGCCGCTAGCAAGGGCGTCTATGGCGTCGTCGCTTACCTCCAGTGGTGAATCACTCTGCTTTGAAAGGAGCTTGGCAGCCTCGCGCGCACCGAGGTCATCCGAAAACGTCACGCTCGGAAGCCCATACAGCTCTGAGGCAGCAGCATCGAGTTTAGCCTCTGCTTCGAGTTCATCGAAGTCTTCCGAGCGTATGGGGCAGCCTTGGTCATCCAGTTTGAAACCGCCATCCGGCAACGTCGGTTTGTCCTCGTCGTTGCGGTGCAGGAAAACGTAATCGGCGATGTTCGCCCACCACGGTCGATTTTGAGGGTCGAACGCATGCCGCAGGCAATCGTACAGCGCGTCTTCACGGTCACGAGCGAGTTGCCTCCAAGCCTCCTTGATCACGAGGGGCTCCCACGTCCCTTCCTCGAATGCGTCCCAGACCGCCGTCGAACGCGAGAATAGCCGAGGATTCATGAAACGGAGTCGGTAGAGCAGGTACCTCGTCGCCCCTGCCTCCGAGCCGTCTTTGTTGTACCTTATGACCGTCATCCACCGACAAGCCTGCTTCTCATCCTCCGTAAGGCGATCCTTCCCTGCTTCTGCACACTTCTCATCGGCCAGCTCGACTTCCTCCTCCGTGACGGGCTGAAGTGACGGATCCGCGCCAAGAACCATACGAACAAGGGGTGCGTTGGCTCGACCCCTATCGTGTTCTCGGTGGTGGCAGAAACGCCAGAGCAGTTCATGGAGAGGCGATGGATCATTCTTGTAGTTGAACGCCCTTGAGACGACACATGCCGCATGGTCAAACCGATAGATCCTAGCTGTGTCACAGTAAATGCCGATGATGTACACGTAGAGCATCCCATGCGTCAGCATGAGGTTCCGCGCACTCTTTGCGATCTGCGTGAGTACGCCTGTTGCCTCATCGCTGTACTTCACCCCGTACACCCCGATTGGATCCTCGCCTCTTGTCGGCTTCACTTCGATGGCCATTGCGATCCGACGCCACTTCGACTGCCATCCTTCATCCGCCTCGGCCGGAAACGACATGAGAATGTCTGGCAATGTATAGTTGTGTTCGTATTCCCAAGCCGAGTATGGAAACCGCACAGAGCGTTTGCTCCCGACGGCGAATCGAGGTCTGCGCGCGGGCTTAAATTTTCGAACGATGCTGTCAAGGCCCTTGATCTGGTGATGTGGCCGAAGTCAGTCATGCGGACAGTGTAGTTGAGGGACCAGACATACAATTTCCGGGTACATCTTAGTCTCCTCTCCTGTCGTAGGGACAGTTTCGAAAGGGGTCGCTGGGTCATCCCATGGGCGCGCAGCACGAGATGCGGCCTCGCATGGAACATAGGCGTCGAAAAACTCGACCAGATTCTTGTTGAATAAGTTTACTTTGTCATCAATTTCGGCCGCCCAAGGGTCCTCATCGACTTCGCTTGTCCCGGTGCCAGATTTACGAGAGTGCATTGTGTCGTACATGTCGGATGAGGAAGGCATGCCGAGACAACCAGAGGAACCGCTAGATCCTCCAGTGCAGGACCCAGAGGACTGAGAAGACGAGGACATGGACGTTCGAGGCGACATCGCTGTGTGTTATATACTGAGATAATATCAGTCAGTGTGAAAGGTTTCGGTGAAGAGAAGGGTCACCGTTGGGACAATGCACAAGGGAGTATCCTTCTTTGGTACAGCCCGTTGCTATAAGCCCGAAATGGATGCGTGTCGGTGAGTCGAGACCCAGAGGCGGTGTCTGCTTTGTCTTTTTCCCGACGAATATGGTAGGCAAGGCGGGTCTTCGTAAGCTCGAAGTGGCTGTGCGGTGATCCAGTCCGTCGCGTGGACGCAGGTGAAGGTTGGGAGGAAGCGCTGTGGCTTCAGCGAGGCAAGCCACAGACGCGTGTAACGCGGTCACGTGTTTGTGGCTAAATCATCTCGATCTCATTCAAGCACGTCCGACCACCGTATCGTTTATATCTTAGACATCTGACAGAAGCGCAGATGTAGATGCACAAATTCACTGAACCAGACTTACACCCGAGACCTGAGGAAGCCTGCCGAAGCGTCGCACCACGAGGTGACAGCGCCGGCTTGGATGATTTGTGGGCTGTCCAGTTACACCCAGGTTACACCGATATGAATTGCCGTTCCATACGAGCTGTCTTGTCAGGGGCGACGATTGTCGCACGGACGCCCGAGTCGACAACACAAAGGTGTCGCCCGGGTGACTTGGGCTCCAGCCCACGATAGTGAAGGGACATTCTCCTTGAAACCAGAGGCCGGTCCGAGCAGTATCGCGTCTCAGGCAAGATGGCTACTCTCTCCTTCGCTCTCCATTACCGACCTCGATCATTGACGCAACTACACCGCCGCTGTCCATACAGCCGTGCGATTCCGACCGCGGATTGAGAACCCGATCTATATAACACCATTGGCTCTCTCTCTATTGATTACTGGTACACACAAACAGATCTCAAACGCACAGAGCCCCTCAGGCGGGACACCCTCCACACATCCCATGGCCGCATCCCCAACAGCTCGCGACACCGAAGCCCCAAGTCCTCAATATCAGCGACACGATACTCACCACACCCTCACCGAGGACGAAGCCGCTCGCGATGATGATCAGCTTGATCCCGCCCTTCTCGCGGCCGACCCGAGTGTAGTACACGTGCTCGACGATCCCTCCGATCAGGCGGGCGATGGAGAAGGACGGCGTGTTGAGGAATCCGATGGCGAAAGCGACGCCAGACGGGATCCACTTAGCGTACGGCAGGCCTTGACGTTGAGCGTATGCCTTCACAGCTGCAATGGCCCCGAAGATGACCGCGAAGATCACCATGAACTCGCTGCTTTTCGCCGGCAACTCACCGTCGCCTGCGTCGATGCATGAGATGGGCGAGGACAATTACTAGACCAAAGGTGGGAAACATACGGAGAAGACGCGCAAGTCCGAGCCACACATACGCCGTGGGTGCCGGGAAATAAGGGCCCGGAATCTCGTATGCGCGCTGGTAGAGCGTGTACGCTGTGGTCGTTACGACGATGGACAGCAGCGACCCCAACAGCTGGCCAAAAAACTGTGCGCGAGGAGACGCGCGTATGAGATGCCCCGTCTTCAAGTCCTGCATCAAGTCGCCCGCTCTGGGGCGCATACTCAGCACAATGAGACGACCAAGAACCAGAACACTCACTGTTGCGCACCAGCCTCTGCGACACCACCAGCAATGATGTTCGCAACAATGTTGCCAGGCTGTATCCACGCAAAGAACAGCTGGCTGATCTTGCCGAGGCCGCTGACGGGGTTCAAGTCCGTCTCCCCAAGAGCGCGTACACTGCGCGACGACATCAGGCCACCAAACTGTCTGCAGGACAATCACACAGGCACGCACCCAAGGACGCTGAGCAAGCCACCCATCACGTAGCCGATGAACGTCGCCCACGGCTTGATGCCCTCGTCGCCAAACACCGCCCACACGAGGAGCGTCCCGAAGACGACACTCCCACCGAGGCCCCAGGCGACCCAGCGCATCGGTACAAGCCTATCGGGTGACTCTATTTCCTTGTCATCCATGAGTACGGCATCCGCGTCGCGCAGCACAATCGCGCCGCGCCAGACCTTCTTGTAGAGGACTTCGGCGATGACGGGAACAAGCGAAACCAGGCTGTCTGCGCACATGATAGCGAGCGACACCCAGAGGATCCACCCGCGCGAGCCAGTTGTCATGTCACCAACTGGTCCTGGAGCCCAACCGGAGTGTTTTGCGACAGGTGAGAGGATGGCCCAGCCGACCAACATGCCCTATGAGGTATCTAGTGGTGAATGTTACCGAGGCACGTACAACTCACAAGGTTCATACTAAGGGTGGTCGGAAAGCCCATAATAATACCTACAACGATGGTGAATTCTGGGATCAAGGACACTAAGTATCAGGACTTGCCTTGCCCGATATATGATAGGCTCGGAGTGAACGTCCATAGCCACTCACTGGCCAAGTGGGTGCCGAATAAGGGGATGGAAAAGACCACTGGGAAGAAGTACGCGGTCAGCTGAAATCAAACGTCAGTTCCCTTTGTGCAAGCTCAACAGATGTGCACCGCTACTGACAGTCATGACACCAGAGGCTGCAAAACTCCATATGAGAGCATTCCAGGTTTCCTGCGGCGCCACATCGACGACTTCGGGCTCTGCAACCGGATGTTCCTCCTCGAGGGGCATTCCCGGTGTATCAGGATCCGGGATGCCCTGAGCTTCCTCGGTGTCCAGCTCGCGATACCCATGGCGCTGTCTGACTGTTTGGGTGGTATCTGGAGGGGGAATCTGATGCAAGACGGAGATAAGCTGCGCGGTAGCCGTTCCAGACGGAAACGCAAGTTGCTCCTCGATGATCTGGTACGTGGGACATCAGAGGCGGTCCGGACGATCTTACGAGCAGACTCACTACTTGCTTGCGTATTGGCGGAGACAAGAAAACGCTAGAAGGTATTTGTATTAGATACGAAGAGTATGCAGGGGAGGGTTCTCACCCGAAGAATGCGACTGCGAGCGACCAGCCAACCGCGTCCAGCCATGAGAGATGTAGGGCAGGGACACCGTCGCGTTCCTCATCTAGTAGTCCTAGTGCAGGCAGAATACCGACGAATCCCGCTGCCAGGGGCATCTGTGTGGAAGAGGTCAGATGAAACCAGGTGGGGGAACGTAAACGTACCGTGCCAGTTGCGACCGCGATCGTTTGCAGTACGACGTTCTCCTGCGGGGTCATGGGTGTAGGGAAGAATTTGGACACAAGGAAGCCAATCAGCGCAGACTGAAGGGACATCCTAAGCGGAGGTCAACACCCGCCCCGCTTCCCTCAAGCAGACCATGAGTAATAGTGCGTACATGCTAATCCATCCTGTCTGCAAGCCGAAGTAGAGGTTCGTGAAGCATAGGAGGCACCCGATCAGCAGACCGAAGAATGCTACCCGGAACTGACGATCGTAGACATTTCATCAGGATGAAACACATCTGTAGGGACATGACGACGAACCGTAAACTCCTGTTGCCCTCCGTCGAGCGTTCCCGCACCGCGCCGCGCCTGCCGACGAAGCCACCTGGACCGAATGTCAGTGATTCTTCCGACTTCGAGCATAGTGGGGTGAACACGCACTTGACCCGCGTGCCTATGCTCATGGTAACTGTACACTCTCGTCTGCCCGTCGCATAGGCTGGGGGTAAGTTCGCGGCGCTGAGGATGTGGTATGTGAGGACGAGTGTGAGTGGGCCGGGGACTCGGAAGCGCGCGCGTTACTCATTCCGGGCAGCGCGTCTTGGCACGTGCTACGCGCAATCGAGTCTGTTCATGAAGCGGCAAGCCACCGCCAAGTCCGAGTCACCGCTCACTTGGTAGCGTGGCAGTAGTGACTCGCAATACAGCACGACGCTGTTCGTTTGCAAAGCATGACTGTGTCTACGTATTCTTCTTTATGGGCCCATCGTGATGGCGGATTGAGCGTGTCCATGCACCGTGACCATAGCTGGGGGACACCGGTACTTCGATTGAAGTCCCTATCTTTCAGCCATATACATCAGTACAACTGGGTCGTCGACAAGTTGATTGGCTTGAGTGTGTCGGTGTGATGAGCACAGGATACCGTCATGGCCGTCCAGGAAGCAAGTAACACATACATATACAATACATGCATACAGAGAACTTCTTCGGCCTCTGACACCAATGACGATCGCCTTCGTAACATCATCTCACATTCGATCCTCCCAAGCCCGTGCTTCTCCTCATCGAGCCAAGGTTCGACGAGCCCTCCCCACGATCATCCGAGGTGAACGCCGCGCGTCGTCCAAACCCGCCTCCAGACTCCCGCGGCGGCTGCTCAAACGCGGCGGACGGTGACGCGCGGAACAGCCGGTCGTGTTCCCAGTCATATGCGCTCGGGCGTGGCTGGACGCGCTCTCGCTGGCCACGGTTGAAGAGGTACGTGCCGAGCCCGCCGAGTGCAGCGCCCGTCCAGAAGCCCGGCATGGGGTTCACACCAGGTGTCGACCCGGTGGGGTACTTGGTGTACGGAGGCGGCGCATCGTGAGTGCCTGGACTGTGATCTCCGTTACTGCCGAACCACCCGGAGCCCGGCCCAGTGTCTGGAGGACGGGGGCGTGAGCCAGACGACGACGAACTGCCTGTCCGGCTGGTGAAGCAGGACTTGAGGAAGCTGTACAGAATGAGGAGGAGACAGGCCGTCCAGACGATTGTGAACACTGCAGCAGACGGGTTCTCGCGCGCCGCTGCATGAAACCCATGTGTGAGATGCCTGTATATATATGCCGAAGGTCGCCACCGCACGCACCTGCAATCCAATTCAGAATCCGAGAGTGATGGCGGTGGTGTTCGTCGGGTCGACGCAGGGCATCAGGGATCTGCACAAGTCGGTATTCGAGACCGCAAGACCCTACAGCAACGGGACTACGTTCAGCACATTCTGCCACTTCTATAGCGATAAGTCGCACCTTTCAAGACGTACGGATCGCCAGGACCACTCCATCCCTCGCATGACACCTCGACCCTTCCGAAGCGCAGGGCCTCCGGGAGGTCCGCTTCGCACTAGGAGCCATCTACGTGAGCTAGCTCCCCAGCCTTTCATGGGCTTATGCTCACCTTCCAGTCCACTTCGGTACCATGGCCGCCGGCATTCGTGCACCGCACGACGTCTGGCTCGTACAACCTGCATGCTTTGCCCACGCACGTGAGCTGAGGTACCGGGTCGCCTCTCTTTGACAGCGTCAATGCGTCCTTGTAAAACGTCAGTGACGGGATGCGCTCGAGCGCGACCTTCGAAAGCATCTTGGACATGGCCGCCGGGTCTTCAGATCTCTAGAGCCTGTTCGAGGAGCAAGACGAGAAGACGATGGCGAAGGAGAACCTCGGGTCGCTGGAGAGTTGATCGCGCACCCGCAGATGATATTCAGTAGCAAGTTCTGGACGCGACACGACTGCCTAGGCGGTTAAGCTAACGTGGAGCAACGTGTAGTCACCCTGCCAATCTAAATGGACACGGCGACCCCTTCCCAAGGCAGTGGACGCACGCCAGCTTTCTAGACGGCCTCTACAAGTTGAGCATTTCCTGAAGGTTGGCAACTCGCATACAGAGGGGATAGCTCAAACTGAAGTCCTTGGTCACGCTGTCGGTACGAACGAGGCTCGTGATATCGGCGTACGCGCCTGTGGCTGCATCGACTCGGAGGCCGCCGCTCAAGCGCTCTGCCATGGTCTCGGACTCCTATGTACATGTCGCAATGCACATCCTAGGCTGTTTGGGTTCGGTCGAATATACGCTCGCCCTTCTTTCTATACAACGACTGTATATGTACAGACGGGCAGCACTTGTTTCTCACCATTCACCCATGTTTAGCGTACTTTCACTCTCAGTCTCTTGTGTAAGCAAACGACTAGGTACAATCAAGCAGTGCATCGTAATGCTTTTGGGTCGGAGCGACGCGCCCCGCAGACAGCTCCACCACCTCACGATAGGTTATCCGGGCGAAGGGAGCGCACAACCTTGCCTGCAAACGAGCGCATTCAGCACACCACACGTCGCAAGACGAACGTCAAACGACAACGTACCAGCTCTCCAGATCTCCTGGTCGTCGATCTCCTTCAGCTCCTTCGCGAGGTCCTCGCGGTACGTCGACCGGCCGTTGAACTCGAGGCTGCGGCGCGTCTCCGTGCCGTTGCGCACGCTCTCGTAGAGCTTCTCGAACAGCGGCGTGTTCGTCTCCTCGAACGCCTTGGCCCAGTCGAGCGCGCCGCGACGCGCAGTCGTCGAGCACGCGTTGTACATGTAGTCCATGCTGCAGAGGAATCGTCAGCGGAGCTGCGGGTGGCACGACGGGGAGACGCCGTACCCGCGCTGGCCGATCAGGGGGTAGAGCGACTGCGTCGCCTCCTCAACGGTCTCGTTGAAGGCTTCAGACGGCGTGTGGCCGTTGGCACGGAGCACCTTGTACTGCGCGCAGAAGAGGCCCTGGATGGCGCCCATGAGCTGCACACATCTACGTCAGCTAACTTCTCACAACTGGGCTACAGGAGACAAGTCACGTACCACACCACGCTCACCGTACAGGTCAGAGTACACCTCCTTCTCGAAGGTCGTCTCGTACATGTAGCCCGAGCCGACCGCCACGCCGAGCGCAACAGCCTTCTCCTTGGCCTTACCCGTGACGTCCTGCCAGACAGCCACACTCGAGTTGATGCCGCGGCCCTCCTTGAAGAGCGTGCGCACTGTGCGGCCGGAGCCCTTCGGCGCGACGAGGATGACGTCGACGTCCTTCGGGGGAACGACGTGCGTGTCGTCCTTGTACACAACCGAGAAGCCGTGCGAGAAGTAGAGCGTCTTGCCCTTAGTGATCAGCGGTGCGATCGTCGGCCACGTCTGCGACTGCGCCGCGTCCGAGAGCAGGTTCATGACGATCGTCCCGCGCTTGATCGCCTCCTCGATCGGGAAGAGCGTCTGACCCGGCACCCAGCCGTCCTCCTGCGCCTGCTTCCAGCTCTCGCCGCCTTCGCGGACACCGACGATGACGTTCATGCCGTTGTCGCGTGCGTTCAATCCCTGGCCGTGGCCCTGCGAGCCGTAGCCGATCAGGGCGAGCGTGTCGTTCTTGAAGTAGTCCTGGAGCTTGGCGAGCGGCCAGTCGCTGCGCTCGTACACAACCTCGTCGGTACCGGCGAAGTTGAGGGTCTTCACGCCACGCGCACCCTAAAGGCAGCCAGCGTCAGTGGCTTGTCATAATTTTGACCACAAACGAGTGTATGCTGCGGCAATGGATGAGGGGTTGTACTATTGCTCGAGCGTGCTGTGACCGGTCTGCTATTCACGCGTACTCTCAGTGCGCTGGCGGGATAACAGGTTCTGCAGACGCGTGAACGTATCGAGCTGGCAACAGGAGCCATGTATACGACAGGGGAGCAGTCGTGTCACGGCGCAATAGTCAGGGCACAACCAAGTATGCTCGACGCAGAGCTTCTGTCAAACGCCCACCTCGGTAGCTGTGTCCCCGTGTCTCGACGAGTGAGACGGAGAATTCACGCACTATTTCGCACGGAGCACCTGAACAGGAATACACGTTCAAGACGCGTTACCAGGCCTGTTCGAACGGCTGTGACAGGGTGGCTTGGAGGTCCTCCAGCCACCACAGGTCAAGATACTGTGCCAGTACCCTCATCGCGTACAACCCGCCTCTCTGCGTCACGCATACTTCCGTACTACCTCGGGGGAGGTGCAGAGACACAATGGAGTTCAGGCTGTCCAAAAAAACCCAGACTCACCGTGACCGAGGTCCTCTTCGCCGACGTAGCAGCCGCGGTCTTCGCAAGGACAGAGTACGCCGCACTCTGGGAGGGCTTGGCGACCGCCTGCACGGCGACGCGAGGAGCACGGCGAGCGGCGCGAAGAGCAGAGCGGGCGACGAAGGAGGCCATGGTGGTTGTGGGGAAAGCTGGGGCCCGGCGAGTCAAGCCAACTCAGTTTTGAGGCGAAGCGCTCGAGTCACACACACTATGGGCGCTTCGTATTCCATTGACAAAATCAAAGTGCCGCCACAATTCATCCATAGTTCGGCAGTTCTATTGAACGCTGCAGCGTCCATACCAATGTATCGACGGAGTGTCGAGGAGGTTGCGAGGTGTCTATCATGAGTCCTGTACGATGGCGAGTTTGGGTAGAACGTGCATTATTGGAACAAGAGTGACGACAAGACACATTCGCTGGACACGAGACACGGTGAATCCAACATCGGTTGGGTTCAGAATTACTGTCGTACGATCGTACAACTCCGAGGTACGATTGCTGCTCTCTAATGTACAAGAACGCGATCCATCGTCCATCCAGACAGCTATACCGAGCTTTGATGCGAAACAACACAACAAGACAGACGCAAGAATGCTATGATACCTTGAACAGCTTATTCGTTCTTCCCTGCTTTGTTCGGACCCTGCCCGAACAACACCTCGTCCACCTCCGCCTTCTTGCCGCTCAGCTGCAGGACGAAGCCCCAGACAGGCGTCAGAAACGGCACGAACATCGAGACGCGCGACTGGTACGCCTTGTACGCTTGTGGGTACTTCGACAGCGAGATGCTCTCCGTGAACTGCGTGGATGAGACAAAGAGCGTGCACAGGACGAGCGCGGGCAGGAGCGGCCAGAGGGACGTCACAGGGGTCTGCTGCAGCGAAAGGTTAGGCGCCTCCGGGGCAAGCAGCGGGAAGAGCGTGATAATGCCCTGCGGAGACAGACGCGTCAGAGTGTGGCCATTCAACGCGCATATAGACGGGACTCACCCAGAACGCCTGCTCGCAAAAGAAGTTCGGGTGGCGGGACCACGCCCAAAGCCCGCGCGTCACGAACCCTCTCTTCGCGTCGCGCGGCGTCCACTGGATGCGTGCGCCGGGCCACTCGTTCTTATCCAGCACGCCGCTGTGCTTGTACGTCTGGAAGGAGTATTGTTGGTTGTCCGCGACAAACTCCATCAAAACGTCGGCTAGAGCGAGCGCGCCCAGAACGTAGTCGGACGTGCTGAGGTGGGCTGGCTGCTGGAAGGCGGCAATGTGCGTCGGGATCCCGAGCAGGAACAGGATGATATTTTGGATGACAGCTGGGGAAGTCGGTCGTCAGCGGTGATGCGGATAGAAGCAGAGTGAACCGGTACCTATGAAGACAAAGTTGAGTATCTGGAAGAGCCACGTGGGGAGCTTGTCGCGTAGGATTTGCCAGCGGTAGTCTTCGTCATGGCTGAGATGCGTTTTGAGTCAAGCGACGTCATATGAGAAATATAGAAGCCGTACAGGTTAAACAACCCTCTCCTCCAGGTGTTGTACGACAAGCTATGGTTCTACGCGTTGGTAGGCACTCAGCGACGCGTGGCAGAGTCACATACCGGCACATCCAAAGGAACTACGGCAGTATTCATGAGACTGTACTCCATGCACGAGAGACTCGGAAGCTTACCACCAACACCAGCATTAACAACGCTCGTGGACTGTAATTTCCCCCTACCAGTGGATGCACGGCCTTTGGCGTGTACGGCCAAAATGGCAACAGAGGCTCTTGGGGCCATAGCGGCAACAGCGCAAAATACGCGGTGTAGATTGTCGGCAGGACGGTCCACACCCGGTCAACTTGTGAGACGTTCCCGGTGACGACGGAGAGGGCCCATGCGACCAATGTTGTGCCGGTGCAGAATTTGAGAGGCCATGCGAACGAGGCTGGGATGCTCCTGCGGATGATCTCCGCGTACGGTAAGGGAGCCATATGCCGAACTGAAGTATGTCGCTGAGACCCAAGAGACAAATGGGGAGTCCGTTCAACCTCGAGGAAGGGCTGCTGCAGTCGTTGTAGTGCCTCGGTCGTCGTGCACAGCAAAAGGCGTAGCGCTAAGTGGTCGTAGGTGGTCGTGCGACGTCACTACCGTCTACCCCGCATCACGTGCTCAGGCTGCTTATGTAATTGACTGGACCGCGACGAGCAGCGCACCGTCGAGCTCGAGCTTTCATCCGGCTTCGCCACAACGTCCACCATCTCCGCCTTGCCGTCGTCAGCTCGGACATCTATCGCTCGTCATGTCGACCTCGATCCTTGTCTCGGCCTTTGCTCCGTTCCCGACGCTCTCGCTCTCAGCGCCGTCGGACGCGTCGTTCTCCAGCCTCTATGACTTGCTCGCCGACCGTTATCCGGAACTCCCTTCTGACCTCCTCTTGACGCCTCACCGTGGCTGCGCGCCCCCGCCAGATGCTCCACTTTCTTCGCTGCAAAATGATACCAATGAACCGTCGTTTGTTTCCCTGCGCTTGGTCCCCCGGCTCAGGGGAGGCAAGGGAGGTTTCGGCTCGCAGCTGCGTGCCGCTGGTGGCCGTATGAGCAGCCAGAAGACCAGCAACAACGATTCGTGTAGGGATCTCAGTGGGAGGCGGCTGAGTACGATCAAGGAAGCTAAGAAGTACGTACACAGTCGTAGCTTCCACTGCAAATGACGAGGTCCTGACATTTTTCAGGCTGGCTGACTACATCGAAAGTGAGCCTCTTCGGAAGAAGGCACAACAAGAAGCCCAGAGAGCGAAGCTCGAGGCACTCGAGAAGAAGCTCGGCATCGTGCACTCGGCAGATGGCTCCAAGACCTCCTCAGAGCCGTTGGCTGGCACGAAGCACCGCCTGGACGACACAGAATACCTGGAGCAAAGCCGGGAGATTGTAGACAACGTGAAGAACGCTGTCTCCGTTGGTGAGTATTTCTTCTGGGCATGTTAGTTTAGTTTATAAGCTCATGTCGTGATCAGCCATGTTGAAGAAGAGGAAGAAGGCGAAGACCTCCCAGAGCTCGCCAGCTGCAGACAAAGACAAGTCCGGTGCATCCAGCGTCCCTGCAGCAATCGCAGAGGTAGCTTCGTCTTCCGCTGCTGCTCTCGCCGGGAAAGTTCTAGAGTCAGCCACGACAGCGCCTGTGGTCGTTGCTGCTGCATCCGCGGTCGCTGAGGTTGCCAGCGCGTGATGCTTGGGACTTTGTACTTGTGTTGTATTGGTAATGTATACATGTGTCTTCCGATGTTCGTGTGCCAACGTGTGGCAGCGTATCCTCAACGTGCGATCGTGCGCACCCTTGAGCGCCTGCGAGGAAGCATCGTTCAGACTTCAGTGAGACATTCGGGTCAGTTGCGAGTCAGGTGGGTGCATTTGTATACGGCCTCATCGACAGTCATCGATCACGGTGCGCCCCCAAGTGAATCGGTGCAGCAGGTGGAAATGTTAGCAGCTGACGCGTCGTACATTGCCGCTGACTCGGTCCAATCGTACATCGGCCTTTCGGTGAGTCCTTTAGACATCTCGTATGGCGTGCCCACAGACAACTCGTCGCAGCGTTTGCGAGCGTCTTGTCCCTCGCAAAGGTGACGTGAACTCACGCTCTGAACGACCCGGCCTTGGTCCGGGAACATGTGCTCCTCTTGGTCAGAGCGCTCGGGGAGTGTATATAGGCAGCGGGCGATCTTCGTCTCAGCATTCACCGGAGATCATCCAGTTGTGCTTCAACTGCCTCCGTTTCTAACTAACAACACCAACCGCCTTACCTTAATCCCATCATGTCAAGGGACGATGTCGCTTTCTACGGCTTCACACCCGTGCCACGAGACCCCGATGTGCTATTCAAGGACCATCCCACAGCGAGTGGACCCAACCCGAAGCAAGACTTATTCACGGTCGACGACCTCCCTCTGCCAGACTCTGCAGTCGTGCGTGCAGTGAAGGAGTTTGTCAAGGTATGCAATAACTCGTGCTCAGCGGCACCCATGGCTAACCGAGGATCATCCCCTGTGCAGAAAGAGCTCGACGAGCAGACGTACAACCACAGCCACCGCGTATACATCTACGGTTCCGTACCCTCACCGTCCGACCACGCTTATGACGCTGTACTGATGTCTGACGTCGTTTCCCGCATGCAGGCACGGCCCTGGTGAAGACGCATTTCCCGTCGTGGACATACGACAACGAGACCTATTACCTGTCATGCCTCCTGCACGACATCGGGACCGCCGAACGATTCCTCGCGACGACGAAGATGTCCTTCGAGTTCAAGGGCGCGATCGTCGCGCGCGACCTGATCTTGCAGCAGGGCGGGCCTGAAGACCAAGCAGATAGCGTTTGCGACGCCATCATCAGGCACCAGGACATCTTCGTGAAAGGGTGAGCACACTCTCTGTACTGTTGGCAGTCATGTCCTCATGCATTCGCTCGTGCAACAGCGGAAACATCACGATGGTCGGACAAATCCTGCAGCTCGCGACAATTCTCGGTAGGCCCGCGCCTTGATCATGCGCTCATACCGTGCTGATCATACGTCCTATGTACTGCATAGATAATGTCGGGATGTACGTGGTTTCTCGAGACTACTCGAGTCATGGCTCGATTCAACGCTGATCCAACTTCCCGTCAGCCGCGCGAACCTCATCCACCCCCGCCTCATCGAGACGACGACTGCGGCCTTCCCGCGCAAGGGCTGGTCAGAGCACTTCGGGCGCGTCATTGAAAAGGAGCTCGCGCTCAAGCCCTGGTGCCACACGTCGACCTTCGAGGTGCCGAACTGGAAGGAGGGAGTGCGAAGTAACTTCGCGACGGACGTGCGGGGCAACGATGTCATGCGGCCGTTCGATTAAGTCATAGCGACCACTATGAATGTCCAGTGCAGTGATAATGAGAGCATACTCGTAAGCCAAGCGTTTTGCTATTCCAGGTCAGTGCTGCGACTGAACGGTGAGGACCTCCCCGTAATGAAGCGCGAGCTGCTGCTCGACGTGATTATGCGTCGATGACAGCTTCAATAGATGTTTGATTTCACATTGCGGCCATTGAAGAACTCGGTCAGACTCCTGTTGAATATATTGATCTTGCCGTGAACAACGGTCATCCAAGGGTCCCGTCTCACTTCAATGTTGGACCCAAGCGTTTGCTCCTTCGCGGTGATTCCGGAGGCAGTAGACTTACAAGAGCGCACCGTACCTTGTTTGCTGGTCGGATGATAACATGGGGCTTGGACACGCAAAGGAACCATTCATATAGCTGCCTCACTCTAGTACAAAGCATCGTAGCTACTAGGACGCAGGATCTGTAGAACGCCCGTTCAAGTTAAATGATGACACCGCCCTCGAACCACTCGCCCCGACACCTCTAACCCTCGACGACCTCAGCGACGGGCCGACTTGACATTGGACGGCGATGACGACGACGATGAACCCTCGCCGGCATTGCGAGTATCAGAGAGCGGCCCAACCGGCCGCAGCCGCTTGGGTTTGGGAGTAGGAGACAGTGGTTGGTCATCGTCGTACGTCTCTTCGGTTTCATCGTCCGAAGACGGTTGAGCAGTTCTTCTGGCATTGGGCGACGTGTCCCAAGTGTTCCCGATATCATTAGCCCTCCGTTTGTCCTCGTCCTCTCGGAGCTTCTTGAATAGCTCCGACGGGTCTCCTTCCTTTAGGCTCCTGATGTGCTTGTCGAACAGTCGGAGAACGTCCTCGTAGACAGCTTGAGCATCTCTACGATTGTCTTTGTAGGCAATTCTGATGAGAGCAAGGAAATCAAAGATGAGATCTTTAAGTGGCGCCATGAAGTCGGACACATAGCAGAGGAGCTCGTCATCCACCAGGTCCCGCTCGGAAGCAACGTAGATGAAAAGTCTTTTGGTACGCATCAAGACATTTTTGTCGCCCTCGAATAGATCAATGACTATTTGTCGAAGTCCGGAAAGCTGTTCGCTTTGTTGCGTCGACGATAAGTCACGTCGACGCTTTGCCGGGCCTTCCCGTGTAAGGCATATCCATACCAAAACCCAGAGAAAACTCTCCAAATCATGGATGAAGTAATGCACCGGGGGCCCAGTGGCGTCCTTGCGTCGGAAATACACATGTCCCAGCAGCTCTCCAGACATGAAGGGAAGCGTCCCCTGCAAGATGGTGGATATGAGCAGAAATATAGACCAGGGGAGAACACTCACGGTAAGTGGATCCTCGGGTATGGCTTCGTGTATTGACAGAATGATAGCATTGTCGAAGTCGATCAAGACACCCCTGCCGCCGACAACAATCAAGATGTTATTTGCGCTGATATCGCGGTGCAGGACCCCTTTCGTGTACGCTCCGTAATGTCCTAGATCGACAACAGCTTGTTACGACAGACGATGTATATGATGCCACAACGACACGTACCATTGATTGCATCTCTGAGCACAGTCGCGAGTTCCAAGGGCGACTTCGCATTCTTCGCGGGCCACCCATACGTCTTCATAACGAGCCTTGAATGCACTCGCTCTCGAGGAAGCCAACGATCCGCGTCAGCGTCGGGATCTTCTGGCAGGTAATCGCCTTGATCGATGACGTATCGCGTGGTCTTATGCCTTTCCTCAGGTGATTCATGAGGTATGGCCTCAATGGCATCCGAGTCTGCAATCTTCTGTGGAGCAGCAACTTGGATATGGTTGCCAGAGGTAGCGAAGCCGCGGCGAATGAAGGATAGGGTCGTGTCTTTGCTCCCGTCGATAAAGACAGCTGCGTAGGAGTGCATGACAGCAACACCTTCGCAATGCTCGAGTATGTCGTATATGTCGCCCTCAAGGCCACGCTCTGCGTCACGCCACGTGTCTTTGATGATGTAGAGCTGTCCGCGATGACTCAGTCAGAGCGCTGTGAATTTGGATACGATAACTTACTGCACGTTTCTCCTTGGGCAGGTGCATGTCGCTCCACGACCACGCTTTCCATACGCGTGTTGCACGACCCACAATAAACTCTCCGCGAAACAGGCTCAGGCTCTCGTACAGTACGAAGAATTCGGGTTGTGGATCGCCGGTAGGGACTGGGGCGTCAGTCTTCGACTTCGCGGGCGGCATGCCTATGACAAAGTAGTGATCCATCGCAGCTCCTTGATACGGGATCGCGTGGGACAGTGGTAGCGACTGAGGGTCGACGTTGGCGATACCTTGGTCCTTGGCAAGCGCGTGCATCGTGGTGTCCCAACCTAGTTTATGTAGAGGCAGCGTCTCTAGAGCAGCCATCACGCGGATGAGTTTCTTCGGGTGCTGAGGTGAAAAACACAGGAGATGTCATTACGAAAGGCCAGAATTCGTGTCGATCGCAAGATACGTACAGCATTGATGTCGAAGACCTCGCTACCGAGCACACCCGAGCGATCTGCGAGGTACACCCTCATCTTCCTGTATCCCAGTGTGAATCCAATGAAAAAGCGGCGGTCGACGGCTTCGCGGAAGAGCTGTCGCTGGTACATGAGCAACTGGAGGAGCGCAGGTTTGTCGTTGTGGTCCTTCTTCACCTCCAGCGGCGCAAGGATGCGACGCCACGGTGCAACAGCTCCGTTCCCGGGAATGTTGCCGATAGTCGCAACGATGTCGGGTCGAAGATCTGCTGCAAATACCTGGGTAGCGGGGGGCACATGCGAATGCTGGTCGATCCATTTCACGTTGTTGACTGGCTCGTGTCGTGCATTGGCCTTGTCTCGACAGATCGTCGTGACTTTGTCAGCTATCTTGACGAAGGGCTCGTAGAGTTTGACTTCCTTCGAAGGTTGTCTCGTGGGGTACCCTCGCCACTGCCCTGCTTCCTGTTGGCCTCTCGCAGGGGTGTATAACTGCTCCCCACCACTGACTCGGATGCACGTGTTATAGACCTCGTCGATGATGGTTTGCGGAACATCAAGTATGGCCTCTATGAATCCTTCGGTTGAATTGTAAACGTACTTCTCGAGCTCGTTACGAATGTCCTCCTCGACGTCGATAGCTTTCGTCTTGAAATGCCCCGTTTCCTGGAGTGCGCTCTGGCGATCCCGACCAAGGCCGCGGCTGCGTTTTTTTCCACGATCAATAAACGCATCGTTTCCCTCTGGCATATTGCCGGCCTTGCTATGGGAGCAGGAGAAGATGGGCGTACCTCGAGCTGCGAGGGCTATCCATTTGGCTATGGGAACGCTTCATATATGTGTCTTGTATCTCGACTCGGACACTCGTGGCGTCGAAGACTCGGCCGGGGGCAGTTGGTCGGTGGTAATGAGCAAGGATGCGTGATGTCCTAGGAAATCGATGGACAAGGATGTTGGAAATGGGAGGTACAGCTGGATTGGGTGATCTGCGTGTCGACGCGACAGTGAACCGCACTAAGTAGCCGAAGGAGAACGTTGCCAACTTGGGACAAGTTCTGCCAAGTGGCTCCAGAGAAACGCGAACCGGGCCGGGCCCTCCCCCGTATCCCTCCCCCGAGTCTGATCCCTCTGTGTTTGCTTGTGTTCGTCGTCCGTAATTTCGAACCTACTGTATAGTAAATCTGCTGGACACTCGCTGAAGATCACCGATGGGGGCACTGAGTTGATTGTATGCAATCACGAGGCTTAAATATTGTATCACCATTCTCCACGAACAGGATAGTCGCACTACGAAAGAAAGTCGACACTGGTCCATATGATACTGAGGTGAATGCCAGCATTCGACCCCCGCCGCTGAAAGACTGCCCTAGCTCGATTTGTATTGTCATTCAATCAGCTCTTCTTCGAATCAGGGAGCGTCACGCCTAGTGCTGCCGCAGTGAGGCCCATCGGAAGACTTTGGATCGATTTCAGTGGTTCGTGTGGTGCGAAGGAACTTGGGAAGTACAGTACTAGTGCCCTCATGTCGCAATACAGATGTTGGCAAGTTCTTCCATCATGTCCATGTGTGCATGCGATGATCGTTCGCTGCGGCCACACAATTCTTGAGCTAGAACGTCCCGTCGGCTTGAGCCTGGGAGACCACCATGACTCAGAGGCTGACTTCTGGCACACGACGCCGCAAGGCAATAGTTCCATCTACGCGGCCATCCGATTGGCCTCGGCGGGCATGAAGATACTATCCCGACGATCAATTGGTATTGTTTGCGCAGATATGCCAATGTGACTCGGCGTTTTCATGAGCTCCGGATCGAGCTGGCGAGGAGAACTCAACAACCAACTGCATCGAATCCACACTGGCATGTTGAGACCTGCTTCGCGAAGGATGCACGCCATCGGAACCTGTGTGATTGTAGTTATGACTCATGGGCAATCTGCCAGCAGCTCCGCCGACATGACGGTGAGATTTTCCTGAAAATGGTGACATGAGCAGGAGAGGTACGTGGCGGGGAAAGAAACATGCTCTTGATGAATTCTCGAGCCGGGCTCCGTTTGTCTCGAGTTGCAGTTGTAGGATAGTATCATCAGACTCGGAAGTCGAGCAAGACGCCGCTCCCAGTTCCTGGGCTGTTGAGTCAAGAACAGATCCGAGCTACTATGCGCACTGCAGCCGTTGAACAGAAGTCCTATAGTACCTTCTATGGTGTCTCTGAATACAGTCGCGAGCTCCACTGGTGATGTTCCATGCTTTGCGGACCATCTGTACGTCTTCGTGATAAGTCAAAACCATGCCCGTCCTTGAGGGATCGGTGCTCAGTGCCTGTCACAATCATCAAGGCGATGTAGATACACACGTGGTAATGTACGTACCGGTTACAGTGTGATCATTCTACACCATGAATGACGTTTGATTTCACAGAGATGCTAACGTACCAGTAGTAGAATGTTAGCATCATTGATCACTCGGGGTGGTATGGCTTCCAGTGGGAACGCTGTCAGTCACTCTTTGCTCGTAGTACGATTTCGATACGAGAAGAACGAATTTATACAACCTATGCCCCGTAAAAAAATCCGCAGAACACTCGCCGTCTTTACCGTGACAAGACAACGCTCATGACCATCCGCACCAACTCCTCTAACACTCGACGACACCAGCGACGGAGCGGCCTGTTCCTAGACAACGACGACGATCGTGATCCCTGGCCGGACTCGCGATCCTCGGAAAGCGGCTGGAGTGGGTCAAGCGGCCGGGGCCGCTTGGACTGGGGAGTGGTGGGTCGTCATCGGTTTCGCCGTTCTCCTGGCACTGGGCGACGTGTCCCAGGTGTTCCCGATGTCAAATCCCTCCGTCACTCCTTATTCTCTCGGGGCTTCTTGGATAGCCCGGACGGGTCTTCTTTCTGTAGGCTCCTGATGTGCTTGTCGAACAATCGGAGAGCGTCCTCGTAGACAGCTTGAGCATCTCTACGATTGTCTTCGTAGGCAATGCTGATGAGAGAAAGGAACTCAAAGATGAGATCTTTGAGTGGCGCCATGAAGTCGGACACATAGCGGAGGAGCTCGACATCCACCAGGCGCCGTCGGGTAGCAGTGTGGATGAGATGGAGTTTGGTACGCATCATGAGATTTTTTTCACCCTCGAAGAGATCATTGACTATCCCTTGAAGTCCGGAGAGTTGTTCGGTTTGTTGCGTCGACGATAAATCACGTCGACGCTTTGCCGGGCCTTCCCGTGTAAGGCATATCCATACCAGGACCAAGAGAAAACTCTCCAAATCATGGATGAAGTGATGCACTGGGGGCTCAGTGGCGTCGTCGGGTGGGTAATACGGATGTCCCAGCAGCTCTGCAGACATGAAGGGAAACATGCCCTGTGTAAGAAACATGAGTACAACAAGTGCGATGCAAGGAAGGAAACATACGGTTTGAAGTGGGTCTCCACTGTCAGATAGGATCTCATAATCGTGCGTCGACCGTAAACCAGGACCGTCAAGGTCGACCAAAGCACCGCGGCCGTCGACGAGAATCACAATGTCTTCTGGAGTGATATCTCTCGGCATGGTGGCGCACTTCATATACGCCTCGTAATGACCTGACCAAGGACACATTAGTACTTACATAGGGTAGGAACAGGTATTCATGAGCACCGTACAATTGAGTGCATCCTTAAATACAGATGCGCATTCCAACGGCGATGATGCGTTCGTCACGGACCAGCCGTGTGTCTTCGTGACAAGTCGAGAATGTGTTCGCTTTCGTCGTGCCTGGGCCAAGTTATGGCCCTCTCCGACCATGAAGACAGGGTCGTATCGCGACGTCGTCGCTCTTCACCCAACTCGTGAATATGTCGTTGTCAATGTCACTGGCGGCGGTGCATGAGCAGTGCAACCATCGCACACGCGCCTCTGGCGTACGAGGGAGGCAGGGCTGCTTACGGAAGCAGGGCGCGGGTGCTCGAGTGCGCTCACAGATTTGACCGCTGCGCTCACTGCTTGGCTCGACGAGGCTATCCCCGCAGTCCTTCTCTCTACGCTGCTTATTTGCTGTACATTGCGCGACCCATCCCCGCCAGCGCGACACCTTTTCTGCACCGCACGACCCCCTTCACCCACCGCTTCTCCATACACGCTATCAGTGCTTCAGGGCTCGCCCAACTGCCTCACGTCCATTGCTTCTCGCTCTCCGCTCGTCACTTGAAAGCGTAGAGGAACACCTCGCACCTCGCCACGCAGAAGCAGCATGCCGTTGCTCGACAGTATACAAAGTGCGGTCACCCGCGTTCTCCCCGAGAAGAAACCGACCTTGCCCATGCCCATGTCGACCACCGGAGGGATAGGGAACGCTGGGATGATGCCCTTCGAGGACGACGTGAGTGGCCTTCTCTTCGTTGTCGATGTACGCAGTACGGGAGGCGCTGCCGGCTGCGGCGCCTTGACAGCATCGGTCTCGTCGTGGTTACGTAATGTTCATGTTCTTTCAACATCCCACCACGCGTCTATGGCGACGACTGCAGAGACGGGAGGGTATCTCGTCTTCCTGCTCTTCATACCTGTACTCTCGACACTATGGATCTGGGTTCATCTTCTCTCGTCCCCGTCGCCGTCGCGTGCTAACGCGCCGTTTCGTATGACAGATGATTGTGTCCAAGCCCGCCATCATATTCCATGCGTCTCAGTCCTTCTTCAACTTCCTGGCGATGTGTTGCCTTGCGAGCGTCGCTGCGTTCCAGGCGAAGTGGAACGTTGGGCCGTGTGCGTTATTCGCTTTCCCGTGCCCATCCTCCACGTTTGCTGACCTCAATCTTCAGCGGGTCTGACCGGCTTCGCACTCTTCATTTCCATCACCGGGGTCCTCTTTCCGTTGTTCCTGCTGTTCGTTCCTGTGGTGTACGAGAAGTACAACAAGGGCGCACGCCTTGCACGCGCGCTCAGCGAGCTCCGCGTGTCCTTCATCCTCATAGGCACGGGCACTACCCTCAGCCTCCTCATTGCGTACGCGCACTCGCATTGTCTGGGCTTTATCTAGCTGACATTCCCTCAGGTTTATTGTCACGATCTCTGCCTGGACAGAACCTGGCTGCAAGAACGCGAATAACGACCCGCACGCGAAGCTGGGCGACACCTTTAAGAACGGGCTGTCAGGGTGGTGTGCTACGAAGAAGGCTGGTGCAGTCTTCTTCTGGCTAGCATTCGGTGAGCCCTCCATCGCCAATGCAAACATACGTTTGCTGATGCAGACTTCGTAGGCTTCTGGCTGGCATCACTTATCCTCACGATCATGCACTGGCGCAGCGGCAAGTCAACGCGGCCACGTGACACGCCGTTCACTCACCCCGCCGAGTTCTCCGAGGTCGCGTCCCACGAAGGCGATGACTACGGCGATGAGGAGTCGCAATACAACCCCAAGCCCGTGGACGACGACGCGCGCTCGCCCTTCGCCGACTCGCCATACACCCCGCCATCCTTCCCTGCCGCGCCCGCCGGCTCGTACACCGCCCCAGGCCAGCCACGACCGAGCATCGACGCGTACGGCGCGTTCTCCGACCCGCCCCCCTCGGGCTTCGGCGCGCCGGGCACTGCGACGCCGCCTCCCGAGGGCCCGCGGCTCAGCCGGACGATGCAGTACGCGGACCCGTATGCCGCGGTGCGCGCGACGATCGCGGCGGGCCAGGGCCAGCGGAACTCGACGGCGTCGTCGAATCCGCCTGTGTACAACAACTATAGCGGGTACTGAGATGGAGTTCACGAACGCCGGGCAGCCTCTAGACGATCTATTGTAGTATAGTAATGATCCATGGACTGCAGACGACCTCGCAACGACGCGCATGCACGACTATATTCCGCCTATGTTGTGTTATGGATGATTAGGAGTAGCTCGCTAACTTATTATGTGAATCCCTATATTGCCATATTCATGCAGCGTTTTTCTTCCTACCTTGGTTCACGCTGCCAGCCAGTGCCACGGTGGTTCGCGCGTTTTGCCAACTGTTGTGGTTTGAACTGACAATAGATAGGTACTTGACAAGGACAAGGTGGGATATTTCCCCGAGCAAGTTCATTTCTCCTAGTTCCACGTCCTCTGCAAACAACTCAAGGTAGAGCAGACCTGGGTCTGTGGTCTGTGAGCGGGAGCTCGCCCAATATGGTAAGTAGGCGTCGGCCCGCGCGCTTGTTGATCCTTGTTTGCCGTTCAGTTGGATCTTGTTCTCAGCCACCATGGCCCCGCGACAGCGCGAGCCCCTGCCCGAGCCATCCTCCGGCCCCGGCATCCTCTCAAACGTCCTCAGCTTTGTTACGCGGGAGATCGAGTCTTTTGTGACCACGGCGGTGGGCGGAAATGAAGTTCAGGTGAGTGTTGGTATCCGTGGCACGCAAAGTTCATGTTTGAACGTGTTGAAGGTTGAGGAGCGGACACGGCCACGGGCTTCGACTTCACGCGTCAAACTCGATGGCGATGTCACGAAGAAGCGGAGGAGGAGAAAGGACAGCGCGCATAGACTCGTCCAGTCCGAGGTTGAATACGAGGAGGACGTGCCGGCGGATGCTGGCCCCAGTCGGAGGCGCTCGCACCGTCCTGTCGACTCGGATCCCGAGACCCCAAGAACACGGCGACCAAGGAAGAAGACACCGTCCGGTCCTACCTCGCCGTCTCCGACCCCTGCTCGTACCAGAGCTGCCGATCCGTACGAAGAAGAGACGTCGTACTCGCGCGAGTATACGATCCCTATCAATGATACACCGAGCTCGCGGCCACCATCCCCCACGACGCCCCCTCCCCTTCCGCCGCTCTTGAAACCAAAGAAGGTTGTCACTATGCCTGGCTCGTTCTTTCCCCGTTCAGAGTCTCTGATCCCCGAATCGCCGCCCAGTCCCGAGCCAGAGCGCCGTGTCAGCTGGCTACCGCGCACGCCCAGTCCCACTCCCACAAGCCCTAGGAAAACTGAGAAGACTCTCCGCCAAATCGAGAAGTCGGAGAAGGCAAAGGGCAAGGAGCGCGCGGGCGACACATCAGGCGAGGTGCAGGTGCGCGGCAAAGAGCGAGAATTGCGTGCGGCTCGCGAAGCGCATGCTCGCCACGAGCCTGGCCGAGACGACGACGAGCGCGAACGCGACAAGCTGCGTATCCGAATGCTGGAAGACGAAATTGCATGGCTGCGAGCGCAGGTACGTGTCGCTGGATTGTGTAAGGATGTCCGGAGAATGAATCGTCCTCCCAGCTTTCTGCTCAGCACACTCACTCTACCCGTGCAATGCCTCCACCTCCCGCACCACCACCACCGCCTATGGCGAAACTTTTCAAGGCACCTGGGACACCTACCGTTGCACGAGCAAACAAATTCCTCGCTTCTGCGCGCGCGAATCTGAAGCCGACCGCACCTCCTGTCGAGGCCCCTATTAACTCTGCGGTCGGAAGGACGCGTCGAGCTGGCCAGCCTACAGTTAACGTTCCATCGGACAAGATGGCCGCTTTCCTGAACGAGGTGAAGACCGTGCGCTTGCGCAAGGTTAGCACAGGGGAGGGTGACAGCAGGTCGATGCCGCCTCCTCGATATGTTCCAGGGGAGAGGTCGTTCAGCGCCGTCGAGAACAAGATTGGCGAGAAGCGGAAACGTGACGCGTTCTTCGCGGGCGATACGGACCCAGGGCCGTCGAAGAAGCGCAACACAACCTACATTGCACCGGGCAATGATACTGGGTCTTCTATGTCATCCCAATCATCGCAGTCCTCGCAGACGTCGGCGAACTCCTCACTATTCTTCCCACCTCCGGACCATGTGCCTCCACGAGGATGGCCGTCGGTTGCGACCACCGAGACGGATATTACCACCCCATCGTTGTGCTCGGACAACGAAAACGAAAACGAACAAGATGCCGACGAGCGTCTGCCACCTACCCCGCCTCACAATCGAACACAACATTCCGTGCCCAGCCACGCAGATAAACGCAGAGCCAGTACCTCACGCGAACCCATCGACGTAGATGCTGCGTTCCCGGAGCCCGACCGGATAGTTGAACCACGGCCCCAAGCAGCTCGTCTGAAGAAAGAGAAGACCCCTCCATTCGTCGACTTTTTCGCGCGCCGTCCGCCGAAATCGCCCCTGCCACCGACCCCCGTCCGCAAAGTGCCCGCTCCGGCGCGCAAGCGGGCCAAACCAGTACCCGCACCTCCAGTCGATGGGGACATGTCGGACGGCGATGACCCACTGTCGATGTCCCTCCCAGACCTCGGACGGCCCGGCGCAACACCGCATCCCGCGCGGCCGGCTCAGAAGTCGCGCTCGAGGACGTCGTCAAATGCGTCGTGTGACTCCGGCACGAATGCCCAGGACACTCCATCGAATCGAGCACGGAGGCGCCGTACGCTGGATGACGAGCTGCGCCGCGCGGGTGACAGGCTCTGGGACCCAGAAGCACTCTCGGACGACGAGTTGGCGGTAGGAGTCGAGAGCGGCGAGCTCGTTGGCGTGGGGACGAAGAGCAAAAAGAAGGGGTTTCTGAAGGGCGGAGGGGGCGCGGGCAAGCCTGTATTCATGGGCGTGGGCCACATCCAAGGCGCTGAGGACGATGGGGACGATGAAGATGAGGACAGGTCGCCTCCCCCTGTGCAGCGGCGAAGGAGAGGGACAAAGGCGAGGGAACGTGTCGATTGATCAATTTTTCGTGTGATATGCTGTCGATCTTGCTTTGTCGCTCTGGCTATCTACTTCAGCGCCCATTGTATCATAAGAAATTGGTTGTACTGTATATCTTTGTCTTTCTTCTGCGTGGTGTGTAGCTGATAGCCTAGAATTTTAGCTCATTGCTAAAGTCCATATGCACAGCGCTACGCTACGGACGCACTCCATCTCGTTCGACCTGCCGCAAGATCTCCAACGGGCTACGGCAAACCTCAGTTGGACTGCAAGGCCGCAAGGATCCTGCTCTGCACCGTCTGCACAACCGTAGCCGACGTGTTCAAGCTAAGCATGAAATACGCAACATCGCCCAATGTGCGGTAGTGCATGCCGAAGGGCGCGCCCCCAGGGGCTGATGATGATGTCTGCTCCTTCGTCGGCAGGCGAAGTGACTGCAAGACTTTTTGCGCAGAATGAGACTGATAGCCTGAGGGGTGTCTGAATATCCGTCCGACTTGCTCGACATGAAATCACTTACCGCCAGCGTTGTCCCGGATTTTGAAGGCGAGCACCGTGCCGAGCGTCATGACCTCGTCAACAGCGTCCAGCCTGGTGAGCTTGTCGATGAAATCCGGGGTCCATAAGCTCCAGACCGCTGTCTCAGCCCGCTTTTCGGATTTGTCGATCCCCCATTGTGCCCGGGCTTGGTCCCATTGGTCGCTCTCCGCTAGCTTCTCCACGATGCTCAGCGTCTCGTTCGCGACTTCGCACCCTACAGGATACGCGGTGTAACTGTGTCCGTGAAGCAGCGCATCCAGCTTGCTGTCGCTGTTGAACGCCTGGAAGATCGAGTCCGAAGCAAGCGTGACTGCGAGCGGGAGCAGACCTCCTGTCAGGATCTTCGCGTGTACGGAAATGTCGGGGTTAACGCCGAGCAGCGGACCCGTGGTTCGTAGCCCGAGACGGTAGAATCCGACGAAGACCTCGTCAAAGATAACCGGGAGGCCGGACCAGCCGCCTTTCGCGGGTGGGTGAGGCTCGGACGCGCGGACGACGTCGATGAGGACGCGCTGGAAGAGCGGGTCGACGAAGATCATGCCGCCTGCGCCCATGACGAGGGGCTCGAGCACGAGAGCGGCAATCTCGGGAGTGCCGCGCTCCTTCAGCTTCTTGAGCGTGCTGGCGACGAAGTTGCGGTAGACGTCGGCAAGTGGGCTCTCCAGCCGCGACTGTACGTCGTAGGCCTGCTGCAGTGATCCTACGTCAACCTCGGACATTCCGTCTGCTGTGGAGGCCATCGACTGGGGAAGCGATACGACAACTCGTCCCTTCTTGTTGGAGACCGTGGGCGGATCAAGCCAGTACCCCTTGGCGTCGTGCCACTCGCACGTATACACGCCTTCCTCGCAGGCATCCATCGCGCCGATGGTGTCCCCATGGTAGCTGCCCTTGAGCCCAAGTATGCCGAGGTCCTTCCTAGGCTTCCTCTCGGGCTTCGCCGCCGTGTTGCGTGAGGCATACGCACGGAGCGCCATCTTGAGCGCGACCTCCATCCCGGTGGACCCGTCGTCGGAAAAGAACGCACGCGACGCCCAGCCCTTGCCGGGCCCCTCGTGCACGAGGCGTTCAGCGAGACGGAGGGCGGGCGCGTGTGTCGCTTCGGGAAACATGACATGGCCGTAGCGCCCTGCAGCCCGTGCAGCAGCGAGGGTGAGCGATGGATGCGCATGTCCGATAGCCTGAGTCCACCAAGAGGCAGACCCATCGAACTGCGGCTCAAGGAGTGACGCAGTCGGGGCTTCTTGAGTTGCTTTCGCTTTGTGACCGTTGTAGATAGAGAAGAAGTCTTTGGTTGCACTGTCAATGACATTGATGTCAGATGGCGCCTTCACGAGCCCGTGCTGGACGAATGGCCACCAGATTGTGTCGGCGGTGCGCTGTGGCATGGAGTCGAGCTCCGCTACCCGTTTCGCGTGACATTGGTCCAGATGCTCGAGCGCATCGAACATGCCGCCCTGAAGAGAGTCCGGTACGAGACAAGAGTAGTATTTGCCCATCTCCGTGCGTTCCTCGTCGGGGTTGGCCAGTCGCTTGTGCGGAGGATCTAGTGGCAGCACACGAATACCGCGTTCCGAGAAGTATGGCATCAGATACTCGAAGTTTCTGTAGTAAGCATCCTTGAAGAGTAAAACCAGGTCGATGATATAGCCTCGGAGCAGCAGAGATTCGTATGACGAGATAGTGGTTGATATACCACCGAGGTGGGCATCACCGACTAGTACTGTAGGCAAGAACAGAGGTCTGTAGGCATCCACTTGTGTTGTTCCGGAGAGCGTAGGGCTATGAATACCTGAAAGTAATCATTAGGATCTCCTTGCCACAATAGATTTCTTACAGCTATTTCTATATCGATAGGCCCCTCTCCGACGAAACAGACATAGGCAGAGGACGTCGGGTCTTGACTTCCGGTGATCCGTAGCCTCTACCATTTGACCTCAGCCTCCCGCTAGTGTCTGAGACTAGCTCGGCCCCCGACGCTGCCTGTAGTGACACGGTCCCTATGACACCACCGACACCGACATAATTCGCCTTTGCATAGTCGTGAACGCAGAGACCCGTCGTTTTGGAAATAGCTATAAGCCATGCGATCGTGACACAACTTACCTCCTGCGGTCTCTATGTACATGTGCGACGGGCGGCTCGTCTGATGCGCCGTTTGCCTGATACTATCTGCCACAGCGGTGACAAACGCCTCGTCGGTTGGGACATCTGCCTTCATGGATAGCGCGCGTGCTCAATGATGACCGTAGATGCCAGAGAAGCACAGAAATGACATACCTGTCTGTTGGAGAGTCTAGCTGCTAGATGCGGACTGACAGGCTCGTCAAAACGGAACAAGCATTTCGCACGCACATCTTTGCCTTGAGCGTGGGCAAAGCAATTGACATGTCTACGAAGGAAGGTCTCAGTCGCAGGTTCCCGATACAACTGTAGTGACTCTACTTGACCTATCATCTGCATCTTCGATTGGGCCCGTGCTCACGGGTTTCAGATAATGGACAGGGATATTCTTCCATGCCGATGCCCGGACGAGCGCTGTTGTTAGTATGGTCTTGCCAACATCTGTGTTCGCTCCGAAGACCTGATGAATTCGGAGGTTCTTGAATAGCGAAGACATGATGGGCACAAGCAGGAGATAGCAAGAAGCAGGCTCAAATCAGTAATACCGGACAAGGCATGGCACTATACGACCACAACTCCGCACAATGTCCGAAGGGTGAATGTGCCGGTAGTCCGAAGCGCGCCACAAAATTGACAACCTAAATTGGGGATGTTTGTCCTTGTTAGATTCAGAAGCTCTTGGCACACAGAGACAAACAACGCGTCAGAAGCGCGTGCGTAATGAGCGCCTACACTGTAGCCCAATCCCCGCCACCACCTCGTGCAAGTCTGAGAGCTAACCACTCAAAGTCGTAGCTTGGACGAGCGGGTGACTCTCTTTTGATGCAGCTACTTGGCGCGGCTGCAGTGTAACAACATCATATCCAATACAGTCATTCGCAGCCCAGCGCTCGGCACTCCCGACCCCGGCCGACGACGGCATCGGACGACTTGAACTGCATCCTCGACCTTCTCCGCATCGTCCAGCGCGAGTTCTCATCTTGTCTGTACATGTACTTTGCTGTGTTGTAGCTCTTCTTCTCCCATTGATCATGTCAACTTCGGCGGAGGTTGTCAGGCCGAAAGGCTTGGTGTTCAAGGCCGCCCACCTCGCTAGGGTGCATACGGTCCTCGCCTTTTCCGCCTTTCTTTCCGCGCTGGCCATAGGTAGCGCTCTGCACTACAAGAAGATAGTGAAGAATGGTGTAGCGGGTTACCCAGATGAATGGTTTCCATCGGTCTCAGCTACGTGAGTATCCGTACGCTCTTCGCAGTGCCAAGTTGTAAACTGAAGCTGCTATGTGTACAAGCATTGGTGACTGGTATCCGGAGCGCAATATATTCCAGATTCTGATTGCTCTCAATTCCGGCAAGTCTGTCTTTGAGTCCGGACATAGTCAGCATCGTTGAACAGAACGCGGGGAATAGGTCCCCGTTTGGCTCTGGTCCTCTTGCAATACTACATGCACCGCAAACCATCAACAAGTCTTCCCGGCCTTGTCATGCTTTCCGGAATCCTCAGGACATTGTGTTGCGGTGGTTGGGTCTACATCACCTCCACAGACGCCCACGACGCCCACGACGTACTCATGATCAGTTATATTGTACTCAATGTGCCATGGATGTTCGGCACTATCGCTTGTACCCCTATGCAAAACACACGCATCCGCCGCAGAAGGTAAGCGCAAAATCTCTGGCTGTTATGTGTCATCCTGAAGCGACATAGGCAGCTCATGGCCACGGTGTGAGTGCCAATCAGGCCGTGGCTGTCTCAGCATTCGGGCGCTAACTTTATTAGGTTATTCGTGTCCATGGTCCCGATGATATATTTCTTCATTCAACATAAGGTTCATCGCATTCCCGGAGGTTAGTCACGCACTCGGGGTACCCGTACTTCAGAGCTCAATCCCGCCATAGCGTACACCCGGTACAGCTTCTTCGAATGGGGACTCATCATCTTTGATATCATGTTCGACTCGGCCGCTGAACTCGAGCTCGAGGCTGCCAATCTGGAAGTGAGCACTCTGCCTTGTCCTCTCCCTCTACTACTCATTGTGCCTCGGCATGCTTCAGATTGGTGTGGGCACTATCTCAGAAGGTGCTGGAGCGGATGACATGTACACACGAATCCATCGTCTTGCCTGATTTGTATTGATATTCGGATACTTCAGAGTCACAGTCGGCCACTTTAGTGTGGCAGCGAAGAGTACTACAGTGAAGACTACTCCTGCAACGATGGCTATTTCCAGCCAAAAGACAGTGGACCATGCTGTCAGTCCCTCTCCAGCTCCGGCAACTGTGGTGCACCGCCTGAGTCTCGTCAAACACTTCGTTAGTGATATGTACCTCTGTGTGTACATGAATCTTCGTTGCGCGTTCAACCTGCTGATAGGGCTGATTGACAGCGTACATATACTGGTCCATCTACACCTCGCTAACCCCAACGCTCTTCTACTTTTCCGTCTGGGAGCTGGGTATCGCCGGGCACGAGCTCTCGCTCCTATCCACGCTTTCGCCCATCCTACTCGGTATTCCACCTTTCGCAGAATGGTGCCGTACGCGCAGTGGGAGGACGGCCCTGCACATCCTGTCCTTGACCGGGTTGGCAGCGTACAAGCTGGAAAGCCCTCTTCATAGGCTGTTTGTGGTGGCGTTTGCTACTTCGGTGGTCAATATTGGGGCTGCTGTCGATTGGACAGGACCGGATGCATCGTATCAGACGATCGGTTTGTGTGCTGTCGCATTCATCGAGAATAGTTGGTCTGATTCACTCTGCAGTTGCTGGCCTGGGGTTCCTGTTATCATCGATTTCGAAGCATGCTAATCATTCGAACAATCCAGGTGTGTACCTGTTGGTCTTCGATATCGCGGTACTGACGGAGTGCAGTGTGGCCCATCGTTCACGAGCAGTCCGGCGGCTATAATAAGACGGGCATCGTCCTAGCCATCATAGCTATCCTCGACTACGCTGCGCGTCCGGCAAGCAACGTCTTGACTTCGTCCACCGACAAGGCAGAACCAATACACAAAGCTCCCGGTGGATCCTGGCTAAGAGAGTCGATCTCACTGGGGAGCCTCATCTTCACTCTGCATTGCCTCCTCGCCGACTCGAGTACTCTCATCGCGTGGTCATGGATTGGGTATCCCGTCAAAGGCCCTGTGCCTCACCTGCATGGTTCGATTACGCACGTCGCCCAGGCGCTCGGCCTTCTGCTGCCGTTGCTACTGACTACTCCCTCTTCCGCAGGCCTCGATGTGTTCCTGCACCCGCTGTGGTTCGCCTACGGATGCGGCAGTGCGTACATCATGTACGCCTACAAGGACTGGCTCGGGTACGCAGGCGGCGCCAACCTCGCTGTGTTCCTCATGTCTGTCTTCCCCGCAATAGTGCACCGCGCTGCATCCACAGGGCGCATCGCGCGCACGTTCGGTTTGGCTTGGCTCATCGTGTGCGTGTTCATAGTCACGAACGTATTCACGGTCGCCTATGCGTTCGTCCCTGGAGGCGAGTACTTCCGTGAGCACACGGACCTTGTGCTCACCGCGCAGATGGCGGCACTTGGTCTGGCATTCCGGTGGCCCGGGCTCAAGGGCCAAACGCGTCTCCGTACTACCGCACTGAGTAAACGGGCTCGTGTGGCAACTGGTAGCGCGCTTGCTGCGTTGACTGTCGTGTCTTTGCTCGTGTCGCTGTACAGGTGGCCATCGAAGGTCATCCAACCGCACAGGCCTGGGCCCCGCATTGTGCGCAGTGGTATCTGGACGGTGCACTTCGGCATCGACAACGAAGGGAAGGATAGTCAGCGACGTATGCGGGACCTGATTAGGTGCGTATAACAGCTTTGCTTGGTGGTTTGGCGCTTCATCTCCCCTTGCTTCAAGGGATATGGAACTCGACGTTGTCGGTCTGCTTGAAACAGATCTACATGTACGTTGCAGATGGCTCTGTCCGCGAGTGAGATTGACCGAGCTCATCGTCGTCAATTGCTACAGCGCACTGTCTTCGGCAATCGCGACTTGTAAGTGGTTATGCTGCGTCGGTCTCGATAGACGAACTGAATAGATGTAGGACTCGGGTTATGGCGGATGAGCTGGGATTCGTGAGTAATTCCTACAGCGATGGATTGCTGTCCCTCTGATAGCATCTAGTATGTCGACATTGGACCTGGACCCAATCAGCATACGTGGGGAGCAGTGCTCTTATCCAAGGTAAGGATGAATTTTGCTCCGGATCGTGGCTTCTGTTTACCACTCGCAGTTTCCGATCCTCAGCTCTACCCACCATCTACTGCCTTCTCCTCATGGAGAGCTGGCTCCGGCCATTGAAGCCGTTTTGGACATGTATGGCACGAACGTGACGGTACTTGTCGCTCATAACGGTCAAGGTATGTGATGTTGCGATGTAGTCTGTATACTGGGTTCCAACATCAACTCTCAGAGGAAACCCCGCTTGATCGCGAACTACAAGCCGGCGAACTGGCCCGGATCATGTCCAGTTCCTACCCGCAACCTGTCATTTTCCTCGGATATGTCGTGACAAAGCCGCTCGCATTGAGACGTAAGTGACACTTCTCAGTGCTAACTTAATGACCTCAATCTCGTCCTAGCTGCTCCATATGAGATCATGGTTGCCGACGGACGTGTCCTCGACATTGACGAAGAAGACTGGGATCGATGGTAGGTCTCGCACTCCAGTAAACACCAATCTTACTCACCTGCACCCGAAGGTGTGAATACATATTCTACCGCGGCCTCTATCGAATTGCGTATGCTCGAGTGTCCCGGAGCACGATCACGGACACAGAGCTCCAGATAGGACAGTTCCAGCTCCCAAGGCATGGCTTCGGTGTTACCGACGACAGTCGCGAAGCTCGATACATGCGATCATGGAAGGAAGACTTGCCACCAGACCATGTACGTGAATATGCAATCCCACTAGAATCTGTTGACCGAGTTCGTCACAGTGGTTCCCAATGGAGTATTATCCTGAACTCGGTGGCAAGCGCGGTCACTTCTATCATGTTTTCGATACGGTGAGGTGTCTTTCTACCACCATCATACAATTTATGGCTAACCTCACCGATAGCCTCTGTACTACAAGCTCCCCGAGGGTGCATTGTTGTAAAACCTGTTGTATTAACGGACCTGCTTCTTGCGTGCACCACGGACAGGACAGTATCATACAAGCTGTTGTTGTAGATTGCGTTGTAGCTGCTACCCATGTATTCGGTCATCGTCGCTCTCATCTTCCCCTTCACTCTCCTCATCATCCTCGCCGCTCTCCTCATCATCCTCGCTCTCGTCCTCACTCTCCTCGCTCTCGGTCTCTTCCTCCTCCTCTTCGTTTGTATCCTCGTAAAACTTATCCAAATCTTGCCAGTTGACCTTGGTGCCGTTCTGGCGATTGAAAGAGTTTGCACGGGAGTCGGATGAGGAAAGCACGATAGGCGTCGACCTTGCTGAGATCGGGCGCGCGACCGCTGATGCTTGCGAGGATATCTGAGTGACCACGGGTGCCACTGGCACATCCTCTTCTGAGTCGCGGAGAGAGGGCTCGGTGCCCTCCTCTAACCAGTCGGGTAGGTGGCTCTCCAGGGTCTCTTTGCCAGTGACAGCACTCAATGTGCCAAATGGCAAGCGATCGTCGTCTACCATCCCTTTAGCGATTGACATCACCGAGCAGTTCTAGGTACTTACCGTGTCGCGAGGTATCTTCTGCGACGCCCAACTTGCCTGAGAACAGGACCATACGGACCTGCTCCCGGCGAAGCGTCACGCCGGCTATGTCCTCCAAAGGCTCTGCGACGCTAGCGTCGACGCCTACGAGAAGCGCAGCGAGCATCCGTCCCCGGTCACGTACGTCTACCGACTGGTCGTACCTTGCTAGGGCCAACACGTGTCGGGCCATGAGCGCGAGCGTGCGGTTCGTCGGAGCGAGGACGAGCAGCTTCGCGGCAAGCGTCAGTGTCTGGAGTTTCACCATCGGCGGCTACACAAAGCAAGTGTCAGACACCATTCATTCAGTAGCCGGGGCCAATAGTTATATCTACCTGCTCCATGAAACTCTTGACGGACTTGCGAAGCACGTCGGGCGCCCACTCCACGATGCCCTCGATGCCCTTACCGGACCCTTTCACTTGCGCGTCGCCCGGCGCGTATTGCCCGACGAGCCAGAGGACGCACGCGCGTGCCTTCGGGTGACGGATCTCGTCGATGCGCCATGCGAGGCGGGCGATGATCGACAGAGGTGACGTCGTGGGATCGCCGTTCATGGGCACGTATTGCTGATGCTGGAGACGGATTTGGACGAGGGACTTGAGAACGATGACCGCGTTGGCGACGATGCTGTCTGTGGAGGGTCAGTTGGTATCACAGAGGAGGGGGGTCGGGCTTGCCGTGTTTGCTCTGGATAAAGCCCATGAGTGCACTGAGACAGTGTTGCGTTGCCTCTGGGACGATGCGCGCACAGTACCCGATTGCTTGAATGGAGTCTGCCACGAGGGCATCGTCCGCGTCTTCCGCATAGGCCTATCGCTAGCTTCAATACACGATAATAGCATATACGCAGCCAACTGGACTGACCGTAAACTCGCGGAGGAGTGCTGGGTGTGTTTCCGGCGTAATGAGGGCACGCAGGAGGCGCACCTTGGCAACCTTCGTCTGGCGGACGTCGTCGGCACGTATAAGGCACCGTGCATAATGTGGTGCGATGGCATGCTGTCACATGTCAGGTAGAGGACTGTACGATGGCAAGAGTTGGCTTACTGAGAAAGTGCGCGCCGCAATGAGAAGATATGCGAGAACGACTCGCTCGACCTGGCGCGATGTGTGGAGGAGGCGGAGCAGCGGAAGGACGATCTTGGGTACTTCCGAAGGCGGGGCGAGGTAGTAGAACACGCGTGCGACAGCCAATACGACCTGTGCTACCACGCTTGTGTCCGATCCCGCTTAATACCTGACGTACCACTTACCGCCGGGTTTTGAGACTGGAAAAGGGGCTCCGCCGAGTTCAGGAGTAACCGAAGGTCCGGGTCAACCTCTTCAGTCGGACGTGGCAGCATCGTCCGTGCGTATCGCGTGAGCAAGTCGAGCAGGTCGACTTGGCCCCATTCGTCCGCATCGATGATCGTGCGAGACAGCCGGCGGTAGTGAGGATGGAGAAGGTCAAGGCGTGTGGGGCATACTGTGGTGAAGGCGGCGGCGACGGAGCCGATGGATAACGGCGACCGATCGCGTAGCAGATTCGTCAGGACTTGTATGAGCTCAGGTTGGTGTGAGGGATCTAGGCTTCGGGCGGGTCACATACTGGAGTAAGCGCAGGGCGGTGATATACGCACTTGTAACACTTCGGGAGGGCAAGCGCAGCAGCTTTGCGCACGTAAGGACTAATATCCGAGGCGGCTTTCTTGATCGCTAAGACAAGTATGCTGGCGATGACCGGCATGTTCAGACCTGATAGAAGCCGAAGCGCCATTGCGCGGATGAGAGGACTTGAGTCTGAGAGGTCCTTCTGGAACGTGTTGATCGACAGGAGGGCGGTCTCGGGCTCGTCTTCGGCGTAGCGGAGAAGGTAGATGTATACGAGCTTGCGAACCTCAAGGTTATGCGACGCAACATTCTTCACCACTTGAGGGAAAAACTCTGAGACGTTGCGCCCCTTGGAGATGAGCTGGGTCGGGGATACGTATGTGACGGAGTGCGGTGTTACAGTAGGTACGGACATACCGCAATGAGCCGCTTCATAGCCTCCAGCTTCTCCCTATCACTGTTTGAGTCGAGCTGTTTCTTGATGTTGCGAACTTTGTCCTCCGGATTGTCTAGATAGGCTGAGCTGGACGCCCTGGCGATGTTCAGGTCGCGCGTTTGCTCGGAGAGTGTTTCCTGCAGACGTGCGCCTAGCCGCGACGCGTTTTCTGCCAGCGAGTTGAAGTCCATGTTGCGCGGGATACCTGCGCGAAGTATTGTACCTGTGTTCATGATGGTACGAAGTACTGGCGCACCTCTACTGCTCCTTCCAATGGATCAAACAGAACCGTTCTCAGCGGAGTACCGCCGTGGGTACGACGAAGCTTAATGGATGCTGATTCCACAAGCAAGGCCCCAGATTGCAAGTAATCTATCCGCGCTGACAGCGAGTCTCCTTCGGAAGTCGAGTCGTGATCAGGCCAGTCGCAGACGAGGGAAGCTGACGAAGTGCTGCAACTTCGTGCTAGCTGCGGGAATATTGCGAATTACACCTAGGGTTCCTCAAGCTTTGGCAACAGATAGTGAACGGTGGCCTTGGAGACAGTAGAATATATGCTGGTCGTTCGTCGACGACACCGGAGGCGATGTGGTTGCCTCAGCAGGGTTGTGGCAAGACGCGAGGCTCGTGAAGGATGAGTGCTAGATTCGGGATCTCCGATACGAGATCCCAACACCGATGGGTGGCTGGAGTGGCCACAATGGTCTGACAATGCTCGTCCAGTTTGGTTGCAACCACAGCAACATAAATACGCGCGGACCATGGATGGCGCAGCAGACCTCCACGCGACCGCACTCGCCAATATGCACAGACATCGTAAGTCGGCATCCATGAGTATGGCCTTCCAGGTGCCCCCGGCCGTGCTCGAATCGCTGTCACCCAAGTCCAGGTCATGCATCGAGAACCTGGGAGTTCACCAACCCGGAGAGATAGATATGTACGTTTCAGTATCCGTGCCACACAGCTTATCTCTCTAATGCGTTGCGACAGCTCTAACTCTGCCGTGCTGGCTGCAGTCCTCGTACTGCTATACGAGAAGTCGGACGAACTCCGCGTCCTACTGACCACCCGATCCAAACTCCTTCGTGCACACCCCGGAGAAACCGCCCTTCCTGGAGGGAAAGTTGATAAAGACGACGCCAGTCTCGTTTTCACTGCTGTTTGTTTGTCTCTCTTGATGTGACCAACGGCATCGCTGAAGTCTCGCTGTTCAGTTCCGAGAAGCGAACGAGGAAGTGGGATTACCTCGGCATTCGCCCTCACTATACACCGTGTCAGTCCTCCGCCCATTCCTGTCGAATAGGAAAGTAGTCGTCCGGCCCGTGATTGCGCTACTGGGCGACCTCTCGCTTCTGGATAAGCTGAAGGCCAACGAAGCCGAAGTGGCACACATCTTCGACCACCCTCTCGAAGCCATCATAGACCCTATTCTCGCACTGAAGGAGTCGCTCGTAGGGAAGGGCTCGACCGACTGGCCGTACGAGGAAGACCTCCATGTCAGCCAGCTTTACTCACAAATGCCGCACATATGATAACCTCCCGCTTCGACAGAACACCGATGACCGCCGGCTTGCATTCCTCGGGGACGCCACATACCGCATGCACCGTTTCAGGAGTACCGCTTCTCCAATAAAGGGCCTCACAGCCGAGATACTCGTAAGCACGCGTTGATTCATACCGCGAGTCTGATGCTTAGGATTGACTGTCTGATCGGTGCGCAGATGACGGTGGCCGAGGTTGCGTATGCCCGACCGCCCACGTTTGAGCGCTATGCACCCGAGCAGATGACCGACTTCACCGCGGTCCTTCGCGCGCTCGAGCAAGCGGAACAGGGAGAACAGGTCCACGCCTCCGGGACATCCACTCCAATTGGTGTCGCGACGAACGTCTCACATGGTGGCACGTAGGAGAGATGAGTCCAATCCCTCCACTTCTACGTGCATCAATAGTCGTCAGCACTCGAGAGTTGGGACTAATGCAGTCTGATGTCAAAAGGGAACCCAAGTATAGTATACTTGAGGATGCGAAACAATGTTGTACCCATAAATCCTACGATCTCTGGAATGATACTCGGGAGTCGTCGTATACTACCCGCTGAAGTCCGGGAACCCCGGTCTGCCTACCTACTACTCGGCCAGCCAGCCTTCCATCATGACATTGCTCGCCCGTTCTTGGTAAGTTCTGAATTTTGCATAGTGGTGTTCTTTGAACTAGCAACTTTCTTTGCATGTGCTTATCATGAGCATCAACGAGTTCTCCGGACATGGTATTCAACTGGCCAAGTACGCTGGCACTTAAGACGCTTGCCGGCTATCATGGTATGCAACGGAGACTAGTTGGAGACTAGCTCGCGCTCGCCGATCGAGAATGAAGCGTCGACGTTGATCTGTAAGTGTTCACCAAGGCTTTGAGATCCAACGTAACTAAGTCTATAGGGACGATCTTGGTATGAGTCAACCCATGACTTCGATTCTACATTACAGTGGACAGCCCGAGGTTGTTTGTCGCCCTCACCTTATGAGTGAGCTTGTACATGTGCCGACTAGGACGACTTCGCAGTCTATGATAGTCGGCCGCTATATGAATAAGGTTCGTCACACAATAGCACCGTGTTTTGTGGTTCCTACTACTCGTGGCATCCGATAAGTTCACGTCGTAGTTACAGGTATCCATCCGCCATACCTCCGCCGTCGGGAGAGTCTCAGTCTGGCGATACAACGTACATACCCGTGCGGATTTGATCTTATATCCTTCCATCAAGGGCATGTTGTACTAGTTACGTGGCTCTTCACGTACGCTGGGACAATCCCGCCCGAGGCGTCTCTTTCATCTCGATGGGCTCCCAGCGTCATAGAATCCCGCATGGTAAGTATCTAGATACGGCTCGACAGTTCCCCGATCTCTATCGGGGGAATCATCGCGGCTTCTCTTGGGCTTCTGCTGCCACTATTGTCTTGTGACAGCTCAATGACAACTGCAGGTGTTCTTGCCCACTGGCCTCAGGCTCGTATAGGTCCTCTCGGTGATCCGCTGCTCCCGAGTCAGAAGCAACCCGCGGATTCTCGCTACGAGATATGCCGCGAGTTTGAAATACAAAAATACGGTTGATCCCGGCGCTCTGCTGTCCATTCTATGTATGGCGCGGCACCCGTGCATTACGCGCGAAGTAATTAAGGCGAGGCTCTTGGTCGCCTATAAAGCGCCCCCAGCGCGCAGTCGCTGAGAGAGAACATTGATCCCCGTGGTCCTCGCTGGAATGGAGCCAGTCATACTGTTGACCTCGCTCATCGTCACAGCGATTGTTTTCCTGGTGATCCATGGGCGTACATCCGAGTCTGCCAAGCTGCGACTGCCGCCAGGCCCAGCGCGGATACCACTCCTGGGGAACGTCCATCAACTCCCATCCATGGGGCAACAAAGGGCGTTTGCGGAGTGGGGAAAGCGCTATGGTGAGCATCTTCGTAATATTCGTCTGACTATCTGACTACTATGGTTGTACTCAATATCCTCATTCACAGGGGATGTGATCTACGCTCGTTTATTTCAGACACCAGCCATCGTGGTGAATTCCATGAACGCCGCACAAGACCTTCTCGATAAGAGGAGCGCCAAGTACTCGCACAGACCTCGGTTCATCCTATTGCAGGATTTGTAAGGAAGCTTTCGGTCGCTGTGCGCAAGAGAGAGGACACTCACCCTGATATTTTAGGATGGGCTGGGACGTCATGACGCACTTTTCATATGGTGAAAGATGGCGAAGACACCGGAAGTGGATCGCGAGCGCCTTCCAGGACAAGGATGCACTATTGAGTTATCGACCATTGCAGCGTAGAGAAACCTACGTGCTCTTATCCGGTCTGATGGATACGCCGCAAGAGTTCATGGGACACATTCGAAGGTCAGCTGGTAGTTTACACGCTCGTTGGTTGCTTACCGCCCTATAGATTCACGGCCGCTATGATCATGGAGATTGCTTACGGCCATTGCGTCGAATCTTCCGACGACAAATTCATCCACCTCGCAGAGCGCGCTAGCGCGGTCACTCTAGAGTCAGGAGATGCAGGAGCAATGCTCGTTGACTTCTTCCCATTATGTGCCAGCGGCTGCCTATCGTCTCCTGATTCTAGGCTGACCATGATTATTAGTGCAGTACCTACCGTTCTGGGCTCCTGGAGCTGGTTTCAAGAGGAGGGCGTTTGCTGCCAACAAGATTATCCAAGAATTACTCGATACGCCATTTGACATGGTCAAGAACGCAATGGTGAGGCTTTGTACGTATATGGCAGAGAGATTCTACCCATCATAGTTCATTCAGATGAAGGGCATAGCTCGTCCCTGCTTTACGACTTCGCTGCTGGAGGAGATCATTCAAAAGGGCACGCTGAACAAACAAGATGAGCATGAGATCAAGGGCGCTGCGGGTCTTCTATATGGAGGTAATTGATTCGACCCCTGCAACGTCGGTCCATCATGCTCACATCGCCCTGCAGCGGCTACTGACACCGTGGGTTCTGTAGCGGATTGTGTTGCAGCCGCTGACGGTAATGGTCTCTAACCTTAGACGTCGGCTGTACTCGGGACATTCATGCTTGCGATGGTTCTACACCCGGAAGTGTACCAGAAGGCACGGGCAGAAATCGATCGCGTTGTCGGTGCGGATCGGCTGCCGGACTTCGATGATAGAGCATCGCTCCCCTATCTCGAATGTGTCATCCAGGAAGTATTCCGGTGCGTTCATCGCGGTCTCAGGAAGGAAGGGGCTTTGACGTCGCCCGTCTGGCAGTTGGAATTGCCCAGTCCCATTGGGTGCGAACACTGCCGGTATCACTTCACTCCTCGCTTACCAATGCTGCAGGATTGCCACACAGGACTATGGTTCAGGATGAGTACCGCGGGTTTGACATTCCCGCCGAAGCAATGATCATACCTAATATCTGGTGCGTTGTGATGCCAAGCACTTTCGGAGCTCAGAGTGACGACGAGGAGTATTCAGGGCGATGACCAACGACCCGAGTATCTACTCGACGCCAGACATCTTCAGGCCAGAGCGCTTCATGGAGATGGATCCACAGACCATGGAATCTCGGGATCCTCGGAATGTTGTCTTCGGCTTTGGCCGTCGGTGCGCGTCATGTTCCAACGCAAATATTGACACAGCTTGCTGAAAGGATGATACCACATAGCATCTGTCCTGGCCAGAAGTTTGCTGATTCCAGTGTTTGGCTGGCGGCTGCATGCATCATCGCTGCAGTGGATATCAGTCAGATCCTCGACGCGTTTGGAAAATCCGTCCAACCGCCCGCTGCTTTCGACGAGGTGTTCGTCAGGTAAGCAAGATTTTCCTCGTTACTTCGGCTGCTTGAAGCAATTTTCCATAGCCATCCGAAGGATTTCCCTTGTAACATCAAACCACGGTCATCCAAGGCTCAGAAGATGGTGTCTGATTTCGTCGTAAATCACACGATGTGATGATGTCGATAATGATATGATTTCATTCTCTTTATTACATGATGGATTTAAAAAATGGTGATGCTTGACACGCATTGTTTCTCATGGTACCTCGCTGAGATTATGATGTTCCTTCGGTATGGTGGTACTTCAAGGTTCTCTGTTTGGCATTGTTGTCCAAAGGCTTCTGGATATAACAAGGACAAATAACACTGTGGCGTTACGGCTGGAAGTCACATTTGCCTGAAGTACTTCTCTCATCGACACTGATAAAAAGATAGACAGACAGGGATCTTCTTTGGCCTCATGATTGGATTATCGCAGGATGGCGCGCCCAGAGCAGTTCCTCTATATCGCTGAGTTTGAACGTTGACGGTGACTCCGGTCCCGGCCAGCGCTCGGTGACGGAACAATCCGAGCTTGGATTGGATCTCAGATCAATGATGCTCAGCTCAGCAACCGCCGATGGAAGTTCGCTCATTCATCGACTCCGAGCTCTTCTGACTGAACGCAAGGCGTACGCGTCCTGGGAGACGCGTTGTTGCCATCCCATAAGGTGTATACGGTAAGACAACTTCACTACCCGCAGCATGGACAAGGACAACCGGGACGACTTCACTTTCGCCAAGTTGAGCGATCTGAAACTACCGGTCACTTTTCGAATGTCAGTCGCCGCAAGCGATCTCACAAATGTACACTAATAATCATACTTGCTAGATCTCAGCTTGAAGGAACGCGGAAACCGCATCCGTATACTGAACTGCTAGAGAAACCGGAGTTGAGGTTTCACGGCGTTCAGCAGTCACCGTAAGCAATGTTCAGCATGCTACTATTGCCAATAGCTTATATACATGCAGAGAGCTGTCCGACTTATACGTCACCTGCCAGCTAATCGCTGACAATAAGCCTCTGACGATTCCCTTCAGAACGTCTTACAAGGCGTTTAAGAAGGACTACACGTATGTCTCTGATAACCGATTCAACGAGGCGAAAGCTTACAATTAGTACATGAATGATAGATGGAACGAGTGGCTTACATTCCCCATCCGTTACTGCGACCTTCCCCTAAGTACTCAAATCACCTTCACCGTGTGGGACATATCGGGCCCGAGATCTGCCATCCCAGTTGGCGGCTCCACATTTCGTCTCTTTGGAAAGAAGCTGTATGCTCTGTTTCAACAACAACACGTTCTGCAACTGATGTGTGTATACGGACCTGCAGGAGCCTTCGAAGAGGAAAGCATAGATTACTATTATGGCCGGACCGAGAGGCAGACGGCTCTATCGAGACCTCAACACCTAGCAAGATCGGCACACGAGACGAAGTGGGCAGGCTAGAGAAGGTCCGAATACTAAGCCCATCGTGACACAAAGCTCACATATGCACAGCTCTTAAAAAAGTACGAAAGGGGTGACATGCCGAAGTCTGATTGGCTTGACGCTATGGCCTTTCGCAAGATCTCAGACATACACAAAGTCAGCCTTCTATCTCCCTTGCTACCTCTCGACTGACCATGAGCATGTTCCTCCCAGGCAGAAACGGACAAGTCAGACAATCTGTATCTCTACGTTGACTTGCCGCGCTTTGACTTCCCTGTGATCTTTTGCGAGCCGGTGAGTGTTGCGCGTCTTGTCCCTGGCAATGATTACAAACGAATCGACCAGGATGGCTCAAGCTCAGCCTCTACGTCTACTGCTGCCGTCCAAACACCGGTGCCTCCCGTCGTTCCTCAACAGCCCAGCTTCATCGTGGACTCGTCGTTGTGGCAAGTGGTCGACCCCGATGTTGCGAGAGAGAACCCCGTAGAGGATAAGCATCGCCGACTGGTCCGAAGTCACCGGAGCAGTCCCTACGATCGCGAACTCAAGCCCAATGCAAAGATCCGTGACGAGCTTTCCGTGCGTATTTGCATCATAGGCGAAGCGCCCATCTGCTCACCCCATGTAACTAGGAAATTCTGAATTACGCACCCAGTCAGCCTCTGACGTCCGAGGAGAAGGACCTGATATGGAAGTTCCGCTTCTACTTGACGAGGGATAAGCGCGGATTAACAAAGTTCCTCAAGTCTGTGACGTGGCGGGACCCATCGGAAGTCAAACAGGCCGTCGAGGAGCTCCTGCCTCAGTGGACCGAGATTGACACCGACGATGCGCTGGAACTGCTCGGACCCAACACCGTCGACTCTCGAGTGAGAGCCTTCGCTGTGAAGCAACTCAGCAGAGCAGACGATGACGTACGTCCGTATCCTCGGCCGTGGCCTGTCACTCACAACTATATACTCTAGGAGCTCCTCCTGTACCTGTTGCAGCTGGTGCAGGCACTTAAGTTCGAGAGCGCTGCGAGTGATCAGAGGTCCTCGCGCTCTACCACCAGCGCAATATCCTATGATGACAGCGGTCTCGCTGACTTCCTGATCTACCGTGGTGTTCACAATCCAATACTTGGGAACCGATTCCATTGGTACCTCATGGTCGAAGTCGCCATCGAAGACCGGGTGATCAAGAAGATGTATGGAAGGGTTGTATACAACTTCATGCAGAAGATCGTGGAGGTATGGACTATGGTCAGTGTGCGATTGTTGCTGGACTGATGCATGCCCAGTCTGAAGGAGGCGCCGAGCGCCGCGATCTCATGCGCCGCCAAGGCGAGCTCATCGACACGCTCGCCAAGCGTGCACGCGACCTTCGTACCTCCAAGGATCCACGCCCGAAGAAGATCGAGAAACTGCGCGCGTTCCTCGCAGATTCGAAGAATAACCTCTCGTCAATGGCACCGCTGCCTCTGCCGCTCAACGCGCGCGTCATGGTCACGGGCATCATCGCGGAGAAGTCCAGCGTCTTCAAGTCGAATATGTTCCCGATGCTGCTGTACTTCCAGTGTGCGGATGGATCGGAGTACCCGCTCATCTTCAAGGACGGTGACGACATGCGGCAAGACCAGCTTGTGATCCAGTTGTTCACTCTCATGGACAGGCTGTTGCGCAAGGAAAATCTGGACCTGAAGCTCAGTCCCTACGATGTCCTCGCGACGGGTCCATTGCAAGGTATGGCGCAGTTCATTCCGAGCAAAACGATCGCCGCCATTGTGAGTGAATACGGGACGTTGCTCAACTACCTGCGCGCGCATTATCCCGACGAAGGAAGCGTGGGGACCTACGGCGTAGAACCCGGTGTCATCGACACCTTCATTCGGAGTTGCGGTGAGTGATATGACGCCACCGATGTACGCGTCCGCTCATGGAAGTCAATAGCTGGATACTGCGTTGTCACCTACTTGCTCGGAGTTGGAGACCGCCACCTAGATAACCTCCTGCTTGCGCCTGATGGTACGTTGTCTGAACTCGCACCTCGACTCAGAGCTGACTGCCCAATGTAGGACACTTTTTTCATGGTATGAATACTCTTGCTTGGATGAATGGCTTATTGACTACGGCGCTTCAGTTGACTTCGGTTACATCCTCGGACGTGATCCGAAACCTCTCGCACCGCCTGTGAAGGTGTGCAAAGAGATGTACGACGCCATGGGTGGTGTGCAGTCAGTCCACTACACGCGATTCAAGAACTTCTGCTTCACGGCGTTCACCATCCTGCGAAAGAGCGCTAACCTCATCCTGAACTTGGTGACCCTGATGGTCGACGCGAACATCCCGCACATCAAGCACCGTGATGTCCATGAGCAAGTACTTGGGAAATTCTGCTTGGACCTCACGGAAGAACAGGCTATCGAGCACTTCGAGAAGCTGCTCAATGATATATCACCCTTCACAGTTGTGTTGGATAGGATGCATGACTGGGCGCAATATTGGCGTAGTTGAGGGCTCCCGCTGCGGCTGTACTTGTAGAGTGTCGGCTTGCCCTGCTTGCCATGCCGACTTCACTTGACGGCGATTTTGGGTGTGCGTCTCGCCGCGTAGCTTCATCATAATGAGGAGTATGTACAGTAAATCTCGTACAGTATCTCGATTCGACACGGACACAAGTTTGTCATTGGAAAATGCATCGAATTGTATTATTAGGTAAGACATCATGCAGGATTAGGCGCGGTGTTGGCACAGTCAGTGTTGGTCCGGTATTAAGTAGCTGTCGAACGACGCAGCGTGCTGCTCAGGAATAATTAGCGGTACCCTAGGCCTAGGATGATACAACGAGCAATGTGCACCGCATCGCATGACCACTTTGTTATTTAGCTCATTGACGGTTGTCCTTTCGGTAGCTTTGAGTTCCCTTCTATCGGTGTCGTGTTTTGGTCGTATCCGTCATGTATACATACTAGCTGGTGTCGTCCCCATGCTTTACTTCAGCCGAGCGTGGGTTACGCCCCCATCTACGAGGTTACCAAACGAAATGAGAGCGAGGCGTTCAAGGCAGCGCAAACCGGGCCCCGATGACGTAACGGTAGTGGTCTGCCCCGCCACCGGTTAGCGCCGCTGACCCCCACGTCGAGTTGTGGTCTGCTTCGTTGCTTGTGTTGCCTACACGGAAGATGAGCGGTCGTAAAATCAACGCGCTCGAGCGCAAGCTACACCAGGCTGCGCTTGCGAGACCAAACAAGGTAAGACGAATGTCGTGCTGCCCGTATGTTTCCTTCCTCAACGATGATACTTCAGGTCATATCCCAGAAAGATCTCGACAGCCTTGTCTCGGACACTAAGGCTCGAGTCTCTGCAGTCAACTTCTTGCTGAGCACGGTCAGCGATCTCCTCCCTGGCATGATGTTATAGTCTCATTCGTACTCTACAGGGCCTGTTCGTTCTACTCGTAGGCGATAAGGACACGCTTTCTTATAGGGCAGTGAGCCAGGACGAGATCGAGCTGTTGGTAATCCCTCGAATTGATAGAGCTCAGGTTTTGATAGTTGCTTCAGGAAAAAGGGTCTCAGTCAGGAAGAGACCATGGTTCTCGATCGAATTCGTGCAGCAGCAACTGAAGGTACGTACTAGCAGCTCTTCCTAGACAAAGCTCACCATCTTCGGAGCAGGCATCTGGACAAAATACATCAAAGTCAAAACGCAGCTACATCAGACAATCGTTGACAAGTGCCTCAGATCGTTGACTCAGAAGCGTCTCATCAAGACAGTGAATGATGTTCGAGTATGTCATATAGTGTATTATTATGTGCACATTTCCTAACCATCTACGAAAGTACGCGACACGCAAGATCTACATGTCAGCGGAGTTAGAACCGTCACCTGAGATGACGGGCGGGCCCTGGTTTACGGACAGGGAACTGGACACTGAGTTCATCAAACTGTTGTCCGATGTCTGTCTCAAGATCATTCGAGACAAAGTGAGTCAGCTCAGGTTAGACTCGCGCACTGTAGAAGTTCAACATCTGATACCTATTAGAGTCTCCCGAAACCAGCGCGCGACCGCGCTGAACAAGTCAGGCTACTATATCCGCCTTCCTACTCATCCTATCCGAATGCTGAACAGATCTTGGTCAGTGTTCTCCAGGCATCGCAAAAACCTTATGTCATACTGACATAAGACATCAGGCCTTGCTGAAACGCAGTCGCGTCACAGAAACCGAGCTGACGGTTCAGCAAATCGAGATGCTCTTGAACGTGCTGATTTTAGACGGAAAGGTTGCAAAGGTCTGTCTATGCCGATTCGCACGCATTTTCAAGCCGCTGAAGGTCATTGAATAGATACCGGCATTCGTCCTATTTGACCAAGGCGACGCTTTTGAGAACTCTGACAGTGATACGGGCAAACATAGCACTGGAAAGCGCCGGCGAAAGGCCAGGGCCCGAGACACAGACGAGTCCACATCTACCGATAGCGAGGATAGTCAACCACGGAAGAAGCGACGTCGACGACGCGACGCTGCTCTGGCGACATCCGATGAAGATGTCCCCAATGCAAACGATCGTAATCGGCAGCAGCGGAAGAAACGCCGCAGGGACGAAACGGACTCGGATGCCTGCGACACTGCTGATAGTGACGCGAGTTTGAGCGGAGATGACGAAATCAGGCGGAAGCGACGCCGTCGTGATCCAAAACGGGTAGGCCGGTCAAAGCAGGACGGTCGCTCCAAAGGGAAGCGCAAAGGACGCGCCTACAGCGCATCCAGCGACGCCGACGACTTCCCTGGTAGTGCGCGGGCTCTCGCCGACTCAGGCGTCCCGGATACTCGCGTCGACGTCGGCTACTCAAGTGGATTTGTGTATCAAGCCATCCATGAAGAGCGCATCCGAGTCGTCTCGGGGCTAGGCCAAGCTCCGTGTGTTGGCTGCCCGACTGCCGACTTTTGCACGGTTGGCGGCCCCGTGAACCCTCAAGAATGTGTCTATTACGAGACCTGGCTTGATGGAGATGTTGTACCATAGTAGAAGAGGCTCCTTAGAGAGTGCCTCGGGCTTCTGTTTACCGCGATGTTTCCAATCAGTATACACTCATATTGCAAGCGTGTGAAACCACATGTTCAGCACCAGTGGGTGCGGATCGGCTGCAGGAGTTCGACGATAGGTGTTCGTTCCTGTACCTTGAATAGGTCATTCGGGAGATGTTACGGTGCGTTCAGTGTGACTAGTAGTGGCTGCGTACGTATGGAGAGAGCTTGACGTCGTTACAACAGATGGAACGCTCCGATACCGCTGGCTGCAACTACTGCCAAAGGTATCAATCTACTCACCGTTGATTCAATGTTGTAGGCTTTCCGCATAGGACTATGGTACAGCCTGAGGACGAATACCGGCGTGGTCCGTGATTATGACATTCCTGCAGGCGCGGTCAGAACCAGGTGATAGCACTATTAGCACAGTCAAGAATTCTCAACTACGAATCACTCTTATGACCTCCCCTTCCCCTGATCGCTGCGATGCTGCGACAGTTTCGGCCGGGCTTTGGCATTCTACGTTCAACTCGCGTATGGATCTTGGTAAGTATGATCGCTTCATGCGTACAGTAGATCTCGTATCTCAGATACGATACGGATCAAGATTGCCAGATCGAAGGACGCGGGTCCGCGCCGGCGGCACTTCCTTGAATCTAGCACTCAGCTAACGGTCACCACCTGGTCTCCACAACGGAAGCCATGTCCTCGTCAGTCGAGAAGACGTCTCACATCCCCATCACAGTCTTCACGGGATTCTTAGGAGCGGGAAAAACGTCCATCATCCTCTCGCTGCTCCCGAAGTTGCCGAAGGACTACCGTGTCGTCTTGCTGAAGAATGAGTTCGGCGATGTTGAAGGTACCGTTGGCTATGTAGGAGCCCGTGGTCAATGCTGATGTGTATGCATGAGTAGTCGATAGTCAGCTTGCGAAACAATCTAGCTTGGCGGCTGTCAGCGAGATCCTCAACGGATGTATGTGAGCGCAGGCCGATGCATGGTGCTCCGCCTCGGATCTCATCTCCTCGTAGGTGCTGTGTTCTTGTGGGACAGATGAAGACCGCACTGCTGGAGATAAGAGGTATAGTAGTACGCCCTGAATATCCGACTCTGACATCACCCTGATTGGCATCCCTACCAACAGAGAAGTATCGGCCAGACAGGATCATCATCGAATGCTCGTAAATACACACCGGTGTCCTTCCTTGACCCTGAACCTCATGCTCCTCTTTCTCAGAGGATCCGCATTCCCAGCCACCCTGGCCTTTCAGATCCGCGAGCTCGAACGAGAGACAGAGCGCGACCTCCGTCTAGACGCGATCGTCACCGTCATCGACGCCGAAAACTTCACGGGATACGAAGACACCTCGCCCACAGCCAAGATGCAGGCAAGTTATACAGACGTGATCCTCATCGTGCGTGGCTCCGCTTTATCCGAACATCGCCCACTGAAGCTCACCGACTGTACCGCTTCACCCAGAACAAGTGGGAGCACATATCCGACCGTGCACTCGACATTCTCATTGACCATCTGAACACATTGAACGATACGACGCCGAAAGTGCGCTGCGAGGGACGCGCGGGTGTCGACCCAGATCTCATTTTCGGGCTCGACTCCAAGCTCTTCCTAGCTGAGGCCGAACATCCGAGCGAGAACCATCACGATGAGGTAGAGACGGCCACCATCTACAGAGGCGCGAAGCCCCCACATCCAGCGGGCCACCCACACACGCACGGAGACTCATGCACCTGCTCAGCAGCAGCACCCCTCGCCGGCGCCAGCGACACGCCACCGGTAGACGAGGCGTCCGACGTGATCAGCGAAGAGACGCTAACCGCTGCGCTTGACGGCCTCTCGAAGGAGACCATCTGGCGCGTCAAGGGCTTCGTACGGACAGCAAAGGGAGTACACATACTGAACTGGGCATTTGGACGGTCCGACTTGAGTGCGTGCTCGGCCGATGGGCTGAGAGATGGGGGCTCTGTGCTCCTTACCGTCATGGGCGAGAGAGGGGAGGTGAAGCGGGTTGCACGCCGATTTGCAGAGAAGATCGGCGCGAGTGTAGCTTGAATATGTAGACGTGCAAGTGCTGCGTTATTCTCAATGAAGTCGCAATGGGCTGTCGGCAGGAAACCAAAACCACAAACTGTATCATGGATACACTATTCGTCATCATACAGCAGCAATGCAACTACAGAAAATATGTTACCTCAAGAACCGAATCCATGGATCTAACTAACACAAGGGAGGGAAGCATCGGTCGGCGGTTATTAAGCGTACACATCTATCTCATCATACCTCCGAGCACTTCGCAAGCGTCCGCGTACCCGACGGGGGGAGTCATAACATCGTCACAGCAAATCCTCTTGTCGCCACTCCCGGCGAGCCGGCTCTGCGGGCTCATCCGCCTTCACGACAAGCGCAGGTCCTGCTTCGAGGATGATGTCCTCGTCCGGATCGCCGTCCGAGTAGTCGTCCTCATCGTCCGAGAGGCTGATGAGCTTCGTGTCCTTGCCCTTGCCGGGGCCGACGGCGGGGCCCTGCGCAAGGATGACGTCGCTCGCGTCGTCGCGGTACTGCTCGGCGAGGCTCTCCGCGTCCGCCTCGACATCGACGACGGTTGCGAGCTCGCGCTTGAAGAAGTAGCGCAGGCCAACGGGAATCATCACGCCGACGACGACGGCGGCGAGCATGAAGAAGTTCTTCCATGAGATGAGGTGGAAATCGTCCGGGGACGTCATCTCGTCGAGGCTGCCGCCGATCGTGGTGTGGATGACAGTCACCCCGAGGATGCCGAGCCATGTGCTAGTCCAGAACGGCAAGATGCCAATCCCGAGGTGGGGGCAGAGGACGTTCACGACCCAGTGCGGCGGGAGCGGTGCGATGCGGAGCACGATGAGGTACGAGATGAGGTTGTCGCGCTGTGCGCTGATCTTGTCTGCCCAGACGTCGGCGCGCGCTTTATACTTGGGCATCGTGAGAAGGGCGGGCCCGAGCGCGGCGCTGATGAGGTAGCAGAGCGTCGCGCCGCACGCTACGCATGTGCATGCAAGCAGAATGGCGCGCGGGACGCCCCACACAGCGCCACCGAGGATGGACAGGTACATCGACCCGGGAAGCGAGAACGCTTGTAGGCTGCGGGACAGTCAGTTGTCGGTCAGCAGTGAGAGTGGCCGTACGCACAATAGGTAGGTTATAACATAGCAGACAACGATGCGGTAGGGATAAATATCACGGTACTTCTTAAGGAGAGCGTTCAGTGCCTGCAGCTGAGCAAACGATTTGGGGATGCGAAGATCTGGGCGGTCCTCCCTAGGCAAAGTCAGAGTCTGGTCGCATCCGAAATGTGTGCGACTCACTCGTCTAGTGTTGGCAGCGCGAGCCAAAGTGTTCCGCCGAGAAACAATGTGCTGACGATGAAGATGGCGGCCATCTTCAGCGTCGCGGTGAAGAGGATCCGCTTGTTCGAGGGCCCGGCGGGTGGTGTCGTGCCATACTGGGGTTCGTCGGCATGCGAAAGGAGCGACGTGCGCGCAGAAGGCGACGGTGGGTCGTGGACCGTCGCGAGCGAATACGCTGATCTATTGTCCTGCAGATGCAGGTCTGTCATGGCGGAGGATGGGTGAGGGGGAGAGGGAGACGGGCGTCGGCGGCTGGGGCGCAGAGCGGAGTCGCCCGTGAGAAACGCGGCTATTCCGGTCAATGTTACCCCTCTGACCACGGCGTCCTGTCGACCGCAGGCTGGTCGGCTGATACGACCAGGTTTTCTTCTGGGCGAGTGCTTCGACGTCTACGGGAACGAGGACCTTGTGAGGCTGTCGGTGGTCGACTGCGATGGAGGACTGGGCGCCTGTTGAATGTTGAGAACAAGCCGAGCTCTCTTGCATAACTTCAACTTGAAGTTAGTTGTGGTATATGATCAAGACAGCATGGGGCAGTTCTATCGATAGGGCCACCCTCGCACTTATCATGGAACAGGGAGCACTGCCAGTGGTTACTACTTCAATGACATCGAATTGACTTAAGAAACACCGCGACTAAATGTGAGTATACAACCAGACTACGGAGGGCTACCCTCGAGCCGACGCATTCTTCAAACTGCTGCCGATTGCAGCGGCGAGGAGGCGGTGTACGCGCTCGGTTGGATGTCCGGTATTGTACCAGAAGTATGACGGATCGGAGCAGGTGCAGTACCTATCAGATTCGTCAACATCCGTCCAACACACGCTCCTATGCCATGCCTACCCAGTGGTATTGGTGAAACCGTACACAGCAGCATTGTCGAGTACCTCGTTGAACCAGGAATGCGCATCGAAGGTCAGCACATTCGTGTCCGGGTGCTCCTTGGCGAATGCGGCGACATAGTCCGCGAGGACGCTGTTGTAGAGCTCGATGTGCGCCTTGATGGTGTCCTGGTCGTCCGAGTCGGTATGTGCTGGTGCGCGTTCCCCAGGCGGCACATTGATGAACAGGTGTGCGCCTTGAAGACCATTGTCGTAGGCGGATTGCTGGACCGATCATCAGAGGTCTCCATGTATGTCTCGCCGGCAAAAGAGCACTGACCACGGCGTTGAAATACGATGTCATCTGTTGGGCTGCCAGTGAGAAACTACTGGTTTCGACTGCTTTATGAGTTCTTACCTCGGCATTCCAGAAAGCAGTCCAGTCTGTGATCTGGAGGAAAATACGAATCAGTACTCGATAGCCACGGATATCATGTCTTCGCTGACAGTCGCGTTTGATATAGTATCTCCTGTATCGTTGATACCAATCCACCATGCTGTCAACGTATTCTTCACCGGATGCGGGACAACATCTTTTGCATAAGTGACCCATTGCTTCACTTGATCGACGAGTGGAATGGTGAAGTTGTGGTGCAAGGGCAAACTAACCACGGGTCATCGGGTTGCTCAACTCATTCTCGACAAAGTGCTCACATATTTCCGTCAATGTCTGCACCGGCAAACGCGAAATCCCATAGCTTTCGAGGACAGAAGGCGGGGTCTCCGGCGAAACATCCCGTCAAGTATTCAATCTATGTGAAATACTCAGTCTTACGAAAAAGCCACACTGATTCTGCCTTCCGGACATACCCAGTTAGCGCCGTCTGAGCTTGTCTGCAGTGTACATGCGTTCAGGTTCGGGTCTCACACCAGAGATGAGAACGCTTAACATTCTTGTAGACGATTTCGTCCGTCAGCAACTCGCCAGGCGTGAATGATAGATCAAATAAATCCCCGATGAAGCTTTTGGACGAAAAAAAAGGTCAGAATAACTTGTGTGCCGTCCCCCACAGGCAGACATCGCTCACCTGAAGTTGGCGAGGCCGTGAGTACCTTGTACGAACGTGTAAGAGTCTCCGAACGCATAGACGTATTCAATGGACTGCCAGTCGAAGCTTGAGGCGGCCGTGTTGCCCGCGGCTACGCTCGCGAACGCACTTGCTGACGCCGTAGCTGCCACTGTGGCAAAGGAACGTAGGAGCATTCTCATGACAGAACCAGGCTCAGGCGTGCCGGGGACAATATTCACTGAGCACCTGGTATTTATGCGGGATCACTCTTGGATGACTCCCATGGCATCGAGGAGTTCCCGAGGAAAGGGACACAGTATATTCTCTTGCATCACAGTCTCCTGTCTGACCACAGCGGTCGACGCGTGAACGGCCCAGCTGACGAGCTCCTGTAGAGGGCAACGTAGGGTCCGGCCCGGCGGGTGGGAGCTGGACTCGTCCGGAGTCCCGGACTGTTTGACGAGTTCAGACGAGAAGCCTGCGGGAAGCTAAAGTTAGGATGTGTACCGGTTCGCAACGGATTTTCAAGCGTAGAGAGTTCAAGTTGCAGGAGATGATACTAGATCCAAAGGGAATCCGAGCTTTCCTTATTGAAGATTCTTCGGATATGTAAGTACTTATCGCTTATGTAATTCCCTCTGCCGCGAGCCCGTGACCAGTCGCGCACGCGTCGACGCGACGACGCCGCGACGAGTCGAATGCGCTAACTTGTCTCGAACGAGCATGTACCGCACGCATATACCCATGCCACATCTACGCATTCCTTGCCAGCCTCAGGAAGTAAATAATTCGATCCTTCTCCAGTCGCTAGCCGCGGCGCTCGCGCTTCAATTGCAAGTTGAGGGCCTCCGAGTCGAGTCGCAGACCGGAGTGCTCCGTTGAATGACACCGAGGTTTTTGTTCATTTCTCTAGCTACCTGTATACATGCTGATCTCAATATCAGATGCGACGACGTCGTACATAGTAGCGTCGAGGCTACCACGGAGGGCGCGAGCGATGTATGCCCCCTATAAGCGCCGGCGCGACTATACGATCAGGACTGCGCATATGCCCCTGCAGCGTCTTCGCGGCGAACCCCTAGGCAAGTCCTCCGGGAATGAGAGATATATAGATCCAACGGTGAGATGAACAACGGCAGCACCAGCTGCATACACCTAACGCGAGAGGTCAGTGGTCTGTCGGGCGCCGCATACACCCACTGTCTGATCCTCCTTGCCTCCAACTCAACTCAGATTCTCATTTTCCTCCATTTATCGATACCAGCAACCTCCATTTATCGATACCAAGCAACCTCATTGGCCAACTTGCTTCAGGGTGAATTGTGTAAGTACCCTGATTTGTGACTCCTAACCACAGATGCGGCAATGCTCATTGCTAGATAGTACACTTATACTCCAAGTTTCAGGCCATCGCTATCGGGAACTTTGTCATCCTTCTGCGATCACAAAAGACAATTCACTGCAGCTTGCTACAGATGTCGGGAAACCTAGTGTCCGCGGAGGTTGCGGCATGCGGTACGTTCGCGTGACATACTCAATTATTGCACTGCTTGACGTACACCATGTACCATCTTGTACCATACAGTAATGCATGCATATCACGTCTTACAAGCAATATCTGGGCGGCAAGCTTTGACCGGTGACCGGTGACTATTTGCCACCCAGCCTGGCAGCGCGCGAGCCCGGAGTAGCGACTATCCCGAAGGTTGGTGGTTGTCTATCCAATCTGCTACTACTGAACACGTGCATTTTGTTGGTTCGATACAGCTCTGTCGAGCAGCCTATACTACGCATGGTAGCCTCGAGGTTCCTCCTGAAGGAGCAAGTGATATAACTACGTCCGAGTCGGGGTTGGGTGCAGGGATGATCTAATTGTGAGTACGCAGTTGCAGTACACTCTGAACGAGTTCATTGACGAGCGCTGCGTGCAGATGATCATCTTATACATACTTACAGGCATCATTATACCTCGGCTGGTGGCTCAATGAACTCGTCGTCGTCGTCGTCGTCGTCGAGTCCTCCGCCGCGCTAAACAAGGTCGTCTGGACCGGCGCTTATTCGCAGTGTCAGAGGTCACGGTGTACGGGGTACAAACGCCCGACGAGCGCTGCGACTTCGGCGGTTGATAATCAGCGTCGTCTTCATCGTCCTCGACGTCCACCTCGACGGTCTGTGCGGCGACGAGCTCGATAGCACGATGGCACACCTCCTACCCCCGCATGGAGACCTCAACATGGCGCATTCATCGCTCCAATCCGCTCTGCAGATCGATCCCAATCAGCAATCCGCCCAGCAACCCGGACCCCCGCCGTCGACGAGCCGCAAGCGTAGAAAAGGAGAAGGTGACGAGCCTGCGCAACCAGCAGAGCCCCGACGATTGCGGCGGTCGCATGAGGCATGCGCGCGGTGCAGGAGCAAGAAAATCAAGGCAAGTCCCGCCGGGCGAGCCCGACGGCAAATTCCCGTCCGCCCGCCCTCGCGGCCTCGCTAAGTCGCAGTCGCGCTAACTGCCTACCTCCCTCTCTCCCTGTAGTGCGACTCCAAGCATCCGCGTTGTACCGCTTGTGCGACTGCAGGCACTCCATGCCACCAAGAAGACAGGCATCGCCAGACGCTTACCCCTCGCGGGCACACCGAGCGCATCGAGCGCCAGCTTCTCCAGTGCGATGCGCTGCTTAAGCGCCATAACCCGGACTTCACCCTCGAGAACCTGGACGACATCTGTGCGCGGGAGGGGATCAACATAGAGTACAGCGAAGCGGCAGTCACAGCGACCTTCCAGTTCACGGCGCAGCAGCAGGGCTCGCCGCCAGCATCGGGCGCACGGCCGTATCCACTCCGCAATGAAGTACCACAACTACCCCCGGGCGGGTCGCCGCCTCGATACCCACCGTATCATGGGCAGCCAATGATGCCGCCTTACGGACCTGGGCCGATGATGCCATATGGTCCTCCCCCGCCTGGTGTGTACCCTCCGCCTCACCCTCACATGCCGATGCAAGGCCCCCATCCGGCGTACGGCCAGCACATGTATGTTGCTCCTGGACCCGGACCAGCATTCCACCACCCCCTACAGCCTAATGCGGGCCCCCAGCGGCCGTCGTCATCACACGAAGTGAAAGGCCAAGACCCTCTGGCGCGCGACATGTCCGATACGCGGGCCCTTGTGAAGAGCTTTGGCGTGGACATGGACATTGTCGCGGGTGTGGAGCTACCGGCGCGCGAGAAAGAGGACCTCGCGGTGGGCTCAGGTGGACTGATGTCTCGACGGGATCAAGAGATCGCAGAGCCACGGGACAAGTCCAAGTGGTTGACCGTCAAAGTGCGGCGCGACACCGCGACATCGCAAAAGATCTCAGTCTGGCTGCCGAAAGACCGCGGAATGGTACAGCACATCGTCGACATTTACTTCACGCGGCTCAACTTCCACCGACCGGTATTCTCGAGGCCCGAGTTCCAGCAGACGCTCGACGCGATGTACGAGGCGCGCCAGGTACTGAACGATCCAGGCTACATTTGTAGCGTCTACCTCATCCTCGCGCTCGGGACTCTAAGCGAGCTCAACGCGCGCTCGAATGGCGTCGACAAGGAAGCTCTGCAGCCGCCGACAAGCCCGACGGCATCCAAGAAGCTCATGCCACCTGACTGGCCCGAACACGAAGAGTTTTTCGAGCGTGCGCTAGCTGTGAAGCCTGACCTACGGGTGGTGCTGTCTAGCCTGCAAGCGCTCATCTTATTACACTGGTACTTGTACACCGAGGTGAGTCTTGCTGCCGAGGTTGTTGCGCAATCCACTGATGATGCGGGCCGCCAGCGCACTGGACGGACCCTCTGGCGCCTGGTTGGCAGTCTCGTGCGGCTCGCCGTTGAGCTCGGGCTGCACCATAGCCCTCTTTCGCAGTCACACATCTTCACAGAGGAGGAGATGCAGCTCCGGATTCGGCTCTGGGCTATCGTCGTGCTGCATGACCGTGGCACGTCTATTCTACTCGGCCGACCGCTGGCCATCGCTCCGTCGGACTCCAATACCCCTCAGCCGTCGCGCAGCAAGGACATCTCGGAGCACTTCGTGTTGTCTGCGCCGCTCGTGGACATTCAGGCGGACATCATCAACTCGCTGTACTCGCCGACACGGCAGAGCGCAGATACCATCATGCGACACGCCGCACGCATCATGAAGAGCATGGCGAGTTTCCGGAGTCAGCTGCCGGAGAGCTACAAGTGGTTCTTCTTGAATAACCATAACATGCCTGAGGACCAGCGTGCCAAGATCGTAGCGGATATCACTGAGGACCAGGGGCTGACGCTGCTGAAGATTGGGATTACGAGGATCCTGCTGCTACGGGCGCTGTTCAGTGCGACGGAGCTCGGATATCAACCGCGCTTCCGTGCGCTAACTGACGGTGCGTGTTTTTGTTATGAGCTGGTGATTAGTGACTAACAGCGCGCTGCAGCTGTCGTGACCTCGCACAACATCATCGTCGTGCACAACCAGCTGATACGCTTCCCGGACATCACGTTCTTCGTCTCGCCCATTCCAGTGCACATCGCGGCGATGGTGATGCTGTACGGGCAGATGTCGCGCTGCTTCGAAGTGCCGCGCGACAACGTGATTGCGGACGTTTGGATGGCCGTCGACATCCTACCCAAGTTCCGCTGGCGCTGGGAGAGGCGCGACGTGAACGGGGACCACTCCCTGATTGAACGGCTCGCGGAGAAGGTGCTCAACGTGGATCTGCGCACGGTGAAGCCGATGTACCAGCCGATGCTCATCTGGGAGCGCGACTGGGACGACGTGTCGATGTCGCCGCACGGCACGCCGACGACGAGCCCGACGGTGGGCCCCGCGTACCCCGGCGTGAAGGGGAGCCCGGGGCACATGGGCGGGCTGCCGGGCACGCCTGTGGAGGGCAAGCAGATGCCGGAGGTGCCTGGTGGACTGTTCTTCCCGTTCTACCCGGAGAACCAGGCGCCGCCGGGACACCATGGCCCCCCGCCCCCCAACCCTGCTGGGAGCGGTGGCGGACAGGAGATGCACACGCTGCTGGCGGCAGTATCTGCGGCTCAGCCGTTGGGCACGTATGCATACCCACCGTCGCAGGAGTCGTACATGTTGGAAGAGAAGGACACTGAATCCGGTGGTCCGCCGCCGCAGACGACGCATATGTGGATGCGTCGATGAGCTGTTGGTGGTCTGGCGTGCTAGATCGGTGAGGTCTGGCCAGTGAGGTATGCAAGCGTGGTGTATTGACGGTTACTCTGCCTAGTTTTCTGTTGAGATTATCCTTATGTCTTCCGTTACCCCCCTGTCGCGATAGCTTGTACTCCGTGCTTCCCTCGATACTGTACACTAGTAGTGTCTTCCTTGCGATGTTATGCTGTCCTTCCTCGTATTCTGCTTTCGTTCTCGGTATGCAAGACAACGTGTGTTATTCGTCTATATCAGTACGCTTCTCCGCTCCGATGTCACCCACGCCGCGACACCGAGCTTTACATGTCAGATACTCTAAATAATGATGAGGAATGTGGAGCCGGGTACGAGCATCTAAGTGGTAGAAGGGCATGGCGACCCTTTCAGCAATACGTTACAGCCCCAGATAGAGCACGAAATGAATAGCAATGAGATATGAGTCCGACAAAAGGGAATGGAGATGCTCTAATCATTTGAGGACGTGCTCCATCCGTTCTAAGACATGGACCAGTCCCCTCAGGAGACGGTACACACGTGCGTTCATGAGGGCGGTCCTATCCGCACCGCCGACGCCATCGCGGGTACCGTCCGCGGCGTATATGTCGTCCGCGTTTTGCTCGGTGAGTGCACGCTCGAGCGCGATGGGCAGCGAGACGGTGAGCCGCGCCAGGCGGATGGTCAGGCAGGAGCGCCGGCGGATGTCGAAGTAGGAGAGGTCGTGGAAGGCACGCTGCACCTCGAGCAGGTGGGTGAGTTCGTGGTGGAGGGCGAGGATGCAGGTCCGGCAGGCTGCGCGGTTGTCAGGAGTCTTGTGGTGGGAAGGGATGAATGGAGACTCACTGAGGGCGCGTTCGCGGATGGCTTGGAGGGAGACGAGGACAGAGTTGATGCCCTCTTCGCCTATTCGAAGCGAGGGATTGAGGTCGTTGACCGTTCCTGGTAAATGAAAGCATGAGCCTTCAGTCATGGACGAGCTAGACCGTAACGTACTAAGAAGTGACCGGACCATGTCAAGGTCACCATCGAGCAGGTCATTGAATACGCCTATTATGACGCTACGGAACGTCTCTTGCACGGGCGGGATAGGCCTGGTCGCGAAGATGTCGTAGGACTGTGGTGGCTGGGAGTCGTAGAGTCTTTTGGAGGAGGGCTTGCTGAGGACATCGTAAGCGACGGAGACCTTTTGGAACGCGCGCGTAGCCTCTGGGTCATCCGGGAATTTGCTGCGGTCGGACCTGATAAGCACAGGCAACGAAGTAGCCTCAACACGAAACGTACTCTGGGTGACACGCCTTACTTCGTGTCAGGTATGCTCTCCGGAGGGTCATCTTATCTATGCGGGAGGTCCGGTGTATTCCCATGATCTGGTAGAGGTCATTATGGGACAGGATCTCTTGGATGACCGCTCTGTCCTTTCGATTTGTTCTGGGCGTTGAACGAGTGGAAGGTGTTGAGGATGTGGAGGGAACGGGTGAGGATCCGGAGTCTGAGTCGTCCGAATCCGTGGAGTCTGTAGATGGCAACCAAGCTATGTGTCTTGAGGTGGGGAACTCGTCGTCTTCATCCTCCTCGATTGGGAGGTGGAAGTACGAGCTCGCTATGAGGGGCGTCAGAGATACTCGCTGGATAGTGCGCTAGACATACCAGAACTCAGGACGTAGGAGAACATGTCGGTTCGCAACGAACCATGGAGTGGTTGTTGTGCATATTCTCTCCATCTCAATCAATTGCAGCCACTCTCTCGCATGTGATTTTTGACAGCCCATGTATCGATCGTCACGTGGGGCGCGACAACGCCCGGCGTCTACCCACAAGGATGTTTATGTAGACCCAGAGCGGTGGATCAATGTCATAGTAGTATAATTGCCGAGTACAGTACTTCAGTCACCAGCGGTGGATCGCTTCATTGAAGGCGTGGGTCGGACTGTGCGAGAAAGGGGTTTAGCTGAGATCTGTTGTATGCTCTTTGTACCCTACTAGTAGCGGTGCGAGCGTTGCAGGTACCAGCCCGCCGTCGACGGTCGTAGGGCCATCCTCACAATACTGTGAGCAAGTCAGGTATGCATCGACGCTCTGGAGGACGCGGACAGCGCAAGGACCTCACGACTGGTTGGCCGGGCTGCCGCAGTGCACGACCCTTAAACTGCGTTCAGCAAATCACCTCGCATCGCGCAAAGAAGGCGCGAATATGTACCGGCATCGATGAAACTTGGTCGACGAACTGCTGGTGCTCCCGTACAAGCCCCCCGGCGTAGATTAAGTGACGGCAATCATCGTACGAGATTGAGTACTTCGTAGTCGCGGACCGTAACGCAACACGCCATTGTAGAGGCAGCGATTCTGAATCGAAATGATTGCCTTCTATGTAATAGATGAATCATCATGATTGGGTATGTAATCTACTCTCTCTTCCGCCCTGTACTGAGAAATGGATATATCAGTTATTTGAGGGATATGGACGGTTAGAAATTGGCGTACAATGGCGACGTCTGGGGCAACGGCGGAATAGGTAGCCAGTCCGTTGAGCCGGAGGTTTGTCAAGTTTGCGCGCGCCGGGATAGTCTTGAAGGTAGGGCCCAAACTTCATTTGTACGACCCATAACACCTATTATAGTAGTGTACCGAGGTTAGTAGACGTGTACGCGTGCATCGGGCGCGCAGAGTGGGTCACTGGGCCTCTCCATGCTCGAGCCTTCAGTCGCCAATAGTTTCCTATTCTCGCTTTCGACCAGGGTAAACATGTCAGTCTGGGCTGCGGTAGGCAGACCTAGCCGGGGACGAGCAAGCACTCGCTCTGCGTCATCGCCAGTAATGAGTAGAGGCATCTCCATGACGGTCTGTTCGAAAGAGGTAGCAGCGTACTAGAGTAGAACGGTGGAGCTTGAGTCTATGTGCGATCTGGGTATAGGGAGCGCCTTCGGTGGTCTCCTGCCATCCCAGGCCCATGAACAAGTCACTAAGACGACAGGTCACAGCCGCCGTCACTCCGGAGCAAACGAAACTGGCCGGTGCTCCGGATGTTTGCAGCAGCCAGCTCCCCCGGGTCAAGCACCGGGAGCGTTGTCTAGATTCCACCGTTCTAGTGAGCGCAGGAAGTATAGGAAGCGCAACTCACTGCAGACATGCGCCGTGGCCCGTGGCCAGCAGGGCCATCCTGATTCCGGAGTGTGGGCCCGAGCGAGCGGCAGTCCCGCGGGCAGGTGGATATGTCTTGGAAAGGCCACAGCACACACCGGAGCGCTGTCCACCGCAATCGGCGCTTGATGATTGGGCGCACACAGCTGGCTTGACACTGGACAGCAGGCTGAGCGGGGCCAGACACGCAGCCACTACCGACGGGACGCGCGAAACCCAGTCAGGCGAACTGGCTGGTTCTTTGACCCTAAAAGGCGAAGCTGTCGAGTGGCCAGCAGGAGCGATACCGTTCCAGGCGACGACGTCTAAGCCAAACGCCGCACAGGCCGCTGTGGCGGACCGCCTGGGACGTTGGCCGCTCGCGCCAGCCGTCAGCACAGCCTTCGCCGAACAAAGCAACGTACTGCAGTCGGGCTCGCTGAATCATGTGTGCGCACTGGGTGGTTGATCCTGAGAGTGGATGTGGAGATGAACGCAGCCACAGACAGGTTGGTGGATTGGATAATCGTCCACGAGCCTACTTTTGGCTTACTCGCATTACAAGGCGGACGACAGAGAGGAAATCTGTACACGATCAGATATATGCACACGAAAGAATTTGTGGTGGGCAACAAAAGAGGAGACAATTGCAGGACAAGGTGGACTACGGTGAGATGAGAAAGGAAAGCAGGGCGTTGAAGCTCCGCGCTGTATGTCCCTGTATGGCCCATCGGCGCCTCCCCGACTCTCCTCCTCCCACCACTCTCCCGCCCCGCCCTCCCGTCCTCCTCGGCCTCTTGCCGCCCCTCGTCGTCGTCGCGCCTACTCGCGGCACTCAGGACCCGTTGTCTTGATCCAGATCTCGTACTCGCTCACCGAGAGCAGTCTCTCCGGGGCTCGTGGGCTCAGCGCCTGCTTCTCACTCGCTCCCGTGTGCCGCAATGGCCCAGCAGTTCAACATGATGCCCAACAACTTTCCGAACGGGCTCACGCCCCAGCAGCAGGGACTTCTTGATTCCCAACAATTCAACGCGCAGGGCATGCAACCGCAGGGCCTGCAACTTACCCCCGACCAAACTCGACTGTGGCTGCAGCGGCAAGCCCAGCAGGGTCAGCAGCAGCAGCAACAGCAGCAGCAGCAGATGCGTCCGCAACAGCAGCTCGGCGGCGCGCACCCCATGAACGGAATGAATGGTGTGCAGGCTTCCAACGTGAACCAGCAGGTGCGTCCGTGCATTTCGTCGACGCCGCACCCTCTCCGGCCCATCCGGTACCACATCCTGCCTCCCAGTCCACCAATCTCGGTGCTGTGCTAGTGCCAGCATAGCCTTCGTCCTTCATCTGTCCTCCATCCATCCCACCGTCGACCTTCTCGTCGTCTTCGCTTGCGGCAGGACCTTTACTCACGCCCGTCTGCTTACGTCATCACGTGCGGCGGTCGAGAGTGGTCCCCTTCGTGGCTCGTCTGTTTCCTGACCAGTGCTGACTCCCCCCCTCAGATGATGGATATGCTCCGCAACCAGAATATGCGCATGGGGACGGTGCAGCAGCCCCACGCGATGGGCCAGAAGCCAATGCCCATGCCCTTCGCGTCGCAGGGAAACCAGTTTCGCACCGACAGTCAACAGGGCCCGGCACCCGGGTTCAATGCCCAGGGCCTCCCGCTCAACAGCAACGTAGCGGCTCTCGCGCAACGCGATCCTGCGGCTATGCGCGCGTTTATGGCGCGCCAGTCGCAGCAACGACAACTGCAGCTCATGAACGCCGCCCAGAACCAGCAGCCGCAGAATGGTACGAACCTCGCCCTGCTACGACAGATGCAGCAGCAACAGCAGCACCAGCAGCAAACCTTGGTCCGTCAGCAAATGCAGCAGTTCCAGCAGCAGCAGCCGCATCAACAGTCGCCGCCACTCCAACAATCCGCGCAGCCGTCTCACCAGAACTTGGCCGTGGGTATGAACCAGATGCAGCCCCAGATCGCTCAGCAGACGTTTCCTCAGAACATGATGCAACCGCAGCAGCAATCGGGCATGGGCCAGCAGAACGTCATGCAGAACGGTCTGCAGGCGCATCCGAACGCGCAGTCACCACACATGGTGATGAACCAGACGATGAATCCGTCTCCACAGCAGTTGCAATCTCAGGGCCAGCTGAAGCCTGGGATGCAGCTACAGGCGTTGAAGGCGCGGGTCATGGAGAGCATCATGCAGCGCAAGGCAGCGCTCACCCGCGATATGCACGAACTCAAGTCGCGGCTCCAGCAGGAGTCTACGGGCGACATCCAACACCAACAGACCAAGGAGAAGCTCATGGAGGAGTTCAGGACGAAGGTGGCAATGTTGAAGAGCCAGGACATCGACATGGGCCGCTTCCAGCAAATGTCTGACCAGGACTTCGGTACATGGGTGGCGACCCAGCGTAACACGTGAGTATCTCGTCCCGAGTTTGGTGTCACGACTAGGACTGACAGTCTGTTTAGTAGTCGGAGACCAGACGCTGCGCAACACCCCACGCCGTTCCAGCAGATGGGTGGTCAGCAAGTCGGTTCGTCCCAGCCATCTCAACCTTCCGCACCCATGGTGCCCGCCGTCCCTCAACAACCGCCGATGGCGCAGATCAGCACACCCCAGATGCGGCCCCAGATGTCCCCTAGTCCGGCGAACCAGCCGGCTCGCACTGGACCGACGCCTTTCCAGCTCCCTCACGGTCCCCAGAACCCTCCTCAGGCGTCGCCGAACATGCTTGCGGCACAGTCGCCGCTACAGCTCCCTGCCGGTGTGCGACCTCCTCAGGCGCGGCCCCTTGCGTTCCCGACTATGGCCGCGGATATGTTCCACAAGGCTTTCCCTACTTTCTGCATGCGGAACAACATCGCCATAGATCAGAATCTGTTGCAGTTTGAGGGTAGGCCTATTGACTTGCACGCTCTGCATACGGAGGTCCTCGGCAGCGGCGGCGCGCCTCGGGTATGTCGATAATTATTCTTATGTCGTGCTCCTACTTACCATCTCGAAACAGATCTTGCAGTTCGACATGTGGCCCATCATCGGTGCGAAGCTAGGCTTCGTCCAGTTCCCGGGTAGCGAATCTGAACCCGCGAAGTCGGGCCCTGGTGTCGCTCAGCACCTCCAGAACATCTACCGCCGATATTTATCACAGTTCGACGCCATGTTCGTCGCGTCGGTGCTGAAGATGAAGAGGCCGCTGAACGCTTCGGGCAACGCAGGGCAGCCAGGTGCTCCCAATCAGGGGCAGCCCCCTTCTGGGAATGCCGGATCGCCTGCACCACCGACGAACGCGATGCCCGGCGGCGTCCCCCCAAATAACGCGCCTGGCAACAGCGCCACGGGTATGCCTAGTCTCACGATACCTCCCGGTCTCGACCCGAAGCAGATCAACGAACTCATGGCATATGCGAGTCGTCCTGCGGAGGAGCTCCGGAGATCAGGGATTCCGGAGCAAGTCATCAACATTGTCGAGCAGAACCGACACATACTGGAGGCGAGCCTACGCTCACAGCAAGACTTCCATGGCTCCCTTGCGAAACAAGGTCAGCCGCAGGCGAATGGTACCATGGGCGCCGGTCAGGGAATGCAGCATAGTATGGGCCCCGGCTTCCCCCAGACGCCCCAGATGAATCCCGCCGCGCAAGGGTCGACGGCGAGTCCTGCGCAACAGCAGATGGTCCCGCAGGGCCATCCTGCGCCGATGGGTCAGCCCCAGAACGGCGGCGCACCCATGGCCAGGCCGATGCCTCACCAAGTGCCCAAGCCGTTCGTCGCTGTGTCGAATGGGGACTGGCCGACTGCGCAGGAATACGATCAAGCCGCCAAATGGTTGGCGGCGACGAGGGAATACTTTCAGCAGACTCGAGGTATGTCGAAAGGTACTACCCAGTCGAGACGTGTCATGTCTGACGACCGTTAGTAATAGGCAAACAAGCCATGCCGTTCATCAACATCCCCGACTCGGAGGAGAACGAGTGGCGCACCCTCTTTCATGAGCTCCTAGAATACCTCAACAATATGACTGGGAAGCTGCCGGTGCTGGTCTGTGGTGTCAGCGATGATTCTGCGCGGAATATGACAAACTCGGTGCGTATGCTGTCTGTCGAACGCTGTTGGGGCGCGCTCTGACTTTTGTCTCTCGTCGTAGCTCTTGACGTGTTTACAGCAAAAGCAGTTCCTGGAAAATGGCAAACGTTTCATGCTGTCCTTGGCGCACGTCCGCTCGATGCGTGATTCATGGCGTAACTGGACGTTGAGCTACCGGAAATACGAGCAAGCGCGGCAACAACAGCAACAACAACAGCACCAACACCAACAGCAGCAGCAGCAGCAGCAGCAGCACCAACACCAACAGCAGCAGATGCAGCAGCAACAGCAGATGCAGCAGCAGCAGCAGATGCAGCAGCAGCAGCAGATGCAGCAACAGCAACAGCAGCTGCAGCTGCAGCACATGAACGTCCAAGGTCCTCACGCAACGCAGCCTGCCAGCCATTTCGCTCCGAATGGTGTTCCGCGGACTCCCCAAGTCAAGCCTGCTCCACCTGCTCTCGTCCCTCAGTCCGCTTCTCACACCGGCCAATCTCCGGCCCAGCACCTCCTGAGTACGCCTCAGATCATCCCTCCGCAACTCCCGCAGAAACGACCGCACCATTTATCGGCTCATTCGCCCGCCGCTGGACCTTCCAACTCTACCCCTCCCGCCTCCGCCGCCACACCCACCGCCAACGCGCCTACCCCAGTACACGTCGCGAGTTCGCCGCAAACACCGAAGTCGCCCAACCGTCCTCCGAGAAAGGCATCCAAAGCTACTGCGAAGCGGTCGAAGTCTACTCCCAAATCTGCAGCATCAGCGTCAGCATCTGCGCCCACTCCAGGCGAAGCATCTACGTCCACATCCACTCCGCCATCCACGTCGGCTGCTGGACTCATCGTCGTGCCGGTGCCTTCACCCGCTGCGCAGAAACCGCCAACGCCAGCGCCTGCCGCTGCGACGCCAACTGCGACAGGTTTGAAGCGACCACGAGAGGACGAAGGGCTGGTTAGCCTCGAGCAGCCAGTGGGCCAGTCGCCGCCTAAGAAGCCAAAGACGGAGTGGGACGGCCATCTGAGTGAGGAGTTGGTCAAGAAGCAGGAGGACATCGACAACATCAAGACGGACGAGGATGCGACGAAGTTCATCGAGCAGATGACTGAGATGCTGAAGATGTACACGGCCAACGGGGACGAACAGGATGTCCTGATCTCGGCTGAGATTTCCGATGAGCTGGAGAAGATCCTCAAGGGGTATCCTGGCCTCGCGGACGACCCCGATGGCTCTGTCCTTGGTAGCTCATCGGATGTCGGTGACCTAGCGCAGTCGATGCAGCTGAAGGACGAGTCCGAGCAGTTCTTCGACTGGGCGTCATTCATGAAGGAGGATGAGTATGCATCCAAAGCGGCAACGCCGGACCTGGTACCACCGTCCTCGACGAAGACGAGTCCAGGATCTGGCTCAGATAACGAGGGTGCTAGCCATATGATGACTTCGTCTGGCGCAGACACCGTGAGGATCGCCGAGGTCGAGTCCTCTGACGACCCGCTGCAGTTGTCAATTTGGGGTGCGATTGACGGTGGTGAGGGCGCGTATTGGGAGCCGCAAGACAGTTGGAAATGGGGAGAGTCAATGCAGCCATTGGAATCGCCGTGGGGGATTACATAGACGGAGTGGATCTCGTTCTGTTTATCTGGTTCATTATTTGGCTGCGTGTGCGATATCGTGTCTCACTGGATATGTTTCTCTTTGCCCGTCTCAGTCGTCGCATCTGCTGTTGTGTCTTGAATATCCCGCTGTGTATTTCTATATACTAGTCTACTCGCTATCGAATATTGCTCCAGCTGTAGCATCTCTTGACCTTCTCCTGGCGACGGAGCGAGACTGACATGATGCCGGCCCCGTACTTCAACTGATTGGCAGTGGCATTGGTACTTAGTTTGGTACCTTCACGAGACATTCACGCATACGACAAGGTACATGATCTACACAGACGGTCCGTCATGTCCATTCAATGCATCGAGCGCGATATACCATACGGTAAACAGTAGGGCTACATCCAGGGGCTAAGTTACAACTACAGACGTGGAGCTTTGACGATCGTCACCGACGTAGAATGCTCCCTTTAATATCGGGAGGTTTCAATCGCCCCGAAGCACCTAATGGCTGTGATCGCCGCGCTGTGTTCTCGAGGATCTTCGCTCGCAATGATGAGACTGCTGAACTCGACGCTGAACCGCCCCGGCTCTTCGCTGGCAGAGCAACGCGCGACGACTTCCCGAGTCGAGGAGGCACCGCGGCGTCGTGAGTCAGCTTTCTGCGCTTCGCCTCCTCGCGCTCGCGCAGCGCCTGCTTCTCCTCCTGCCACAGCTTGTTCGCCTCGGCCTTGCTCTCCTCGCTCTCTGCGGTGAGCGCGAGCGTCTCTGGGAGCCCGTACGTGCTCTTGAGCTTGTCGTCGGACTCTTGCTTGGCCTTCTCGACCTTCTTCTCTTCCCGGAACCGTTTCCGGGCCTTCTTGGAGAGCGAGTATGGGTCGGTGCCGTAGTGGTCAGACAGCGACTGGATGGATTCGAGCCGCGGAACCTGGACCTGGTTTACGTAGTTCTGGGCGTCGGTTGACTTCTCGAGTGCGGCGAGGGGGTCCACGGGTCCCGCATTGGGGTTGGTCTCTGATATGTACCATTGAGTACGCAGGACAACCTGATACGGATAGGACACACACCGTGTACCGCGAAACCTCCGTTCTCTTCGGGATCCCAATCCTCATCCTTCTGTCTAGCACCAGATGTGACCACGTATCGCGTGTTCTAATGGGCGTGATGTAAGGTTTGGTATGCCCGCGAATGGAACCAAGCACGCACCTGTGGATCTGTCTGGATTTCAAACCACCCGTCGCACAGATGACATTTGCAACGGAACGAGTACATGGGCGTCGAGTAGTAGTTCCCAATCTTCTTCTTCTCCGCATTGTAGCGGACGCCCATGCCGATGTGATTGTTACATGTTCCGCTGCGCACTCGTGAACGGACACTCGACAGTGACTATGGTCCAACAGACGTACCACCAGATATTGAACGGCAACTCAAAGCGGACAATTAGGATTCCTTGATCTATCTTCCTCGCCCGGTCACCGAGGGCATGCTTTCCTGGAAGAAATGTGAGTCCGTCTGGCCCAGTCCGATGACAAGTCGCCCGCACCTCTGTAAGCATTGAGACTGCCATGTTTCTCGCCGTCGTAGTCGGGTGGATAGTATTTGTTGAAGCCTAGATACAGTCAATAATCTCGTTTGACGGTACAACTGGCCACGGTACTGACCTTGCATGGCTTACAGGCTCGTCGTCGTCACGGTTAGAACTTAGTAGAACTTCTAGTCGTTCATAATCCCATCTATTACAGTGACATCACGTGAGCAACTGCGACGCGCTTCCGGCGTGCCCTATCAGCCACCAATTCAAGAGTTCATCACTGCACAACACTCGATTGCCACCTCATGCTCCCCCAGATTCTTCTGCACTCCAGGATCTTATAACTACATATACCTCTTCTATTCTACTTACATCCGTCACGACCACACTGGAATATTCACGAAGTATCAAGGTTGCATCCGAGCGGCCGGCGCGGTAGCTTGAATTCGGGTCGTGCACGGCTTCATCTCGGACTCTGTGCGCTGTAGCTCGTACGAAGGCAACAAGGCATTCTAGCGACATCTTGGTTACTGTTGTATCTGGAAGGCCTTGCGCTACTTACTGAGCAGCCATGACGGAGTCAGGTCGTCCGACACGTTCAGGTATGCCGGAATGTCGCCGCTCATTCACCGCTATCGTGACTGACATCGTGTTGGGAACCGCAGGCCACGGGAATGTCGTTGCACGCCTTCATGCACTCTTCCCAGGACCAGGACTTACGTCTCCGAGACAAGCGCAGCAGCCACCCCCGCCAGTCTCACCCGCCGCACCCCCAGCTAGGCCGGCTCTGAAAGTGAGGGTCGTAACATGGAACATGCACGAGAGTCTGCCAAAGGTGAGTGGGCAGCATTCCGACATACATGAACCCTAGACGACGTTATGGCCAGGGCGACTTGTCCGAGCTGCTTGGGTCGCTACTTGACCAAGCTTCGGCAACGATGCAGGTACAAGATCCCTCGGGTCTGACGTCCTTACCCCTGGATGCGCGTCATCCTTACCATCTGGTAGTCGTGTATGAACATCCTCTGTACTTTTGTGATGCTGCTGATACGACCTCTCCCCAGTGCCGGACAGGAGTGCCCGACCGCCACAGGTAAGAGCCTGTCCGCTCCGTTCCACTGTGACGTGGACTCACCCTTTTCAGGGCTGCCCCTGGGCCTTGGTGCAGGGTTCAGGCTCAAAGACCTCGTCGAGAAGGAAAAGGACAAGGCAAAGGACAAGGAAGGCAAGAAACTGGCAGAGTACGAACAGAGAGATGTAGAGTCGGAAACCGGTAGCACCCGCGCCCCGGCTCTCGCAGAGCCTGGTACTCCTCAGCTCGCCTTCGCCATGCCCGCCGCAATGGAGAGCGAAGAGCCCATTGACTCGCCATCAGCCAAAGGCTCGACAGATCTCTCCCACCATAAGAGCTTGCTGCACTCCTCTCCGTGGTCGCTCATGCTGGACGGCTGGTACAGCAACAAGACGCTGCCTCATAGGAGCACGAAGTCTCTGCCAGATGTGGGCGACTCGCCGCTGCCTCGGGCTGATACGCCTGGCGGTTCAGACGCGAAGTCGATCAACGTCGCTGGTGAGGCTGGGCATGTGCGACCGGCGACGGCGCCGTATGAGCTGCTCAGCAAGGAGAGGATGATGGGTCTCTACCTCGCGGTCTACGTCAATGTGAACGTCAAGCATCTAGTCAAGGGTAGGTCGTCCCAGTGATACCCCAGCAATGGATAGGCGGCTCATGATGGCGAGTAGGCACATCGAAGGATGCCGTGACGACCGGTCTGATTGGCGGAAGAGTGGGGAACAAGGGCGGCGTGGGCATTAGCGTGAACATCGCTGGGACCACTCTGCTATTTATCAATGCCCACCTCGCAGGTATGTGGCCAAGGGCACGCGTTTTCCCACAGAGTACTGAATACGCTATCTTCCCAGCTCATGAAGGCAAGGTTCAACACAGAATCGCCGACTTCGCCAAGATCAAGGTGGGCGCCGGTCTTGACCTCATGCATGCGGCGGCCTATTCACGGCTTGTGCGTCTACCTTACAGGCTGAACTTGATGTGGATGACTTCCTTGCCCCGGATGACCCACGAATCATGTCAGAGGGTAGGCTCAGTCGTTGGTATTGTTGAATGAACACTCTGACGCTGTCCTGAAAGACATTACTGACAAGTTCGACTACACATTCCTTTGCGGTGACCTCAACTTCCGGCTAGACATCACCCGCCTTCACGCAGACTGGCTCATCTCTCGCAAAGGTATGTCAGAGGTCTCCATGCCCACGCTGACATGGATTCGCGTCTAATACATGGATACAACAGAGTATGCTCAAGCCCTCGCATTCGACCAACTGCGCAAGATCATGGAGGCAGGTCGTGCGTTCGTAGGCTTCCATGAAGCGCCCATCACCTTTCCCCCGACCTTCAAGTACGACGTCATGCGCACGCTGAAGCGCCGCAGGAGCTCGTCGAAGCCATTGGCAAGCCCGTTCTTACCTTCGACGCCGGTACCCGGCCATCAGAAGATCCTCACCCACGTCACAGAGAAGGACGGCGAGACGCCGGATGTGAATGTCGTGAGCGAGCCCGAGCATGTACAGGAGCAGGAGCAGGAGCGCGAACGGGATCAAGATGCAGCTTCTGTTGTGTCGTCAACGTTCACATCTGCGCGCTCGAAGTACACGAGCCAAAGTCAGGGCGACGATGCGCATGAGGACATGGAAGAGGAGGACCTGTTTTTCGCTACGGAGACGAAAACAAAGTCGGGCAAGGTCATCCAGCGGCTGTCGCTCACCGCTATCAAGGCGAAGTGGGTCGCGATGGTGTCCCCTGCAAAGACGGAGTTCATCAATCATATACCGACGAAGCGCAGGAAACGGTGCGTACATTTCTTCATATACCCGAGCAGGTATGCTGATCTAAATGGGTCTCCTCAGGCCGAAGGTGGACTCCGCCAGGAATAGTCCTGCACCTGAGGCGAATGGGCGCCGGTCCCAGAGCGCCCCCCGGTCAGTCTTTGATGAGCGTGCAAGTTCGACCAACCTATTGGATGGAGTGATAGGACAGGAATTCACAGGGGGAGACGTATATGACTCTTCTCACAAGCAGCGCGTACCCAGCTGGTGAGTGTCTTTGTCCAGTCCGTTCTTGTGTGAATCTCAATGCTACTATCCCATAGGTGTGACCGTATCCTTTGGAAATCTACAGTGGAACCCAATCCGGAGGAGACGCTTCCTCCGCTACAGCCACCCCGAAACCGCGTCTCCAACATTTTCCAGGTGCTCCGACCCGTCCGCAACCGGCGTGACTCAGCATCTTCCATGCTCTCTGCCGTCCTGGGGCCCTTGAACTCTTCTGCTACCAGGCTTCCCTCGTCTCCCTTGTCATCTCCAGGCTTGCCCCGTGAACAACGCAAAGCCAGCAGGCCGCAGCCCCATCGAGCACCGCGTATGTCAAGACCCAAGTCCGTAGATACCTTGCCAACACTCACCGCACTACGTGCGTTCACCTCACCTTTGCCGCCCCTCCCGCGCCGCCTGAGCTTCGAGGGCGCGACGCCGACGTCGTCAGTGCCCCTGACGCAGTCGCAGACAATGCCGCCGCCGATGCAGGACCGCTGGGCTCCCGATGTTCTTGCTTCGGAGCATTCGCCCGCGCTGACCACGGCACCTGCGGTAGTGACGAGCCCGGCCTCGCGTTGGTTTGGCTTCCTACCTGCGTTCTTGCATCGAGAGGGCTCCATGCCGACGATGAGCAGGCCGGACAGCCCGATTACGCCTGAACAGCCCCCACCACAGCGCGGGACCGTCGTATGCCTCGGCTACCGCTCGCTCGATGACGCTGCGATGCGCCGCCTGGAGGGCCGCAGCGACCACCGGCCAGTCATCGGCTCGTACGCGATCTACATCTAGTAATATGTACAGTGTTTCGTTTGTAGAGTTGTTATCATCAGCCCGTGCACGGAGTCCGCTCATTACTGACAGTTTTTACACATGTAGATACCCACACACCACACACGGACGGTAGCGTAGATCATCATACTTGTACTTGCCGGCATGTGCTGTATGTATACCCGGCTCTTGACAATTTAGAGTCTCATGCATTGCTACGGTCGTTCGATGCAGCGAGAAGGTCATAGCATGTTGACGCACATAACATACAACATAGCGATACATTGTCGTCAAGCATGTCTCTCAAGCAGAGATGGTGACCTCCACCTCGACACCAGGCTCCAGGCTGATGCTCGTCTGTTATCAAGAAGGTCAGATGTCAACACTACTGGCTCAGAAAGAAAGAAAAAAACATACGATCTGCTTGACGATCTCGCTGGAGGAGTGCAGGTCGATGAGGCGCTTGTGGACCTTGAGCTCGTAGCGGTCCCAAGTCTTGGAACCCTCACCGCAAGGCTGGAGAAGTACTTTAGAGACGATGGTTATGCAACGACTTAGCAGCCGACTTACAGTCTTGCGAGTGGTGATCTTGAGGACCTTGGTGGGGAGGCGGACAGGGCCCTTCACACGGAGCTGCTTGTCCTTCGCGCGGTTAATGAGGTCCGCAGAGACTACGATACTCCATGAGTCCCATTTCCACAACAACGAATGCACAAAAAACAGCACGTACACTTCTCCAAGTTCTTGACATTGCTGCTCGTGAGCGTGATGCGAATCTTGTGGATTTTGGCGTTGGGCACGGCGGCACCGGTAGCGTCGTACTCCTTCTCACCCTTAGCGACGTAACTCATCCTTGCTGTCTTGGAGAGTCAGGAGGTGACTAGAGGCGATTATGAGTTGGTTTATCTGCGGACGGAGCAGCGGACGCACCTGAGGGCGAAGGCTTGTTGATGGTGTGTATACCGAAAATTAGAGTTCACGCAACGACGACTTTACATCTCGGGGTATGCCGAAAGATCGCAATATCGAGATACAAGATCTTGCGTATGTCAGCATAGTGTTGGTACCCGCCACCGTCGCGTTTCCTCAGGCTGTTTCTACACCTTCAACTCATCGCTGAGTCTTCGTCTGTATAACAAATTATGCAGTCTAGACAGCTTTGAAACCGGTGACCAAGGTCAGAAAAGTCTTGATCCCCTGAGCAGGTCTGAGGTCAGCGGCGGTCCGTGTTCGACTTAAACGTACTACGGAAGGGGTGGATCGCCCACTGCATGTACTGTGTGTCAGCGGTCGGTCTGGCTCAATCTATAAGCTCTCAGCGCTTTATCACGACAGAAACTAGGAGGAAGCAAAGGAATCAAATAAGGGTGAACACCAGGTGCGACGATTCACTGGATTAATAAGATATGCTCATCCCTAGTCAACCCAGGTGTTGCATGTAGAGTGTCGCACCGGCGACCGTGACTCACGATGGATGCAACCCATCCGGCACTGTATTTATATCAAGATTCCTGAAAGCTTTGAAGCTGAGAACGCGAACAATAGAGCGTAGACTTGTAAGTGACGTGCAAGTGATTTGGAAAGGCATCTCCGCAGTCCTTCAAGCTTCAAGTCTAACGCGTCCGGGTGCCAGCAGCGTCCTTCAGAAAATGAATTGCTTGGGAAACAAAGACCCAGCTGAAGGTGCCGATCTGGTATGCTCGAGACCTGTCGGGCCGTATTCAATTTCTCCCAGCGATCCTGGCTGTCTGGCTGGCATCGCAACATCGTACTGTAGAGAACACGAGGCATGAGTTGTTGCCGGGACATGGGTGGACATCCTCCAGACGATCGATCGTTATGATCACTGCGCTTCATCCCCTTATCTGTTAGCCCATGTTGTTGCAGCATGGCAGTTTGTGCATGGCAGTTTGTTGACAACTTCTTGCAGCACACTACACGTGGATCTGGCTTCTCGCACAGGTATCAACTACGTCCGGCGGCGGGCGATGATACTTGCAATTGGTCGAGGCCGACCGCGCACAGCAACATCGCTCACTAGGCCCGAAAATACGCAATACTCATGTGCGGTATGTCTTCTGAACTCGTCAGTCACCGACCCCCTCAGTCGTCGCAGCGTAGTATGTGTTGGCTGTGTAAATCGACGATGGTGCGCACACAAGTCTGCATCACGATTCACATTCTCTGGAACTAACGCGACATTGGCTAAATGCTGACAGCTGTTTCCGTCGAGCTTGGGAGGCAACATCCTCGGCGCGCCGCTGCCGTGCCGATTATCTCCTTCGACCCTGAGCACTCAGTGCTGTGTTTTCAAGTCAGCTTGTCTCCCGCGAAGTGCTACCTTGTTCATGCGACCTCCAGCGAGTCAGCAACCCACAGCCCTACAGCCCTAGGTCCTTCCAGTCCCAGAAACACGGTCCATGCATTCTGCTTAGAGACGAAAGATTCCGACGCACTGGTTCGAGGATGAGGCGGAGGGGTGTACCATTTATTCAGCAGTACTGGTCAATCATCCCGGTTCTGCATCCCCGCGCGACTCCCCCTCCCCCCCCCCCCCCGCCGCGGCGATATGGGCATCACACCCTCCTCCCTCATGGATGACGAAGCAGCCTTCGTAGGGTGGATGGAAGCCGCGGGTATCATCCGGTCCCGTGCTGACAACTACGTGTGGGGTCCCGCAGGGTACCAAATGACACCCCCTCACTCGTTCTCTGCGGGGCCCAACACGTTTGCACCAACGGTACCGTCTGGTTCCACGCAACCGAACGGAATGCCTACACCTCCTCCGCACCAGCTACAGACGACCAACGCTCCAGGACACGTGTCCATACCTCTCCCAAGGCTCAGCTTGTCGCAAGAACTCGAGGATCCCAAACCGCCTTCATCAGCAAGTGATGGGCTCGCTGTACCAGGACCGAATCCGATCCATCCCGCAGAACCACCACCGCTCGTTGGTCCTCCCCATGGTCACTTCGTCCCAGGGCATAACCCGTATCTGCTTCCGAGCGGAGAGCCACTCTATTTCGCGGGGGCGTCGCCTCATGGCGCTCCTTACGCGAATGGGGCAGCTGCCACCGGCTTCGCCCTAGGAACACCTTACCAGGTACATTATGCGTCTCAAGGTAATCCGCGTCCAGCTGTCGGCGGACAACTTCAAGGGGTGCGCGTCGACGAAGAATCTGCGCTCCAATTGCATGCTGTGCGCGCATACAGGGGCTCCCGCAGTCATATCATGACCTTCGACCGGACCTGGGATGATGAACGGTTGCTGAAGGAGATGCGAAAGACATACGACGGGCTCCGCTCGTGGCGGAGATGGCTCTCGCTCAAGAACGTGAGATCTGTAACGCTGGTCTCTGTAAGTGAATGCGCTGTTCGAGATCCGTGTTCAATTCATGCCTGACGCTGCCCGTCTTGGTTATAGATTCGGGGAAAGGATCAGTTCATATTCCCTCAACGAATCGGCCCATCGAGGGTCAGCGCGCGCCAGCACATGCGGCTACGATTCCTTCTCGATCACCCAGAGAAGTTGCGGGGGAGCCGTGACTTCATGAAGATGCTGGATGCTCCCGGCGTCGGCATTGAGTTCGTTGAGCGCTGGCAAGCGAAACGACTAGCATTCGCCGTCATCGGGTTGGTCCTCCTCTCGTTGGCGGCGTCGCTAATCTACGCATGTGTCACGGGCGATGTGTCGACCGCATTTACGATTGGATGTACGTCCGCCATCTTATCTGCTCTGGACGATGGCTGATCCAATCAATAGCCTACATAACCTCCGCATTCTCGGTGGTCCTCGTCCTAGTCGGCATTTTGGGCTTCGTGGATCTCTAGGCGGACAGAACTTCTTGGACACTGATTCATATCTGTAAATCAACAGTAGTCCTTCTAGCGACGCAGGCTGTCGCAGAGCATCAACACATTTCAGGTTAGAATAGCGGGGATGTTCAGCTCGAGCCTCACAGTGAATGAGGCCGCACCATACGGCCTCTGGTACAACAATGCAAACACCAATCAGAAGTGAGATACATAGGTTGAGTCGATCCTCAATCGAAACGGCTGTGTAGTGTTGAGTATATATATGGCATCCTTCCATTGCCACCATGACGCGCTTTTGACCGTCGAGTGTTGCACATACACATGTGATGATACCGCAATGATGGAATTGACTTCGCCCGCTCGATGTAGGATCTTGCAATGACACGTTCCGCGACTGGGGTTTAGTGCAATCACATGACCGCGTTTCTTGGGCGGCTGTGCCAAGGCCAGTGCCCGCCAGACCAGGCTGAGCTCGAGGCCAGCGACGGCGATGTTGGCAAGCTGCGTTTTGAAGGCCTATGAACGTGTGATGCCTCATCTCTGTTGTCATCTCATGGCCAACATCTCTCTCGCGACTGTGGGTATGTCGTCGAACGTGGATAATCTTAACTTAAGGCTTATCACACAGCTTTGAACCGCACAGCAGCGCCGGCATACCAGTGTACTTGGCAGCTGTAACGGAACTCCTCTTGCTTCGGCCCAAAGTACTCCGTTACACCTCAGCATTCTTGGGTGATGGAACTAGGCTCGTCAGTGAGCCTCGAATACTACATACGTATCAAAAACTGCCCCATAAAGCCATTTTATGCAGACCCAAAACGTGACGGAAATTAGTGGTGAGAGGCTCACACTATGTCGACTGCAAGGCCGCACTGACAGGGTTTCAAAGCGCTCAATGCGGTGCTATGGTGGGCCCATGCCTTTTATGCGACACTGTCTTGCTCACGAGACCTCGACATAGTTAGCAACTCATAGCCCTCTGAACTCTGTCCGGCCCTGTGGCAGAGGTACGGTCAATTCAGGTGAATCGCGGTTGACACGAGGACGGACGCAGAATCGCGTCAAAAGCGCGGCCCTGGTAAGAGATAAAGTTCGACACTACTGCCTCCCAATTGCATCTCTCCCCTCTCGCATTCATGGGCAACACTCTTCCTTCAGGTTCTCGAGCGGACGAGGAGGACGAAGCGTATGCCGGGTGGATGGAAGCCGCGGGAATTGTCACTGCCCAAAGCGACACTGTTTACACTTGTGGCCCCGTAGGTCTCCCAGTGATGCCTTCATACACGTTTCCCCCTGGGCCATACATGGCTGCATCCACCGCCAGCCAGGCTTCTGCGTCAGTCTATAGAACGCCCATGGAGATGCCCGCAGTTCAAGCTGCATCCATGGTTAGCAGTGTTAGCCACCGTCTTACTCCTCTCTCAGGCTACTCCCAAGTCATCGATGCCCCGGAACACTTGCCTATACCTCTACCCATTGTTTCTCGGCCCCTAGACCCATGCGACACGACGGGTGTGCCTCACACTGCGTTCCTTGACCGACTCGACGCCGACGTCGAGGCTCAACGGCAAAGGACACCGTCTCGCCTCAGCAGCATTTCCGATCTACGGAGGCTCCAAACGTTTCCCCTAGCTACTGCACACTCACCTGCGACTAGGAGCGCTCATCCCTCCCTAGGCTTCCAACCCAGTCGCCCGAGCTCGTTGAGGCAGTCATCACTAGATTCCAATGCGCAGGTGCCCCGTGCAACCCATCCCCCTCGGAATGTACATTTCGAGGACTTCGGACATGAAGTTCCAGACACTCCGTTGCCTGGTCTCTCAACGTTCACTAGTCCAGCAGCTTCAGTGACGTCGGAGCTGTCGCTAGATGACATCAGTACACCGCCGAGCGAAGGTGGCGATAAACCACTGGAGCCTGAACCTGTTGAAGTCAATGCTGCTCTCCATCCCTCCGCCTGTTTCGACTCAGAGCCGGACGGTGACGGCCATTCCGACGTAGCCAGGCGACATTTCCTAGGATTGACTGATCAAGTCATCGACCCAGATAGGTCGAGGCCGGAGCCGCACCCACATATGCGCCAACAATTGTATGCCATCTTGGGACAGGCTGGCACCACCCACCATCTCGAGTCGGGGGTTGTCATCCCGCCGAGCCCATCCGCTTCCTATCACGCCGGGTCGGTAGACATTGTCGCCCCTCACGTCCCTCGCAGATACGCGCCTACGGCCTCTGTGACCACAGCCATACAACCTACTACCGTCCCTCCATCTACTCCGGAAATCCTTCCCTTCGCAACACGAAGTGTACCTATTATGGCGCCAGCTCCATTTCCCACCACAGTCGTACCTCCCAGCCCATTTATCCCTGTCGTTCCTCAGGTTCCGATCTCGCCGACACTGCCGCCAGGTGCAGGGCCGGCGGGGCCGTTCACGGCACCTGTGATCGGAGGGCATATCAGTCCATTTACATTCTCAGCGAGCGGAGAGATATCTCATTTCGCAGGATCTTCGCCTCGCGGTATGCTCTATCAAAACGGAGCAGCTGCAACTGGCTTCGCTGTCGGGACGCCCTACCAAACAATCCTTCCACCTGGCGTCACCACGGCGGCGGGCGTCCCTACATGGAACTCTCCTATGGCGTTTACGCAACCCCGTGCGGTGCATGCCGGCCAAGAAGTCATACTCTCCTTACGAGCTGTGCACGCATTTAGGGGCTCGCGGACTCAACCGATGTGCTTCGACGCGCAATGGGACGATGCACGGTTACTCAAGGAGATGCGCAAGACGTATGATAAGCTTCGCTCGTGGCGGAAGTGGTGTTCGCTCAAGAGCGTGAGGTCCATCACTCTCGTCTCGGTGAGCAGACGCGTCTTTGCGTGTACAAAACCCTGCTTAACACTGTCTTTCGACTGATCTACAGTGCCGAGACACGTTCATCTTCCCTCAGCGGATCGGTCCGACGAAAGTCAGTGCACGTCAGCACATGCGGCTGCGATTTTTACTCGACCATCCGGAGCAGCTACGAGGACGACGCGACTTCATCACCGCTCTCTTGGAACGACCAGGCGTCGGCATAGAGTTCGTCGAACGCTGGCAAGCAAAGCGGCTGACCGTCGCCGTCGTTGGACTAGTCTTCATCTCCCTGATCGCGTCATTGCTCTACGCATGGATCACGAAGGACGTATCTACTGCGTTCACCATTGGATGTGCGTCTCGTAGTCATCTGCTCCCAATGCACCTAACTTACCGATTGTGCGTTAGCATATATAACTTCAGCTTTTTCGGTCATATTGGTTCTGGTCGGCATTTTGGGCTTCGTAGATTTATAGACTGGGCAACATGAGTCTGACGCTACGATGTCTTGAGCTTTTGCTAGGGTAGTGCCATCTGTCACTCAGTATATGTGCGGCATACGAAGAACATGCGCGCCATCGTTGAGACGTGCGACTCAACGAGAAAGCCGTTGAACGACATACCACGGTCCAACTCAGTGTCAAGATAGTGCTGTACGGTCCTTTGAAAGACTGGAACACCGTGCTGTCCTCAGAATTCCTTGCACGAAGTCGCTAGCGATGCGCACACCAATCCTGTATTTCGGGTCATAGTACTAGCTACTCTGCCAATAGACTATCTGCGTCCGTTCCACACTCGAGGGAATGCACCACGGCATGATCGCTCGGCCAGGTGTTGAGAGCCGGAACAGGAGAATAGATGGTATTGGAGCTGGAGGGGCGAGCGCGTGCGACGCGGGGTCCTGGGGTAATTGATTTGCGGTGGGCTGCTTCGCTTTTCGATGCAGACCCTTCCTAATGACAGGGACGTACGCGTCGCCTGTTACAACTTTCCACGCGACCACGAGGACGCGCGCATACTAAAGCCGACGAGGACGAGTGTCTAGATGCGTCGGGCGGTGGGCACGACATCGGGAGGGCATCGACACGGCGTCGAGGGTCGGAGGTCCTGGGGTAATTGATTTTCGGGGGTCGCAGGCAGGCAACCAAAGCACGACTCTTGAGAGCCGGCTCCAGTCCGCCGCAACAAATACGGCCAGACAAGGCAGGGACTCGTAAGTCCAGCGGCCCGCTGTCTGCCAATCATGCTAGCAATTGCGATCGAATGGTTCAATCACGATTGTCGAAGCTTCAACTCCAACACCCAAAAGAGATGGGGGAGCCGTCCCTCGAGAACAAGGCGACTGCGATTGTTTCTGCAGCCGGATTGCACTCGATGAACTTCCTCGGCAATGCAATGCATGCTGATGACTACGAGGATATGAGTCGCAATATCATAACGGGTTCAATAGTCGAAGTACCTTCAGTTTCTGTGACGCTCGTCGTCAGCTGGAGTCACCGAGCTTGCCGAGGGGGGTGGCGTAGAGGTCCCTGCGCTGGAAGATTGCATCGCGTACCGAAGCAAGGGAGCAATGGCAAGGATCCTTGACCACGAGTCGATGGAGAGAGTCTGCTAATGAAAGCGACCCTCGGCACCGAATGTATGGATGTCCTGGGTTACTTGATTTGAGCGTAGGAGCGCGACATTGTCGTGATGCACAACGTTGTCGGTGCTCCACCCTGACTAGAGACGTGTGAGCCTCTGCATCCCCTGTGAGACATAACACGCACGTTCTATTCCTCAGGCGTCCGATATGCCCAACAACTTCCTCGGCTCGGTCACACCCCTTGCTGCTCAAGGATGGAACATCAGCATTGCCCGTCAGCCATGTATCGGTTAGACGTACCCCTTCTGGCATAGCTGCGAGCGCAGCGAGGGCGACGGGAACCTGGTGCGTGGAAGGACCGGCGAGGAATCTTGGAATGAACTCTGCGCTTATATACCCTTTGCCATATTTGGCATTGTTTGGGAGGATGCCCGACGGGCGCTTAATTGCACTGCGCACTAATTCGAAGTACCGCGACTGAGAGCTCGCTGCGCGGCTCGTCAACGACGGCCATGACCTCCACCGCTTCAAACGAGCCCATCGCGGACAGAGACTCGATTCACAAGTCATGCAAGACTCTCGAGACCGTCGTCAATGTGCTCAATGACTACTGCGAGGCAGCAAACGCGATCCTCATTCTGCAGCGGAAGCTCGTCAAGGCCTTGCGAGATGCCGCAGCGGTCAAGTGTGTTCCGGAGATACCAGGTACGAGGAGGGACGGATAGTGGGACGACGAGTCGCTCAATGATTGCCTAGCAAACGCGTTAAACGTGAGCGCAACCATCTTCGACACACTCTGCGAAGTGGATGCAAAGTTCGTCAAGCTCGCGGACAAGGAGTGCGACGCGATTAGCGCAGAGATCAAGAAGTGGTTCAAGAAGCTTGCTGTGAGTATCCTACATGTGGAACCGTCACACCGCGAGCTTTACGGCCGTGTCGTAGAAAGAAGAACGCGCCTACGACGATCGCCTCGCCAACGCCAACGCCAAGATCAAACAGGCTGGTCAATCGTACGAGAAGAAGGCAAAGAGAAACCCACAGGACGCAGCCGATGAGCATGCCCGCTACATGCACATCCTCACGACTCTAGGCCCCGAGATTAACCAGGAGAAATTGTGAGTGCCTCCGCGATCTCTGCGTTTCGATTCCTTACCGTCGCTTCACCCGACTTAGCAACCATTCCCTCATGGTGACGCGCAGACATAACGCGACCATACACAATCTAGCTGCCGGCCTCTCTCGCGTAGCAGACGCGGAATGGCTCCGGTCCTGCGAGGGTGTAAGACGGTCCGCCCCTACCATTGGGCAGCTCGGCGAATGGCGCGTCTACTGCGAGGGCGGTTGGTCAGGCCCGTTGCCTGCGGACTTGCCCAACGGCGACGTTCCTCCTTACCGCTCAGAGCGTTCAGTGACTCCGGTAGCGCAAGGGCGCACGGTGACGCCAAACACGGAGAAGCCACCGCCAGGGCCTGGTACGCCGATGCTCGAGAAACCCGCACCTGAATATTCCTCTCGCCGCCCGAGCGAACAGGAGACAGACGCGTCATCACGAGCCGTCACGCCGACCCACGACCCATCACCCGCCCCGCCGCAATATCGCCCTCCGCCTGACCAGCCTGCCGAAGCGAAGCTCGCATCACCGCCGCCTCTGAAGACAATCGCAGACGACTCCGTTCGATCTCTGGCGTCTCTATCCTCATTCCCCGCACCGCCGACGCACTTCCCGATGCCGCCTCTTGCGAAGGCAGAGGCTAGTTCGCCGGTGAAGGAGACAAGGCCAGAGTCGCCGCGCGGCCCGCGCACGCCGTCCGAGATTCTATTCTTCCAGCGGAAGACAGAATCGCCCGCACCCCTCACGCCCTCCGAGACACCGCGACCTTTACCCTCGCCTGCGGTCCCACATGCCGAACCTGCTGCAGTCACATCCACGCGTTCTGTTGACTCGAACGGTAGGGTCGAAGGTGCACAAGAGCCGTCAGATTCGCAGCATTCACCACGTTCGGACGCCCATGAGCTGCACGAGCGGCGCGCCGCGAAGACCCCTTCGCCAGTGCTCACGCGCGCTTCCAGCAAGAAGCTCAATATTGAGAACTCGGGAGCTTCGTCCGGTCCGACGAGCTCCATCGCTGGATCCTCGCAAAGCGATCATATCGACGACGGCGAATTCGGTGCTCTTCGAACGATGGACGAGCAGCGCATCCGGCAAGGACGGCCCGCTGATGCCCCGTCGTCGCAGCAGGTCGAGCGCAGCGACACAGGAGCGAGCAATGTCAGTGTAGTGGCTGCCTTACGCGACCGATATTCCCGAATAGTGCGTTACTCCACCTTCTTCCTATCTGGGTGAACTGAGTACATTTCCTTGACAGCCCGAGCAACCTACCTCACCTCGCAAGGAGGTGCCCAAGTTGCCCACGAACGTCTCGAAGATCGCGAACAGATACCAATCTAACGACACTTCCCCGACCTCTCCCCGACTACCGCCACCGTCACCTACCGGGGACCGTCGACGGCTGTCCATGGATGTCCCGCGCAACAGCACACAGCCGTTCCCGACGGACCGCCGAACATCTGGCGTAACCTCGACTAGCTACGCGACGAATACGATGACCTCGATACCCATGTCCGACGATATTGCGCTACGCAGGCAGCGCATAGCCGAACTGGAAGACCTAGAGATCCGAGAGCAAGAACTGGAGCTGCGGCGGAAAGAGCGCGAGATCGAGCAGAGGGCAAAGGTGCTCGAGGAGGAGCGCGCGCGCATCTTGAACGCACGCAGGCCAGACAGCGGCTACGGCAGCGACGCTGCTCGCAGCGGGATGACCGACCGGTTGTCGATGAGCCAACAGTCCGATGCGTACTCAACGTCGTCTGCCCGGCCACGGTACCCGCAACACTCCTACAGCAGCGCAGCATTGGACCAGCTTCGGCCAGCGCGCCCATCTTCGAGCCAGCCGGCGTCGCCTCTATACCAGCCTGCTTCGGACCACGCGCCCTACTGTGGATGCGAGACATGCTCGGCATCTAAGTACACTTCCAGGGATACTTCGCCATCGCCTATCCATGTTCGGCCCATCCAGCTTCGCCCCGAGAAACCGAAGGGATGGATCCGCCGTCTGAGCATGCCTGTGATGGGCAATGCGTTCTCCTTGGACTCCAAGAAGGGTATTAGCAGCGCAGGCATCGCAGGCGGCCCTGGCTTCCGGAGCAGTCTTGCGTTGCCTGAGGAAGACGGGGTCATCAGGAGGGACGTGACAGGCGGCGTCCGAAACCGGAGTGCGACGAATCTTGCTCGGCGATGACAGTAACTTGCCTGTTTTTCTTATGCTTTATTTGCTGATTTCCATGTGCTTTATCTGCTCTGCTTACACCCGCTCGAGGACCTGGGCCTACGTTCAGGCCAGGCCTCGTTGCACGCCCTTTCTGACCTTTACGAGTAGCGACGATGACTTATTGCAGTATCCTATCCCTTGCTGATTGCTTTTCGGAGCTGCTTGGTTGTACCCCATCAATGTTCGACTTCTATCATCTATCCTGAATTGTACAATCCGGTATAACGCAGACGTGCATGACGCCGTCGTGAGCGTGACATGCCCAACCTCAGTCCAGCTAATAGCAAGATATACCGCGGGTGCTTGTGCGATGTTCGGCTGTGAGTGATGACGTGAGTACATACTGCTGGCAGCTTAGTCGTGGTCGACGATATTGGCAGGGTGGGAGGTCCATGCAGACTGAGTGCTGCAGGCCCGCCTTACATGCGCAGAGATTGCGGTCAGAAGTGGATCGGTTTCGTGGATGCGAGGGAATACATACAACCGACGAGGGAAGGTCTCGACGAACGACGACAGAAGACGAACTCGAATCCGAAGAGGCAATCGAACTGCTAAAAGAGGAAAGTATCGGTTGCTTCCGTTCACGTTTCCAATGATGCGCATCAATGTTCCGCAAGCGAGAAAGTATTCGACTGCGATTGCTTTTCTGCAGTTTCGGCCAACGCAACGCCTTCGGAACTTTCCAGGCGTATTACGCAGATCACCAGCGTGCATGAGCTAGTCACCCAACAGGTGCGCTTCGCAAGCCCTCATCGTCCGTACTACCAGCGCGTTCAGTACAGAAAGCTGAAAGAAACGTGATCATTGGACGGTAGTATGCCATGTATATAATACATACTAGACGAGGGTCATGTCCAGGGGTGGGACGCCGACCGTGGGCCTGGGCCTAACATTGGCCGCGACACCGCAGACTCTAGTAACTCTTGGATCCGAGATAGCTGCGCTTCAAGTCCATCCAATCTATGGTAGAGGCTGTCGTGCATGGTCCCAAACCTCGTCTCTAGTGCTTCCATACGTTGCTCTATCGACAATTGTGGTTCTTCCCTCATTCGAGCTTGACACCGTACGAGCGTGTGTGTCTCCTTATGTTGATTCTTCGTGATTCCGCCCTTGATATCGCATGCCACGCATAAAAATACGTCGTCTTAGTCGATGTGAGTGCGATTTGCGAGCTGAGAGCGAAACAATGGCCTACCATCGCATTCTACGCAGTACCAACAGGGCCACTTTACGCCGCCCTCACACCCTAGACAGCGCAGTTTCCTATTCACCATGCTGGATGTATTCGGTCCGCTGTCTGGGGCATCCAGCTCGTCGAGCGTCGCGTGAGACCTCCGCAAAGCCTCTCGAACTTGTGCGTCGTACTGCTGGCGCTCGCGCATGTACATGGTCTTCCTGAGCTGGAAGATATCGTGCGTCGGAAGGTGAGGCGATGCTAGATCCGAGCGCTGTGTCGGGGTGACAGTGGAAGCGAGACAACGGGGATCGCTACACAAGTCGAGGGTGTCCAAGGACCGTGTAGCGCATGTCATGCATACCATGCGCGAGCCCCTGATTTGACAGCTGCAGTTGTCGCATTCATACCCGCTACACATAATGGAGGATCAATTGTGGCAGCTTGATCTTCTGGAACAGATACATACTGATGTACGCAAGCTGTCTGGAGTAGCTGATGTTCAGCCAAGGATGCGTAAAACCGGGCGTCTGCAGGACTGAGAGAACGTATCAAGCCTTGATACTCGACCTCGTCCTCAGCACTGAGGCGGGGGCCAAATCTCTCTCGCAAAATGAATTCGACGTAGCGCAGCCTCGCCGTTCTTCGTTGCTTGAAAAATTTCCAGGAGTAGGTCGATCTCAGGACTTGCTGACGGGTGGCTGAGAGGGCAAAGCGCCATAAAGCACGGATCCTGTTTTGCTCGAATTTCCAAGGGGCCGGACGGCAAGAGAGTACCTCCGGAGTCATCCGAGTCAGGACGAAGGGGCCGACCTCTGTGTGGGTCGCTTCCTTCCCCACACCTCCCCAGACACCCTCGATCAGCGTGGGACTTTTGCTCATTTTCCCGCGCAGTTCCACGATATAGGCCTGGAAAGTGGAGCTCAGGTGCAGTGTGTAGTAAGTCTCGCCGTGAGCCGTGGTCTCCGCATTCCCCCCGAGTGTGAATGTTATGCCTCTCATGCTGTCGGGCATGGAGCCGACGGCTTCGAGCTCGTAAGGCCCGCGCTTTGCAACGTGAATTTCGACCGTGAACATCGGGCCCATCGGCCACTCTGGAGGATTCCTCTTCGAGAGTAAACTGTACCAGGTGCCCAGGCTGCCAGAGGAGGTGAGTCTCAACTCACAAGGGTAGGAGTGGGTGAAGGACGCACATCTCCTTGATCGGCGACTGAGCCATGCGGTCCTCGTCCGTCTCAACGTACTGCTTTGCGATGTATTGCTCCACTTCAGGGCGGTACGGCTCTTTGAGCGGATGGTTCAGGGCAGAGAGGTCAGACTTTTCCTCGCCGGCTGTACCGGACGACTCGTCGTAGTGGATGTGTGCTAGTTTGGCGTCGTACAGCCGCTTTCGTCCTTCCTTCCAATCGTCTGTGAGTTCGAACTACAAGCGTGCATTAGCGCCGAAGGCAGTCACGTTGAAATCAAGTGCCCTACTAGTCTGCAGTATTTACTCTTGAATTGCTCCTGAGGGATCCAACCCTGATGTGAGAACGTCTCTGCCTGGATTTGAGCATTGCGTTTCGAGGTTCGTGCCAGATGCTGGCAAGTGTATAGCACTCACCTCCCAGGGATTGTTTCCTTGTTTTGCAGGCGTTTACCACAGTTAGGATATTGTCGCCACAATCCCATAGCTCTCGTTCATCGACGATGTGATGCCGGCATATTTTAAGGATTTGCAGATCACGTTGCAGCATCAAGTAGAGCAGCGGGAATAGATACTGCCAGTGTGGTCACAAGTGCTACACGTCAATAGCTGAGATAAGAGCCAGTGAATCTATCGTCTTACCTTCTCGATTCTCCCCGGACCCGTGACGATGGAGAGCGTAGTCAAGTCGTCGACACGGTAGCGAATGGTCTCCAAATTCCGTTTGAGTCTCGTTTCCTCGCTAACGACGTAATCCCCGAAGCGTCGTTGCACCTTGTCTAGCAGCGTTAACGGTTCAAGGGGCATGGTGCTAAACATCAGCTGTTCCCACGTATGATTCAGATATCGCTCAACCATCTGACGATTCTGAGGGTGGATGCAAGGTTTCAGAGCGAACATGCTGTCTACGATTTTGTAGATCTTCTCCTTGTAAATCGTCGCGGTGTTTTGCCAGCCTGAAGAAAGGTGTCAATTGGTGCGCCGGAAGCGTGAGGGGCGAAGGACACACCGACTGCCCAATACGCAATCCAACGGGGCAAGCTAGGACAATCATTCGGCATCCAAAGGTATGAGCAATTATTGCAGGAGTCACTCACCTCCAGTTGGTAGGTCTCGAACTAGTGAAATCGTTCGCCTCAGCAATCGTGACGAAGCCTGAGGCGTCGTCGTCAAAGGCTTCGCTGATTGACTGGAGCCACTTCATGCTGATGAACTCCAGCGACCACGCGTCGGCATCGGAGGTGTAGGCTACGTCTGACGCTGCCTCCTTTCGTTTGCTTTCTTCGACGCGGTCATGATAGAAGTCTCGCAGTGCGAGGACGAAGTGCCTTGTCTTGACGCTGCCGCGCCATCCCTTGGAATCAAGAGGTCATCAAATTATGCAGTTCCACAGTAGTATTGTGCCTACCATTTCCTTCCAGATAGTATAAATATCCTGAGATGACGTTGATGAGAAATGGATGAGACCTTGATAGTCGACGAGCTACCTTGTCCAGTATCCTGTCATGAGGACCTGATGTTACTGACTCGATAACACGGTCGCTCTCCCGGACCATAATCTTCTCCGTATCTTCGACGATCTGCCTCTGGAGGATTTCGAGCTTGCGTTCGAAAGACGGGAGATTCTCATTTGCAGCTTCAGCTGGGTCGCGTAGATCTGCCTGCAGAGAGCGCAGGTCGCTGGCACCATCATGCTCCCCGGACGGCTCCCTGGCACCCTCCGCGGTGAGCTCCTCGAGGGCACATTGATCATGAAGGACTGCAGCAGCTCCCCCGCGTAGCGTGACTTGTTTGTACAGATGTTGATCCTCTTGCGACACATATGTCTGAATGAAGTAGATGATTTGTTCTGGGTTTGTCCTTCCATTCCTAGTTGTCAATGAAAATCGCCCTATCGCGAGTACGAGAGTGCGCACCTCTCCTCCATTAGACGGCTGATACCTTTCAACTGATCAGAGACGCCATCGATGCCGCGCATAGCATGCATTGACATCGCGAACTGAAGATCGGCACGTCGTTGCGCGAACAAGTTCACCAAGTCGACAAAGTTGCTTTCCCAGAACGGTGCCTTGAGGACCTTCGCCAAGGATCTCATCTTCGACCAGACGTCACAGACGTTTGCGCATCTCTTGATATCTTCGGCTATTTGCTTGATGAGGCCCTGCATCCTCCCCTCGACAGCAATGCCCTCGACGTCAACCGCACTCGGGTCCTTGATGCTCTTCAGTCTACACATAATCAACATGATGCTATCGTGCTGCGGGATTGCGCCTTACTCCAGTAGGACGGTCATCATATCTTTCATTTCAACGTAGAGCGCGATTACCTTCGAGTCGTTCTCGCTCCGCTTCATCTCAAATGTATAGACGGCTTTAAAAGCGAGTAGAGCGACTGTAGAAACGAGACGAAACGATGAGCATATTGACGACGCGCTGATTATCTGGCATACCTGAGATGAAGGGATGAATCTTGGCAATTTCATCTAGAGCTCTGACGAGCACCGGAACACTCTCGAAGAAGCCATTGACGGCGTTCTGAATAGAATCCGTCTCTAGAGAGGAAACTAATCCGTTCGCTGTCTGCCCAATGCCGACTGTCGAGTGGGGCAAGGACAACGTGTTTCCGTCAATGATACGATAGCTGTGGCACAATGATGGTTACTAGCCTAGTGCACCTATCTTCTTGCCCAACTTGCTCCCCGGTTTCGCTGCAGGGCTGCGAGCGCGCAGTTCCTGCGCGGCCTCGTCGATCGCCTCGTTCACATGATCGTCATCTCCGCTTTCATGGTGCGTAGTGCCACTGACCGAGGAAGCCGAATGGGATACGGAGGCAGACTGCGCAGGTGCCCCGTTGCCCTCAGCACTTGCAGTCTGAGAGGAAGGTTCGTGTATCGGGTCAAGGGTCGATCTCCCGGCAGACCGAATCCTCGACTGATGGCTGGAGATCGAACCAACTGCACCTGGGATCGACAACGGAGATACAGACGCCGCTTGGGACTGAGCATCGTCGCGAGGAGAGTCTGGGGTTCCATTTTTAGCCCTACGTTTTGGGAGGATGTGAAAAGGCGACATGGGAGCACACTGAGCTGGGAAAGGCGGAAGCCGCGAGCCTTGTCGCGCTTGCTATCAAGGGCCCGTTACCTTGTGACGTGGAAGCTTATGAAGAATGAACTCCGTCTGGAGACAGTCAAACCTAGCCTCATAGTGTGTGACACTATCAATCGATTTGAACGGGCGGAGCGAGGCTGTATGTAGGCTTACTCAATGATGGGGACGGGTGCACTGCTTCCTTCACGAATGGCGACCGAGAACTGAGAATGACAGATCGTCAGTAGCACAAACCATATCTAACACTGTGTTTGATGAGCATGACCACTTGCTCCGTATACTGCAGGTACATACATCAACACCAATCGACGCAGCGCTCGCGCGAGGTCGAGTAGTGGGACGTGTACAGCGGCGTTGGCCAGAGTAGTGAATTGGGCCTGAGCCAATATTGTAGACAAACGCTGAAGATCAACGCAGGGTGCTGAACGAGTGCTGAACATTGAACAAGTCATTTTAAAGAGTTCCAACTTTGAGTCAAACTTTGAGGTGCCACGGTCGGTACGTCCACGTGACCTGTACCGCGTATAACCTGTTCGAGTTTAGCGGCGAGGCGACCTTCGTCCTGCACGACGTCGAGCCCTCTTCCATCCGCCTCCCCCCTATTCTCTCATCCGCCCACATCGCCGCGTCTCGACGCGCGCGCATCCCCGCAAATAAACCGCTGAAACATATACATATTCAGTGAGAAACAGTCGGAATCTATCGCGAGGCTGGCGCTGATGAGAACGCCGTCCTTGCAGCGAACCCTCACGATCTCTACTCACGACTTCATACTAGCCTTGCGCTGCCTGCTGGATGGCAGCACCAACGCAAGCTCTGCCGGCTTGGATGACTCTTTCCTCTGCTGTCGTCACTGCACCAGACGGCAGTGTCTTCACCTCGTACACCACCCTCGAGTTGCCGCTCACATACTACGGCCCAAGCGTGAGTCTCCCGTTGGTTCATTACTTCGTCTCTCTATTGGAAGCCCCCGACCTGCTTGCGCGTCACCCTAGATGATTCGTAGGCAGCGTGCCGTTTCAGCACGCTAGCACAACCCAGGGCGTAGCTCTGCTACACCGCGGGATGTAGCTTCTGGGCACGTATGTTCCTCCTACTCTTCGGACATTAGCGTACGTACAAACGTACACTGGACTAGCCGACAGTCGGGCTAGGATGGACTACGCAGACTGTTGTTCGACTGCAGCTCCGTTACTCTGTGAAAGCCCCGACAACGTCCTCGCGTCTCAGTTGTTCAATGGCGAAGCGCGTGTCTGACGACATCAACAAACACGCCCCTGAGGGCGGGTGTCTGTCCAGATTTCCGCATCGCAGGGTACTGTGACAAGGCAGAGATAACTAGACTGGATACGAAGGAACGCTGCAGCATGGGGTCATCACATTCATATGTTTTGCGTCGAGACTCGCAGGTTGTGCTGTCCTCCAAACCAAAGAACAGGTCCTCTGGCCCCATCGGCCTATCGATCGGGTTCAGGCATTCGCTGTTTCGTGATGTCCTGGTCTGTGTCCCTGGTGCAAATGGTGATAGTGCGGAGAGACGTTGGCAGGCCTCCCATATCCAGACGAGAATGTTGCGCGTCTCAGGACTCACTACATCGTCACTGCATTTGGCGTAAACCATAATTCAAACCTTGCGATGCCTGAGTCCTCGATTTGGGGGCTTTAGACGGTGGCATCACAGCCACACAAGCTGCGCTTGAATCATTGGTTGAGTACGATAGACTGCCGGGCAGTGTCAGGACTTCCTGGTCAGCCCCGGATGGCGGCGATCCTTTCGGCCTGTATGGCATTTTGCTCACTATGATTCGCTCCCTACTCTTCACCGTCGAACTTCCCGTGCTGACATGGGCCCATAGATTCCCCTGAACACGGGCTGGACATACGGAGGGTTGACCCCACCTCCGTCTACCTCCACGGCACCCACTTCCTCATCGCCATTTACTACCACCTCGCCCTCATCTGCTCCATCTAGTTCATCCTTCTCGTCATCTGTATCCTCGTCTTCCTCTAGCGTGTCGTCGACATCTTCATCGTCGGCCTCAAGTTCGACCATGTCGAGCTCCTCCATAACCACAACGTCGTCGGTGTCAGCGTCGGCATCACCATCTGCCGTAGCATCTGGAGCCCACAGTTCAAGATCTTCCACAGTGATCGGGGCCGTGCTTGGTTCCCTTTTGGGCACGTTGGTCCTCGTGCTTTTGATCCTCATTTGGCTACTCCTGCGGAGACACTACAGGGGTGTCAGGAACAACACCGAGCCGCCAGCGAAGAGTGCAAGCTCGAGCTTCTGGAATCGATCTACAACTGTCTTCTCGCGTCGGAAGTCGCGGCGGCAGACACCAATATGGACGGAGTGGCAGATGGTGAGCCCCGAGGACTTCGAGGACAGGCTGCCTCAGAGCCCGACCAGCCCAACCAGCCCTGAAGAAGGCATTCCCCGTGACAGCGGAGACGAGACGGACCCGTTCCTTAACCGCACTCTTCGCAATGGCACGAACGAGATGTCGCAGACGCAGACGGGCACAGACACACTCGTCAGCATACCCGTCGCTGCTGCGCTCGCTACGGGCACCGCATCGACGCGCCGGTCGGGGACGACACCTACTCATGTGGGCGGACCGATCATGCCACGCGAAGAGCTGCTTGCGCGGATGAACGAGGAGGATGCTGCGATGATGCAGGTACGTCTGGTGAGCCCCTCGACTGACGAGCACACGTCGCCGCTGCTCCCGCCTCCGCCATTGAGCTCGGATCGCCGGAGCATGCGTGCGGCCAGGCCGGGACTCAACGAGACAAAGTCAATGCGCTCGCTCGCCTCTGCTGCATTCTCTGGGTCATCGGAGAAGTCGGGCAGCATCGACGCGCAGGAGCCGGAGCGTGCGGAGTTGCTCACGGCGCGACGAGTCAAGGTCGGCAACTACGGTGAGCCAGCGTCGGACGCCGGTGCGAGTTCCCTCACGAGCGGTACGTCCGGCCTCGAGAGGCTCGCGAATCTCCCGCGCATGAGTTGGTTCCGGCGGATGTCATTCCTCCCCACCCCCGTTGGCTCGAGATCGAACTCTCGTGACGGAGCGGAAGGTGACCGGTACACACGCACTCCCCCACGGTCGCATTCACGGCAAAACTCTCGCTCAAGGCCAGTCTCATGGGCGCCGTTGCCAACAACAGAGCCGACCAGCCCGACTCTGGAGTCTAGCGTGGGTCGGAGGCCGAGGCCACCATCGTCGTTCCCCCAGGGCTTGGGTCTCCTCGTTGGCGACGAGCGGCCAGTATCGTCCATCAGCGCCAAGAGCCGTGCGAGCGGGAGTACCGTGTACCACGACGCAAGGGACACTCCCAGCAGCTCGCTGGTGGAGGTCAACGTGACCCCGGCTGGAACGTTTGGATCTAATCGTTCGCAGCCGGGTATTCCGCCTGTGCCTCCACTCCCTCACCAGGCGCGCTCGGCGCCAGTGTCCCCGCTTGCGGAGCAGACACTTGGGACGAACACTGGTTATATTCACCTAGACATCCCTAGCTCTGAGCCACCCACCTACGAGGAATCGCATCGGGACTCGCCACATAGCTCTGGAGATCGTCCTGCTGATTCCGTCGACGTCCTGGACCTTCCTGTTCCCCGCCCCGCCTCACCGTTCACTGCTGCCTCAGGTAGCAGCCGTGCTCAGCCGCCCCCTGGCCTGCCAAACCCGAGCGTGTGGCGTGATTCCCATGCGACCACGGATGGTACCTCAAGCACGTCTGGCATTCGGATCGATGTCCTTGAGGAGGCACCACCTCCGGCTCAGGATAGCTGGCGCAACTTGTCAGGCGGGAACGCAGGTACGGCTCCTGGTGGACGGCGAACGACATTTGGAACAGTGGTAGGTTTATACGTTTCATGTATCATGTTCTCTGATACTCAGTGTGCCTTTGCAGCCCATGGTAGTTCATCGAGACGCTGTCCAATCCGAGCGTGGTTCTCTCGCGTCTGGACGCTCACATCTAAGCCCACACGTTCTGCAGTCGTCTGGTTCGACAGCGGCGTCACTGCATACGCACCGCAGCTCTTCGTCTAAGTCTCACTCTCAAGGGCCAAGCGGCAGCTCTGGCTCTCGTTCGGCCTCGCATGCCGGGTCAATCGCCGACCGGAGACTCGAACAGGTCAGCGAAGCAGCTTCTCCGCCTTTGTCCGCCGTCTTCTCCAAGGACGGCGTGTGGAGCCGTCCAAGCTCACCGCCAGGTGTACGCCCGATGTCGCCCATCAGCCAATCGCCTTCATCCTCCGCGGAAGGAGAACCCGCGTTCCCGGAGCCGCGCCCTCCGACGCCGAACACCGCGGCGGGGACAGTGACGTCCACTACAACTTCGAGGACGGAAGAGAGTGGCACGCATGCGAGCGTGACTACGAGTGGTACCGACCCAGTGAGTGGCGCTGTGTTGCACTTCCCTGCACTGCCGTGGCACCGACCCCGTGAACAGGGCTATGCTGAGGCCCGACATGACGATGACATCCTGTGGTAGTGCTAGAGTTTTTCCTCGGTTGTGGTGACTATCCCCTTCTATCCCCCTATCCCGCATACCCTTACGTATTCGTCGAGAGAGCTCGACAGTGCGCCCCGTTCACACCTTTGACATGACACTTGCACGCGTTACCTGTTATCCTCCCTCTACCTACCCCCGACCTACTTCTGCGATACCTCATTCGAACTTCACCATGGCATCCGATACCTGTTAGATGTTTTGCAATTGCTTTGCGTTACCCTTGACCTGCTTGCTCCGATCTATATTGACCAGACTTGTATCTATCCGTCACCTATCTGATGCTCACGACCCACGTTATGATTATGACCTACTAACGACCGAGAATATAGCCTTCTTTGTTTTGTATATTTTCGACCGAGCCTGTTTGCCACGACGTGTCAGAGCAGAACTCTACCACATACTTAAACCAAGCCTGTGGTGAGTACCTCGATGTGCAACTTGTTCTGACAGTAGCTCCGTCATGTGTCGAGCGTTCTCTACTGAGTAGACCAGGGCAGGTCTGGTTTCACAGATACGGTACTCAGACTGCCGTGCGTGCTTCTGCCCATCGTGCGTACAAAGGATACTGATTGAACGCGTAGAAAAACTTGCGCTACAGTACACCTACTAACGATACATTCCGGTTCCACTCCTCGTACTTACAGATAAGCCCCCCTTTATTTCACGACCTTCGCCTTGGAGCTGACCGTCTGGATGTCGATGGTTAGGATATCCTGTGAAATGGTACGTCCGTCAGTGTTACGCTTACTCGCAGGGGAATTGACGTACCTTTCCAGCGCGCAGCTCCGCGGGCGAAGGCATCAGGCCCAGCCGAAGCAGTTCCGACGCCTTGCTCACGACGGGGTCCTTTTGCATACTGACGACAAAGTCAATCAACGTTTGTCATTGAGCCAGTGCATGCAACGCGGCTTACCTTGCAACGGCGACAACCTTGTCGTCCTTCACGTAGTACGCAATGAACTGTTGACGTTGTCAGTATCCCTGGTCTCGGCGGGTATGTGGATGTGGACACTTGCCTTCATCTCATCGGGGTTGCCAATGATGATCACGTCTTCGAAGCTAGCACCAACGCCGCAGTAGCGGAGTTGCTGTCCCTCTGAAGGTGGACGTTCGGTTAGTCCCTCTTTCTCGTATGCAATGCAAGGTGCTCACGAGCACTCCAGAACACAGGGATCTTGACAAACGGCTGCGCCTTGCCCTCCGCGATCGTCTTCCCTGCCGCACGTCCCTGATTACCTGCGACCTATACTCAAAGCCTGATCAGCTACTCAAGACCTGGTCGGAAGCCTATCTCTACTCACATTCCAGTGCTCAATCCTGCGCAGCTCGCCAGTACCCGGCTGTGGGTACATCGCAATATCACCAATCGCATACACGCCTTGCAGACCCTTTACTCTCAAGTACTCGTCCACGAGCACCGCGCCGGTCTTGTCGAGCGCGCTTTCGAAGCCTTTGCTCTGCCCGCTCTTGAGGAAGTCGGTCGCGGGCGCGACGCCTACACCCATGATGACCGCATCCGCGGGGAGGGTGTGCTCGCCCGCGCTACTCTTCACGACGACCGCGGCGGCCTTGGAGTTGTCGCCCGGCGAGGGCACGATCTTGGAGGCTTGCGCGTTCATGTGGAAATGCACCCCTTTAGACTCGTGGAACTACAAATGGGGTGAGCTCGTGCGAGGTGGTGAATTACGGAAGTGCTGTGTACCTTCATGAGGCCGCGGCCGACTTCCTTGCCTAGGATGGGCTCGAAGGGAACAGACCCTTGCCCGATGACGTCGATGGATGCGAGCTTCCTGCTGGATACGGCTGCGACGAGCTCCATGCTGATGAACGAGGACCCGATCACGACAAGCCTCTTGCCCTCCTGGCATGCTGCGCTCAATGCTTCAGCCACCACTTCTATGCTACGCTGTGCTCAAGACACTCACCAGCATCAATCTTCTTCGCATCGTCGACCCCGCGCATCGTGTATACGTTGCTGAGGCTTGCACCGTCGATCGGCAGGCGGCGCGGGACGCCGCCAGTGGCAAGTACCAGTGTTTCGTACGGGACGGTCGTGCCGTCGGTGAGGCGCACGCTCTTTGCAGACGCGTCGACGGACTCGGCCTGCACCCCCGTGCGGAGGTCAACGCCGTACTTCGTCTTGAGGTCTGCGGGCGAGCGCCACTCGATCTTGGCGGGGTCGGTGATGAGCGCTTTACTCAGCTTCGTCCTGCGGCGAGGGTCAGAGGTAGTATGGAATGAATGGATGTATGCGCACCTGTCAATGGGGCTGTGGTTCTCTTTGGACAAGACGGTGATTGGGCCATTGAAGCCATGCTATAGACATCTAGGTCAGTCAGGTTCTGTCGTCAGATATGAAGCCTCAAAAGGGCGCAGCTCGGGGCGAACAGATCTGTATATGTGGCAGCACAATGTGTGCAGATCACGGTCATGGGGTTCCAGACACCAGTCCCCGGGCTAGGCCGTGACGCCTGCATTGAGCGTTACACTCACCTCCCGCAAACTCTCGATACAGTGGAAGGTTCCGCTACCTCCACCGACGATGACAACACCCGTGCCACTGGCAACACCAGTGGCGAGCAGCTTGGATTGGCGAGACATGTTGTTCTTCAGTGTGTCGGAGGGATTCGCGGTCACGTGGATCTTTCCGTCGGCGACATGGGCTTTGAAGGAGTGGATAGCCATGGGCGCAGGCGCGTCCTCTAGTTATCCGTAGAGGAGTTATTACGATACCCAAATGATGTGTGGCAGTGCGACATACCGATGTCGCCAGTACAGACATTGAAGCATGCTGCGTGACGATCAGCGTTGGTACGATCATCTTCCTAGATCACATCCGGCTGAGTGTACGAACCTCCGTGCCAAGGACTACATTACAATTCCCATGAATGGAGGTATGCACAGATATATTAGGTGCTTACCATACGACTCGCCCATCGGCAGTGAGCACACCTTTCGCGAGCGGCGCACCGTAGTGGGTGCAGAATGCACTAGTCGCGTGGATCTTGTCGCCCAATCGTGAGAGAAGGACCTTTCCCTCTCCTTCAAATTCAACCTGTTTTCTGTGCATCACTGTAAGTTTGGCGCATATATGCTTGAGGAATCGGCTACGCACAACTCTCCGTCCTTCAGCTCGGACTCGTCAAGTACGGCAATGGTTTTTGCGGACATCTTGCGAATTTGTGGTCGAGCGAGCTGGAAGGCAGGTAGATATAGGGTTTGTCTTTGCAACTGTATGAGCCCTCGGGGATGTAGATGGGAGGAACGGAGGAGAGAGAACATACGCTCGCGCTGACGCTGCTGGAGGTCGATATAAGTACACGCCTAAATCGGGCGATGACGTCGCTGCCAGCGCCATTGGTGTGCTCTCGGCGTCCAGCCAATCACCGCCTCCAATTTACTCATCGGTGGTTCAAGGCGAACCACAACGCCTTGCGGTAGCATCTCTTATGCACTGTAGTCGCCACTGTCAGTCTGATAAGTGGACAGTGTTAAGGGAGGTTAGGCCTCCACTAGAACGTTCTCTAGGGCGAGCATGTAGAGATCACCGGCGTCTACGCAACACCGTACATAAGTATGTGACTGGGGACGCGTCCGGCACGTGAAACCCGTCACATCACGACCTCTACGGCCGACGAACCCGCCGCGGTGACTGCGTTTGCCCGCAACTGAAAGCCCTCTCCACCACCACCATGTCGTCCGCTCGAATGCTCGGTCTGGGTTCCGTGCTGAGGCAGGCTGCTCTCAAGCCGAGGGGTGAGTCCACTCACATACAGCTACTACCACATCTCACAGGTTGGATATACGCAGCCAATGCCTTGCGGATGGTGGTACCCAAGCGGCAAGTCCTCATGTTTGTGTCTGGCGAGCAACTCGAGCTGACATGCTAGGTAAAACTAGCGGCATCAAGACGCAGTCCCTCCCACCCTCATCCATGACTGAGATCCTCAACACTCAACGCCTGAAGCGCCCTTCCAGCCCCCACTTCACCATCTACCAGCCCCAGCTTACTTGGCTTGGCTCGATCGCCAACCGTATGACTGGTTCTGCTCTGAGCGTCCGTGCGTATCTAAATTTCTCAGTGCACCCGAGACTCGTGAAGCTTACACGAGCGTAGTTCTGTACGGATACGCTCTCGCATACCTCGTCGCCCCTGGAACATTCGACTCCGCGCACGTCATCGAGTTCGTCGCTGGTCTTCCCGACGCCGTCAAGTATACCGGTAAGGCTATCTTGGCTGCGCCCTTCGCTTTCCACTCGTGGAACGGTCTGCGGCACTTGTCCTGGGACGCTGGTAAATGTATGTCACCCTACCTTCGCCTCTACTAGACCTCGCCCTTCACTGATCACGGGATCCTTGTAGTCCTCAGCCTCAAGGGAGCGTATCAGTCTGGATATGCCGTGCTCGGCGCCACTGCTGTCACGACGGTCGCTCTCGTCCTCATGTGATGTAGCTGTATTTGTAGACAATCGCAAGATGCAGAGGCTGTGGTATAAGGATTCGCGATCGTGGGTACCTGACAGCTGGTGGTAAACCACATAAGAAGCCCATTGTTTATGCACCAACACTCACAGCCTACCGTTTAGCGCGCTGATCATCACTCATATACAAGGGTTCAGCAGATACAGTCCTTCGTCCCGTTCTCGCGAGCCATCTCTTCCTCCCTCCGGCTGCTCGATCGCGCAGGGATGGGCAACAGCTACTCCGTCCTGCAGCAGCTCTCGCGCGAGGAGCAGGAAGAGTGTGAATACACACGTCTAGTCGAGGCAGTCGAAGCTGCTCAGACTGCTCAATTGCAGTCGGGACAACAGGACTATGGACGTGCGCCGTTTGCAGTGAGACAGCCTACCCCCACGCCATCCATCCCACCTGTGGCCCAGCCCGGCCCCGCCAGTCATACACCATGCCCGCCCTCCTTCGTTCCAGTCCCAGGTTTTCCGACGCTCGGATTATCCTCGGAACGTGCGTGTTCGATGTCATGACATTGATAGAGTAATAGACTGATTAAAGCATGGTCGATCGTCGTTGTAGAAGGGGCGCCTGACCCCGCATTGCATAGACCTATCCCAGTTCAACCGAGGAATAGTGATGGATCGCAAACTATGGTCGAGTCGCCTAAGAATGCGCACGTTAATCCAGCCCCGAAAAGAGGTGAGCACTTATCTAGGTCGTAGGGTCGAGCTCTCATAACTCGGGAATTGGAGATGAACCGCCTGAGCCTTCATACGCACCAGTCGTCCCTCCCGCGTAGGTTCCCCTTCCTACCCCGCTGTTGCGCTTTTGACGCTTAGTCTACTGTTTTCAGTCCTCCGATAATGCCCACTTATCTTCGACAAGAGGTATCCTCCGAGTCATCGCCAGGCGCGTTATTGTGCACACGATCGCGTTCACCGCCGTACCGTTCCCCGTATGAGCATGAACCAGCCGCTGATAGCACCCGCTCGCCTCAACCTCACTATTCACCATCGCCGCCTCGCGAGAGAGGGACGGTCGTGCGTAGATGGAGCCCGCGGCGCAGTCCTAGCAGGCACAGCTCCAGACGTCGCTGGCCCTCTCCCCCTCTTATTGATGCAGTATCAAGCCAACCAATACGCGCTGAGATTTTTACTCCCAGGACACCATCACAGGACGCCCCTGCTTTCCGCGATTCGTCGTACTCACCACCGTATCGTCGTCAGCGTGGGCAGGCGTCGAGCCCAGAGGGCGTGCGCTATCGAGTACCCACCTCCCGCCTCGTAGCATTAAGGTCAAGGAGTCCCCGACCTTTCATTGCACGCATAGAAAGGTCACCGCCGCGGGCGCAAGCTGTGACCCACCATTCACCAGTCGCCCCGCCTGGTCGCTATGGGCGTCAGCCGACCCCGGACAACGCACGCGCCTCTCGAGCTCGGCTTACGCCATCCCCGCCAGCCTTCCGTGAGCATGTAGTTGAACGCGGGCGCAGCCCCCTTCGAAGGCCCTCTCCCCTTCCTAGCCCTTCGAGGTCACCGACCCAGGGACCGATTATAATCCGCCCTCCGCCAGTTGAACCACCGAGTCGTTATCTGCGCGAACGGACCCCGGAGATCGTACGCGCACCTCCAACTCGGTATGCGCCATCGCCGCCAATGGACCGTGAGTGGGTCCCTGTTGGCCGAATGCGCGGTTATGGACGTTCGCCCGTGGAGATGCCAAGAGAATCTCCATCTGGCCACGTACTACCCCCCCTTCGAAGGCCCTCTCCCCTCCCCAACCCTTGGAGGTCACCGACCCAGGAACCGATTATAATTCGCCCTCCGCCAGTTGAATCACCGAGTCGTTATGCGCGCGAGCCGACCCCGGAGAGCGTACGCGCACCTCGAACTCAGTATGCGCCATCGCCGCCAATGGACCGTGAGCCTGATTGGGTCACTGTTGGCCGAGTGCGCCATTATAGACGTTCGCCTGTGGAGATGCCAAGAGACGCTCCATCTGGCCACATACCATCACATGGACGTCCAGCGGACAACCGTGGTAGAAGTCCTTCGGTGATTACGATTCGAACTGAATGTGGTCGCACACAGAGCAGTCCCTCGCCTATCGTGGTACCGGTGAGTCGGTCGGGGCAACCAATCTATCCACGGGGAAGTTACTCGCCTTCTCCACCGCCAGTCGTCCAGGTCCCTTCGCGTCCCTCTGCGGCCGTCCGCAGCAGCCGAAGTCCTCCGCTCATCGTTAGAGTTCTGTCTGAGTCGCCGGAACGTGGTCGCAGACAGAGGACTCCCTCTCCTGTGCGTGTGTCGCGATCGCCATCACCCTATCCACGGGTCAGATATGCCTCTTCTTCGCCGCCGCCAGTCGTCCTGGTCATCCGCAGCAGCAGAAGTCCCCCGCCCATCCGAATTCCGTCTGTGCCGCCGGAACGTGGTCGCAGACAGAGGACTCCCTCGCATGTGCGTGTGTCGCGATCGCCATCACCCTATCCACGGGTCAGCTATGCCTCTTCTTCGCCGCCGCCAGTCGTCCTGGTCATCCGCAGCAGCAGAAGTCCCCCGCCCATCCGAATTCCGTCTGTGCCGCCGGAACGTGGTCGCAGACAGAGGACTCCCTCTCCTGTGCGTGTGTCGCGATCGCCATCACCCTATCCACGGGTCAGCTATTACTCGTCTTCGCCGCCGCCAGTCGTCCAGGTCCCTTCGCGTCCCTCTGCAGTCGTGCGCCGCAGCAGAAGTCGTTTGTTGTCTCGGGTTCGTGGTCGCAGACAGAGCAGTCCCTCGCCGATCGCGGTGTCTCGGTCGCGGTCGCGGTCACCCCAGCGATTCTGGGGCCCGCCGCCGGTGATCATTCACCGGCACCCCCTGCCGGACGACGCACCTACTACAGTATCCTGCGACCCAAGTCTGGAGCGCCCGCGAAGGTCCAGGTTGCTCAGTCGACGACGTGATCGCTCCTCGACACCCCCATGGCTTCGTCCACAGAAAAATATGTCCGAACACCGCACCGGCTCAGACCTCAAGCGTGACTATCGGAGAGGAACAGCGGAGATGCCGTCTGCCCCCCAAGATGCATCAAGCGCGACGCATCCGAGCGATACGGCTCTGCCCACGTATGGGGCTGGTCCCTCAGTGCCACGGGTACACCCAGACAGACATGAATTCCTGGAGAACTCCTTCCAGAGTATGTTGTCCACTGAAAATACTGATCCAAACGTGCAGGCCACTACGTCCCCCCGGTCCATTGTTCCGAGTCCAAGAACACCGGACATCCATGGTGAAGAACCGCTAGGCGCACCTCTTTGTCCACCGGGGCCGATGTTATGCATGCCTACGCACATACTCGGCCCTTGCGCTATGCCTATCACCGATGTCCGACAATCCACTGCCGCGGAGCCACAGGTGAACTATGATTCACCTTGCACTTCTCCAGAGCGCAGCTCAGTCAACGCGACATCGTGTCCCGATCCGAAGCTTCTTGCTACATCGTATTCGAGCAAGCTGCGCAAGTCTGGCAGCTCTGCCTTCAGCGAGAAGCGCAGTAGTGCTAAGTCTGTACACTTGATCATCCCTCCCCCCGGCAAAGCACCTGCTACTCAGTCTCAGCAATGTGTCAATTTCCTCCGTGCCGTTGGTCTCCCGCATGAACTGAAGAGCGAGGCGAGCGATGGGTGGTGCCCTGCATGGGAAGTGTTCCCGCTGAAGGTCTTCAGGGGTGCGGAATACAAGGTACTGAGGATACAGGGCGAGTGGGACGACGCGGCCCTGTTGAGTGAGCTTCGGAAGACGTATGATGACTTGCGGACGATCTGGAGGAAGTGGTTCTCATTGAGGAACGTCGCGTGAGTGGCTCTTCTGGTGGTTGCATGATGAGGGACGTCTGCTAATGATAATCCATGACAGCTCAATCACCATGGTACATGTGGGTTGACACTGTAGCTCCGTGATGTTCAATATTATGCTGAATGTGATTGTCGAATCACAGGCAGATCACTCGATCGTCTACCCGCAACGGTTGGGCCCAGCGAAAGTCAGCCCATCGAAGAACATGCGTCTGCGATGGTTCCTGCACCACCCGTCTTACATGAAGGGACGACACGAGTTCATGCAGGTCCTAACCGTGCGCACGGACCTCGGCATCGAGTTTGTGGAGCGGTGGCAGCTCTCGAGGATAGCCATCGCTATCATGCTACCTGTCCTCCTGTCGGTGGTGATTGGAGTAGTGTATAGTATCGCCGCGAAAGACCCTTCGACTGCGTTCACAATAGCAGGTACGTCTCGTCATAACGCCGCAATGTCTATGCATGTCCGAGTCTAACCTGGGCTTTTTATTAGGGTATCTGACCTCTGCCTACTCTGTCTGTCTCGTTCTCGTTGGCTTACTCAATTTTGTGGACTTCTGAGGCTAGGAAAGCTGTTCAATACCCTGTACAACGTGAGGCATGCTTTGGCTCCTCAGATCTAGTTCAGTAGTCAATGGGTTTATCCTTTGCATCAGAGTGACGATCGGATAGGATGTCTGATTGGATCGAGGGGTGATACCCTAGTTCACGGTTTACGCTGACCATGACATGTACAAGAATTGCAATGAAAATGACTCTTACGTTTCTGCAGCGAGAAAACCGCGTACTGCTTGCTGAGCACGAGCATGTTATCACCGGACGCTCGAACGACCCACGGTGCTCCGATAGCACGCTAGCTGCGAGTCCACCATCCACGAACGTAAACTCAAGGCTTGCTCACGCACATGTGAAGTGTTCGATTTTTCCACCCGCAACGCACCAGTACCGCAAAAGTCAACCCATGAAAGGGCCGCGGTCTTCGCACACCACCCGACCCGCATGCGGTGGCCGCTTGAGTTCCTGCTATGCAAGTACATACTTCCTTCTGTATTGGCAGTACCTGACCTTCCGATCGAGCTCGTTGAGCGACGACGATGCGGGCCATCTCGCTGTTCGTGGCTGCGATGCCGTTGCCTGTATGCATGTCGATGGTGATTGGCGTCGTACATACTGATGTTGCGGTGTAGGATTAGGCAAAGGAGTACACAGTTCCGGATGATCGTTTATGTAGCGACAGTACTAGTGGTAAGGCCGCTGTCTTCGTGGGCAGACCCGAGCTCGCAGGGTATGCAGTAATTCAGGCTGCTCGAGGCTCGCGCGGTCTTCTACGAGTCTAGGGACGGTCAACTTATCAACTTTGATGTCTGTTACACCACTTCTCCATACAATGAAGCACTGACTTCCATGGGCCTTCAAAAATAGACGGGTGCCCCAAGTCGCTTGTCGATACGGACGGTCAAACCCGGCGTATAACAACGGCTGGACTGCGGACGCCAGGCTCGTCAATTGATCGTCCGTGACCTGACTAGGACTAGTTATCATGACCCGACCGGTGTGTGTTCATAAATCCTGTCCTCAACTTCTCGTCCAGTCCTTCGAGGTCCTGGCCCATTCAGAGCTCTGCGCAGCTAGTCCCTTGGTCCTGAACAAAACCATGCAACAGAGCGAGCTGTCGCATGTCTGCTGAATGACCAAGAGACACGGACCATCGAGAACTGCTCAGAACGGTGCAACGCTGGCTTCTGCGGAGGTACTCTGAATAGAGCGGTGCTCCGGGAAGCTCGTGCAGGCCGATTTTCAACCGGGCGTGACAGCGATTGGTCTACGGACGGTTGTAGACACGATGCGGATGTATTGACTCGGAACAATGCACAAGTACGCGCTCACCGAGCATCGTGAGCCGATGTAGCCTGTATTGGAGGCCGGTGACCGGGTGCACAGAGGCCAGAGAACGCATTGGAGGAGGCTGGCTGGGGACACGATGCAGGCTCTCCATGCGGATTGCGAGGGTCGTGTCAACCCGCGTGCCTCATGCTATCAGCGCGACGAGCAGACTGGCTTGTGCAGGCTGGTTCGGTCCGTAGTCAGTTCACGATGCTTGTTGTAAAGGCGCGTCGTCCATGGCGCTTCCACTCGAGTAGCAAAGGTCTGAGGTCTATAAATATGAACGTCGAGACGAGGTGATATGATACTGATATAGTGGAGCAAATGGGGCATCTGTGTGAGAAGGGTCCTGCGAAAGTGTCTCGGTGCCGGTGGGAGGAAGAGTGAGATGAGAGACTCACAGCGCCGTACGGACCGAATGGCATGATCCGTTGGTGTCCCAGGACTCGCAGTTAGACTTCCTGTCGAAGATGTCACCGTGGGTGTAAGCTGACATAGAGTTTTACCATGCGCCAATGAATATAGCCTATTGTGAGCACTTGTGTCTCGAAGAGGCCAATTGTCCAAGCCCCATAAACACCCAGAGAGCACCAGGGAAGACGAAGGGAGTCCGCTGTGCGAGCACCGGTACCTGGGAGCCTGCTGAGAAATGGTACACTGAATGACGGATGGACAGATGGGCCTGTGTCGTGTGCATGACGCCTCTAACAGATGGGCACCACCAATTGGCAGTTGGGTTGTTCCGTCGAAAGATACTGTTGTTCTGCGGCGGTGCGTCAATTCGTTCGATGACCGACTTGTACGAAACCGCCGAGCCCGAAGACCACAGCACCAGACACTCGCGTTCACTAGGCGGCTGCAGCCTCATCATCGCTCTGAAAGGTTCCACGTATACGATTACGTTCTTGGAAGGCGGCTCGAAGGCGGCTCGTGAGCGTCGGAGGTTCCGCACGAAGGTCAGGTGCATAGCATAACGCCGAACAGTACGTACATACAACCGTCTTCGCGCACTCGTCCGAGCGAGCTGTGCGCCGAGACTGGCAGAGCGGACAAGGCTGGAGTGAATCGAGGGGCGTGAGAGGCTCCTGGGCGAGGCGCGGCTGCTGTTAGTAACAGTGTTACGCAACGTTGCTGGCGCCGGGTGGTTGGTGAGAATTCCTGATTGGGATTGCGCGCTACCTGGGAGGAGGACGTGGGCACTGGCAGGAGACACCGGGCAGCCTGGAGGACGCGCCGCTTCTCGAGGGCGGGACGGCGGGCCGCGGCGGGCGGGGCGGGGCGGGCGCAGCTCCGAGGGGCACCTTCCATAAGCGGAAGTGGCCGCCCGACTCCCCACAGCGGCTGGAGCGCTTAGTCAGCAGGCGGTGAGAGTGCGGCCGGCTGAAGCGAAGGAAGCCGACCAGCGCCTGATGTATATGGCAAGGGGTCGACCGTGAGCCAGACACTCCTCTCATCCACCTCCACGTCCTCCCCGCCCACGACGTCCACGACCTCCCGCACGACGACCACCGCCCTTTCGCCACCGCCCGGCAAGCCCAAGACATGTCCTCCGCCTCAAACCACGTTCCAGACGCGCTCTCCCGCCGCATCAAGGACGGCATCCGCGTGGTCACGCAGCGGCTGCATAGCAAACGGTAAGCATGCCCTTTCTGCAAATGCGACGGTCGGGTGGGATTGCCCCAGCGAGGACCATCTTCTCCGCCGGTATCGAGGCTTTTGCGTTGGGATGCAGCGCATACATCTCCACGATCTGGCCTAAGCGAGCTGGACACTAGTCGCGAAGAGGCAAGTCGCGCCGCGAATCCGGGGAAGGCTTGCTTGATGCGTTCAATGACTTTCTGTCTACTGTCCTTGTGTCGGTCGGACAACTGCATAGCTTGGACGTGTCGCGTTTCCTGGGTGGGCGCACGCGGCATGCATCTTTACACTCGCGTCCGGCGACGCGTGTCCACCATATGTGAGTCAGGAGCAATCACTCACACCCTCACTTCTAGACACCCCACAGACCGTCCTGCAGTAGACTGGTCACGCAGTAAACGGTGAGCTTCCTTCAGTGCTATCCTTGCCCTTCTCGTTCTCCTGGTGTCTCGTGGCGTACGCTGCCCGACAGGGTATATGCGGACCGGGAGCGCGACTGTTCGGCTCCTGGTACTCAACCCCGCCGCGGGGCATTTTTTTTTTGTTCGGGTGGTTTTCCAGTGCTTGCATATGTGTTCGAAGGACGCGAAGGACGATATTCCGCGCGTTGCTCCTAAACTCCACTTGCCCCACTATCACTGCGCCATGCGCATCTATCCTCCAGAACGCAGCCTGTCGCGTTGTCTTGACGCGTTCGTGTGCAAACATCCCTAACACAGCGCCCTGCATGGTCTGATGCTGCTTTCTTTTGGTTGCGCATGACTGCAGCATCCCCAACACGAACGTGCTTCTCGGCCGGTTTGCTTTACCTGATTGGGCATTGCTGGTACCGCGTAGAGTGCCCTGAGAGAGGACGTTGAAGTGTACGTCCCCGGTCTTGGTTAATATCAATGCGCTGTGCCTCGTAGGAGAGGATGCCTTGTCCCTCACAGGGCCTTTTGAGGGCATATGGCCTAATCCTTGCTGACCGACGAGAGCTCACATGAACAGGGCCCGTGATATGGTTTGCTGCTGTGTGTATGCTTCTGTGTCTCCTCGAATGCTCAGGAAGGGTTCGACGCGGCTTTTGGGAGGCCCTGCGCCGAGGTACCACATCCCAATCTCCTGACTGGATAAGGTCATAGTTGTCGTGTATGCGGTCCTATCGCACGGCTGTTCCTCCCTGGCCTGTGTGCCTATCTTTCTCTGTATACACAGACCCGGAGTCGCGACTCGCGATCGGCCTGCATGCGGTGCCTGTCGTGTCGGTCTGTGGAATGCTAAATAAGGCACCATATGAGCGCTTGTGTATTTGTGGCTTGGAATGTTTGCGTTCTCCAGAGCATATAGGGTCAGTGCCCTTGTTCTTGATGTCGTCTTTGTCCTCTGCCATATAGCCTTTCTGCCTGCTCGGTCGTTGCGACGAATATGCGCTCACTATTTGCCCGCAGACGCTCGGTTTTCCGCTACCGTTCGCGACAATCGTTGAAGCTACCCTACATCCCTCCAGAACTATGGGGTGTCATCATCCAACATGCATGCCTATTCGACTACGACCCGCTGGACACCTCGCAGGAGCTGTCCTTCCTGGAGTCGTCGAGCTCTACTCAGCTCGCGACGCACCGCGCCGCTATGCACGTCAAGCTTGCGCTATCGCTCGTGTGCAAAGAATGGAACGCGCTGAGCCGACCATTCGTGTACGAGTTCGTATGGATCAGCCGCTCGGTCCAGGCGAAGCTTCTCGCGCGGACGCTCATCATGGAGTTCGTGCAGGGCGAAGAGTGCAGTGGGAAATATCTGCGGCGCCTGCATATCGAGACGCCAGCGCTAGAGCGCTGTGCGCCGGCTGACCTCCGGACGATTTTGGACTACTCGCCCCAGCTCTTCATCTTCTCCGACCACCATTCCGTGCAACGTAATCTTTTGGCGGCCGTACAGGACCCGCGGTGTAGTCCTGAAGAGATCCTGCGGCTCGTTACGCATCCGAAGATCCGGAGGCTGAGCTGGACCTGCTATGATGATACGCCGTTCGAACTGCGGATGCACCCACTGGAGACGAACCTTGCGACCCGCCTGGAGTATCTGGAGCTCTCATGCTGTTCGCCAAACTTCCGCTCCATCATCGCCGAGTCGTTCGCGCAGCCGCAGTCACACGGCGCGACGATCGACATGAACGTCTGCCTGCCATCGCTGCGCGCGCTGAAGGTGTCGCTCGACAACAACACCTTCGCGGCCCTTGCGTCGTGGGACATGCCGAAGCTGACGAACCTGTCGGTGTTATCCTCCGACTTCAGCTATACCGGCGCGGGCTTCGCGGCGTTCTTCCAGGCGCACGGCGCGAAGTTACGGCAGCTCGAGCTCGGACACTCGTCCGCGCTCGTCGAGGAGCACTACCTGACGACGCCGCAGCACGTCCTCCAGATGCAGCACGCATCGCCGCGCCCGATACCTCTCGCGGAGTGGTGTCCGGACCTGCGCGAGTTGATCTGCTCGGCGGATGCGGAGTGGCACTGGCAGAGCCCCGACTGGATCGCACCACACATCCTCCTCCCGGCGCACCCGCGCGTCGAGCTCATCGGCATTCGCGACATCGACACGCGGCTGCGGGAGGACCCGGATGTCCCCGGCGCGGACACGCCGTACTTCCCGCTGTTCGAGCAGCTGTCGTCCCTGCTCCGCCGTGACGCGTTCCCGAGCCTGCGGTACGTGCGCGATATGAGCGAGGAGAGCCATCGGATGCGGATGGTCCAGCCGGAGGAGCGCGTGAACGTGTTCTGGTGCAAGGTCGTGCGCGCGTGCCGGGAGCGCGCGGTCTGGCTGGAGGACTGCTCGGGCGTGAATATCACGCAGCGGAACCTCCAGCGCGCCGCGGCTCTGCGGAAGCCGACGCACTCGTATATGGAGGCGGCGTTCCGCTCGCGGTAGGCGAGTATCCGTTTGCGCGTAGTCCGCGTCTCATGTCTTGCATACCCTGCTCTCTTCGGATCTCAGGCTTACGTCTTTGCATATTCCTCATGACTTTCATGCCTTTCTATGACGCAAGCAAACAAAGAAGACCCACAATTACCCATGTTCCCTGCATATATCCCCCACACAGTGCATGTCCATTCTACGATCATGGTTACCCATCTGTACGCATCTCATGTGCTGTATCGTCTTACATCCCAGCTTCCTTCAGCCTCCTCAACTCGTTCTCGTGCATCTCGGTTCTTTCTTCCTGTTGCGGTCCGTCATCCTGCGGCATCCTTGGGCTGGGCGGGTGATATGCTGGTGTGCAGTGTATGACTGCGACTTCTTGTCGATTCTTTCGGCGGTTCTGGAAGTACGGGTTTTATGTTTTGTTTTCTTCTTTCTCGTTTTGTCGTTGCTCTGTCTATGGACTTGATTCGGATTACGCATCGGATGCGGTAGAGGTACTCTGGTAACTTACAAATACAAAATGGATGCGCGAGGCGCCGTTGGTACATCATCCGAACGAATGCCCTTCATGGGCGTTTCTCCGCGATTCACGAAGTACATGGTTAAGCTTGACGATGAGCGGGATTTCAGGGGCGATGAATGTGGCTGCCAGCCTGCGGGGGAGGGTTATGTATGGTGAATCAGATCTGTGGAACTTACGTCAGAAGGATACATCCTTATGCGATGGAGGGCGGTGTGCAGGGTGGGCATTGTACGACAGGACTTCGACAGGAGCTCAAGGCAGCGAAGACTTGATCTCCTGCGACGGCGAGCCATTGACCGTGTTAGAGCCATCATCTTGTGATTACAACCCACCGGTAGCCTAGTTTCACCGTCTGAACATTTACGGCTTCGAATCACTGAATTGTCCGCTTGATTGACCAGTCGTTGCATGACACTAAGCACGGGGGCACAGGTCATTCAACCTATCTACATGCCGCCTACGATGCTGGCTTATTAGTATGGACCACTGGGTCATGCCATTTGCAAGTGCCCGACTCACTTCATAGAGTGTGACGACTCCCGCTCATCATTGGGTCAACTCTCTGCGCGACTTGTAAGTCTAGGTTTCGCGGAAGCATGCAGCAGCTGCATTGAAGGAGTGCATGCATACCATTCTTTCAAACCTCAGACCAGACCGGCAATCTTGCTTCGTCTTGTTCAATGAAATGACCGTCTTCTGCTAACGTGAACGAGACGATGAAATGCAGCCCCAAGTCATCGCGTTCGACGTAGTAAAATCGACGCAATGATCGGCAGGCGGCTAGGATGGCCTCGATGTAACCACGGAAGAGAGCCAGACGTGTACTCTTGCGTCTGCGGATGGGCCATAGAGTGACCCACGTGAACGTCTCGAGCTTCACGTCTGGACGTGACATGTACTCCATGTTGGAGACCTGTGCAAGGCATGGCGCGGGCTAGAAACGTGGTTAGATCGTCGTTGATGCGAACAACGAAGGCTTTACTCACTTCGTCTATCTGGTCGACTACCTTGAAGTGCTTGAGCTTCGGGAGCTCACAGGTACGGAACATGGCCGAAGGGTGCTCGATGAAACTCGGGTTGCGCCCGAGGGACCTACGGTAAGCGAAGTCGACGAGCTTTCTGCCGAGAGGCTGCAGCACCCGACCCATGTCGGTGACATGGGCAGAGGACCAATCGAGATGGGTGATCATGCGGGGACTGGCGTGCATGTTGTCAACGAAGAAATCGTCGTAGGAGTGTAGCCACTTTAGTCGAGGAAGCGCGCCGTATGCAAGTCTCCATTCTGGCCGGTCGAGAATCGTGCCAGGCTTCGCGATCAAGGACTCGATACGCGTCTGCCTCTCCAGGAATAGCTTGAGATCCTCGTTTTGTGTCGTTCGACATTCAAAGGACGACAGGCTAAAGGTGCATTTATTCAGGGTCCGGAGGATGCCATCATACACTGCCGGCTGCGAGCAGCAATACTCCAAGTCGAGCCGAAGGTCCGTAAGGTGCACGAGCGTCGGGAGAAGCTTGTTCAGCATGGCTGTACAATTGGAATTCGTGTGTCTGTTGTCTCGGACTCGAAGGACATGTACGAGAAGCGCACGGTGAGGTTGCGAGGTGAGCGCATCGTAGAGGCTGCGAAGTTGACGAGGTAGCCCGACGCAGATGTACACTTCACGGTACAGGCGCGAATCGACCTCTGTTTGAAAGGCGCGACACACGCTGCTAGCGCTCGCTAGAGCGGGAAGTGAGTCGATGTTCGCGAGAATCAGTATGAGGAGTTCCGTCGGAAGTCTCTGAGCCCGACTTGACATAGCGTCCTGCGCCGGCCGCCTCGGGACTCTCTTCTTCGACATGGGAGTGATGGGCGCGCGGTCTGCAACAGCGCTGAGAGTTGAAGGATACACCGGACCTGCCAGTCAATTGTTACTTCAGTCCTGGTCCCCAGAAACCTTGCAAAGATACGTACTACTCGAATCGAAAGCCTCAATAGGTCTGTCGAGTCCTGAATTTCGAAGCTTTTGCCGCAGCCTGCCAGGTACCTGCTTGTAGACTCTTGAATGATGGTCGTGGTTAAGAACGGTTAAGTCGGAGTGGGTGAGACCAATATGAGCATCGGGCGCATGATCCATCTCGGAGCGTCCCGAGCACTGATGTGACTTTAGCTAATAGCTTACCGTCTGCATCGTGTTCCAAGACTCGCTGACTGGGCGAGACTGACTTGTATTCTCCGGGTTTCTCATCGTATTCGGTAATTCCCGTGGGACCACAGGGAGTCTATGTACACTTCTACTTTGGTCCGTCCTACACCAGCGGGCACATGCTCTACTTCGAGAGGCATATGTAGCGATGCAGGCTTATGAATCTTCGAGCCTAGAACCTTTCAGCGACTGTCAGCGGGGATTTCCGTCATGAACTTGGATACTCACATTGGTCTAGACATCAGACCATACCGGGATTTCCTGCTCCTTCCTGTCTTGTTGTAACAGCGTGCCGTCGGCCGACAACGTAAAGAGCACCCCTGTCTCAAACGCTTCGTTGTAGATCAAATCCCGCTCGATGTAGTATATCTCGCGCAGGGAACGACGTGCTCGTAGTACCCTGTCTGCCCATATGCGAGCGAAGGCCAGGCGGCCGTTCAGTTCGTCAAAAGCCCCGTCCCGATGAGGATAGGTTTCCCACACAGTAGACCAAACCAGTCTTTCTAATGCGACTGTTGGGTCCGTCATGTATTCAAGATCAGCCTGAAGGTCAAAGCAGGACTTGTGCTGCATATAGAATGTCAGCGCGACACATAGGCCAACGACTTCGTACGTACGCCGTTTTCCATGAAGTCTCCTACATCAAGGAACTTCAGTCTGGGAAGGGCTCCACCACGTAGTACGTGTGACGGTTGGCCGACGGGGAATTCCGGGTCTGAATCTTTTGCGTACTTGAAGCTGACGAGTTGCCCCCCGACAACCTGCAGGATGTTATCCACCTCATGATCGTCCATTGGCCAGCTCGAGAGATCAAGATGCGTGATCATGCGAGGATGGCGAACTATGCTCAGGAAGAAGTCGTAGTCTGTCTGGAGGAATTTCAGACGAGGTAGCACATCCTGCGGGAAGCTCTGGTCCGGAAAGTCGAGCACTGCGTCCTTGATGCCGAGTGACTCTATGCCCGGCTGTCGCTTGAGGAAGCGGACGAACTCCCCATCGCTGCCCACGTAGCCGCTGTACGACTCCAGCCTGAACGCGCAGTTGGAGAGCGTCTGCAGCACTTTGTGGTGTAGCTCGGGTTTTTCGAAGCAAGTAGTGAGGTCCAAATCCAAGTCCTTGAGGTTGTTGAGCATGAGGAGTATGGCGTTGAGCAAGTCCAAGACCATCGACATGCGCCCGTTGTCAATGGCATGGAAGATATAGACAAGGGACGCGCGCCGTGGCACCTTGGTCAGAGCCCGGTGTAGACTACGAACATCGGGAACGCGACGAACGGTGACCTCTCGATATAGGAGGTGTTCGGCTTCATTTTGAAACATACGACATACTCGGCTTGCTCTAGCGAGTGTGGCCAGAGAATCGACCTCTTTGAGGATGAGCAATAGTAGTTCCACCGGAAGCTTCAGAGGCTGAGGTGTATCCGGCAGCTGCGTTGCATGGCGTCTTAGTCGTTTACGCTGAGTTCTCTCGCCAGACTGGTAGAGACACTCGAATAGTTAGCCGGGCAATGCAACAAACGGAATGCAACGCATTCACTTGCCTTGGCGGGAGCGTTCGGTTGCTGCTTACGTGGTCTTAGTACTCTTTGAGTAGAAGACATGCTTCGCGAGTTCAAAACCACCGGTTTGTGGTATGAAGTCTGTTGTGCACTATCGCGTTCAGAGGACCTACGTCGCATGATCATCGCAGAGAAAACGTACAGTACTTTTGACTAGTATGGCTCGAGAGAGTCAGTCACCGGTGAAGAGGATCCACGTTCCAAGTCCTAGAGTATGTTACGGATAATAGGTTGTCGGTATGGGATTGAGCCTATTGAGAACTGGAGAATGGATGTTATAGTCAATGAAGCTCGCGCCCGGCGCCGAGCTTTATGACGACAGACAAGTGGCGAGTCATGTGACCGTGGACCAATGTGCGAAGGCGCAAGCGCCGAGCGCAGTGTGGCTAACCATTGGCAAGACAATGAGTACTCTCCGTTATCCAATACTCACGACTTGTTCACGACCTCGGAGCAGTGATTGATACCGGATCTCCATTTCAGCAGGTCATCGTAGTCAGCGAGACGTCAATGAATGATTACAATAGAGCTAATGACATGCTTGATTCGAGCTAAGGCCCCAGTACTACTCCCATGAACAGAGCTTTGAAGTAGCTCGAGGCCATCAATTACACAATACACGGTCAAATGTAGGGGAGTAACGCAAGTAAAGGACTTGTACATCCCAATCCGATGCCACACTTTCCAGAAAATACCACAATGGATGCTGTCAAATATCAGACCAAACAGGTAAGCCGTTCACCTCCGTCGTTTCTTCCATAAACCGTCCATCAGATCCTAGCTTGAACAGCACTACGCAGGTCTCCTGCGTGTGCTGCCGATCTCCCACAATTCGTTCGACATAGAAGAAACGGCGCAATACACCGTATATTTCCAGCAACTGCTTGGCCCGAGAACGAACGAAAGCCAACCGGCTCTGTGGTGTGGGAGGACCGAAGTTGTGCTGGGACATGAACCGCGCCGACCAAACCAGAGTGTCCAGCGCGGTATTGGGTCGTTCCATGTGCGCCAGGTTGTCATCAGTGTATTCGAGCTGCAGAGAAGGTCAGACGACTAAAGGTGGACTAGAGTATGCGTGCATACATTGCCAGGGTTCCTCATCCCGTCGTCTTTGATCTCCAGATACCTCAGGTTTGGCATGGACACACCGTTCATGATGTTGTCTGTCAGAAGCCAGACTGGAGGATGAGGTCCGAAATGCAGATTGTACTTGAGACTGATTAGCTGGTGTCGCACAACTCGCAGAATCTTTCCGAACTCCATGGGATCCCCATAGAAGAGAGAAAGATCGAGATGCGTTATTGCGTGTGGGGCGCGAATAGCATGCACGAAGAACTGAGAGTATGCCTCCACGTACTTGAGGCGTGGGAGAGTGTCTGATGGTATGCTCCAGTCGGGTGGTGGATATCCAGTTGTACGGAGTGTCTCGAGGCGACTCTGCCGTTCGAGGAATGTCAGAACGTTTTTGTTGTAAAACGCATGGCTCGCGAACGACTTGAGCTCGAATGTGCACTGCGCCAGTATGGTGTCGATGCCCTCGGGAAATTGAGAAGGTAGGTTCAGTGTGAGCTCCAGGTGCTCGAGCTGCGTGAACGCAAGGAGGATCTCTTTGAGCAACGGGAGCACGGAATCGAAAAAGCCGTTGTCGATGGCCCGGAATATGTTGACGAGAGATGACCGTCTGGGCGAATTCACGAGAGCTCGGTGTAAACTGCGGATGTGTGGGACGCGTTTCACGGAGACTTCACGGTAAAGAAGACGCTCCGACTCCATCTGGAGAGTGCTGCACAGACGACTGGTGGTCGCGAGCGTTTGTAAAGAGTCGAAGTGCTTGAAAACGTCCAGTATCAGCTCGAGCGGGAGTGTCAGCGGCGGTATCGGTTCATCGCTCTGCTCCGCATGTTGCCGTGGTCGACCACGTCTTTCGCGCTGGGTTTGAGCCTAGAAAGAGTCTCGTCACATGAAACGCAATAACCTTAGAGCACACTTACTTTGACAAGTGCGTCTGAGGACGGGTGTGTCCCTCGGAGTCCGAGAGCATTCTGCGAAGAGGCCATGATCATGGACTGTCCTGTGAGTCCGATATCCTGTTGCTCCTGTTCAGTACATGGTCACCCATGTCATCGGGATCGGAAGCCACACCTGGACGCAGATTGAGAGGGGGGACCTTAGAATGTCCTCAACGAACTCGAGGCAGACAACAAAGCGGTGACTGCACGCTCGCCGTACGTCTCTACAGCTCTGCAGTTATCAGGATACTATGAGAGAGGTATATCACATGAGCTTATGGTTCAATTTATCGCAGCATACATACCACAGGATCCACAGGATGTCCTTGCCCAACAACGTAACGGTACAGAAGCACAAACTTGACTGCGAAGGCCAAACAGAGGCCCTAGTGGTACATAGCCAGCGGCAACAAGACGCGCGTCGTGCGTCTGCAATCGGGGCTGGACAGCATGCGCCCGCTCGGAGTCCGGCGGACCGGATTCACCGGAGCGCTGAACTACGGCGATGCGTCGAGGCAGGTCGAGGCTTTGCCTGGCTTTGCGTTTTTGCGTTGGGTCCACATTGATGCTGAATGAGGCCTTCAAGAGGACCAGTACTTGGTAGTGCCCTTGGGTACTCAGAACCGACCTTGTTGCAGGCTACAAGCACGACAGACATCGGAACAGCGGACACACAATTCATAGGGACTCCCTTCACTCTACTTCAGATATCAGACCAAATAGGCACGTCCTTCTCCGCCTTCTGAACCTCCACTAGCTCGCTACCAGCCGACAAGGTGAACAGAGTCACGGTAGGTGTCTCTTGATCACATCGTTCAACGTAGAAGAAGCGTTGCAACGAGCGGCATCCACTCAGGACTGTCTTGACCCAAGGACGAACATGGCCAAGATGAGCAGGCCGGACGATTTGTGAGCCTTCATCCCTGCGCACGCCGACCAGCCAACTCGCAGACCAGACAAGCGTGTCCAATGCGACGTTTGACCTGGGGGCGTTCATGGTGCACGGGAGGAACTGTGGGCTGCATTAGTATCTCCGAGAAAAACGCAGCGTGGTGATACATACAGCGCCGGCCATAACGTCGTTGACTTCGAGGAACTTGAGATTCGGCATGGTCCTGCCCGCGAGTATGTCTGACGGAGGCCAGACGGGAAATCGGCGGTCCGTATACCGGTTGCATCTGAGACTTATCAGCTGGTGCTCTAGGATCCTCAGGACCGCATCGAGCTTTGAGTCTTGGAGATCCGTAGGGAAACAGCAAAGGCTGAGGTGCGTTATCATGCGGGGTGCGGGGATGACGTCCAAGAAGAAGTCGTAGTCAGTCTGCAGATACTTGAGACGTGGCAGGACGTCTTCCGGCAGCTCCCATTCGGGCAGGTCGAACGATAGAGGTCTTGCGCTGAAGAACTCCACGTCCGCTTGCCGTCTGAGGAATTGGATAAGCTCCCTGTCGTTGTTCACGAAACATTCGAGAACCCTGAGTTTGAATGGACAGTCTGAGAGCGTGCGTAGGATGGTCTTGTAAAGCGGCGCATCAGCGAAGCAGGTGTGCAGGTTGTGATCCAGGTGTTCGAGATCCGTGAACATGGGTAGGACCTCGTTGAGAAGTGGGACGATGTTAGCGAAGCGTCCGTTATCGTGGATCAAGAAGTCGCGGACGAAGGATGCGCGGCCTGGAGCTCTGGTGAGAGCGAGGTGCAGACTGCGGACCTGCGGGACGCGCGCTACGCGGACCTCCCGGTACAGGAGCCGTTCAATCTCGGGTTGTAAGGTCTTGCATACGCGACTTGCATCGGCGAGGGTACGCGGAGAGTCGATTTGCGCGAGAATGAGCAGTATCAACTCAAGCGGGAGCTTCAATGGCTGTCCTGATAGGATGTCTTGCTCTCCGCTCTGGTATCGCAGAAGCCTTTGCCGTTTCGTGCTAGGCTGCAAAAGGGCATTCAAGTTGTCAATCGCGGTGCCAGCACGACACGCGAATATCGAACGTACCCTAGCCGCGGATGCCTCGGAGTGCTTGCGCGGTCGAAGGACTCTTTGGGGAGAAGCCATGCTTTGTGATCACGACTTCAATGTCTCTGTTCAGATTCAATTCAATCTGCTGTATGTTTGCTCAACTCCTGAAGACATACCTAGTGGCGCAGATGGTCGCGACTGATCAAGGACTTGGGCACGGAACAGGCGCGCGATGCGCCACGCCGCACGCCGCCCAGTGCCTGATGCTTATATGTGATTTTGATAATTACACGTTCTTTACAGTACTTTGGCCAGTGCGATCGTACACGCGCGATCGACACCCCGAGTCTCATTGTCGCGAGAAGTTGGACCTGTCAGTGAGATGTTGTGACCGCTATTATCATCTCGCGGCAGAAACGAGGATTCGGAGTCGACTCGAGCCTGAGGAGTCGATGCCAAGCATGTGGACAACAATGAAGCTTTGGCCGTGGCGAACGGGCAAAGCATACAGCCGACGGATATATATGCATTGAAGTCGCTTTGGCCGCGGGTCCGTCACCGGTAACTTACATAGCTAGTACTATTGTTACATGATCGATCGCACATGTACATTGAACTACTTACAGCCTACTATGTAGGTAGAATACTATCAAAAGATCGACCAGAATACAACATCCATAAATTGTCCATAAATGACCAATTATCCCGGGGCGCGGGTCTTTAAATCCACAGCGCGTCTCCAGCGACGAGGACTGCGGCACTTGCAGCGGTGCCGCTCATGACGCGGACTTCTTCTTGAACTTAAACCTCTTCAGCCTAGGATCGAGACCGAAAGACGAGTGTGTCGGCGAGGTAGGTGTGCTTCCTGCCTGGGGTTGCGTCACCGCAGGGTTGACAGGAGCCCAGGCAGATGGCGTAGAGGTTGTGATGGATGAACGTCGAGGCTGCACCTGACGCTGCGCGACGGGACTTGGCGCATTCGCACGCGAGGCACCGGGAGGGCGAGCAGCTCGATACGGAGGAGCGCCCAGTCTAAGGGCAACTGCGTGAGGCTCCGGGAGTTGCGATGCAGTAAACGCGGGTTCGATCGGAGAGGTAGGTGCCGTGCGTGGTCGCACGAAACGGGTAGCGAGAGACTGTGGCTCCAAGCGCTGAGGCGGCATGTTAGACGAGTTTGGGAGCGACGACGATCCTGCTATTAGTGGTGCAGGAGGAATGGGAGTCCCTTCGTACTTGGGCTCCGGAATCGGACTGTACGCTCGTCGCTTGGTCTGCCTGATATTGGATGTTCCCTCGCGCCTAGGTATGGGTGGCTGATTGGGGAGCCGCTGATGCACGAAACATTACATTAGAGATGTGGAACCCATTCTCGAGGGACATGCGAGAATCACCTCTAATTCGAAACGGCACACCTTGAAGCCAGATTTCCCTGTTTCTAGCGATGCCTGAAGGAAGTAGTGGGTGTCAAGACGTACCGTCGCCGTGATCTGTGAAATCGCTTGCCTTAACCACTGTGTAGAGCCCATCATAGCGATAATTCTTGCCACTACTTGTCTGTCAGAGAGTCCGTACGAATACACGTAAATGACACACATACTCTCCGGGCGGTGCGAAATCCGAGCCTTTCAGCCTGAGTTGGTGGCCCCGGATTACCCGAACAGGCTCGCCGGTACGCATGGATGTCTATAACACAGACTTCAGTCATAGCGTAATCAGATACACAGGCACTTACCTTCAAAGCAGCATTCTTGGTATCGTCGAAGGACTGGTCACGTATATGACGCCCCTGCGCGTGCTGTGAAGCTCGACCTTTTTGCTCAGCAAGTACAGTTCAACATACCTGTCCCTCCGGTCCTGTCTCCGGCCCGAGTCCTCCAGAGCCGGTGTAAATGCTAGTAAGCAGACGCACCAGGTCAGCAACTGTAGTTTAGCGCGACAAAGTGATACAAACATTCGGTCTCCCTTGTCGACGTCGTCTTCATATACGCCTGACAACACTATGCTGTAAGCACCATCCGCCCTATTCCCATATATCCCCGCTTGGGTAGGAGGATGTACACCGGCATTGCTACACTCCTGCCTGGTCGACGAGAGAGATGCAGCGAGGTCAATGTGAGCAACGATCGCCACGACGCGCCGGAGATCACCGTAGAACTCACCTTGACGCCCAATAGGTCCCGACCGGCACGCCAGGTATGTCTCCGAAGACGTTGCCCGCGCTGTAAACGCACCTACACCGTCAGAGACGTCTACGACAGCAAGGAGGGGTATTCCTACGGAATGCGCGTCCTCCCCGCACGCTCCGGGCTTTGTGGGGGCATGATAGTTTCCGATCAAGAGGTGCCATGCTAGTCATCCTCAACATATAGTATCGCGCAGCTCCCGAACTCCGATCTACTCAGCTGCTTCTCTTCGATTACAGAACATCCGCGCATGGGACAATTGGACGCAACTCCGTTGTTCTGCGACAATCATCATGATGCGCACCGCAAAGCTGTGCCTCTCCACTGGGGACCTTGTACGAGATCTGGGCAGCTGGATCCACTGTTCCCAGAACTAGAACGCGTACACCACCCAGTGGCTCTCAGGTCTCGGGCAACGGGATCGCCTGGAAGCTGTCCAGGCCTCGACACTACAAAAGGTGTATTGAGACAATGAAGTAAGTCTTCTCGGAATTCCTGTCACGATATCTCTGCCTCGATAACCATGATTCTCTCAGGTAGAGCCCTGTGTATGCGTCAAAGCCTCCGGATTATGTGCGACGTGACAGCCGTGCTATGGATCGCGTTGTCGAGTCAGCTATCACGATTCGGTCGATTTGAACATGCGCTATTCACCTGGTCTGTGAACACGCCCTGGAGCAGTGCGCATAAGGTGAGCAATAGGGATGCGATCCCTACACAATCAAGCGCGTACACATCTCTTACCTTCGGAGGGTTCCTCACCGCCGTACCGAGTTCCGCGGAGAACTGCTTCGCCTCCTCTTGGTTCTCGACGATTGCCTCAACCTTCGCGTATCTTCGTATTAGATGGTTGCCTGCCAAAAGATGGACCCACCTCGCCTTCTCGCGTCCCTACACGAAACCTGGTAGAGACGGTGTGCCCAACTTCGATGGGTTGACCGTCCTTCCCTTCAATTTCGGTCTATAGTTTGCGCAATCAATGCCGGGTGTGGTCAGGACATCATATTGTATGTCGTGTGTGTCGCCTCTCACTGACCGGCATTATGACAGTGTTCTGAATGCCTGCTTCTCGACGTATGGTATGTGTTGGGAGTACAGTTTGGACTGGTGTTTGGCTAACTCACATCTGGATTGTGCTCCACAGCATGAAGTCATCGAGCCGAGGCTCGGAAGCCACCGTGACGGAAGACTGTCATACTTTGTCGCAACGCTTCGCTCAGGCTCTCATCAGCGAAACCGTCGCTTCGAAATAATCTCAATGCTGCGTATGACCGAACCTATACATCGTACACTCCCTCCGCAAGAGAACTTTCGCCATGTTCCTATTGTTCCATCTTGACCCACGTCGTACCGGAGCTCACCCAGAGCCCTCCGGATGCGTGAGGGTCCCCGGATTATGAGAGACGCGGTGGCCGTGCTGTCCACAGCAACTCGTAAGCCACCCTCCGAACCGCAGTGCACCAATACAACACAACACTGACCTGGTCGGAGAACACCACCTACGAGACAGGTGTCGTGAGACGTCGCCAGCTGCATGCTGAGATCGCGATAGAGCGGCTGCGTACTTACCTTGGGCGGATTCTTCACGCTCGTCCCGAGCTCCTCGGAGACCTGCTCTGCCTCCTCCTGGTCATGCGCGATGGCCTCGACCTACGAAAATGCAAGCACGAGTACAAGTGTCGCTTGAGTCAGCTTGGGCGCGGAAGGTTGGGTGAGGAGGGGTGGGACTGGGAAGCGTACCTCGCCCTCGTGCCTTCCGCCGCGGATCTTCGTGTAGACGGTGTCCCCGACCGAGATCGGTATGCCGTCCTTGGACTGTACGCTGTTCTGTGGAACGCAGGTATCCGTGTTACGGTGTCTCTGATACGGTGCAGCATGGCGTTACTCACGGTCATTTGGAGTCTTCGTGTGGTTTACTCGCTTGTTCGACTCGGAGTCGATGATGGATGGGTTCTTGATTGACTGATGGTCGGTCTGAGGTACCGGTAGATGCGGTTAAGAATACTGTACATATGTGCTACTGGAGGTGCGGCGCACAGCTGGTCTGCACACTCGCTTTGCGCCACGAATGAGGTCATAGTCATCGGCGCGGGGAGTGGGGAATGCGCCACCTTCGGTGATCTTAGATTCATCTGCGTGCTTATGTGGATCCAATTCGAGCACTCCGCCGCTCCGCGACCAAGGCAGCCTTGTCTAGATCTCAGAAAAGAGCACAAGTAGGAACTGAAAACGCAAGCGTTCAAATTCTATCACAGTACATCAAGCATCGGGGGAGATTAAACATGCCAACCCGTACTAGCGAAGTATGTCTCCAGTCGAACTAGAGAAGCCAAAGAGGAATTCGGACAGCTTCAGCAGGTCCGTCGGCGTGGGCATGATTGGAACGTTCATCGCTCGATCTTCGACCGAGCGAAGACATAGACGGGTTGTCATTGACAAGATTGTTACGTGCTAACGCAGCACAATCTGATGTGCGGTAAGATGTGTCACGATGTGGTCAAACTCTAAAGACGAACCAAACCTTCACAGTGCCGCGTACCAATGCAAGGCGCCTGCATGAGAGGGTGACAAGTACCTATTCTGAGCCGTGCGTCCGAGAGTTCCGACGTCGCATGTGTGTAACATGTTTTCGAGCAAGTCGCAGACGCGCACCAAGCACCCATGGTCCACCATATGGTCGTGTGTGCGGCCTCGTCGGTTCCTCGCATTGAAGGCCACAGGAGGCTCAGGGTCGCCGGGAAGCGGCCCACGTCCGTTCGATGGAAAGTGGCTGGGAATACGCAGTTATGTGTGAGCCGCTGCGTGCCGGCTGCCAGAGTCGACGTCCGCAAGAGTTTTTCCGGACCGCGAGCGACTGCTGACCGGTCCTCTCGTAAGTCGAACGCCCGGGGAGGAATGCGAATCTCGTTTGGACTCCAGGCGCGGGCTCGCAGTCAGCTGATGCGTGCTGATGGGTCGCATTCGGCGGTTGGGTCGCAGGGTGCGGTGACTTTGGCTGGCAGCGGTACATACACCGAGCGAAGGTTGGACGGCAGTAGACGGGGCGCGTGTTGGGTGCGGCTAAACTCGCGTTGAGCTTGATACTAATAGGGAGGACGGCCTTGCGCCAAGGCGGACAGGGCGGCCCACGGGCCCTCTTGTGCCAGTCCGAGCAGTGCTTGCGGGGGAGATCCGCTGTTTCCTGGGATAGATGGGTGAGAAGACGCGAACCTACTTTTGCGGGGACGCTGGTGCGGTTCGTGGACGTTCATTTCGCGTATGCGCACAGCGCAGAGATGGCGAGGGTTTGGTGGCATGGGACGCGGGTATTTATGTCGACGGGGCCGTGTATGGCAGGGGCAGCCCGGTGGTGGGCGCCTGAGTGCCGGATGGGGACATCACGTGGGGGGCAGTGCATGTTTGGGCGTGTTGGGTGGGTAAGCGGGGAGAGGGGCTCGCTGTCGCCCGACACCTTCTCGTCTGCCCCCGTTCTCGGAAAGCGATCCTCATCACGATATTTCCGATCTGCATTTGGTGCAGTCGTATTTCCCCCGCTTCCGACGCACGTCCCACCGCGAGTCTATTCCGAACCCACCCACCCGTCCCAGCGTCGACGTGGCCGTCTTTGTAATGTAACTGTCTCCCCTTTTCGTCTCTTCAGCCCACTCACCCGATCCATCCCCGTCATCCTGTCCTCGACAATGCAGATAGCCGCCACATCCCCGTCAGCTGTCCCTTTCCAAGCCCGTGTCTCCGTTCCTCGTCCCATCACTCCCGCGCAGCATCGCCATGGCGCGCTCAACGCGTGTCCTCTCCAAGTCGTCCCCGAGGTCCAACAAGGCCTCTTCCAGTGTGATGCAATCCCATCCAAGTGCCTCCTCCAGTCCGAGGCGTTCTCCCCGTTTGCGTAGTAGCCCCCAACGGCCTGACGCCACCCTCCCGACTGCCCCCAGCCCAAAGCCCGAGAACCTGCGTGGTAACAGCCATGAGCGTCGGCAAAGCCTGTACGAGCAGCTCGAGCAGCTGGAACAGGAGCAGCAGCAGTATGTGGCACCCACCCTATCGGGGAAAGGTGCTCTCGCCAGGGTATCGGCAGGCCATCTGCCTCCTAATGCGGACGCCCCGCGCTCGCCCAACAAGCTTAAGCGTCGCCGCGGGCTGGATCATTACGATCTCGTTCCGTCTTCTCCCCATGATTTAGACAATGAATTGACAACGCCCCGAACCCTCCGCGCTCTCAAGCGTCAGCGTCTTCTTTTCGAAGCTCCAGCGACTCCTGAGCCTTCCCCTTCTGGGGATAGGCACGATCGCCCTGCCAGCCCCTCTTCGGGCGAACACAAGTCTCAGCCTGAACCCGGGTGCCCAGAACTTCCGCCCAAGCAGGCCGATAGCGATCTATGCATCGTTCAGGCCGACGCCACTGCCCCTGCGGAAGCGCCTGCAAGGGAGGAGCCTGATGCCTCATATGGCGAAGATGAAGCCGAGCGGGAGCAGTCCGGAAGTGACCTTAGCCAGTCGGTCACCGAGTCGGTCTCGCCTGCGCCTGCGCCGGCAATGGTTGTCGAAGAAATGTCCGACGAGGACGTCATGGTCGCCGAGGTAAGGGGTTTCGCAGTGCGAGATGCGGACACTTCTGACAACGCTGTGTGTTCGTTTTATAGCTCTCAGGCGCGGAATCACCGAGCATCGGCGACGTTACAGATCTTGCCACCGCTTGTGGGTAAGTGTGTTCGCTAGCCACCGGGGCATGTGAAGAGACTGACACCATCCATTAGACCCTCCCAATCCGTATCGGCTGATCTTTCGGCATCGCCGGCTCCCGCGTCTAACGACGCCTTACCACCACCCGGTCCCAGGTAAGACATGCTTCCGAGTTCATTCCAGTTGCGATGAGGACCAACGTCTCGTTCTTTTTGCAGTTCCGCACCTGTGCCCCAGCAGCCGCAGCAGGCGCCCGAACCGGCGCTTGAGGAGGCTCAGCCACAGCCGCCGGCACACTCCGAGCCCGAGGTGCCACTACCGCCCGCACCCCTGGCTGTCTATCTGCCTACGCCCGCCGAACAATGGGCACAGATTGCGGCAAATATCAACCTGCCGCAGGGCGCCGCCGTGGGCATGTCCTTACCGCGGTGGCGATATGCGGTTGACCGCGCAAGTCTGAAGGCGAGCCGCGGGATGCGGCCGAGGAACGTGAAAGCCGAGGCGTGGGTTGGCACCTGGAAGCATGAGATGATGGTCCGTGTGGAGGCGGTGTAAGTGCTTGTCAGCGTCTGCGCGTATGTCACCTATCCTAATGAGGCGGTTTGCAGGATGGAATGGGCCACTGCCGAGCTGGTTCGCGTGTACAATGAGCTGCAGACGCGGGATGACGCTGTTGACTTCTACAACTTCTCTGCGGAACATCTCCCGGACGATGTTGTGGGCATGATGGACGTCGATCAGCCAGAAGCGCATGATGTGTCTGCTGAGGATATGTACGAAGATGATGACAGCGACGATGAAGACGAAGACGACGAAGACTTCGACGTCCCCGACAATTCCCACGTTATCATGGAAGTCGACAGTATCGAGCCTGCTCCCGAGTTTGTCCAAGGCAATTCGTCTTCTGTCGACGCCTCAGATGTCACAGAGGAGCCGAACAGTGCTCCCGAAGCACCACAAGCTAATCTGACGATGCCGCCTTCGTCGATCCCCCCGCGCTTCCGCAATCTCACACCCAAGCTCCCCAGACTCTTCTCTTTCCACACCGGTCCGTTCGAGCTGCCTCAGACTACGCCGGACGGCGTCCCTTACGTCGGCCGGGGTACGCCCGTCGACAGGCGGCGCCTGGATGACTGGGCTAGTCCCCCGCCGCCCCGTCCCCCTCGCTACACCGCCTCCGAGGAGAGCTGGTTTTCATCCCTCGTCACCACGCCGTCTATCATCTCGGGCAACACTTCGTCGCTTACGTCTGACGCGACCTTCGGCGTCCCGACCGAGGTCGGCCCGTTCTGCTGCACGCAGGACGGTCTCTACGGCGCGGAGGGTTCCGTCATCCCTCCTGACTATAGCGCGAACGGAAGTGTCGCGGGTGCGAGCACGAGTACGGGCGTGGGCGCGGATGCGTTCAATTACCCTACCCCGCAGGACTGGATCGAGCCGACGCTCCGCGCGCCGAGTGAATTCCCCGCGTTCCCAGGCGAGCTGACGGAGGGCTTCGCGGGGACTGCTCCCGCGCCGGAGGCGCTTCCTCCTGCGACGCAGCAGACGAATACGGGCTGCATGTTCCACAGGACTCTCCTGGAGTGCCTCACGTCGGGTTTGGGCTGCGTGTCGGGCCCGTTCGCAGGCATGCCGATGCCGCCACCGCCACCCACTCCGACGATGGTCCCGTGTAACGTAGAGGCGGCGAATCCACCAGGCGTGTCCGGCGTGATGGACGTCGGTACGTATGACGTCTCGATGGAACCGGTGTCCGTCCAGGCCTCCAGCGCGCTGAGCCATGCCCTCGGTTAAGCGGTGTGGCTTTACGCGTCACACTAGCGTCGTGGCATTGTTCCACATCCACTCCTACGCCCGCAGTCCTCAGTCCTGTCCTCTCTTCATCTCGCCTCGTTCCGTGCCTATGCGTCTCCGTCCTCTCGGTCATTGCGCCCGCGCCAGCGTGGCGGTGCACCTTCATCTCGCTTCCCCCTCTCTTCTCCTCTCCGTCCCGCAAATCAATCATCCGTGTCGTCTGCAGCATCGTGTCCCCAGCCCGCGCTGTCGTGTCGTTTTGCATCGCTTGCATCTGCCCCCTGCTCTGCCACAGCCCGTGCTCGCTCATCTCAGTTCATCTCTCAATCTTAGTGTACCCCGTCGTAGTCTGGATCTTTTTAGTGTGTCTGCTGTACATCTGGTTCCTTTGTAAGTAGGTACGGACGTTTTCCCGCCGCCGTCTTAGCGTTATCGCGCCCCCGTCGCGCATACCCGTGCTGTTGTATTATCATACCCGCGTGTTTGTACCTGGCGGCATGACCCGCTTCATGTCCGCTGAATACACCATCCGGATCTCTGCTGCAGCTCGTTCTTTGTCTGCGTTCTTCGCGTGCCTCAAGCTTATTGTGTGTGGGTGCGGAGGGTCGGACGAATGCTCGCTGAGACGCAGCCCAGGCGGCGTGTGCAGCGTGGTGGACTCATTTTGCGCCGTGAGTACGCGTGAGTCCGTGTGGTCCTGTGGTGCGCTTGCTGACTCACGCGGTGTTCCTCGTTCATATCGCGAGGCGGGCGCGATGGTCCGTGGATAAGCATGCCTGCGCAGCGGAGCCAAATTTCGCTCCGTGTCTCTCTATTAGTATTAGATTCCGTGCTGTTGGATGCGCGAGCTGCCTCGAGGCGGGAGACTCGCAGCAGCTTGCTGCGTCTGTTCAGTTCCGACTCACAGTGCACCGCCCGCTCGCATATCGCTTGTGCAATGTGTGGACTGTGCAGCGATGGTCGGAAGGTCGGGAACGTCGTGTGTGTATAACCAGAGGGGTGATTACGAGATGCATAGTATCCGAATGAGAGTCCTAGTAGGGAAACAGAAAAAGTCAAAAGGGGACACTAGAAATGCAACAACGGTGGCCCGACGTCTTAGGACCGACGGGCGCGCCGTGGCACGAGGCAGAGCGAGACGAGACGGTTAGTGCGGTGGGGATAGTACAGATGCGCGGGGTAGCTGCCAAGGTATATCTGTATTGTACGGTATCCGAGTCGTGATCCAATGTAATCCGGTGGCCATGGGACGATGAGATGATGCATGCGTGCGGGGGAGACGAGGCGCTTAAATGAGACACGCGGACGTTAAGTTCGTCAAATTGGGAGGTGGAAAAGAAGAGCAGGAAATGCGGCGGACATTAACACGCTCGCAACGCGTCGGTGGACGGTGGGGTGGAAACCCAAATTTTGCCGTCAGATTAGAGGAACGTCATCATTGACGAGGACGAGGGCGGCGCCCAGCTCTATGAAAGACATGAGTACGCTGAAGAGGGGGATTCGTATCCTGGCGTACCTTGTGCGTAGAACGGCTTCCGTGCGTCTGCCAGGACTGCCTCTCTGGTGCACCCGAGAAGAGGCCTAGTGCGTCGGTGTCCTCCTTGCTCCTCAGGGCTACGCTGACTCGACGTGCGTGGCCCACGCGCTGTGTCTTCGGAGGGACGTAGGGGAACTGGTCCTCAGCTTCCTCGGCAACAGACAGTTTTCGCAGGTCTTCTACAATCGACGGCGGCACTGGGACGGTCGTGCGCGGGATGCTCGCGTCCCGGGAGTGCATCAACTGCGCTCGATCTGGGGCTTGCTGAGCCTGCGGCGGGTGCGCAGAGTAGATGAAGCGGTCCCGGAACGGAGGGGTCCTCGGCTGGAGGCCGTAGCTGGGCGGCATGGGCGCCGGGATGCGCGGTACGTCTAGCGCGAAACCCGGGGCGTCCATGGACGACATCGAAGAGTAGCTCGTGCTGTATTGCATGGGTGACGAGTGCGCGACGGGCGAGATTTGGTGCTGCCATGGAGGAGACCCCAGGTACGCGCCGTAGCCCATGGGGACCATTGGCTCGTTGCTTCTCTGCGGCTCGTAGATGCGCATGGATGGGATCGGCGCGCTCGGCGCAGGCGGAGACACTGGAAGCTGGGATTGGAGAGGGAAGTATGTCGTTCCTTGGTATTGTACGGCTCCGCCTAGAGTCGTCTCGACGGGACTCGGGGGCTGCGGCCGCGCACTCGGAGGCGACCCTATCGACGCCGGGAGCCTCCCCACCTTCGGGATGATTGGCTCGGGGTGCTTGTACTGGCAGAGCGCGCCCTTCGTGCAGTTCGGCCACTGCAGGCAGGGCGTGTGCCGAATGACTGCGGAAATAACGGTCAAAATACTGCAATAATCGAGGAGACAGTCGGACGTACAGAGATGAGCCTGCACAGGATGCAGATATGGGCAGTTCTCAACGTGGCAGAGGCCTTGAATGTACGCCCAGCAATGGCTGTGCTTGCTCCCGGCCTGCGGTGGCCCGTCGCCGTGACTGTCTTCAGGAGGTGGCCGCCCGCCCGGGAACCTAACGTCCTCCAGAGCTATCGCGGCCAGTTCGAGGTCATGGATGCTACAAGAATGAGTGTTTATGGTCTGTTAACAGGATCGGACGGGAGGAGTACGTACTAGTTGCACTCTTCGCCCAACGGACACCATCCATGATGGCGAGCAAAATGTCGGCACAACGTGGTTCGCCACGATAGAGGTCTATATTGGGGTGCGCTCGGAGGAGGCACTGAAACAGTCGGATTCACTTGAATTGCAGGAGGAGGTGCCCAAGCTTGGGCGGTCGAGTTCATTCCGTGTATGGGCCGTCCCATCTGGTACCATTGTAGGGCAGGAACGGTCAAATGTTGCGTTGACGACAAATGCGCAGCTTCTGGTTGAGTCTGAATTATCCCGAAGAATATTGGACTTCTGTGCTCGACTGCCGGACTAGCTATACTCACTGGTGGAAATGTGGCGTGTGGCGTAGACGATGCTGGCAAAACGACGTGCAGATACTTGCATCTCTCCCCCTGAGGGCAGTATCTGAGCGCATAGTTGCGACAGAGTTTGGGTGCTAGGACGCGTCAGGATGTGTGATCATCTATCATAGACAGGCATGGAAGACGTACCGCGAGCCCTGTTATTCCTCCTGGGAACCATCTTCGAGATCCAGCACGGCGAAGAGAAGCAAAGTTCAACTCCTTGCGCCCAGGGCGCTCGACACTTATATGTCGGCGAAGAGCACAAAGCGTATGGGCGCGGATATAGATGGTCAACCGCACGTGCTCGTCACGCGAAGTATCAAAGCTGAGGTAGCGGGTTAACAAAAGCAAGCTGATGTCAAAGCATACCGTCTCTGGTAGACATATGAAGCTCTCCACTCAAGACAATAGCTTTGACCCCGGGGATTAAAGCTACGTACGGCCCTGAGGCTGTGACGGGCCACGGGCAAAGCGTCGAGAACATCCGGTGCGGTGGCTTGACTGGAAAAAATTGACGTTGGGGACGAGGAGACTTGGACAGCCATCGCAAAGCAAGAGCCGGGGGAGTCATTCGCCCCGGGCTCGCCATGAAAAGCACTGCTCAACACCACAAACACGCCTTCTACACGAGCTGACCCGGTTACCCAAACAGGCAAGATCGCATCGTATGCAGGCTTACCTAAGCGCTGTATCGGACGCCATCTTGCCCCGTGTATGGGAACATGCCCTTGCCGTCTGCAATGCGGTGCCAGAGGTGTCTGCCATTGCGTAAGGCTCGCCAGCAGCCAGCCAGCCCGCGGAATACCGGCAGCACACATGCACAGCATGACACCCTAACCAGTGCGGCTCGAATCTGCGCGTCCGAGTCGTTCGTCTTCGGTATCGAGTCCCGCGGAGACCTGCGGCAAGTTAGGTAGCAGTGCCGGGCCACAAATAGGTGAGCAAACGGCCAAACGCCGACGGGCTAGGTGGCACGGTACCTTGATAACCTCGCGCGGATAGATGCGAGTGGTGCGTCTCAACTTTGAAAATCACTCCGCTCCGCCTGGAACTCGCAGGCACGGATCGATCGACATTGTAAACATTTTCCCGGCTTCCGACGTCGATCCAGAGTGCGAAGCCGCTCCGGGCCTTCGAGTTGATTCAAGTATCTGTCTGTATCGAATATCAGTACTGTGCGTAGCCGCCATGGCAGCTAGATAGCCAAAAAGTCGCAAACTGGGTTCAAATCAAGGCGTGACTCCTCTTCTCGCATCACTCGGAGACGCAGCACCGGAGTTCACAAGTTAAGAAGCAACGTCTTATACAACGACGATCACACCAAGGACTGCAGATACACAAGGAAGTGGGTCGTCACGGCCGCGATGGCTCAGAGCCCCCTTGGATCTCCCAGGAACAAAATGAGGTGAGTGGAAGTCTGTGAGACGACAACCATCTGATACCGAGCCCGGCCGCGAGCCGCGAGCTCAACATCCTATTCAGGGAGGGACAGAGTCGTACCAGTCAAACCATCCCATGTTGCCATTTGCGGAATGCTCACTTCCATATGCCTGACCGGCGTAGAATGCACAGTATCTAGGTATTCTCATCTCAATCATGCATTTGGAGAGCGCAATCGAAAGCTAACGACAGTCGTGGTGCTTATAGCACATGCGTGATCTAGGCAAGTACCGCAAGGAGCGAGGCCGGTGAGGGGCGACTAGTGTTGATGCTAGAAGGCAAGTCAATGACCGAACGACGATGAATGGAACCGATCAGACGCACCGGAGTCCGCCGGTACGTACGGCTTCACATGTTGCCCAGATGGCCCCCTTGCTGGGCATTCGGCATGAACGAGACGTTGTGGTCGACGCGTTGGGGATCCGTCACGGCCATTGGCATGCCCGTTTGGCGGAACGAGGAGGTCAGTGAGCTGGTTGACTGCATCGCACTCCCAGATAGTTGCTGACGCTTCATTGGGGGCAGCGACGCCATGTCCTGCAGTATCGTAAGCGGGTATACACCGCATGCATGTGGACCCTTACTTCGAAAACGTCTCGGCCTAGGATCGATCGGTAAGCGAAACCCAAGTCAGCGAACGGGATCGGACAGGCCGACGTACCTGGCAGAGGTTCCCAGCTCCGAGGGTGCTTCCGATCGGCACCCATGGGATCGATCTGCATTCCGTGCTCCCGCGACGTCCCAGCGAGACTCTGCTCGAACAACCAGCTCAGATGCGATCTGGGCTCACTCAGACATCGTACGCACTTCATCCATCATCGCGACATTATGACTTTGTGCCATAGAGGCCCCCATGTTATCTACGTGCGACCATGTCATATCTCGCATATTCCGCCAGCTATTTGCATGGTCGGGCATCATGACATTGTTTGGTCTTCCAGCAGTCAACAAGTGACAAAATTGACGAAAAGATTTCGCTCACATGGGGCTCATACCACTCCCTCGGGAGTCGCTTGTACTTGGTCTGGATTGCGGTCGTTGTTGCATAACAGCACTCGCCAATAGCTGATTTCGGGGAGACGATCGGGCGGCCTGCATAGCTTCGAATCGGTCAGAGGGAGTTTCACTTGAGCCATGGTCTGTCACACCTTCACCCGCCTCGCCGGGGTAGCTGTTCATGAGTCTTGACACTGAAACATAGTTTAGATGCGAATTAAAGGAGCAAGGAGCGCTAGCCGCACTACCTAGGTGGTCCCGCCGCTGCTCCGCCGCCAGAACCTGCTGACGGGCCCTGTCCTCTGCATCCAAACAGGTCGTGTAAGCGGCCAAAGCTTCCTGCGAATTCTTGCGAGCTCGCGCAAGCTCAGCCCTGGCATTTCCCAACAGGTTTCCTGGAACGGCACGGGTCAGGATAGGATCGGGACGAGGTGAATGAACGCACGGGCAATTTCAAGGTCTTGCATTACCGTTTGGGTATCGTCTGTTGCGCCGGAGCCTGGAGAAGCACCGGCGTCGTCATGTTCGTCTGGGCAGTGTCATGGATTGGCTGTGAATTCATTGGAGGATCTGCGTACCTTCGTCATCCGCTGTCTGCCAACCCGAACCAGATGCGATCGCTGAGGTTGATGCGGTCGGGTGTTGTAGGCGCAAGGCCGACTGCTCCTGCTCCCCTGTACTCGTGTGTAGAAAGGTTCGTCGTAGGCGGGGGTTGTGAGGAATTCCGGCCACTTGTCGCTCGATAAACTTCCGTAGGAACGTAAGCTCCAGGTGGTCGGGCATGACGTACGGTGGCCCTTGTATCTCTCCTTTCTGCATGAGCAGCTCGAGGTGCGACATGACCTTATCCTTCAGCTGCTGCAGCCACTCGTGCAGCTCCATGTGGTCCTGGTCCGCGCGTGCATCGTAGTCTTGACGTCTCCTAGCTTTCCTCCAGTAGGTCTTCGTCAGCTTTAGAGCGCGAGTGACCTCCCCGTCAAGCGTGCGATACCAGTCGCTTGCTTGTCGGTTCAGGCGGACAGCCAGGACACCGGGCTGCACCCGCAACTGCAAGACGCAGCGACCTTCTGCGTCTGTCGGGCCAAGAACACCCTTTTGACCCTGATTGCCTCTGGTGGCTCCGCGTGAAACATTGCCGAGTTCGGGCCAAGGGAGGTCGTCTGCTAGCATGCTGGATGTCATGCGGCAAGTGGCTAGATGGGGGGCCTCAATCGGTATGGTGAAACGGTGCGGCGTAACTTTTCAGCTGTCTGACGTTGCATTATGCCGGAGTCAACCGAGAGCACGGAGAGAACGCACCTGCGTACTGAACGCCGCGTGTGGGAGGGAACTCGACCACTCGCGGTTCCTGTAAGTATGATATGGATGCCACCCTGCCGGCAGTAACAAGCTCTGCACAGCCCGCTAGTTCTTGCCATTTCGCCGTAAAGATGGCAGCGACATCAATCAAAGTGGGCTATGTAAGAAATACCATAGATGTCTTATAAGGGGCACCAAACAGGACCTGCGCTCGTATAACGTACGATGGGAACCTGGGTTACAGCCCGGGTTGTTAACATTCCTGTAGCATCACATCAAAACACTTGCCACATTCACAGCATCAGAAAGTTGCCTATTTGGGCAGGACCAGATCGGAGACACCAGCCGGAGAAGCGTGAGTACAAGGGATCGCTAGCCGCCAGACACACTGTTTCTGGTGACTGAGCTTGAATGTATCCACGTTTCACAATGACTACAGTGTTCCGTGTCGGATAGTTGCATTGTGTCTTGCTTTGTGCGGCTGTAGCAACGGAGACGGGCCAGGAATCCGAGAACGTCGGTGGAGATGTAAGTATGGGCCAGTATATGACGTGATGGCCATTGGACAACGGTCAAACACAACAGTGCGGTGGGGATCAGGCCCAGGACCTTGCCATACGGGATTCCTGAAGGGTACAGAGTCCGCAACCACCCTCTCCATGATGCGGCCGTTGTGCAAGGCGGCGGCAGGCTCATCAAGGCACTGCCGTCGGCTGATACCCTCTACAGTAATTCGAGCCGTCGCCGGCGTTCTGTGAGGGTCTCGACAGCCGCCGCATCAAGGGTTTCGGAGGCTCCCGATACTAAGGGAAGGCATAGAACAGATCTGGGTCTGGTACTTCATGATAAGTACGGGGCACCAACCGAGCGGCCGGATGGATCTGTCTGGTAGTAAACGAGATCTTGTGTTACACGATACAACGAGTCGGGCAAGGGACGGGCGCGCAGGCTTTGCTTCGAGTTTCCGAATAACATCCGCCGGTGCGTAGCGCTAAGTAATGGCAAATGACACTGACAGTACGTCAAGTGTAATGGGCATGGCCGGTCAACGGCTAAGTATAGCGCTATATTCGCCGAGTGTTACCTGCAATGCGTCAGCCCGCTAGAATGCAACAAGTCCATTCGAAGGGTAACGTGGTACTGTGATCGATACTCACCAATACTCAGCGATCTATGACGAGGCTTGTTGACAAGGGGCGCGGCACACTAATGGCAAAACAATAATGTCAGTAAAACGTCCAGTCGAGAGGCCGGTAAGGCCGGAGGCTTACGGCGAATGTCACTGAGACGGGTCGTTTCACGTCGACCGCCATGGAGCAGCGGTTACTGAACATAAGTACTATATTGACCGAACTATGACATCCGTCATAGCGGTCCGATGAGCCTAATGTATCGATCTGTCCGAAGCCGTAGCAGCGGCACAACTTGTTTGTCTGAAACAGGAACTCACGATAATGATTTACTTTGATGGGTACCGTGTAACACGGCCCGTAGCAGCTGCCAGGCGAGCTGTAGCCCTTGAGTTGATTCATGCAGCAAACGGAGAGCCAATAACGCTGTCTCGACTTCTACAAGTGCTTAAACGTGGTCTTCTCCATGGCGCGTCCCGATGACAATGAAAAACCATGAGCCTTGTCCGAGACTGATGCGAGTGGACTAACCTTCGAAGGGCAAGCCTGAGCAAGCTGAACAACAGAGTTTATGCGGTCAGACCGCACAGCGACACAACATATCAATGATCTGAATTGACAGAGGTGACTGTGACATTGAAGGTAGCCGAGAATGCTCTCACCTCAAATTGATAAGTACGTGCCAAAGTCCTGAAATTGAACAGCCCTAGCAGCTGCGTAGGGGGTGCGGTAGGCGAGGTGGCTGCAAGGTTGACTCGGAAGTGACGTATGCATCCTGACTTAGGTATCTCAGCGCATTGGAGCGGAGATGATATCGAGATCATGGCCGGATCCCGCGATTCGCGTGGCTCGAAGGCGGCGGGATTTGGTCGGTGAATAGCGCGCAGGCGTGTACAGAGCGGCCGCAGCATACTGGATTGTGACGGTGTTCAATTCCGGTATGCGAGTGGTAGAAGGTGATAGTTGGCGTAGCACCTTTGAATATTTTCTCCAATGATTCGAAATCACGCGAAGCCGAGTTCCGAGTCGAATAGGGCTTCTTGTCTAACAGAACGGTCCGCCGAACGGCCAGTGACGGGACCCCGGTTCAATTGCCACTAGCGTCACGGTACCAAAGAAAACGCGGAACTGTAGTTCTGTGGACGTCGGGCAACAAGAGGCATTCGAGAGGGCAGTACCGTGCTGATTATCACGACAGATAGAAGGAAGACGAGGCGCCCCTTGCAATCTAGGTGGGAATTGGAATTGGATGGGAAATCGAGGAAGGCTGGCCCACATGCTTGACCTTCAAGATGACCAACGCATCCGAGAAGCATTGGGACGCACCTGCCAGACCATGACTCAAGACGGCCGCTGATATATAAGTGATTCTGTGGGGAGCTTGAGCTTCTCCATTGACTAAGGCCAGACTGAGGCACTGTCAATACGCATGGACCTCCAACATCGTGGCATGATGGAGCATTAATTGGTGGTGATGCCGGCGATTCGAGGAAGGGAATCAGGGGTCGTACGACTGAATGCTAATTCGGCGGTCTCGCTTTCCTACCTCATAATATGAAAAGCCATCCGCAACCGCAAGACAGGAACGAGGAAATTCATTGAGAGGTGCATTACGTATGAATTAATACCTAGAAGCGAAGATGATCAGCGAGGTCCCTCAATCCAGTTCAGACAACCAGAGAGAAGCACCGTTATCTCAAGTCCGCCGTGGTTGTTTGCAATGCATGGCGCAACAAATAGCGCCTCAAGTCAACTTCCCCATCAACATTCAAATTCTTATTGTGGCACGGAAGCAAAGTACACGGATACGTGCACCATGCCTCCTGGCCCCGCCGATGCTGTTAACTCTTGGATGTTAACGTCTGTATCATGTACCACTTGAGCATCACTCTTGTCTCCAGTTGACAGTACTTACATGAAGTATGAGCGCGCGACAACCGGCAGTGCACATAGTCCTCAAGTCACAGCTGCTTGTGTAACCTGCATCATTGCACTTCTTGACAGGCAGGCATTTGATCATTTATACCCTGCATAACCGAGTGCGGTGGGCCGCCGGCAGAGCGTAAGTAATAACATGTGAGGATCGAGCTACGGCAGGAGACCGATAGGGGAGTGCGCTGGTATAAGACGTACGTCACGATGCGTCCGTCTTGATTAAATCCCAGGAACAATCCGGAGCGAAGAATCCGAGCAGCGGTCACATCTCAGTTCAGACACGGGACTCGGTGTTGCGCAAAAATAATACAAAGGGAGGGGGGCTTACCGACGGAGCCGATGTCCCCCCAATAAGCCTGTTTGTCTGCGGCTTGTACACGACTCTCAGAGGCTATACACCAGCTTCGGCTTCAGTCCGATAACACCTCCACCCCTTCCATCCCAACCCGCGATAGCCGCACGGCACACAGGACAACTGCGAGTGTCCAAGGGAACGAGAGTGAGGTTTGATATCCGCATTGGGTCACGGAAGCGACACGCACAGCCAAACGACAGAGCATCAGTAGGACCGTACTGGCCGTGGACTCGGCGGACTCACCGTGCGATCAATCTTTCGCCCACCGGTGCGGTGTATGACGCTCGTTGCATTGTTGTCTTGATAGCGGTGAAAAGGCACTCTCCACAACAGACGTGTCCGCAAGGAGTCATCGTCGCGCGGACAGGTGGCGAGAAGCAGATCGGGCAGCTATACGCAGAGAGCGGCTCGTCGCCGCGAGGACCGGAGCCGTCTGCTTGCTCGCGCGCTGTCGACTGCGAAGACGAAACGGCATGGGCGACAGCACTCGGTCTGCTCCTTGGACTGGGGTTCCTGGCGGCCGATGAGGGGCCTGCAATGGGAAGCTCGTCCATAAGTGCGTCCACATCAATGATCATGTTCCGCTGTTGGGCCATGGCACTGGACTCGGCCTCCATCGCTTGACCGGGTGATTCGGTAACCCACCCGGTGTTCAGCACGACGGCAGAAGGGGACGTAGGGCTGGCGGGATCCAGATCATTTGAACCAGGAACCAGGTCTCGTCCACTCCGAGCATCGCCGGCGTCTGGGAAGCTGCTACGAGCATCGCCATGGACGCTGAGTGGACCCGCCGCTGCTTCGGAAGCAGATTGAGAGATGATCGTGTCGTCTGTGTCTAGATTCATTGCGGCTGCCTCTGCAGGAACATTCAGTCGCTGCGACATGGTTGTAGAACTGTCTGATGGTTCCTCCACTTTGCGCCGTTTACGGGGGCCTTCTGTGTCTCCAAAGTTGGAGCCTGTGCTTTCTGGTGCGGGCGATAGAGGCAGCCTGATAGACGCAGACGTTGTCTCTGTTATCTGTGGAATGTCGGTGTCACGCAGAGACACCGCTTGCACATCACTTTCTGCGACGGCCTGGGAGCGAACCTGCGAGCTAGCGCGGGACTGAGACGCAGAATGCGTAGTCGATCTAGAGCCTGAGCCAGAGTGCGTCGAACGCCCTCTACTCTGGCGAGGTTGCAGCGATCTACCGGTGACCGTGGTAGGCAATGGCAGTGGCACATCGAGTTCGGGTCGTGTCACATCATACAACAGATCGCTGTCCATCGACCCGGCTTCTGCAATTTGACAGAACGAACAGATCGTCACTAGAGGCAATTGAGCACAGCAAACTAGTGTGACTTACTTGCGAGAAAGCGTGTTCCTTTGAGACTAATTGCGATCCTGCCACGACTCCAACAACAGATAAGTAAGAGATGGTCACATTCCTGGATCACAATCATATGAATTAAAGTCACCTTGCGGTTGCGGACAGTCAGTTCAAATGTCACTGCCAGAGGATCGAATTTGAATGAGGGTAAGGTCAAAGATGCTAAGCGCCAGTGGCGAACCGCGTACCGAGTCCAGACAGATGTGCACGTGACTGACAGGGACACGTCGCCGTTAGACTCAGCTGGTGCTCTGCCACCAACTCTATACTGCTCCGCCCGCTCCGTTGTGCTGGCAGGCTAGCCCACCGGAAAACCACCTGCGCCTGCAGGATGGCCAACATGTCCGCTCCCGACCGCTCAGGCTCACCTACCCTCCTTGAGAAGATTGACGAAATCGTCCCGGCGCCGCTCGCACAGTTCGACGCGTTCCCAAAACTCCCATCTACCTACAAAGCGCGCTCGGAGTCCCGCGGCTTCCTCACTGTCTTCGTTGCTCTCCTGGCTTTTTTGCTTGTACTCAATGATATCGGCGAATACATATGGGGCTGGCCGGATTACGAGTTCAGTGTGGACAAGGAGCCGGGAAATAACATGAACGTTAATGTGGATATGATGGTCAACATGCCGTGTCGCTGTGAGTTCCATGTATGGTGCTTTGCTGGTAGAATGATATTCACAAGCAGACAGTTCTCAGTGTGGACCTCCGAGATGCTGTCGGTGATCGGCTATACTTGAGCAGCCGTTTCCGCCGGGACGGGACGAAGTTCGACATCGGCCAGGCCACTTCATTGAAGGAACACGCTGCTATGCTGTCTGCGCAACAGGCAGTTGCCCAATCTCGCAAGTCTCGTGGGCTTTTCTCGACGCTATTCCGAGGAAGCAACAACCAGTACCGTCCGACATACAACTATCAGAAGGATGGCAGTGCGTGCAGAATATATGGAACAATCACTGCCAAGAAAGTTACTGGTGAGTATCCATTGCTGGATATTCCTGGATAGTAGGTTGCCGCGGCATCCGAAGCTGTATCAACAACGGCCGGGTGTCCAGCGGACTGGACAGGCGGCTAGATGCATGTTTCGCGACCCCGGCGACATGGACAGGAGGATAGCCCTTCTAATGAAGTCTGGCTTACGGCCATTCCTCCGATGACGCCGGATGTCTTGCACTTCATATCCGGCCTTCGCAGCTGAGTTCTGACCCTTATGTTACTCAACTAGCAAACCTGCACGTTACAACCATGGGACACGGCTATGCCAGTAGGGAACATGTTGATCACAAGCGTACGTACATTCAAATTGTGCTCCATTCGAAATGGGCTGAGTTGTGCGCAGTCATGAATTTATCCCACGTCATTACCGAGTTCTCCTTTGGGCCGTACTTCCCGGAGATTACGCAGCCACTCGACAACTCCTTTGAGGTGGCTGACGATCGTGAGCTGCCAGTCTGTGTCTCGAATGTCTGTTGACTGACCGTTGCTTGCGAAGCATTCATGGCGTATCAATACTACCTTCATGTTGTACCGACGACGTATATTGCGGCGCGCTCAGCGCCTCTGTATACACATCAGTACAGCGTTACGCATTACACTCGCAAGCTGGACAGCCACCATGGTACTCCGGGTATCTTCTTCAAGTTCGACCTTGAGCCTCTCGCCCTCACTATACACCAGCGCACAACCTCACTTGTGCAGCTTTGGATTAGGTTCGCATCTTAATTCTCTCGGAGGGTTTAAGTCTGACGATGAGAATAGATGTGTCGGTGTTATTGGTGGCATATTTGTCTGCATGGGATATGCTGTGCGCATCACCGATCGCGCAGTCGAAGCTGTCTCGGGTGTCGACAAGTCGCAAGGGATCGTCGCCGCGGAGGCCAGCGGAGTCGGTGTTGGCATTCGCAAGCGTCTCGGTAATACCGATGTCCGCCTGCGCGGCAACCGTCAAAGCTGGGCTGACGGCGGCGGTGGTAGCGCGTACTCGAGCTACGCCGGGACGCCCGTGTCGGGCGCCTTCCCAAGCCCTCAGCTCGCGGCGTACCCGTCGTCGCCCTACGCCGCAAGTATCTCGAGCCCCCTGCCGAGCGCCCCACCTATGGACCGCCGCTCGTCTGGTCTGGGCTTTGGGCTGAACTCGCCTTCGTTCGGCCCAGTCCCGTCGACTGCACCACCGCAAGGCCGACGTTCCCCGAACTCACCGTTCCTGACGGCTGCGACGGCTGGGTCGCCATACAGCGGAACGTTGTCTGTGCCGCCTACGCCTGGCACCGCGCAGAGCGGGTTCTACTCGCACTTCCCGCCGACACCGAACCCTGCAAACGCGGGCTTCCCACGCTCGCCTGCACCGGGTGGTGGAGGCACGTTCGCCACGCAGCAGGGCATGACGTCTCCGCCGCCACCGCGATCTAGCGGACTGCGCCACCAGAGCAGTAGCGATAATAAGGCGAAGGATGACTAGTCTCTGTCTTGGAGCTACGGAATGGGACTTTGGTGCTCGTACTACTTTGTGCGGATTCGCTAGCGCTGTCTGTGCTCTGTATGTGTATGTTATCGCTTTGGGATCGCTCTCTCATGCATCTGCGGTCTTGTGTATGGTATCTCAAGTGTGGAGATTGCCCTGGCTGAGCGGGAAATGGCTCGTCAGGTTCAACGAAGGCACCAGACTCGAGTGCATCCAGGTGCACTTGCACATCGCGGTTGCGTGTGTAGTAAGGTAGTTGTCTGAATACCTGCGAGAGGTGCTCCGCCGCGGAAGTTCAATCAGAAAGCCTATTGCAGTGAACCGACTGGCATTGCTCGTGAATATCTGTACTCGTTAGCCATTCGTTGCCATTTGACGAACCAATGGAATTTCGCCACATTGAAGTAAACATTAATATGTTCCCGATGCCATGCACTTGTAGACGTCGAGAGACACCCGCTCATTACTAGTTTACTACGTATTACTATTCCCAACTCCTGTGTACCACAACAAGCTATCATAGCCCCGGACTTGGACGACGTACCAGTCTCGGAGCGGCTGCGAGCGGTACACGTAAACGCCAACTAGTGTACAGGCCGGCATTTGCCGCACCGGATGTCTTCCAGTGGCCCGTGGGATCAACCACCCGCGCATGTTGCCAATGCCACTCTTCAAGTCCCCAACTCTTGCCACTCGCCGGGGTTGCTGCGACTGACGGCCACTGTGCTTCACATTCCTGTCGTTGTGGGACACAACCACTGTAGTACGTACTCAGGTATGCTCATTCTTTGACGCGCTTATGACTCTAACTCATATCAGCGTAGACTTCCAGTCAAGAGCGTGCATTGTGCATGTGCTAGTTGTCTCCGATACTAGTGCCACTGGGATCGTGTGAAGAGTCGACGTCGACGTCCTCGACAGCGAGACCCCTCCACCCGTCCAAGTCTGTTCGCGTTGCATGCAGGTATGCTTCCTTTGGCCCTGGCTTGATAGAGGATCTTCGAGCTGAACGTTGAACTCACAAGTAAGGCATTATAAGACGCCTGAATCTTGACTTCATTTCATACTACTTCACATTTCACACTGTTATGGCTTCTTCGCGACGCAAGAAGAGGCCGGTCTCAAGTGCGGCTGCGAAGGTGAGTTATCACAGAACATCACTCAGCGGACGCTTTCCTCTTATACAGATGTTCAATACAGCCAAGAGCGAATCGGAAGAGGTCCAAGCACGTAGGACCCGGAGAAGAGCAAGAGCAAGACATTGCTTTGCCTGCACGGCCACGGCTCCCGGTTGAGCTGATATTGCTTATCTACGAGCATATCCACTCGCAGCACTGGCTTGCCGTTGCAAGCCGCATATGCCGCGCTCTCCAACACGAATTTGAACGTCTCTTATACCGGAATGTCTTCGTGAGGCGTCTCCCGGAGGCCGTTTGTCTCTACTACACGCTCACCGAATCCCCAATACGCGCGGATTTTGTCCATTCGCTCGAGATCGTGGACCAGGGACAGCTCGAGCCCGCTATGCCGCAAATCAACGAGATGCTCCTCCTTCTGAAGAACCTCAAAACTCTCACGCTATATATGCCTTCCCACAACCCTGCGCTCTACAGTACCCTTATACGGACCGCTTCAACATGCACGTTCCATCTGAAAACACTTGAATGCCATGATTCTGCCGATGAGGAGTTTGTCCACTTTCTTCGACGGCAGACCGATCTAGTATCTCTCCGTGTGAAGGTTGGACCATCCTCCCCTTCGCCCAATTCAGGTTGCACGATCCCTCCAGACGCCCTTCCACGCCTCACACACCTACAGTGTTACAATACATTCCTCCTGCGCGGCATTGGCTCCCCTTCTGCCCTCACACACCTATGGCTTACTCTCCACGACGAGGATGTTCCGTATCTAGGCATGGCCCTTGGGGCTGTGCGGCAGCAACTCATCAGCTTGAAGTGCGTACTGTATTGTTTGGACCTCCCGGTTTGGCCTCTAATATCGGGCATCATCCGTGGCGGACCCATTCCGAGGTTAAAATATCTGGAAATCGACGATGGCTACACTAGTGTTGTACGTGTTTATTTTGCTCCTCAAATTTTGAATATATTCATATCAGAGCACTGTAGTATCGACCAAGTCCAGACGTCGATATCAGATCGGACGAATCAAACGTCACGTTGCAAACGCTTGTATGGCGTGCAAAATCACGTCCATACGATCTGCCCCGTAGCAAAGTCCTGCGCTCCAGCCATGGCCGTGTAGCCTACACTCGCCCCTGGGCGGAGGCGTTCCTTGGTACATACAGCACCCAGCGCCGATTCTACTATGTCGACGAGAATCGGGACGACCCGGACGCAGCATTCGCCGTACGCTATACCAAATCAGTTGACGGAGGTGTTTCGGAGGACAAGATGGATGTGCTGGACGTGCCGAATTGGGATGATGTTTGACATGGCAATGTCAAAGGTAGCCATGACTTGATGAGTACCAATATGCTGCGGCGAGATGGGTTGCTCAACGATAATGTTACGAGGCGCTTATTGCCATGTACTTATGTCTTTCACAAGCTGTATCGAATCGACGATGAGAGGGACTCACGGTGCGAGCACAGCCATGCGAGCACTAAGTGGAAAGAGAGTAGGGAGCTTATGATGGGGAGGGAAAGGTCGGCAGGTGGGGTAGTACCGAAGCGGAGGGTGCCAATGTGAACTACAGTATGGGTGGTGGTAACAAGACTTTACGGAAGTTTGAGGTATACGTAGTTTCAAGCACATTCAAGCAGGTTGAAACTTGCCCACAACTGCCCTAGTCTGCTCGCGCAGTAATCAGGCCTGCTCCGGGCAGATTGAACAGGGTGGAGGTGGAGTCCAAGTATTGCGCGCAGGATCCAATGTGACACCCTTGCACGTGATCGCGTATGTCACACTGCAGGCGCGCTCGATACTCGTTCGTAGTCGCTTGATCCTCGACGCTCGTCAAGGCAAAGCGATGCGCTTTCGTGCCAACATCGAGCATGTCAACACCTTCTATAGTATGTAGCAACACTGATCTTGACGCACTCTGCTGAACTGCATAAACGCTACCAGAGATCAGCCAGGCAGTCGAGAAACTGCAGAAACGCTGCATCATCAAGTTCACGGAGAGCGAGATGCACATCATCTGCAACAACGAAGCCGGCGAGGGCGGCATCCAGGTGTGGTCGTGAGTCCCCCGCGTCTCTCCCGCTTGCATACTGGTGACCGGCCCAGGCACGCAGACAGATCAAGGTCTCTTCCCTGTTCACGGACTACCGCATACAGTCGAACGCGAACAACGAGATTTACCTGGGGCTACCCACAGAGGCCATGACCTCCGCGCTTAAGTCAGCGGCGGCACCAACGGGCCAGCAAGCTGCTTTTTCGGCGGATGCGGAGGTCGTCATGAAGTGCGTGCCTGTCTCCGCCTGTCCCCCCTGCTTCCTCCGAGCGCGCGGCCGTCCTCCGGCTTCCCAACGTTCCCGTGTTGTTCGAGGACGCTGATGCTGGGAGGCAGGCTCATGAAGAAGAACGACGTTGCGGTTCTGACCTTCGAGATCGCGACGACGACGCGGATGGGCCGGTACGTCCGGATCGCGCACGACGTCCGGATCGAGGTGCTCAAGCCGCAAGACGTGAGCCGGATCAAGGAGCCAATGTGTCCAGAGCCCGAGGTCCGTCCCCACCCTCCCTCTGGGCTCGCCGAACTGACCGCTCCATCCCGAAGGTCCACATCCTCCTCCCGCCCCTCGCGAAGCTCCGCACCGTGGTCGAGCGCATGCGCCCGCTCGCCGCGGACGTGATCGGGATCCGCGCGAACCTGTCGGGGTGCTTGCAGCTCTGCGCCCAGACGGACAACGCGCGCGTGGACGTGTCGTGGAACGGGCTGTCGAACCCGAAGATGGGTAGGTCGTGCGCTGGGGTAGTCGGTGCCACTGATACAAATGCTGGTTTCAGCGCAAGATCCGAGCACGCAGGACCCGGACAACTTGGAGGCGCGCGACCCGACGACGCTCTATGGCGTGCTTGTGTCTCTGAAGAGCTTGCAGAAGTTCCTGAGCAGCCACGTCGTGTCGACGACGACGATCGCATGTGCGTCTTCTCGTGCCTGTGAGAGACGTCGGTGTTCTCACCGCTCACCCCCGCCGTGTCCATAGGCATATGCCAGAATCACTGCATCATCCTATACGTCTACATCGGCGAGATGGCGGAAGCAGGCGGTGTCCTGACGTTCTACATCCCCGCCATTATCGAGTGACAACTCCACTCCGCACGGTCACGCTTTCATCTCCCGGGCTCTCATCATTTTCATTCTATGTATCTGTCTGTATTCCCATCGCTGATGCTGTCTCCCCTCGTGATATCCACATGCTGTATCTGTAGCTTTCTCTTGCTGTCGGCGCGCACGCCCGTTGTACTAGCTCCATCCCTTATCGCATCTCATCGACTGCCCATGTCCAGGACTGAGGAATGCTGGCAAGTGGCGTGCTTAAGGCCGGTGGTCCGGGTCGAGTCCCGGTCCGCGCGTGGGTGTGGTCGTCTATGCAGACAGGGATCATCCCCAGGGTGTCCGGTACGCCGTCACGGTTTCCTACTTCTTGAACGGGTCACGGGTGACATCGTTGCAGATACGCGGAGCATGCATTGCGTAGCAGCCATCGTCGCCATCGATGACCCTGCCCGCGTGCTCCTGTTCAGGTGTGCTTTGAATGAAGCCCGTCAACCAAGCTCTCCCTGCCGTACCCGTGGCTCATACGTTTCTCGACCCATTGACTGACGGTCTTGGCGCAAGTAAGCTCACAGACTCACCCGTCACATCACGCGGGAAAGGCGCACCGACAACCACGCTGAGCAGGGTGACGCACGGCTGCGTCAGTTTGGGGCTTCCACGCCAGTGCCGCGTCGACTGAAGACGCGCTATGCCGCCCCGCTCATTCGCACTCGCAGCGACTCGGAGAGTCTATTGCGCACGCGCAGGCCACATGCACTGGCACGTCGAGTCTCTCGGATGCGGAGGGGCAGCGGCGATGACCGCTCGGACGTGGCCGCGCACACGCACTCAGGGCCGCTGAGTCTGAGTCGGAGGTAGTCCGCGTCGTCGCGGCTTCGAATTCTGCGCATGCGCCGGGGACAGCCAGCGGCCCATAAGGCTAAGCTGCCAGTGGGCAGCCGGGCTGCCTCCCTCCCGTGCTCCGTCCGTCCTCCCCCTCTATCGTCTGCCCTCCCGTCGCCCGTCCATGCCACTGCTCTCGCACCTCCCCTCGGAGTCATATTCGCGTTGGCTGCTGCCGTCGACGCGTCCGGCTCACGTGCCAGTCGAGTAAGTAAGTTACAGTGGCGTTGACGATGACCGATCGGGCGACGGCGGGGGCGGAGGCGGATGCCAGATTGTGATCCGTGTGCCTGATCGGACGGCCCCGCGTCGTCGGTCCTCCTCGTCGGCGTGGGGTGTCCCGCCGGGTCCTGCCTGCACTAGTACTGTTGCTCGGGCTCCGAGTCTGCGTTTCCTGGCCTGGTGGCGTCGCACTGCAAGCTCTGCTGTTCTGGTGTGCTGGGCCTACTTGATGCATATGGTGGACTCTGTACGTGTTCAGACGTTCGTGGCGCGCTCTCGTTCCGCCCCCCCATGCGTCGACGGACACTGATGTGACACTCCGTACACGACCAACGGCAGCGCATCTCGTGCACGACCTCGTTGAGCACCTCCCCTCGACTCGACTCGTCGCCCCGGACATCTCACTGCCCACCTAGCGACCTCGCGCCCACCGTGCCACCCCGACTGGGGTCTGCACGCCCAGCGGCCCTGCACGCCCTCAGCCTGCTGCCGTCTAGTCAGCGCGTCCGGGCGCGTCGTTCGAGGCCCAGTCCGCCTTCGCCTCTCGATCCCGCCCTCCGGACTCCCTGGCACGCTCAACAGGACGCTCGTAATTCTGCGAACGTCGCGTCCCCACAGACCGGCGGACCCGGGCCCCCACATGCCCATTCCCATTCCCATCCCCATATCCATATCGTCCCCGCCCAATTACTTACAAGCACCAAGGCAAAGAAAAAGCCCCACGGCCGGGCTATCGCCTCAGTTTCGCACCTCGACGTTGCGGGCAGGCCGAGGCCTCGGGCAATGGGCATCCAGCTTCCCCGGCACGGAGTCTGTCTCACTGTCTGCGCGGGGCATGAAGGGGTATAACTGCCGTGGGCTCGTTATCTGGGGGTAGGTGCCTCTGAGTCTCGTCGACCCGTTTCTTCTTCCGTGCCCGGACGCGCGACCGTCCACCTCAGCATCGCCGCGGCGCACCATACCGACACAAGTCATCAAGGCACTCCGATCCTGTACTTGACCCTATCTACGGAGACAGACAAAGGACAACTCGGCGGGAGAGACAGCTGTGGGCGAGCGGCGGAGGAAGAGAGAGCGCGACCAGAAGTATCCGAGAGCAGTCTAGAGATACAGTGCGTATGGTACGGGAGGTGCGTGTGTGCGGGGGCGTAGCGGCGACGTGGGGGTGTCGTTCTGGTGCTGTCGTGTGGTGTGAGTCGTGCAAGAACCCAGTATTGGCATCATATCGCGAAGAAAAAACCGAGGGACCCTATAGTAATGAAATATTAGGCGGAAAGCAAGAAGAGGTGAGGGAGGAGAAGGCGAAGGTGAGTGAGCTCGAACCGCGGCGCGGTGTATGTATGCGCGTCCATCCGTATCTGCATGCTCCCAGCCATCCTCTCAGGACCGTCGGACACCGCCCCGTCGCAGGCCGCGAGCGCCCCGGAAGCACGAACACCAAGGCTCCTCCGAGTCGCGACGCGGGCCAGGGCTACGGCGCCCATCAGCGATCGCCAAACAGGCTGGGGAGGTCGGCCATGTCGAGGAGGACGACGCCGGCCTCCTCGAGCTCCTCCTCGATCTCGCGCTGGACCTTCTCGGCGGGGGTGCTGGTGCCGCCGTCCCAGTACTCGATGCGGTCGTAGGTGGCGTGGGCGCCGCGGATGAGGAGGACGTCGTTGCCGCGGGCGAGGGCGGCGGAGCACGTCGCGCGGACGCAGAAGTCGCTCTCGAGCCCGACGACGACGAGCTCGGCGTCGGGCGGGACGAGCTCCGCGAGCGCGGTGCCCGTGAAGGCGTTGTTCTTGCGCTTGTCGAGCACGGGCTCGTCCGCGAGCGGCGCGTGCACGAGCTCCCAGCCCGGCAGGTGCGGCTCGTCCGCGTCGCCCGGCGCGCCGCACTTGCGGACGTGGATGATGCGCGGGCGCGACGGCGGGGGGCTCGCGCGCGCGGTGGCGAGGACTTGGGCGATGTTGGCGCCGACGGAGCGGGCCTCGGGGACGCCGAGGGGCGGGTCGGACAGGCGGGCGACCTGGCAGTCGAGGAGGAGGAGGACGCGGGAGGACGCGTGGGGGTGGGCGGTATGGCCGGTTGCATGGCCGTTTGCATGGCCGTTTGCATGGCCGTTTGCGGGGTGGTCGTTGCCGTTCACGGGGTGGCCGTTGGAGGGGTGGCCGTTGGCGGGGTGGTGGCTGGAGCTGGCGTTGATGTCGTGGGGGTGGCTAGAGCTGCCGTTCATGTCGTGGTGGGCGGGGGGGGCGGGGTGGTAGGGGCGGGCGAGGAGGGTGGGCGGAGAGGCGGCGAGGAGGGTGGGCGGAGAGGCGGCGAGGAGGGTGGGCGGAGAGGCGGAGAGGACGGAGGGTGGAGGCATGGCCGGTGAGTGCGAGGGCAGCGGATTCGGAGGAGGAGGCAAAGAAGATGGACGATAGCCATCCACGCCCTCCACGTGACCCGCGTCTGGATCGATCGAGGCCCGTGTCCCGCCCCCGCCTGCGCCCATCCTCCTACCGGCCTCCTGGCGCACTGCGCACACAGGTCCATCGTTGCCCCGCCCGCGCTCTTGCCGCGGTACACTCTCCGCGGCCACGTCGCGCTGCAGCAACCCAAACCGCGCAAAAGGCACGGAATCATATGCGAAGATTGCCGCCGCGAGCATTTGAGGTGAGGTTCGCTGCCCACTACACAGTGACACTGAGCGGTGATTCGTGCAGCAAGCCCGAGAGACGACCATCGCACGTCGGACTGGCTCTAGACCGCGTGGGCCCTGGTACGACCTTCCGGGCCCCGGCAGAAAGCCTACCTACAGGGTCGCAGAGACCATATGCCTGTGGTGCCGTGCGTGCACGGCCGCCCTCTCAGGGCGCTGATGCACACCGCCGTATGGGTCAAGTCCGACGATGTGCGTGAGCCTGGCCTGGACTTCATGCTGACGGATATCGCAGGGTCACTGTAGTGTCCAGTTCGCACAGGGTGACTCGCAGTGTCCCCACTTTCCGTATCGCATGGTACTTGACGGCGGTCGCGTTGCTGGCCACCTTCCCTTCAGAGCGCATCATCGCTGAACGGCGTAACGCTGTGGTATGGCCCCGCTTGGAAAGGCCGGGGGTCAGTGTCTCCAAGTACGTACACACCCCGAGACTGCGTTGAGTCGTACATGCTCATCGAGTTCCTGTAATTCATCCCAAGTGGTTGGCTGAATATCGATACTGGAACCATATTTATCTGTGAATGATAGTCACGGCTGTCATTGTGACCGCGACAAGCAGCACGTTGTGGACAATGCGTTGTATCATGACTCTGGCCGAGCGTGCGGGAGTTTGTCGCGGGATCCGGAAGTGAGAAATGAGGAGTAACCTACACCGCAGAAAGCACGACATGACCTACACATTGGCTCGCGGTACCTTCATGCATTACTACCGCTTTACCCTTCTAGTGGACGGGTACTTAGTATCACTACGCCAACCGTTTGTGGGCCCATCTGAGATCTGAGCTTTGATAGGAGCGTCGCTTTTGTGCCACTGGCAGATGAGTGGCGACCCATCTGCAACGTATTTATACGGCTCTCCTGCCGCCCGGCGTCCGTCCTCTCTCTTCGCTTCCTACCCACCGTGCTACGAGCTGCCCGCAAGTTGAACAGCGAGAGTGGCGGTCGAGGAGCTCTTTGCCAGAGGAAGCGCTCAGCGCCACAACCAGTCAAAGTCTAATTCGGCGCGCCGCGACGCGTCTGCCGCCTGGTCCACTTGCTCACGACCATGGCGCCTCCCAAGCCCAAGGTGACTTTGCACAAAGTACGTCCGCGCGCGCTCACTCCCTTCGCGCTCTCATCCATGTCCACAGTGCAACACATGCTACGCTAGCGGTACCGAAAAGACGCTGCAGAAGTGCGCGAGATGCAGGGTCCGTCGAGAACATCGTACCCCTGGATTTCACTGAGGTCTCCTTCGCCAGGCTGCAAAGTACTGCTCCAAAGAGTGCCAGCGGGCGGACTGGCCGGTTCGTCTCCGTCCCTCCTATCCGTACCCCGTACTCACACCCCGCCCAGAAACACAAGCGCAGCTGCCAGTACAACGCGGAGCTCGAGAGCGCGCTGAAGGAGCACGACGCGACGCCGTTCGGGCTGCTCGAGCGGCTGCTCCTCCCGAACGGGATCTCCCTGCACGAGCTCGACCAGCGGCTCGAGAAGTGGGTGCGCTGGCAGCACCCGACGCTCATGTGGGCGACGATCCACGCGCTCCGCCTCCCCGACGACCTCGCCCGCGCCCGCACGCACGTCCTCCACGTCCGCCTGCAGGCCCGCGCGGACCACGCCGACGCCACCGCCAAGTTCTTCCGCGTCCTCGACGCGAGCGTCGTCCCCGTCGCCGACGCGCTCGCCTTCCGCGAGCCGTGGCCCGCGAGCCTGGCCGCGCTCAGGGATATGCAGGAGGACAGCGAGACGATGGGCAGGGGCAGGATCGCCGCGTGTATGGTCGAGTGCGATCGGCTCGCGGTGCAGACGGTCCCGTTTGGCTCGATCAGGAACCTCAAGTACCCGGTTGAGCTTCGCTGGAAGGAGGCGCTGATCCAGGACGTGGAGTCGGGCAAGAAACACATACGCCGTGCGTGAGCGCTGCCTTCGTCGAAGTGGCCCTGTCCGGCTGCCCTCCACCATGCCTCCGCGAAATGTTCCCCAGGGCCATTCGGCATACAGCAGCTGTCTGCGCCATCTTACTCGAGAAATCTTGTTCCCCTGTGTGTACTGTACCTTGTATTGCATATCCAGCTGTGTTCCCTGGTCGAGTCGACGTTTTGTATTTACAGCTGATCTATTTTGCTTCATCGTTTGTTTGTTATGACTGATACCGGCACACAAAGGCATACCGTTGCTATGAAGCAGCAGAGCCGAGTCTGACGTCCAGTACTGAACCAGCAGGATGGACTCAAATTGGGGCCCCTCTTGCGAGTTCTGCACCATCGCTGCGGCGCTCCTATGTCTGTCAGACTCTAGAAACTCATAGTTTGCAACACTTCGACGGCAATGATGAGCAGTCAGAATTTCATGGCCTGCTATTAAGAGCATAGTATGCCCGGACATAGGCAGAGACGGAGACGGAGAAGAGGGAACCGGTGGGACGGAGCAAAAGGAGTGTCTTTATGTCTACATAGGGCCTCGCCCTCAGTGACAACAAAGGGACCCAAGAAACAAGCAAATAGTATGCCGTAGCTTGCTCGAGCTGACAGTAGATGTGCGCATTCACGTTCAGCGCTTCAGCCGAGAAGGCCGCCTGGCCGGTCGAGATCATTACGCTGCGACGCCGGGCTCTTTTTTTATTATTTTTATTTATTCACCGAGTTTAAAGCCCATACGCTGAGGTACATGCAGGCACTAATAGATCACTACCGAACGCTAAGACCGTTCCTCCCGAGCCCCATTTCCCCTTGTGGGTCCCTGCGGGTTACTCTCCTTCGTGCCTTGTTGAGTCCGAGGACGGGCAGTACCGTTGAGTGCTGGCGTCGAGATGTCGGCGCCAGACGCGACCCCCCGTAGGTAAGCGCTCCAGTCTTCATGATAGCAGGCCGCATGAGGCGCGATACCCCATTCCATTGCGACGCCGGGCTCACCGTGCGTTTTGAACATTCTCAGGATTATAACAAACTATGCATCACTTCCGCCCGCAGCACGGACCCCTATGCCCTGTACCAATTCATGGAGCTTCGGGAGAGCCTGTCGGTCTCGACGTTGATACGAGCGGCGACCCATGGAACGAGTGGACCTACTTCGAATATTAATCCTGCGTAACGAGGGAGGCAGCCAGCACCGGTGCAGAGAAATCTGTCCTCTCACGTCGAGCAACGTTGCAAACACTGACACTTTGCGTACCAAAGCACGCGTTTTTCGTTGCGAGCGCACGTACAGCCCGCCCCCTCAGCTTATTGTCCTCGCCACAGTGATACGAACACCACGCTCTTACGTCCACCCGTGCAGGGTCGCCCAAAATACAAATTTCACAGCGCGCCGCGGAGAGAGAACTCCCACCCATGCACGGAAGCCCCCGTCCGGATCGTAGCCATCGCCCACGTTCCATTCCTCGAATCACTGCCAGTGGCGCATTCGCGGGTTCCCCGCAGTCTCCCCGTTGGCGAGATCCAGGGACTGCAAGAACCTCCTGAGCGCCCTCGCGGATCGTACTCGGGGATCTGCTTGCTCAGTGTTCCTCCAGGGCTTCCGGTGAAGGCCGTCAATCGGGGAGAAAAGACCGCAAGGTCGGGCGCGCAAAGGAATCGAGAGGCCTCTTCCCAGAATGTCTGGACAGCTTCGGAAACGGACACTTCCTTCGCGGCAACGTGTTCGACTCCAGACGTTCAAGGGGAGGTACATACGGGGATCCGAGGGACGCGGGTTCCACTGTGGGCTGGATGTGGCCATTGCAATTGCCTGCAGCCGCTGCGTTGTGTTGGCGTTGGTAATGTTGTGGCGAATGGCGGGTGGATCGCGCCCGCAGATTTGCACCGTTGGCAATACTGCGGATGAACAGTGAGGCAAACTGATCGAATTGGTGGTATATTTGTCGTTCAGGACCGCGGGTGGGAGGTCAGCAATATCATCACATCGAAGCACGTACATACAAGCACAAGCGAGTCCGAAAAAAATATCCATGAAGGGGCACCATCATCAAGGCCCCAGCTTCGCATCGCGGAAAGGGATGATTCCCGGTTGCAAATGCGAGGCAGAGTTACGAGAACCGCGAGCGCGAGATGTCCGGGGACGCCCGCTGCTTGCGCGCCTGGCGGCCATCCTGAATGGAGCTACTACTATACCTCGAGGAAGTCCTCCTCCTCTTCGATCAGGAGCTCGAGGAATTTGAAGAACGACGCCGCGGGGAATCCGACGACGTTCTGGTAGTCGCCGTCCACCTTGCGGACGAGCATGCCGCCGAGACCCTGATGACAGCGGCACCACCTTCGTTAGCACCACAGATGCGGGATGGGTTGCATGGGAGCTGAGCGTACCTGCACGGCGAAGCCACCCGCGCGATCGAGCCCCTCGCCGCTGTCGACGTACGCCTCGAGGAGCTCCTTCGGGTTGTCCGCGAAGTACACCAACGTGCGCTCGTCTATTGACCTGGTCGTGTCGCGGCGGGCGCGCCGAGGGAAGGCGAAGGGAAGCGTTAGACTTCGACGTGAGCGATCATCGCACGTCTATGTAGATGTACGTACTTGATCTTGTAGCCAGGGGCCTCGAGCACAGGGTAAACTGAATGGATGACGGCATCAGCTTTACTGCCGTGCGATGGTGGGCGGTGGCGGGACGCACCGACTGACACTCCTGTCACTACCTCGCACATGCCGCCATTGAGATCAAGGAGCATCCGGTAGTTGTCTGCCTTGTCTGCGGGCTTCTCAAGGAGGTCTTGCAATCCGAGCGGGATGTCTGCGGGCATGCTAGACAACCCAGGAGAAGGATGTGTGAGGACGACCGTATCAGCTACGCGCTCTCTTTCAGTCTGCGGGGTGGGGGCAGCAAATACTGATACGGTACTCACCGCCTATCACCAAGTCCGGCGCATCGTCTGGGTTCTCTCGCTACCGGAACGTGGGCTTAGCATGACCGCACTATCTAACTGCGACGTGTGGGCGGGCAGCCCAAGCAACAACTACTCACCACTAGCTTCTCGTAGACTTCCACGGCCTTGTGCGTGGCGGTCGCCACAGGATACTCGTGGATATCCTCAAACGAACTGGCAGGCAGCGTCTCCTCAAACGTAGACGGCACGATCTCCGGCGAGAGGCCCTGTCAGGTGCGTAGAGCATGCGGTCAACAGTTAGACAGAGACTCCTGAGTCACCGTACCCACAAAGGTCTGCAGGATATCCCTCCTCCGCGGGCTGGCTGAGGCCAGGATCACCCGCTTGCCGACTAGCTTCTTCAGCGCGGGGAGCTGGAGCGCATGCGAGAGCACGCAGTTGTGGTCCGGCAGCGCGATCTTTTCATTGGTCGAGCCAAAGATACCAAACATTGCACTGAATGGATTGAGGATCTCAGACTCAGAGTGCCAGCAGTACGAGGTGAGAGATGCTCGGAATGAGCAAGCGAGCAACGGAGGAGGCGGTCGTTGCACGCAACGGCATGGCGGCGTAAGTACGCGCGATCTCGATGTGGGAACGGCCACGTGAATCGACGACAACGCGTCGCGCCTTGGTCGCGCCGACTGAGACTCGCAGTCGTTCGACGTTCATCACACTCTACACACTCGCCTCGCAAGGAGAGGCATACCTGCTGCTTCGTGTATAGATTCTGCTTATATCCAGAGTATCTCATCTACGAAGTGTGCCCATGCGTCAGGGGATCGGCCTCCACAAACGCAATCATCGTTTCTTACTCTCGGTGCGCACTGCACAAAGGCGTGTATCTAGCAGTCGACTGAGGTGAGTACCAGCTGAAACGTTGCTCAGTAATTAGGCTTACTTTAAACTCGTATGCAGGACTGAGGGGCTAGCTTCCCGTTCTCATTGGGATCCGGCCTTCTCGCCCCCCGACTCGGACGTCCCTGTCGCTCGCCAGGATCCATGTGGTAGTCCCACTAGCCGTCCAGCTTCTGCTCGTCAAGACACCTATCTGAGACCCGACAGCATCGCGAGGTCGATCGAAGTCAAGCAGACCATACTGCTTTTGTGACTTTAGGTATTCGTGACGTCCTCGCCTCGTCATGTCGGCCACGCGGTCTCTCGTGTTTACGTCTCGGCCGTATACCACTGACACCCCGAATCAAAGGGATCTCTGGCGAATCTCGTACCTGACTCATCCGACTCGCCGCACCTACTGTCCATTCACCGCTAACCAACTATAGGCGATTCTGCAGTCCCCCGCGTCGGGAAGATGTGTCTACTGCATCAATCTCGCGATATTGACCTCTTCGAGGGAAGCTCATACGACTAGCACATCTCGAAGCTGGCTGGCGCACGGGGCCTGACTTACGTCGCGATCGGGCCCTTAGCATTCTTTGATTCATGTTCTTCCATCATGAACGCATCGGTGCGTCGAGGGCAAGTGCGCACCAATTGCTTATCTTCCAACACGTTGGGTAGGGGCAGCGAGACTCCTGCTGCTTGCACACAATCACCCCTCCCCTGCATATTGAAACGAAAAGATCGCTGCGACGCAACCCATCTGCACTGCGTAGCTAACGCTGGGCATCTGTTTCCGTGATCATAATCGAACGCTTCTCGTGCCGAACTACAAAGGCATACGGATTTCGACGAACCCAAGCGTAACGGGCCTAAGTTACTACGAGTGAATCGGAAGGCGGGTTGTCTGGTGGGTTACACCCATAACTTATCACGTCTGAAGACTGCCCTTCCGCTATATAACAAGGCTACAGTGTCGAGGAGGAACAAGAAAATGCTACAGAAATCATGTCAAATCGTACACCTCCATCGATCCGCGATGCCATCTACTAGGCGAGGAGCTCCTTCAGCTCGCCGTTCTCAATCGTCTCCTGGACAATGTCCAGGCCGCCCACGAACTCGCCGTTGATGATAAGCTGCGGGAAGGTCGGCCAGTTGTTGAGCACCTTCAGGCCCTGCCGGACGGAGTCGTCGCTGAGGATGTCGAAGTGCGAGTAGGAGACCTCCTGCTCCGCGAGGAGGTTGACCATCCGCCGCGAGAAGCCGCAGCGCGGTGCGTCGGGATCACCCTTCATGAAGAGGACGACCTTGTCCTTGTTCATGAGCGAGCGCAGCCGCTCGTTCACCTGCTCCTGCGTCTCCTCCTTCTCGGGCGCTGCGGGGGCCGCGTCGGTCTGGGCGAGTGCCTTAATGGACGGCTTGGGACGTGCGTGGGCTGCGATCGCGTCTGTCAGGCCATTGGCATCCGCCCCTGAGATACGAGCGAGCAGTGTGTGCCCCTGTGCAAAGAAAGCTGAGTCACAAGATCGTGCTGGAGAGGATGTGGGAGCATACCCTGAGGACAATGGATGAAGGAACAGCTTCGATCTCGAACGACTCAGCAATGTCCGATTGCTGCTCTGCTTCCACCTGTGTGTGCGGTTCCCGACTTAGCGCGGCTTATCGCGGGAGAGCGGGATGTAAGCGTACCTGAAGCACCAGCACCTGCGGGTACTTCTTCGCCAGCTCCTGCACAACCTCGTTCATCTGCTTGCACGGCTCCGCCCATGGTGCCCAAAAGTTGATCAGGGATACTCGTTCCAGGTCTGCCGATAGCAGCGACTGGAAGTGCTCCGCCGAGTTGATTTCATGGAAGTTATCTAGCGTTGTGGCGACGGGCATTCTGGCTGTTTCTAGTGTGGTAGGCTAGGGCGTTGATGGGAGGGCGGGAGCGTCGTGAGCGTTGTTGAACGAGCAGAGAGCGGACGGCGGGGACCTCTTTACGGGCGACCATGACTAACTGCAGTCATCTGATAAGATGAGCATGTCGCCATCCCGTGCTTTCCCAGGCAAGGGACTGATCAAAAGACCGCCCCTGATTGGCTGGCGCGGTGGCTGACATCCATCCCCGTCGGTGTTGGGTCGGCCACTGTGCTACATCTCTCACTGCTCGCCCTCGAAGTCGAGCTCCGGACGAGCATTGGCAAATCCTCGCACTGGTATAGGCGTGGAGGCTGTCTGAAATAGAATTCGCAACGCTTGAGCCTCCTGGATGACAAACGACTCAGGTGCAGCGTCGGCACCGTGTCCTTGCGCTGTTACGGTCAGCATTGGCATCGAATTCACACAGACGACAACTTGGCAAGTGTACTTGCGGGTCAGACCCTCGGATTACTAGCGGATATAATGTAACTCATACAACAAGAAATAGCACCTTCACACGACATGCGCCTCGACTCGGTCCCGCAGAATGTCGGAAGCGGGGTACATAGCGCGAGTAGGTAGTGTTGAATCTCACAGTCCGTGCTCCGATACCCCACACTAGAAAGTGCGCAACACGACCCCTGGAGGACGCTCTCACGAGACGCGTCGACCCGCCTTGAAACACGACGCGCTACGGGTGCTTCTCCAACCACTCGCTGACACGGACGATAAGTTCGGCCTTCTTGCCTGACACCGATTGGCTCTTGCTCTTGAGAAATTCCTGTCAGACAGTCACGTTAGTGCTCGTGATTGCGCATAATTGGGTGAATGTATGCAGTCGCTGGGACGCTGGGATGCAACGGACGAGACAGGGCATTCTAGACACCACTTCCCAGACACACCTACAAGACCGCCATAGGGTTGTCAGTGAAAGGACAAACCTTAAGCTGATCCACTCGAAGCTAGGCAGGTTACGACGGTCAGTCTTCCCATGTCAAAAAGACAGTCCGAGCGCACCTTCTCGAGCCCCCCGCTGTCATACTTGCTCCGGATCTCCGCCTCGTCCACGCTTACGTCCTGAAATAGCATTGTCGAGGTGTCGATGTCACGGGCGTATCACAACAGAGTATCAGCTGTCTTACCGCCTTGCGCTTCGAGCCGGTGGTAATGATGGTCATGTTTGCCGACTCGTCCTTCAGCAGGGCCTCTTTCCACGCCTTCATGAGCGTGCCTGCACGCTGTCAATCATCCGGGATGGAATCACCGCCATAATGAGCTCGGCCCCGTATGTGCTAGTTCCGCGATGGTGGGAGGTGCGTACCTTGTGCATCTGATCATATTTCGGCACGGTCCTGTCCTCGAACGCCGCGGGATCGAATTCCTCCCGGAACGCGCTGGCTTCAAGTTGCGCGTTGTGATATCCCAGGGCTGCGCGCCGATGATGGTGCACAGAACAGACAGAAACATCGGTGAAATGAACAGGTCAGCCGAGCAAGATATAACGGGCTGTCACGATCGCACCAGGGTTGGGGTGAGCATCCGCATTATAAGCACCGTTCTTTATCATGAGCTTGTCTAAAAATCTGCGCGCCTCGTCCTTCAATTCATCGGATGCTATCGGTATTGCGTCGAGCCCGCGCAGGCGGGGGCAATTCATAGGAGTCAGTTAGATGCAGCGAAATCAGTGTGGGATGGAAAGAGGCTGGGTGAGAACATCATCCAGTCGGAGCTGATCTGAGAAGTACTTACCACGAACACTCTCCTGGACGGGAGCTGCCCTGATGTCATCAGCGAATGGCAGCGGGATGAGGTGGAAGCCAGCTGGCTCGTGCCATCCTCCCTCGTCTACCTTCTCCGCCTGCAACATTCGGAAGCGTTAGTAAGAATCGTTCAGCCGTCTACCGCACGACCAGTTGGCAATGAAAGAACGATTCGAGATGGCGGAGGAACCTCCATCGCATCCCACCACATGCACGCACTGTGGGAAGATGTCCGTAAAACGGAAGGCTCACATACCTGAGGCAGCAGTGCACAGAACTGCGGTGACGCGTTGCGTCGCGTGAGGGTCAATACAATGCCCATTCTGTTTTTGTTGAGCATGGTGCGCAACAGCGCGGTGAACGTCCGCTTGCTCCCGGAATAAGTCTAACTCGGTCTCGTGCGTGAGCGTAGACCTCTGGCACAAGACAGGCCGCTGACCATCTCATCCGGATAGATGAACAGGGAGTGCTTCACATTGTCCTCGAAATTGAGCTTCGATTGGCTCTTGAAGCCAAGCAGTTTGATGACTATGAAAACGTTGAGTTTCGAGTTCATGCGTTTAGCATGCTTATTGCACCCACTTGGGTCAAGCCCTAGCGTACGGAAGGAACGTAGCTCCTCTGCGGTGTAAAAAACCTTGATAGTGAAAGGCATGTTGTCCATGAGACATTCCTTGAACAGACTAGACCATGTGTATGCAACCTGCACTCACCTTACAGTTAGCGGGCGCAACTCGCAGCCCCTCTTCACCTTCCTCGTCCTCCGCCGATTCCGCGGTCGAACCGAGCTCCATACCGTACAGAACCCGCGCCTTATCGGCTTCTGCCTGCGTGTCCTGGTGGTTGATGCCATTTGAGCTCACAGACTCCCGAGACCAATCACAAGCCCGCCCACCTCATCCACATACACGGTGCGGGAATTGACGACATCCATTCTGTCACCAAGGTCGACGAAGTACTTGTAGGAGCCCTTCTTCTGCTCAGTGATGAGGCCATACCTAAGTGGGTTCTAGGCTCGGCCTCTGGACGGGAGCATTCTATTGAACGCCACGCACCCTTTCACGCCGATGGTGAATCCCTCCGCGAGCTGGAAGGGCACGCTGAACTGGGCCCGCTTCGGCACTTCGCGGATCCGCATTTGTTCTAGCAGGTCGTCGACGCGGGCTATTGAGATGGACTCCGGGAGAAAGTTGCCCCCCGCGTCATCCTCGTCCACGACGTTCGTAGGAAGGAGCACGGACTGCGGACCGGGACCGTCCAGTGATCAGTGATATCGGAGGCTAGTTCATAGCGAACTTACCGAGTAGAAGTTAGACGGGTCGAATGGCTTGTCCTCCGTACTGATGAAGAACGGCTCGACAGTGACTCCGGCCTGCACCAAGTCCTGACAACCGAATCTTAGCATATATGATATGGCCGTTGGAAAAACCAGGCAGTGGTCTTACGATGAGGGTGGTCCGCGCGGTAGTGATCAGCCTCTCCTTGGCGGCGCCTGGGTGAGGGTCATCCTCATCCGTCACGAGAAAGACGCGTTTTGTGGCGGTCTTAGGAGCCCTGTAACACGGTCGAGTGTCCATCCGCAATAACCGTCGCATCATGACTTACCCGTCGCGGATGACCCAATTACAACTAGTGAAAACATCTCCCATTGGGATGCGGCCTTCGGTCATTGGTGGGAATGTTTCGCGCAGAAGGTTAGGATCCTCTCTTGCAGCTTGATGAGGAGATACACTCAGCACTGAGCGTCGTTGCAGACTCCGCGTTACGAACCTTCAAGCAACCGCATCACCTCCTGCACATTCGGCGCATTGATAGTCTCTATCGGCTGATACACAAAGTTTCCCTTCTTGATTTCAGCACTCTGGCCATCCTTCTCATTTCGTCTTGTCTGTGGCGGCAATGAATAATCGTCCCATGACAGGAGCAATATCAGGGTTCACCGTGTTAAAAAGCATAATCCCTACTGCGTCGTTTGGGCCAACCATGACCTTACGCTTCTCAATGTTCATTGCAGCCTCTAGAGCCGTGTATAGGTGGCATGTCTGGAGGTCTTCGTAATTTGGGTCGTCGTGCAACTCAAGCATGGATGGCGAACAATCAATGCAGAACAAAATGACATCTTTCTTGCCTTCGTAGTACTGAAGCTCGTGGGGTCATGCAACATAAATCATGTGAAATTGCCGTTGGTGCTCACAGATGCGTCTTCGAGCTCTTCTTCCTCGTCCTCCTCAATTCTGTTCCAGTCTTCGTATGAAGCCATTTGGGCGATCAATTTTTTGTTGCAAGCGTTGAAGTGATGTTCGGGAGCTCGAGGTCGTAGGACAATCCTGATCACAACTTTGCGAAGACTATGCCAATTCGTGGGCGTGGTCGCCGTTCAAGATGAAAGCAAGTGTGGCTCCAGTCAGACGCGTAGCGCGTGTCGCGACTCACCGCGACGCGCTCCCGAGACGCACGTGCTCCAGCTCCACGATCGGCCAGAGCCACAATTTCCCAAACAGGCATGCCCTCTCCTTCGTGTCCACTTCGAGCATCCCGACGCCTCGACGCCTCTTGGATCGTGTCTACAAGACCTACTACAGCCTCAGGTAAGCACGAGAGAGTCTGTGCAGCGCAAAATTACTGCGTTCTCCAAATGCGTGGATCGTCAGGCGTTCCCGGAGACCACATGTTCGAGATCACGCTGCGGAAGGAGAAGCACCTCGTAGCACAGAGGTCGCCACGGCGACTCGAGTGCATGATGGTCGAGAGTCATTCGAAACCGCTGGAAATTCTGCCTGCCGAATTTCAGAAGGGACGATGGGACACACGCTGATAATTCGGAATCTAGGGTTCGCCTATGATGGCTGGTGGTCCTAATTCGCCGCCGCTCCGTGCTGTCGACATCCAAGAGCTTGTGAAGCTCGATCTGCCGATAACGAGGATCCGCACGGACGAGGATGTTGCCTATTGGAAGACGACGCGTGGACACCAAGATTTTGGCCTGTTCTTGCGACGCCTCAACGAATCCGTCGTGGGCCACAATCTACCTTATACGGAGCCCGTGGGCGATGTCAGAACGCGAACGTCGATTTCTAGTACGAGTAGGCGTTGACTCAGAACTTCCTAGGCGGCGACCAGGATGATTGCTCTCCTGGACACGCTCGACGGCTGGATCGATGAAATTCCACCGCTGCCAACGCCCCAGCGGTACGGTAATTTGGCGTTCCGCACATGGGGCAAACGTCTAGAAAGCGTGCGGAATCTTCACTGTCTATGGAGAAGTTCCCCGCATCTGATACGATTGTAGGAAGGCGACGCCGTCCTCGCTAAGCTACTTCCCGAGACTTTGCAGCCCGCCATACCCTATCTGTCGCCGTACCTCTTGACGTCTTTCGGGTCATTCACGCGCATGGACTGTGGAACGGGCCACGAGGCCTCCTTCGCGTTGCTGCTTCTGTCTCTCACCCTGCTTCGGTTCTTCGAACCCGAGGCTCGAACGGAGCGCGAGTTGGTCTTGTGTGTCTTCGTCCGCTACCTTCGTCTGTGCTGGAGACTGCAAGATGTGTATAAGCTGGAACCTGCGGGCAGCCACGGCGTATGGGGGCTAGATGACTACAGCTTCCTCGGGTATATTTTTGGCAGTGGCCAGCTTCGAGGTAGGATTTCCTTTCTACTTGCATCGTGTATGACCTATATTTAGTCGCCGTGCTCTGGATAGATCAGATAGAGATCCCCGTCAACGCCATCTTGCATCCGCCTCTTCCGCCGACAAACCTGTATTTCATGTCGATCATGCGTATCCACGAAGTGAAACATGGCCCTTTCCACGAACACTCGTCACAGCTACATTCAATAGCCGTGGGTGTGGTTTCGTGGTCCAAGGTGAATTCGGGGTTATTCAAAATGTATGAGGTACGTTCGGTGGGCGTCTCTTCTGTGCTTGTCGCTTTCCACCGACTGACGATGACGCTCGCCGCAGGCAGAAGTTCTGGGTAAGCGGGTAGTGGTGCAACACATCCCCGTCGGCGGTTTGCTAGATTGGGATAATTCTGTTACACCACCTCCCAGGCTACCGCAGCCATTCGTAACTGCCCCCGCACCTATGCAACCCCCGACTACTGCATTCACTCCTGGAGCGCCTCCGCAGTCTCGGAGTCAGACAGGTGTTGGAGCTGTCTTCAAACCCGTCCTGCCCACTTCCGCACCTCGTCGAGCAGATCCCGGTCTGACTCGGGGCGTGCATGGCCATCCTGGGCCCGGCGGTGCTTGGGGCATTCTCCCCGCGCGCTCACCGCTCGGGCCCACTGCGAGTACCGTTCTGCGGCCAATTGACAGAGACCCGGACGGAGCCCCGGATTCGCTACAGGGTCCGTCCCGTTCACCCACACCGACCAATCACGGAGGAAGATAGATGCAGCTTGGAGCTGTAGGCGGAAGGCGGTGATTCATAAAAAGGAGGAAGTAGTAATTTCGAAGAGCAGCCTTGATTGATGTACCACTACTGTATTGTATTTGGCGGAGCACTTACGCTGAGAGGTCCGAGAAATTCAGGTCTGTTCTACTTACGATGTGCCTGTGCGCGCACCAAGCGGCAGCACGGCTCTGAGCCGCGCCACAGCCGGCGTGGCTGTTGATTGGCCACGGCAAGTGCCGAGACGGTGTAATCGATTGGGCAGAAAAACTGAAAGGACGGACGCCCGCGCTGTCTGCCCCCGTCGTCGTCGTCTTCCCCCACGTCCTCGCTGCCCTCTCTGCCGTCGTGCCTCCTGAGCTGCGACGTAGAGACCAGAATTATCCACAATTCCTGACCAGGCGCGAAACGACGATCTCCGTCTCTTGACCCTTGAGTACGTCAATAACTTGTTTGGATGACGTGACAGAACTGACAGAGGCCGTGACTGGATTTGTAGGTGGTCATCAGTTCGTGGTTCGTACACTCAATCCTCCACCTTGCCGCGATGATATTGAATTGCATTTACCGTCAGGTGAACCTCCCTGACAGGCCTAACACACTCGCGGTAGATACATCAACAGCTCAACAATCGAGCCCTTGCTTCCCCGCTTCCTCTCTGCACCTCTTCATTTTCCCTTGCCCACCACCCGTCCTCGCTGCACAGGCGAGGATCTCACACCGATTGAAGCAACCCGCACGTTACCGTCCTAACCCGCTACGGCGGGGGGCTCGGTAATTCGGGTAGAATACCACAAGAGCACAGACACGCGTTCGCGCACCTAGTCTCTCAATCTTTCGCGCTCCGTCGCTTTCTCGCATCGCTCTCCACGTACGCCGCGGTTACCCGCAAGTTTCAAGCTATAGATCCTCACGTAGATTTCGCCGGTTCGACCGAACCCCTCGATATTCCGAAACGAATGTCTCAGCTCGAGATCCTCACCGCCCGCAACGCGCTCGACTTCGATTTCGACGTGCTATCATGCTCGCCGACGCTCTCGAGTTCCCTCTCGCGCTCCTACACGGATAAATTCGCAAACGCCCTCGTCAGCGGCCTACTCTCGTCGCCCACCCACTCTAGCCAGGGTCATGACAGAGTAGGCACCTCCGACTCGGACCGGGTGTCCGACACCGACGTCAGTATTCCTGGATTACCTCCGCTCCTCCGTGGACACCCGGACGTCCACCTCAGGCATGGTGTGATGAATGCTACGCAGCTTGCCGTTGAGGGAGAGACAGACGCGGAGAAAGCATTCTTCGTCGCTGATCTGAGCTACGTGCTCAAGCAGCACCAGCGGTGGAAGGCGAACCTCCCGGAGATTCAGCCGTTCTACGGTGCGTCTAGTGCAACTGTTCCGCGTATATATGGCGTGTGTCTAACGCCGTCACGTTTCATTTAGCTATCAAATGCAACCCCGACCCCTACGTCCTCCGTCTTCTCGCGGCGCTCGGGACCGGGTTCGACTGTGCGTCCATGGGAGAGATCTCCCATGTGACCGGCCTCGGGGTGGATCCGTCCCGCATCATTTTTGCAAACCCGTGCAAAGCAGTTTCATTCGTCCGGAACTCGGCCAAAGCTGGCGTCGAGATGATGACATTCGACAACACGGACGAGCTGTACAAGGTCGCGCGCGCTCATCCCAGTGCCAAGCTCGTCGTGCGAATCCTCACGGACGACTCGAAGAGCCTGTGCAAGCTCGGACTCAAGTTCGGCGCGCCGCTGGTGACCGTACCAGCGCTGCTGGCAAAGGCGAAGGAGCTAAACCTGGACGTCATCGGCGTAAGCTTCCATGTGGGAAGTGGGTCCTACGATTCCTACGCTTTCGCAGACGCCGTGCAGCGCGCTCGCGCCGCCTTTGACATGGGTAAGGAAGCCGGGTATGATTTTACCCTCCTCGATGTCGGGGGCGGTTTCGAGGATAGCACCTTCGAGACTACGGCTTCCATTCTCAAAGATGCAATCAGCCAACACTTCCCGGACAGGGAGAAAATCAAAATTATTGCCGAGCCTGGGAGATACTACGTTTCGAGGGCATTCAGCCTGGCGGTGAACGTGATCGCCCGGCGCGCACCTCCCGCGGTGGAAGACGGATCGCAAGATATGGAGGTGGACCCTGAGCAGCCCTCCGCGATGTGTATGTTTCGGTGCTCTTGAAGTATAAACGCGGCGATTAACTTAATTTGTTGCAGACTATATCAACGATGGCGTCTACGGTTCATTCAATTGCGTTCTCTTCGACCACCAAGCTCCGCAACCATACGTGCTGTCACTGAATGGCTCCTTCCATGTCCCTTCCTCGGAGCCCCTGCAGCCCAGCAGTGTGTGGGGCCCGACCTGCGACTCCATTGACTGCGTCTGTCCAATGACGCGTCTGCCGGGCTCGCTTCGCATCGGGGACTGGCTGGGCTTCGAGAACATGGGCGCGTACACCATCTGCGCTGCGAGCCAGTTCAACGGGTTCCAGGTCAGCAAGGTGGTATACACGGCCGGGGGAGGCCCGGACGCGGTGGCGGTCCGAAACGCGCTGAGGGAGCATGAAGGCGGTGGTGCTGGTTCTCATGCATGACACGGACTTGCGCTGCTCGAGTACTGTTTCCGGTTGACGTGATGGACGGACTGCGACGAGATACAGGACTTGTCTTCCCACATACACATCCATCGAACGAAGAACATGTCGTGCGCATCTCATCTGAGGGCGGTGGCGCGCGAGATAACGGTCTGGAGACTCGGTGCGTGCGCGAATAGGAGAAAGCGGCTCAACCGCCGGACGTGCCTGCTTGGGATCGGAGGGGGTCGCACGCTCTCGGTTCCGTGCCATGCGGTGCCGGGACCGCAGTTGTGTGGCGGCCACGAGGGACAAGGCACCCGCGGCCGCGACGGTCGTGTGTGCTGATGCAGATGGCCCGGTGTGTCCCAGGCGGCTCCCTCGTTCGCTCTTCCCCGTGACGTATGGGCCTTCGTCGACGCCGCCTCGAGGCCGGGCGATCTGCAGCTGATCGAAGAGGCCAGGGCTCGCGCAGGCGTGTACGCCCGCCCGCCTCTTCCGGCAGCCTCTCACCTCGGTCCTGGATGCGCTCGGCCGGATCCCTCCAGTGCCCGGGCGGTTCGCTAGAAGCGGTCGTGCAAGAACGCCGTGTGTTCATTCCGCCCAAACAGGGAGCTTAGCCAATGCACAACTCTAATTTCTGACATCACACGTTCCCGGTGCGTGATCTTCTTGCTCAGCCCTGGCTCAGCCCCATAAGAGGGCCAGAGCCCCGGTCGGCAAATAAATCTCTCGCTGCTCATCCAGCTGCGCAGCAGCGGTAACATGCTGGGCAGCCTTGGTGCTGAAATGGAGCTTCTGTCGCCCCGTTTCTTGACCAGCGCGCACCGTTGCTACCGCCCCCCAGCGCCGCTGCTGCTCTGTATGATCGAGGCGTGTGAAGCTGTCCGCCCGGGGCACTTCTGCAACGGCGGTCCCGTAGGACGTGGGGACGCTGATGAATGCTCCAAGTCGTTCCACGCCGTCTGCGTACTTGTTAGACACGGACAGCGACATGAGAACCCCTTCCGTCCCAGCGGCCGGGCCCTGCCCCGGCTGGTAAATCTTTTGCCGCAGGACTTGTCCCGCGAGCCCCGGCCTCGGCGGTCTCAACAATTGCAGATGCGGATCTCTCGTCTCCAAAATGCACGGAGTTTCTGATCGTACCCCATCTCTCTATATCTACCCGATGCTGCCGAGCCTCGGTGCCTAATTCGTCCTTACGTGCTGCTATTCCTCGTTCCATTCGAAGAGAACCTCCTTGCTGCGGCCGGAGGGCACGATCATCGAATATATTCGTTGTCTTCGTGATGTGAAGGCCCATCACCACCTGCGGTTCTGCCGTCTCGAGCAACGCTGCTATCCCTGGCCTGTGCCCTCATTGCGGAAGCTAGCTGCACGCTTATCGTGGCGTCCGTGTACCTAAATTCCGCAGTCAAGCTCGCCCATTGTCAAATCCCCGCGCGCACGTCTGAGCTTAAACCGCTCGCTCCTATTCTTGTGATAAACTCGAGCGCCTTGCGCGACACTTCCCTTTCCTGTTCCGCAAGTACACCCATGGCCCTAGGACCTGCGAGCATGTCATCTGGGTTGCTTTTGGTGAGTCGTCCCACCTTATATTCAGCCCATCCAATAGAACGTCGTCGCTGTCCGCTGTAGGATCCCATGTCTGCGCAAACCTCTGAACAGTCGACGACTGGCCCTCGCTTCCGACCATACGCTAGCCCGAATCACCATGTTACGAAAGGTCGCTACATAACCAGCAACGATCCCAGAGGTTACATGTGAGTGGACGCTTAATTCAGCTAGTGTACCTAGTGAGGCCGACGCATGTCCAGCCCAGTGTATGAGTACCCTCTCAATGGGCAGTGGATAATGCTGGACATGGACGATGGATATGTCCTCTGGACAGGTATCTGGAAAGGTGCGTCGCATGCTGACTTTGAGATGCGTGTGCTTACGGAGGACACTTGCAGCCCTTGGGAATAACAAAGGTATTGTACATTCTTGCAATCCACCCGGAGTGGCGCCTAACGTAGCTCCGTAGCGGACATCGTCAAAATAATTGATTCACAGCCGGACCTCGCTTCGCAGCTACGACGTGTCCGTGGTGGATACTTAAAGATCCAAGGCACCTGGATGCCGTATGAGATTGCCCTTCGCTTAGCACGTCGGTCAGTCCGTCTTTGATGTCTCCTACAGTAACACTTCCGATGCTCACGCAGGCATATACAGTGTTGCATGGCCGATACGGCAAGACCTCATTCCTCTATTTGGGTAGGTAGTTGTTTCGCTATCTCGTGACTCATTGGTTGACGACCATTCAAAGGCCTACGTTTCCAAGCACCTGCCTGTCGCCAGACCAACCGGGTTATGGCCAGATAGTCAATCCTGGGACTGGTAAGCGGAGGCCGCGCCGTAGCATCGCCGCCGACGGCGCAATCGACACAAGGCATGCGTGGACCGTCATCTCTGACTCGCCCGATGGTTCCGCCACCGACAGCCATGCCGTCTCGTCCCGGGGTGTCCACCAGCAAACGATGTACGCAAACGGTTCCTCTAGCCAGCACGCACAGGTCGACTCTCCGGTCATCTTGCATGTCCCTTACATCGAACGACCACGTCCCGCATCCGAAGCGGGGCCATCGAATAGTCAGAATTACGCTGCATCGCGTAGAAATTCGCCGCCTTCAGACAGCGGTAGCGTCATGAGGTATTCGCCCTATCCTGCTAGCCCCGTACACACCCGCCTGGCTGCGGTGCGAGAGCCAACGCACTCGAGAAGCATCACGCTGCCCTCACTCCAGCCTCGAGGAGAGGACGAAGGAGAGTCGACGACATTGCCTCCGATCTCGGCCATGACCCGGCCAGCAGGCGGTGTGCACGATGATCCCATGGCTATCCTGCGGCGTCTGCAGTCCGACGATGACGCTAGCTCCCGGACATCGTCCACGGAGCGCTCCTCGCACGGGCGACGGTCGTCCATACTAGAACCCGCGCATCGTATGTGAGTACTGTCCGTCCGAGGTTTTGTGGTCTTGTTGCTGACCGCTCACCAGGTCAGACGCCTCGTACGGCGGCGGTCGAGTGCCCTCTTCGCATCGATTGTCTCAAAGCAGTGTATCCCCTCCCCTCAGCGCCGAGCGACCTCCCGCGAGTCGATACTCCTCGTCGGCTGCAGCAGCGATCCCATCATCCCCGGCGAAAACGAGCACCGGATCACAGCTCCCGCCCTCGCTTGCGCGGTCTTTGCTGATGCCTCCACCGCCGAGTCCCCATATCCATTCAGCTCCGCGGGACCTTGCAGACCCACAACGGGCTGCAGACAGACCTTACTGCGGCGCAGCTACGAATGACCGAACATCGGTCGTGGAGAAACACGCCTGGCGACCGTGGTGAACCAATCATCCCGGGCTCGATTTCGTATTGTTGGCATCCTTGTCTGCTCCCGATCGTCGATTTGTTTTGTGCGTTTGCTGTCTAGTGCGTCTGTTCATTGCGTCTCGCTTTAAGTTAACCCCCCCCCCCCCCCCCCCGCATATGTCCAGTGTATATTGTACTAATACGTCTACTGTGCTTAGTATCGAGCGTAACCACACTGTAGATGTCTAGACACTGCCTGTAAGTTCCTCCGAGGTGCTGTGGCCGTGGACGGCCCAGACCAGGATAATAATGGGATGCAGTACTTAACCTGACGAACGACGCCGTCGTCGACACGCTGCCGACGCTTCCTGTACGTAAGTTCGTTTTAGCTTCTTCGGACCGTACCTATCAGCTCGAAGGCCCAATTCAATTGAAATCCAGGGCAAAAGTGGAAGCCATGCACCTGCCGCCGTCTCCGCTTATCAGATAACTGCTGGGACCAATCAGAGTCGGAGCGTAACCACGTCTCGCAACGATCCGTCAAGTACCAGTGTGAGCCGGAGGCTGATTGGCTTGCGCCTGACCCATCCACCAGGAGGAGCATGTACCCCCGCAATCAGCTTCCTGTATAGCGGACCCTGGAGCCTGGGAGCGTCACTGCATCGTGTCCCGCGGGATTGCCTCATGGGACGCGACTTGTATCATGGCACGCCTGACATAGAGGCGTCCTTTGAACTTCCTGCATACGGCAACTGACACCACCGCTGGCAGATGCAACAGTCAAAGTGGCCTGCTAAGCGGAGATAATCAGGACTGACACTGCACCCATGCACTTGCAAGTAGAGATGAATTGTTTTGGTTAGCCGATGAAGGCCGATCGAATGAATATGAGCGGACGTGCGGCACCGAAAGATATCTCATGCTAAGTACAACGGCAGTGTCTCGAGGATATGGCAGTGTCCGCGGCGGGAAGCATTTACACGGTCGACTATGACTTTCCCGGGACACCTTGATGTCCGCAATCTCGCAGTCCGGGGCTAAAGCTCTGGGACTCGCCTAATGAACATCCTTCGGTCCTTTCCATATGCTTGGAAGAAGTGGTGGGAGGCTCGGTATGTTCATACGCTCCTATACAATGAGGAGATGTGTGCGCGGCTCGAAGTCATGAGCACGACCGTGAACACATGCCGAGGAAATAAAGCCTGTCATTTCCCCATAAGGCTGCTTGCCATGAGACGGCACCGAGGAGACGAAAGGCAATCAGGTCCTGGCCGAGGGAAATGACCTCAGGACAATGCTTCACGACTGCTTCTGGGTGGAAATAGCCGCGAGAAATGAGAAGTCTTTGTTGAGTCTTCGTATCCCCCCTTGGCCGAGAACAAAAGAGCAGTTACATGAGGCATCAACGTGGCATGTACCATGCTCGGGAGATCTAGCTCTGGCCAGGACGATCGACCCAGACTGCTGATACGGCCCGAGGAACGGATGCGCATCGGCGGCGTTCTGGACGGTGTGGATGCGTGGCCTGACAGAAAGAAACGGGGGACAGATCACAAAAAGGGAGGCGCGGTGAGGGGTCAACTGACGTCCCAATGCCGGAGTATACCCAAGGTTCTCGAGGACGTACCTGTACGTCTTCCGCATGCTCTGGGCGAACTTTGACGATATATTTGTCAATTGCCGAGCAGCTTCTCCATGTGCGTCCTGTTGGAGCCTGTTGGCATCCATATCGCGCGTATTCCAGTTCCTGATCGTGCACGAGCATGCTGTCAAACCATGGACGTACCTGAGCTGTGTCCACGGTTTGCATGACTGGCGTATGTGTCTACCGACGCATGTGCAGTCTGCACCTGATTTGTGCATATCTCAATCCTCGATGAGGCGCCCAGAGAACCCGATTGTGTGCTCGCTGTGCCGAGGCAAGGTTTCAGCTGAGCATCACCGTGTCAAATGAGGTTCTGTATCAGATGCGGAGATTCCGTGGCTAGAATCCCTAGACAGGTGCTCTCAAGGTGCTCTGCAAAAAGTCTCCACGTACCGGGGGTCTAACGAAAGGCCGAGCGTGGTACTGTCGATAATAGTGGTCTCAAAATAGAACTTGACGGGAGATAATCCTCTTGGTGATGTTGAGATGAGTTCCGAAGGGCGGAGGGACGCGATTCCCCTAAATATAAGCACTGACAATGTAGTCAGATGCAGAGAACGGATCTGAACGCATAGGACTTGACCATGCCAATCAGAGACAACGACTAGCATGTTGCCCGTACGAGAAAACTGCAAACGCACCCAGTCGAATTTAAGGTATACCTATCCGTCAGCACACTCCCATGACCGATAACCACCCTTTCTCGGCACCTTGCCTTCCTGGTACAAAGTGAATGCATTGTGGCCGTTCATGACGCTGCCTGCCTGTTGTGTACCCTTTGAACCTACTGTGCATGACTTCCGCGCAAAATTTCATCGGTAAATTTGCAAAGTACAACGTGTAGTCCACGGCGGCGATGCACGCCCGTTACATTGCGCAGCGGGGGCTTCATCAGGTCAGGAAGTGTCGCATTCTCGCAGGGCCCTTCTTCCTACTTACCCTCGCTGGTTTTCCGCTCCGCTCCTCTTCGCAGCGGAGGTCGACGTCGCTGAGAGCATCTCCAATCATGGACTGCATCGGCGGTCCACAGAATATAAGGGCACATTTCCCTTCGAAGGAGGTATTCGCGGACGCTGATCTACAAGGCAGGAAAGAGTCAGCAGTCTGACAGTCGTGAATCTCGAATGCGGTCAAGCGCGATACTCACAACCTTCAAGTCTTAGTGGGTCAACTGCGGACGATGGGAGAGAATATCATCCGGTGTACAAGAATCAGCAATTTTCGAAGTGAAATATTGATACGTAGCTTTGATGTACATCTAGAAGCATTGAAGCAAAATTACGACCGATTGGAGGGTGAAGTTGCCACTGAAATGGCAGCCGCTGCTGGATTTGTCTCGGACTGGCCTTGGACTGGCCATTGACAAAGCGGTACTCAGGCTGTTACTAAACAAGGACGGCCCCAGCGGCGAGCCATCTCTAAGTACAAGAAATGTGACTGCGATGATGTATGAATTCTCATTGTTGATTCAAATAACAGAGCGCAAACACGCTATGAACCAGAGATGAGCGATAGTAGCCACGTCCGACGGTGGTTGTCTGGTGGTTGCAGTTGGGATGCAGAAGGCTGAGAGTGGAACCCGAACGCGTCGCGGCCGTCGCGGATGTTGCCGCAAGCGCGTCCGAGAGAACGCGGCGTCACGGTCATGTGATTGAATCACGGCGTGTCACCGTCACACCAATCCTGAGCGCGCGAATCGCAGCAACGAGGCGGCTCAGGCTCCGAGCTCGACGCCGCAGACATCTTCAACTCCGTCGTCAACGCTCAGCACAAGTTTCACGCGGCGGCTTTCTTGTGGATTAGGACTCGGCTGGTACAGGTACGTGGACGATTCACTGTCGTTTGCAATCACGTCTATTGGTCTCATGGATCGCATAGCTACTGCAGACTCTGATCATCGAGCTCGCGCTGGAGCATCGAGACGAAGACTGCAAATAACTTCTGTGCTCCCGCAAGATATTGGCTGTTCAACACTCCTAGTTTCTGATCTGTCCCATCTCTCAAGATGACGACCGAACGAGCTCTTCCTATTCCACCCGTGCAGTCACCGTCACCGTCCAAGTTTTCCTTCCCCTCCCCAAGCAAGCCGGATCCGAATCTCAAGCCCAACCCTCATCCGTATGCAGTAAAGACTACAACCAGCGCACTGCTGTCACGCTCGAATTCATCCGGTCACAACGAGGCAACTCGCCACTACTACGTTCCTCTCTCCCCTAACGCGAGCCGGAGTCCAGAGAGCGCGAAGAACCACAAGGTGTCCAAGTCGCTCAACGCCGTTCCAGAGTCGCCGGATCGCTCGCCTCGTCCGCTCCCCGTGCCGCCCGGGTCTAGCTCCGCCAATACGTCCCCGGTCCACAGTGCCGACCCGAGCTTGTCTGGCTATGAAGCGGACACATCATTCCCTCGCCGCACCAAGCGTGCTGATACCCTGCCTACGTTCCCATCCAACGCGTCGTCTCTCGAGGTGCTCGCTATTCCCGAAGATCTCCCTCCGAACCCGAAGCTATGGACGCCGTCACAGTTATCTACGTATCTCACTACCGCTCTGCGCGTAACATCTCAGGCGAAGGCTGGTCAGCAAGGTGCTGTACCATTGCCCACTCGCGTTGCGAAGGACATCGCAACCTTCACCCGATCCAGGATGATCAGCGGAAGGATGTTCCTTCGCCTGACTGAAGCTGATCTTGAGAGGTACGTACCACTGCATCTCGAAGGATTATCAGCTCACCAAACTGATCTCTTAGTATGGGTATGAACAAGAAATGGCGCGAGCTGTTGTTGGCCACCTCCCAAGAGCTCCGGCAGAATGTTTTGAAGGGTCGGATTTGGGGCCCGGAGGTCTCCCCCAACCCTTCCCCAGGCTCTACCTCTCCTCTCCCAAACATGTTCTCCAACGCTTTCTACAACTCCAACTCGTCTACCAGCTCCCTCGAGCTTTCCGCAGACGAGGGTGCACAAGCAGCTCGGCCCTTGCCAGAACGCCCGAGGCGCTCGAGGAATGGGAGGGTGCGAGGCATGGTACAATCGTTCGAGCGCAGCGGAAGCTTTAGCTCCGAGGCTAGTTTTGATGGGGATCTGGAGGATGGAGAGGACGAGCGGGCGAAACTCGGGCAGTGGCTTCGTGAGGAGGGAGGGTCCTCCATCGATGAACAGCCATTCAAGAGCCCTAGTCCTACACGGCGCCCACTCCCAGACCCGTTCGCACCGGCACCCCAGAGAGCAACTACGTCAACCCCACCTCCGCAGGCGCCTGCGATCAACGAGGAACCGTCCATGGAAGAGCTCCTCGCGGCTGAGCCTGGCGAATCTGCCTCGGCCTGGGGCGCGCGTGCGTGGGAGGAGATGGATAACCTCCCGGGAGTGACGGTCAAGCGCATGAATGGCGTGCCGCACCCTCTTCCACCCTTGCCATCCGACGCCGAGGTGCACAGAACGGTTGTGGGCCATGGGCGAGACGCGAGCAGCGGCCGGCGGAAGGAGAGGGATGAACGAAGAGTCGTCACTGCCATTTTCACGCCCTCTGTTCCAGCAGATGAGGTGCTGGTCGTGGAGCCACCTACGGAGGAACTCAAGGCGGAGGTCGAGCCGTACGAAGCTGCGGTACAGACGGACGAGCATGCTGCGGCTGATGCGACCGCGCCGGACGCAGAGGCGCGGCGTCTCTCGGAGGGTGTCGCAGCGACACGAGCACTCGTGGATGTCTTCCGAAAACGTCTAGAAGACGTGGAGGCCAAGGTCGCTGAGTTGGAGCGGCTAGAGGTGGAGCGTGAAGAGCGCGAACGACAGCTCGCTGCTGAGCGAGCAGCGCAAGAAGCTGTGGAAGTCCTCGTCTCGCCTGGAGTCGAAGCTGACCGCAAGGCGTCGAGCGCGGAAGACCCTGCATCCTCGACTCTGCTCGGCCGCACAACTTCGATGCTTCCGGCCGCGCTACAACACTTGGACCTGACTGGTAGCTTCACGGGTGCCAACGGACGTACGAACGAGGACGACGGGGAACCGTCGAGGCTATCCGAGCTACCGTCTTACGTATTGCTTGTCGGCTTCGGGGTCTGCGCAGTCGTCCTTCGGGTGGTACTAAGACGTGTCGCTGGAAGGAACGCCATAGCTGCATGGAAAACCTAGCGGCTCGGACGTCCACCGACTCAGAAGTGTACTTATATTGCTATGCTTTTCTTGGACTTCGCCTCCATGATCTGCCTGCACCGTCGCATGCTGCTCACGACCTCTTATGCCCTGCACGGGTTCGCACCCAATGATCTCCCTAGCAATGTAATTCTTTCTACCGCCTGCGTTCTCGCCAAGACCGTGCGTATCTCATCCCCATCCCCATGTCAATAGCGATACTAAATATGAGTACACCGATCGCGAGCCTTCGCGAGCATCCAGCCGATCATGACATTTGCAGTGTGGCACAACGCTGACAGTTCGCATCATGTTTTGCTGGACCGCAGTATAGCAGTGGCGTCGAGGTGGACGATCGGATTGGCGGTAGCATCAAGCTGTGCCACCCATGATTATGCATGTCAAAGTTCGTAGGTTACTGCTGCTGCTGTGTCGCCACTGCGATGGAGGCCAGAAAGTTGTGCGGTCGTCCGAAGTAACTGTCAACGACAAAGTTCGATGCGCCCTGTTCGCTACGCTATATGGCGCGACGATCCGTCAGGAATCAGGATGGCCTCCGCGATTCAGCTTCGGCATGATTACTGCACGTCTCAAGATCTCAAGGCCCCCTTGGAGCGGCCGCCACTGATCGCAAGCGCATTGATCGCTGTCCATATGCTGCCAAGCTTCTGCGGGCCCTTTTCTATACGGCTTTGTTCTGATTCATGCGTCATGAATACAAAAAGCCCAACGTTCTCTTTGCGGCTCCTCCGTCCTTCGTTTTTATTTGTATGAGCCTAATTCCACATTCTATCCTCCCCTATGTCGTCCGACGATGTTGCAGCCGAAGTAGCAGACATTGCGTACAATCTCGAGCTCAGGTAATATCCCAGAGCGATGCATTGCCTTTCCAATCTAACATCCTTCTAGCTACGTACAAAACTCCTGCATGGTTGCGACAGCAGGTGAGCGTTGATCGCAATCGTAGCATGGCATGTCCTGATGCATTCTTTGGACTTCTAGCGCTATTATCCTATGAATACCTATGCACACTACCCCAAGAGCTCGACGTGTTGTGGAACCGCAGAAAGACCGGCGCCACGATACTATTCCTACTCAATCGCTTCGCGACCGCAGGCTTCGGCGTTGCAATGATGCTCATAATTCCAAACTATGACACAGTACTTGTGAGTACGATTTGGGTCCAGCCTACCTGCAGATGTTGACACCTCCCCAGTCGTAAGAGTAGTGACCAGTGGTGTCGAAACATCGCTAATATTACAAAACAGATGTAAGGCTGTGAACCTTCTACTGCCATGCTCTCAACTCCTGCTTTCGACGATATGGGCAGGTCGGTCATTCGTGTGAACGGGTGCTTCAGGTCACTCATTCTCGACGGCAGCGTTCTCTGCACTCCGTGTCTTCGCGATCAGCAGTCGTGACTGGCGCATAGCGAGTTCTGTATTTATGCTGGACATGGTGCCCGTTGGCACAAACCTCGTACGCCGTATTTGACTGGATTGGTCGAACATCTTTGTGACCTAAATGATGTAGGCCAGTGACATTCGGGAAACGTACGACACCCTGGAGGTGCCGTTCGTTGGCACTGTCTGCAACCTCAATTCTCTTCTTTCGGCGAAAACGAACATAACGTACGTCCATGCTGTGTCGGCTGCGTGGCTAATTGCTAATTCAAACTTCCTTTGGGCAGATGTGGGCGCTCCATCGTATGCCGTCCTAGCCATACTGACTGCTACCCTAGTTCTTATTTTGACTCGTTCATGCATTATAGCCGCGGACGTCATTGTCCTCGTGGTGACGTGGAGAAATACGTACAACATACAAAAGGAAGCCAGCGTTGTGAACCTGAGAACGCCTACTATCACCCTTCTTCTGAGAGATGGTACGTATCACCAGTATGTGCCACCAGCTGCTCTTGCTCAAGCGTATATTCATAGGAACAATGTACTTCACGTAAGGTGTCCCTACAGAGTTTGTGTCCGTTGCTAGGGCTGAGGATGCAATGATCCATCCCATAGGTTGCTCCTCATCCTGAACGTACTGCATCTAGCCCTCGAAATCACCGATGTACGTGGAATACAGTGCGTTCAAGCTTACTCTTGCTCATGGATACGTATCTCGACAGGTCTTCTGGGATATCACATACTTCGTCACAGGGTGCGTATACTTCGCCAGTATACTTCAACGAAATTCACCACGGATACAGATTCTCATCAATCGTCATCTCACGCTTCCTCCTCAACCTACGCCAGGTACACGCTGACGAAGAGCGGGATGGCACTCAGCCGTCCTTCATCGCGTCTCATGTCTCGGGACTGAACTTCGCCTCCACCATCATCGGCAACCTCGGCGAGCACCTGGATCATGGCAACTTTGTCACGAGCCCAGCAGAGTTCCAACATTCATACGGCGAGACGGAAGGGGCCACGGGGCCTGACGACTTGGAGATACCTCGTGAACAGTGGCCCCCGGGCTCAGAGCCGTTCGAAGAGGGGAGCACGTCGTCGCCGACTCAGAGCGACGAGATCCATACACTGGCTTGACTGACTGCATAGAATTTGGATATCACTACATGTACATTGCTATCGCACAGCTTCGTCCATCATAGACGCATTTGGCACGGGTGCCATTGATTGTCAGAATCAGAGATTGCATCAATATTCGTTCACGCACTCTCAAACCCTGGGGTCGTCGTATACGCAGCCTGAGACTTGACAAGCTTGACACGTCTTGCAGTGCGGCGTAGGCGTTCGTCATGGTCACCGACGACCTGGCTGTCAACCGATATGAGCGAGAGTATGAGACTGATGGGGATGAGGTACAATAGCAGTCCAGGACAGTGACCGAGTGTCGTAGTACAGTACTAATCAGTCACTTACGTGTGACGCATAGCAGACCCTACTGCAGAACCAGCTTCCCCGATGCCAGATTGGGAGACAGGAGCGTAACTCCGTGCAGCCTGGATCAACTCTTTGTCGCGGCGAGCGCGTGCGATGTCCACGTCGGCCATGGTGAGCGAATGGTACTGAAGCGGATCCGGAAAGCCTTTGGTGCAAGTCGAGGCCTGACAATCCACGAAGAAGCGGCGACATTTGAAGCAGCCTTCATACTGGCGGAGCAGCAGCTTCTCCTCGTCGGTGAGGTGAGGCACTCGGTCTCGAATGAAACCGAGTTTTTTTTTGTGCTGCTCCCACAAGACATACCGGGCCTGAATAAGATTCCGATAGAATTCAGACTGTGAATCTGACATCATGACAGAACAGGAGATGATATATCGTGGCCAAATCTCTTCACAGATGCGGGTGCTTGGTCAGATTGCATACCTATCGTACTTTGATGATTACTTACCGGTATTCACTGTTCAGTATTCCCCAGAGCGAGAGATACGAGTACTGGTCTACAGTGACCCAAGGGCGGCAGGTTGAGGGGTGCGGAGTACGTTTGAGGTCTTAGGCCACACCTACATCGATTAAATACTTATCGACTCGGGAGGGCCGACCATCAAACTCTGGTCCAAGAGCAGTATACGGTACCCCAGGGCCTAGTACCGTGCTACGCTGCTCTGCTGACCCTGACACGACTTGCAGATATCTTCGTAGAAGTTCATACAATAAGGTTCAGGGAACATGTGGAGCCCGTACGTGGAATTTCGAGGCCTGAGGAGTCATGCTTCAACATATTTGGGCTCGGAAGCACAAGTTCAGTTCGAGATCATGCGTTCCACGTACGATTGAGTTTGTCATGAGCTGGAACACGCGGCTGGAGGACACGACTGAGTTCTGCCAGAAACAATAGCGCGGGGTCGCCGCACACCGAAGCATTGTGGTCACAATGACTTACTACACAGAACGATGACGCTGTGCACCTAAATTACAGAGACGCAACCGACGGCTGTCCGAGTCAATAGCACTTGGGCATTGACAATGAGCTTGGACAACAACTCACATGTGCTGATGCCAGACGTGGGTTTTCCTTTATCGTCTGCAACCATTGCCAGGCTCATGCGTCAAACTTTTGAACACACTCCTGCCCAACTCTTCTCCTGAGCCATGTCCTTCGAGTACGCAGTTGGCATGACCCAAGGCAGCTGCAGTCTGAATTAGTCTAGAACGATTAAGGCACCTGCATAGACCATCGCCGCTGGGCCGTAGCCACCGACGGCACTCACCTACTACATATATATGCACTGGTGATAGTCGGCAACGCGGTGACTCTGAGTGACTGCAGTGAACAGGCGTAGAACATGTAAGTATTACGTAACGAAGCAGCAGGGCGGAGAGTTACGATGGGCGCTTAGAAATTACTATGCAGGCTGTGGCTGACTAGGGCTCCCAAGTCAAGTTCTCCCTCGCTGCCTCACCTCCTGCCTCTCCATCCACGACCAGCTTGGCCGTAGCCTCTTAACCGCTTCCCTAGGTCGGATATTCTGGTTGGGGATCGCTTCATTCAGGCAAGTGAGCGCCCCGAACACGACCTCACGGCGTACGCACGTGGGGACTGGGACGCTTGCCGCACAGGGAGCCAACTCCTCACATTCGGTTCAGCGGCACCAGACAACACGTCGCGGCATACTCCAGAGAGCATCCCGCTGAGGACGCTGAGACGTCCGGGCCTAGACCTCACCGCCTTCGCCATGAAGTTCAGGTGGGTGTGGTCCGCTCAGTCCCTCATAGCTGCTTGACACAGCGACCAGTTCGTCGCTCAAGTTCAACGCCGTCCCCGAGTGGTGGGATGAGTACATTGCCTATGATGCCCTCAAGAAGACCGTCTACCAGCTCGAGAAGCAGCAGGCCGGCCTCGGCGACTCGTTCTACAGCGAACACCGCGACCTCGAGGCGAATGAAGAGTCCGCTCTCATGGGCAGCGCGAGCAACGCATCCACGGACAGCATCTTCGTCCCGCTGCTCGATCGCGAGCTCAAGAAGATCTGCCTATTCTACGACACGCAGGAAAAGGAGCTCGAGGAGGAGGTCGAGCACCTGCAGCGGCTCGTCCAGGAGCAGGAGGAGGTCGGGCCGGACGCCGGACATCAGTACATGGACGCGGACACAGAGGACGACGACGACGACGATGAGGACGAGGATGAGTTCGACACCCATAGCCCGACAGCTAGCCGGGACCCCACACGCTCGCCATCGCGCCCCCCAGGTGGCCGACGACACGCACGTTCCGCGAGCTCCGCGGCTGCGGGTGCCTCGTCAGGGAGACGGAGGTTCGACTCGAATCCGACACGGCGATTTAGCATCTCGTCCATGGAGGACCACGGCGACCTCGAGGCGAGCATCGTGTCGCTGAAGTCCCAGTACGGGCAGGCGTCTGGGTCGTCGACCTCGCCCAAGGTGACGACGAAAACGATTGCGGCGAAGGTCAAGGGCATGAAGGACAGTATCACGTCGCTGACGGGCCCGCAGACGGTGTGGACGGCGAAGAACAACTACGCGACGGACATCCAGCTGCTGTTCAAGCGGCGGATCACGAACCTATACCTGACCGCGACGTCCCTGCGGTCGTACGTGGAGCTGAACTACTCGGGGTTCCGCAAGATCCTGAAGAAGTACGACAAGGTGACGGACGGTGCGCTGCAGGAGCACTACCTGCACGACGTGGTTGAGCAGGCGCCGCCGTTCGCGCAGCCCGTCAAGGACCGCCTGAATGCGACGATCACGCTGCTCGTTGAGCAGTACACCAAGTGCGTAACACGCGGCGACCACCGTGCGGCGCAACGGCAGCTCCAACTGCACCAGCGCGAGCACATTGCGTGGGAGCGCGACACGGTGTGGCGGCAGATGATCGGGCATGCGCGGCGAGGGGGCACGGAGGATAGCCCCGCTACACGCGGCGGGACGCTCGTGCTCGAGCCAGAGAAGGGCCTGCTGGACGTGAATACGAAAGCGGGCCACCTGCGGTTCACGATAAAGCATGTGTGCCTGCTCGTATCCGTCCTCGTGTTCATCATCCTGTTGAACGTACAGACTCTAGACGGCGTAGAGGCGAGTCGATGTCTGGCGGTGTTGGTGTTCGCGACGATCATGTGGGCGACGGAAGCAATTCCGCTTTTCGTGACGTCCATACTCGTCCCACTTCTCCTTGTCACGCTCCGTGTGATTCGGTCGCCTGACGGCGAGGAACGGCTGAACACGCCCGACGCTACGAAGTGAGTCTGCGTTGCCATCGTTGAGACGATTGTTGACCAAGTCCACGCAGGTATATATTTTCAGTCATGTTTTCACCCACTATCATGCTCCTCATCGGCGGCTTCACCATCGCCTCCGCTCTCAGCAAGACTGCGATCGACCGTGTATTAATCACGAAGGTGCTCAGTCTCGCTGGTACAAGACCGAGTGTCGTCTTGCTCGCGTTCATGGGTGTTGCATGTTTTGCCAGCATGTGGATAAGTAACGTTGCAGCACCGACGCTTTGCTTCTCGCTCATCCAGGTAAGGTTTCCACCGCTGCTCGTGTGCAGCAAAGGACGTCGTGCTCATGCACATACAGCCAATCCTGAGGACACTACCTCCCAAGTCGAACTTTGCTCCCTGTCTGATTGTAAGCACACTTGTTCAGCCTCGCCCTCCAATTCTTACTGTGATATTCCAGATCGGGATCGCTCTTGCGGCCAACATTGGTGGCCAGAGCTCGCCCATTTCCTCACCGCAAAACCTCATCGCGCTGCACGAGATGGACCCCCAACTCGACTGGGCAAGTTGGTTCGCCGTCGCGCTCCCTGTCTCGGGTATCTCCGTCGTGCTCATCTGGCTGCTCCTCCTCGTGTCGTACCACCCCGCACGGTCGCCCGACGGCGAGGGTGAGATCGAGATCCGGCCAATACGCGCGTCGCGCGAGCCGTTTACGATGAAGCAGTGGTGGGTAACGCTCGTGTGTCTCGTCACGATCGGCCTATGGTGCTTTGAGCACCAGATCGAGGATGCTATCGGCGATATGGGCATCATTGCGATTATTCCGATCGTCGCGTTCTTCTCGACGGGCGTGCTGAAGAAGGTGCGTGTGGATCGGTGGCGTCTTGATGTGGTCGTTGATTAAGCCACGTGCAGGAGGACTTTGAGCAGTTCTTGTGGACGGTCGTGTTCCTCGCGATGGGCGGCATTGCCCTTGGGAAGGGTGTCACGTCCAGTGGCCTTTTGGACGTCATGGACGACGGCATTCGTGAGATGATCTCCGGCCTCTCGCTTTACACCGTCGTCATCGTGCTCTCGTTCATCGTCTTGGTATGTATTACTTGGTCCATCGACGTTAGGTGTCATTGATTTTCCGATGTAGGTGGTCTCCACGTTCATCAGTCATACTATCGCCAGTGTGTTGCTCGTCCCCATCGCCAAGGAAGTAGGCGCGAACATGCCAGGCAACAGATCGAACCTGTTGATCTTCTTGACCGGTCTCTTGTGTTCAACTGGGATGGGCATGCCAGTCTCCGGCTTCCCGAACCAGACAGCGTACGCCCTTTCTGCTCTGTAACTACATGCTGTATTGACGTTGACGGTCCGTCACCCTCAGTGCGAACCAAGAAGACGATATGGGCGTGTTATACCTTTCGAACATCGATTTCCTCAAGAACGGCGTGCCTGCGAGCTTCATTGCGATGATGGTCGGTGTCGTCTGGCTTCGGTTGTTACAACGTTTTGCTGACTTGTGTCTTCCATAGGTCGTCGCAACCGTCGGATTCCTCTTGATGGAGGCCATTGGGTATGTTTCAGGGCTCTAGGCACCGATATCTTTGTCTGACGCACTGTTGTACAGTCTTTAACGATCTATGCTCCCGGCTATATCTGCCGTACAGTGTCCATCTAGCATTTCTTGCTTTTCATGTCGATTCCAGATATCCTCATGCTGATGATATAGTGTATTAGAAGGCGATAAGGACCGTAGGTAGAACATCCAAGTTCCATCTAGTTAGCTATAAGACTAGTTACTTTTTGTGCTCTGCCATCTGCTATTTGCTGTATGTAGGCTTACCATCACGACGTTGACAAACGATGCGTCCCTGGGTCATGTCGACCCTACTGGAGAGATCATGCTTATTGTGTCATGCTTCAGTGCAACGAATCGTTGCGGGGGTCGGCTTTCTTGAAGACTGCAACCAGAGCAGGCGGTCATAGCACAGAATGACATATTCGACGCCTTGTATGAAGGCGGCTCCACGAAAGGTGATACAACATCACGAGTACTGTACACGGGCTATATGACACCAAATCTCTGCAAAACAATATCTACGAGTGCGATCTTCCAGAACTGACGGAGGAAAGCACCAAGCAGAATCGAGACTATACTCACCAACGTCCACCTTGCTTGACACCAGCAAGCTCCTGGTTTCCTGTCCTAATACCACTCCCCGATTTACCTTGCTGACTGGATTCCATCTACGAGGGGTCTTCGACTACACCGATGTCGGCCATTTCATACCGTAAGCGCGACGGTCCTATCTTGGAACGCTCATAGCATGGGACCCAGCCTTCATCGCCGGATTGAAGTCGCGGTGGCAGAGGCCACGGCGGCGATGGGATTCTGAGAAGATCAACGTGGCTACAGCTGCCTCCTCCCTGTGAGGCCCACGGCAGGGCCAAGATATACTCTTGCATACAGATATCCGGTTTGTAATAGCGCGACCTACATGGCAAACGGGTTTGAATCAATGACAGAACGACACTGGCATGTTCGCCCGGCTAATATACCTAGCATAGATGATAGTGATCATCCGCTCGTGCCACAAATCCATGCTTGATCTCCGGACACGGCAATTGACCAGTGTATGGGCGCGGTCTCCTTCAACGTGTCCATCGGCATAGATTGAGATTTCTTCGCTCTCAGCCGTCTCGAGGACGGGGTACGGCTCCACTTCGTCTGTGGTGGACGCTACTGACGACGCATCGGAATCGGAATCGGAATCGGAATCGGTATCAGCATCAGCATCTGCACTTTGACCCTCTGATACGACGGTGAGTTTCAAGAATCGAGAGAACAATGCCGATCCTCACATACCAGCCAGAGATGCATTCGCATCGTCCGTCTCCGCTTCATATACACATTGGTCCTCTTGTCCGCATTCAGCATCAATGCACCCAGTCCTGGCAAGTGCGGCATCAAGCGGCGGGTCTCCTCCTGCGTCAGTGTTGTCGGTCATCAGGCGCATCCTCTTCCGGTCTCCCTCCTCGTTGTTGTCGAAGTCAATGCTTCGTTTTTGGTGCAAACACCCAGTATCCGAGGTTTTCTGCGGCAAGGGCATTGCATCGTGCGGCGTAGCATTGGGCACATTATCACAAGTTGAGGGGCGCAACGCCGGTTTGGAACCCAGAGCCATATCCAGAGAAGAATACGTAGATGTCGCGGGGGGAGGCGAGGTGGACATCGTGTTGTTTGTCGATACCAGTGGGAACAGCTGAGTGACGCGTCTTCTGGAGAGGCGACTATGAGTTCAGGTTGGAAGGATTGTGGCCGGCTGGAGCCACAGTTGAAGCTGATGGTGGGATCACGTGCACAACACAATCGCATCTATATCGCATATTCCTCCGTCCCACCACGCGCTTGGCGCCAAACGAGCACTGACAACGTCGTAGGAAGCATACAGATGCTGGGAGAAAGCCATATCAGTCCTAACGGAGCCAGACAGCTCGTTTAGAGGCGATTTTACTGACCGTGATCTTCCCGAAAGTCAAACATGCCTACTTGAAACTGACGGGTAGGCCTATAGGGCAAGCTTGGGCTTCAGGTACGTGTCCATTGGGTCATTGAGGTGTTCAGGCCCCTCCCATCATTGCGGCAGTATCTTGAGGGCGCATCGCATCGCGAGGCGACGGTTCACTGGGTCGTCGGTACATTGTCAACCGTATACCTCCCCTTCAGTGCAGCCATATCGTCCGCTAGTGAAGTTGCCAGCCCCCTATCTGAGTGGACTCTATTGACGTACCGCGATTAGACGGTAAGCGATCCTGGGTCGCCAACTCTCGGCGCGGCGTGTCCATCGCTAATCTTCACGTCAATACCTGTCCCTGAATTCAGTGAACTCAGGAGCCTCGTGGGTCGTTGCTATTACCACCTTGTAGCACTTCACCTCCACACAGAAGCATTCAATGTGAATGGCGTCAAATTTGACTGGACAGTTTCAATGCCGGTTGTCCCTCGACGAGAGCATAGCAGGGCAAGATCTCCGTTTCAATAGGCAACGCCTGTTGCCCTCATTCGACGAAACGTTGAGCATTCGTCGGCTTGGAGAGCTGGGGGAACCCTACTTGCGTTCGGGCCATCTCGTGTATCAGAAACAAAGGGAGGGTACTCTCGAATGCGTATACAACACACCTCAACGAAACGACGCGGTAGAATTTGCCTTGTCCAATCTAACTCTTTTCACAATGTCACTGCAGAAGATTGGAAGCGCAAAGAGAAAATAGCGGAGAGTATGTAGAACTCACGTTTTCGCACTGCGCATCTCACTGCGAATATTCGCCCGAACGACCTGTCACAGAAGTTAGCTCGCTCTGAAACTTACGGCTCATCTCGCCCTCATATACCTGGCATCGCAATGAGCTTCCATACGTTCCAGACGCATTGTCCACCGACCCACCCACGAAGTAGTCTCCTGTGGGCAGGCCCTAGAGCGATCTTCTTCAGCGGAGGCGCGCGGTCGCGTGTATCAAGGAGGGCGAAGATTCGAGACCTCAACGACGTCGAGTATGAGCACACACCTCACAAAGATGATGACAGTACATACCTGCGGTAGTCAACCGACACATTCCGTCGCTCGAAGTTCAGGGAGCATGACGAGGTCCAACCTGGTCCAACTGCTTCCTGATCCATTGGCACGTTCCGATCGGCGAAGTGTGGGCATAATATAGCTGCACGACCCTGACCGTCTTTCTAGCCACGCTATACCGAGCAAAGGCCCTTATGAGACCACATTAATCCCGACTGTGCCAGCAATTCCGGTCGAACTTGACGTCGAGCGAGCCGACGCGCCTCATTGGCACTGGTACTGGCATAGTGCATCGTATGTGACGAGGGTGATAATGCGCCAAGGAGACAAACAAAGACAACATTCATCAGGCAAATAGCAGGAAAGCGAGGCAGAATGAAAGGAGGCAGACTACAAGAGGGGGAGATGATGCATTGATGGGCAAGGTGTCAAGCATGTCAAGCTTCAAGGTCCCGATGAGGCCGCATTGCAGAACTACAATTGACAGGCGCTACACAGTAGTACATATGTACACCACCGTCGGCTCAACATTGGCTTCCTCAAACACACAGGAGAGACGTCTCGAGTCATTGCATCTTGCTCCTGCCAGTGACGTGGCTATGCACAGCTCGGTCGCTCAGGCCAAGCTCAGGCTGCAGCTGGCTGCAGACACCGTTCGCGACGAACAGCGATGTGTCAACTTTCGTCACGGTCCCACCTCCGATACTTTGGCGACCCGCTTTCATAGGTCATCCAAGGACGCAAAGGTAAGTACGCGAGGACCGCAACGAGATCGAGACCATACATAATCAAGACATTTTCGATCGTGTCACTGAGTCGACAGTCACAAGTTCTTGAAAGGCAAAGGCAAGAACTTGAAGAAGCCAGCGCCCAGCTCCGAGCCATCGCGCTCAACAGACAGCCAGGATGTGTTGGATTCGGCGTCACGTACGAGTCACTTCCTTCGTCCCCACCCGCGTATGATCGACGCGCTCACGCTCGCTTGTGTGGACAGCGACAGTGCCTATGGAAATCGACGGGAAAGACGTGCTCTTGCAGTTGGCCGATGACATAGGGTCACCGCAGGGTTTGCATTACAGAGTCGTCAAGGGCCCATAACAGTGGATAACAGGCAGTCCTGTGAAGAAGGGAGCAAGCCTACTAGACGAGATTCATCTAATGCAGATAGTACGTCAACTTCGGTGCGCGTCATGCGGCCATGCATGGTTCCAGTGACACAGATGTCCATGTCTAGGTGGGTACCATTGTCGGTGAACACTGGGACGTCGGTTCGACACACTACGCCATGGTGAACATGTCGGGGTACTGGAAGCTCCTTCATGAGACCCCGGCTTGGCAAATTATCAAGACTGACCGAGCAATGTGCGAGTTTCTCTTCTCAACCGCCGCAGACGCGTTAGTCGCCGAGATCACGAAGACTTTCTATACTCCCCACGGTTGGCTTTTTGATGCCCCCTCCTACAACGATGTGCTCTTCGATGTGCAGCATCCGATTGGGGGGAGGGTGAAGATAAACACGTATCCATTCAACTTGCTCGGGGCGTATTACTCTCCGGGAGAAAATGTGAGTATGTCACGATGGTGCTCTTCGGGTGATGCTAACCATGCCGAGCGCAGATACAGGAAAAACAGGCAGAAATACGGAGAAAGTTTATGGAATCGGCGCCGTCAACATTGTGCCCAAAGATTCCGTAATGCATGTATCATCCGCACGGTATAGAGGAGGTCGCTTGACGCCCCTGCCGGACCAGCCTGCAGTGCGACAGCGGACAAGGGTTTGTGGATAAGCGTGCCTCCCTCCCGAGTCCCGCATGGCACATTCTGCTCTGTGCGATGCGTCCCGTGGATGCCGCAAAGGAACCGCTGAACATTCGCGTTCGACGGGGCTACCAACCCAGTGCCAACTGATGCGCCCAGGCCCCAGCGACATGCCACCCAGGCAGCGGATCCGGAAGAGACGCAGTTGATAAGTTCCGGCAACAGACAGACCGCCGACTCGACGTCTGCGCCCGGTCTTGAGGCTCGCCAGCAGTCAGAGTCAAACTGGCTATCACCCCTTGCACGGCGGTGCAGAACGGAATTGCGTTAATATGATCCACGGCCAGACTGCTACCCTGTATCACTACGTACTGGACGCCTACAAGGCTTGAGCGGCCAACACGATGATAGACACCTCGGAGAGTAGAGCAGCGTATTCGTGATGATGTCGCGCGTGCTGGCGTTGTCGTCGAGCGGAACGAGTTTCCCGCGTGGCCGCGGCATAATACCGGTGAGGGCCCATGCGCATACGCTGCGTACACGGCGCCGATGCCGTTCAGCTGCGAAGTATCGCATCAGGACTGGCGCAGACATGGCATGGACAACGGCGCGCTCACATTCTGCAAAGACGCCCTGAAACCTAACCACAGTCGCGAAGTAGGGAGGCATAGCGATGGACCGTCCTGGACCGCGCGCGCACACGGTCCAGGTGAGCCATGCTCCGTGACGAGCTGGCCGAGCTTCCAGTGGCTCTGACTGCTAACCTCGATGTCGGCCAGTGTATGGCCGTTACGTTGACGGCAACGAGTGGGGCGCAGAGCAACAAGACCCCATGTCGTGAGTATGCCGCCAGACTCACATATGGAGTCTCGGTCCCTCGCCGCTCGACTCCAGTGAGCGCGCAGTGCAGGGCGGTTTATCTTTTGTGACCTTTGCTGTCGTATCATCGTTGGACTTGTAATACTGCTTGTCTGACGCATCAATCCAGCAGCGCAACCCTCTGATCGTTGACCAGCCGCCCGGGTGGATTGCTTCCTGCGGTGAGCGTACTCGTAGACTTCAGCTTGCTGATCGTACTGTGCACGACTTCATGGTCGGTGTGGTGGCCTCAGATGCGTCGGTAATCCGCCAGAAACAGGGCAACAACACTGAGCTGGCGCGTGGTGGAACATATGGCGAGCAGAGAACTACCTGTCGGGGCCAGACGACGTTGGCGCGGTGCTTTCACCTGCGAGAAGGTTGCCAGTGCACATGTGCTGTCTGAACCGCGGGAAACAAGTATATAGCTGTGCTTCGGACTTGAACGAGGTACGTCTGGTAAGAATATGTTATCATCCCGAATTTCTGCTAGCAAACGTGAAAGAGCTCGAAAGTACGGAGATGGGGATGAGGGAGGCTACTTGTGCTGCGGGGCGAAGTGCAGATGGTCAACGGTGGTGAATGTCTTCTGATCAAACATTTGCAATGGGCGAGGCTCGTGCGGATGGCGCCTTTTCTTTGAAGGACATGACAGAGGAAATGGTCAAAGTCACGTTGTGTTCCACAGTTGAAAACGGATAATTAGTTATGAACACGTACCGACCGAGCAACGCGGATCGCCAGGAGAAGGGCGTGGTTCAACGTTGGGACTTTCGCCAGCGTTCGAGGTCGGAACATATCGCGAACTTTAACGTGACCCAGATACTAAGTAGTAGCCAGTCAGCAGCGAGGTCAGAGCGCCACCGAATATGATACGCTTAGTACATGAACATACGCACCCATGTCGACGACTGCGAGATGACGCGTGACGGCCGAGGGTGTTGCGAAGGTGGGGAGAGGGTTTGGGTGGGTGAGGATTGTGATACGGGGCAGCCTTCCCTGTCATAGTGAGCATGTCACGCCGCGTACTCAGCGAGCGTAGCGCGGAACGGGGTATCTGAATGAGGCAGCGATGCGGCGGTGCGCGTTGTGTATTGCAAACGGAAGAAGGCAGATTGGACGTGTCTCTCCAAGGGCAGACCCTGTGGAAGACCGGAAGAGAGGGTAAGATGGACGCGCGAGACAGGTCTTCGCCGTGGGCGTGTTCGAGGCCGCGGCTCGAGGAATTTGAGACTGGGTATGGGAGTCGAGAGGCTGGAACAGGAGCATACGGTCTGCCCTCGGTGGCTGACAGGGAACCAGGATGTATCGACGCCTGTGTGACGGATGGAACAGCGAACACCTCGGCCGATGCAATGCAATGGCCTGTCGTGGCTGGAATCTAGACGCGGATGCTGCAAGGATACGTCAGCAATGAATGAGCGGGAGTGACACAGAGTGCTCAGTGGTCAACGCGGGAGGCGTGTCTCGGAGCCGGCCTGCTCGCGTCGGGAAGTGCGCGCTGCCCTGGCTGCGGGCTGAGTAACTGGCGCTGCACCGGGGCGTCTGATTGCCATATCAGGCAGGCCACCTTCCTTGTAGGGCGCGCACGTGATGGGGAGAAGCAGGGAAAACGGTCATGCGCGATGCGGCGGCCGGGGGGGGAGGACGGATTTGTTCCGTTACAGTCCAGCATGTCCTTTATATATCTCCCCTCCGATCCAGCCGGCTTCGCTGCCTCCGCCACCTCCGCCCGCCCACAGACTTAGCACGCGTCGCCATGGCCTCCAACCCAGACAGGCCAGCCTCTTCTCAGGCCACCCATCCCACCGCCCACGCCCACGATCCAGAGGCCGCAGCCACCCCGCCAGAGAAGATGCCCGACGGCGAACACGCCCCTCGTCCCCTCAGCACGCTGCAGACCGTCGGTCTCATCACGACATGTACGGCCGCCATGTGTCTCAACGTACGTGTCTCCCGCCTGTGCTTTCCACGCGTTTCTTAAGTGTCGTGCTCCCAGAATGCTCTGAACACCGCAGTCGCGATCGCGCTGCCCACCATGGGCAAGGAAGTAGGCATCCCGCAGTACAGATTGCAGTGGGTCATCTCCGCATACACCCTCAGCTCTGTACGTCCGTCCTTCGTTCCATCCTACCCCACCCTGCTCATCGTTTGCCAGGGCTGCCTCCTTCTCTTCTTCGGTCGGTTAGCAGACCTGTACGGACGCAAGAAGGCCTTCCTCGCCGGCGTCGCTGTCATGGGTATCCTCAGTATAGGTCTAGGCTTCGCGCAAAGTGAGTGTCATTCTCCTCGGACGCGTCGTCTCCTGCGTGGCGTGGCTCGGGCTGGGCGTGCGTTATCAGCGCAAATACGTCCCCCGGGCGAGCTCAGCCCGGACTGCTCGTGGGTGCCCGGTGCGAGGCTATCACTGTATGCGGGCTTCGGACGTGTCGTCGGACTGTTGGGGCCCGCGTCGCAATCTCACGCGCTCGTACCGGCGGCACTCGCTGCTATTTTCGTCTCTTTGTCTCCATTTTATGATGGCTGTTCGCTCCGCGCACGGCTTCGCATTCCATGCAGTGTATTGATGAATGCTGACGGCGCCTTCTTCGTACAGCGGAAATTACGATTGACGTCCTCCGTGGTTTGCAAGGGCTCGGTGCTGCTGCCGCTATTCCCGCATCTGTATGTCCCACCGCCCGCGCCGCATGCGTACACATGAGCTGACGCCTCGGATCCCAGCTTGGTATCCTCGCACATGCATTCCCGCCCTCCAAAACGCGCTCCGTCGCCTTCGCGACCTTCGCCGCGGGCGCGCCTGTCGGCGCTGCCATCGGAAGCACCATCGGTGGTGTCCTGACTCAGTTGACAGAGTGCGTCGTCTGCGACTTCTCCGAAAGGGGATGGTGCTGATCACGAGTCTCGTGGCGATATTCATAGGAAGACGTGGCGCTCGACTTTCTGGTTCTTGGCCGGTATCAGTGCCGCGACGTTCCTGGGCGGGGCGTTGTCAATGGACGCTGATAAGCCGTCAGAGGAAAAGGACAAGTGCGTCGCTTCCTATGCCCTCCAGATGCGAACTGCTACTCACAAACAACCCACTTTCCTCTTTGCGATACGCACACTTGCCCGTTCTGATGGCGAACCTTGACGTCACATTGGTCCCCGACTCCTCCCACCGACTCTCTTGGCGACACAATAATCGCATCTTCTTTTCGTCGGCTGTGAATTTGACGACTTCGGCTGATCACCTTCGAACCCGCACTCGCACTCGATCACGTACGCTTCATAACGCAGGCGCATCGATTGGCTGGGCGCATTCCTCGTCACGGCGGGCCTGGTCTTCATCATCTTCATCCTGAGTGACGGTACCATCGCACCGAACGGGTGGAAGACCGGATGTGAGTCCTCGTCTCACTATCGCCGTGGCCACTCGCTGACAACGGGCGCCCCCAGACATCATCGCGCTGCTCATCGTCGGCGTGTTCTTCCTAGTCGCCTACGTCGCCTGGGAGGTCTTCCTCGAGCACCAGCTCGACGCGCACTCAGTCGCATGGTGGACGCCCCCGCCGCTCATGCGCGTCTCGCTCTGGGGCCGCGCGCGCGGCAAGCTCGCCGTCACGCTCCTCCTCGCGCTCCTCGAGTACGCCGGCTTCATGAGCTTCAGCTTCTGGATCCAGCTGTACTACCAGAACTACATGCACCTGAACCCCGTGCTCACGATGGTCCGCCTGCTGCCGATGTTCGTGACGGGCATCATCGCGAACATGTTCGTCGCGGCGTTCGTCGGGCGGGTGCCCCTCGTGTATCTCGTCAGTGAGTAACTTAGATCCTGTCGGCGGCTTCTGGTGGACACGCGCTGACGCGGCGCCGCAGCGATGGGCATGACCCTGACGGGCGTGGCGAACCTGCTGTTCGCGGTGATCAACCCCGCCGCGACGTACTGGGCGTTCGGCTTCCCCGCTGCGATCCTCTCCGTGTTCGGCGCGGACTTCGTGTTCGCCTCGGGCACGCTGTTCGTCGCCAAGGTGTGCCTCCCGCACGAGCAGAGCGTCGGCGGCGCGCTCTTCCAGACCATGACCCAGGTGCGTGCCCCGCCCCCCCTCCCCACTCCGGTGCGTGGCTGACGTGCGTGTTCGGTGTGGCGCAGCTCGGCGCGTCGTTCGGACTGGCGATCACGACGATCGTGTACAACTCGGAGCTGAAGAAAGTCTCCGCGGCGGACGGCGTCGTCGTGAACGTCGACGGCTCGAACGCGCCCATGGACGCGCAGCTCACCGCGTACAAGGACGCGTTCTGGTCCGCCTGTGCGATCGCGTTCTTCGGTGCGCCTTTCCCGCGGTCCGCTGGGTGACTCGTTGGAACTGACCCCCGCGTGCCTTGTAGGTGCTGTGCTGTCTGTGCTGATCCTCCGTGGCGCGGGCATCGTCGGACACCAGAAGGGCTCCGAGCACGGGTCGACGATCAGTGGAGATACGATCCGCGACGAGAAGGCTCAGGTCCAGACGGAGAAGAAGGCGTGAGACCTAATAGAGCTGCCCTGGTCCTGGTCGCTTGTCTCGACACTTTGGGGTGCGGCTGGGATGGACGGTTCAACCTGCCATGCCTGCACGCTTGATGACCTGCTGTCTGAGTCTCGCGCGCGCGTGCGCCTGGAGCACGCCGTGTCCATGGTACGAATGACGACGAGTTGAGATTGTTCACGTTCATGACAGACCCGCATCCGCATCACATCACCCACGATAGAAGACGTATTCCAATGTTTACCTCGCATACATATCTAGACCCGCACGCACGTAATGTTCTCGTCGATCTTCCTCGCACGATACGCCTCTTCACGCATTGATCTGATTCTCATGCCCGCGATAGTTAAGTAGTGTAGTTGCATGTATACTTGTGGTCTCGAATGCCGTACGATACCTATGTAGTTGGGCGTTTTTTTGGGGTAGATGCGACGCATTCAATGACCACCGTAACTCAATGCCCGAGGTCGTGTTTGACGTCGACCGTTGCTGTAAAATACGACATGATCGTCCTTCAACAAGACTGTCACTCTACTGTTTCCTAGTCTCCCCTAGGCAGACCTTAAAGAAGACCTCTTGGACGGACAGGAGGATAACTGTTTCCCGGTGCGGCCTGAGGCCTGAGGGCCAGGCGCGGTATCCGTACTGGAAGACGAATGCGGCTGGCAGAGCGTAAGGATTGATATGGACAGCGAAGGAGCACGATGCGCACATGTTCCAGCAGTTCACAGGCCAGAGATTGTAGGAATGATCACACTGTGTCGCCCAAAGTAAATAATAAACGCGAAGCACGCTCGCGTGAGGGCTTCACGGACACCCTGTTGCGTATGCGTGCTGGCCTTGTACTTGGGATTGACTGTTCGGATGTTCAATAAACTCAATAGTATTCAGGCGACATCTAACACACGCAGATACACACGACAAAAGCGACTCGACTCGACCAAACAGCCAGAGCGGGCATCCAGGTACTGTGTAATCCTCGACCAGCGTACACAGCGGGGCGGGGATATTGAACGATATGATGGCGGCGGATTCATCGCCATACTGTGTTATCCAAGAGGCGTCAGTGAAGCTAGCACCTTACGGAGGCGCGATACGGCGGGGGCGTATGTAAATCCTCCCGCATCGTCGTCCGCGTCATTCACGTTCTGCGGGGGCGGGAATGGGTCTTCGTTGCCCGTGTTGGGCTCGGGCAGTGTGTACGCGACCTCAAGAAAGTGCACCTGCGTGAAGGCGAGCGTGCTCTCGTCAGACGAATTGTGCGGGTCACGCACGGGGCAAGCAGGCAGCCGGGTAAGCGAGTGGGTGTGCAGGCGAGTTACTCGTTCCGGCGGGCAGATGCGCAGACAGGCGAAGTGGGTAGACACGCGAATCAGGAGGCTGCTGGGCAGACAGGCAAAAAGGCAGGCGGGAATGTCCTGGCGGGAATTCAACTGCTTGACAAGTTGGCGAGCAAGCGGCTTGGTGCAACAGGCCAGTGGGCGGGCGAGTCGGTACACGTGCCAGCGGGTGGGTGCATACAGATGATGAGCGGCCACGCAGGCGAGTGGAAACATCGACTACTTGGTTCGTCGATACGTCTGCTCGCGCGGGTACTGCCATGGTCGCGTAAGAGGCGTGTCAGGAAGAACATACCTTCGACCTTTCGAGCCTTCGTGCTCGCTTTCTCAGCCCTTGTAGCGCCCTTCTCCCTCGGGTTCGCGTTGCTCACCTCGTCTCTGTTCCTGAATTATCGCACTTTAGAGCGCAGGACTGGACTGACTTGCACGCCCGTCGCTCGAGTCCGGTCCAAGTTGCGATGTCGGGCTGCGCCGTGTCGGGCAAGGGCTGGCAAGGGGTGTCGAATTTGAGCTTGTATAACCATGATTGAGTAAAGCGAGCGTCTTGCAGTGAGCTTGGGCGGCCAAGAGGACTGACCGGGTTGAGGTGGTATCTGAGGTGATGGTGGTCAACTGCGCTGGCAGAGGCTGGCGGTGCACACAGGTGGTCCGCGCCACTGTCGGATATGTTGGCGCCTACCCTCAAGTCCGCTTCGTCGTTGAGAATGCCTGCATAATTTGTGTGAACACTCGTCGCATACCCAGAATCAGTGTCCCATCGGGCCTGAGCTTCGAGCCGGTCGACGCTCCGTGCCGCTGCGGAAGCCATGAAAACGGACGTTATCCTCCCGATGACGGACGAATGCATGCAGCAAATCGTGCAACGCGAAAAAGTCAGTGTTCCCGTCTAGAGTCGGAAAAGAACTCAGTGAAACACCCTCTTAGACGTATGAATTTCGACGGTACAGGCTCAACGCCTCCGTCAAGCGAGTCTGGTTCTACCTGAAAGCACCCCTCAGTCACATCTCGTACGTGTGCGAGATCGACCCGGCGCGGACACGTCTGCCAGGCGACCCGCCGCTCCCCGAGGATGGCATAGGCAACAAGAAGTTCAACGAGAGACACCCGGATATGGAGAGGTGCGACTTCGCGTATCGGGTTTTGAGCGTGCGGAAGCTGCCTAGACCGGTGTCGCTCGAGGAGCTCAAGAGGGTGTATGGTGTTGGGATTGCTCCCAGAGGAAGGATATATGCACCAGTGAAGTTGCTTCACGATGTGCCGTGGTCGTCCCAGGAACTCCTGTGGACTCAGGGTGGTACAACGTCGGAAGACCACGTTCCTATGCGCGACGGCCCGGCACATAGCGATGCGAAGGCTGCGTCCTCGCATGAGGTGCGTACCATTGGCATAGACGATAAGAGTGGATGTGCATTGTCTTGCAGAACGAGGGTACGAAGCGAGTGAAGAAGCGCAGCGCTACGGCTATAAACGCAGAAGAGTCGCATCAGCCACCCAAGGTATGCCAAATGACTGGCATAGCCCTTGAGACATGGACGTTGACGCAGATTCTCTAGAAGCGGCGAGGGCCATCAAGAGCAAGACACTAGCTGGCGAGAACGTGTGCCGTTGTCGGGTCCAATGTACATCGTCGCTGCGGCCGTTCAAGCGTGCCATGTAAGGAATCCAATCTCCATTCCATGGTCTACATGAAGTGCACGAAACACGGACTGCTCTGATCTGTGTGAAAAGACGAGGGACGAACCCTGTCGCGCGTCGTCCCCAATTTCTGAGGGCGCGGAACCACAATCCAGAGGGTTAGCCAAGGTGAGCGTCCCGCACTCACCGTTCATCGGTTCGGCAGGCTCAGATAACCTTTCCCAGACAACGCACACCCCTTCCAGCCATGCGACTGGGGAACAGTGCCCGGGATGTGTGGCGGTAAGTGAGAGAGCGGGGTGCGTGCGGGTTGGACAAACCACGTGACGCGCTGTTTAACAAGTTTAAAGCCACAGTCGCGAACGACGCAATCCGGACCGTCGCCCTTTGTTCTGACCTTCATTCCCGTGCCCCTCCCCTCTCCGCATACCCCCGATTTGCCCCTTGCTTTGTCCTGCCGCTAGGCTATAAAAGACCTGTGAGTGTCTGTTTGACTCCCTTTCTTATTCGCTCTCGTCGTCGCGGGGCATGCAGGGCTTTCCCCTCGTCGACGTGATACTGTCTGTGGCTTCATTGATTGCTGACGCCATGCTGGCAGCTCGTCCTGTCGACTATGGTCGGTCATCTGTTCGAAACCAAGGAGGACACTGTTCCGCAGGTCGGTGTTCAGACCGAGGAGAAGTTGGTGAAGGAAAAGGAAGCTACGGTCGACAGCTTCGTCTACGTCGTCGACGTCGCCGGCGTCGACGGCGGACTGGCAGCCGCAGCCAACGATGTGAGTGCGCGTTTCGCTTCGTGCTATGTTCCCTTTGTCCTCGCGGGCACGTACAGAGCCGTCTGCTCGCTGTTATGCTTGTGTATGTCTTGAATGAATGCTGACGACGTGCTTGTCGCTTCTCAAGCCCTCTACGATGGATGAGAAGGAAACCAACCGCGCTGACCTGGACGGTCGTGCCCCGCTCACGCGTTCACTGGTCGAGAACCACGCGGACGTCGACAACGTCTATCTCGTCGGCGTCGACGACGTCCGGGGCGAAGCGCCAGCCGTTGTGGTGCCGTCAATGAATGATATACCGGAAATCGTCCTCGACGATGATGAAGAAGTTAATGGAGGAGTAACGGCTGATGAGGATCGGCCCTTGTCTTGTAAGTCGAGTCTCTGGCGTCACGGTAGTAGGACTTGCAGGCTCATGGCGGAAGCAGGGCCTTCGTGCGTCATTGACGGTGCTTTAACCCCATCCTCGTCGCCGGTAATGGCTGCGGCGTATGCCGGCGTTTCTCTCCACCGCAACTTCAGCTTCCTCGATGTTTCGGCGGGGTGCGAAAGTGAAGAGGACCTGGAGGAAGAAGAGAAGGATGAAATCGATAGTATCTTCGATGACGACGAAGAAAGAGGAATGCAAGTCCGGGGATGGTCCGAAGAGGACAGCATAGAAGAGGAAATACGAAAGTGGTTCGAATTGTCGGATGACGACGACGAGACTCGGGGCACACTGCCCCAAGGGAGGTTCCCCGCGCTCACGGACCTCCCAGAGAGTCTGCTCCTATGGGACGAGCTCAGCGATTTGGTCTCCTCCGAAAAGTACGCATCCCCCGATTTTTCCTTCGATCATGTTTGCTCATGGGTGTGCCCTCGGCGATGCAGCTCGCGCGGCAACACGGACCTTACAAAGCCTTCCTTCCGCCCGGCTCCGCCAGTGCGGTGGGCGAGGCCCCGTATGCTCTCGAAGCCCCCGTACGTCGTGCTCGTACCGATTGCTCAGATCGGCGGGAAGGAGGCAACGAGTGCGAGAAGGTTCCACCGCAGGATAATGGAGTCTAAAAGCCTGAGGCAGCCTAGCCGCCTCCGGTTCCAGCTCTCCCGGGCGGCGTCGCAGGAGTCCCTCGTCGGTCAGGAGGTCGCTCCCCACGGAGGCGAGCGCGAGGACGCTGTGGTCAGTTCTGTGGAGGTGACCGAGGCGAGGGTCGGGGAACCTAACGACTACCCCGAGATTCCGTCCGAGGTGGATACCGAAAATCAGGCCCCCGCCCCTGCGCGACGCCGCTACCATCTCCAGACCCCTTGGATCGAGCCAGTGGATTCCTGGGCGTCGGATGAGCCAATGATGTGGCAGCTGTTGCCCGGCCTCTCGATGCCCATGTAATGGGAAGGCGCGCCGTACGCATCTCGTCGTGTGCTTTGCTTCTATGCTTGCTGTTGCTCTGTGCCGATATCGTTGTAATTGCTATGTACTATTGCGCTGATGCGCTGATGATACTTATAGGTAAGTAAGGTGATGTTTCGTTGTTGTTTGTACTCTGTATTTGTGTATCTGGATCTCGTCGACCCTCATGGTCTCTGGTAGCTGTAACCTGTCCTGTCGTGTACTGTGATACGCTGCTAGCAAAAACACGCGTTGTCGTGTACTGCCATTTCATATATCTGATAACTCGACCAATTAATGCGGGCCAGGCGGTATATGCATGCACTCAATAATCTACAGTGACGATGAATGGGAGCGACCGATATGGCAGGTGGCTTACCGTTTGTGGATCCAAGTGACGTCACGAGCACCAACCGACTGCACTTAATGCCCTCCGAGTCGCCCTCTTCGGCACTCTCCTCCATAACCTCTCGAAGAGACCTGCAAAACATATCGATAATGTCCGACGCGTACGAAACCAGCAACTACCCTCCTCCGGGAGACTGTGAGTACCCTGACTAATGTCACAACTGGGTATAATGGCTGAGATAGTTAACGTTGTTCGTACAGCGACCTCAACAGGCGGGTACGGCTCTGCAAACACGTTCTCTGATCCTGTACAGAGGGGCCGACAAGATCTCGTGAACAATGAGTCGGAGACCGGTCTAGTCGATCAGTCACTCAGTGGCGGGCCGATTGGCCAAGAAATCGACGATGCGAAGCAGGGACGGGACGAGGCGTCTCGAAAAGACTTCACGCACGAGGCCGAGCGAGACTTCGACCGGGGAAACGGCTCCGCGGGACTGAACCCGTACGGACAGAACCCAGATAGCAGGGGCGAGGCGACAGAGATGCTAGCCTCGAGGTATGCGGATTCGAGAGGGAAGCATTTCGAGAGTGGTGCGGCCGGAGGAAACGACGCGGACATTGGCGCGTAGGGACGTGATTGTATTCGAGACGGACGATGGACAGTGATGATTGTACTACGTATACAAGGCACAGCAGAAACACTGCCATACACGATGTGCGAACGACAGACGTCCGGGGACGTGACCGGGTCCTTATAATCGCTTTTGCTGACATAGCGTCTCGCGCTGTGCAAGGCTCGGGCAGTCAGAGGGCTTGCCGGAGCTCACGCAAGTGCTCCGAAGCCCGAGTCGGATGACCGACCTCGGTGTTCTACAAGCAGTCTGACTTGTGTCTGGCAGTAGCATTGCGGTGTATCGGAGGTACTGCGGCTTACCTAGCAGAGGATGGCCCAAGAGATACTTATCGGGAGTTCCACATCAGTCTGAATGGGCAGATGAACAGGAAGAAGAGCCACCGCAGACAGTGTCTGTGATGCGGTAACCAGGGATGTTGTCCTGCTGCCCGCTCGCCGTGCTCGTTCCCTCGGCGATTGTACGGAAGGCGGTGAGTAAGTAAGAAAGTTACTGTAAGTAGCGGGGCTTAGTCATCGAGGGCGCGCTCCGGAGGCTGACTGCGCCCAAAAAGGGAAGCAGGCGGGCCGGTGCCTGGGCAGCCACTGGCAAACAGGGCCACATAATCATCAGTCAGATCGCACCGCCCGACCGGCAGACGACCTCAACATCGCACTGCTCAACGTCCACGGCCTCCCAGCCACCCTCCACCACCCCTTCCTCACCGCACCCATCGTCTCCAGCAACACAGACAGCGACACCGACCCCATCCCTACGCGCCCACTCTCCTTGGCCTCATGCGGGAATCCAACTTCGCGTTGCCAGCCCAGAACCGGGCCTGTGTCTGCATTACCTCCCAGCTTTATGACAGACGAGGTGAGTACCACGTCTTGCCAACTGTCCTCGGCGAATCGTTCTGGCTTGGGTTGTGCAACTCGCGAATGCTGGAAGGCAGGCGAGCAGGCTGGGCTGGGGGTTCGCCAGAGCGCGACGCATCCGGGGCTACGAGCCGCGCTGCATACGGCCGCAATGGTGAGACGTACCGTGCCTTCGCTATCCCGTTCGTGAATGGCTCACCCGAGGGCGCGCGCCCCCTCCGAAGATGCGCCTCCCACCCCAGTCGGTTCTGTGATGGTTCGTATTCCCATGGCCGCGCCGCGTCCCAAGTCTCTGTCTGCTGCGTCCGACCTCTCAAGGCCATCGGCTGACATTCAATGGCGTCTTATGCGCACCGCCACACCTCGATGCCACTGCTCGTAAGCAAGGGGAAGGCTGGACCGTCAACATACGTGGTCATTCCCACTGGAGCCCTCTTGTCTTCCCGTCGCCATCATACTCCGCGTCTGTCGCCGTCTGCGTGGTATTTCCCCACCGACAACACGATTACTGGCTGTGGTTGGCACGCGTATGCAGCATGCCCAAGCTCTGACTCTGGTTGGCTCGACTTTGCATCTCGGCCCCACTTGGGCAACGGGATGGGCATTCCTGTTGTCATCTGTGGCATCTCACAACCCGGACTGCCGTCTCATGATGTGCAGTGGCGTTCCGGTGTTACCTCGTCAGTTGACAATAGACGCGATCCTTAATCGAGGTGCCACCACCCGGGCACCGTCAGAAAGGACACCCCATGTTCCGGAGCATGTTGGCAGATCACGATGGCTTGCTATTGGTTGAGTTACGCCTAGGTTCGTTCTCGTACCCTGCCTAAGTTTGTTTACGGCGGACAGCCTGGTTCGGTGTGCTGTTTATTTGAGGAGGGATTCGCCGAGGACATCTATCTTCCCAGTATGACCCGATGCAATGGCTGATGTTTCCTCCTTAGCTCTCGACACGAACTCTCCCCTCCCCTTGTTCAACTCCCTAACGCACCTAACCTACCTCACCTCGACGTCACCTCGCATCCGCGAGACGATCATCATGGACGGCGGCATCGAGCGCCTCGTCCGCATCCTCCATGACTTCTGCATGTGCCCTCCGCCCTCCGAAAACCCCATGCTCTTCTATGGCCTATCACCTCCCTCCGCACACCCACCGAAGCTCGTGCCTACGCTGAACCCCAAAACATTCGACAGGCAAGCGCAATATCGATTCACGCTCGCCTTCCAGTGTATTGTCAACATCGGTGTGCGTGGCAGCGAATTGATTCGAAGTCGGGTTGTACAAGCAGGTACGCTTGACGTGGTAGGATGCATCCTGGAAGCATGGCTGGCGGGACGGGGGTTTGCCGTGGGTCCGAGCGTGAGCGCAAGCGGAATGCCGAGGGAGACGAAGGAGCAACGGCTCGCGAGACGGCAGGCCCAGATGGAGGCACGTCAACGGGAACAGGCGGACCAACTGGCGCGAGCACTGCAACAGCAAGTCATCGAGCCCACTCGACGTCTGGCCCCGTTACCGCCAGAGGTGAGTGTCGTGCGCACTGGGCCGTTGCCGCTGATGCGAACCGTGTCGCCAGGATGAACCCATGGAGACAGAGCAAATGTCACGGAACGACACCCCGGGGGACTCATCATCAAACACCACACCTGGTGGCACCGACACACCGACAGGGGCAGTGATCATTCCCAGTCGTGAGCGCAGTGGCACCGTCATCGGCCGCCCGACATGGGATCAGCAACCAGCAGGTCCCCCTGGGGCCACTCACACACACCGCCGGGTATATCGGCGGCGCGATCCTCCTCCTGAATCTGCTGGCCCGTCGACCTCAACTTCGGCGGACAACTCCAGACCAGAGACCGAGACGGAAGACGACGGGGATGTCGACATGGACCGTGAAAGTGTCCAGGGCGACGAGGCGTCGACGTCGGGTACGCCACCTCCCGAGCGGCGCGGGCCGACTGGGGGCACGATTCGCGCGCCGACCGTGCATACGCGTCGCACGGTGGGCATCGTGTCGGATGCTGGCAATCCCGCAACCGCAGGTTCTCTGGAAATGGACAACGACGTCCATATAGTAATCAACGATCAGGGGGAAAATGGTGTCGAGGGTGTAGGTGTCGAGGACGGGCTGGTGTCACTCGAGACGAATGACGACTTCGCGATGGGCGCACCACCCGGTGCACCTGGCGCGATCGATGGCCCGCCTGCAAGAATGGGCCCCGATCCGCCCATACCTGGAGAGCGAACACCGAGGGCGCCCCCAACCGCTCTCCCGCACAACATCCCAATCAACGTCCCCGCCGTCCCGAACGCCAACGTAAGAGTCACCACTGCTGACCCAGCGACGACTCGCGCCGGCCGCACGCACGTCAGTCGTGGGACGAACACCGGTGGCCCAGGCGCAAATCCCGCTGCAGGCGCAGCTGGCGGCGCGCACGGGCACCATCACCACCACCACCACGTGCGCGAGTCGGAGGGCCCGTACCGCGACGACGACGTGCTCCTCAGCCTGCAGCTCCTCGCGTTCCTCAGCAAGTACCCGCACGTGCGGCAGGCGTTCTACAAGCCCCGCTCGACGTTCCACCCCGCGACGGCGCAGCTTCCTGTAGGCGACGGCCGGTTCGCGCAGTCGTCCGCGGCGGGCCCGAGCAACAAGGCGGGCGTCGGCGCGGGCGGCTTCGGCCCCATTGGCCCCTCGAAGGAGCCGAACTCGTTCATCAGGGCGTACAACACCGTCACTGGGCGCGGCAAGGAGAAGGCGGGCCCTGAGCCGCCGGCTCCTGTGCCGGTGAGCTCGACGCCGCAGAGGATGACGAACGTGTTCGCGCTCGTGGAGAGGTTCACGTTCCGCCATAGCTCGGCGGATCTCGAGAGCCCGAACCCTCCGCCGTCTTTGCCCCCAGAGATCCAGTACTGGGCGGGTGTCATCATGCGGAACGCTTGCAGGAAGGACGACAGTCGAGGTGGAATCAGGCAATGTGCCAACAGTGAGTAGATTTGACTTGCATCGCTATGTCGTACTCGAGTCTGATCACATTGTTCCATAGTGCTCTGTGGTAGATGGGAGTCGTTCCCGCGCGAGTTCGCCAAGTGCAGAAGATGCAGAAAAGCGAAGTATTGCGGGAAGGAGTGCCAGAGTCTCGCGTGGTCCGAGGGCCACCGCTTCTGGTGCAGCGCGAAGGACCCAGAGGAGGACGCCGAGCACGCCGAGAGCTCACGGACAGCCCAGAGCACGTCAACCGGCACAGTGACTGCAGACGGGGCATCGCAGGCCGCGCGCAACGAGCGCCGGGCAGAACGCGAGCGCGAGCGACATGCGCGGACAATGGCAGTGGAGGCACTTCGCCAGGAGCGGAGGGAGCAGATGAGGGGGCAGATGATAAATGGCAGGATGGGCCCGACCATCGTGCGTCCTGGGGCCCCTGCCATCGACGTCGGGATCCGCGACGGCGTCACGGTCGTCACCCCTGGGGATGACTCTCCTGAGGGAGCGAACCCGACGCGCGGAGACGGGAACCCGGACGACATGATGTTGGGCTAATCGCTCTTCGCATTGACACCCCCCTGGTCGCCCTCCCGCAATGGGACGTCTTGCCCGTTCACGCCTGTCGACCATCTGGAATGCCAGACACCCTCGCAATGGACTACACACATATCGCGATTCGCGCTAGTACTGCGCTATAACATTCTTTGGCAATGGTCGATGATCCTTTTCCTTTTCTTGTTGCCACTGCTGCTGGTGGAATGTAGTACATACCCGTCTGTCCCGCATCGTGATCTCTGTCCTGTTTCCTCCGCACTGTAGTTCTACACACATACAATCTACCGCAACGCAATACATTTATTTCTATTAGACCTGTGTTTCACCTACCGCGGCGGGGGTTGTGTGGAATGGCGACGGTGTGTTCTGGAGTGTTCTGAGCCGACCGACCGACGTTGTTTGGCGCGGCCAAACAAGGGGGCAGAAATTGTGACGCATGCGTTGGGCGCTTGCCACACATCCGCCAGCGTCCTCTTCGCCGAGTCCTCTGTCCTCTGTCACAAATGGTACAGTCCCCGCCGCATCCCCGCCGCCGTCCCCGCCGTGCTGACCACCGCGCTGCAGGCTGCCCAGGCGACATTCAAGTCCATCAAGGCCGTCGTGCCTCTCCTTGACCGTGTCCTCGTCCAGAGGTTCAAGCCCGAGACGGTACGCTACCTTTCCACCTGTATCTCATCAGCAGAGCGTGCAGGCTGACGACGGCGCGCACAGAAAACCGCGACAGGCATCTTCCTGCCGGCGTCTGCGACGAGCAACCCCCTCCCCGAGGCGACCGTCATCGCGGTTGGCCCCGGCGCAACGAACAAGGAGGGCAAGATTATTCCTACGGCGGTCAAGGCCGGTGACCGCGTCCTCCTCCCTGGCTGGGGCGGCAACTCGATAAAGGTTGGCGAGGAGGTAAGTGTCCATCTGCGCGTCGATGTGCGGCGGGGCTGATGCGTGAGTAGGAATTCTTCCTCTTCCGGGACTCGGAGATCCTCGCGAAGATCCAGGAGTGAGTGTCGCCGTCGTAGGCACAGGAAGATGGTGCGGGGTGCTGTTGGATGCGGGGAGGTCGTGACTCGGTCAGAGGACCTATGTCGGCTGAGGTCTGGGTGTAGGGCCTGACAAAAGTTTGCTATCATATGTTTTGGTGCTATGGCTAATTCATCCAGCATGTTTTCTGCGCATTGTGTTACTCGTCGCTGCAATCACACACATCTCCCCACTCAGTGCTTCCATGTTTACTCATTATAAATCAGCAAAATGGTACGCTTCATGCGAGGTCGCTTGGCTGCAGTAGGCGGATAGCAACGGCACATGTAGAAGTGCAAGTGTGGACCCCGATCGTTCGCCGCACTCTATATTGCATTACATACGTGTACCCAATAGCAACACACCCAGCCCAGACAGTGAGCGACTTTTACACAGAAGGGGGCCAACCCAAGGGACCCGAGAGCACTCGAAACGCACTCTACTCGTCCTTCTTCGCGACGCGCTTCTCTGCCTCGTCGATCGCCGCCTTGTCCGTCTTCGGTTCCGCCGCAGCTGTCAAACGGACCCTCAGCACCTATGCTCAGCCAACGAATGGTGGGATGGATGACGCACCACCCATGAAGCCGCCGGCCTTGAAGGGCCGCTTGAGGTCGCCCTCCGCTGGCTTGCCGAGGACGTGGATCGCGACAGGCTTGGCGTCGTAGAGGTTCTTGAGGCCCATCAGCGCCTGGATGAAGAGTGGCTGGGTGTACCTGTGCAGCGCGGTGTGTATGTCAGTGCGGGCAGAGTTCGATGCAGCGAGGGGAACGCACTTCATGTATAGGTGCATGAAGGACATCATGGCGAGACCCATGTAGACGGAACGGATGAGCTTGGAGGTCTCTGCGAGGTCGTAGTCCTTGATGGTTGTCGTTACGAGGTTGCCCTGATCACCGCTCTGTGCACGGGGATGGGTACGTGAGGCTCAGGGTGGGGATCCGGACGTGCGGCGGATGCGTACCATTGGATTTGCGGGCTCAACTACGAGGCCACTGTTAGCACTTCCCGGCATAGTAGTGAACGTTGCACGCACCATACTTGAGAACCGTGAGGTCGTTCTTCTGCTTAACCTGCAGGCCCGGGCCACGTCAGTCAGGCGAAACAAAACAAAGGGGCAGACGCACTTTGTATGACACATAGTAGTACGCTGCCAGAATGACCGCCTGCACGGTCACATACGCGATGCGCACGCTCACCAACACCTGCGGGTCGTCAAAGTCCATCTTCCGCGCGACTGTGCGGTGGGCGCGTGCGCGGCCGGTCAGCATACATTGTCCCTGCCAGACGGGCGCAGTGGGGGACGCACCCTGCATGGCGACGAGGGAGATGACGAGGTTGGAGGCGGCAGCGTTCATGCTGGGCGGGCAGGCGAGTGGGCGTGGGGTGGGCGGGGAGAGGGAGGCTGAGGAGGATGGCTGGCGGCGGGGTGGGCGGGCTGGGGAGGATCACTGGCGCTTGTCCCAAATTCTCTCCGCAACGTGGCACGTCCTCGCCCGATCAGGCAGGTCCTGTCCTTCCCCTTGACCCATCCTCCTCAGTCGCGTTCACTGGGTGACCCATCGCTAGGCGTTGGCGACGTACTCACGCAGCATACGCTCGAAGGAATGACTTAGTGCACAGTAGGAAGCCGTCAGCGTGTAGTACGTGTTCGGAAGGCCCGGCAGAGGTCCCGGTGTAGTTCGACAATGATCGTATTGATACATACACAGCACGGAGACTATAATACACGCAGACGACGCAACAAAACGCAAACTACAACCCATGTCAGACGCTATCGCGTGACTACCAAGCGCGGTGTCCGCCGTCGACGATAATGCTAGATGGCGCACATGATCAGTAAAATTCCATGGCACACAGACAGGAACCACGACGACGTACTCGCTGCCCGTGCAGTAGGTGCTCGCGTCGCTCGCGAGCCAAGCGATGACACCGCGCAGCTCGTCGGGGCGGCCGAGCCGTCCGGTCGGGTTCTGGCTTGACCACTTCTCGAGCAGACCCGGCTGCGAGTCGGTGAAGAGAGCAGTCAGCCTAGCGAAGAAGTCAGCGGGGACTCCAGAGCTGAAATGACCCAAGGGGAGAGGAGGCTTACGTGGTGTAGATGTAGCCCGGACTGAGGGTGTTGACACGGATGCCCTGTGCGGCGAGCTCGCACGCCATGCTGCGGCCCATCTGCTTCACAGCGGACTTGGAGGTGTTGTACGACACCCATTTTTGGCCCTGCGCGGCGCGGTGAGTCGGCAGAGGCCATCAAACCGACAGAGAGGACGTACGATGTTGGTGATGCTGCCGCTCATGCTCGCGATGAGGATGATGCTCCCGCCGTTCCCGAAGCGCCTCATCTGGCGGCCTGCAGCCTGCGCGGTGTGGAGCACGCCGTTGACGTTTACGTCCATGACCTACGAGTCCCGCAAATGTTATCGACAGGCGAAGACACGCCAGGATGGGCTGAACATACCTCCTGGAAGGTCTTTGCATCGTACTCCAGGCAGTCCTGGTCGGGCCTCAGGATGCCCGCAGCAGCGACACAAACGTCCATACGGCCCTCCTTGTCGCCGATCATCTCACCCAGCTTCCACATCGTCTCCTACACACGGAAGGAGAGCCGTTCAGGCCCATATTCGCACTCTGGTCAGAGGGGGGCGCACCTGGTCTCGGACGTCCGCGCTGATGTACTCGAGCCGCCCCTTACCCTCCATCCGGTCGAGGTACTGCTTGACCTTCTGCCACTCATCGCCCGGCGTCTTCGGGAGGTCTGCACAGTACACCGCCCGCGCGCCCGCCTCGATGAGGGCCATGGCCATTTCGAGCCCGAGCCCGCGGTTCGCCCCGGAGACGAGGGCGACACGGTCGGAGAGGGAGAGCTCCTTCTCAAAGAGCGTGGGCTTCGCAGCTGCATATTGGATATGTAGTCAGCGGGTGTATCTGGGTGGAAGGTAAGGTTTGCTCACGGGAAGAGGGAGAGGCATCGAGTGCTGCGGCTACACCGACGGGTGCGTACGGCGGGAGGACGCTCTTCTTCTTCTGGGCGGAGGTACTCGAGGGGGACTCGGCGTGGGCGACGCGCGCAGTCGAGAAGGCCGCATATCGCGGAGCAGCAGAGACGTATCTCCCAGAGCGGAGAGCGGAGCGTGCGATACGGGCGTGCTGCATGACGAGTGGACGTCGAAGATGGTTACAGTAAACTAGGACCGTCGGATAGCCTGTCTGAATCAGAGTTCGGACTTTGCGGAGACTGTTGGTTTGGACAGCGAGCAGGGCGCTTTATATTCGGGTTGTGGAGACGGTGCGGTATAGGAGGCCTGCTAGAAAATGATTTATGACGATGGGCGGACCGTCAGGTGGAGGGTGTACAGGGCTCAGCTGACGGTCATGAGAGCATCGCCTCGCCTGCACACTGGTCCGCTGCCGAACAGCGGGTGTCTAAGTACTCTGTTCATATCTTCCACCAGAGTTTTGCTGTTGCTGTATGTCGCGTTATTGTCGCATCCGAGAACGACAGGATTGAGTGGTTTGGTGGAGAAGGCCGGTGGCTGAGCGCGACGCGCTTGTGGCGGGAGGCCCCGGCACACGCGTCCGAGCCCCACCGTGACCTCGGGCTGCAGCCTGCGCGTCGCGTCCGCCATCCATCACTTGGTTTGGTCTCTTCCTCTCCCCCGGCCGCCGCAGCCAGAGTCCACTAGTCCACCTCGGCACGACCCATGATCGTCACAGGTACCCTCGGGCGATGACACATGGAGCACCGTGTTTGCCGTCGTCGAGGTCACCGCCTGCAGCTGCGGCGTTCCTTGTTTCCGGACCGTGCTGAGTGTCTTTATCCTCGGCTCCAAGGATCTGGTTTCGTAAGTAGGAGGTTCAAGCGTTCGTTCTGTGTGGTGTCGAGCGACTACCGGTCTAGGTCTAGACTCCGGAGTGCTTTATACTATGCAACCACAACATTTAATTTATTACTCAATGCATGTGAAACCTCACCTTGCCACTCGTAATACTCTGTGGTTGTGGGGTGCGAGCCGCTGACCAAGGCCTGCCATCGACATCATGAATACACCCGTGCAGGTCAAGACGAACCTCCGCTGCCAACAGGTAGCGGACGTTCAAGTTCACCAGGCCCCTCGACTTGGCTATGCATGCGGGCATCTGGCTACTGTGCATCCGACGCTTTCTCTTCACGAGTGTTATGTTGTCAAGGTACTGTCAACTGCTAACCTCCATTAGATGCGGGAATTCTAGAAGTCCCCACCAGTGTAGGTGCAATGGAGGTCGTAGAACGGGCGCGGTCTATACACTCCAATCAGAGGCTTGGCGCTACCAGAGAGCGTTTGCGCTTGCTTGGTTTGCGCCCAGGAGACGCAGCAACCACTGGCGAAATGCGCTCGAGATGGCAGCGCAGCCATGTTCTGAGACACATATGTAAGTTACAAAGGCCTGATGTATAATGCTGCGGCCGCTCGTAGGCCGACGACATCCGCCCAGCCCAAGATGTGGTCACAAAACACGAGGTATGCGTTCACTCCAGTGGTCAGGTACGTACCATACAAGCTAAGCTTCGCCGCCAGTGGCAGGCGGTGCATACTTATCAGTGGCGATAATTACTGGCCCGGATCTTACTGGCCCTGCTTATAACTGTTGCCTTTGGGGGCCTGCTGGGTGATCCGACGCCGTCGACATGGACAGCGCGGGTTCCCGGCAGCGGGCGGGGCAGGACATGATGATGGAGTCACCACGGGTGCGTACTTATACGTCCGTTGTATCGAGTCCGGACCTGTTATCTTACCTCGAGACCCCCCTCGTCCCCCGCTTGAAAGTGCGCCTCGCCTTCAAGTCTCTCCACTCAGACTGTACAGGCTAGGGCGCTGCGTTAACGTTGCTCGCTCCAATCAGCGATCACGGATTAGCGAAGCGACGACTGCAATGTCGCCCCCGTCGTGCGTCGCTCCAAACTGCAGGGACCGAGCATGTTTGTTTATCCTTTCATTGCAGGAATGCCTCCGCGGCAGTCGACAGGATGGCCCTCTATCAGGTCGATCCTCGAGCTCTTCATTGGACTGTGTAACGTGCTGACGTCATTCTCTGCAGGAGTCGGCCAGGATGCTAGTGACTCTTGCGTCGCGGTGCCCATTCGCAGACCCAGGTCCGTCCTCTCCGGCCGCACGCGAGTGGGCCGACTCTCTGCATGCGTACCTGGACGCCCTTGGGTCTTGGGATGTCATCTCAAGCCTCGTCCGATGGAAGGAAATCGAGGCTGGACTCGTCACACTGTACCGGGCGTGCCCCTTCCTGCCTGTCTGTGTACGCGGAAACCTTGTAGCGCCGCTCGTATATGCACTGATACGGCTTGGAACCGCAGGAGCGCGAGCCCGAATGGCGCCCCGACATGATTGAGACCGTGAACGCGGTCATCGACGTCGTCTCCACCAAAAACTCCGTCAAGATGCTACTCGAGTTGGCGCGAGAAGACGTCTTCGCGGTCATTGATCTGCTCTACGAGGTACCCTCGTTCGTTTTTGATGCCGGCCATACACTTCCACTGACATCTACACGCCTCGAAAGGTGCTGGACAACCATATACGGCTGTCGATCGCACCGCGCCTCGCCAACCGCGTGTCGGACGCGCTCCGGCGGATTTGCGCCAAGTACGAATGGCTGCCCGGCGCGTGCATTGTTCCCGCCGGTCGCCTTACCCTCCTCGGCGACAGTGCCGTCGACTGCGGGGGCTACTCCGATGTCTGGCACGCCACCCACTATGCGGACGGCCGATCGACCACTGTCGCGCTCAAGGTCTTCCGCGTGTATGCGAAAGACAAGCTGCAACGCGTTCGGAAGGTACGCACTTTCCGTCTCTTCTTGGTCCTCTGCTCATCCCTGCGGTCATAGAAGTTCTGCCAGGAGGCTATCCTCTGGCTCAGGCTTCGTCACAAGAACATAGTGCCTTTGCTGGGCGCAGACATGACGCTCTTCCCTGTCTGCCTCGTCAGCGTCTGGATGGAGTATGGCAACATCTCTGGCTACCTCAAGCAGTACCCAGACGAGGACCGCTTGCGACTCGTGCGTTATCTCGTGTCCGATGTTGACAGTTTCGTTGAAATCCATTGTTATACAGCTCATCGACGTGGCTGAGGGGCTCGCATATCTGCACTCAGAAAGTATGGTACACGGCGATCTCAGATGCGTTCGTCGCTGCAGTCTCTTTCTTTCCCTTTCTCATCTAATGGCGCTTTCAGGCCAACATCTTGATCAACGATGAGCGTCAAGCCTGCATTGGTGACTTCGGCCTCTCTGCTGTCATCCATGACCCAGACACTATCATGTCCATTACTCCCAGCCCCAACGCTGTCGGCACCCTCCGCTGGACCGCTCCAGAGATACTCGATCCAGAAACCTTCGGCCTCGAGCATGCGGTTGCGTCGCTCGAGACCGATGTCTATTCCTTCGGCATGGTCATGTGGGAGGTGCGTAATCGTGTGCTTCACTGCCGTCTTATGGGATGTCTCGATATGTAATCCGACAGACATTCTCGGGGCATACGCCATACGAGGAGTACCGCTACGACGCAACCGCGCAATGGAAGATCCTCTTAGGCGTCCGCCCTGGGCGGCCCACGCATGCGATGGCTCTCGGGCTCTCGGACCTCGTCTGGGACCTGATTCAACGCTGCTGGGTCCCCGATCGTCACATGCGGCCAACGGCTGACACCATTCTCCATGAACTGAAGGCCGCACACCAGTTGATGCAGCTACAGCAGCGCACTGAGCGTTCGGACGAGCCACACCGTGCACATGGGCGCGCCTCCCTTCTTTCGCGCATGCGGACCAGCGAACGTGGTGCGACTCTGCGTCCTCTTCGCAAGCCCAGCTCGCTTGCGAGCTCGCGTACCTTGACTCCACTGGGCATCGTACCCAGCAAGGGAGGACTAGCCTCCGCTACGGTCGCGCAAGAGATGGTCTCTGCCGTCTTTTCGCGTGCACCATCGATGGCAGAAGCTGACACACCCCACCTATCCACGCGGGCGCGTCTGCGGGCGGAAGGCTCAGAGCGCACGCTCGTGGGCGTAAGTGCCGAGTCGACGGATACGGTGAAGGCAGGCGCAGGCCAACTCTCCCCGCTGCTCGTCACCGACGCCAGCGCCCCGATTCCATTCGTCAGGTCTCCTGTCAGGTAAGCGGCATTGAACATTCGCCTTTGTCCCCAGTGCATGTTGATGCTGACTATCGCCATAGCATTACCACACTGTCCACCGGTTTCCACAGACAATCGACATCGAGCGATTGCCCGACGCCTCAGCTAACCTGGGGCAGCACCTCGCTGCCTATGCATGTGACGAACGATCGCCTATATGCTCGCCGCGGCTACTCTGCGCCAGAGGCCGAAGTCAAACAGACATTCGCTGGAATGATGCATGAACAGGGACCATCTAAGCAATCCCTCCATAGGCTCGAAATCCAGCGTGAACTCTCGGGAAATCGGAACAACAGCTGGGTCCACGATTGGGCCTACGTGGGTGGCGGCTGGTAGCTTGTTGACGTCAAATCGGTGAGCACGCTCGCACAATGGCTGTGCTTGCCGTATCTGGGCCGTATCTCACCTAGCTCATGCGACCCATAGTGCAAATCAAGCATACACCGCTTTTCCTAGTATGCGACGGCTCTGCAGGCTGTAGCTCTCATTCTGAACCGCCCCCGTCATGGGTTCCCTACGGCTACCCTCTAGACAACACTCAGACACGTGTCTTAGCAAGGACACGCAGGCGCGACTTGCCGACTCGCTGATACCATTTGCAGCCGCTAGACTCCAGAAGTGGTCTGATATCTCAGAACTCAACATATGCAGTCAATGTCTGAATTTTCACCGGATAGCTTCATATGCAGAGCACTATGCGCCCAATGGAAAGCCTACCACCGTTTATTAGGGTGCCCTGTGGAATCGATGACAATCGAGCCAACTTACTATGCAGGTGACCTGTGCAGTGTGCATCAACTGCCGTTGACGCGGACGGTTGACTTCATATATCCGTAACCGAAACACTATACTAGGGCCAATACTATGTCATCCTCAGTCGTCTTCGTACGCATTTTATACCTCACAGAATGAGCCGCTGTCGTAGATCAAGTCATACTAGTACTGCAGTTTGTCTTGTACTGGACTGCTTCAAGTTCGCGGGACTGACGCACCACTTGCCTACCAGTCAAGGTAATGCAACAAAACAGCAACAGTATCATGCACGAGCAACACGAATGGTGATAAAAGTCCGACTGCATTAACGTCGCAGCACATCATCTACGTTGTTTCGATATGTAATACATCACATACACTATTCATACAGGGTACGGTACGTTACGTTCATTTCATCACGGGCACTTGTAGTATCAACGTAACGGCAGCCATCGAGAAATCGTGCAAGAATACGACAAACATGGGGGAGGGGAGGATAAGGAGCGCACCACGACGACACAGTATATAACTCGGGAGCCACACGTCCCGAACACCAGGTTTGGGGAGGGGGCGCGAAGCACGGACATAGACACAGACAGACATCATGGTATACGCTATGCAGACCGCAGGCACGTCGCCACACAAAAGGTGAACGTCCACATGCCGGCGCTGATGGCCAGGGCAGTCATTAGGGGAGAATGTACACTAGAAGAACGAACCGCGGCTGATCAGCCGTCATTTCTTTGAGACACGGCGAGAGGGCCTGCTGCCCTTCTCTGCCCATAAGCATACCGACGACGTACGCACGCATTTCAACTCGGAGCGGTCGACGGCTCCATCCGCCCCGGTGGAGGCAACTCGGCCGTCGACGCACTCGCCCGGCGGTGGTGATCAGGCAAGGGGGCCATCAGTCTGTCGTAAGCACCGTACTTGTTTGCGTGTGCTGCCCCCTCGTCTGTGCCAACGCTCAAGCTGCGCCGACCGAAGTCACCGTCATCCTCGTCCTCTTCGTCACCGGCATCATCATCCCACCCCGCAGGCCCGAGCAGCGCACGCTTCGTATTCTCGGGCCCCAGGGTCTGCGACGCGAGACGCTTGAACGACGGACGATAGGACGAATCAGAATCCGTGCCAGTATCGCTGCCAACCGCAGTGGTCGACACCGATCCGCCCGATGGTGGTCGCATCGTCTGCGTCTGCGGCTGTGGACCGCTCTGTGACGACGGTCGCGAATCGTGCGACTGTTGCATCTGTCGGGCGTCCGCACTTCCGAAGGCATACGCCAGCGAAGATTTCGTAGATGCCGCCGACAACGGTCGGTTGAGCAAGTCGGGGATCTTGTTGGGCGGGGGCGCGAGTGGTGGAAGGTGCGGCATGTTCGGGCTTACGCTGTTAGCCTTGCTGCTATCGGAGTCCCCCTGCGACTGCTGAGCCTGAATTCCATGAGGTGGCGCGGTCCCTGCAGGCATCGTCCCTCGGCGCTTCGGGACCAGGTTCAAGTTCATCGGCGCCCTGCGCGCAAGGACAGCTTGCTCGTAGCTCCTCAGATCGTCGGCATCATGCAGGGTCGTCCGCATGCTTGAGAACACGCCTGGGTGCCCCTCGTTGTGCTGCTCATCGCCTCGTCCCTCCGGTCCCCGCGACGCGTCGCTGGGCATGTGGAGCTGGAACCGGGTCAGGGCAGGGAACACGTTCGAACTCGAGTCCGCGAGTGCTGTCGGCGTCTTGATGCTCGGAAGGCTTGCAACGCGTGAGTGCCTCCGCGTCGGCGAGGGCCTGCCTGCACCCAGGATCTGGCCCGGGCCCGTGGGGGTAGCGAGCGGAAGTCCATTGTTCGCGCCTGGACCGCTTAGTGGCGTCCGAAGGTACATCCTCCAGAATTCACGCATTTCTTTGTTGTCAACGTCACTCCTACCCGTCTTGAGGGCCGCGAGTATGTCTTGTGTCGGCGTCGGGAGGTTAAGCCCAGACGCACCGGGAGTAAGATTCGAAAAGAAAGGGGCAGAATCTGAAGCGAGGCCCGCGAGGACATTGGGATCATCGAGCGACATGAGCCCGAAGGCGGACGAGAAGCCTCCCTCACCCTGGCCATCCTGTGCAAACACAGGTTCGTTCTTGCCCGAATCCCCCTGCGAGCCGGCGTTGTTCGAGCTGCCCGAGTCCCGGTTGTTGGGGTTCGTAGGGTCAAGATGAGTGAAGCCGGGCAGCGAGTACGACTGGCGTGCCTGTGATTGATCAGGCAAAGGTAAGTGGACATTGCTAGACTGCGCACTGCCTGGCAACGAATGTGAGTGATGCGTGCTCCCGCCATCGCTACTGAAATCCTCGGTCAAGTTCTCGGACCGCTGGTTGTGGTGGTAGATGTTGGGGCCGTGGTAGCCGCCCGTGTTTCCTGAGGAGGATAAGGACGGAAACGTGGGTCCATACGCGGGAGGATGGGTCTGAAGCGACGGTTCGCCTGCTCCTGAGGGTACGTTGCCGTCTCGCGCAGGAAAGGACTCGCGCGCTCCGGTGTAGCCGTAGCCGGATTCCTTGCGGTGCTCGTCGAGGCCATGAAAGGAATGCTGCGAGGGCTGGGCATCCTGTGTCCACGTAGAGGCCGCAGGCATTGGGAGAGAGTAGCGGTTGTAGGACACCTGTGCCTGAGGATCATTGTAGAGCGTGTGCGAGGGCAGGACGCCGCCATCGGTGGCTGCAGCTGTCTGCGCGCCGTTGAGGGAGAGGGCGGACTGATGGGGAAGAACGCCGGCACGTGAGAGAAGCTCAGCCTGTGCGCGGTAACGGGCAACAAGCTCCGGCGAGGCGCCGGCAGGTAGCGTCAGGCCTGGGTTAGAGGCGTGCTCTGTACCGTTGGCATAGCCAGTGGAGTACAGGGATGACGTAGGTGGGAGCGCATAATCACCACCGGTTGCCTGGTACATGGAAGGGAAATTGAATGACGACTGCGGGGGCCCGAGAACGAAGTCATCGGGGAGACGCGACGTCCCAGGGAGGAGGCCGCGGCCTGCAGGTGGAATCTGGTTGGGGACTGGATGCCCTGGGCCCTGCGGCATGGTCTGGCGGTGAAACTTGACGTAGGTGCACCGGCACTTGCGCTGGACGCACTTGGCTGCACGGACGTCAGCGGACTGGCAGAATTTTGGGAAGGGGGGATACGCACAGCAAGGGTTCGCGCCATCGCAAGGTAAACTGGAGGTGACGCACTGGTCGCATGCCTGCTTGGACGTGGTCGCTCGGGAGCCCGCAGCGGAGCCTTTGCGACGGTTCGGTACCGTGGTGGTCGGAGGCTTCTCTGATGCATGGCATTTGTTTACGTGCCGCGAGAGCAGATCACTGGATGGCCGAGAAGCTATGAGGATCAAGCATGGAGCGGGGAAGACGAGGCGCTGACCTCCTCGCAAACTGGTCGCCACAGTGCTGGCATTTGTAAGGCCGATCGCCGGTGTCTGTGGGGAAGGCGGGGTCAGCGTGGTGGCGGTGCGAAGCGAAGAGGAAGCAGGAGCGCGTCGTCGGGACTCCATGGGGCGCGCCGGTGGGTAGGTGGAGCGGACTTACGCGAGCGCATATGCCTTGCGACATGCTGGGGCCGGGTGAAGGTGGACTGGCAGACTGGACACTGTGGGCGGGGGTGAGCAGGACGCGGGGGACGACGAGGACGGGGGCGGGGGCGACGGCGAGCTCACCTTGTGGTCGCCGGCCATGGTGGTGGCGGGGGAGAGAGGAGATGCTGGTGGAGACTGGGAGAAAGCAAACACCGCCAACACACCCACTAAACTGCCAACGATGTGGAGCAATCAGGCGCCCCGCCTGACGTCACTATGATCTCCGTCACATCCTCGCCCGTGTCACACCCGCTGCAATGTGTTCGTTACGCGTTACGGTCTCTAGTACAGCAGCGTATGTACCCGTCACACCCCGCCCGCCGCGCACTCTCGCCGACGCGAGATTCAGATACCCCGTCCCACCTGACGTCACCATGATCAGTGTCGCGAGATTGTAGCCGAGATCAGGCCGCTGCAAAAGGAAACCCGCGTCATCCCATCGAACGCCACAGAGACCAGTCTGGACCGCTTACCTTGGCGCCGACAGCGGCACGAACACCTCTGCCTCCGATCTGCACACAAGCCCAGGCCGTCAGCGCATGTCCTCGACCCGCCCCCCGACGCATCCCGCCCCCGCTGCTGCAGTCACGAAGCGTGACGGCGCACGTGGGTATCAGCGTCGCCATCGCGAGACAAGCGTCGCGTGGTCTGGGGTCCGACAGAGGACCCGCGGTTTACGCGCTGCGCTCGCACTCGAATGCACATCTACAGCCCCATGGGAATCCCTCCGCATCGCACCCCCAAACGCTGCAATCAGATGCCCTCCCACCCTCGGCAGCCAGCGGGGGTCTCTTCCCCCTCATCAAACAACCGCCGCATGTTTCGCCCTCGACGCATCTGCGCTTCTCGCCAAACAACCTCCGTGAGAAGCCGCTGCTGCGCAGTCGTCACCCCCGGACATCCGCGTCCCAGCGCTCCGGCCGCCTCTCGTAGCGAGCTCTCTCGACGGCAGCAGCTCGCTCTGCTCCTCCAAGGAGACCGGTCTGCCGCGCTCCTCGAGCACCATTGGCACGCCAGATGCGCCCGAGATGCATTCCGATTTACTCGGACCACTGCAGATCTGCCCGAGGCACAGATAGCCGGCGCCGACCAGTCGTTCCACCCATACCCCGTACAGCGGTCGCGCGCCCCGGTCGCATAGGCAACGCACGAGGCAGCAGCGGGCAACGCGATAATGAACAGCATAATGAAAAAGGATACTCAACGGTGTCTGGTTATCGATCCCGATGTACTTCATGTCCACAGGCACGTAGTGCTTGTTCGGCAGCGTGTACGTAACCTGGTCCACAAACTTGTTCGTCGCGATGATCTTCTGCGCCATCTTGTACAACGTGGCCTGGAGCCCCAACGCCACCGGCATCAATTGCAAACACCCTTGACGACGTTCGCGGGAAGCACGCACCTGCACACTCGCGCTCTCGTCCAACGCGAACGTCTCGAGCGTAATCTTCCGCGCGCTGTCCGCGACCGTGTCCGCCTCCCACGCCGTGCCTTCCTGCGCGTCATCGCCCGTGACGGCCAGCTCGAGCAGCAGGTCGTCTTTCAGCGGCGGCACCGCGAACGGCCGGTACACATACGAGAGGTCGATCGACGTGCTGAAGATCCGGTCGTTCACTTCCACGAGCGTCGTGTACTCGTCGCGGACAAAGTTCTCGAAGGCGGAGCCAGTAGACTTGAGTACTGCCATGGTGGAGCACATATTTGTCACCCATTACATGCGCCGCGAGAACGCGAATAGGCGGTACTCACCGAGAAGATCCTTGATTCCAGATGTCACCTTCGCAATAATAGAGTCCTTCCCCAGGGTCGCGTCGATCTATAAGCAGGTGCGTTAGCGAGTCCTCAGTTTCATCAACTGCACACAGCCCACCTCGACGCTGGTGAACCTCTTGTCCTCGCCATCACGGAAGTACGAGTGCGGGTGCAACTTGACGGGCTCAAAGTCGTTCACGATGGGAATGCGCGCCCAACGCAGCTTCTCGACCGTGATATGTGCCTTGTGTAGGTGCTCGTACTTGGAGACGAGGTGCGTGCCGAGGTGGACCGCGAACCGTTCGGGACTAAGGATGTGCGGAGAGGTCTTCGCGAGATCTGCGGTGACCACGGGTGGGCATACACACACGGAGTGAATCAGGTATCCATACAGTATGTAATGTTCTTGACTGCGTTACAGATACACTTGGTGAGATGAGATACACAGTGCGGAGACGAGGTACGTACTGGAGTCGGTAGCAACGACGACCGAGTTGTCGGCTTGAGTGAAGCTGCGAGGATGATGTCAGTACACGTCCAAGCGAAGAAACTAGGATCAATATTTCCAACGAGAGGACTCGGAGAAACATTCTGTTGGCGCGGGATCACAGACAAGGCCGCTCACCTGACGTCGATGTCGCCCTCCACGAGGGCTGTAACGTTGTATTCGACTACTCGATGGGCTGCACCCTCCCGGACGATGCGGAAGACGCGGATCTTGTCCTTGCCATACTGGGCGCGAGATAGATAGGATTCAGACATCGTGCCAAAGAGAGAAGGATTCGTTAGCTAGATGAGAGCAGAGCAGGAGGAACAAAACGAGTCAGACGGATAGGGGCGGCGGGACGAGGCGAGCAATCGAGCTGTAGCGCGGTGAACAGCATCGATCACGCCCATATTGCGCCCTCCGGGGGCGCGATCTGCCTGGCCGGGGGCTCGCCCCGCTCGGCCGGACGCGCCCGTCGCGGTGCCACCGGGGTCTCGCCCGGAGCGTGCCGGGCCCTTCCGAGCTCGCCAGCACGGGCAGCGGTAACAATTTCTCGTCACCGTCACCGTCCCCGACCACACGCATCGCGAGGCTCGCCCTCCCGTCCGCCCCCTCTCACTCTTAGACTCAACACTAGACACAGGGCGTAATAGCGAGCATGCGCGCATCCGTTCCTTTCCGTCTGGCGCAGTTGCGCCCGCACGCGCATGCGCAGCGGCGATTCGCGTCGAGCACACCCGGGGGAGGCGTCAACGTGAACACGGCGGAGGCTCAGAAGAAGGCCCAGGAGGCACTGGCGGTGGCAGGAAAGAAGTTGGGACAGGCGGTTGAGCTGGGCAAACAGTACATGGGCCCGGTCGGCGAGAAGGCTGGGACTATGCTCGGATGTGAGTCTGTCTCCTCTACACACGCTTCTTGCAATCCTCGCGTCTGCATGTATGCGCGTTGGCCGCGCGTGTGTGCTCTTGCGATTTTACTTGAAGCGTGTTGTGTGAAACAGAGACTGATACCTGTTCTCCAGCCTACCGGGAGCCTCTCACGTACAACTTCGCCGTTGCGCGTGAATTCCTGAAGCAGGTCTACGTTGCGGAGCGGTTGCAGCCACCAACATCACTCGCTACGCTACAGAGCGCGTACTCTACCCTCTGGTCGCGTGCCAGCAACCCCGCGTACTGGCGAGAGCTCGTACAGTCGGGTGGGTGGACGAAGGTTGGCGTGTATGCGCTCGAGGCGTACGGTATTTTCAAAGTGAGTTGTCCGCCCGACTCTGCTGCACGAAGGTTTGCTGACGGCTGCGCGACTGCTGGGTACAGATTGGAGAGATCATTGGGCGACGGAGTCTGGTCGGGTACAAGGTGGAATAGAGTATCATGCTAGCTGTACTTTGCCCGATATAGTCTCTTTGCTTCGTGATATGGACCACATGCTTTGTTTGTGCGCGGTTCTGTTGTGTGGAGACCTGCCTAATGCGGGCAAAGCGGGGTGACGTCAGGACGGCGCTGCACAGGCCATGTTGAATCCGCGCGACGCAATGGCCGCCCTCCTATATCAGCCCTCCTCCCGCGCCCTCGCCGCCTTCCTCCTTCCCTCTCGCCCCCATGCAGACTGACCGCGACGCCGTCTCCATCTCTCGCGCGAGGTCCGTCTCGCGCGCCAGCAAACACGGCTCGACCGTTTCGCGCTCCCAGTCGCTCATCAAGAAGAGCATCGCCCCGCACGACCTACGTCCGTCCGACATCCTCATCGAGCGGTTCACCGCATGGAAGATCATCGTCAAGCAGCTCATCGCGTACTTTGAAGGCATCGCGGACATCCAGAACAATGTCGCACGCGAGATGACCAAGCTGGCTGGCGTGATACAGGTCCCGTTCCGCTCGGGCAACCAGTTCTTGGGAGAGGGCGGCCTTCAGGTGTGTATATGCGCGTTTTCTCGTGGCTCGTGACTTCTAACGCATCGTGCAGGACATCTACTACGGCATACGCGACAGGACACGCGCGATTGCTGATGAATACGCCAACCTTGGGCGGACTGTCGACGGTTCCATAGTGCAGCATCTGCAGAAGCTCCGCGCGGAGATCAAGGCGCATATCAAGGCGAGAGAGATAGTTTAGACGCATGACCCCTGCAAACTAAACGCGATTCACACAGAATATTCAGAACGACACGGGCAAGCTCGCCACAGCGGTCGCCAAAGAGCGCGAGCTTTCCGCCAAGCTAGTCGGCGACCTTGGGACAAACATTTCGGTACTCAAGAACACGCCGCTCAGCGTGACTTCGAAGTCAGACCCGTACGTAGCTAATCAAGCCGTCGCACGGCAGCTCGTGAAGCAGGTCCACACCGAGAACGCCCTCCAGAAGTCCCTGCTTCTCACGCAGGCGTCCTCGGCTGTATTCGAGGCTTCCTTGATTCAGGCCTTGCAGTCGGCGTGGTCGACGTATGCTGAATGGCGGACACGCATGGATGCGAACATCCGAGAGACGTGGAATGCCATGGAACGCGACATGTCCGGTCTGCCTCCCGACAGGGAGTGGATTGCCTTCGCTGCCAGGGAGGACCACCTGGTTGACCCCGAGACGCCTTTGCGCGACCCCCAGCACATCATCTACCCATCCAAAGAAGACCCGTCGGTCATTCCCGTGCACACGGGGCTTCTCGAACGGAAGAAGCGCTACACGCGGGCGTATCGCGAGGCGTACTACGTGCTCACGCCCGCTGGATTCCTGCACGAGTACGCGTCGTCCGATCCCGCGCTGGCAGACAGGCCGGCATGGAGTTTGTTCTTGCCTTTGTGTACCCTTGGGCCGCCATCAGCTCCCAGCGCGAAGAGCCACAAGTTCCACATCGAAGAGCGCAAGGACGGCAGCGGCTCGGTCAAGACAGGCTCCTTCCGAGGACTCAGCCGGTCGCTCACTGGGCGCGGTAATAGCAGCGGTCGCGCATGGGCCTTCCGAGGCCGCTCGCACGACGACATGATGGAGTGGTGGAACGATATACGGATGCTCTGTGCGCGGTATCTGGTCGCGAGCGAGCAGATGGAACGCAGTGGGCCGGTCGCGGCGGCTGTTCGTGCTGCGGGCTATACGAGCGAGGACGAAGAGGATGACGAAGAGGGCTCCAGTGTGGAGGAGGAGCAGGACGTTGAGGACGACGAGGTATATGAGCAGGCGAGAGACATAGGCGAGGGGGAGGATGACGCAGGCCCACCGGAGTATACGCATGAAGGATACACCACCGACTTTGGTCCCAACGGATACCCCGTACGTCGCGAGCATACTTGATTGTGCAATGACTCAGAAACGTCCTAGGTGGACAAGAAGTCTCATGCAGATGATCACGCAAGTGGAGGAGCCAATGTGTCGAGGCGACCCAGCAAGCGACAGCAGGAGAAGGCTCCCGAGGGCAAGCCACCCCACGTTGCATCCGGCGATGAAGCTCCTGAAGCCGCGGCTGCAAATGAGGTGCCCTCCGGAGCAGGACCCGCACCAACTGAATCCCGCTTTACAGAAGGGTTGTAGTGGTGATATGGCTGTCTAGACCAGTTTTAGGCTATGCATATATGGTGCCTACCCATTGTCTATGATAAGCCATAGGAGTCCATACTAGCATAGAGGGCAGACTCTGTTGTGTTCTGATGTGTTCACATGGACTGGATTACCATTGGGGATGAAAGTTGTTCATTGTCAGGAAGTATTCTAAACAGTTATTGTGTTAGAATGCAGCATGCTGATGAATCCTTCTATCACCTGTAGTTTGTTCTACTCTTGTATGGTGTTGCACTATGTATTCAATGTGATATCAGGACTTATACTTAGGTTGTAGTGAGTACTTTAATTTGTACAATCTTGACTTATTTATTACTTGTTGCAGATCCTGTACTCAGGTTCAGTGGTGTACTATACCATCTGGAGATGTAAGTTATTGTACTTCATGACAAGGGCACTCTGAGCACCTGGGATGGACAGCCATACCTCCACTCACACCCAATCTTGCTAGAGGTGAATGTTGGCAGTTGTCAACATCTGTAAGCCCACTGCTTACTATGAGATCATTACTTATCATATCAGGTTGTTGTGTTGTATGTACACACCACCAAGTTTGCTTCCATCGTAGAATGTGCTCTCTCTCCCCCTGTCTCCAACTCTTGCTTCTACACTTCCACCTCCCTGTTCCCTCCTGTATCATAGCACTACATCTCCCCCTCCTTCCACCTCCCTGGTCCCTCCTGTATCATAGCACTACATCTCCCCCTCCTTCCACCTCCCTGGTCCCTCCTGTATCATAGCACTACATCTCCCCCTGCTTCTCTCAGTCTTGCAATCACAACACATTCTAGATTCTGGTCTCCATGTGACAATCATTGAGTGGGTTCTTGCTGCATAACAGGCAGCAAGCTTTCAACATCACTGTAAGCCTATGGCTCACCACGATAGGCAGTACTTACCGGTTATGGAAGCGTGGACACATGTTTGCGCGTATTTGGGTCTGGCTGCCGCATTTGCTTCCGCTGCCACCTAATCATCCCACCTAAGCAGCCTAATTAGACAGGTAAGACGGGCCATGTGACCTTTCTAGTGTAGGCTCGTTTCCACGCATTTCAGTGACTTCCCGTTATCTCACCCGAGACATCCTGACTTTGTCGGTGACCTCTCGAGCCATTGCCGCTGGATCCTAGCACGTGCTCTGTGTCTCGGCCGTTCCCTCGCGTTCTCAACCGTGGCCGTGACCTACCGGTCTCTCCCGTCCAGGCCCGCCGCTCCTGATCAGTAGCCTCGACGTCGTCCCCCGCCTCCTTCCGCATTAGATAGCTGTCGGTCCCTTAGCCACCAAGCGCTGATAGACTTCCACATTTGTACCTAACCTATATCAATATTATCGCGGCCCCTTGTCGTCTCTCGCCGGCGCTATCCCTATGCTATTCTTGTTGCAGTTCCAGTGCCACCATGTCTCTCGATCATCCCCTGTCCCTTCCGCCCCGAGTCGTTGCGCCACCATGCCTCCCCCGCCGTGTCGCCCCGCGCCTTTCTGTTTCCGGTGGTGCACTCTGGAACCTCTCGGCGCACTGCTCAACATATACCTTCATTATCCTGCTGCTCACTTCTATCCTTCTTGACGACTCTTCCATCTCATCTTTCGATATATGCTGCTGTCAGTCTGTCAAATCGGCCACATATTGCCCGAGTCGGTGACTCTCCCTGCCTCTTAGTCGCTCTGTGTCTCCCTGCGCCGAGGTATTCCTAATGCAGACGTGAGATCCCAAAGTTTTTGCTTTCAGATTCAGCGTCTCGTATTGCCTAATGCGTACGCCAGATCCCAAAGTTTTCGCTTTCAGATTCAGCGTCTCACGTTGCCTAATGCGTACGTCAGATCCCAAAGTTTTTGCTTTCAGATTCAGCGTCTCTATACCTGCCTTTCTCAGACGCTATCTCCACTTCCTGATCGCACCGGAGCCGCTATTCGCGACCACCCTCAGGCCGATGAAGCTATACCTGGGCTTGGTTCCAGGCGCGCCTTGCCTGACTGAACTGTAAGTCAGAGATCTCACCCTTTTTGCTTCCAGATTCAGCGTCTCGTTCCTGCCATTTTAGGATTGAATGCCGGAGGCACCAGAGACTGTGTTGTTAAAGCTGTGACGAAATGTTGTCCTACTGTAGAGTCATGTATACTAGTTGCTTATGATCACATATGTTTTCCGAGACAAGCGCATGAATATTGAATGACTACGAGTGATACATCATTTAACCAACAGGCTGCACGGATTTGGAACTATTCGACGACAAAGATGAGCTGAACAGCGACAACGGCGACAATGGTGAGTGCGGGTACAGGCAGACATGATGCTAGTCGGACTCGTCAACAATCGGACGGCTCTTGGGGGCCGCCTTGCGAGCACCAGAGGTCGCAGTACGGCGTCGCTTGCGTACAGGGCCGTCAGTCTCCCGCTCCTCATCACTCGAATCGCTGCTGCTGCTGCTGCTACCGCCATCCCTGCCACCAGCGCGTCCTCCAGGAGCAGACCTCTTGGCCTGCTTTCTGCGTTTGCGACCCGCATCGCTGCGAGTCTTGCGCGGCGCAATCTCCCCGGAAGCAACCTTCCTCGCATAATCGGCCTTGCGCTTCGCATGGTCTTCCGTGGAGAGAACGACAAAGCGGCAGGCACCAGATTCCAGTGCGTCGAAGAGGGTCTGGAGGGGAGGGAGGCTTGTGCTCAGCTTCGAGGGGCTGTTGAACGTTGGGTAGGTCCAGCCTTTGATGTCGATTCCATATCGGATGACGATGTCGCGTTCAAAGGTCTTGTAATGCATATGCACGTTCGGGTTCTTCGTAATGGCGACTGGCGTGCACGGTGAGTATGAGGGAACTTTGGCTATGAAAGGATGACGTACCGAGAAGCTCAGTTATCTTGTCTTGGATTTGAGCTTTCAATTGCTTCGCCTTGAGCTTCGACGTGTTTGCCATGCCTCAAGCATGTGTCAGCGGCTGATATATGAATGGATAGGTTGGCGACTCACTCCGAATGTCGCACTTCGCCAGCACAAAGGCTTCGACCATTGCAGCAATCCTGTCCGAGTCCCAACCCTTGCGTATATTGTTGACGAGGTAACCGGGGATGCTCTTATCAGTAAAGAACCAGATAGGGCTGAAATGAAATGAGGCGTCGTTCCGAACGATGAGCGACATCACGTCGATGCCGCACATGATCTTGAGGAACTCGTACTATGATTAAATTCAGTAGTAGCCCGACTACGCAAACGACGAATGACGTACCATCTTCTCGATCTTCTTGAGCGTTGAATACAGTATCTTCAGTCGCCCCCTGGACGTCAAGCGAAACGCTCCCTCCGAGGTCGAATCCCGCTCCTTGGTGAGGTCGGCCATAATCTCCTCCTTCTGTGTGTCTGTAAGGTCGTAATACTCATCGCCGTACTCGAGTTGAATCTCTCGAAGCTTCTTCCGCTCGCCTCTTGGGAGGTCTGCAGGCGATCAGTGAGTGAGAAGGCTTCGATGCATAGTTAAGAAGAAACGGTACCTTCGTTCACCTGGTTTGCGCGCCAGTGGAGCCAGGCGTTGTACAGATTTGGCTTGCGTTTATCGGCCTCCTTCGTCCCGAACTGGAACATCATGGTCAGGAAGTGGGACTGCGACTGGTCGAACTCTTCTCCTAATTTGGCCGCCAACGCCGCAGTCTGCTGGTACCACGCTTCGAGTTCCGTGTGGATCTTCTGCTGCTTTGCAGCACGCTGCGCCTGTAACGCTTCTTTCTGTGAGGTGGGAACTTGAGGCGGACGGCTTTGATGACTAGGCGTATCCGCCGCTGGTGCAACAGTGACCGTACGGCTAGAACCTCGAGGCATCGACACAGAAGCAAGTATGACAGAGAATTAATGGGAGGTCGGCGACTGATCCATTCAAGGCCATGGAACACTTACTTAAGGGCTCACGGCGTATTGGATAGAAGACTCATCTGGACCCTGCCCGCCGGCAGCGCACAGCAATGGCAATGGATCGACGGGCACTTCTCAGCAATGTTCAAATTGGTACGAAATGGTACGTTACTCACCATTTTTGTGCATAGCATAGCTTGAACGGCACTTCGGAAAATTTTCAGTCAGACTGAATACGGAGTATGGTGTACCAATTGAGGGGCCTTTACTAGGTTGGTAGCGGGATCCGACGGCGAGCTCGGTAGCAGTGCCATCCCAGCCCAATCAGGTGTGGCTGTCAATGGACCAATTTACGTGAACAGATCCCTGCATTGCTCAAGTTGCAGGGCTTCATGAGGGTTAGCGCACACCAAGAAAGACGATGACATTGCAATTACAGTATATTCACGAGCACATTGATGATTCACTACGCCGTAAGCCGACTCTGATCGTGCGTGTCTGCCACCATCGCTTCCGCCAGCCCTGAGGCCTGCTCCTCGCTGATGCTGAGACGACGGCGAAGTTCCTCTGGCCACAGCACTGCCGCAAACGTCAAAGCCACATCATCCAGTACATGGTTGGAATACTTCGGGAGGCCGATGTTGGCGAGGTAGCGGGCCGAGCGGTAGCCAAAACCGATGATCATCGTCGCGGGGATAGACTCTGCCTGCGGCGACGAGGACACGAACGGGGACATCGGAGAAAGCGGACGCGAGGAAGATCCCACAGAGGACTCCGAGTCAGAGATTGACACGGGCGAACCGGAAGGCAGCGAACGTATGGAACGTGTCACCCTAGGTTTGGCGATAGGCGAGCCAAAAGAGCTCCCGAGCTGTGGCTTAATTGACAATGCCCTCGGGGGCAACGGCTCAGCAGGTAGGGGGCGCGTACCGCCCTGAACAGCCTTCACCTCGGCGGTTCTGGACGGAGTGTCCTTCTTCGGCGCCTTGTTGCCGTCGCTGGATGCTGACGCACGCACCGCAACGACACGGCCGCTGGCAGTTGCCAGCTGCGAACGGGCCATAGGTTGCGCCGCCGGAGCCGCAGGCTTGGCCCTCAGCGGAGAGCAGTCTGCGAGCTGCGGTAGGATGATGCTGGGCGGTGGAGCGTCTCCGCCGGACGAGGACGGGGGTCTCGTGAGAGAGATGGCGGGGATAAAAGATCCACGAGACGAAGGCGGGGACTTCAAGACAGTCCCACGAGACGAAGTTGGGGACGTTGCGACTGACGTGACAGGAGAAGGTATGGACCGGGAAGGTGGTGCGTCCGCGTCGGGGCCGAACAGCAAGCGAACTAGCATGCAATTTGATTAGTACCTCCCCCTCAGAGAGAAGTCAGCACGTACCGGTGTCGATGGTCTCGTTCGGAGGACCACGCAGCGCAGCGATCTCACCTTTCAGCTGATGTACGAGTTTGCGTAGCTGCGCATTCTCGATACGCAGGTGGCCTACCTCATCCGCAGCCAGACACGCAGCATCGGAGGAGGTTGCGTTGTTAAAGGGCTCAGGCGCACCAGCGTGAGGGGAAGATGTGTCGCAGTGCGGGGCAACGCTGACTCCAACAAGACTGCCTGTATACCCTGTGGCGGTAAGGAGCCCTTCCAGCTCCCCCGTACACCGACCCCAAATCCTGTAATGAGAGCTGTTGGTGATGACGGGGAAGATGGGAAATGGACCGTCATGGTTCGGCCTCAGGCTCTCGTCGCTGAAGGATAGGTCCCAACCGGCAAGCTCTGCGGCACGCCGCCAGCGCCGACAGACCGGCATGCCAATGAGCTCGACGGTAAGCTGGACGAGCTGTGAGAGGATGGGCTGAAGCTCCGGCAGCTCGTCGAAGATTCCAGGCGGAAAATAGACATCCGTCTGGATGTTCTCGAGCTGGAGATCAGAGCCGGGCCTCATGCTCCCAGGAATGGACACGACAATGGTAGCGCCGCCACTAAGGCGGTCGTACGCCGTGATCTGGGGCGCATTCAGGCCGCCTGATGAGCGCAAAAGTTACTTGGGACTCACTGAATCAAACGCGACGCCGAGTAGCTCGCACCTCATGTTGTAATTTCCGTGGCTGCCTGGCGTCTTGGCAGCCTTACAGTCAGGATGAAACGCATCCCTGGGCAGGCCGTGTTGCCCATCCTTTCGTACACCAGAGACCAAAAATGCGAGAGCAGCGGAGTGAAGACGAGTCGGATAGCTTTGACCGAGGCCATCATGGTCAAGACCATCCTTCACGGACTGCAGTCCGGTAGGCGTAATCCGACACTTGGCGAAAGGGAGGGTGCTGTACATCGGGGAATGTGCGGTTAGATGCCCCAGGGAGTGAGTCGTCTTTATCAGTTCTCGACGGGCGCGTACTCACCTTCGATCTGAGTACGTACAGTACTCAAATTGGCGTCCGCGACAGCTGTTTGACAACTATTCGGTTGCGCATCCGTCCGAACCACGCGTACACTGAATCGGGACAGATCTTGTCCCGGTGAGATAATTGGGGTAGATCTCGATTTGAGATGGAGGATCGCAGCAATTCAGAACATCGAAGCGGTGAAACTAGACATACTACCAACAATTGACAGAGGTACTATTGGGTGCACGAACTGATACAGTATTCATCCTTCAATTCTAAGAATAACAAAATGTGCTCGTTCGAAATGTGTCTTACTTACAGGACGGCTATGGCGCTTCAGGCTGAAATGAGGAGTGGTGCCAGTCCACTGGTTTGCGATGTACCTAACACAAGGTGAGCATGCAAGGAAAAACAGGTAATCGAACGTCATGTCTCTGGAATATTCCAATGCAAAGACATGCTCACCTCTATCCGTATGTAGTGACAGCGACTGAGCACCGAGTTGGGCTAACGGACTTAAATATGCACAGATTGCCCAGGATTGCGGCGTTGCGACTAGCGAGTGACCTGTCTATTGTACCTCCAGCCTATCTCGTCGCCCCTAATCAAAATGATAGATATTCCTAATTCTGACATCGTACTTCATGATCTCGTACTCCGAGTGAATGCTACTTAGCTCTGAGTCAGTGAATACTTTCACCAGTCAATCATTGACCACTGATAAGCTCGCGATCGAGTGCGTTGATGCATTGCAAGTTGTCTGCATTGCGAAAGACATATATTCAGACTATCCAAGCTTCATACGTATGAGTGTCATTAGTTACGTCTCATGTTCTGCGTGATCGCGTACACCGAGATTGTCCATGAATGTAACTAAGGTATCCGAGTCCTGCGCTGACAGCGATCCGACAGTAAGCATGTCATCCCCTTCTGTACCCTCTGCGGACACCCCACTGTCAGCCAGAGGGGCGTACATAGCCCAGTCTGGCAGCGGAACGTCGTTGCCGCCTTGAGATGCCCTTCCAAGACGTTGTCCCGTTTGAACACTTCCCGAGAAGCCAGGAAGGCGAGCCGTCTGTTGGAGTCGTGCAGCGATGTTGGCGTGAATACGATCGCGGTACGTCCACCGCTGTGCAAGTTCATGAGCTAGGGAAGGATTAGTGACAATGTTGCGAGCAATAGCAATGTAGAAGTCGATATGATCGTCGTGCATGAAAGTCAACAATCGAGGTATCTCGACGTTCAACCGCTCGATCTCCTCTTCTGCGCGCTTCATGTCAAATAGCATATTCATCGCTTCACGGTTCTTGCGATCGGCCCATGGTTCTTTGCGAATGTCAATCCGCGCATCGCGGAGAAGGTCGAATTCGGCCAGGGACACCATCTCGAGAACTTCGTCCCACGACAGCGAAGGCCGCGGTGGAACCAGTGCAGCTGCGTGCTTGTTGTACCGCGTCAGTGCCTTCTTGATCGCTTCTGCACGCGCCTTAAGCCCTTTGCTGATCTTCTCCCGAAGTTTGTAACCTAACAAGCAAGGTCAATCATCTACGGCGGTCACGATTCAATGGGTGCACTCACCTACACCACTCATTCCCAACTTTGTCAGCTCGAACAAGCGTTGGACGATGAGCCGCTCAAGGTTGTCGACGGCTAAGCGATAATTGCGCATAGACAGGTCCTCTTCGGCCTGCGCATATTCAGGCGAACCGGCAACCCAACGGTGTTCGAGCTCGAGCTTGTCTTCAAACGCCTGGCACTCATCGTCCACGAGTTGATACTGACGCGCTGCAATTGTGCGGTTCCGTCTGAGGGCTGCAATCTCCTTCCTCTGGTACCCATGATATACGATGTAGAAGTCTTCCTTTGCCGCCTCTTGCTCTGTGTGGATTTTACGAAGTCTGCAACTTGTGAGTAAGTCATTGAGCGTAGAATCGGCATTGCTTAGTACCCTGCCGCTTCCAGACGCTTCAAGGCCGCCATGTAATCGGCCTTGCGCGAGACCTCCGGTGGTTCTTTCTTGCGACTGTGCAGGTACTCTCGCTCCTCGTCGAGAAAGCTCTCAAGATCCAGGGTCGTGACATGCAGCTTCGAGCAGAGAACTTCGAGCGCCTCGGCACTCTCCTTGCGGATGGCAAGCGCCTGTCGGTAATTGTTGTATATGAAATTGCCTGTCCAATTCGTCAATTTGTAAGTGAGCGTTCGTGTCGAATGGAGATGACACTATCTTACCCGATTCTGCGTGCTTCGAGTCATCCCAGTGACTGAAGAATTCTACAATGGCCTGATGGCGATGGAATGCGGATGCGAGACGGGTGCCTGATGCTAAGTGATTGGATGCCGAGAAGAGCCGCTCGCACCCTTCGAAGTCTTCTTTCCCTGCGCCGATGAAGTATCGGGGATGCCAGTGGACTTGGCACCCCCGGTTGTGACCATGACCGTGGAAGGCTGGGACAATACCGGTGAGACGCATATCCTTTGCACGTTGTGCGAGCGAACTTTTGGCCACGGTTCGTGCAAACGCGCACGCGATGTCGTACCCAACTAGGATGTCACTGCCATACACGTTCATCAACCTGTCGATGATTGCCAGAGGGTATTTCATCCTTGGGAAAGCGCCGTCAGTCATCATTACAAAAGGAAATGGAAAGTACTACTCACAGCTCTCCGGAGCGTATCATGTCGCAGATTGCAAGGAGGTGGCCGTGCCGGCATAAGCAGACGAAGACCCCAGTAACAGCAAAGAGCGCGAACATTTTCTTACGAGATTCAGGCCCCGCATTGCGCCACCGTTCCACGCAAGTAGTGACATCGGCCTGTGAATTCTCGTCACCTTCTTCAGGGCTGTCAAGGCAGCCGAATTCGTCGTCAAAGTGGTCTTCATCGTCGTGAGAGTCCTCCACTGCCGTTCCGTCAGCACGCGGTGTGGCTGAAGGAGTCCCGATCGGGGCAGGCACACATGCATTGCTGTCTGATGGAGCACTCGCACTAGAGCCGTCAGAGACGCTGGCACCGCTGGCAGAGGTGGCGGTAGGCGCGGTGGCAGAGGCAGTAGCAGAGGCGGTGGTAGGCGTGCCAGCAGAGGCGGCGGCAGGCACGGCGGTAGAAGTGGCAGCAGAGGCGGCGGCAGGCACGGCGGTAGAAGCGGCAGCAGAGGCGGCGGAAGGCGTGGTGGCAGAGGTGGCGGCAGAGACGGCGGCAGAGGCAGAGGGGCGCTGCTGGAGTGATGAGCTATCCTAGGAATCACTAGGAACGAATCATTGACTTACCGAACGAGGAACCTCGTCTTTCCAGCGATTGACTTCCTCCGTCGTCAACCAGAGCCGTGAGAGGCCGACGCGATCGTCTCGTAACGTCTTGCCTGCGCGGAAGACGTCATCAACAAGCTTTAATGACTGATTGCCATCCATGGCCACCAGCATCGAGTATTTGAGCGACGGCTCGTCCTGGAGCCTATACAAGCAGGGCGCGCAGGCATTCAGCATTGCCCATTCAGTGGCATCGCGCCCGAGTACAGAGTTAACACGCAAATCAATGCGATGTAGTATCTCGAGGTAGAGGTCATACGCGATGCTGAATTGATTGACTAGGGTGCGATTGAACGGAACCTGCAGGAGGTGGGTGAGCGGGGGCCCGGGCATAGCGATAGCATGAGGAACTACTGACCCTGTGTAGATGGCAGAGCGTCTGCACTAGTGCCTGTCTGCTGAGGCGCGGACAGGTGTGGTGAAGCTGGCGGTAAGCTTCCAGCGTGCGGAAAGCGATCGCAACGGATGGTCGAATTGGAGCTGTGCCAAGATAGCCGTGACGGACCAATGACTCGTTTGGTAACTCCTCCTCCAATGCAGGTGTAACGATTCCGATGTCTTTGGCTTGGACAACATGAGATAGATGTTGATGAGAACATTGACTTGTACTCACTATCGAAGCTTATAAGTACCACATCCCACGGCTGCACATTCCCCTCAAGAGGCTGCTCTCCGGCACTCCAAGCAAGATACCCGTCGACGAGCTTGTGGATTTGTCGCTGCCACTCCTGCTCGCGGAGGAACGTCCTGTTGGTGCGTGTGCGCGTGTCGTAGCGTTTGCTGTAGAGGCGTTTATACGAATCAAGTCTCTGTGGTGTTCTGGTACGCACCTGTGTTCCTCTGTGAAGAATGTCTGCCATATTGTGTGCTCGCCGCCCGCGTTGCTGTTGAACATCGCCTCCTCACCATGTGGTAAATTGGCTTGCATATCGTCCTCCCAACCCTCATCATCCTCTGGGTCGACGGCCATTTGATTCAGCGCATCACGCTCGGCGAAGGTAAGACCTGTTTACGTGTCGACTGAAGATAATGATACTTGAGATATAGAGAACTCACCTGCAAGTTCTGCCCGATACTTCTTTTCCAGCTCGGCACGCCGTCGAGCTGAACTGCACAAGGTTTGCGTCGCTTGTGCGACCGGCTTGCCAAACCCTTGCGAGACGCGCACCTTCACTGTCCGAGAGCCACCATACCGAGACCTCGACTTGTAAGACGCGTTGTTTTTGACCATCCGGATGCGACTGCCGGCAAAGCAAAAGAAGTGATGCCCACAAGAGAGTACAGCAGCCAAAGTGGGCTCCCAAGTGTCTGGAGCGTTGACGGCGAACACGTGCTGAGACTCACTGGGCGGACACAGTAGATTTCGGGGAATGCCGACTCGTGAGTGCCCCGAGAAATGATCGGGAGACAGAGGCTGGTAATAGCACTAATTCGGCGAGTAGCTGATGCAAGATCCCAAAGTTTTCGGTCACAGATTCAGCGTTTAGAGTGTCTTGTTTTGGGTGATATTAACGCTGAATCTGAAAGCGAAAAGTCCTGGATCTGACAACCAGATTAGGCAGGCTCAAGGCACTGAATCTGGGAGTGGAATGCCTTCGATCTGACGGACGCATGGAGCGATGCGGTAGCTCCAGTATTGACAGCAGGGAAGACTGCCATTTGAGACAGGCTGAATGCCGTGACAAAGGTGTATTTCGAACTGTGCCTGTGAGTTGCCACTATGCAATTTCTGATAGCATAGTGTCGCATTAAAAGTGCCGTCAAGGTGCGTAGTATAGTGAGTGCTTGTAAGATGACTGAGCTACTATTGATATGCAGGAATGGTGCCGCAGGCGGACACGTATAGCTTATGTACATCGGCAGGAGTGGCCTGAGGGCGGTCGCGAATAGCGGCTCTGGTGCGATCAGGAAGTGGAGATAGCGTCTGAGAAAGGCAGGTATAGAGACGCTGAATCTGAAAGCAAAAACTTTGGGATCTGACGTACGCATTAGGCAACGCGAGACGCTGAATCTGAAAGCGAAAACTTTGGGATCTGGCGTACGCATTAGGCAATACGAGACGCTGAATCTGAAAGCAAAAACTTTGGGATCTCACGTCTGCATTAGGAATACCTCGGCGCAGGGAGACACAGAGCGACTAAGAGGCAGGGAGAGTCACCGACTCGGGCAATATGTGGCCGATTTGACAGACTGACAGCAGCATATATCGAAAGATGAGATGGAAGAGTCGTCAAGAAGGATAGAAGTGAGCAGCAGGATAATGAAGGTATATGTTGAGCAGTGCGCCGAGAGGTTCCAGAGTGCACCACCGGAAACAGAAAGGCGCGGGGCGACACGGCGGGGGAGGCATGGTGGCGCAACGACTCGGGGCGGAAGGGACAGGGGATGATCGAGAGACATGGTGGCACTGGAACTGCAACAAGAATAGCATAGGGATAGCACCGGCGAGAGACGACAAGGGGCCGCAATAATATTGATATAGGTTAGGTACAAATGTGGAAGTCTATCAGCGCTTGGTGGCTAAGGGACCGACAGCTATCTAATGCGGAAGGAGGCGGGGGACGACGTCGAGGCTACTGATCAGGAGCGGCGGGCCTGGACGGGAGAGACCGGTAGGTCACGGCCACGGTCGAGAACGCGAGGGAACGGCCGAGACACAGAGCACGTGCTAGGATCCAGCGGCAATGGCTCGAGAGGTCACCGACAAAGTCAGGATGTCTCGGGTGAGATAACGGGAAGTCACTGAAATGCGTGGAAACGAGCCTACACTAGAAAGGTCACATGGCCCGTCTTACCTGTCTAATTAGGCTGCTTAGGTGGGATGATTAGGTGCCGCTGCTCCACTCCTCGTTCGAGTTCGTCTCTTGTTCCCGAACCACTCTCCTCTCTCTCTCTCTATTACGCTAGTTTATTCTCTACCTCTCTCGCGTGTCTGTAGCTACACTCTCGACTCGCGTCTTAAATAGACAACCTCGCCTCACGTAATCTCGGACGGTCAGCACCCCTTCACCTCGACGACCTAGTGTTCCCTGCCAGACAAGCGGCAGGGTTCCAATCACCCATAGATCCACCTAGATATTCCAAGTGGATGCAACTCCACATGACACACAGGTGCCTGACGGGCACTTAGTAAGTGATATAAGACTGTTACTGTTGTTAAACCAGCTTGTGAGGACACAAAAACCCAGAGAAATTAGTCAATATTTGTAAAGATAAAGGACACAACCTCCACTTGCTGCGGAGTGGACCATGCCTGACAGTACAATCCCTTCAGTTCATATTCTCAGAGCAAGCAACCCATGTGTCTAGTACTGTTGCACCTGTGATACCACCTCACTTGACACTAACAAGCAAGCCTTATAGCCATTCACTGGCTGAGAATTGCCTTAGTGAGCCCCTCTTGAGCATATGCCTCACACTGCTACATTAGGGTTCCATAACTTGCCATTGTCACTGTGCAGTCAAAGCTAGCTGTTCAGACTTCCATTCAACTTCTGTTGTGTGACTTCAAATCCAAAAAAGCCCATTCCTTCAGAATCAACCTCTGAATACTAATCCTCTGTATTCAGACTTAATCCTCTATTCTCAAAAAGCTCTAAATCTTGGCAAATAATCCCATTCCTTGCCGACTTAAGCCCATTATTAGCTTACTCTTCCCAGTTGAAGCAGTACTGCATACTTGTATAGCAGCACTGACTAAAGTCCCACCCTTTTTTGCATTCATTTTGGATCTGGTATCCTCATTACAGCTCAACTTTGCACCATCTGAGTAATTGCATTGCCGAAGATTACCGAAGATTTTACTCTTTGTTACCACTTTGTATAGGCAATACAAATCTCTATTACCAAGGTTACTATTCCTATCAAGCCGGCAATAAACTTGGTAACTAGCTGTCAACAAATCAAAAACAGAACCCTAACAGCTGCTGATGCTTGATGCACATGCAAGTACTTCAACTGAAGGTACTGGGGTCCTTATATATGGGGGGGCAATGCCTCTGGCCCATGTGGATGCTTAGTCAGTGATGCACTACAACAATTGTGGTCAGAAATTGATTGCGGACAGTCCTCCCTCAGCTTGTCACAATCTCCCTCTCCACAATGCCCCAGACAGCATTCCAAATACAACATGTATGTATATAAACATTATATGATCACTACTCTAGCACTATAACCTGAACCAACTCAAAGCTCCTGGTCTTATTTGCCGCCATTTTCAAGGTGTCCTGATGTGACTCCTGCAGCCACCTGCTGTGTTTGCACACACAGGATTGCTTGCTTCACTGCAAGTAGAACATCGGGTTTTTTTGCCTTCTGTTTCTTTAAGGCTGATGGTGATGGTGTCTCAGGGTCATCCAGGCAATAAGCCTGAAGCTGAAGCTTGAGTTCATCTCACTTCAGCTTTGCCAATTCATCATCCTCAATGACGAGCTTGATTGCTCACAGAGTATTTGGTACATTCCTCCTTCCTCTGCTCCTTCGCCACAGCCTTGGATGCCTGCTGATGAGCAACAGTGACATCAGGAAAAACTCATTTTACTTGGCAAGCTTGGCCAAGCTTGGCCAAGTACAATAAGACTTGGGGCTGTCTTGGGGTACTTGTACAAGGCCTTCGCTTGGCGCCAGACGCACTGGTTTGACCAACCGTGGGAACCGCACCATCGCCCGAGCGCCCGAACATGTCGAGGGTGACTCTCAGCTCAACTTTTGCGTTGATCCTTCCCCTTGACCTCTCCTGCGCCTGGACGGCCACTCAACGCGTCCAGCACCGCATCAAGTCGCCAACGAGCCAGCACCCCGACCCTTGCTAACACACACGCCACCGCTCTGCGCTCAACGCGGAGAAGGATCGTCGACTTGAAGTGACGCAACACGCAAAGAACCGGCGCGCGACTGCGCCACGAACCCGAGTGAACACCAGCTGGCTACAGCTGGTGTGCTTCCGTCACAAACACGAGTGAAACAGCGCCGAGACACATGCCGACCACGAGCATGCAGGGCCAATGCCCGGCATGCAAGCGCGGCTGATGAATGGCTGCAACGCGCACAAGGTTGAGCACAAGCTAACGGCGGCGGGTACGGGTGGGGGCGAGGGGGAGAGAGTAGGCCAACAACGTTGAGCAGACGGGCAGGTGAGTACCCACCTCCTCCCCATTGTGCTGCGTTCTCGCTCCAAGGACCGCACCTCGACGCGTCAAGCCCCACCCCGCACACGCCTACGACGACCCAGCAGAGCACGGTCCCACCCGTGTTGCCCGCCTGTCGCCACCCACCTGCGTCACCCACCCGCTGCCATCCATCGTGTGTCACGTTGATCCCTCTCCCGCCGCTCGCATCTGATGCGTCTACCGCGCTCGTCACGGCGACCCCATTCATCGTGTGCCGCTGCCACTCCACCGCTGCCGCCTCATCGTCGCCGTCCTCCCACCCACCTCACCGCCACCACTGATGCCAGCACGAATGTGCCGCTGCCCGCGCCCGCCTTGCGTCCTCGCGTCGCCCGCACTCCGCACTCCACGTTTGTCATTAGCGCCTGCGCAGCGCTCTGCGCGGGCGGTCCTCAAGCGGACCTTGTCCGCATCCGCCAACCCTCTTTACACGAGCTGTCTCTCGACAGCAACCCCCTGTGACCGACACATGTACTAGAGTAGTACAATAGTAACATGAAGCGGGTTAACACGTCAGCATTGAACTGTCATATTACGCGGCTGTTAGGAATATCTAATTGAAGTGTCTAAGTCACGAAGTCTGTCAAGTGGCTAGCGCCGACACATGACTAACAGCACGAGCCTTCCTTTTTAGGAAGAGTCAATACTTACCTACTTGAGACTTAAGTCAAGTGACTAAGGAAGATCGTGCTGGACCTCCGATCGACTTGACTAGACTCACCTGTCATGACCGAACCAAGGCCGATCAATTTGGCTTTTGAACAATGAATACACGGGCAGTCGACCGAGGATCTCAATAGGACTATTGTTCACGTATGGAATATTCTAGGACTCTTTGTAGATATATAAACACTGTTGTAGAGTATGGACGAATAACACTCTCTTGAACTTCAATCCATTGGTGTGAGCCACTCGATCGTCCATAGCCCTGCGCTGGACATACTAAGGTCGATCGTACTTATAGCCGTGCGCTAAGCCGATCCACCTTGACCCCTTCAATAGTATAGCCTCGTGCTACTCTGAAGGGTTCGGTAAGAGTAAGCTTCACCGATCTACGGTTAGAGTCGGGTTCGTGCTTAGTGGCATCCTCAACTATTGTTGTAACGCTCTATTCACTAAAAGTCGTAACCGACTTACTTCGATCAACCAAGTTTCTTAGCTTCACTAAGAACGTAGGCACTACTGTGCCACTCCGAACTTAGTGCCTGAACTTGTTGAGCAAAATCGATTCTCGATCGACTAATCCTCATAAGTCGATCACTCAAATCGTTGTGTTGATCCTCTTCACGACGAGATAATCCTCAATTCATTTCTTAACTAAGGTGACTACGATTACGTAACTACCGATGGTTGTTACTAAGTAAGTACTCGGTAAGTTAGCAATCCCAGTCCATAACAGCAGCCGTACGAGGGCGCCGCGCTGGTACAAGGGCTGTTGTGGCAAAAACACGCAGCAGCACTGTGCAAACCTTAAAGTGCCAGGGTGCCTAGTGCACGGTCCCCCCCGCCACACGTCGTCTGCCCCACACCTCGTTGCCCCATCTGTGCCGCCCTGTCCTTGCTGCAACACGCCCGCCTTGCTAATCACTCCCTGTGAGGTCAGGCTAATGAGCAGGCTAATCGCTCTGGAGGAAGAGCTTGAGCTGTTCAACCTCTTGTCGTTGCAAACTGCCAGTCTTGGCTCAGCCTTGACGGGCTTGCTGAAGAGCCTTCAAGCCTCTCGACCCCTACAAGGCGTCGGATTCCCAGCACCCATGGAGGAAGTAACACGTGTCATGGACCATACACAAATGAGTGAGTGGTGTTTTCTCCTCTATATGTCTTGCTCACAAAGTGATTAGGCACTGCTGAGACCCAATGCAACATTGATGTTGGCGTGGGCATCGGTGCAGGCTTTGAGACCAATGCTGCCCCCTCCCTGCCTGCTGTCAGTCAAACAGGTATGACATCTCATTGGTACAGATTATGTATATGTTGTTTATACATCTCCAGAGCCCACACATGGCCCCCAGGGCAGCCTCGGTCTTTCAGCAAAGCTTGTGAGTGCGCTCAGCCTTACCCACAAGGGACCGGCGGGGGACAGAATGGTGGACATGTAGTAGCCCATCGCAATCTGGCGATAGGTCTGCTTCCGCCCTGCCGGCGAGGCGGCATACCGTATATGGCCGCTCAGGGATGGGATATCCTAGAGGAACCAACACAGGCAAGGGGTGCAGACATTCGCAACATGATGTCATTGCTGGCGGCTGACGTTAATCACTCACATCTCCTGGATATTGCCCTTGAGATTGAGGCCAGCCATGTTCGTCTACAAGGGGCCCAGCTACGTGACGACGCGCCGCTCCTTGACCTCTCCAACCGATGCCAGACAAGCTTGAATCTCAGCACGGTAGCGAGTTTTTGGGCAATGATCAATCAGATACGTTTAGCCTGCAGAATTTCAGAGTAAGTTGTGTGTGGGTTCTTGTTGACCCTTAGGTTGATCTTATGCCTTCTAGTATGATTGCAGCACACCCTGCAGATGCAGACAAAAAACTAACTGTGGCTGCCATATACCGCTCTACGTATGCAGGCTACCGGTGGAAGCCACCCGCGGCACGGACATTTCAAGATTGGAATACTGCCAGGACAAAGTTCATGAGACTTGCAGCTGGTGGTAAGTCTCTTTGAGCTTTCAATGACTGTTATGTACGTATTGCTCATCATTTATACAGGTTCTGTTGGTGCTCTGGTCTTAGTGGCCCATAAAGAACTCAGAGTTAAGATCGGAAATTGTGATGGCCACATTGCCAAAGACCTGGCCAATCTCATGCGCCACACTCAAGGTAAGTAGCAATTGTGTTCTGTGTAGGTATAGCTCAGTGTTTGTTTCATTAGACACTCCAGAGGGAAAGTCATCAAAACTGTCATTCCTGCAGTGGCCCTGTTGCTTTGTAACCTCACCCTGCGTCTGTCGGATGTGGTACCTGCAACAGGACCAGCCAACACCCATGTAGGAAAGCTCTGCAGCGATCTCGATGCTTCGGACGATTTGTTTGATCGAATCAGAAAAAAGTGAGTTCGCTCGTTCAGTCTTGAACTTGTTCAAGCTGACCAGTCTCAATTTAGTGGGTTTCATCTGGTGCCCCACTGCAAGGAGACCTGGGCCAGTTGCTACAACATAACCCTGCCAGATGACATGGCTGGGTTGTTGCCGCTAACCCAGCTGACAGATCTCACTGAGCTTACGTCCCAACTGTCCAGACCCATCCTGTCGCCCCTCTCTGTCTCCTTGCCCCCCCTCCTCTCGCCAGGCTGCCAGCAAGTTATATCTACCTCCTACAATGCTCACCACCAGGACAACATCAAGTACACTGCACCGCGTGGTGAAGACAATGTTGCATGGACTGAACAAGAGAGACTCAAAGCTGTCCATGCAACAGTGCCTGCAAGTCTGGATGAGTTCCAGACTGAGGTACGTCTAATCTTACCCCGCTGATCCCCACGTTCATTATCACCCCAGTTACGCAATCTATACACCAAGGGGAAGAGGGTCAACAATACCACTGACATCCAGGTCCCAGTTGCCCTTATTTCATGAGAGTGCTCCTAGTTCAACGGCCCATCATGAGCTAATACCCTTACAGAGATGTCTTGACACTACGTGACTCGGACAACGATCTTATGATGTCGATCTGCACATCCATGCCGGTCGACCTGAGGGCCAGCCTTACTGAAAGGCTCATCTCATGCTTTCCAACTGATCCCCTCAACGTTCTTGATACTGCCACAATCAGTCGCAGCGAGCCTCTCAAGTTCCAGGCTCTCCATTTCTCATGGTACAACAGACACTGCACCCGGGTAAGCATACATTCTTTCTGTGGTTCTGAATGTGTCTCATGCATATCTTTATGCAGGGACATGACGCCCCAGTTGACGTACCCCCTCGGAAGCTCAGGTGTGCTAATCGTTCTAGGACTAATTATGCACAAATGTTACCCTACCCGTCGAAGGACATTGAAGAGCACCACCTGATATACGACGCTCTGAAGACAATCCTGAATGATGTATTCTGCTGGCTTGACAAGACGGTGAGTGCTGTCTGCTGTGAACATCTCACACGCTCAAACTTCAAGTAGCTTCTCAGAATTCTGCCTCAAGAATATTCGCACCTAGAAGCCTCTGCTAGCATTCTTCCGGATCACCATACCTCCCCTGTCCACCCATTCCTCGGACTGGTCATCAACATGAACATTGCTACCTACGCCCATCGAGACAGCAAAGACAACTCAATCTGTCTGGTACTTCCAATAGGCTACTTTGACGGCGGAGAACTCTGTTTGCTAGAAGCTGGCCTAGTTGTACCCCTTCAACATGCTCAGCTGTGTGTTTTTCCCTCGCATTGTTTTACGCATTTTGATCTACACTACTGTGGTCAACGAGCATCTGTTGTTCTACACTCAGATCAAGAAATGGTGAAGTGGAGCACGGGGGATTGTAACGTTTGGGCTTCTAATGTAAACTTTTGCTAATAATATACTCTTGTTGGCTTTGCCTCTTGTACTCACCCACCGCGCACGTTCATGCACATTTACAATTTAGTTCACGCCCACATCGATTGTCCACTTCAACTTGCCAGCACCAGATGTGCCCATGTCAATGCCCGTGGGAACCGAACGATTGCATGAGTGCCCGAGCATGTTGAGCGCACAGCTTTGTGATTTTTGCACTCGACTCATGCCGCCTTCCAACTTCAGCTTCATGTCTCTTGTGCCTTGACACCTCCTCGACGTGTCAAGCCCCATCTAAAGCCGAATGAGAGGAGGTGTCACCGCCTGCGCACCTTACAGCTGCGGCCCACCCGGCCTCCATGGTTGCAGCGAACGAGGATTGCCGCATGCCCGCACCTGCGTTCACCACGACAACACTCGACCTCAGATGAAGCACCACACGAGGCTTCTCAAGCCTGCATCCTCGAACAACTCATGGACCGCTGAGGGATCGATGTCACCCACCGAAGCTGCTGCTCCAGCACAACATGCGACTGCTTCAACGCGAGCCATCCCACAGCCCGATCAGGAGGAGGTGGAAGGCGCGAGGGAGAGTGAAGTGAGCATGAAGGCTCGAGAGCACAGGTGAGTCCGGCAAGTTGTCATGTTTAATAATGATTGCTGTTAGTAGTCCCTGCAGGTGTGCACCATTGCTCGCATGCTTGCACTCTCGCACCCATTATTTCTCCCATCTTCGCCCCTCATATGGATCTTCTACCTCCACCTCCTATGTGCCTGGATGGCCAGCCGATGCGCCGAGACCCACACTCGGGCAGCCCAGCAACACGCCGAACTCACCGTCATGCAGTCCCCACAATTCAGCTGCGAAGCGGCACAAGACTTTGCGTGCGTCGTAGCTACTCCATTGCGTGTACGTAGAGCTCTACGTAGTCAATGGATGCACTTACCCCGCCAGTGACCACCGCGCGACAATTGGCAGCGGCTGTCCAATGTCGGTGAACGGCGGGAATAGAGCAATTGGATGACTCACCACCATCCGCGCGGGCACATATATGCACCAGGCAATTGACCCGCCTTCGCATTGGCGACACAACACCAACCTCGTCCGCCAGCTCATCCTGAACAACGCCTCGTCGACGAATGTTTGGCTCTTCCCTGCGGTGCAACTGAGGGTCCCACTGCAAACGTGGCGAGCGGTGCAGTGGTCATGGAGAAGGCGAAAGGCGAAGGCGAAGGAAGTGAATGAACGAGAGATGCGCAGAGAGCCAGTGGGCGCGGGCATGGCGGGGAAGGATAGACGTGGAGTGAGAGGTGTATTGGGATGCGGCGTGTGTTGGGCGGTGGTGGGGGATGGACAGCCAGAGACCAGGAGACCAGATGGTGAGTTTCCGTGCTTGCTGGTGCGCTCAATCCGCTTTCCCACAGGCAGTGCACGACTCAATGCAGACCACAGAGGCGTGACCGAACTTGAGTGTGCTGCTGCAGGCAGAGGGCAAGTTGAGTCGGGCGACACCAGCACTAGCCTGCCACCCGCTGCGGCAACAACCGAACAGCGGTGAAAGCCACAATCAAGACAGTGAACGCCTGCACCGAGCACATGCAAACAAAGCGGAAGGCGGACTCCTTTGCTGCCCTGCTCGCGCTCGCTGCAGCTGAGACGGGTGCATCGGCTTGCCCACAAACTTGACCGCAGGCAAACCACGGCGGTGGTGCGTGCAAGTAGTGCTTGTAGCACTTTTTCATGGACTTAAAGACGCTGGAGCCTTGGGCGCCCGCTCAATGGGCCCACCGGAATGGCGGAGAGCCGGTCCCAAATGGCACCCTGAGCGCGGCTGCTCTCTCCTTTCTGCTGCCTTCTTCTGTGTTGCCAGCACCATGTCCTCTAGCCCTCGTACCACTAGATCCACTGCTAGGAAGCAGGACAAAGTGCAGACCGCTAAGGCCACCAAGTCTCAAGAAAAGACATCTGTTAAGCCACCTAAGACCAAGAGATCCAGTGCAGCAGGCGCCACTAGCGACCATGACAAAGGATGGTCAACATCACAACAGAAGCAACTGGATGAACTTCTCAAATGCAAGGCAGCGGTGCAGAGAGAGGAGAAGGAGGTACAGCGGTCCGGTATGTGCTCACAAGATCGAAGATGGTGTGAGCTTACATATTGAGCCTGACATCAGGAACTCGCAAGCGGGTGGTCAATCTGACCATTGAAGAGTAATCTTCAGCTGATGAAGACCAGACACCTGCTTGCAAGAAGGCAAAGAAGGTGCAGGAATCGGCCAAGGGAAACATAAGTGATGAAGTCCAGGAAGCGGTGTCTGTGACACCCGCTTCATCTCGTTGTAAGTGCCATAAGCTCTGTGAAGTACTCAGACATGTGTATCCACATTCACATAGCCAAACCCAAGCCAGCCTACAGGGGTGCAGCTGCGCTAACAGAGGGAGAACGCGCCATCGTTCAGAACTTGGGTTCGTACTTCCGTACTAGTCTTTGCCACTTACTGATAATTTGACAACTTTGTCGATCGACTGTCACAGACATTGCTCAGATTGCCAACAAAAAGGGTCAGAAGGAGCCAGAGGAGCACAGTGACAAAAGTGACGAAGGCAGCGACGAAGGGTTGTCACAGAAGAAGGCGATTTGAGGGAAGAAGATGAGCATAGAATTGTAACATATGTGCCTCAAGTTAACTTGTACGATCTTTGGTTTTCAGACACTGTCCTCAAAGGGAAAGAATCGTGCCCCAAGGCAGGAATCATCAGAGGCCTCAGATGATACCGCCAAACCAGGGGTTGTAGACTCCAACAGCTCAGCGTATGCTGGGAGTGAGGACAAAAAGAGGTCAAGCTGGGATGAGGACGATGTCATGGTGCGTTCAACTAGTGATGCCTGAATGACTGACACAACATTGATGAAACAGGACATGGGGCCCAAGAACGCGACAAAAGGGCGTGCCTCTCAAACAACACAGAAGTCTCGCAATTGTGTGAAAGCTGGGGACCTGCCCATGGACATGAAGCCCCTTGTCAACATGGCAAACAACTGCATGCACAATTGCCTGGCTCTTGATACCGCATGGACAACGGATACAACAATCACAAGCTCTCGTCTTGTGTCCAGCAACCAGCTCGTCGCTTATGCCTTGAAGGATGCTCGCAACTCGGTGGACAAGGATGGAAAGAGGATGGTGACGGTGTGCACTGCGTACAAGATGTTGAGACAAGGCACCAGCAGCAAGGACGACAACCTGCGCAAGCAGGTCAATTTGGTCGTAAGTGCTATGCTGTAGTCTTGACAGTTTAGTTGACGCTGCACAGGTCTGGGGCACTGCCTCGCAGCTTCGCAATGAGGTGAAGAGGAAAGCCAAGGTCATTGTTGATCATGCGTATGGCTTGAATGTGGTTCAGACCAATAAGCGGACCCAACTTGCATTGTGGCTGCTCACGACTCACGCCATGAAGGTGAAGGGAGGCAAATGTGGTATCCCTAACTTTGTGTTTGGGGATATGCAGGTTGTCTGGGATGAAAAGGGCTCCATTGACAAGGAGGTCTGTCTGTCCCATTCTCTTTGTTCTTCCTGCTATGTCGGGTGGGTGATGGTTCTGACACCTCAAGTCAGAAATCAAACGTCAAGAATGATGTACCATTCCGACACCCTGCAATCTCTGAAATCATCACGCAGCAGTGGTTTGTGGGTCACGCAAAGACCACCACGCCAACAGAACGATTCAGCAGTGTTCCGGACAACTTGATTGCATTGGTGTGTAATGCCGTAAGCTTGGTCTTCGTTCAACTCCTGCGTTGTTTGATCTTGTATTCTAGATCGAGGTTTCATTGAGGGAAGTGGCAACAAACACACCCATGTCGTTCTCAAACAAGCAGTATGCCCCCAAGTAAGACATTGCATTGAAGCAAACACTGAATACCCTACAGATGGGATGACCTGATGTCAATCCTGGAGGCAACTCGGCAGAATGCACCTGACTACTACAAGGCAACAAAGAAGCTGCTGTGGGACAGCATCAAGTGAGTATATCCTGACAAGCTTTTTGTTTTTCATGATTGCTGAATCCCTCCCCAGGACCAGCACAGAGAGCGGCTTCAAAGCCAAGGTGGCAGCAAGTGAAGACAAAGGCGATACGTTTGTCAACTGGTCAAAGCTCCAAACGGTCGCGCTTGAAGATACCAGCACAGTGTCTGGCAGCAAGGCCCAGCCAGAGCCTTCTTCTGTCGAAGCTTCAAAGAATGGGAGGAAGAGGAGCACAGCCAAGCCGTCATCATCTACAGTAGCTCACGCTGGTCCTTCAAAAGCTCAAGTGGTTCCAGCAATCACAGAGCCATGTGAGTGAGCACAACAGTGATGTAAGGGTTGTCTGATTAGCATTACAACAACAGACAACACTTTGGGTGATGTTGAAGAGCTGGAAGATGATGACTGATTTGGCATTCCGATGTGAGTTCCTTATTTGTAGCGACTCTGAGGTTGTTGACATTGAGTGTACAGAATCTCTATATACGTACTACCTACATTGCTCTCTCTTGTCCGATGCCCTTGTCGCTTGTCACTATCACTGTGACCTCATTCTCCTCAGTGTGCTGTGCTGTACTCTGCTGCTGTATTCTAGCCATACATTGTGTCAATGTCAGTCAATGTGATGTCATGGTATCAGAAAATCTATCCTACAATGAGAAAGCAGCATACTTAATCATCTTGAGGATGAGGAATATGTCCACCAGTTGCTTGGCCCAGAGTAAAAGCGAGTAAACAACTCTTCAGAGCATTGGAGGTGTTTTAAGCTCGGCAAGTACCACAAGTGAGACAGTGAATGCAGACTGAACACTTAATAGCAAGGTTTTCAAATTGCAAGCTCCGCTTGGTCGTCTTGTCCAAGTAAAAAAAGGAAAACACTTGTCTTTGGAGCCAAATGTGCTTGGGGAGCTTGACCAAGTACCACAAGTAACATGAGTTTTTCCTGATGGATGTCATGTTCAGTCTGACATTTGTGCTGCAGCGACCCATACCTATTATTGAAGTTGCATGCCTCACACTGTACATGTGAATGGCACAAGTTGTCAAACATCACCTCCATGAACCTGGCTGTATCATTATTGTTGTGCTTCTTCTGTGTGTTGAAGTATGCCTGAGTCCCATGTGGAGTATTCCTCATCAACCATGGTTGGTAATCAGCTAGACTTCGATGCCGGCTGCATGTTCTTCCTTGCAGTCCTCTGCAAGGTTTCAGAGAGCTTGCGCATGCCTCAGAGGCCTTGCGGGATGGGACATTGGCCAGTAGCAGTGTTACGGGTAGGCAACATCAGGAAAAAACATTCTGTCTTAAGTGGTCTTGTGGAGAGCAATAAGTGTCATCAAGTGTCATTATGTGCCACAAGTGCTTAAGGTAAGTCGATTTCTTCATTTGTCTTAATTAAGTTCCATTAAGTAACCAAAGTAAACACTCATTCCAAGCAAGAATAATGTTTTTTCATCCTTACTGGGGTAACTTCTCTCATGATTGTGCTGTGTTTGTGCATATGCTGTCATAACAGGCATCCCAGATGCAAAAATGTTGCCCAAAATAATCTGCCATTTCCCAGAATTGAACCCCTGACCTGCTACACTAATTTCTCACACTCTCAGCACAAACTTCTGACCACTACACCATAGGTCCCTGTGCTTGTGCCCTTGCACAATAACCTATATTGACTATCTTTCTGGACTTGTAGAAATCTGCAATTGCTGCCCCCTGTTAGCCCAGCCCCTGTGCATCCCTGGGCTCTCAGACTGGCCTCATTTCTTCTTGGCACTATCTGTTGCCTTGCAGACCTTGTGTAGACTTACAATTTGCTCAAGGCCAGGCTTCTTGTCTCACTTTGTATGCTTAAATGTTCTTTTTCTGTCTTTCACCCTTAACAGGCCAAATATGTCCAAATCCTTGACAATATGACTTTGACCACATTGAGCAATCTGACATCTCATCATGCATATTTATTAGTTAAGAGGTCATTTGCCAACTAATGTGTACTTATGCATCTTAATCTGTAGTACTGAAGTTGCATGTCCTCCAACTTGGGGACAAGACAAATTTCTCAAAGGTGCTATAGTTCACTTCAGCGGTCTTCATGCACATAGTGCACTTAATTGAGGAACACAAGTTATGAAAGATTGAATAAGATTAGGTGCTCTTCATTCAAGACTGCTGAAGTTAGAAGTGTTTTTCCTGATGCAATACTATGCCTGCCCTAGTAGATTAGATCAGATCATCTGTACTTAGCCATCCTCCTTCCATATTGGGAAGTAATTTACTCTTAACACTGAACTACTACCTCATCTGTGTGCAAACACCGCGGCATCCATGAACAATCTGTTGAAAAAAGAGGTTTGAGGTTTAGTAAGCCAGTAGCAGTGAAGGACTAAAGAGTGAGTGAACAGACCAGTCCCAGAGGGAAGATCCTATGCTGGCAGGCAGAGGAGAGGATGAAGGATTGTTATCATTACAGGGCAAACCAGCCCAGTATATATACACATTTGATACAGGTCACATGCTGTATCAGCGGTTCATCAGTAAGCATTAAGTCCGAGGTTTTGGGGATATGAATAAGCTGATAAGCAGCATGAGTAAGCCAAAACTCCGGAGTTTCATGTGGAGAGATATATGAAACATGATTGAACATCAAGGAACATCAAGGAATGATATGGAACATCATGGAACATCAAGGAATGTTGTGGAATATCGTGGAATGATCCGGACTAAAGTCACATGATGTAATCTAGGCAAAATCCATCAAAGAACATATGTAATCTGACATGGCAGAACATAAGTCCATATCCGTACATAACTGATAAGATAAGAACACCGAAAACTCGGAAGTTCAACATGTTCAGTCCTCCCCTCAGCCTGTGCTCCTTGCCCTTGTCCAGGACTCATCCTCAATATGGCTCCTCACCCTGTCTAGGACATCCCCTCGGCCCGGCTCCTTGCCAGACCTAGGACACACCCATCCACACGCAAGGCTCCTCGCCCTGCAATGACACTAGCAGGAGCTCCTTGCCTCACTCATGACCTCACAAAGCTTACAACACCTTCCCGGTTCACAGGCAGCCCAGCCTGTTAAGGTTACACAGTCTATGAAGTACAGTATGAGTGTCTGTTGTCCGTGTATAAAGCTACAAAGTGGCTTACCTCAGTCTAGTGCTTGTGGTACTTGACTGAGGTAGCGCTATCCAAGACATGTTCATTTGAGTCCATATCCCAATCACGTGTCCATGTCACAGTTAGCGTGCATGTCCCAATCCCTCCTCAACACTCCCCCGGGATCACAATGTGCATGTACAGTAGATGCTTCCGTAAAGTAGGTAAAGTAAGGGCCTTTGTAAAGATGTCCGCCGGATTCTCAATGCCTGGAATATGAATAATTTTTAACTGCTTACCCCGAATTGCCTCCCACAGCCAATGGTACCATATGTGCAGGTGCCGCACGCGCAAGAAGTTAGCAGAGCGCGTTGCAAGGCTTTCTCCACCCGCGCTGTCCATGCGGATGATGACAGGGCACTCAACTGGCACATAGATTTCATCCATGATGTTCGCAATACAAACCCTCATCTGCCCGGCATGCACAGCTGCAATATACTCGGCTTTGGTCATTGACAAGGTGACGACCTCCTGCTGATGCGAGCTCCACAAGACAGGTCCGCCAGCCATCATGACCACATGCCCGTGGGTTGAACACCTGGTATCTGGGCAGTCACCTTGTTACGATCCCTGGACGAAGGAATCGTTCTTATGACTGGAGGGGATGAAACGCCTTACAGTGGCGCCCGATTTGGAAGGAGTCCACGTGACTTTTTGAGGCCCAGATAAGCAAAGATAAGTAACTGATACTAATGTCCATTAGTGGGACCTAAAATTTGAAACTCCCAGACAACACGACTTGCACCAACAGATACAAATAAATGCTGTGGCTGGCTGCTCTGTCCTGGGGTGAGGGCCCATGAAACACCTTCCAGTGGCGCCCAATATGGCAACTGGTGGCTTTCATCATGTGACTTACAGGCTGGCTGGCTGCTGCGGCCTGCCAGCGCTCACACTGTATACAGTCAATTAGTAAGTAATCATAGTAGACATAGTATGCCCATCTGATAGCCATTTGTTCAAAGAGTATACAGTAATATTCCTAAGCACTTACAGTGGCTGGTTGGGCTGGAAAGTGCAAAACAAAAAAATCTACATGTGCCTTTGCATAAGTCAAAGCACCTGTGTCTGCTCCAGATACTCACTGAATCATCAGGACAGTGACCTCATGCAGTTGAATGACTTTGTATGTGTCAGTTGCTTCTGTGATACAGCAAAGATGAGCAATATTGGGCAATTTGAACACTAGTGAGCATATTATTGCTTGTGTGTCATGTCTATCACTGACCTGTGTCATTGATGATGACCAACTGTACCTGTTTAACTTCTTATTATATTATCAGGATTTTGCACATTTTTACAAGCTCATAACAAGCCCATTTGCCCTGTATCAGCTATGGTTTCCTTATTGGGCAGGTTGCCTACTACTTATGGCAATACACTTGTCTTATTCGCCGCTGCTACGCCCGGCAGGATCCGATATGCATATTGTTGTATGCACCAATGTGAAGGCAACGACACAAAAATATTTCAAGTGACCTGTGAGCACCTAGTATGTACAGTACAGTGCTCCTCTCGCCCGCGGCGGCTTCGCCGCCCCGGGCGATTCGGAGCTATGCCGCAATCACAGGCATATTACCACTTTCCTTGTTCACCCAGAACCTTACTAGTACAGATAGAATCTACTATGACACCAGACTAGTCAATGCTACCGGATGCAGGCTCTTGCAACTCTGGAATTCGAATCTTACAACAGGCGGTTTGAATGTTTGACTCGGAAGCGCGCGGATGATGTAAGCTGTCCGACGTTTCTGTCCAATGAGACTGTCCAATGTCGCGATCTCCTAACGCGGTGCTGACTAAGCGAGGGCTCGGACGTTGCGGAAAAGACCCGATATTAGCATATCGGAACAGAACAGCACACTCATAGACCTCATCTGGGCCCCTCTGACTAAACACTGCATGTATGATACATGCTTAGCATCTGTGGGAGTATGTGTGCTACACAGACAGTGACTAGAGCCTAATGTATTGCTTCTGTAAGCACTGGGCCGATGATACAGCAACCAATGTAAATGTATTGAAGGTGTAACATGAAATAGAGTCTTCCTTCTCAATTGGAGCCTTGCAATTCATTGTCTATGCTTTTGAGAATATTCACTGATTCTTCCGCATTTGTTTAGATCTGTACAAGCTAGTTTAAGAGAAGTAAAAGGCTTACATCGCTTACTAAGCGCCCATTAAGCGCCCGTGTGCCGTTCGGAGTTGCATCCACCTGGAAATTCCAGGTGGATGCAACTCCGTGCGGC